CTTGTCACCCAGCGAGCGCATCGCCGAGGCGGGGGGACCAATGAAGATGATCTTCTTGGGGGAGGCAGCGAGGGACTCGGGAAGGCGGGGATTCTCCGAGGCGTGACCCCAACCGGCCCAAACGGCGTGCACGTCCATGCGCTCCGCCACATCGACAATCAAGTCGACGTTAGCATAGTTGTTGTTATTCGTACCTCCGGGAACCTAGGTTGGTGGAGCTGTGAGTGAAAATTGCGCGCGAAAAACGATCCCACCTCCAGTGCACACATACCTCGACATATTGATCCGCCATGCGAATGTAATCTGCGTTGGCCCGCAAATCCTCGGGCGTGGCCATGACTGTGAATTGAATGGCCCGCTCGTTGCCGAACGTCTCGTAGGCCCATTTTCGGACGGAACGAATCTCCTTGACGGCGGCGATACCGTTGTTGGCGATCAGCACCTGGGCGTGGATTGTTGGTTAGTCAAAAGCCAGCCAAAGACGCAAATTCCCCCGCACTTCCGGGACGACTCACCGAGCTGATGACGGAGTGACCCTCATGCTTGGCCACGAAATCCTTGACGCTGCTGGGAGGAGCCGCGTCCAGGTGGTTACCACCGATGAAATGTGAGGGGAGGTTGGCGGCTTTGGCGCCAGCCTGGCCGTTGACGACACCGTTGGCGCTCATGGTGCAGAATTGAGGATTAAGTATTATAGGAATCCCATGCAATGGAATGCAAACAAATTACTCAAAGAGAGTGATTAAAGGTAGTGGGAGAAGTGTTCGAAGGAGAAGAGAAGAGGATGCAGGCGAGATCGGTAGGGACAGCGCGTACGAATTGACCGGCCTGGGGGGGGAGAAGGCGATGGAAGGGAGGCGCAACTGGCGGAGTTGGTGAAGAACGCCCTCACCGTTCTTTAGACTGGCGGGATTGGCGGGGAAGGAAGGAGGAAGGGAGGGAAGGATTAATTGCAATTTCCCGAGGCTGAGTCAGGGTGAGCAAACCGAGTCAGCTTCAGTAAACCAGGGAGAGAGAAGTATTGGGAGGAGGAAAGAAGGAGGAGGTGAGGAAGAGAATGCGCGATGCGCCAGGGGAGGGAAAAAGTTGTTTGGAGGCGAAGTAAAAAAAAATAGTAAGGGCGAGAAGCAACCTGTCGGGAGGGAGGAGGAGGGATTGGATGGGGAAAAGTGGAAGTGGGAGCCAAAGCCTGGGTCCGGAACGGGAACTGAATTGAACTTACTGTACAATACCTAAACAGGTGGGAGGGAGAGAGTTAGGGAGAGGGAGGAAGGGAGGGAATGGAGAGAGAGAGAGAGGAGAGAGACAGTTGTGTATGTGAGAGAGAAGAGGCCGGGCCGGCTTTCAATTGAGATCTAGGAGGGGGGAAAAGTGGAAAGAAGAAAAAAAAAAAGAAGAAGATTGGGGAAGGGAAGGAGGAGGAGACGAGTTTAATTAAATTGCCAGATGGAGAGCAAGACAGAAACAGACACAGACAGGAAGGAACAGAGTTGAAGCAGAGTGAGTTAGTTGTTGTTTGGTAGTATACAGTAGTAACTATACCCAGTAGGAGTTGATGCTGTAGTTGTGCCTTTACTCTCCGAGGGTGATGACGTGTATTGAGATTACCATAATACCACAATACAGCAGCACCAGCACTGCAGCCGCAGTGGAGATCGGGATCGGGAAAACCCAGATCAGTTCTGCTCTTTGCTCAACTAGCGGTGTTCTGGTGTTTAGTTGTTGGGGGCCATGACGTTCCCCGCCCGCCTTTCCCACCACTTTCCAACGACCCAGCATTTGTCGGGTCAACAATTCCCTCATGTAAGGCACTCTGCCACAGACTGACTAGTCTACTGAATGGTTGTACCGTTGTAGACTATCTTCCAAGGTCTTCCATCACTCCATCCATTCCGTCGATCATCAACATGCCTAGTACCGTAGTACACTACACTACTATTGGTAACGACCTGTCGCGATTGCGGGACAAATTCCCCGAACTGTCCGGAGTTACAGATCGCCCACTCCATTGGAGATTCCGTTCGACTCGGTAGAAAGGAGGAAAGGAGTCATGAACGTGACCAAGGACCGACCATTTTATATCAGGTGCTGGCCCCGGTTGACTTCCTTCTCGCCAGTGGTGATACTGATATAGTTCGGACTGAGGAATTACTCCGACCCTCGGGGCGCCATGACCGAGTTGGCAGGGCCGTCTAGTTAGTAGCTCGGCAGATCCAAGCTTAATCCATACCTACGGGATTTGTGTCTCTGTGCTTTGCTAGGGCTAGCCAGATAATGAATGATTCATGAGTCAGGGATACCGGTAGGTTGATAGAAAAGATAGAAGCGGTGGTACCTGAGCGACTTGACGACCAGCCCGACCTGACATTGTTGTTCATGTTCAATGCATGTTCAAATTCTGAGAATCTCCACACTGCGCAGAAACTCCCGACGGGGCCGTCCACGGTGAGGTCCATCCCTGCTCTAACCAGATTGGGAGTCTGTTGACGCCCCACCTGCCAGCGCCAATGGGATCGGCAGCAGTTGTCATCGCGTTGGGATCGTGGGAAGTCACGGGACGGCTGGTGGCTTCTCACCAATTTGCATACTCCTTCCACTCAAGTCTAACTACCCAGAAGCATGCTAGAATACTATCGATTATGAGATTAATCAGAGAAACCCTCAAACCCACTTCTATCTCTCATAAATCAAGATATCCACCACAAATCCACCTACACGAATATACCTAACCCGCCAGCCACTGGGTAGCAACTAGCAAACTACACTGCAAGTAGATAGCAACCCCAACCTCTGGATCCAAATCCTGGCCGAGACCGACAACCCCAGCGGGGCGCGAAGCGCAATCCAACCCCTCGGAGACATGGAACCAACGCCACCGCAGTGCCGGGATCGAAGACCGGAAATGCTGATGAGAAAAGAACCTTGAAGAATAAGCCGGCCACCAAGCCAAAGCCAAAGATCCCAGTCGCGATCGCGGAATCGTGATGAACCGCCCAGGAGAAGTTGAACCTCTGGGTTCCGGCGTGGGGCTGGCGCCCGGGCTGGGGCTGCATGCCGATTGGGGCGCAGAGATGAAGTTGAGTTCTTGAAGAATGCTGGGCTTGTAGACTAACTATCTACAGCTGTATACCTACAGTCCTGTAAACTGTCTTGGAAGGGTACCCGTTGTTAGTGCACATCAGCCCAACCTGACCCAATAGCTCCAATATCCGCGTGGAAGAAACTGTACTGTACCAGATCAAGCATAATCATTCCCAAGCTGAGCCTGATGACAGACAAGTGAACCATCCCCCAAAAGTTCAGTTCCAAGTTGTAAGTAAGTTCCCACCCTCGGACTCCGAATCCGCCTCCTCCCGGAGTGTCCAAAAGGAGTCAGTCAGCAACCGACCTCAGCTCCGTGAACCTCAGCCTAAAATGACGGCGATCGGGGTATTATTCATGACCACCATCGAGAATCCTTCAATCCTTCAATCCTTCATACTCGTATTGCACTCCGTAGCCTCGTCTAAGTCCAAGAACCCTCCGAAAGAACTCAAGCCCCTAGTACACTTCGGACGCTAATCCAGATCCAGCCAGGATGTAGTTGGCTCGGGGCCCGGGACCAGACTAGAGCACGAAGCACGAAGCACGAAGCACGAACTGGCCCTAAGATGCTGTGGAATCCGATCGCGCTGCACGAACCTCTCACCTATTACTCAACCACGTGATTGTTTGCGACTAGCTAATCGTTTACGCTGGATTAATTAGTGCGGGTCGTGTGGACTGAGGATTGAAGTTGGGTGTCAGAATGGGATGTTTACTTACGTCTTCTGATCGAGGTGCTTCGTAGGCGAGTTGTGAAGTACTGCACAAGTAATTATCTACCACTCGTGACCTTTGTAGTGATCGCATTTGGCGTGATCGATAGCTCTCTCTCTCTCTATATATATAAATATTGTAGTGGTAGTAAGGCATGCGTTTGAATCTATACGCATCCTCAACAACGCACACACTGTACAGTAGATAATTCCAATAATATTGATCGCTGTGTAACGAGACTACGCAAAATACCATCAAACTCCTCTCCTGACCAATAAGAGCCTCATCTAGCAGCCTTGAGGAAGAAAAAGTAGGACACGAGATGTGGATCATTCAAACATCAGTAGTGGAGCAGAAACCGATAAGCAGGGGGTTCATTGTTGAGTGGTGACGGATGAGGGAACCCATAAGCCAAGTGCAGTGACAGCGGGAAAATATATATACCGGATACATTCCCTCTTCTCCCCATCACATCCTTCCACACAACCTCCTCTTGGAGACCCTGTCATCTGTATTAGACAGAATGAATATCGAGTTAGTCGAGCAGAACGACACTCTGGCTACTAACACCAACACTGCACTACAATCATCCATCCGTCACTGGGTATTATTCTCTAACGCCAAAGGCAATTTACTCAATACACTCAGATACAGACAGCAGACAGCCAAAGAAACAAAGGGGTGCTGAGTGACAGCTTGGACGCCGGCAGTCGGAGTTCGAATGCTCCGCTCCGACAATCAATCCTCAATCCAATCATCCGTCCGTCAATGCGCCAGTCTAGCCCAGTCACATTGCCCACCAAACAACTGTACATGCCGCGCGCCTCGTCATCCCCGTAACATACACTTCACAGCGCATCGCCACGGCGGATTGTCTTGTAAAACAACCTGAACCATAGATCTATGACCCGGCTCAATCAATATCTTCCGGAAGACGCTTTCCAGAAACACTCAATATCTCAACTCAAAAACGTCATTTGCCAAGGGGGGGTAGTCGCACGGAAAGCGAGGAAGAACAAGAGGTCAATGAAAAAAAAAAGGTGCAAGTGAGGGAAAGAATGTTCTCAATGGGGAATAAAGTAGAAGTGGGATCAACACCTGCATAGCGGCCGTGAACTTCGTAAAGCCCCTTAAAATTGTCATTCGGGGATAATGGGTAAAAGGGTATTGAAAGAATAGAATAAGAAAAAGTTATCAGATGCCTAAAAGGTCTCGCCCAGATCACCAACATTGGACTTCGGTTGAGAGTTGGTGCTGGTCCGGAAGCTTCGCGGTGGTGCCGGAATCCCGCTAGGCGTGCGTTTCTTCACCGTCTTCACCGGGTTGGTGGGTGTGGACGGGTTGATAGGTGTGGAAAACGAAGAGGAAAACGAAGAGGAAAACGAAGGGGAAAACGAAGGGAAGCGCATCTCACGAGCCTCGCTGATTTTCGCTCGCACGGACATTTTGAACGCCAAATCCTCATCTTCATCAATGTTGGACATCCCATTTACCTGGCCATTTTGTACCGAAGGGTTGCTGAGTGAGGACCTTGGGCGCCGACTTTCAGTGGTGGGATTGGTCGAAAAATGTCCCAAAGGCGTCTTGGTCCGACTCTGTCGGCTTTCGGGACGTGCCGAGTGATTCGAAGGTGCAACGCTGGGATGGGTGCTCTGGCTGAAAGAACTCGAGTAGCTGGTACGACTGCTGGGTCGACTGTCGCCCTGGGTTCGAGTGCCAAATGATGGTCGCGTGTTATAAGATGACGCCGTGTCGCCTTCACGCACCGACGAGCTGAAACTACTGCCGCTGACCCGTTTCCGTGCCGAGTTCTGGCGCATGGTAATCGTCGAGGAGACTGGGCTGTCACCCACAATAGAACCAGATCGCGACGAGACACGAGACGGCGAATCAGAGGGTGCCGGGAGTTTGGACTTGGCGGAGTGGACTCGCTCCTCAAGCTGCTGCATCTTGCCGATCAGGCCGCGGATCTGATACAGAGATCCCGACTTGGGCAGTGTGGTTGACCGGTCATTGCTGATACTGGCGGACGAGGTGGGGTCATTGGTGCTGATACCTCCGGGCTGGAACGCGCTCGCAAAGGGCAGGGTCGTTGCATTGGGACGAGTGTTATTGGCAGTGAAGGTGGAACCGCGAGTCTTCTTCGGGGTCTTCTTCGAATCATACATCGACCGAGAACCCAGCTGCGCGCCACCACCTGCCTTCTTGAACGGGAATCCGGGGGTGGCGCTGGCAGTCTTGCGCATACTGGTTGGGACAGTGACCGACGCCTCAGACATCGGTGGGGAAGGAGGAGTCGCAGCCACGGTCATAAGAGCATTCTTGATCGGTGGTGTCTGGAACATAGGACTAGACACGGTCGGAGCGCCGAGAGTGCGATCGAAGATCTCGGGTGTCTGCGGTGTGGACGGTGTGCGGTAGATCAACGACGCAGGCTTTCTGCGGCGACCGCCGTTCTGTTCGTGTCGAAGCTTCTCCGAGAGAATCTCAGCTTCGACCCTTTGTTCCGACAATTCATCACGAAGACGCTGGTTCTCGATCCGTAGACTCTCACGCTCCATTTCTCCATTCTTGACCTCTTCTTCAAGTAAGACGCTGCGCTCGATCGCCATGTTGTACTTCTGCTCCAGATCCTCCAGGGATGACGTGGTGTGGCGGGCCTGGCGTTCGTAGTCATCATTCGCTACTTCGATGTCGCGCAATTTCAGTTGCAGGGTGCGGTTGCCATCGCGCAACTTGGTAATCTCTTTCTGCAGCGTGTTCTGAGCCGCGCTGGCCTCCGACTTAGCCTGCTTGTATCTGGACTGCAAGGGGTGGGAGGTCAGTGCCAATGCTCATCATCATCAAGCTCGCCCACGAGGACGTGCTAGAAAGGTAAAATAAAATAAGGGAAGCAGTAAAACTCTAAACTTGCTCACCTTCCAGTCGTCGATCTCGTATCTCAAGTTTTCCAGCCGCTCCTTCAGCTGCCGTTCGCGTTTCTCCGACGCCTCGATGTCCTTTTCCAGCTCGGCCTCCAGTTCGCGGCTGGAAGCCTGGAACTCGGACAGCTCGGCCTCCAGCTGCTCATATTGCGCTTTGTAGTATGTGAGCTGGTCCGACCTCGAGCTAGAACCGCTAGGCCGTGTGGCCGAAGAATCGTTCACGGATGGCATGGTTCCCGCACCAGCAGCTGAGGCCGGCGTAGGAGACGCACGTTCCAGGAGACCACGTCAAAAAGAGACCCAGTGCTGCAGGGGAGGGGGGGTGGGAAATCACTCAATGAGGAGACGTCGAGTGAAGAGAATAAGATGGAAATGAAAAGCGAGAGTCGAGGACATGCAACGGGAGGGCGAAGGGACCACCGTGCGTGAACCGGTGGTGCTGGTGGAGGGGCCGGGCGGTGTCGCAGACAGTCGGGGGAAGACTGCGACGGTGTGGGAGGCGAACGGAGGAAGGAAGGGTCAAAAGGAGACGGGGCCAGAAGCGAGCTGAGAGTGTTGAGACTCTGAGACCGGTGCTGGTCTCAGTGAATTGACTTACCTTGGGTGATTTCCCTCACAGAGGGAAGAATGGGAAGGGGGAGAGGGAGAATGGAAGAAAGCGGGGAAATGAAGAAGAAGGAGAAGGAGAAGGATGTTTTCAGGGCAGAGATAGTTGGGTTGATGGATGGGTGATGCTATCCACAGCCGGGACGGGCGCCAGATTGCTGATTCCGTCCACGGGACAACAACAACCAGTATCGGTAGTGACGGGTAACTTTACGGGGCGGTGTCGCAACTAAGCCGGGTCCGGACTAGTCCTGGTGACGTCGTGGCCTGAGGTGAGTATATCCTTGTTGTTGTTTTCGTCTACTAGTACTGTTTATGATTTATTATGATTTAATCTATCTGCCTGAGACATGCACAAGCGATCATCCATAATCAAAATCACAGGCTGATATTGGTATTGGATATGTCCGAACAATAACAATGCTATCGCTTTTCTATAAAGATACGTGACAATGCCGCTTTCGAAGGAGCCGCAATCAGAAGACGTCCCCTTTTATCATGTGCAAGTCATCTGACAGAGCCATCCCCGACCACCGACACCACCACAGCTCTGTGTTCAGCAAAGAGCCACCCGGTGCTGGGGATGCTAGCAATATCTTCCACGTGGGTAGTTGTTTTTCTGCTGCCACTCAGTCACGTCGTTGATCCATGGCAGCCTGGCAGCCCGGCCCGCATCACTAGACTTTCCGTGCTCGGGCGCCGGCACCAGGAAAACCCGTCTCGATTCGGCTGTCGTGCCCACTGGACATAGCAGCCACAACCAGATGGGGCACCGGATTTGGTGCCTGGTTGATATGTCGCACGGCTATGCGGGCACTAGGCGTCTTGCCGCCTTTCCGATATGTAGCCAGATAGAACAACACAAACAAAACCAAGTACGAGCTGATCACGATGTCTCCGGTGACCGTGGCCAACAGCGATCCGACACAGAAGCCGTATTGAGGGAAATACACGAAGAAGGAGCCGTAGGAGATGAAGCCTGAAGAAGCGCGCTGATCAGTACAATTGTCCTACCCGAATTACGCGGAGGGGCACGAACTCAGTGCAATCACGAACTGGAGGATTTGCCCCCGAGTCACCCATGCCTTCCACCAAATGCGGATACCTCGCGCGGTTTGGAAGTAGTACCAGTACATGACAACATGAACAGCCAGGTTCAGGGTGATTACAACCCAGGATATAGCGGTAGTCCCAATCAATTGAGTGTAGCACAGGAAGACGGTTGCGCCGTGGTGGTAGCAATGAAGGAATGCTGATTTAGTCAGACCAGAGAGGGATGCCCATCTATCGTGGATGGCCGAACTCACTAAGAGGTTTCTTCCTTAGGAACAAGAAGGCTGTGTCCAAGAGCTCGACATACTTGATCAGGTAATTCATCTGTCGGGTCGCGTTAGTACGCCGGTAAGCCGCCACAATGGAACAGCATACATAATATAGTAGAGCCATGGGCTGAGTCCAGCCGCCCTCGCGATTGCAGATCGCAAAGCGCAACCCATTTTTCGCAATCGTCGGTACGAGCTGTTCCAGGAAAAGTCCCAACAGAATGGCACTGATGGTGCTGAGGACGAGATTGTGCAGGAGAAAAAGCGTCTTCAGCCGCAATGGCTCTCTTTCTCTCATCAGCCTCCGTCCTCCCAAGACCACTGTGTAATATAAGACGAGAACTGTTGAGGTTTCCTTCAGCCCAGACAGAGGTGTCTTTCCCTCGACGAACTGGAAATTGCTGGCTGGATACCCAACGACCGCCTCGAATGCATCGTTGAACAGCGGCCACAGACTGATGCCAAAGGGCTGCTCGAGTGAAGGAATAGGAAATGTTTGAAGGGAGGTTGGGGAATTCATCCCTACTGCTATTGAAGCTTCGCTTTAGCTGTGCATGGGGGGAGGGGCATGAAAGTAATGGTGATCGGACGGGCCGGAGATCAACAGCTGGCGTCTCTATGAGAAAATTAAATCAACGACTTAGTAAGTTATAATTGAGACATGGATACTGGCTCGAGAGTTGTGCAACAAGCAAATAATCCGATAGGGCGTGTTGATGTTGACATTCGAGGTTCATGTGACTTTGACGCCTTCCTAAATGAGGACCTTCTTCTGTTGTCGGTGTCGAAACTCGAGCTCCAGAAAACCTTAGTGGTGGGCAGTCTCGTCCTGTACTCTGGACAATGTTCGTCTGTGCTTTCTTTTGACTCCGAGGTGGTTCCATCAAAGCGGTGCTCAGTATCAGAGACGACCTTCTGTTTCCCTGCAGTCTCCATTTCACCGACCACGACCAGCGCCTATACGACAGTAAGTTGGACTTGTGACCAAAATGAAGATGATCATAGGTTGACCTCTAGTTAACCTCAGAGACAGGACGTCGAAGCAGCGGGTGTAATGGCTAAGATTATCTGAGCTTCTCAGGAAAGGCAGTCTACATACCTTCGTCGTACTATTCCAGCACTTTCTATTCCTATTTCCATTAATCACCCTCCTATTCAGCACTTATTACCTCTGCCAAGCAACCATTTATTCTTCTGGTTCACTCCCTTGAGCTTGAAATGCCGAAGACCTCTGTGTCTGAGCTAGTTGACTGATGGAGTCGGGCAATGGAAGGTTTGGTTTCACCTATCCTCTCTATCAACAATCAAAGAGCTAATCAGCTCCCGTAGAGGTCAACTGGGAGTTCGTGTTAGAAGAAGGGCATGATCCCGTGCTTGATGTTTCAGATACTATTGAGCTACTGGAAGTGGTACGTCCGCTAGAGCCAGTAAATCCCTTCATCGTGTCGCCCGCGGCACCGAACTGGCACACTGGATAGATTGACGAAGGTAGTCGAAACAATGGTACACGTGCCAGAGGTCATCTTCGTTTAGCGTGTGATTAGGACCCACGCGATTGGAAAGCAAGACATCGTAATGATGCATAATCATGTACTAGGCTTAACAGTTGATGCTGGGCTCACTTGAACCCCCCCGGAGATTTGTACACTTACCAGGCAATGCAATTAGTTGAAGACCGCTGGAGTAAACACTTGCTTGTCGCCAATTGCAATGGGCTCTGGAAGGTCATATCGCCCAGGCTTTTCAATCGCCACAAAGCCATTACCTTCTAGAGATAGTTGGTGGATGTATTGCGCAGTACAGATGCTTTCGTGTGCGTCAGATGAAGTGGACCTACTTGGCAATAGTGATAGCCACCGCTCACCCACTTCCAAATCGACCGATTAGACTGGTGATGGGAGACAAACTCTTGGCGCGGCCAGAACACGATCTCTTTCGTTGCAACTGTGCATGGAACCTCTGGGTCAGAAAATAGCCTTCCTTTTGGTTATGCTATCTGTTCTGACTCACATTCCGGGACGAGGCTGTTGATCTCTCTTAGAGGGAACTCAGATCTTCTCCGAGATAGACGATAGATCACAATGATATTGATGAGAAGCGATAGTGAAACAATAATCCAAGGGAGCCCTGAGTTGCGGAAAAAAGAGTGTTTCGGTAATAGCTGTTGCCTGTGCTGGCGGGAAGTATCCAAGTCATTCTTCGTTTCAATCCTGGTGTAGCGCACTGTCATTGTGTTGTTTGAGCAATGTTTGACTCTCATTTGAGTTTCCGTTCTAAGGGCTATTTGAGGTCTTAAGGAAGAAAGCCCTCTTTCTTAGATCTTTTTTCTGAACTACTCCATGTTGAAGCTAATGTGAATGGATCTCGGCTCGACCTGCCGGAAGTTGTTTGACGCTTAACTCATCTCGTGCTATAGGACTATAGCAAAACTAGCTAGCCGATAAAGACAGCTTTAACACAAACGCGCGGGGAAAGCCAAGGCTGATCTTTGCCACTGGCCTTCTCTTTTTCTCTGTTCCACCTGAAGTGCGAGAGAATAGCCACCCCCCGTTGCGATGTGTCCTTCACAAAAAAGACCTCGTAGTGATTCAACATGTGCAAAACAAAATCATCTTTTATTGTTACCTGCAGAGATCCGCCTTCTGATTTACAAAGCAGTATTCGACCATCATGCCTGCCCTATCCAACGAAAGCCGATTGCTGTTCAGTGTAAGATCTCGGAGTGCTCCTTACTGATACAGCCAGACCCCATGCGGCATCCCTTATACTTACAAGCCTGCAACCACCCAGAATGCGCGACAACACAGCAAAAGGTCCTCCAATCTGATCAGTACATCGGTCTCGCACCTCGGATCGCATCCCAAGACTACCCTTGTCCGCAAGACCTTGAATGCAATTCTATGAACCTTTCTTTCCTTCTCACCTGCCGTCTCATCTACTATGAAGCCCGCCGTTTACCCTATGCCCGCACTGTATTCTTTACCCAGGAGGTTGGAAGTTTCTCAAACTTCCCTTTTTGTCTATGGCATTGGCAAGTTCAATCACTACGTTATCTTAAAATCCGTGTCCCACCAGAGCAAGGAATGGACACACACCTCGCTGAGTGGAATGAGACCTTCTCGTTGATTAGTCTCGGTTTCCCCAATCTAGCTGCCATTTCTATCCAGATTCATCTCCGATTCCCGATGCAGACGGTACGGGATACATTCTGGGACGGAGGGCTACTTGAGCTCTGCAACTTGAGATGTGTTCAGGGCATGAGGCTCTCTGTTTTCAAGTTTGACTCCACGTGGCCACCAACTGAAGACCCCGACATCTTCTTCGCATACTCTGCTGGCTCATTACCCTCTTTTATGGAAGAGACTAGCGGCAGAGAAAGACGACTTCCAGTCCGCCTATCATCGTTATTGCCACCTGATGAACACATCTGCTTCCGCCGTGCGCGCGACAGACTCAGAGATCAGGTTCGACAAGACGCCTCCATCAGTGAAGAGTGGGCATCACATGACTCTTACCACTCTGGCCAGCTCTTCTTCCGCTTCTCTCCCAATGCCTTCCCGCTCTATGTCCGCCACCTGATCCACGCCCTTCCCCGCCGGTGGCCGCATCGAACACACGCGGATATCCGGCGCGAGGACCGCTTGCATACAAATAAAACAGAGTATGCGTACGTCTATCGCGAGGACCCGTCGTGCCCGGAGCTCCCTCGGCAGCCAATTTTCGGTTTTCAATTCAATCCGAATACGACACTGAAACATAATGACGAATACATTGCACGAGGACTGGCCGCATTGCGGCTGTCGCGCGAGCGACTATCCCGCAAGCAGCTTCTGCGTTCTTCTCCTCCTTCCTCTTCTTCTTCCGGTTTATCTAATTCTTGTTCTACGGGTCGGCAACGAGACGAGAATGATACTCGACCATCATTACCATTGCCTGGAAACCAGGGGCAAGGCGAGCCTCGCTATCCAAGATATGACGTTTTGTCATCAGCTCGTCAACGCCGGGCGAGTCCAGTTGTCCCAGAGGTTCCGCATAGTCGTAGAGAAGTGACCCCAGCAGAGAATGAAAAACCGGGCGATTGGAGACGGCGACTCACGGAGGAGGCGTTTGCGCCATTTATTGAATCGCTTCATATGGCACTCTCATAAGGGGTGAAGATTGTCAGCGGGCCATCATTGCTGATCAGATATCAAGGCAATGACTTCATTTCGCCTGGGAATGATGATCAGATGCCGAATTTTGTGCTGGAGCCATGGACGCGCTTCTCAGAGCTCGTGATTTCTTTATTTCCTTGGGTAAACTAACATCTGAATCTATCCACACTCGCTTGAGGGCATTGCGCAAGGGTGAGGCAGGTTGGTCTTATACATCCATCGTACACGCAAACAGTCTTAACCCCGAGCTATGACAACAATATTACCTGCACAGCCATGAGAAACTTTATATATATCGTAGCCAGATATTACTGTACGCGATTTGAGGCCTCAGGGGTGGGCTATCTGGAACGTGTTCTTAAATTCTTGGTGGTTCTGAAGGTTTTAACTAAGTTCTCAAGGCGGGCAACGCGCTTCGTGAATCGCCTCGGATCACGGGTGGGCTGGATTACTTAGGAACGCCGACAATCACCATCCTTTCTCCTATGAAGATGAAATTTATGTAGAGAAATCTTTCAGCAATATGATGAAGTTCTGTAGCTAGGCTTTGTCAGAATTAACCCGTGAGTACCCGGGTAGGATCAGACCCGGGCCCTTTCTTTGGCAGATAATGACTGAGCCTGGTGGTTGAGTATGGGTATACTCCTCGACCCCATTGGCTTTTGAAGTGGGTAACTCATGGGTCAAACCCAGGCTGATACAGGAAAAGATTAGAGCAAATCTCGTGATTTGCATACTGTTGCTGCTCCATCTGCGCAGGTCGTTGTGCAGGATCAGTTCTCTTCTTCTTCGGCTGTCCCTGCTGCTTCGTCGGTAAGATGGCCATCTTTCGCTTGTTCTTCCCCGAGATTTCCGAGATATAACAACCACGGGTAATGATTTTGCTAGCTGCTGGCTGCTGTATTGCCCGGATTTAAGGCCCTGGATACACGACCCGCGTGTGTGTGTACTAGCGCCTCACTTGAATCTGCACAAACGCCATCGTCATGGACACCATCATCATCCGTAGGGGAACCTGCTGACGCGGGGTAAGGGAGACGTCGAAGAATAAGAGGGAAGTAGACCACGAAAGCAAGAAAAGTATAGCAAGATGATTCATAATCCCAGGCAAGAATTCGAGTAAGAACTATCAGAGCCCTTACGGAGAGATTTTACCCCAATACCCCCCCTAAGGTGGGAGGTCTGGTGCATCAGGTCCAAGAGGTTAAAGTTCGTTTTAGGGACTGATAGTGCAAATAGTCTTGTGAGATGCTATGCAGCTATGCCGTCTGTATTCCACAATCTAGCTGGTTTCTGCGCCCTGTTTCAATAGTGAGACTTGGTTGTCTTGTAGTAGTTTACTTGATCAGTGGTCTAGGTTTGAGCATGGTGTATTATGTGCTATGGACCAACCCTGGACATCCTATACTAAAAGAATCGAGATCAGCAAGTATAGACTCGGTTTTACATAGCTTTCAAATAGGTATAGTTATTAGATGAAAATCCCAGTGAGAACTTGGAATAATAGTTGAAATTCTCTTGGAATTTCATCTTCAGAGTAATCTCAAATCAATTAAAGAGCGTTTTAATGTATAGTTTGATACTTGCCCTAAACTCTAGGTCACTCAATAAGCTAAAATCAGTGCCAAGTCACCGCTAAAGCAGAAAGAAGAAATAACTTGATTTCCACGGGATTTCAGTTCGGTAGGAACAGTGGTTATAGTAGTAGTTGATGTTTGTTGTGGTGATAAGTCAGCGGAGAGTAGTCATGTGATGTGGCCGTGGAGAGACACACCCGTGACACCTGACACACACACACACACACCACACACACACCCACACACCTCTCTTCACTCTTCCCGCCGAGTGTCTTTTCATGGAGCCAGCCGTGCTCCTAATAAGGCTACTGATACCTCCGAAACAGAAAGCCTAAATCTATCACCCATCCAAAAGGAAAACTGGTTTTCGGGACAAGGGATAGTTCCCCCCACGTGTGACCCCAGATTCCAGTACGTACCCGCCCTCTTTTGCCTTGTTGTGTTGGAACTTGGAAGATCCCACCGGAACATGACCTCCTGATAAGACACCACTGGTTACACTATATCCACGCACAAAACCCCTCGGGTGCTCATCGTCGTGGGGACATTGCTTCCACGCACTCGCTTCGGTCGAGGAAGCGGATAGATCAATGCGCCTACGGTCTTTTGGTCTTTTTGTTTCATGTACCCCGGCGTATCTTCATTCCTCGTATGACGACATCCGATTGCATGGGGGTGATACTAATGGGCAATGCTAGACCACCACCACCGCGCCTGTCACCATGGCAGATCCCACGGATCTGAACTTGGACGCGCCGAGCGATCTCCAAGACATCCCAGAGATGTCGATGCAATTGCTCCCTCCCCCCGAAGGGACATATCCCGACAAGTAAGTAAGCCTCGTCTCTCTGTGCCCTCCGCAGCGAGCGGAATCGCTCACGTGTGGTGCAACTTCCACTCCACCAGAGCGACCTTACTGGCAGCCGTGTCGGCGCACGGCAAAGCGCATGGGTACAATATCGTAGTCAAGTCGTCGAGTACGCCCACGGACAAGAAACCCGGGCGAACCGCCAAGGTCTGGCTCCGGTGTGATCGCGGCGGCCACTACCGTCCGCGGAATGGTCTCACGGAGGAGACCAGGAAGCGGCGGCGAACGTCGCGGCTGATGGACTGCCCGTTCATGCTAGTTGCAGCTGGAACTCCTGGCATCTGGACGCTGACGGTCCTGAACCCCACGCACAACCACGGCCCGATTGTCGAGAAACCCCGACAGGTGCCTCATCATAAGGTGCGCAAGGGTCAGATTGCGGCCGTACCGTACGATTGGCCGCACGATGCCACCTTGACCCCCTATACCACGGCGTTAGTAATCATCGACATGCAGAAGGACTGTGTGTAATTTCCCTCTGCCTGTGTGGGTCTTTTGGAGTGGACGATCGAGGACTAATCTCTTCCCCGCGCAGTCTGTTCCCCGGGTGGATACATGGAGTACCAGGGCTATGACATCTCCGCTAATCAGGCGCTAATCCCGAGACTCCAACATCTCTTGAACGCCTTCCGTGCGGCCGGGTTCCCCATCTACCACACCCGCGAAGGTACTGACCCCCATCCCTGCACTATAACCCTGGTCACTGACTTTCCAATCAGGCCATCGCCCCGACTTGTCGACTCTGTCAAGCCGCGAGACCTACCGATCCCGGAATAATGCCTCCGGGCTGGGGATCGGGTCGCCTGGCCCGCTGGGCCGGCTGCTGATCCGCGGCGAGGTCGGCCATGACACGGTGGACGAGCTGTATCCCATCCCTGGGGAACCTGTGATCGACAAGCCCGGGAAGGGGGCATTCGCGCATACGGATTTCGAGCTCATTCTGCGCAACCGCGGGATCAAGAACCTGGTGATCGCCGGCGTGACGACAGACGTGTGCGTGGCCACGACCATGCGTGAGGCCAACGACCGGGGGTTCGACTGCGTGGTCCTCGAGGACGGCACGGCGGCCAGCGAGCCGTCGCTGCACGTGAGCACGATCGAGTCGGTCAAGATGGAGGGAGGCATCTTTGGGGCGGTGACCAAGCTGGAGGATGTCGTGCATGCCGTGGAGAATTTCAAGGCCGTGACTGTGAAGAAGCTGGCTCCGCAGATGGCAGTCTAGCCGGTGCATTGATTTTGGTTTGCTATTGCTTCTGGGTTTCTTGATGTGATTCACAGCCCGAGGTATGCACTTGCTGGGGCGGAATAGAGGCGTTCGATCGGGCATCTCTGGGATTATTGATTGATTGTTGCTAGCAATAACGACGAATACGACCACGATTTATGATGCGCATCAACAGCACGTAGCGCTACTGTAGAATAGAGAAAGATATACTGGCAAGCAAAGCAGCCCTGGTATCATCAACATGAAACAAACAAACAATAGAAAATCAGCAAACCCCAACGCCAGCACCCATTACAACCACTCAACTCCTCCTCACTACCCCTAATAAATAACCCCTCTTAACCCTCTATACTAGAGAAGGGGGGTCCGGGGGTTCTCTTCAGCTCCCTGGTCTACCTCAATCCTAATACCAGAAGGAGTGTCTATCCGGGGGAGAACCCCCGGACCCCCCTTCTCTTCAGCTCCCTGGCCCACCTCAATCTAACACCAGAGTAAGAGTGTATCCGGGGGAGAACCCCCGGACCCCCCTTTCTTTCAACTTCCTGGCCCACCACAATCTAATACCACAGAGAGAGAAGGATTAAAGCCATTTGCGCCCAGCAGCCGTGACCCTGGACCGAAAGACAGAGCTACGAATCTCCATCCCCTGCCGATAAAACGGACTCATAACCGTCTTCACATAATTCTCATACACCTCGCCCATAAACTGGCGCACCGCCTCCTCAGTCTGCGGACTGGTGGGGTTCGCCGCAACCGACGAGGCCGACGCGCGCGACGACCCGCCGCCGAGCGCGGAAGCCGAGAACGAGCCGCCCAGGATCGACCCCGAGGTCCCCGAGGCAGAGGCAGCGGTGCTGGGCAGTTGCGGCGGTTGGTGCAGGAGCAGGAAGCGCGCGCCCGAGGGCGTCAGGAAGGCGGAGATGTATGCTGAGGCGGGCGGATAGGTGTCGATGTGTTTGAGGTACCTTTTGGCGGCCCCCCCCACCTCCGGGGTGTTTGTTAGCATCTGGGGGTTCAACTGGGCGAGGAAACAAGGGGAAAGGTACATATTCCCGTTCATCCACTGCGCTTCCTCGACCATGTCCAGACTCGAGTGGATGATGAATTGGTTCATGTACTGCGCTGTATCTGGGAAGCGGAAGCGGGCGATGCCGTCGCCGCCGGATTTGGAGGTGCCGAAGGCGATGTTGAACAACGGGACGTCCGTGGGCGAGAGGATGGTGAAGTAGTAGGACATTTTGACGGTCCCTTGGTCCCTTTCCAATGCAATCGATTGTTGGTGTTGTCGGAGAAGAGAGTACAGCTCCGCCGGTACGGTCTCCGTGGGGGAGGGAGGGAGGGATGGATCACGTGGTGATAAGCTTTCGTAGGACACCACGTGACCGGCATCATCATCTATCAATCATCCATCGCAATCCGCAACATTTACAACCCTCGATACTTCACTTCTTACACAAGAAACAAACACAAAATGGCCCCCTTCGGCATCAACCTCTCCAACAAATCTAGAGCCCCAGGCGGCAGCAGCGGCGCTGCAAGCAGCAACAAGCGCAAAAAACCAATCTTCTCGACCTCAGACTCAGAAGACGACACCACGAACCCCAACACAACAAACAGCGCACCCTCAAAAGCCATAGAGATCACGACCCTAGGCGGACTAGACGATACTCCCGCAAACGAAGAAGAAAGCAATAACCTGCGACCCACAAAACGCCGCCTCGCACCGCCGGGAACAAACCCCGCGCAAGCCCCAGGCAACAACAAATCGATAAAACCGCTCTCGAAAACCTCCATCTTCGCCAACGACTCCGACTCCGAAACCGAACAAAACCAACCGGCCCCCAAAACCTACGGCCTCAACACAACCAAAACCACCTCGAAACCCAAACCCACGGAAACAGAATACACAAACCTCTCCACCCAACACAGCAGCCGAAAACACCAAACCGCAGCCGAAACCGTCGACCCCTCGATCTACTCCTACGACAGCATCTACGACACGCTCCACAGCAAACCGGCACAAAAATCCACAGCGGAGAATCATCACGATGCTGCAGCCCCCGAAGTCCCAAAATACATGACCGCGCTGCTCCGGAGCGCGGAGATCCGGAAACGGGATCAGCTGCGCGCGCGGGATCGGCAATTGGCCAAGGAGCGCGAGGCGGAGGGGGATGATTTTGCAGACAAGGAAAAGTTCGTGACGGCGGCGTATAAGGCGCAGCAGGCGGAGTTGAGGCGGATTGAAGAGGAGGAGGCGGCGCGGGAGGCAAGGGAGGAGGAAGACAGACGCAAGAATGGCGGGAAGGGAATGGTGGGTTTTTACCGTGAGATGTTGGCACGCGGTGAGGAGAGGCATGCTGCTGTTGTGAGGGCGGCGGAGGAGGCTGCGGCTGCGGCTGTTACGTTGGGTGGGCAGGGTGAGGGTGAGGGTGCTCCTGGGACAGAAAAGGCAGAAGGAGGAGAGGAAGAAGAAAAGTCAGAGGCGCAGGTCGCGGCTGAGCTCAATGCGCGCGGTGCGCATGTTGCTGTAAATGATGATGGGCAGGTCGTCGATAAGCGGCAGCTCCTGTCCGCTGGGTTGAATGTCGCGCCTAAGCCGAAGAGTACCGCGCAAAGTGGTGTGGCCACCTCGTCGAGAGCGGCGCCCTCGAGGTTCGGCGCGAATAGGGCAGGCCCCGACCGCGGGGGCCAGCGCGCGAGACAGACGGAGATGATCGCCTCGCAGCTGGAGGAGCGGGCGCGGCAGGAAGAGGAGGCCGAGGCGGCGCGGCAGAAGGAGATCGCCGAACGCAGTCGCAGCCTCAAAAGCCAGGGCGATGTCTCGAGTGCGCGCGAGAGATACCTGGCCAGAAAGAGGGAACGCGAAGCCGCGGCTGCCCAAGGGAAAGCCTCCTAATCGATTTATCTACTGGATCTATAGTGTGTGGCCTTTTGTTGACCTGTACAATATAATGATAGGGAACCCATTCGATGCTCGTATCTCGTATAGCAACTTATACTATATACTGTACGTCTCATCTACTAATCAGACACAATCATGAGCAATCAATCATGACAATCATCACGCCATTCACAATCATCAAAAACGCAAAAGCCAAACTCCGCTGAATGCTATCTCTGAGGGAACTCTGTCTAGTATATAAAGAGCAAGAAGAATGCAAGCCGCTTTTCGACCATCAGCCTAAGAATCAACGCCAATCAGACCGTGGCGGAATCGATACGGCGAGGAATAAGAATGTTAAAATGCAAGCCGCGTTTCCGCATCCGGTCATCCCTTGAATGAACGCCCACCCACCACTGAGAGACAGGTCAAGCCGTCAGCGCAAAGCTCAGACCCATCAGGACCATGCCCCCAATAGCGAACCCAGTGCACATCCCGCGGTGATGCGTCAAGGTCAACCCCTCGCTGAAGAGCTGCAGAGCCACCGAAGTCATCACTCCGGCGGTGGCGGCGAACATGCCCCCGTAGACACCCCACGACAGACCGGCAGCATCGTCGCCGTTGGCCCGGCGGGTGGCCCAGATCCAGAGGGCGGCGAGTCCCGCGCCAGCCGGCTGGCTGATGCCGCCCAGCAGACTGGACCAGAACATGGCCCAGCCGCGCGAGTGCAGAGCGAGATAGAGGGGCAAAGCCATGGCGAAGCCCTCGCTGATGTTGTGGATGAAGAGCGCCAGGAAGACGGTTAATCCTAGGGTCGGGCTTGCGTGGTTGGTCGCGTATGTGATGAACCCCTCGGGCAGCTTGTGCAGGGCGATGGCGACGGACGTCTGCAGGCCGATCGACAAGAACGCGTTCTGGGGCACATGGTGGTGATGTTGTTGCGTAGCTGTCGTCGATACGGAAGGCTTGCGAGGGACGTCGTCTTCCGCCGGTTGGCACGGCTCGTCCAGCAGGCTGGTGCGCGACGAGGAGGAACTGGCCTCATGGTGGTGATGCCGGTGGTGCGGTAGACCCGACTCGAGATCGTTAGGCTGAGCGGAATCGACGACGTGGACGGTGATACTGCGCGGTTGGTGGAGCTGTGGCCGCACCAGCTCGTCGGTTTCGCCTACATCCGACACCTCTGGAGTCGACAGGAGGGTCTTGGTGCATTCGTGCCCGCACGCCTGCGAAAACCCGAAACAAGGCCCGTTCTCATCGCATTGAGCTTTGACACCCACGATCCGACTGAAGCGCCGCGTCAGGCGATCCCGCAACGATTCCCGCCGCTGAAGGGCTGGTTGGGTGGGAAAGTTCGCGCCGGGGAGGGTCATCGTTGCCGGGGAGGATTTGAACGAGCGGGACAGAAGGGGCGTGCGCTCATTCCAGGTGTGTGAGCCATCAGGATGTTCATGATGATGTTCGTCGTGTTCATGGTGGTGGTCGAGTTTCGAATGCGGTTCGTGGGTATGGGCGCAATCGACGACGTGGGAGGGGATGTACCGGTGCAAGAGTGCAGAGGCAAACCGAATGACGACGACACCGATGAGGAAGAGCCCGATGAGCACATATGCCGCACTAGAAGGGGACCAGCCGGCGCGGATGAGGTAGTTATGCGATGTAGGAAGCATGCTATAGAGAGAAGTGAAAAGCTGGGACCATTAGTCAATGCGTGCAGCGAAAAGGGGTTCAGGGCGGCAATACCATAACACCTGCACTCAGGCAGAGCGAAGCTGACAGGAATGCATTGTTGTGGACTATCTGGAAGTCCTTCCGACGCGATACATATCGCAGCAGGATGTCGACACAGATGACAGCCGACCCCAGGACGCAGGCTAAAGGTGATCAATCAATCCTGATTAGCTTGGGAGGAAAATTTCGGGATGGATTTGGTGGTCAAACCTACCCGCGCCAGAAACGGCACTCATGACCCAGCCCCGGAGGTCATTGCTGGCAGCCATGATGCGGGGTGGGAGAAAGGGGGAGGGAGATCGACAAAGAGATGGAGACGAAGTGGAGGAGGAAGTGAGGAGAAATTATGAAAGAGAAGGATAGATTTTGGGGGAGGGGGCGATTGGGGGATGCGGAGGGCGGAATGAAAAGGCTAAATAACGAATGATATCATGTCACGCGGTGGGCGATTAGATAAGAGATGGGGACCTTGGAAGCCCTACTTTCTCCTACGGTCCTCTCTATCCCAAATGAACAGACAAGCAGACAAAACAACTATGCAGCATGCAATCAATCTATTCTTGAGTTTGCCTCCAGACGTGATCCAATAGAAGAAAAATGTGTCCACCATGTTGACCACAATGGACACCGCCAAAAGCCCTAGATCCCTCCATCCCATCTATCTCCTACGTCTAGACATTCCCAATCCCCGCAAGATTGCACTGGTCTGTGTCACCGGGCAGAAGATACATTCACCGCTAGTCGAATCCGGATTTAGAACTAGGCCACCCCCTGTGCTGACAATGTAGTCCTCCAAGTAAGCACCACACGTCCTGGCGGAGTTCTTGTTGTACCCCTGCTGCTGTTGCTGCGGCAAGATGATCCGTAGCAGATCGAGCGGTAGGTGGCCAGCTGTAACTGATCCAGGCCTGAGGGTGTAAATTGATGGTCGTCCTGCCACTGGGTACAGTGGTTTTTGTCTTTGCGTGCAGCAGCCTAACACTTAACTGTTTGACCCTCCGGGCTGGTTTTCCAGACATCCGCCCAATAATTATTCACTGACGGAGACTCTGGAGAGATATTGGTAGTTTCGAGGAGCCATTAAGCCGGGTTCTCACCTTCTTCGGGGTTGCGGGGCCCCGGCTTGCGTAAAACAACTGTTGCTGAAGAGCTGCCCATCAGATCCCCGAAATACAGCTATGGATGGCTTATCACAAGCCAACGCTGGAACCCAGAGCTTGCATTTTATTAATCTCGGGTGAAAAGAGCCTGGAAGGCTGCATTACGGCTCAGTAGGCGAAGGTAAGCTGACTGAAATTCAGGTTGACGTTGCTTTGAATCACCCCACCCATTCCTACCCTGGTTTTCCCCAGCTCGTTGTGTTCTATCGTCGAGTGACACGGCAAGGCATTCCATCGGCGGAATGCGCTCCCATTCTGTGTACTGATCCTGGAAGTCAAACTCGCGGAGTGCAAGGACCAGGGTGACCTTGTGTCAAGCAGGGCCAGCGGCTGGCCGATAAAGGGGATCTCCCTGGCGCGACAAGCCAACGCTCAGGGATAAAAGCGTGAGGGCCAGATAAGAACGCCGAATGAACCGGAAGACAGGTACTTGTCGAAAGTCAGAGCTAGATTCTTCTAACCAAAATATTGCAACGTCTGTCTAAAAACTTCATCTGCCTTGGTGAGAGATACCCCTTCTCAAAGACACCATGGACTATAGTTCATCCTGATTTCTAGCTAAAATAGGAGAGAATGACAGGTGACTCCCCTAGATCCGTATCCTGCCAAGTCCACTGCTTTACGAACATCAAGGGCGATGACCGTTCACTCAGAGCTATCAAGAGGACACTTAATGAATCGAGTCGCATAGCAGTTATCTTCGAAAATAAAAAGGTTGGTCCTAGGTAGGACTTCAGTGAAGAGGAAGGAAACCTGGGTTTTTGAACCCACGGCAAGCTATATACTGCCAAGGCTTAAAGCAAAGTCACTTCGATCATGTTCCCTCCTCGAGAAATCATTCAGTAAAAAATCGTGTAGATACCAAGCTACGGGCTAAAAATTCGCTGACCCTGCTGAAGAACGTCTCAAGCCCGACACATACCTATGTACCCCCCTGCAACCTCACCTATCTCTACCCGTTTTCTCAAGGAAAGAAGATTCGGTGTCAATCTTTCCTTTCTTCTAATTCGAGTTTACAAACCCTCATCATCCCTAATTATGGTAGTGTGAGCGAGTTTTTTTCTTTTGTATGTCCAGCCCAAAGAAGTATCGAATATTGCACGGAAAAGATGGAAAACCAAAAAAAAAAAAAAAAAAAAACCTTCAGCTTCACTCATTTTACCTGAATCACACTAACTCGGTTTTCGCCGCGTCAGCCAATACATGCCAAAGGTCCCGGCGATGTTCGCCGCGACATACACGGCGAAGAGGCCCAGATCTCTCCATCGCATGCTGACATCGACCCCCATCTCCGCCAGCACGGTGTTCATGTCCGTCACGGCGCAGAAGACGCAATCCTCGCCGGCAATAGCTGTGGCGTTGAGGTTCAGGACCTGGCCACCCGTTCGCTGGATGTACGGGGCCAAGTAGGTGCCGCACGAGGCTGTGGACAGGTTCTGTGTGGTGGGCCACGAAATCCGGAGGAGGTCGACGGAGGCGCAGCGCAAGAGGGCATTAGCGACTGCGGCACTGATCATGCCGCCCATGAGGTACGTGACGGGACTGACGCGGTACAGGAAGATCCAGAAGCGAGGTAGGGCGGCGGGCTGGACGAGGATGCCGCAAAAGAGAAGACATAGGGTAAAGAGAAGGTTGGCGATGTTGACGGCGGTAAGCACGTCGTGCAGGCCAGCAGCAATGGCCTGGGAGAGAGTGGCGGAGAAGATGAAGAAGAGCCAGAGGAGGAGGAAGATCAGACCCGCGCGGGAGGACATGCCCACGCTATTGGCGTTGTTGTCCTGCAGACCGTTTCGCCAAAATCCTGTGGGATAGTACCAGGCCACAAAGACGGGGATCGCTGCCAGAGACTGCCAGACCAACTCTACGATTAGGTTGGCCGCCACGAAGACGGGCCAGCTGTAGGTTTTGGACTGTCGCTCGCGAGCTTCAAAAGCCGCGCGGTTATCGAGGAAGCGCGGGATTATCTGTTGGTCGACCGTGTTGAAGAGGATGGTGAGGAGGAAACAGGAGAAGAGGAAGCTGGTCAGGCCTTGCACGGTGTGGTTTAGCATCCAGAAGGAAAGGCCGTTAAAGAGGCCCTGTGGCGCGGTTTATCCGATGTTAGATTGATGAAGGAATCGCAAGGTAGGGAAGGGTAGACTCACCGCACCGACACAGAGCGCCATTTTGGATCAGAGATAGATCGGCTCACGCCAATAATCCTGGAACATACGGTAGGTGACGAGCCACAGCTGCGTGAGGCCCGGGGCGGCATATTCATAGTCCTCCTGGGCTGTGTTTGGGGACGGCGATGGTACGTAGTCACCGGTCATTCGCGTCGTCTGCATCAATTTGATCTCGCGCTTGACGGTCTCAGCCTCCGGGCTAGTGTCCCAGACTTCGGCCCAGCTGCTGCCCGAAGCCGAGGCCGTCGGCGAAGAAGCCGTGACATTCAGGATCCATTCGGCCGGATTCTCGCTCTCGTCCGGCATGCGGCAGGCCCCAGACCGACTGAAATAATCGATCAAGGTCGATGCAGACGGGCCCAGGTCCCCGAAATACAAGGTCTTGCCCTCCTGTAAGAGCAGTAGGCGGTCGAACATCTGGAAGAGCTCAGCCGAAGGCTGATGGACAGTACACAGAATAGCCTGCCCCTTATCTGAGAGCTGCCGGAGTAAAGTGCAGATCGACCAGGCGGTTTGACTGTCGAGGCCCGAGGTTGGCTCATCGAGGAACAGCAGCTCAGGGCGCGCCGCCATCTCCACTGCAATCGTCAACCGCTTGCGTTGCTCAATGTTCAAGCCCTTTCCGGGGACGCCCACCACCGCCTCGGCGTACGGCTCCATCTGCAGCATCTGTAGCACTGTGTCGACATACGCCAGCTTCTCCTGCCGTGATCGATCGCGGGGTTGCCGCAGCAGCGCGCTGAACTCCAAGGCCTCCCGCACAGTCGCTGTGGGGAGGTGGATGTCGGCCTGCTGCACGTAGCCGGTCTTGCGTTGGAAGCAACGATCGCGCAGGCGTTCGTCGATCCGCACCTCGCCGTAGACCATCCCCAGCGATTTACGATTGGCGAGAACATCGAGGAGGGTGGTCTTACCGGCGCCCGTGGAGCCCATCAGAGCCGTCAGGGTTCCCTGTTTCACCCATTCATCCACGCCTTTTAGAATGCGAGTGGGTTCTTTCTTCTTATCGGTCTTTACCTCGTACCCGACGTTGCGCCAGAAGAAGACAGAAGAAAACTGCTTGTCCGCCAGTCCCTGGGCTGTTTGGCGCATCTCCCCTAAAGGCGATGATGACTCGGGACTACTGCTTTTCTCCGTGATCCGTATTGCGTCCTCGGTGCTCTCCTCATCGGCTGGAGCATGGTGACGAGTGGAGGAGAGCTTCGTTCGTCGGAAGAGAAGAATATCTCCCTTGGATCGTTCCGCTTGGATGTATTCCGCCGCCGTCAGATGCACGGCGCAGAATCCAGCCATCAACGCAAATAGAATCCCCAGGTTGCGCCAAAGGTGTTGGATGGAATAGCCATACTTCAGCCGCAGGTACCGATCACCCTCCACCCAGGACTGACCCGCCACGCTGCCGATGGCCGAACAGATCTTTCCATCCAGCGTGCTGCTCTCCGCATCATAGCCGGGTCCAACGGAACCATGGTCGAGCATGCGAACCGTCGATGCTGGAATACGTTGATCATCAGACTCTCATTGGTGTAAGCAATGGGGTTGAAGTACCGGATCCAGCTCAGCCACGGGACCTGATCCGGGGGTGGAATCACGAATCCGGCGTAGATAATGAAATTGAAGATCATGATAGAGACCGGGGCCAGCGACTGGGCGTAGGTGCGCGACAGGGACCCCACCGAGCGGAAGATCATGGACATGTCGAACTGAAAATACAGGGTCTCGGGGGCTTGGTAGATGGTGGTCATGATGGTCGAGCCCCTCGCATTAGCGACAGCCCGCAGCGTCCGCACGACCTTCATTGCAGTGGCACTGTCCAACCCGCGGATGCTGTTATCGCAACACTGGATCGGACACCCACTGAGGAAGGCCTCGGCGATACTCGTCCGTCGTCTCTCCCCCCACTAAGGCCCCCCACGAGCTCACTGCCAACCTGAGTGTGCAAGGCGCGCTCTAGCCCGTAGATAGCCGCCGTCTGGCGACTGATGACCCCCGGCGACTGCTGCTGGCCCAGTGGTCTCATCTCCGCCGCAAAGGCCAGAGTCTCCTCGAGCGTCAGCTTGGGTAAATGGATGTCATCTTCGGCTAGATAAATGGTCTCGCCCCAGTATCGCCGGTGCATTTCATCAAAGGAGGTACCTGAAGGAAGAAGAAAATGTCGTTGAGTTTAGTTCCAATTCGTGCCAGCCTCCTGAGGAGAAGGGACAAGCAGGGGTCAGGTTACCTTCATAAAGGATCCCATTCCCTTCATCATGCTGTACCACTTCCACCCCATGCACATATCCTGCCATCGTCTTCAGGAAGGTCGTGCAACCGCTTTCCGGCCGTCCCAGGACCAGGAGCATCTCCCCAGGTCGTACCAATCCATCCAAGTCTCTTAGGATTGGAACCTTTTGCCGCGGGCCGTGAAAGCCCACCAACGCCTTGAGATAGACGGGGATTAGCTGGAAATAGCTGAGGAAGGTATGCTGAATCGAATTGGCTTCCGTATATCCGTTCACGTTGACCGCGGTGAAGGAGACGCCGCGCCGGATGCGAAAAGGAGGTTGTTCCTGGCGCAGCCAATCTTCCAGAGGATCTGATAAGCGCGCCCGATCGGCCATGTTTGCCATACTCTACTACCAACAAAAGCGATCTGTGATTAAAAATGTGAGAGGAACACACGGGAGAGCGAGAGACGGAGCGAAAAGAGAGAAAAAGAGAAAAGGAGAAAAAGAGATTGGAGATAGGCTTAGCTACAGTACGAGCTACTAACAAGGGAATCGGGGCATGTTTGAAGAGGTTGGTCTCCGTCCAGTACACGGAATGAATCAGGGGGTCGACTAGTCCAGGCGAGGAACAGAAGGGTCAGCACTAAATGGCAAAGCGACAGGGAACAATTCCAGTGACAGAGGAGAGAGTTCAGCGGTTTCGCGCGGTTAGCGTGAAGTGTGTGGACGACCAGCAAACCACCCACCCACCATGGTATGTTCAGTACATGTAATTACAGCTCATAAGTGTATGGGCCTTGTAGGGGTTACGATAATTGATCGGACGGTCTGCCATTCATTTAGGATCCATGCAGCATGGGCAGTCACTAAATAAGCTAAGCCTAAGCATGCAACGCCCCCTCTTCCTAAAACCCCCGCCTCGGTCGAATCATGAAGGGGATCTTTTGCTTGGGCTGCTGGGTGCCTAAATCCAAAGGCCGAGGAGTCCATTTCCCAGGTTGAGGTCGGAGTGGACAAATCAAAGTGGGTGATGATGTAGGCCGTGGTGAACAGGATGACACGCTTGGCGTTGATACGCCCGGGACATGCGGAGGCTCCCCCTAATTATAGTGCGGGCGTTAATAATAAGCCAAGAGATTGGAACAGGCAGACGTCCCACCATAAGGGATCCACATGCCTTCCAAGCCTGCCAAGGAAAATAGAGGCCGCCGCGTCGAGGCTTTATCGATCCTGGCGGGAGGAACCTCGGTGTTGGAACTACAACTCGGAGTACTTCGCCGGTGGGGTCCGGACAGCGGATCCTGCGGGTAGCGCAAGAAGCGATCCGCCCAGAAAGTCTGCACAGGATGCGCTCCGTCACTCCCCTCATTCCAGAGCTGTTTGTTCATATGGTTGGCGTAGGAGCTGACCATCACCACCCCATTCTGATCCAGCCACCACCGGCCTACTGTCACGCCCTGATGGGCGGAGCACTGCGTCACGTACGCTTGGACGTAGAGCCGAAGGGTTTCTGCGTAGACGGCCTGCAACAGTGGATTGGCGAGCACTTTGGCTACACCGATCGTGACCTCCTCTTTCCCGCCGGTGGAGGATGGGATGATGGCTCCTTCGTCCCGGAGACTGGCCCGCACGCGATGCAGGAGGATGGGATCGGCGATGATGTAGAGGACGGTCAGCATGGCTAAGGGAACGGCATTGGTGATGGAGGTCCAGATTAGACCAAGATCGGTGGAGGCCAGCGCGGCGTCATCCTGCTCGTCGGCGGCCAGCAGGAACCGCTGCCGCTCGCGCATCATCGCGGACCCCTAACAGGGATCTCCGTCCCCGTCCGCAGCAATAGACGAGTCCTGGAACTGGGCCCACGCCTGCCGGTACCAATTCTGGATCTGCTCGAGGAGTGAGTCGCGGCAGCGGTAGGCCCGGGGCACCAGCCATCACGGCAACCGTTTCGCCAGCCACGGCGTCGCCTCGTCGAACTCCCAGAGCGTCGCCAAGAAGTTGGGATTGGCGTTCAACAGCAGCGGCCCGAGGAGCGACTCCAAGATCGCCCGGCCGACATGATCGCGAAAGAACTGCAGCAGGTCCGGCATCGGCCTCCATGGATGATGGCGGTGGCCCGGCTCGTGCCTTGGACTTAGACTCATCTGCAGCCGCTGCGTATTGATGCTCTGATAGCGGTCGAACGTGGGTGACAGCCCGGGACCGGTCAACCCCCGCAGTAACGACTCGTGGGTAGGTAGTTCACCCGGTTATGAGGTGCGACATTGGTGCCAGAGTGCGGCCGGCGAAAAGGCCCCGTATCGTCTGCGGTGTATGTCTCCAACGGTTTGTCCTTCATGCCAAAGAGATACCGCAGCCCCACGGTATAGATGAAGATGGGACTGGACAGAAGGGGGTGCTTCCACAGTGCGGCTACCGCTTCCGGCTCCTGGAAAAGATAGATCCCCGTCATGGAGAGCGAGATTCGAACGCAGGAGAGTTTGCCCGCATATGCGCTACCTCACACGGATTTGTTGTTTAGTGAATATCCATGCAGATGAGGTGGCGCGGGGAAGAAAAACACACGTTACGCGGGTCACAAAAGATGCACTGTCGAACAGGAAAGGAATTGTATGGCCCAGGATGGGGATGGCCGCTGGTAGGCGTGGGGGGAGTCGTACATCTCGGCTGGAGCTGTGACGGTTGGCCCAGTGATACAGACCCCACGAGACTAGGTAACTCACGCAGAAAGGCAGAGACAATAAGATGTAAAGGACGGCGAAGTGAGAAGCCATGATCGGAGTCGATGCGAGTTTAAGAAGGAGGAAAATACTTGCTGTGTTGTTGTGTTGGGAGAGGTCGAGGAGCTGAGCCTATATATGTATTATATGCTGAACCAATTTCACACGACGTCGTGGGGATCTGGACGCTCTCACTGTGTTAAACTGAGCTTGAATTGATTTACCTGTAAATTTTTCATTTAATTTTATCAAACGGTCCTCAACTCGTGTCATGTAGCCATGTACCTCCTGTAATGCTGTTGTCCAGGTTGGTAAGACTAGTATCGAACGAAGTTGGTACTAACTTCCAGACGCAAACAAACCGGAGGAGGCCCACCTGGGAGTGAGAAGCCCAGCACCTACTACAGTAACTTACTTCCGAAGCCAAACTAAACAAAGTCAAGCTTTCTGCGAATTGGCACAGGGCTGATTGCGCGATGTGTTTGCCCGCTGCCAAAACCCCCTCTTTGTGCTGTACCTAGCTAGAACGACCTCAATGATTCCCTGATTTTCATAGATTGTACAGTACACTGCCACCTACACTGCTGCAGATTCCCACCAACCGAATTCTTTCACCAGCCCACCTCCGCGTGGGGGCCTTATCACTATGAAACCCTCGACGACGACGACGACGACGACTACTACTACTACCACTACTGCACCATGCAACCACCTGTAAAAGGTAAAAGATTCAAACCCGGGACCACCTTTTGGCCCGAGCACTAAAAGTGCAAACTAGTCGACAATCGAGAGCAATCCTCGAGGCAGTGAAGTACGCTTTGACATGCTCACCCGATATGCTGACGCTGGCTAACCCGACAGGGCATTCCCTGAGCAGGGTGCGATGCGCCTTGGGGAACTTGATAGGCGCGCTCGCCAAAAACGGTATTCGGTCCGGCACTGGGATGCAGGCGGTCCCATTCGGCGTACTGATCCTGAAAGTCGAACTCACGCAGTACGAGAAGCAATGTAACCTTGATATCCAGGAGGGCCAGGGTCTGGCCAATACAATCGCGTGGCCCTTGTTCAAAGGCTCGCCAGCCACCTTTGGGAGGGTAGAGAGGGTGGTCGGGCCCGACCAACCATCGCTCGGGGAGGAAGGCAGAGGGGTCTTTCCAGTAATTCGGATTACGCTGGATTGCCCCATGCAGAATCCAGATACAGAGTCCGTCGGTCGGATATTTGGTTCCATTCTGGTCCTGGAGGTGCACGCCAGGCTGGCCCCATCGCAAGGCGGACGCAGCGGGAAAGAGCCGGAGGGTTTCCTTGATCACCGCCAGCGTCAAGGGAAGCTGGTTGATCAATTCCGGATGCTGCGTCAGTGTCTGCGCTGTGGAGGAAACATCGCCAAACACCTGATCGTGCTCGGCGCGCACCCGGGCCAGCAGCTCCGGGTGCTTAGACAACATGTAGATGCTGTACACAATCGTGGCCGCCGTGGAATCATGGCCCGCGAAAAGGAAGGTTCGGACCTGGATTGTTGCCCACGCCTTGAACTCAGGATCCAATCGGTCTTCCTTCGCTGATCGCGTCGACATGAAGTCTGCAATTACCAGATCCATGATAGACTTACGGTGGCGGTCCGACGGCTGATTCTGTCTCCAGCGCTGGTACCGTTCCTCCAGGGCATCTCCGATATAACAGGTCATCGTGCGTCCGTTGTACCAGTGCATGATCGGTCGCAGCGGATTCCACCGAATAAACGGATTCAATTCTTCATCTTGGCAGTTCCATTCAGCCACACTCCTCATCGCCGCCGCCAGAGGGTTATATTCCCGCTGCGACTTCAGACGTTTGTTACTAGAACACGGGGGTGGTTAGCAGTCGAATGCCTGATTCCAAGAAGCTGGCCTCTTACATTGCAATAGACCCGATGATATCCATCACGTAGCTACAGGTCATTCGGTCCAGGGAGAAAGTATCTCCCTTGGTCGCATGCTCCCGCAGAATGTCCACATAGACCTGCGCTTCCTCAACAATTTGTGATGTATGGTGCAACACGGCACTCGCACTGAAGGCCGGATTGAAGAGACTGCGTGCCCGTTTCCACTCCGGTCCGTTCGTGGTGAAGATGTTCCACCCGCCGGTAAACGGCTGGAAAAAGTTCTGCAGTACTGCTGGTTTGGGTAGCGCATAGGTCTGACAGACCTGCACCGCAAGATCCGGACTTGTAATACACAATAACGGCTGCACAAAGGGCCAGATATCAATGTAGAAGCAATTATCAAACTCAGGAAAGTTATATGAGAGGACCGTGAAGGCGTCGGATTGCTGGGACCCTTTGGGATGTTTCGCGAGCAGATCTGGGAGTATACGCAGATTTCCCGCTCCAAAGTCCCAGGCTGGCACGGGCTACCGTTATAGATAGGTCAGATCAATTGTGTATCTATAGCAGGGGGGAAAAATACCAGGCCTTGTCGACGCAGACGATGGAAAAGTAGGCGCACCCGAACTAATCGGTAGATGCCCCGCAGAAGTACAATCAAGCCTAGGGTGAGAGCTGCGGGCCCTCCGTAGACACGAAGATAGTCGACAATCGGTGATTCCATTGTTTCCCTACAGAAGGTTAAAATGCCTGTCTTTGAACAGAAAGACGGAAAGAAGAAGAAGGGAAAAGGGGAAAGTGAGAGATACAAAAAGACAAAACATGGAAATAGGATATTCCGGAATGCTAGAATCAATTTACCCAAACGACGTGAATGCTTAGTCTACCACAGCTTGAAAGAAAAGAATAAGCACTAATTACTAGCTGCAGTGCTAGCTGTTTACTCATCCTCCTGTCTGCGCCCTCTTCCTCTCCCGTCCAGCATTGACTCCGCCCACCGTGGACTTTTCTGCCCTCCATCTTTGCATCAGGGCTATTTCTGTCGCAACCGGTGGTGCTGAAAAGGCCCATTGCCAGGCTATGAAGCTCAACATTAAATAGCCTTGGGACTAGATCCTCTCCTCGCACACTCTTATGCTCTCAACTGAACATTCACCTAAAAGAGGGCAGGGATACTTGCTCACAATGGCACCACAAGACAACGTGGATCGCATCCACAAGAGCGCCTTCGTGGTATGTATTACTGAGTTTACTGTATATATAGCTTCTACCCATCTTGTACTTCTTATATTAATCTGTTAACTCTAGGCCTCCACTGGTTTCTTTATACACGCGCTTATGTAGACTGAAAGTAGAAAATAGTCTTAATCAGCTTCCTGTGCCTGATCTTTGTCTTAGTTATATTTTAAATTACTCGGATAACAGGGCTGGTATATTATAGAATAATTAATATTATCTAGGAGACCTACTAGTAATTATTAAATATAAATTCAAGTATTTTCCTGGCGGCCGCCAGTGTCTTCTGATCTTTCTTTATTATTCAGAAATACCGGAAAGCTAACTCGCGCGGCTTTTTCTCTTACCAGCGCTGGCTTAAGAGCTTCTTTGATAAGCAAATCGGAAGATCAGATTACAAGTAATCTAATATCTGCTCAGCTAACTGGACTGAGTAACTGTATACTGTAGCTAATAGATTTAAGTGCCTTACCCTGTATTATTGTTGTGGTAGCAGCTTTAACTCCCGGCTCGAGGACTATAAGTAGTATGCCATGTTGCCTATCTATTCTGCAACAGACCGGATCTTGTATGAGACGAGACTCCAACCGGTGAGTATCCTGCACCCCTTGATCTAATAGGAAGAAACGGATACGAACTTTGTTTATGTATCTATATGTGGCCACGAATATGCTAAAGCCACAATGGATGGTAGATGTTATTGTTATCGTGTGCGTTGTGTGCTTTATAAGTGTTTCTACGAGCTACTGCGCCTTTCATTCCCTATGCATCTTTTCAATCTCTCTCAGCGCTGTGCCGTAAACCACCTGCTTATCTTTTCATTCCTATATACCTTAGCAAGACGGTGATTTGTTTATACCGAATTTTCTTTATTCCCCTGGGCGGCCAACAGGCCCTGAGTTCAAGTACAAGGGTTTATCACTAAGTGTAAATAAAAAGTCATAAAACACTGAAATTTGGACCTAGAAGCCCCCCTTTCAAGTACTAAACCCCGCGGGGGACCTGAATCGGTTGTGGCCGTTTTGTCGCGGCCCACATTCCCCACCCCCGACCGTCCCCACTCCACGTACCAATCACAGAATTATTTCGGGAGTCTGACGGAAACTACCGACCGCTTTAAACCGCCCCATTGCTGGCCACTGCATCAACGTCCCAATGAGGTTCCTGGACGGCGAATCACAATGGCAGGGAGTATGTGGCATTCGAGACACTAATCGTACTGCCCTCATCCTGAATAGGCTTCCAGGTGCCCCTATGCAGTTGATGACCGAATGACCGCAGTTTTCATACGTTGAAAAAACGGCTTCAGAAACGGCTCTGTGTGGTGTGGTAGGCCATAGTTGACTTGTTCTGTGATCGGCTATATTAGCCTAAGTGTTGTTCTAGCACATTGTTGGACTGAAGTTTACCTGTCATTGTGTTGGGTATTCCAGTCAAGGTTGTATATTCTTTGTTTCCTGTAGAGCTTTATTGCCTCAGGCTACATTATTCGGAGAGACTTTGTCCCTTCCGCTCTTGATTCTAGTCAACTAGCACGGTGTTACGTAGGCTGCGGATCACAGCTTACTTTCAACGAGAGAAGTGGTTGGTCCGTCGACAACCTACTGAAAGCCCTGCATATATTATTTAGTGCTGTGTCGAGCTGGTATACCTGACGCTATCAGTACGAGCGAAAAGGGTGAGATATCTGCCAAAACAGGTGACCTTCCTGCTACTCTGCGAAGGATGCAACCAGGTTATGGCGGTAAACTTCCTAGTGTCCATTTTGTTGGCCCCCTAAGCCGCTTAAAGTTTCCAAGTCTGTATTGTCGTTGCTAATGCCGCCTTGAACCCTCCATCAACCCTCGCCCTCGAGTACGTTGAGTTCGACTGGATTTGGTTATTGTCACACCGTTCTTGATACTAACTAGAAGCCATCTGAACTATGAATATCCACAAGTTAGCATGGATTCATCGACTTCTGTTCTCCTTACGCCAGCCATCGAGCGTAACCAGACTCAGGGGGATGACAAGGCGATGCTAAGAGCTTACAATGAACTCTGACTTCTCAGAGACCCACATCCAGAGATCTTAGTTCAACCCCGGTTGGAATATCTGCTAGCCCAGATGCAACCCCCCACCACCCGAAGAAGGCGTAAGTTATCAACGTTCAACAGTTGACATCACTGCATGGCCCCCAGTTTGTGTCCTGATTATCCTCGTGGTGAGAGCAATCTGAGCCGGTAGTTGTTGATACGAGGGGCATGGTTAACTTTTTGAGTTAATTCTCCCATTCGTGCTCTGGAACAATGGTGATGGGCTTAGTTCTCAGTTGGAGGTTGACCGGAGCTTTTATCCACCCCGGCGAAGGGCAACAGGGGCAAAATCCTAGGATCAAGTAACCTTCGAATCGGTCAGCATTTCATGAGACTCTCAGCTGAAGAGAAGTACGGAGGTGACACCAATGCGACAGTCTCAGCGACCTCGCAAATAAGTCTACCAATCCCACAAGCTAAGTAGAGGCAACGAGCGGAGAAATAAGCACTAGACCAAGCACATGGGCATGAGGAACTTGGGAAAGACGCCTCAAGGCGTCACAAGAATACTGGGGAAGTTGTACAGTGAACGTAGAGTGGTGAGGAGGAGAAACGAAGACTGGCTGAGTGACGTATTACAAGGCCGTCACATGATGGAAGGAGGCTCTGGGGGGTTAAACAGCAGCAGGTTGGACACTCCGATATTACCTGCAGCAGCTATACAAGCACTTCCTTTCAGCTTGACATTCCAGACGCCTTATTCGCTTATTCGCATATAAAAAGCATCAACTGACCCCACGATCGACCTACGAAAGGATCATCGACATCCTATTTTTTCTTTGACAACTACCGTGGTTCGATTGAGGTACGCTGGACAAAAGCCAATCCAAACAAGTTCATTCAGACATCTGCAATCATGCCTCTTTCCACCCTCCATATCAGAAGCCTTCTAATCCTCCTTTTCATCTCCATAAGCTCCGCCATGTCTCTCACCCGCTATTCCAAGCCCGTGCCCGCAGAGGCCATAGTGGCCGAGACCCGCGAGCAGCTCAACCAGATCACCTTCGAGAACCAATATACCCTTCTTCACGAAGAAGACGGCGGCTACATGCTCAAGCAGACGGAGGATGGCGCCGTGGTGGCTGTGGCTAGCGATGCCCTCTGTGCGGAACTCGACAAGGTCTTTGCCGACATTGACGCTTTGGAGGCAGCAGAGAAGACAGAAAATGAGCGACAGGGTGGGGACTCTACCACTGGAGACGGCAAAGGTGAATCGCGGCGTGATACGAATGTCATTCGGGCAGACAGTGGACTGAACGATTGTGCTCATCGCAGATGCTTCAACTCGGTGATATGTATTACTTATAAGGACTGCCATATCTGTTCATCCCGCAACAGGTGTATTTAGGGACAGAGCACGTGGTATGATGTGCTTGGTGCGTCGTGGTCTGACAGAGGGTGCAACAATAACGGTGCAGAAGGGGTTTCGTTGGGGTTGTAATGGCGGTCTTGGGTGCTTTTTTTGCCCTAAGTAATTGAACCGTTAGGTAAGATGATGTCGTTCGGTGCATGCGCCAGATCTGTCTTTACATATGAACTGCCATTGAAGTGTTCGTGCTGCTGGCAATTGTCTATTTGTAATGCGAAATACAGTATCTTCACCGACATCTCAGACCCAGCTGAGTTCACCGTAGCCTCTAGAGTTGAAACTTGGAGATTATTTCCGGCTTCTATCTCAATTGCCGATACTCTAAGCTTCGTATCAATTTATGATTGCCGAATATATGCAGTCGCGCATCTGGGCCATCCGAAGTATGACTTTGAAGCTGTTCTACTAACTATACCAGCCTTCGTTTTTTGCCCATGTATTGCCAAGTGTGATCAGCGCTCCTGGTTAGCTCTTCAACATGTTCGCAGAACATCCTGAATGTTTCCTCGGTCATGTTTTTAGGACATTCATCAGCCATACCGAAGCTATGGATTGTGTCACTGTACTCAGAGTACGGTGGCTCAAAGACCTCTTCCAGGTTCATGAGATGCTGATGCAGAATGAAGAAGGCTTGATAAGGGGTGATAGCTCCCACCAAGATGGCACTCTCGGCAGAGTCCCTGTACGAGGCGAAAAATTCATCGAAAGATCTATAGTTGAATGGCTCCATTTGGAATGTGGACCACCAGAGATAGTTGGAAACCTCGAGATCAACACGGCTCACGATATCCTTGACAGTTTCGATGAGATCTTCAGGAAATCGTGGGCGACGACGGATGAAAATAGGATCTTCGCAGATGGTAGGTGAGGTGTGAAGGTACAGCCAGCAAAAGATCAATTTGGCCTGTTGCTTCCATTGCTCATAGTCTTCATCGTCATGGTCTGGTCTCGGAGCGGTAGGGTCAATGTATTCTAGCAGATCCCATTGCATCAGGGCTGATTGGACGTCGTCGAGCCATCGGTTGATGTTGTTATAGTCGCGTAGTTCTTCAATATCAGGAAGGACCTGGCGCACCAGATCTCTTTGTGGGGAAGAGAGCTGTGTGGGAGGCGAGAGGCTCTTAGATCTCAGTGGTGAATCATCCATGAGGCGTAATGTGGTTTAATAGTTCGACTCGGTACTATAGAAGGGCGCAAGTGATGATGATTCTTGTGATGAAGCGAAAGAAGGGTGGAATTTACCTTTATATCCATTCTGAAGTGCACTTCAAACTGAAGATTCACGATAATAAAGAAGACACATTATGATAAAAGCACAGGGAAGATTGTTATTGTTATCTGAAACCGTTGCACCTGTTTGGGAATAAACATGTGAAAGAGGGTGAATGTCATCCGCCTAATGCCGTCAGCCGACCTGACCCTGCAGAGCTTGCGAGTGGACATTGTTCTCTTTGATTCTATTTAAACCATCCAAGCCCCAAGCCTCTAGTAAGCGACCACAGATGGGAACAAAAATTTGGTTATTAATAAAGATTGAGATTGTTTGCCATTCTCAAGATTTAGTTTGATTGTTGTGGTTTCTTTATACTTCGGATCATCTGACAGCCGCACTCTGATTGGCTCACACTCAAGGGGCTTCGATCGCGACTCTTTTTGGAATTCCGATTTTTGTCCGACTTCTTCGCCTTCTTTTATTTCAACCTCAACCTCAACCTCTTTCTTTCTCCGCCTCCACACCTCCGCCCTCCGCGCTCTCCCTCTCCCCCCTTCTCCTCATACCTGGACGCTATGTCCAAGGCCACGTTCGCGGCCATTGCTGCGGCCAGTGCGGCCACTGGTGCCGGTCTCACGGCTCTTTTCTACTCTTCCTCCGCACCTCGGCCTCAGCCGCAACAGCAGCAACAAGTTCCTCCTCCGTCTCCAGTCGCTGCTCCCTCTCCCACCGCTATCCGGCCTCCCGCTCCTCCCTCCCTCGCGCCCAAGCCCACGGCCGGGGGTCTGTCACCTGTCGACCCGACGGGCATCTACCAATATGGCTTCCCGGGCCCGGTAGCCGACACGCTGATCTCCGCACCCCTAGCCGGCGCCTACGACCGGCGCACGCGCAACCCGTCGTGGGTGGCGGAACATATCACACCGCAGTCACTGTCGATGAAGAACGCGGACCGCAAGAACAGCACATTCTTCGAGGACGCGACGATCCCGCCGGCGTTTCGCGCCAAGCTGTCCGACTACTTCCGGTCGGGCTACGATCGGGGCCACCAGGTGCCGGCGGCCGACTGCAAGTGGTCGCAGGAGGCGATGGACGGTACATTTGCGCTGAGCAACATGTGCCCGCAGGTCGGCGAGGGCTTCAACCGGGATTACTGGGCGCACTTTGAGGAGTTCTGCCGGGGACTGACCAAGAAGTACCCCTCGGTGCGCGTCGTCACCGGCCCGCTGTACCTGCCGCACCGCGACCCCGATGGCAAGTGGCGCGTCTCGTATGAGGTCATCGGCAACCCGCCCAACGTCGCCGTGCCCACCCACTTCTACAAGGTCATCTACGCGGAGGAGGGCCCCGCCGCCGCTGGCAAGGTCGCGCTCGGCGCGTTCGTGCTGCCCAACGCCCGCATCCCCAACGACAAGCGTCTGAGTGAGTTCGAGGTGCCCCTCGAGGCCGTCGAGCGCGCCAGCGGTCTGGAGTTCGCCGCCAAGCTGGAGGCTGGTCGTCGCAAGCGTCTGTGCCAGGAGACTAAGTGTGAGATCGTTGTGCGCGAGTTCAACAACGCCTCCAAGCGGTCTTAGGTTTGGTGTAGATAGAGAGACATGTGTTTTGGCTGGAAGACAGGGTGCGCTTTCGTGTACTCTAGATGTATTTGGATATTGTATCAGCATTATTCCCTCGTCCGTGGCGTTGCGTTGGACATGTATATGATTTCGGTTTATCAAAAGCCCCGTATCTAAACCGTATGTCACCTTGTAGCCCATTTCATAATGTACACCAAGTGAATTTGGATTCTTCATCATCCACAAAACCACCGAGGACTCGTCATTCACAAGTCCACCAAGATATCAGCATTGGAACGCGACCCCCTCTTTCGTCGCTACATTCCCACCCCGCCCCGCAAAGCCAGTTCCCTCCGAACTGACCTCGACCAGCCCAGGCGCGATCCCCTCCTTATCCTTCTTCTTCTTCTTAGATGGTCCTTTCACATCCGGCGTGACGTCTGTCTCGCACACGTAGCACAGAATCCGGCCATGCAGCGCGGCCGTCTGCGCCTGCTCTTCCTTGGAGGCATGCGGATCCGGCGCAGCATGGGGTGTCATGAATTTGTTGACGCAGGGTTGGCAGATAACATGACCGCACGGTTTGGTCACTAAAGCCACCAGTTAGTACCTCCCAGTCCCTTTAAGACAAAGCAAAACACGTAGAACACAGCAAACATACACATAGCTTTCAGCCCGTTCGTGAACGTCTTCTTGCAGCTGGGACACACCCGCGCCAGCTCGCCGCCCGCGCCCTTCTCTTCCGTGAAATGCACATCGACCAGCCCCTTGAGCGAGTAGCCGTGTTTGTTCGTCTCCGTGGACGCGGGACAGATCGGCGTCAGCTTGACGGGCTTGTTCGCCGCGATCTCGTCCGGGTCCGTCGACGGCGTCAGGCTCGGCACCCAGAATGACGGCAGCGCCGACTTGGCATCCTAGATGATTAACTTCGTCAGCCAACTCTTCTCAACCCACGCCCCCTCTTTAACAGAGATATAAGCTTCCCGGGGGAGAACCCCCGGACCCCCCTTTCCTTTCAGCCTCCTGGCCACCTCAATCCCAAGACCAGAGATATGAGTAGATCCGGGGGAGAACCCCCGGACCCCCCTTCCCTTCAGCTCTCTGGCCACCTCATCCCAAACCACAAGAAAAAAAAAGAAAGAAAATTACCTTCTGAACCCTCAACTCCTCGCGCAACCTCTCCCTCTCCCGCTCCGCACCACGCCGCACAACCTCCTCATCCAATTTAAACACCTTCCTCCTGCCCTCGCCTCCATCCTCTTCCCCCTCAACCTTCCGCTTACCCCCAGCCTCAACCCCCCTCTCCAAAAATGAATCCGAATCCACCTTATGACCCGAACGATTAGACTGAAACCCCATACTAAGATCCTCAAACTCCCTAACCTCCCGCCCCTTCACCTCCTCCAACGCCCTACTCTCCTCCTCAACTAATCGCTTCCGCGCCTCCTCCCGCCGCCGCTCCAACCGCTTGATCTCCTGCCGCTGCGCAAGCAGATCGCTGATCGCGCACTCGCGGCAGAACAGGTCCCCGGCGGTCGCGCACGCGACGACGGGCGCCCGCGCCGGCCGCAGACACAGCCGGCACGCGCCGAACGGCAGGAAGCTGTCGCGCCCGATCACGCTGCGTTTCGTGCCCCATGCGGACCGGAGGAGCGAGCGCTCGTAGGATGTGAAGTGGGGAAGGCTTGTGTTGCGTTTGGAGTGGGCCATTCTTTCGGATTGTTTTTTTTTGGGGGGGTTATCGGTTTGGGTGGAGGGTTATTGGGGGGGTGGGCATGCGGTGGGTTGCGGTGCGGAATTCGTGGATTGGTGGGTTGTGGGGTTGTTCGCTAAGGTGGATAAGATGGCTGTTGATACTCGTGTAGATTAGGTAGTTAGGATAGGGTGGATAGTAAGCGATAGACGATTGTGGTGCGAACCTCGCGGCGTGGTTGTTGAATAAAGCTGTTGCTAGAATGTGATGTGATGCGATGCGATGCTGGGGATGCGGCGGGCGGCGGGCGGCGGCAGAAAAGCGCGGTAATGGTGATTATGTCATGCTGTCACAGATCATGAACAGGTTGTGCATCAGAATTTCATTATCTGTCTTCGCAGCAGATAGTGCGTTTGCTTATCATCAATTTTTGCACTGCGTAAATTACTATTTGATGCTGAGTTAATCCTTGATTAGCTTAGGTTCAGCCAAATGGTTTGCTATTCTCAGAGTCTTCGCTGTTGATATGTTTAGGGCTATTCTCCGGATATGCGCTGAGTGGATAAAGAACAGTGGTCGGAATCATTACTACTTACTGTAATCGGACCATACAGATGAATTTACACAGAACGAGGGATACACAAAGGTTAAGAATGTATTGAAATAGCCAGCAAGTTGCGTGACGAAGCATAGTCCAAATCACCGAGCTACCGTATCATCACGACTAACAGCACCACTCAGTCGGTAGCTGTACCCTGCCAAAGGGAATACCACTGGTACTGACTGACCTTGTACAGCCGAATGACATACAGCGGCGACCTGGAGTGGACATTCTCCCTGCCACGGCGATCCCTGCGGTGGAAATGCGGCAGCTCCGTCGGGGGCAGGTAGAGATCGACCATGGATGGACAGAAGTTGCGCATGGGACACGGCTGCAGGCCGGTGCCGATGAACGCCACGATTGCAGTCGCGATCTGATGATCGGGGATTAGCCATCCGGGCGGGTCGAGAATCGAGGAATCTGAGGGCGACGGGGACACGTGTCCGCCGTATGCGAACGAGCCCGGCCACCCGAACATTCGGTGGTGAACCCCTGCTTCCCAGAGGACTCGGCTGTCCCAGTCGAAGGCCCGGGTTATGCGCACGTCTGCCATCTTGAGACGAGGGTGGTGGTCTCTGGATCTGGGCTCGAGGTGTTGGATAATTCAAGACAGGGATGCTGTTCGCTTGGGGTCCAGATTTCGCTTCGTCGAGGCTAGCCGGCGATCCTGTTACCCTACCTCATGGGGTCTCTTTGCCCTCATTTATATTGAATAATACCACCGATTGGGGTCGAGGTTATCGAGAGACATGCCATTAATCCGTTGTGGAAGAGAAGATGCAGCGGAAGACATGTCGAATTCCTCCTTCTAATTCTTTGTGCGCGGTCTACACAACCGCACTCTCCGTGTCTCGACGAGTATATCCGTACCACCCTCCGGTTCCACTACCCCTGCACAGTCACCGCATCGCCACCACGAGTCTGTGACTTGTAGAATCCCAACAGGATCTGACGAGACCTCCCCGCCGGCCACTCAGTCCTGAAGGAAACAACGGGGAGGTCGACGACTGAGGTGTCGGTCGGGAAGGCGGAGGCTAGGGCGAAGTACCGGATGGTGGCATAACTTAAGCTGAAGATTTGGTTGAGGGTATGGCTTTTTTATTGTTTGTACCCTAATCGCGTGATGCTTTCTGTTGGAAGGTCTAGTTGGAAGGCGCAGCGGGCTAGAAAGCGTTGGGATTGTGAACATAGAAACTTATCTTCAGCCAGCTGAAGAGAAGAGGTAGAAGTAAGCTGCTATGACCGCGCGGACAGTTTCGAAGTGGAGAAAACGCAGAAATAATCTAGGTTGCCATGTCATCCAGCCCACCTGTTAGTGCTTATTCTGTGCACCTGCGGCAGGCTGGACGGAAAGTCAGAGCGTGAGCGTGTAGCGCGAATAAGATCGCTAGGAAGTAAGCAGGATAAGCAACTGGCTGGAAACACGGCAATACACCGGCACCACGTGAGACTCAGCGACTGGCCAGCCATTCTCGATTTATCTTTGCTGATGCGTGATAAGGGATGGCTGGGCGCGCGTGGTTGAAATTGCTTGTTGCGGTTCGGCCCGCGGACGGACATAGCCGAGCATGAGATCCAGCGCCACTCCCCACCTTGGCTGGACCCGCAGGAGGCCCGAATGATCATTGGATTGAATGGGGCGCTGAAGAATATGGTTACAGAATCAGATGATGTTGCAGTCGTTGATGGTGGTGGCGGAGCAACAGACAGCAGCAGTTGTAATGCTCTGCGACGGGATGTTAGGAAAGAACAATCCAGGAGATTACTGATCTGAAGAAATTATTCTTATTTACCATTGCCCGATGACAAGCTAGTACCTCGAGGGATTATAATTGTACTTGTATTTATTTGAACTCAGCTCTCAGAATCAGAGATTGGGCTCAAGTATTAGAAAAGGCAAAAAAATACGGAAATCTCCTCAATTGCCCTTCGCCATCGGGTCTAAGCTTACGAAGAACATAGAAATTAAGATATGATTTAATAAAATTGAACTAAGAGATAACTCAGAGAGCCTGAGAGCTAGCAATACAGCGAGCGATAGAGACCGGGATAGGATCATGCCTTCAGCGTAGCCAATAAGAACTGGCATGGAACACCGTCCTCGCTATCGCCACCCAGCTCTACTCAGCCTCTCTGGATGCAATCTCATGCACAATGTCCACAATCTCCGCAGTACTTTCAGCATGGGGGATGCGCGAAGACTGCACCTCGAAAAGCTCGACCTCGCGACCTTCTGCTCGGGCACCTTCGACCATCTTCTTCTGATAGTCAATCGACATCATCTTATCCTGCATCGTCATAATGTAAGACACAGGTATATCCCTCCAAGCAGCGGCAGTGGTAATCTGATACATCGCCTGTGCATTCCAAGGGACCAGATCCGCCACGTAAGCGTCCAACTCCGGTCCCTGAAGCCCAGGCCCGATCACGAGCTCGCGACGACAGTGAGCAAGACCATTCTCCTTGATGATGACGAGACTATGCAGAATCTGTTCACGCAAGGCAGGTGGAGGGATCGTGTACAGGGAAGTCCCCTCCTTGACGATGTGCGCGCACATGTAGATCAGTCGCACGACTCCGCTGGGGAGCTTGGCCTGCTTGCGGGTGTTAGTGTCGAGCCCCACCAAGGCATTGCATACGACCATGCCGCCATAGGAGTGCATGAGCACGAGGACAGTATGACCAGCGTCTGTGAGGTTTTCAACGTAGCTGCGAATGTGTTCAGTATCAGTGTAAAGACCCGCATTTGGGGGGCATGCGTCGTTCATGGAAGGAAGCCTTGCAATGAGAACCTCGTGACCCAGAGCTCGAAGGCGCGAAGCGAGCGCACTGTAGTGCTTGGGAATGTGCCATGCTCCGGTAACGACCACAATGATCGGTTTGGAGCCAGGGGACGGCAGAGCGGTAGCCATGTTGACGACGACGAACAACGACAGTTGAACTATGGAGAGGACGTACTACTGGAGGTACTCTTGCAGAGAATGATTCATTACTGAATGTATTCCGGAAGGCTACCTTGAATTAAATTATTCCCTATTGATCTGAGCTAGTTTGATGCGTTGGTCTTGAGCTCCCAGATGATTAACTTACAGGCTGATACTTGCAAATTGATGTTCTAGTCCTGATCAGGATAACGAGTAGATCGGCTTAGCTGCATGGAAGGTTATCCGCTGGGTAGCCGTGTATTTACTTATGTTCCCGAATGATGGTATGGAATCACACCATCTTGTTACATAACAGCTATTTTCATTAATATGAAATGAAACATGCTAGCTTTCTCTTCTGGCATCTTGGCCTTGGAGTATGGTAACTTAATTCATCGTTTGAAAGATGCAGGCCGGATTCGAACCGAGTCTATGATTAGTGGATGGCCTTATCCCCTGCCAAAGTTAGCTGGATATAAGCCGCGGAAGCGATTTCTGGTCTAGTAGTGTGTTCGAACTACTGTATTTCTAATCTCTTCGAAAAACTGAAGAAGTGCCTAGCTATTTCCCCCTTCAGTAATTCCGAGTTATTACACGGTCAGAGTAGTTGAAGTATCCAAAATCCCATACAAGTCTGTGTAGCAAGGTGGGGTTAGTCCTCAGTGAATGCTAACATGAAGCGGATACCGCGGGCGACTCGCAGAGGAGGCAGCATTTTATCTAAGATTTCCATCCATACGGAATGTTACCAAAGATTGAGACTAAAGTATTGAGATAGTTTTTACCCTTGAGTATCCTAGATACGTACTTTTAATTGTGCCACAAATTGTCTTTTCACCCCAGAGACTACTATCCTTGGACTTCTCTGCATACAGCAAGAGATCCGATCACTTCCCCACGCATTCCCGCGTCCCTGCTGCCTTATGCCTGGCAGCTTAATGCCAAAAAGAACTTCCATTTCCTCACCCCCTTCTCTTATCTCTCAGCCAGCACCACCAATGCGGTTGCTACCCGCTTCAAAGTATCCAAGGTGGTTTCCAGCAGCCGACGTTCGTGCGCAACATCCACGCAGAAGCCCTCGGGGCCGCCGTCTTCTTCCCACGCTGCCAGCACCGTCGCCACTAACTCCTTGACTTCCCTCAATCGACGCAGATCCCGGTGCAACATGTCGACGGCGGTTGCATAGTCCGTGAACAGAGCCACCACCGTCTCCGGACGGCGCCGCTTCGCGGTCAGCCGCGCTACCAGCTCGTCCACCGGTTGCCCGCCCCGGTGGCTGCGACTGCCGTCACCATCGCCATCACCGTCCCCACTAGTACGACGTAGATCTCCCAACCGGGAGGAGACTTCCACCCGCAGGGCCTCCAACAACCCCGCCAGGGCCGGAATGTACTCGTCCTGCAGCCGGGCCCTGGCGTTCTGGAGATGGCGCGCCTTCTGCGGGGTGAGCACCCGGGCTTCGTCCAGCCCAGTCAGCTGTCCGTCTAGGATCTGGAAATTGGTGCGGTGGATGTTCTCCACCTCGGCCGCCTTGAACCCGAGCGCGGTGGCGGCCAGGTAGCGCTTCCGCGGCACGAGGGCGGGTCCGGGCGGCGGCGGGGCCAGGGCGCCGATGCAGAAGGAGTCGAGCTTGCGGCGCGTTGCCGGGTGGGACAGGTGGCCCACGGCCGCCAGGCTCTCGGTGACGTCTTGGCCGCTGCACAGGGCGATGACGGTGTCTCCGCCGGGGTGTTTGGTGAGGAAACTGGTGGCGTCGTAGATCCGGCCTTGGGCCGCGAACCAGTAGCCCGTTTCTGGCGAGTTGTGGACGATGAGCTGGGAGATGGGGAGAGGTTTTGTTGTTGGTGGTGGTGGTGGTGGCGGCGAGTTGGGAACGACCACGTGAGATTTTTGCTGATGATGATGATGCTGCTGCTGCTGCTGCTGCTGCGGATCGACGAGATTGTCGTTTTCGGGTCCTTGACGACGTTCCAAACGTGCCTGTTCCAAGGCCTGGTCCGCCTCGAGCCACGGCTCGGTCCGGCGCCTCCGACCCAGCCCGTTGATGGTAGTACTGCGACCGATCCGGAATGAGACGGCCAGGAAGCCAAATACCTTGCGGCGATGGAAGCCCAACAACCCGCCTCCTCCTCCTCCTCCTCCGCCGCCGCCGCTGTCATTGCTGCCCCGATACCCCTCCACCAGGGCGGCCCAGAGGTCGCGCAGCTCCGGATCCCGGGAGGCCGCCACGTAGTCCGGGACTGAGACCTCACGCAGGGCGGCGAGGAACCGGCGCCAGTGCTGCGGATACGTCGCGCGCACGACCTGGGCCTCGTGGCCGATCCCTGTGGCGTACTGGGCGCGGCCGGTGAATTCGTCCATCATGTGGAAGAACGGGTGGGCGGTGCCGGCGGCGCCGACCGCGCCCTCCACCCACGGGATGCCGAGGTTGGCGACGGTGAGCGTCCACAGCACGGGGTCGATGTGGGCCCGGTGCGCGCGGTTCGCGTGGAGCTGCCGGGCCAGGGTTTCGGTGACCTTGTTGAGGAGGGAGTACAGCTGGCGGATGGTGCGCTTGAGGGCGGCGGGATCGCCGGCGAGGACCTGCCGCTGCGCCTCGATGATCTGATGCAGGATCGGGGTGGTTTGCCGGTTGATGGCGATCATGACGCCGATGAAGGCTCGTTCTTCACGGTTGCCGACGGTGGGGATCAGGAGCTGCAGATCGTTACCATTAGAAGACCGCCGGTAATTGGCAACCACCCCGTCCACGTAGGTCAGAGACGGGACCGGTCGACCCAACCGTTGGCATACAATAGTCCAGGGGACCTCCAGGGCGGGCGGGAGGATCTCGCTATGACTCTCGTACTTCAGGGTGAGGGGCTCGCTGCCCTCCATGCGCACAAACACGTGGGCGGTTAGTCCGAGGATGCTGGCCGCCCGCTGGAGGTATCGATCCGCCAGGGCGGCGGCCGAGGCGTCCAGCAGAGGCAGTCCGTTCGTGACCGTCTCGCGGACGGTCTGGGTCTGCACCAGGCGCGGAAGATCACTTGCCAGCTGGTCCCATGCGGCGTGCGATGTGGGGAGTCGCATCGTTGGAGGTTGAAGCGGCGCGAACCCGGCCTCTTTGGACAGAAACCCCGCGTTCTCGTGACCGTTGCGACGGTTCCTCTGCTCGGCTTCCTCGATGATTCTCTCACAGGGTGGAGTAATGATGGGTATGACTTTGGGGCGGTTCACGTCCTTGTCTTTCGTTTGAGGGGCCACGACACAGTGGACAAAGATGACGACCGACGTGAACAATCCGACAACAGCAGTAACCAGGATGGTTACTACCCCGGCAGATGAGGAGGCATTATCGTCCTGCGAGCTTATGATTGAGACTGGATTCGCGTTGCCGTTCAGTACTGCACTGGGGATTATGTCGAACGCATTGGTGGAGGTTAAGATTGTCCACAGGGAGTGGTTATGCAACATGTTGAGCTGGACGGGAATCTCTTATCTAAGTTACGGATTCAGAAATTGGGGTCCGTCCCAAGACAAAGCCCGGGGACGACAGTCCTTGGGCATGTTCATGCTATTTATAAGATCCCCTTGACTAAGGAGTGCTACCTAAGCCATATTTTTCCACTGGATGCTTATGGCATCTATCCTTGCCCGTCTTTCTCCGCCCCCATCCATTCGAGGGCGTTCGTTCCTGGCACTCCTTTCGAGCTAGCCATTCGCTACAACCGACCACGACGTGTTGTAGGCTAATTGAATCATTTAGTACGAATGCTTGCCCCCTCCTCCCGCCCCTCCCCAGTTTGCATTGGTTGTAAATGGTCTATGTGCTTATGTCAAGACTAAGGACTGAAAGCGCCGCTTGGCCTATTTAGTTACAGCTTCGAAAACTCAGCCCCAATCTGTCTCAGTAGCGCGGTGTGATCCGTGCTATAAGTGTCACCCTCTCGAGTAATCACTTCCCGCACCCAGGGCCCACGAGGGATGAATCTCGCCTTGAAGGGCAGGGCACGCATGACCAAACCGTAGGTGCACGCCTCCGGGTCCACGGGGATCGGCTCGCCCGTCTCCTCGGACAACCCCGCGTTGATCTCAAACGACCAGAGCAGCCGCGCCACAATGATCCAGAGGACATTGCGCGCGAAGTACCGCCCCGGGCAGGTGCGCCTTCCATACCCAAAAGCCGGAGCCGGAAGAGCCCGCAATTCTCCCTTCTCATCCAGCCAGCGTTCCGGGATGAAATCGTCCGTGTCGGGGCCGAACACGGCTTCCTCCCGAGCGATCGTCCAGATGTTGGCCACGACCACCGAGCCCTTAGGAATGCGGTAGCCGTTGTAGGTGGTCTCCTCGCGGTTGAGGTGCGGCGCGCCCTCGGGGCCGGCCGGCCGCCACCGGAGGACCTCGTCGACGATCGCGGTGATGTACGGCAGCTGGGGTTTGTCCTCGGGCCGCGGCAGGCGGTCCCGGCCGACCACGGCGTCGAGCTCGGCGCGAGCCTTGGCGATGAAGCCCTGATGGCCTTGGGTAATGCACGCGACCACGAACCAGACCAGGCTGTCGGTCGTGCCGTCGAGCGCGGCGTCGATCATCGTCCCCAGCTCGAAGGCGAGCTCGTCCAGGGGCATCTTGTCGCGGCCGTCATCCTTTTCCACGGTCTTCTTCAGCTGCTTGGAGATGTTCCAGGCGTCCGAGTCCTCCAGCGCCCGGCGAAAGTTCTCCATCCGCAGCGCATATTTGGTGTTGTAGTGGTTCTCCGCCGTCGCTTTCCAGGGCGCCAGAAAGCCCGGCAGATGGTTCAGCACCGGGAACTGATCGACGATGTGCGCGCCCACCTGGATGAACTCGGAGAACTCCTCGTTGAGTTTGACCACGCTGCGGAGGACCGGGTCATTGGGGTCTCGGATCCGGAACCCGTACAGCAAGGTGTGGATGATACTCGCCGTCGTCCGCTGGAACGGGGCTTGGACATCGATTCCGGCACCCCCGCTACTTCCCAGGAGGAGATCGTGCAGCAACTGCTGTGATTCCAAGGTCTGCACGGACAGATACGCTGCTGCGGGAGTCGCGTTCAGCACCGAGACCTGGAGCCGCTGGTGATGTCGGAATTGATCGGTGTAGTTCATCATGAGGATATTCAGCCCTTTCAGGGCCAACTCTGTCGCTAGCTGCGGATCTTGTGGATTAGCTTGATTGACCGTTCTCTTGCCCAGGGAAGGGGGAGGGGGTTTCCTACAAAAAGTCGAGGTCGATCGGAAAAGATCGCACCACGCTTGGCGAGCAGGTCATGGGCTACTTCCGAGGTCGACAAGATGATGACCGGTTGGCCAAGCATATTAAGGTGCACAATCGGGCCATACTGCTCATTCCATTCACGATAGGCCCTCCATCCATGGGACTTGGGAGCTTGGTGAACATTCCCGATCAAAGGCAGTGGCTTGGGTCCCGGCGGTAAGGGCAAGGAAGAAGAAGACGATGCTTTTGGCCGGCGCGTCACGAAGTACACGCTAATCAGGAGGAGAAACCCTATAAGCGCGGCGGACGTTGTTGAATGCATGCCAGAGTGAAGGGATTTTGAATCTCAAAATCCAAACGAGCGTCAGTCCCTCTTGTCTTGAGGGGGGGGTTTTGGTTTTTCGAGTGAGGATGTATTTATAAGACAGAGGAGGAAACGAAGGTGCGAAGAGAAGCTTCATTCTTTAAATTTCAAGACTAGTATTCACAGATGTGTTAGGAGGTACGGTGGGACCCCGGTCACGTGGCCCTCTGCGGTCTGACAATGGACCAACATTCCCAATGATTGGAGGTAATACTTATCGTATGAGTGGGAATGAGTGTGTGCGGGGATCGATCACACCTGATGCTTACTTACATTGGGCCAGAAATTTGCGACCTTCCTACTGGTCAGTGTCCATTAGACCGCGGCCGGCCGGATGGATGAGTCCGAGGCCACGTCACTGCTACTGACCGAAGTGGAAAACAGGGATCTGAGAGACTGAAAGGGAAGCCGCAGTGGGGAGTGATTGAAAGCGCATGCAGATGGATAGGTTCTTGTGTTGCTTGTGTTGTTTGTCCGTCCTGCGGGGGTTTTCTATTCGCCGGCGGAGGGCCGAACCGTTTGACTGTGCCCAAAAACTATCTACTTGGAGTATCTCAGCCTGTGCTGCTGCGCCCCGATTCCCACTAGGGTCCCCTTTCTAGTTTGCGCGTTAGTGTTTTTAGTGCTTACTGTTAACTCGTCTAGATGGGGATTTTTGCTTAGATGCTCTTGGCTTTCCCATCGCCCTGGCACTAGTCTGATCATTTCAATGAGATGGACCCGTTATGGTAAAAGCATAGGTCGGTTTTCGCGGTTTGGCCCCCATGTTACATGCAGATATCTTACTCGATCCCCGGGCCGCTCCCCGTCGGGTTCGCCTTCCCGGTTCCCTTCTCCCGCCCCCAATCCAGCCACTGTGGTTATCCCGGTGCAAAGCCGCCTACTAGGCAGTACCTAGTGGTAGGGATCGATAGAGAACTCACACTTTGGATGCTCATTAACCAACATTTCTAGTTGTGACTTGTAAGATGACCCTCTCCCCTTCCCCCCCAGCCCCCAAAATCCGCCCCCGCGCAGATTCCGGCCAAGTCCATGGTTTGGTGGCATAGCTAGCGAGTCTGGAAGGATAAGCACTTGCACAGAGGGACGGTACCATCAACGCTGGCTTCGCCTGCAGCTAAGCGGGCGCAGCGCAGGTAGTCGATCTACTCTCATACAGACTGTAACATGAGGGTGCCAAGTATATCTATGTCTGTTATGGGCTCCCGGTTGAATTTACTCCTGGGCAATGGCTGTATCCAAAGCAAACAGGGAGCACCTGGCTATCGCAGGGGTAGGCTACTGGAATAAACCGGGCAGGAGAGCCTGGGTGGGTACTAAATCATCAAAAGGACATAGGAATCGGTTACTACGCTGTCACGACTCACTACACTACAAGCGGAGGTACAGTGCTGTGCGACCATGCAATCATTAAACCGCTAGTGCGTCAAGCCCACCGCCCTAGCCTCGTAGAGAGGCTTTTTCTCCCCCTGCGCTATGCCTTCTTCGAGTTCAATGTATTGGTCCATGCGGACCTGGATGCGATCTTTGTTGGCCTCGCTTCTTACCAGGTGGGATTCCGAGGATGTCGTAGTGGCATTTGACACGGCGGTCCCTCCAAGTCTCAGAAAACTGCGGAAGGCGTTGCCATGCTTGTTCCAGAACAGATGAATGCACGGGGTGCAGCTGACCATGAGTACGACGGCGCTCTCAACCACACTAGCAGTCGGGCGGTCAGTCATCGGTTCAGTGGGGAAAGAGAGAACTCATGCATGAACTGAACTTGCCTGAACATCAACGCATTGGCGAAATTTGTCGATGATGCTTGGGACTGTGCCGCGTTGAAATACAAGCCCAATGCGCTGGCGGTGATGGCACTATGGAGCAGAAACAAAGAGGAAAATCATAAGCCCCCGGGCGATGTGCGATCACCGCAAGCGATAGTGGACTTACAGGAGACCTGTCGCAAAGGCAAAGGCTAACCCAATCCTCTTCCGAAGCGGCATCTTCAGTTTCAGGATGATGGGAAGCGGGAGAATGAAGACAATGACATCGATGAACAGCGACAGGGAACCACGGGCAATGGTGGCATCGGTAAGAACACTGACGCACGAGACCAGGAATGGTGTGGTAGGCTCATGAAGGTCCGGGCTGCACGAGATACCGGCATACAAGAGCGTGGTCAGCCCCCCTAGCGTCCCAAAGGTGATGAGAAATAGACACGTCCACCGCAGCCATGTCTTGATCCCAAAGGTTCGTATCAGCATGAAAAGCAGAGGCAACTTGACGCTGTAAATCGCACTGTTCCCTGAGGCGATTCCGACTGCGACCAGCTGCGAGGAATACTTAGCACGAGTCAACAGTTTGGCAGCCATGCAAAAGAAGCCACCGAGGCTATACGTACCCTCGTAAGGTATGGAATCGTTACATCGTCGGGATTGGAATTCAGCGCTGTTGAAGAACATGGTCAGTCGTTCGTTCCACCCGGGCCGCTGTGCGGCATTCCTCTTCAGATCGAGCACAGACTTACCATTGATCAGGATGCCGAAGGTGACTGAGTTCCAGATCAAAATCAGGAGCGCAAGCACACTCAGATCTGCGACGGGTATCTGCGTTAGCTATGGAAAATCTTCCCCGTTGCAAGCAACGACAGATGGCAGGTAGACCTACAATCATCGACGTAGAGTTTTCGCAGGTGAGTGAGATTGGTCCAGAGGCGTAGTGCAATAAAGCAGGCACTAAGCGCACATAGAAAACTCGCCACCGCCGCGAATACCGGGGGCTTCAAGGCGGATGGTTGGATGATGAGTGCAAGAGGATTCATGTTTTCTGTGTCTCACTGGGAACCTGTATCTCGATATGTGGATCTCCGTGATCACGAGGGGCATGTCCTAAATATCTTCCAAGCAGACAACGGACTGACTGCCCAAATAAATCAACAAGGCCAGGGATTGACTTCTGGTCGCAACGCCAGATAGGTAGGCCCCCTCTCGCTATAGAATCAACAGCAACAGTTCGCCTCGTGCGGCTGTGTATTGTACCGTAGCTCCGTGTCAAGGCTAATGTGTTCCATTGGCGAACCTGGGTCTGGTGGTACTCCAAGGATATTATCGAGTACTGCGACTAAACTCCTGTAGCTCCTTCCATATAGATTTGGCCCGTGGGTAGTAGTTAGTTGGGCTTGGCCCCAAAAGAGAAATTAGACTACTAGGAAGAGGGGCCAGTGGCCGGACTGTGCACGGCCGGGAGTGGTGGGTCTACCAGGAGAAACAATTTCATCTTCCCAGATTAATTGTGATTCTGGCCCCCCACAGCTGCGACTTGCATGCTTAGTGCTTTTTTGGGGGTTGGGGGGCCATCCAAGTCAACCAGATTATAGCATACCAGAGAGGCGGGGGCAGTGTCAGATTATGCCAGGTTTTCCGAGGAGGCTCTCGGTCAACCCGGACCTTCTGACGCCATTTCCTTATCGCACGTTGGAAAGATATCTTACAAGTAGGAGCCCTCCATTTTATCCACGCTCTGCCACGATGTAAACGGTACCCACTACAGCCCAGTTCTCAAGATTGGGAATTGAACGTGTAAAGATGGCTCTCCTACAGCAGAACACACCAAGCACTCTGGCAGGCGCGCCAGGACACCAGTCCAACTTCGCTCCGCAGCGCATCCCGCCTACAGTGCAGCAGCCCCTCATTTCCGCCTCGGCGCCTGCTTCGGCTCCTAGCTATATCAGTGAGGCCACTCGGCAGCTCACACGTCTTTCGAAAGCCGTCGGGCAGGATGAAATCAAACGAGAGAAGCTCCTCCACGCCTTGAGGTCTGCTGGTGCCGAATGGGCGCGGAAACCCATACCGCTAAGCCTGGACCGTTCGGCTTGGGTCTCCGACGTCAGCAATGATCACTCGCCGTATGAATACTCCTTGGCTCTGTCCCAGCAGACTGGCGCGTCGGAGCTGCGGTTCTTGATCGAGGCTCAACCTGAACAGAACAGCCTGGCCGCCCTCCAGGAGAGCACGTCGCGTTTAACTGACGAAATCATGACTCAATACGGCCCCGAAAAGGTCTCTGTGGACCGGTTGAATCTCGTGCGAGATCTGTTTCTCCCCGCCGATGCGGAGGGAAGGCTGGCCGCATGGCACAGCTTTGCGACTTCCAACACTTTGGAAAAGTGGAAGATATACCTCAACCCCGTCGCCGCTGGAATGCAGAATGCTTGCCGCGTTATCCGACAAGCTCTGGAGCGCCTGGGGCTGGCCCACTCGTGGGCGCTCTTGGAGACGATCCTGACCGACAACGACTGTCCCATCTATTTCTCGCTGGGCTTGTCGCCGAATCCCGAAGACGCCGAAGTCAAGGTCTACGTTGCACACTTCGGCGCCTCCGCCACGCAGATCGCGCACAAGCATGTCCAGATGGATCGCCAGGCCAGCATTCCTGCCATTGAGCAGTTCTACCTCGCCATGGGTGGTGGCTCACTGGGGCCTTACCGGCGGAAGCCCGGGCTGTCGTGTTTTCATTTCAAGAACAGGGATCCCTCTCGGCCGGCGGCCCGGACAGTGCTCTATCCGATGGACAGCTACGCAGTCAACGATGCTGACGCGCAGCAGCGCGTCGAGACGTACATGGATGCAATCTCGGCGCCGCAGCTCTACCGGGAGAGATATAGGAGTGCCATCCGCGCCGTGCAGCGTCGGCCGTTGGAGGCCGGGCGTGGCATCCATAGCTGGGTTAGTATGAAGGAGAAGCCGGATGGCACACGGTCCAACACGTTCTATCTCTCAGCCGAGCTTTTTGGATGCCTGGGCGATGATAGCCTCGCAACGTACTCGGTCGATGAGTCCCTGTAGATGAGTTGTCGTTGTTGATAGAAAATATGAATTACCTTTCAATATTTATATTCAACTTGTGCATTGTAGATTTAACGTAGCGCACTTTAATGATTTGCTCACTGAGTACTCACCTTAAACATAGTGAACAACCTACGGCAATATGCCACCTAACCAACCTGCCTAGCAATGTGCGGGGCTTTCACCTTATTGAGAATTCGCTCTGCTTTGTCCGTTCAGCATCTACCCATCAAACGCTACTGTTGTTCTGGAAAAGCTGTGGAATCTTGCTCGTGTATCCACTTCGTGGAGCCAGCAACGGCGTTGTGTAGTTGAGTACTTGGATAGGTAGGTAGATAGGCATTGCGGAGGGAGACGGGTACCGTTTCTTCCTCCCTCCACCTCCTCCCACCCCCGTCACCTGTCTAGGCATCTTACACATTTCCGGTTTCCTCTCTCCACGTCTATGGCAGATTATTGTAGCTCAGCACTAATACCTGGGCCTCATATCTCTGGGCATGCGTTCCCCGCTTTGGTCGTCCTCTGCATGTAGTTGTTGGAGATATACTATTGACTTCGCTTACGGTTGCTCGGGAAGGGTCCGAACCGTCATGTATATTTTTCTCCCAGAACGACTACCGCAGCATCGAGTTCGTCGGATGAGGAGATATCCTTAAGAAAGCACCCATTTCACCATTATAAGCAAGCAAACGCACTCCATGGTTTATAGGAGCATCCAGTATGATAAAACAGTACAGATGCTCTTGTCCAAGGACACCTCCTTTAAAGGGGTGCTCCCATATTCCTGGAAGCACGCTGCTATACGCTGGTCGAAAACAGAGTACACATTTTCCAGCTGGTTTTCAACAATTGGGGCTGTGGTTTAGTGGTATAATATTCCCTTAGCATGGGAGAGGTCCGGGGTTTGATTCCCCGCAGCTTCATCTTTTTGCCATTGGGCCATCTTGATCCGAGGGCTGGGGTGGTAGGTTCGACGCGTGGAGGTGGCGGAATCCTTATCTAGTCGGGCTGTTATCAGCGTCGAGTATTGTTTTCTTTTCTTTTTCTTTCCTGCTTTGGGTGGTTCAAGGGTTTACACAGTAGCTGCGAAGCCGTGCTGGGAAAAGCGTTACATGGTGTGGAGATAGAAGCTCTGCTAACTGCAGTAGTGTCCTTTGTGTAGTCACTGCAAGGCGGTGCCACTGGCGGGGACTCTCTACTATGTGCTCCTTGCAATTCCATCTATGCCTTGTTGAGCGTTGGGCACTTCGATGGGGTAGTTTCATGACCTTACTACAAAAGATCATCTCAAATTCACGATTGGCATAGGAGAAGAATGAGAAAGAAGAGATTCGAGAAACCAAGGTATAAAGGCTGGGTAAGCGGACCACGAGTCGCAAAACAAGGTCCCTCCTTATAGTGAGTAGACCGCAGACAAGAACTATTTGCCACAGATCGCAAGCCTTGTTACCAGGGCAATCCAGCCTGCCTCCAACCTTCACGGGTGAGTCGTAACCATACGATAGGTAAGACTCCTCCCCCCTAAACATCTGCAACCAGTTCTTTCTTCTCCCTCCTCCCCATGAAGCTAAAATACCAGGTGGACTCGCTATGCTTGATCCGGCAGTCCTTATCAACCGATCACGTGGCTGCATATACGCCCAGTAATCCCGGTCCCGATCGCCACCCTTTTGTAGATTCTTGGTATGATTCATGCAGTCCAAACACAGCCCATCGAAGTATCCCGTAACCCGCTTAGCAGCGTCGGCTACTACAGTCTTCCAGTCGTGTCTGCAGTCGAAACAATCTACCGGTTTCTTAGTCTCAGGGTCCGTGTATTCGCGCATCTTGCCCGCATGGAATCGCTTCATCCGGGCGACCAGACCGTTGATGCTGCTGTGCCGTATGCAGTCCTCGAACGGTCAGACGCCGATGCGCTGCAGCTCGCGGAAGAGCTCGAAGACGGTGGGTTCGCAGCACGGGGCAGGAGAGGAGGTTTCCAGCATCACTGTGATCCAGACGAAGAGATCTCTCTGCGCGAGGGTGCGGAGGCGGCCGCGGGCGGCGTTCATTTGCTCTGCGGGGAATTTCATGGGTTAGGTCTGAGTTAGGTCTTAAGAAGATGAGCCCGGGGAACAAAGAATGGCTACACTCACGCAGAATCCGAGGCGGCAGATGCATCTGATGGGCCTTCGTGGGGTTGCGCTCGGTGATATGCTCCTCGCTCCCATAGACCAGGGACTTGGTCGCCTCGGCGAAGAGGGTCGCATGGTTGGACGCCCAGCTCGGGAACAGGATCTGTCGGTAGTAGGTCAGCTCGTCGCCGCCGCACGGCTTGTCGATCTGGGTCTCGGCGTGTTGCGCCCACGATGCAAACCAGGGCCGAAAGTCCTTCGGGTTGAGGCCGTACTTGTCGCAGGCATTTATCAGAACTCATCTCTAAGATTCTGGACTCGAGCACTCCATTAAGGGGAACTGCGCTCCTTGACTCTGCAATATTGGGGGTTTATTGTTACGATCCTCAAGCCCTTCAAGACAGCATTTATTTTAGGCCCCCCACATATGGATAGCGGCACTTTAACTTTCTTATTCCGCTCCCCTGTTGAGGATGATGGCCTGGAAATCGCCGATTTTAAAACAACGCAAAAGCCAGACGGGGAGGGGATCGGGGCAGAGGCATTTTTAATATCAGTCCCTACTTCACCTGAGGAGTATCCTAAGGTAATTGCATTTGCAGGCACTAGACTTCAGCGCCTATTTGGAAGTGATTAAGTTCAGGCTTGCATGTATAGAGTACGTGGTCCTAGCCTCACGGTCTATGATGGTTGTGAGGTTTGATTAAGTATTACAATTATTTACACTTCTTCCGTGCTATTTATACAGCGCTCTCTATAATTAGTTCTCTGGGTATTGTGTTGAACTTTTTTTTGCTTTCACTTCAGATCAGCTTTAATGTTGAAGTTGCTAGCTCTTCGAGCCCTGAATGGCGCTTTTATATTGTTAAGAGAGTGTCGGAGTAGCAATCGTTCAAGCCTCAGACAGTGACCGCTTTAATATTTTTCTAAGAATTTAGCTTTTCTTAACCTCATCTTTCCACTATTCTCAAGATACCGCATGCTTTCCTGATACTTGAATAGGACATGGCTAGCATTGGTTCTGCCCGGGGACTCTTCCATATGTTTTGTACTTTGCAAGATGCCTTTGTTGCTGTTGGTAGACTATAGTTTCTCGAACATGTTCTTCATGCTGAGCGCAAATGGAGGAGATGTGATTCCTGGCCGGCACTATAGGGAAAGCCCGGGAGCCATTTCCTCATCTCTATCAAAAGGTATGAAGCAGTCAAGAAGGAGCTCTTCCAGATAAGGAAAACTCTGGCAAACAACACGCAGCAGACAGCTCGAAAGGGATATTTCCACACTGCACCTGTGCTCGAAGTCGGTAGGCAGCTTAAGTAAATGCTCGGCCAGTCTGATGTTAGCCAATCTGATGCCGACAGCTCCGAGGATGAGGATTGGATGCTCTTAACCCCGGATTACGTATTTCCTGAGCGCGTGCGACTCGTGGAGAACTTCTAAAAGCCAGAAGCAGAGGATTCTGACGAGGATAAGCTACTTGCACGACGGATTGAGACTACCAAGAACATGATTGCTCTTTCGAGGCTCTGCGAGCCAAACCGGCGAGGTAACCGAATTAACTGGGATGTAGAGGATAACTTAAGTAAAAAATTTAAAGACCTCTTACCTGCTGGAAAGAAATTATTAAAATGTTCTACGGATTTTTACATTATCTGTTGCAATCTATCTTAATTTTTATCGTCTAATCACCTCCACACAAATTTCCTGCCAAGCGGAAAGATTCAGTCTGTCGTCAGCTTATTGATTCTTATATCACCCATGCGCATGCCGGAATAGCTGCATATAGCCAGTGTGCCATGGCACCCCGGAATTTACTAAAGTCACTGAATTTTAAGCGCATGCTGTAACTGTAGATGCGTATGATATTAATATTAAGTTATATTATCTCCCAACAAAACATTCCTTATTACAGCTATACTTTTTCCGTGGATAGTACAGCGGAATCAGTATAGTCTGGTAGTTGTTCGGGTATTGATACTCCCACTTCTACTGTGGGTTCTGAGACGGCGAACATTGATCTGTGCTTGTTAGAATCCTATAAGCCGAAAGTTACGGAGCCTCTACTGCATTGTTTAAAGTGCTATAATACTAAAGTATTCGTTGAACAGAGCTTTTAAACATGTCAGTTCTGTATACTAACAACACTTTAGTGAAAGCAAACCTTCAATAGTTTAGGGATATCACCTGGAGACGCCTAATATATTCAGGGCGGCCAGATGGCTAACACTACCCAGGTAAATGTACGCGCAAAGGCCGACTGACTAGGGTAAATTCACGATATAGCTACCCCAGGTGGCATAAAAGCTGGGTTTCGTACTCCGCAAATCAAGGTAACCCTACAGAATCCGGTGGATCGCACGCGCTGCTTTGCTCAACCTTGGAAGCTTGGGAGCACTTACTATTGATAGTGAAGCTGTCGAGTCTCTTATCGAGCAAATTGCTGGCTGTTTTGCAACTAGACAACCCTTGTCCGTCCCGACAACGTTCGGCATTGTTTAACATTGAAAGATCAACTGTAGGCCTGGGAATACCGACATATATACTCGGTGACTATACAAATGACCCCGTACGTGGTCTAAGGAAAAATATCCTACCTACACTCCAAAGGAAGTCAAGTAGCTGGGTTGAGGTGTCGGAATAACAGACAAACGTTTGAGCGCTCTAATGGCCTTTGCACCGAGTCCCGCCTTTGCTGCTTTGCTTCGCTCATCTAGTTCGTCCGCTTCTTTGCTAATTAGTGTCTTATAACCTGGTTAGCCATGTCTTCGCATCAAGTGTAACGACGTATGTAATGAACTCACCACATCCTCACGCCAGCGCTGCAACATTGTATGGTAGATTATGTGATAACGGAAAAGGGAAGCCTAGAGAATAGCAGTGCAGGATTACTTATGGAGGTAAAAGCAGAGAAGAGAAAGACGGTTGAAACAGTAGAGCGCTGAGCGACGATGTTACGCAGGATTACTGTCGCGCCTTCAGCGCAACGACCGGTTTCAACTTACGCATCTCTATTGATTAACATCTGACCCACCTACTTCAGCGAGATCTCTGAACCCGAAGTGTTTATTAACATAGTTATTTTCAGTCGCCCTTGTTGAGTCATCGTACCCAAGTCTGTCGCTGCTACAGTATCTGAAATGTCAACCTTGTTTGAAAAGTGTGCATCCTGTGGCAATAAAGCATCCGGCATCCTGTTCTGTTCAGTAAATGTCGCCTTGTCGCTTCGCTGGCTCCTCCGCGGTAAAAGACTCCAGACCGTTCCCAGCAAAGTCTTAGTAAATATTTGTGAAAGTTGGACTCTTGTTCTTTGATGTCCTCTTGGCGTCACACTAGCACAAATGAACTTTGATTCCATTTTTTCTGAGCCTCCAAATATCTAAGGTCCGTACAACAGGCCGGCTCAGTCCTGGGGGCGGCTCTGATTTCGGTCAGCCACTGCCGGGGTTCGTGGCCTGTTCCAACATATCTGGTCGTAGTCCACGGATTGGGTAAGTTGAGTCTACGGGTGCAAGAAAAGTACCAGTCATCGGTATGTTAACAGTTTCCATCCCACACGAAAGCCGCTGGATGAAGCTGAAAGTCCTGCAGTGAAACGGGCGTCCCGGAACCCTTGTGGAACCAAGCTCTGCGAGAAATGGGGTTCTGCACCCGCGCAGGGCAGAACTTGACATCCAATATACCTCTGATCGGCAATCTTCCCACGGACACGGTTGGAGCCATGTGGAGCAAGTACATCTAATAGAGACTGGGTCTGATTCTCGACCGACAAGGAATCTATCATTCAAATAGATGCTGGTAACGCTACATGGAGTCAGTTCTACACCATTCAGAGCACGGGTTGAGAGCTGTACATACTCTATTACTCTATCAGAAACCGGGCGGCTGGGCAGGCATGGTACACAGATGTAAAGAAATTATGTGTATGTCATTAGGTGGAGATAAGAGGCCCGTTAGCTTAATTGACTCTACTTTAATAATCGCGAAAGACCTACCGTCCTAGAGCAGGTCCAGACCGTAGACAGTAAGGCAGCTGATCTCAACACTTGTACACAGTGCCAGTGTGGAATTGAGTTGCCAAGTTATCTGGGGTACTCACTGTCTCCCGCAAGTGCATTGGTGCGGTAGGCCTGATGCAACTGTAGAGGAGGGAAGGCACGTGGTTCAGGCGACACTGGTCGTCATGGCTTGTACAGAGCCTCTGCCCACCGACTAAGACTATTGGACCAGGATGGGTTGAACAGCCGGTGCTGAACTGGCCCCTCCAAGAGTCCGTGTTGAAATGAACAGCATGAGAGCTAAGATAGTCCATGTTAAGGGGCAATTGGGCAAGGTCGATCAACTGTGTGACGCGATCAACCGACATATTCAACTGATCAGTTACTAAACAGCAGTTGAACAGAAGTATATAGCCAAAAATACTGATTAAAAGTACTGCTTCAGCTGACAACAACAGCATAACCTAGACTATACTAGCGCGGTATAGTATAGTACTATTATTCTAGGTACTAGTAAAGCGGTAACGTCCAAATCGGGCAGTTTTGCTTGCACATCGTGATTAGCCAACTGACTACTTTATGTCATGTGAATGGCCCCCAATCTTAGTGCCCATGAGTGGTATAACTGTTTCCCCCACAGCTTCATCTCTCTTTTTCAGAACATTCCCCGCCCGAACCCCCATCTCTACTCAACAACATGAATGATGCCGACATCATAGCTTCTACGCGACAAAAAGGTCGTATCAAGAGATCGAAATTGGGATGTCGAACCTGTCGGTAAGTTTTGTTTCATCAACCCAACCCCTGTCAATCCATCCAATCCGCTCACATTATATCCTTCCTCATCAAGTTCTCGTCGTATAAAATGCGATGAAACTCCAGGGGCATGCAAGAAATGTATTTCCACTGGAAGGCAATGCGACGGATATGATCTGCGCATAGTGACTCATAAGCCCTTCTACAATACAGGTACCGTCATCCCTCGAGTAACAATCCCCGGCATTCTAGCTGCATTGAATTCGGAGGAACGACGTGGCTTTGGCTTCTTCCAGCACTGCACAGTCCCGGCGCTAGCTGGCTTCTATGACTCTGTTCTTTGGGAGCGCCTCAGTTTACAAATAGGCCATGCCGATTCGGCCGTTTGTCACGCATCCATTGCGCTCAGCGCCGTACATTGCGCCGTCCAAGGGAGTAGAAGCGAAAGCTCAACAACCAACGCCAGGGCTAAGGCCAAGGCTCAGATACAGAGCCAGCTCTGGCAACAATTTGCCTTTGAGCAGCTGGGACGATCATTTAAGCAACTTCAGAAGCGACACACATCCCAAGACCCACAATTCACAGTGACCGTGCTCGTGTGCTGTCTTCTGTTCGTGGCATTGGAATTCACCCTCGAGCACTATGAGAATGCCTTCCAACACCTCTGCAGTGGCCTACAAATATTGGAGAACCAACAGATTCGGGTCGCCAGGGGCCTTGAGCCACCCCTGGAGCCGTGTCTGGTTGAAACCTTCACGCATCTGGATATCCAGGCTGCCTTTTTCGACGTCCAGGGTCGGCCAATCCTCTCAATCGATGATACCACACTCGACCACACTTACGTGACCAAACATCAACAAGGTGGGTGCTGGACCATCGCAGGAATCCGCCGCGCTATTGAGCCACTCGCCGGCGCTGTGGTCTGGTTCTGCAGGCGGCGTGTCACCACAGGCTACGATCAGTCCGCCATCAGTGACCAGACTCGCATCCTTGAACGGGTGCTCCGATTCCTGCAGTTCTTGGACAGCCTCAGTCACCGACCGGGCAGAACGCTCACCATCAAAGAACGTCGATGTCTGAAGCTCCTCCAGCTGGAAGCGTACGGGCTGAAGAACGCGCTCCTGACCATCTCCTTACCGACCCGGCATCCGCGGTTCCACGATTTTAGAGATGACTTCGAGACCGTCCTGTTTCTCGCCACAGAGATTCAATGTCAGGGCTCGTCGGACCTTCCACCGATCTGTCTGGATCTCGGCGTCGTCCCACAGCTGTATACCATCGCGAAGCGTGCCATTGACGACAGACAGCGGTGGCAGGCGGTCAGGTTGCTGCAGTCTTACCCGCACCAAGAAGGACCGTGGAATGCCCATCTGCTGGCTCGAATCGCCATCGAGTCAATATACCTGGAATCCTTGTTTGCAGAGAAGCGTGCAGAAGACGCGACAGGCGCTGTGGTAGTCACCGGGCAGAGCCAAAGCAACGGAAGCTTGCCTGGCTTCGGTGGCTTCGTGACTATCTCACCCGATCAGCGTCGTGCACGCATCTCGTTCCGTGTCCAGGGTGTAGAGAAGGAATGTTCGTTTAACTTAGATGATACGTGTCCGGGAACGGTAACTGCCGGTACTTCGAGGAATGGTCCGCAGCAGGGCTGGCACCGTGTGCTTCCCAGTCACCTGCAGTTGTGAACGCTTTCCGACCTTACTCCTTGGTCTCCCTAAGACTAGTGTACTATTCTGCCTTTACACAATGCTCCCTGGCTCATACTCGTTGGTGCACTATACACCTTCTGTGATCCTAAACAGTGAGAACCAAGGTCCACCTGACACCATGCAACCCATCAACCACACCACACTACAAAAACGACCCACAGCAGCCCTTAACAACCGCACCCGCAACTCGCACACCCCCTACCACACGCATACGTCGTTGTCCCATAATCAACATCACTACTACAGGTGTACCAAGGCCCAACACCACCCTTCCTGGCCGTCCAGCACCACTCGCCTTCCGCAGGTCTTCCAGCAATAACCTCCCGAACACCCATACGGCGCATCTTTGTAGCAGGCCCGTTCCTCGAGGACGCAAGTCTCTGAGCGTGTTTCAACCGCGCTAATCGCCGGATTGGTGGTCAAAATCGAGGGGTTCATGGCGTCGTCCAGCGGAGCCAGCGATGCATCCTTCACTTGTCTATTGCGGCCAAGCGGGTGATTCTTGCACTTGTGAACATCGCTTGGGGAGACGCCTTCGGGGAGATCGGAGGCGGGGACCACCATGACCTATAGGTCGCCGCATTCCACGACGGGATCGGCCCTAGCAGGGGGTGAGAGGGCTAGGGTGGTGGAGGTCAGGGCCAGCATGCTGAAGAGGGTGGCTGGGAGCTTCATGGTGGGGGTTTCGTTTGAGATACATCCCAGCGTATTTGAGTAACTGGGATAGAGAGGAGGGAAGATGAAGTTGTGCCGTGTCGGTGGTTAGAGTTTCAGAGAGGCAGCGCTGGAAACAGGAAATGGGGAATCCTTCAGGTGATTGACGACAACTTGCCCTAGGAATGGCTCACTTGTATAAGGATATCACCCGTTTTATACCTTTGTCTTTAAGCGAGGGTATGGATGAACACGCGCAATCCTTCATACGGCAAGTGGATAATCAACCTCGTGGAAAGGGAAGAGGGGGCGGATGCACTCTCCGAGCATCGTACACTTTCAAACCAGACCATCATCTGCCCACGCCAGAAAGGCTCTCAGTTTGAAATACACCACCAGATTCTCATTGGGGCGTGCAAGCATCGGTCACCGACATTTCGCGAGGCGTGTTGGGCTGTATTCGTTGGCTGGCTCATACCTAGGACATATCACGTCTTCAAAAAGGAAGTGAAAACCGACACCCGAGAACACCTGCAAGGCTTTTGCAGTTGGGGGAATGCTAACTCTTTCTCCCAACAAAGCATTCCGAACTACCATTTCCTAATAGTGAGGGTGGGAGGAGGACTCTTGCCATTGAAACGGATCTGATTGTGCATCAACTTTGTAGTCATCCGCTTAGTTTATGATATGCAGGTTGCCGGGAGGAAGCGGGGAAAGGTGGGCTTAGAACATGACCGATAACTCTAGGTAGCTTCTCTGGCCACGTGTTTTCCATCCGCCCAGGGCTTATGTGGAGCCTTGCTTTATAGTGCCTTAGGCCGCGATGTAATATGTATAGTGGCTTCAACGTTAAGTAATGTTAACATTCCTTGTAATTGATATAACCTTTATTTAAAGGCATTAGGCTCCCAAGATAGTATGATTGAATCAAGGATATTGATAATCAATTCTACTTCTTTCATTTTCTTATGGCCTTGCCTTCCAAAGTTTATATAGTTAGTTATCTTCAAAGCTTTCTTTCTTTCTTTTCTTCTTCTCTGCTACATAGAAATGACTATTCAGAGGTTAGTTACAGCTAAAAGTACTGAGGTTTAAAGCTAATAGCCAAGAGGGTACTAACTAGTAGGAGGAAACTCAGTCCTGGTATCCGCCCTGACCTGAGCACCAAAACCAAGCCCAAGCAAACAACCATGAACGAACCAAAAGCTATTCAGCGTCGCACCAAAACCAGCTCCCTTCCCGTTGCGTAGCCACTTGACTGATGACTGATTTGATTCCCGGAGACCTGTGCAAGGATGAGCCCAGTTGGGTCTTTGTCTGCACTAGGCTCCAGTTTTACACTATCAAAGGATGGGTTAGGTAGGGAGTCCCTCCAGCTGAGTAGTCCAAGATCCTACCTAGGTAAAGTACAGTACCTAGGTAGTCGCCGAAGTTAGGTACAGTACCTAGTAGCTAGCTGCCTAGAGGTTTAATACCTAGGTAAGTTGGAAGTAAGCCGCACCTACTGCATACAAAGAAAGCCAAACCAATCGGGCTGGCTCTTTGCCGCATACGACCACGACGTCGCCTTTTTCGCCTGGCTGTAGCATCCTGTAATTACTTAAATACAGTCTGACTAAGAAGTAACTCAGGGTTTCTTTCACCTTGAAAGAACCCTGCTGGGCCCTCTTTCCAATATTCCTCTATTTAACTCTCGGACGCTCCCAAACTCCACCCAAATCCATCCTCGCCCATCTGACAAGGCACTCATCAAGACACCCATCAAGACACATCCACCCTCGCCAGCTCATCAAAAGAGCCATCAGACACCACTCAACACCCCAACATCCCCCACCTACAATCCTATCGCTCTCCACCACCACCCCAAAATGAACCTTAAAACCTACCTCCTGCTCACCATCTACGCAACAACCGCAGCCCTAGCAGCCCGTTCCCCAGCAGCCGGCCCCAGCGCGGAAGCCGAGTGCGGCGCGCTAGGTGTGATGGAATACGACCCTGCCGATCTCCCTGAGGGAGTCTCCCCTGCTGATATCCGGCTGTGCAGGGATCATCCGCTGGGGCGATTTGCGGATCCCGGTGTAGCGGGCGGTGGGGTGTTGCGGCGGCTGTTTTCGGGCTGGGTTTTTTGACCGTTGTCTGTGCCTAGGATGAGGCTGTGATGTTCGTGAGTGTGCTGAGATTGAGAGGGGGAAAGCATTGGGGCTGCATTGGTATGTTGTTTATCACCAAAGGTGATTCTTGGGAGGGGGCTGTGTGTTTGTGCAACGGGTTCATCTCTGATTTCATTGCGGGTTCTTGCTGATGTTATCGGGAAGGGTGAATGGGTGGTGGATGGAGGTTGATAGAAAGCCTGAATTTATTCTTGTGGAACCTCGACCCGCTCTCTTCTTCTCGTGTTTATGATCATAACAAATCGGCTTCCATCGCCAGTCACGATGCTTTCAGTGGTGGTCTTCGTAGTAGCCGCGCGGGCATGGGCACGGGTAGCTTGTAGGAGGTTGGCGAAGCGCGGCCATGCGCCTAGGACATCTCTTCCGATGGGTACTGGTGGATCTGTTCGAGCTCGTGAAAGCCAGTGGACTGAATCCGATGAGGAGCTGGAGGTTGCAAGGGAGTTATTGGGAAAGGGAGACCCAGAGGATGCTGTTGCGGCAGTGTTGCTGTAATAGAACACCGCTTCTTCATTACCATCAAGCCTTTCTGCTGTTATGTACTACAACCGACCTGTCCACGATAGTATGTCGCCTGGATAGCTTCTTATCAACTAGTAAACCCAGCACCGCTTCAACCTCTGCTAACAAGTCAGACTGAATGTGAGCGTCTTTTCTCTGATCCAATTGAGAGCCTGGAAATAGTTTTCTTACTGGAAGAACGACCAGCACCACCGAGGGAGCGGTGGAGGGGGATAAATCCCCAGCCCGAGAAGAGGCTTACCAATGCAACTTGGGTGGCCGTCATATCTGGTCGAGAGATATCTGCTTCGTGGTTTATATCGTCCGAACCCTTTATCGATACTCTCAGGCATCAGCTATTCTACATCAGCCATCCCGCGACAGGTTACAAAGAGTCAAGCCCATAGTCTCCTTCCTCGTCATTCAACAGCTTCAGCGACAAACCACACGACTCAACACGGATTTCCACTGCTACTACCACCGCGCCATACACCATCCCGTTATCGTTCACGCGAATCGGAGCCCAGACGTATCCCGATGGACCATCGCTCCAGCGAGCCACGAATACTGTGCACTGTCAAGCTCATACTTCTCCAAATCACATCCAAAAGAGACGACGCTCAAGCCACTCACCAAGCAGCCCGTCGTGTCCCAAAGCGGAACGCTGTGACCAATCATGAGAGGAGCATCGAGCGACTTCCGAAGGCCTCCGATCTGCGCACCGAGACTGGCTAGAGGCGATGTGTATTGACAATCCGTCGCGTTGAATAAGGGCAAGACTGCCACATTGATTGTCTGAAACCGGCTGATTATTGGAGGCTCGCGGTTTACGGCTCGGCCCGCCCACCGTGTGCCATAAATGCGACAACATTCGCTCATTGTTGGTTGTATAGAAGATCCACTCGAGTGTTCAAGGCCTGAGCCCTCCCATTCAGATTCCTTCCTCTATATCGCATCCAACCTCTCGAAGATCACCTCCATCATAGAGTATGATGTCATCCCGTTAGACCAGCCAAAGTAAGTTGATCGAGTCTAAAATGAAGGACGACAGTATCCAGGACTAAGTTAGATCTTTCTGGTATCGGGAATAGCGAAGAAATGTAGGACGGAAACCGAAGAAGAGGAAAAGCCGGCGAGTGTAGGATATCATCTTGCTGCTTGTGCGCACCGGGCGTCGACCATCGATACTCGAACGGCACGGAGACATCAAGGACCGCTCCTATCAGCACTTGATCATCAGAGGATTAGCTTTATACCATGAGCATTCGCGACGAGCTTGGCCAGAGGTCCACATAGAAGTTGGAGATGTCGAGCGACAATGCTGCAGGACCGGGCTTCGTGTGCGGAGAAAGAGCACGAGCAGGCTGTCGGATTGAACCCTGGTGTAGGCAGTTTTAGTGGTTATATCGGATGCTGTGGCAGCAGGCTCCTTTGTCTTCTGCGCTCAGGACTGGGCTGGAGATGGACGTGTCTGCTGGATAGCCAGTGCCTTTGATCGTTCGTGAATGGGCGTGTTGCATTCGAGAGGTGGCTCAACGAACAAGACCTTGGTCTAGTTGGTGTGGGTAGGAGAACAAGGACCTGGAGAAAGATGATTCATTTCAGAGCGGAGGCTCCATTCTGATCAGTCACGCCTATTGCCTGACACAAAAGAGCATTGCGGACAGCTTAGGTACGTAGTAGGTAGAAGCAAAACGATCCGCCCCATTGCTCTCCGCAGGTTTCCCTCGACCTCTGCTTACCCCTTCCTCCTTCCCTTTCTTCCCTCATGGGTAGTTGAAGGTCAATTCCCCCCTCCACGATAGCTGCATTGGTGTTACTGGGAGCTTGAGTAAATTTGAGAAGATTCCTGCCGGTCACTAGCGTAACTGTACGGCCCTGAGGAAGCCCGCCCCGAAACTCTTCCACCCTTCGCATCTCCATACAGCATTCTCCTTCAACTATATCCTTCTTCTCTCTCTCTCTTTCCCCATTCTATCAGCTCGTCGTTCAGATTACATTTACGCTCTACCTGCCTCAACGTCCCATTTGGAGAACGGATGTCAATAAAAATGATTTTGTTAAGCTAGAGTAAACACTAAAGAATAAAAAACTAAAGTATACAAAAGAAAAAGAAAAGAAAAAGAAAAAAAAGAAAAGAAAAAGAAAAGAAAAAGAAAAGAAAAAGAAAAGAAAAAGAAAAGAAAAAGAAAAAGAAAAGAAAACAAGAAAAAAAACCCCCCAAAACCAAACCAAAACCAAGACCAAGACCCAGACCAAAAAAGAAATAAAATAAAATAAAAGAACAAAACCAAAACAAACTACATCAAGACGAACGAAGGTCGTCTTTCTTCAAGCCGAAGAGGGTCCGCTCCGCCCCGGACCCTCTTCGGCTTGAAGGGGCTGTCGATGTTGCTGTCCCAGGACAGCTCGGTGAGCCGATGGCTCCAGTTACTCGAGCATTGTCTGCTCGAGGAGTCGTACTCCGACGGAATGTCGAAGGCGATGGGCCGGTGGGCGGGCCTGGCGTTGTTCTGGAGGGGGGAATCCCCCCTCCAACCCACCCAACTGATATCAATCCCAGCCGCTGCGTACCGGGCTTTGGGATCACACTCGCTGTCCGTCTCGTAGTCTTGTAGCCGCGGAGGAGATGAGATCTCGCTCTCATTCTCATCGATGTACTTGTTGATTTGGCCCATATGTTCGTCGTCCGACCAATCTTCGTGATAGCGCTCGCGACCGTGGTTCCATGATGTGAAAGAGTAAAGCGAAATCTTGCGTTTGCCCGGTTCTACTCCAGTGATTCTATCGATCTCGGCGAGAGACCGGTGTGTCAATTTGCCGCTTGTTGGGGCTGGAGTCTTAGCTGCCGCCGCTTCTTTATTGTTGTGCTTAATCGACGGCTTTTTCGCATCAGCATCTGCTTTCCAAGTCGTGTGTTTGACGGACTCCATAACCTTCACATGACTCGACTCTGCAGATCCACTTGCCTTCTTTCCAAAAGCGCTCTCTTCGGCTGATCTCTGGGCTGGCTTCTGCAAAGCAACTTTGACATGTTTCATGACATCCGATTTACCCAAGCTCGTAGGCTTGCGAATCGGCTCCAGAGCAGCTTGAACATGCGGTTCATCCAGACATGCAGACTCATCCACTGATTCAACTTTAACAGGCTCCACGACATCCACGCCATCCGAACCTGCAGGCTTGACGACCGACTTCATCAGATCGAGCACAACTGGAACAGGCACCAAGAGATCATCATCGCCCAAAATCGCGGCTTCGCACACCAGCTTCATTAGATCGACAGCGACTTTGACATGCTCCTTGACATGTTTCTTGGCATTTCCCTTGACAGTTTCCTTGACAGGGGGAACCAAACTTGCAGGCTCACATACTGACTCAACCTTGACAGGCTTCACGACATGCACAGGATCCAAACCTGCAGCCTTATGGATCGACTCCAGCAGATCGATCACAACCTGAATAGGTTTCAAGAGATCCAAGTCGCCCGAACTCGCAAGTTCACAAACCTGTTCCATCAAATGAACAGCGACTTCGAGATTTTTCATGACAGGGGGATCACCCAAGCTTTCAGACTGGAGGACTGACTCCATCAACGCAACTGCGGCTTGGACATGTTCAACAACTGCGATGTGTCCGGTAACTCCGACATGCTCGTCCATTCCGATATGTTCAACGACTTCGACATGCTCATTCGATTCGATATGTTCAACAACTGCGATGTGTTCGGCAACCTCGACAGGTCTATAGATTCGTCAGCTTCAACATGCTCACCCGTTTCGATATGCTTGATAACTTCGATATGCTCACACGCTTCAATGTGTTCGGCAACTTCGATGTGTTTGACTCCAACAGGCTCAACCGCTTCAATGTTTTCGATGGCTTTGATATGCGCATCCTCTCCGATATGCTCAACCGCTTTAATGTTTTCGATGGCTTTAATATGCTCAACCACTTCGGTACGATAACCAGACACTTTCGAGTGTTCCCAAACGCCGAACTTCTTCTCGACGTTATCGACCTTTTTGTTGACCTTGACTTCGACCTCGCTGATCATCTTGTCGAGCTTCTTGTCGACCTTATCTTGAATCTTCTCGATCTTCTTGACCTTGTCTTCGACCTTGTTGATCTTCTTGTTGATCATTTCGTCGATCTTTTTCGAACTTCTTGTCGACATTGTCTTTAATCACCTTGTTGACCTCGTCTTTGATTATCTCATGGACCTTGTCTTCGATCATCTTAACGATCATGTCGTCGACCTTCTTGTTGATCTTCTGCTCGACCTTGTCTTCGATCTTCTTCTCGATCATGTTGACCTTGTCTTCGATCATCTTGTCGATCATCTCGTGGACCATGTCCTTAATCTCCTTGTCGATCTTCTTGCCGACCTTCTTGTTGATGATCTTCTCGAGTTTCTTGTCGATCATTTCGTGGACCATGTCTTTGACCGTCTCATGGACCTTATCTTCGATAATCTTGCCGACCTTCTTGTCGATCATCTTGTTGATCATTTTCTCGACCATCTTCTCAACCTTCTTATCAACCTTGTTGGTCTTCACGCCAACCTTCTTGTTGACCATGCTATCAACCTCGTCAACCTTATCTTCACCTTCAACTCCATTCATAGACACAGACACAGACACAGCTCCATCCTTCGCAAGCATCATAACAGGAACCCGATAAACAGCATCAAAAACAAACCCCTTCTTCAGATTCCACAAAAGACGAGACGAGGGCACAACGCCCGACGGATCAAAAGCCGCTCCGATCACAGCAGAGGGCATAGGGAAGATATTGCCGAAAACTCTGGAATCGCCATTCAGGAGTCCCTTTCCAGCGCGAGAGCCCAAAAACCCGGCGGTGTTCATGTTGATTCCGACCATTTTGTTTTAGATTGTGGGAGGATTAGGATTAGGACGTAGGACGGAGGACGTGGACGGGGGTAGTCAATCGGTTGGTGATCGGTAGGTGCAAGCTTCAAGCGTTTTGATAGTTTGTGCAAGTGCAAGTTGTTCGTTCTTACGATGTGAGAGGTGAGATGAGATTATGCGTTGAGACGATGTTATGAGACGGGATGGAGAGAGTTAAGTGAGAGGGAGGAGAGGGAGAAGCGAGAAGAAGAGAAGAGGAGGGATCCAGTCCTGCTGGAGGTGGGTGGTCGATTTGACCCCCAGCTGGGAGGCTTTCTGAACAGACGAGGAAGGAGCTGGACGGGAGGCTCGGGCTGGCAAGTACTGTACAGGTAGGAGCCCAGCAAGTTACAACGACAGCTGCAGAAAGAGGGTATTGGGTACAATACCAATCCAATTCTCACTGAGAAGGCAGGAAGGAAAGACAGCCAGGTCAACGCTCGGTACGTACTCGAAACCACAATACCACACCTCTCCAAAGAGACGAGTAACTAAGCAGGTCGCAATGTGAATGAATCACACATGTATGGTAGAAGTAGGTGTAGTCTTAGCTCGTAGCAGGATTGAGCCCCTAGTATCAGTATATCATGAGCCGCCTTGCGATAGACACAGTCAGGGTGATTGTCATTGCCAATAGACCCTTATAAAAGTCAACATGGTCAGCCTCCTCGGATCTGAACGGCTACAACGATGGAAGAAAGAAAGTTGGCGGAAAGTCTTTTGATTGGGAATATCCAGATCGTGCTATCGCATGCTAGCTATAAGGGCTAAATACGGTATCTCAACTCAACAACAGGAAGAACATGGTCAAATCAGATGGTCCGCCCACCAACTCGAATGCATGCGTATTCAGACCCTCCAGTCAGAGGCTCAAGACAAATATGGTATCAAAGTCATAACGGCGCGAAGAGGGAGCCCCGCGCATGCTCTATCAAATTGAGGTGATGAAACCGTCGACATCTTCAAACACGCAAGGGAAAGTCAAAATGAAAGAAGTTGAACGGGGGTATAAGGTCGTAAGAAACAGGAAAAGGCCAGGGAAAAGGTAGGTAAGGAGTGAAGGTTCATGCGTGGACAGCTTGCTCGGGGGAGCTTGGTGGTAGTTTTGATGTTTGCTCATCGATAGCAGTGCTGCTGCCGGCTTTCGGTGACAGTGGCTCGTCGACGACATTCTTGGGTGTTTCTTGCGCAGCAGTGGAAAAAGAGACTTCGGATATTCTGGCGCTGGAATCGACAACCTCATCAGTCTCGCCCTTCGTTTTGTCGCGAGAGAGGGTTTCGGAAGCTTCCTTGAACTCCTCCATCTCGTCGTAGAATTGGAGACTCTCGCGAGCCCTGGGACTGGTGCTGCGCAGGGAGTGCTGGTAGCGTGGATGCAAGTTGTTTTCGGAAGTAATGGACTCAGCACCGCTGCCGACCTCCGGGTCTGTGGCTCGCGGCTCATCCGATGGGGTGGGTTTCCGCAGTTTCAAGCGCTCCTCAGGTGGCATATTCTGCCATTCGCTACCGAAGGTGACGATAGAGGCCTTCTTCCCATGTACGGTGAAGCTGGCAGACTTCCGCGACAGGCCTTCGCCTTCATGCGCCCCTTGAGTATCATCAAGCGCGGCCAAGCTGGCTGCCGAGTCACGTGATTTCTTGCTCCGGGGGTGGTTGGCGTGTACACCCGGCGCATCGCGAAGGGTGCGGTGAAGGCTGCGTCGAATTCTGCTGGTGCGGTCAATCGAGGGTCTAGCTTGCGTGTCATCATGCCTGGTTTCGGCTTCGTTGTCCTTAGAGGCAAGCGATGGCCTTCGCGAAACGTCTAGTAGGCCGGTTTCCCGAAGAATTCGTTCCTCACCCTCTTCGAAACTGTTGGGAACAGTAAGCTTAGATGCGTGGGACCCGAGGCTCGCAACATCCAGTCTGCTAGCGGCGCTGAGGACGGAGGCTTCCCGAGTAAGTCGGTTGGAACGGTCGGGAGAGCTCGACATGGCGCGTTCCTTAGCAACATCAACAGATAGACGCCGACCAGCACGGTCAGGCTGGTCATACGAAGCGAAGGATGCGGGAATGCTTGGCCTCCTCAGATCCGCTGAAGCAGGGTGTGGCGATGGTTGAGAGATGGAAGGTGGCTTCGCAGAAACTGGATGCGGGGAAGTTTCCCGCATGGGAGAGGTAACTTTGATCGTCTCGGTCTCCTCGCACGGAACCTCGACGGCATTGTTGGTGCTTGGAGCAGGAATCTGCAGCTGGAGACGTGGCTGTTCAGCCACGGGTTGGACTTCTTTCTCTTCCTCGCCCAGGTCTCGAACGAGCACCTCTCGGTAGCATCTGGTGCGCCAGATGTCCTGTCTCACCCATTTAAGCTTCGCAGCCATGCGCCCGGCCGCCATAATGACCTGCTCGCGAGCCCTGGAATGCACGGGGGTCAACACCTGTAGATGTCTCGCGTTCCGCAGCAGATCATCGAGCTGCCTCTGGCTGACGAATAACTTTTCATTGGCCTCTCGGATTTTCTGGCGCATCAACTGGGTCTGTGATGCGAGCAGGTCCTCACCCATGTCGGCTGCGGGGTTCGGGGAGGGTGGCTCTCTGTCCATCAAAGATGCAGCCGAGCCCCTGCGGCTCATGCGGTTACGCTGGGCCTCGTAATTAGTTGCAATCATTCCTTTGCTTCGAACACCGGTAGTCTTGAAAGCAGCCGCATAGTTGAGCTTTGCCAACCAATCGTTCATATCCGCTTCGGAATTCGCCAGGAAGACCTCTTCAAGAGCGTTCGACCGGACATAGACAAACGCATTCTTGTGCTTTTTGTAGCTAGAATCCAGCAAAGCGACCGCATCTTCGGTTGGCATCATACCATCAGGTTTGAAGTCAGTAAGAGGGGGTCTGAAGGTGAAAGCCCGACGGCGACCTTCCTTTTCATGAGACTCATGTTGGTGAATAAGTGATTTCACCCAGTTCACGTCCCGGAAGAAGTAGAGTTTCGAGAAGGTAAGCAAAGCGCCCCATTCTTGCCAGGGTGACCGGGCCTTCTTCTTCTTCGGGTCTTTGCGCCAGAGCAGCCCGACTTTGGCCACTTTGATGTCCACTAGACCTGGGCTGGAGTCAATCGGATTTTCCATACTCGAAGGCATGAAAGCGTCTGGGCGAGATCGGGCGGAGACGATCTGCAGAACTGCGGATTTCGAGAACGCACGATGGAGACCTTGGATGTCAGGCGGGCCTTCCGTTCCATCACAGGAATAGGTATCGTCGAGATTCATGACATCCTTCAGGCTTGGGCGAAGAGAATCAAGCTTGTTGTCCATGATCAAGGTATATGGATCCACCGGTTCTTTGCCCAAATGATCCGAGCTGGCGGTCTTGAACAGAGTTCGTCGGGGCTTAGCCAGGTGTCGCCCATTGGGATTCGTGTCCTCGATATGGATGAAGGGGGTGTAGGAGATATTCTCATAGAAACATTCAAGGATAGCTTCTGTTATGCCTTCCCCACGGGTATTCCTGACATAGTCTGGCTTCTGCATCTTGCGCTTATTGTTCTTGTTGAAGACATCGGTGTGCAGGATCAGGATCGAGAATGCGATAAAGTAAGCCTGGTCTAACAAGTGATAAAGTCAGCTTAATTCATGGTGACAAATTGATGCTAGTACCTGGATTTGCGAAGATACCAGGATTACATTCGTGGTATCGATCCGCAAAGCTCTGAAGAAATCGGTCAATCTGCTGTGTTTCTTTTGGTAACTCCACCTCCATCAATAGCTTCCGAATAGCCATGTCAATGGGGTCACCGAAGAAGGAGAAACCTCTCATGTACTTGCGCAGTGCATGTTTGTAGAACTCATCGTTTGATTGCGAAAGCACGCTGGCAATAACGCATTTCGGAATGGCACCTTCCAGGCGTTCCAGGTAGGTTGCTGGGGTATCATCCTCTTGTCGGGCCGGGTAAGACGGCATTTTCGTGGCCGGGGTCTCTGCGCCTCGAGCAGCCGGTGACCCGCTTCGCGGAAAGGGTGGCTCGGAATTCTGGCGGAGTCGCTGCGGGATGTTGAAGATGTCGCCGAAGCTTTTCCGTCCACTAGTCGAGGTCGACGTACGTCCGGAGGGAGTGAGATGAGGGGATGCCTGCGGCTCGCTGGAACGCATGTTGGCCAGGGAGTCCAAGGTCGACGAACGCGCGCGCGTGGTCAAAGGGTTTCTATTCCGAGTGGAGGGAGTTGAGTGGGCCGAGTGGGCCGAGTTGGCCGAGTCGTTCCTCAACAGGGGCGGTCGCGGAGAGGCGACACCTGCGGATCGCGAAGGAGATGGTAGCGGGGAGATATTATCCTGGTCTTGCGCGTCTGGTGTGGTTGGCTTGGGACCTGCTTGGCCATTCAAGGATCTAGGCGTGCGACCGTTCATCGACTGTGACCCGGTAGGTTTAGGGGGTAGTGGAAATAGGGGGTTGCGATTTCGCTTCAGTCGTGGCATCCGGAATCGTTTCGCGCTGGATATGGACCCCTCATTAGACGGTACGGTGCGCGCGGCCCCATGATCACCAGAACTGTGATCCGAACGAGACGACTCAGAAAACCGCACGTCAACCACCGAAGAGCGATTCGACTCATTCAGGTGATCCCGACCATTACTTCGGATCGACGTGGTTGACAGACGCCCTGGTTCCTCCCCACTGACCCGATAGATCGACCGGCTAGTATCCGCGGCTTGTGATCCTGTCGAACCCTGGGCGACATGTCGAGGCCTTCCATGGAGGCTACCTTGTTGAATCGGGAGTTCTTCCACTGAAGACTTTTTGTTATCCGGAAAGAATTTGAATTTGGCTTTTCGTTTGACCGGTTCATCGACTTCGTGGCCTGTAGGCGCAGTCGTAATAATAGTAGGAGCTAGACCAGAATGCCCGCCGCAGTTAGACACAGCGAACAGTCAATACAGGGACAAGGACGGAGGCTCACGCGGAAGTTCAGGTATGGGAGGAATATCCTTCTCTCCCTTGGCATAGGATTTGGACAACTGAGGATCCGACGCATGGCGGAGTCTCATAGAAATAAACCGGTTTATGCGCCAATTGGGGCCACTGCCTGGCAAAGGTAGAAGACCCGTATTTCTGGGCCTGGGGCCTGCGTCATCGGTGCGACTGCGCGTTCCCGTGAGACCGTGATCGCCGTGCCCTTCATTCAGCTGTTCGTCAAACTCTGGGCCGGCCAGAGACGGAGAACGAGGAGCCGACTCAGAGCGCCTTGGGTTGAGGTTGGTCGTCGAGAGCGTGGGACGTGGTATGTGCTCGCTATGGCGGGCTTGTGCGTTTGGCTCGAACAAGTAGCTCCGTCGTTTGGCCTCATTGCTATCGGAAGAACCAATCCGCAAACCCTTCCAGTGCATAGTGAGCGTGTTTCCAGCGGACGTGTCTCTAGGTGATCCTGCAGCGCAACCTGTCGAAGAGACCCATTCGAATGTGTATGAAGCTCTGTGTCACTTGCCTCACCGCGCAAACCGTACGACGTCCTATGAGATTGGGGCAGAAGGAAGTTGGCGATGGACAGTTCTAGGGACACTGTGTGAAGACGTCACTGCGGATCAGGCCGATTTGCATCGCGGTCGCGTCGGGAGGGGAATGTCAGGTCAGGCGACAGCGCAAGGACGAGGGGGAGTCGTTGGGTTGCAAGCAGCGCAGTCGTAAAAAGGGGGGAGGGGAGGGAGGGAGGAAAGGAGGCGGCAGGCAGAGTCGATCACCGAAGCAAAAATTCCCGTTTCAAAGTCAAAACCGTTGAAGCTCCCGGTTGGAGCTGTTACATCGCCAAGTGCGTGTACCCAGTGACTCAGTATGTCAAGGCTCGAGAAAAGAATTGGGGTAACGCAGCGAGCAATCGGCCAGATGAGGGGAGAGGTGTGATGGTTGTCGTCGTTGGTCGGGACTGGTGGTAAGAAAGTTTGGCAGGCAAACAGGAGGGGTAAGGAAAAGAAAGTAAACTTTTGGAGGAGGGGGAGTGTAGACGTGACAGTAGGGTAGGAAGAAGAAGAGAGAAAAAGGGAATTGACAAGGAATGATAAGAATGAGAAAAGCGACTAAGAGATGGTGTGTGTGGGGAGGGGGATCAGAAAGGCCGAGACGAAGGGGGGGAGAGAGAGAGAGAGAAAGGGTGGTTGGCGAGGTAAGGATAAGCTGGCGATGCTGACGACGGGCGGCGGAAGTGGAGGAGGAGAACGGAGGGATGGTGTTGATGGCCTGGGAGCCTGAGGAAGTGGACGCAGAGCAGGATTCCAGAAGGGTGACTAGTCTGGTTCCATTGGTTGGCTGTGCCCAAAGAGTTGCCCTCCCCAATCCCGGGCCGAGATTCACACGTGCGGGTGCATAGGTATTAGGTACAGTACAGTAGAAGGTACGGTAGCAGTACACAATCCATACTAGATAGACTAGACTAGACTAGACTAAACTAAACTAGCACTCAGCGCAGGGCTGGCTGGCTTCCCAAGTTCCTTTTTTTCAGCCCCTGTAAGAAATTCTTCCCTAGTCCCGAATTCGTCTACTATCCCCAAGTACTTACTTAGCAGGAGTGATTCAGATTCATCATAATTGTGTAGATAGTACTCCATAGTATGTCTCATACTGGATGCACGGGTGAAACTGCCCGTGGTCCCAGAATTGTTTCTATCTTTATCAATGGCCTAGCGAGCGATCCTGACAGTTCTGGCGTGCGTTATAAAGTGCTTGTCTGGGAGCCCTCCCAAATATAGAGAACGACGGGCGCAAGGATGGATCAATTCCTCTCCTAGCTAGGATGATGTTCTTGGCCCCTTTTTCTACCCCAGCAACGACCCATCTTTGGTGGACAAATCGACACACCAAATATAACTTGGTTGGTAGAGATCCTTCCCTTTTACCCTTCTCTGTGTGTTCGAACCGGTCTTCGTATTGTCGTATGTGGGATGGAAAAAAACCCGCACCCGCAGCTGGCCGAGTCAACGCAATACTATCTCACGTGACCGAGGTTCTGGCCACGTCAGGCCCCCCAACTGTCGTCATCTGTCTTTCTTCCCCCTTTGGACGCCCCCTTCGTTAACTGAGGGGGGAGAAGACCCCCTGCCCATGCCCACTAAAGTGACCCTGTTTTCTTGTTAGCTTTTGCACACTGTGAAAGCTGTAGGGAAAACTCTCTTGCCCACTCTCCCCACTCCCTTCCCCCAACATCCAGCCATGTCAAACATTAATGTGACCATTAAACTCTTGGAGACTTGTACCGGTACATTTCAATTGGGGGTTTAAAGTGCTCCATTCCGAAAAGAGATCCGAAAAACAACCGCAGGGCTATGGGGAAGTTGGGAAGGGCCTGGCCAGCCAGCCAGCCAGCCCCTGTCCCCTGCGAACCAAGGGACACCCAAAGGAACCGATCCACCACACAGAATCTCTCCTCCGCGCACATTTAGAATACATTAATTGTATGTATGCATGGGATTTAATTTGTAACCAGATCATTTATCGGTCTCCTCCGGCCTCCGCATGCAAGATGGCGTCAAACCTAGGCCTTGGCAAGCACTCGTCTCGGAGGTTTGGTTTGTCAGTCATTAGCGATACAGCCGGGGCTGTCAGGATCAATGTTCCGTGGGGGCTAGACTTAAGGAGCGGTTTGCATGCGGCGACGCTCCTAGCCTATCCTCACCGCCAAAAGTGCATTGCTACTCGTAATTGGGAGAAATGCTCTCAGAAATTGGAAATAAAGCAAAACCACGACAACTGTGCAAATACAATTATTCGCCTGCTCAGAAACATGCGCGCCCTGGGTATCTATCCCGCTACTAACGCCGTGCGAACTAACTACCTGCCCCCGGGTAACTAGTGGTTGAGATAAACAAATGCAATCAATAAAAGGACAAAGCGGAGCAACAGACTCGGCAATACACAACCACAAAGATGAGCATCGACACCGTCCAAGATACAGCCATTGAAAAATCTTGAAGCATGTTTTGATGGCAATCCTCTCCTGCCGATATATCAGGTCTTCAACTCACACAGGTTCTCTAAAACACAACGAGAACGGCTCTTCGTGGGCAACATGCAAGCCGCAACCGTCCGCAGCAACCTGCAGAGTCTGGGCGGGGAATTCATGGGGATGGCCTCCACCGCCACTCGGCTCTTCCCTCTTCTCCTTCACCGTCGGCAAGGGGCATCTGCCCTTTCGAGGTTTTTTCCTGCATTTCTCCGCACGGAGAGGGCACTGCGATGAGAAATGGGAGCCCATCACCCCGTGATAGCGGCACCAGATGGTATTGGCGTCCTCACATAGCAGCACTTCACCGGTCGCGTCTTCCGCCTCTGCCCACACTTGCGTTTTTGGCGCGGACGCAGCTTACTGCTTTGGTCATCCTCGTGTGTTCTCTCGCCGGTCAAGGATGCTAGGGCTCTGTGGGTGGACTCTGGGATCATGAAACCTGCCTGTTTGCCGAATTCAATGAGCTGGAACCTGAGATAGACGTCTGCCATGTCGACCATGGCTGTTTGTTTGAGTTCAAGGCGCCGATAGCTGTTGAGATGCTCGACCCCTTCGAGGGCGTCAAGGAAGAGGTAGAATTCGCGAATAGGCGTGAGCGGATGATGCTCCCGGAACTCTTGCACGAGACTGACCCAATTGCGGAGGAATACAATGTAGCCAGTGTCTGGGTTATATGTTGTACTTCTAAGCTTTTCCCAAAGCTCGATCTGTATCTGCACGAGGGATATCAGCGAGGCTGTCAGGAATGTAGATCGGCATTTACTTACTTGTGTGGATGTCCTCACAGCATGCTTCATCTCTTCATCCATCTCTTCATCCATCTCTTCTTCCATCTCTTCTTCCATCTCTTCTTCCATCTCTTCTTCCATCTCTTCTTCCATCTCTTCTTCCATCTCTTCTTCCATGTTCACATCTGTCTTGTTCTCCATGTTGTCATCGGTGTTTTTCTGCATAGTTTACTCCGTGAACTCGAGCTAAGTAGAGGAGCGGTGATGTTTAAAAAAACTGCGACTATCGCCTGAGACGACAAGCTGCTTTTGAAGAAACCCTTGAACTGGTGAGTCACTGGACCTTGACGACGTCCTCACGTCACACACGCAGACTTTGTCATGTAGAGGAAAATTGCTCGATAGACGAAGTCAAGTAAGGTGAATGTCGTCCTTGTAATCGACACGATACGTAAAGAGCAAATCATCTGCTTTGAGGTCTCAGCTTGTGTTAGCAACTTGATAGCAACTTGGAAGGGACCAGGCAGTAGAGCTGATTTCCCCATTCGGCTGTAGTGCGCTTTTCTATGTAGCCTTTGTGCGCGCGGGTCACAGGTCACTGACAGGGCACCATTCCATAACCGGCTAGCGCAAATTGACTTGGGGGTCTCTAGCCATATTGGGGTTAGTGGCCGAGCTGCCGCGGGCCAGTTGAACGACATTAGAGCAAGATGACGGCCGTGTACGGAGTACTAACTAATGAGAAGTTTGCTAATGGGCAGCGTAGCCTGGTCTGATTGTAGTGTTCGATACGAGAAAGGGTCTATCTCCAGTATGCTCTGTTTCAGTCATGCCTCAAAGATGGAGAGTATCTCGCCGGTAGTACTGCAGTGGGCATCTTTCGCAATGCCTTCCATCTGATAGACAAATGATATATATTCGACCTATGCGGATATCCAGATCAACCACCAGTGTGCGAACTTTATTATGAGCGGTAATGAATAACATAAGAAATCGCTCAGAAATTGGCTGCTCTATAATTATGATTTGGCTTTATAGCATCGATACTTCCCAGCACGAATTGTGTACCAGCCAAGGCACAAGGCTGCGTTTAGCGGTCTGATGCCTGAGGCAGCAAGCACAGCCGCCGTTGCCGTCATTCGCTCACCCTCGGCAACCATCTCACTATCTTTTCTCCTCGCCTCACTCACTGCGTGCATCTTTGCTATTCCCTCAATTATTCACCAGACATCCGTCTGGGGAATTGCTTGAGTCATTTCAAAAGCTTAAGCAATGTACTCAGCCTTCACTATGCGTCATATCCTGTCCATAGTCCTGCTGGTCGCATCGGTCGCCCTGGTATCCGCCGTCCCCGCAGGCTCCAGCATCACTCCACCGCCGCCGATCGAGCCCGTCCACATCCTGTCCTCTCAGCCACCAGATACCCGGAGGCCATGGATTCGATTTCGAGACTGGGTGATTGAGTCCCTCTGGAGTATCCCGAAGTCGACCAGCAGTCCATTGCGCGGACACCCTCCGCCAGCCCGGGCCCTGGCGCGTTATGGCAGCGATGTGGTTCTGCGGTTCACTCTGCGCAACGAAGAGCAAGCGGAAGCGCTCGCTCAAGCGGCCGATATCTTGTTCCTTGATGTCTGGGCATCCACCCCTCAATTCGTGGATGTCCGCTTGGCCCAGGGAGTGGTAAGCCTCTGACTCACTGAGTACTGATTGTTTGCACTGATGCTGATAACGCTTGCGGCGCCTAGATCCCCTCACTTCTCGGCCTTTTACCCCAATCCCTCCACACTGCCTACACCCCCTTGATAGACGATCTCGCAGACATGATTTACGCCTCCTACCCGAGTCGCAGACGGGTCGGGCTGGATGGACAATCGGGTCATATCCCATCCGGGCGTCAAGCAACGCAGCTCGGCGACGTCTTTTTCCACGAATACCAGCCCCTCGGCGTGATTGTGCCGTGGATGCGGTTGATGGCATCTATGTTCCCCTCCCACGCGCGGATGACCAGCGTGGGTGTATCCTACGAGGGCCGAGAAATCCCTGCATTACGACTTGGTGTCCGCAGCGATGGTGGCCAGAGCTCGACGCCTCGCAAAACCATTCTCCTCGTTGGCGGGAGCCATGCTCGCGAATGGATCAGCACCTCGACCGTGAATTACGTCGCGTATAATATGATCACCAAGTACGGTCAATCGAAGGCGGTCACCCGCCTGCTGGAGGACTTTGACTGGGTATTGGTTCCGACGCTCAATCCCGACGGATATGTCTACACGTGGGAGACGGATCGACTGTGGCGCAAGAACCGACAACAGACCAGTCTCCGGTTCTGTCCTGGACTGGATCTTGATCGCACGTGGGATTTCGAATGGGACGGCGAGCGGACCCGCTCCAATCCGTGCTCCGAGAACTATGCGGGCGACGAGCCGTTCGAGGGCGTGGAGGCACAGCAGCTGGCGCAGTGGGCTCGCAACGAAACCGAGAACAACAACGCCCAGATCGTCAGCTTTGTGGATCTGCACTCATACTCGCAGCAGATCTTGTATCCGTTTTCGTATTCGTGCTCATCCGTCCCGCCTACTTTGGAGAGTTTGGAAGAGCTCGGTCTGGGCCTGGCCAAGGTCATTCGATATACCACGCATGAGATTTATGATGTCTCGTCGGCGTGTGAAGGCACGGTCACGGCGCGGACTCCCAACGACCAACGCTTTTTCCCCATCGGTGGGTCTTCGGGCGGCAGTGCTTTGGACTGGTTCTACCACCAGCTGCACGCGACATACTCGTATCAGATTAAGCTTCGGGACCGCGGCAGCTACGGGTTTTTGCTCCCATCCGAGCACATCATCCCCACGGGCCGAGAGATCTATCATGTTGCTTTGAAGTTGGGGTCTTTCCTTCTGAAGGAGAACGCGTTTGACGTTGACTGGGAGGCTGAAATGGCGGACACCGGAGTGTACGCCTCGACGACGGACAATTCCGCGCGTGTTGACAACAACGTCCCTCCAGTAACCGAGGCGGAGATCAAAGCCCAGAACAGCGTCCCACTCGACCCTGAGGACTGGGAGGAAGTGGACTGGGAGGAAGTGGACTGGGAGGAGGAACATTCGCTCGAGTTCCGTCGGTGATGGGGATGTCGATTCTAAAAGTCAGCACCTACGATGTGATTCCTTCTCCACCTTCGATAATACCGCTCTCTCCTGATGGTTTGGCCGATAATTCTATGACTAATGATGTGTGTTTTGGCACCGGTGTATATGTTTATCTTTTGGTACAATTCATGACTGTTGATATTTGACCGATCTGACTTCGATCGGGACCTCCCACCATTGTAACTGCTCCGCTGGGCTCCTTGCAGCAATCTATTGGCTGGGTGATGAAGATCCTGTACTGTTTCGGTGCCGACTAGTCTCGACCGCACCTCGGACCTCGTAGGCTTGCCATGATAGTCTATGCTGGGGCTGATAAACTTTCCTTGTGGCCAAGGAGGCTATCGCTCCCAAGCACCCGCAATGAGAGAGTTTTAGTCAGGGTTACATGATTAGAGGGGTGCAATGGACGAATTAGTGAGGAGCATGAGTAATGGCTGAGGGTTGAAGTCAACGGCGGGCTGATAAGCGACGGGCGGATAGCTGATAAGCGGCGCTTGGCGGGCAAAGGCATTGGGTAATGCCAATCCTGCCAAGCCTTCTCCCCGCGGGGTGTGATTCTCTTCCAATTTATTCCAATGCCAGATAGCCGTGCAGTGCCATGGTTGTTCGTTCCGTTCCCATCAACACATGCTCCTAAGGGGAAGGTCGGTTCATACGGGGTATTGCTTAAACTGGGTGGTGAGGCACAGGCAGAGTTACTGACAAACTGGCACAGCCTCTATGCAACATGCCAAGGTGTCCGCCTCAGGTCCAGGCCGGATCCGACCCAGTGGCGGGAAGAGTGAATAAATGACTGCAGATTGCAGCAGGATGCACCGAGGGCTCATGCAGCACACCTCGTGGATGAGGCGTGGAGAGCTGACAGGGGAGCGAGGAGCCTATCGCCTATCATCGGCTGTTCTATTATAATATGGCACCCTCCGATGTTACCCCAGCCTGAATATCAGCCCAGTTGTTAATCAACTAGTGATTCCTGCATTTATTTTCGTCATCCCCGCTGTTTTGCCTTTCCCCTGCACTCTTCCCCTCATCTCTTCCTTCCGTCCTTCTGTTTCTTCCTCTCGTCAACTACGATAACACAACCTCACGATTGACGACTCACTTTCCAGCAGAGATGGGCTACAGAAATGAGCCCCTCTCGAAGGAGGGCTACGCGACCGATGTGCTCACTGCGGAAGAGAGCACCATCCAGGTTCCCGGGGACAATGAGCTGCACCGCGCGCTCAAGGCTCGTCACATTACCATGATCGGTGCGACCGGGTCCTGTCCTACTCCGCACATGCTCGCAGTGAAACTAATCCCAGCTTTGTAGCGATCGGTGGAGCCATTGGAACGGGTCTCGTCATCGGAACCGGATCTGCCCTCGCAAAGTAAGTTCTGACCCCGGATCTGGTGCAAGAGAGTCGCGTGAGCTAACGTGTCCCAGAGCTGGTGTAAGTGACTGGTACGGTGCAGTAGTCAAGTCAAGTCTAACGCTCTTCTAGCCGGCCTCGATTCTTATCTCCTACTCAATCGTCGGTCTGGTGGTATACATGGTGATGTGCGGTCTGGGCGAGATGGCTGCCTGGTTGCCTCTGCCCTCTGGGTTTACGGGCTACGCGGTTCGGTTCTGTGATCCGGCGTTGGGCTTTGCGATGGGTTATACGTGCGTTGAGCATTCACAGTCTTTGGTTCGGACTGACAGAGGGCAGGTACTGGTTCAAATACATCATTGTTACTCCCAACCAACTGACGGCGGGCGCACTCGTGATATCCTACTGGGTCGATAAAGAACGAGTCAATCCAGGCGTCTGGATCACCATATTCCTCGTCTTGATCGTCTCGATTAACTACTTCGGCGTGCGCTTCTTCGGCGAGTTCGAGTTCTGGCTCTCCTCGTTCAAGGTCATCGTCATCCTCGGACTGATCCTGCTGTCGTTCATCCTCATGCTGGGCGGTGGGCCCGACCACGACCGCAAAGGGTTCCGCTACTGGAAGAATCCCGGGGCGTTCAACACCTACATCGACGACGGGGCTGCCGGCCGCTTCTATGCCTTCTGGGCGACGATGGTGTCTGCCACGTTCGCCTACCTGGGCACCGAGCTGGTGGGAGTGACGGTGGGCGAGGCGGAGAACCCGCGCAAGACGATCCCCAAGGCCATCAAGCTGACCTTCTACCGCATCGTGGTGTTCTACATCCTCAGCGTGCTCCTGGTCGGCACCCTGGTCCCGTACGACTCGGAAGAGCTCATCTTCGCGACGACGCAGTCGTCCTCGGCGGCCGCCTCGCCGTTTGTGGTGGCCATCGTGCTAGCGGGCATCCCGGTGCTTCCGCACATCCTCAACGCCTGCATCCTGCTATTCGTCTTCTCGGCCGCCAATTCAGACCTCTACATCGCCACGCGCACGATCTACGGCCTAGCACGGGAGAACAAGGCGCCCCAGTTCCTGGCCAAGACCGACCGCCGAGGTGTGCCGATCTACGCCCTGGGCCTGTGCGCCGCGATCGCCTGCATCGCGTACATGAATGTGTCGTCAGACTCGAAGGTGGTGTTTGGCTACTTCGTCGATTTAGTGACAATCTTCGGGCTATTGACCTGGGTATCCCTGCTAATCACGCACATCTACTTCGTGCGGGCGCGGCGCGCGCAGAACGTGCCCCTAACGGACCTGGCGTACCGGGCCCCGTTCGGGGTATGGGGCTCGTACGCGGCGCTCGTATTCTGCGTGCTCATCTGCCTGACGAAGAGCTTCGACGTGTTCACCCACAACAAGAAATGGGGCAACTTCAACTACAAGACCTTCATCACGGCGTACCTGGGCATCCCGCTGTATCTGTGTCTGATCGGCGGGTACAAGCTGGTGACGCGCTGCTCCGGCGTGGATCCGTACCAGGCCGATCTGTGGACGGGCAAGGATGTCGTGGACGCGGAGGAGCGCGCGTATCTGCGGCGACGGGCGGCGATGGAGGAGCGGCACCAGGGCGCGAACTGGTTCTATCGCAAGTTTGTGGCGTGGTTGTTCTAGGGGGAATGATGTTATGTTATGGATGCTTAGGAATAAATTGAGTCGTAGTTTGGCAATCACCTTGCTTCATCTGTATACTACGAATACAAATAAATTGTCCCGGGGGAGAACCCCCGGACCCCCCTTTTCTTTCAACTTCCTGGTTATACTCAATCTATATCACAGGTTTGCAAAACGTCCCGGGGGAGAACCCCCGGACCCCCCTTTCTTTCAGCTTCCTGGCTACACTCAATCCATACCACTGGCCGTAAAGCGACCCGGGGGAGAACCCCCGAACCCCCCTTTCTTTCAACATCCTGGCACCTAAATGCTTAGGCCAAGTGTGTAAGCGACCCTCCCCGGCCCAAGAACCGAGGTTCCAGGAAGCTGAAAGAAAAGGGGGGTCCGGGGGTTCTCCCCCGGGACGTGCAGCACCCTAGTAAAAAGACACACTAATTCTCGCCCCTCCACCCGGTCCCACCCCGACAGTACGACCCCTGGGAGATATCCCGCAGGATGCCCGGCCCAGAAGGCCTCCACCCCAGCACGCGGCGCGCCTTGTCGCCGGACGCGCGGTTCTCAGCCGTAAGGAACCGCAGCACCGTCTCGTCCATCCCGGCGGCGCGCGCCTCCGCACCAGAGACATCCGCAACCGGCACGCGCAGCACACCCGCGACAGCCCCGAAGATCTGCCCCGCGGTCACAGTGGTGTCCGCACTAGCATTATACACCTCCCCTCCTCCTCCCCCCTCCTTCCTATGTCTCTCGACAGCGAGAAGAAATAAGTGAGCAGCATCATCAACATGCACAACCGTCGTCCGATTCCCGCCCCCGTTCACCGTGACAACCCGCCCTTCCTTCTCCGCTTGAGCCATAAACAGTCCGATCCCGCTCCCGCCCCGTCCATAGACATACGGCGCAAGCCGGATACTGACCACCGGGAATTTGAGTTTCTGTCCAAGAGCAAGTGCAAACGCATCCGTCTTGCCGCGCGTGTTAATGGGGGACGGGTCCAGGGGACTCTCCTCCGTTGTCTCTTCGCCAGTGGGGCTGGGGGCAGCGAGGAGCGTGCCTGAGGCGATGGCGAGGGGTTTGGCTGTGCCGGAGAGCGCGGCGCCGATGGCTGAGAGCGCGGATTGGTCTGTGGACATTACGTCGTCGTAGGAGGGCGTCACGCCGAAGATGTACGCTGTTGCGAGCATGATGACGGCGTCGGCGCCGCGGGCTTCGGTGGTTATTGTGTCCAGCGACGTGAGGTCGCCCCGGATTGGGGTTGCGCCGTGGGAGAGCAGGTGCGTGTCGGTTTCTGGGGTGCGGGAGAGGGCCCGGATGTGGGCGTAGTTGAATGGTGGGAGTTGTGCTTGGGCGAGGATTTGCGTGCCGATGTAGCCGCTTCCGCCTAGGATGAAGAGGGTTTTCTCTTCTTTTTCTTGGGGGGATGTCATGATTCTTGGATGGGGTGGTTCTGGGTCTGGTACTGGTTCTGGTGGTGGTTTTTGTGGTATTGTTTTTGTGGTAGTTGCTTTCGTTGTGTTGTGGTTGTGGTAGTCTTGGAATTTATAATTTATCTCAAGGAGGCCAACCTACCTTTATACCAGTAATGAGATCGTCCGATGCCTCTGGCCAAGCACTCGTATACTTGTGGAGCATGCATGGACTTAGCGGGGTTAGCAGTCGGTAATCAACCACCGTCGGAGGTTGGCTGGTTGACGGGCACTAGTAGTTGCCGTCGGAGTCTGAGGTGTTCCCGGCTCGGAGTTATTGTTAACCCCAGCGGGATTGGCTGGCTGCGATGTACTATTATTTATGTTGGTAGTTAGATACACTTACAACCAGTGATACAGGTTGAGCTATACCAGGAAGTTGAAAGAAAGGGGGGTCCGGGGGTTCTCCCCCGGGACGTTTTATTTGTTGTATTGTAGTATACAGATGAAGTTTAACTATTATACTTTCGATACAGCTATCATGCGCCAGTCCTGGCAGAGGCCTGTCTGGCCAGAAACATCAGTCGCTTGACCAGACAGACCGTGAAATAGAACGGGGGAAACCGGCCCCTCATGTCGGGCGACTCCTTGCGATCGAGGTCCGTGAAAATGTCCACCACGCTTTGTAGCAGTTGCAGATCGTTCTCGTACGACGGCGCGGTGGGGTAGGTGATGATGAATTTGAACAGCGAGAAGACGCCGGTCAGCAGGAACTGAGCATAGATCCTAGACGGTACACTGTCAGCCAGGGTTTATGGAGGCCAGGGGAGGGACAAGACAGAGCTACCAGAAGGTATGCCAGTTGAGGAACTCGCGGGTGCGACAGATGTAGATCAGTATGGATCGTGATTCTTGATGGAAGAGCTCGGCGCTGGATGGCAGGATAGACCAGCTTGGATTGCTGAGGCTGCTTCCGAAAGCACCGCCCGCTTCGTGGATCTTGCCTAACAGAAAGTAGAACTCGAGATGGAGGCACACGCCGCGCAGGCTCAGATCGTGGAACGTGTAATTGGGCGCGGACTCCGTCGCGAAGAGGTCCGGCCAGCAGCTGGCGGGGAATGTCGCTTTCAGCTCGTTGAGTTCCTGGTCTAACTCGCGTATGTACTGCAGACGACGGGCTTCGGGCTGAGCGCGGGCGTTGTCGGAGTAGAGTAGATGGTACACCTTGGATTTGAGCAGTGATAGTCGGATGTCGGAGGGGAAGAGTAGCTCGTCGTTGGAAAGGGGCCGCGAGAAGAATTGATTGTCGGACGACGACAAGACGTAATTGTCTGGGATCTGAAGATCGCAGTCCATGTCGATGAAATGGGGCGCTCGATTGTACCGGATGACCATGTTCTTGTCGGCACCGTAGCAGAACCAGAACAGAGCGCGGAGATGTCTGCCTTCTGCCTCGTGAATGACGGAATATCGGTGACCCCCGAGGCTGAAGATCATTCTCGTAGCGAGAGCGAGTAGCAGTTGGCCTGGTTCGACCTGAGCACCTGGCATGACATAGGTCATCTGGGGAAATCAGCCGCATTCTTCCCAGTTACATGCAGGTGGCATACTATCAAGACAATCGCTTCCAGACTCCGGATTGTGGGCTTTTCCATCAGGAGTCTGGGTACGAGGCAAAGTGCAGCCTGGATGTAGGCATCAGGATCGGCATCGCTGAATGCCGGATCGAGTCGATGCATTACACACATCATCGCAGTGAATGCGACGAGACAGGCCAGATTAGCCGCGGGCACGGTGGCGTCCTGAGAATTTAGCACACCCTCCTCGACCAGTTGACTCAACGCATCAGCATTTGCGACTGGGAAAATAGAATACAAGCCACTCCGGGCATAGTGGTTTATGGAGTGTTTCACTAGAGACGTGGGGGGCCACTTGGGTGACAGCGCCCGCTTCGGACCCGTCCGTCGCTGGAGGCCTTGAAATTGGAATGATTGTGCTGCTTGAGCCAGGAAGTGGTCGAGATCAATTGGAGAACCCGTTCTCTGGTAGACTGTGGAGAAGAACGACGCTCTTTGGATAGAGCCGTCTTTCCCCACCCCGCAGTGAGCAATCTCTGTCTGGAATGTCGCCAGGGAAGTGTCGAGGTCGTATGTATCTGGAAGGTGGTCAAGAGTCATCAAGCGCAGCCATGGGTCTTTTGGAGTGTCAATGGGAGGTGTGCTTCGCTCGCTCAGGTCTGTTGTGCTCGGTTCGGAATTGGGGACGGCCAATTGCGCTTCTAGCTCTTGTATCCGTGCTCGGGCATCCAAAAGCTGACTAGTATCATCGTTAGCCTCTGAATGTGCAGGATACACTAGTACTGACTCTCGGAGGCTTTTTCGTGGTAGATCAGGTTGTTCTGTGAAGGTGCAAGGCACGCCGGCAAAAGCGCAGGTCTCACAGGCAGGTTGAGCATTGTCACAGCGAATCTGGCATACTTGACTTCAGCCTGAATCAACCACAAGACAAGGATGAAGGCAATTACCCACCTTTCTCCGACGACACAGATCACAAGCACTCCGGACTCGACCACCAGCACGTTGGAGTGAGGACGGACCACTCATGCTGGTGGGATATCTTTAGCCAGCCGGAAGCCAACCGACCCACAGAATTTTCTTGATCCTGGCGGTTCCTGGGGGACTTTGCTCAGTCATCGGCTTCTCCGTCCCGACGCGAGTTGATGCTGCGTGGAGGGGAAGAAGTTATTAGGTATACTACTAAAAAGCCCACTTGACTGGTCTGGACGGTAGGATGAGTCAGCGGCATTGCTTGAGCCGACAATTGCAGGGGATCACAACGGGGATCGACGTGGGGAAGAAGAGCAGAGTTGCAGCACAGGGAAGGCGGAAGTGTCGATCGTGCGGGAAAAGGGCCGAGACGCGGAAGCTGCCAAGAGCCAAGTCCGACCACTACTCCGCCTGAAATGCTTCAGCTTCATCTTGTCTGCAGAATGCAGACACTCTCCATCAATCACAGTCCCCCATTTCGTCAGCCAGTATCTCCCAATCTTGGGACTGACTTCACCTTTCCTATCTCTGTGTGTTTTGCTATACCTCGGTGAGCTCTCGTCTCAGAAAACAGCCAAGATCGCCCACGAAGACGATGACGCGTTTACAGGGGCCTCGAAACAGCATCCATAGCTGCAGCGGCAAGATGGAACGCAGACTTCATTGCGTACACATCAAGTATCAGTCACGGATATCCCGAAGCTCAGCAGTTGAGCATATATAAAGTGTCGTGTTGATCTTCTTCGGACACTCCAACACCATCAATCCTTTCAGACTCCCATTGTCCTCAAACCCTCTTCTCTCAATCAATCAAAATGCAAATCCTTCAGCTCAAGCAGGCGATCGCACTTTCGCTGGCCGGCTTTGCAATTGCCCATCCCGGAGCCCACGAGCCTAGCTCTTTTACCGATGTCTCTAAGCGTGCCTTCCTGCACAACGCCCATCGGAGTCTCAGCCAATGCGCCGGACAGCTCGAGAGAAGAGGCGTGCACGAACGTGCTGCTTCTCGCCGCGCAGCCTTGTTTGAGAAAAACAAAAAGCGCTCCCTGGGTCTCCGCGACACAGAGACTGTGGTGAACACCTCGCACCACTCGCCCCTCCATGTGACGCCCAACACTTCCGAGTCGGAGCTCTTTGCGAAGGACCCAGTTTGCATTCTCGCTCCGGAGGGTGAAGTTGGTCCCTTCTGGGTCAAAGGGGAGCTTATCCGCCACGACATCTCTGATGGTCAAGCGGGAGTGCCCATCATCCTCGACGGGCAGTTCATCGACATCAACACCTGTGAGCCCATTCAGGATCTGTACTGGGACGTGTGGAACTGCAACTCGACCGGCGTCTACTCCGGAGTCCAGAGCAGCATGAACGGAAACGGCAACGATGCTTCCAACCTCGACAAGACCTTCCTCCGCGGCATCCAGAAGACCGATTCTGACGGTGTCGCTGGATTCAAGACCGTCTTTCCGGGACACTACTCGGGTCGCGCGACTCACGTCCACGTCATCGCCCATGTGGGTGCTCAGGTCCTCGCAAACAATACGCTGACGGGCGGCCATATCCCGCACATCGGGCAGTTGTTCTTTGACCAGGATCTGATCGCGCAGGTTGAGGCGACCTACCCTTACAATACCAGCACGGTTGCCATCACCATGAACGCGGATGACCATGTGGTCAAGGTCGAGACTGAGGACAGTGACTCTGATCCGTTCTTCGAGTATGCGTTGCTGGGTGATTCGATCGAGGATGGTATTCTGGCCTGGATTACTCTCGGTATCAACGTCACCGCCAGCCACGACTCCAGTGCTACTTGGGCGTCGACTTTGACTTCCTCCGGCGGTGTTACCAACGAGGATTCTTCCAGCGACGTGGAAATGTAAGCCGTGCGCCTGCAAGCCAGAAATGGACTCGTGCCATGGCTGCGGGGTGCCTCAACTGTCGGCCTTCAAAAATATCAAGCTCGTGATTTGCTATGCGGTCTCACTCCACTCTACCTCAGGGCTGTTCCCTATCCGTTCTTTGTTTAGAAAATAGTTAGAAACTAGTCAGCTCAGAAGACAAAGTTGTTCATTATTCGCTACCACAATCTCCCTCGCGTTCTCTTCCTGCGTATCATCGCGTATGTGTTCCTCCATCGTATGATAATGCGCATCCTCCAGTACCCCGAGTAAGACTCCGCAGCTCCTCAAAGATGTCGTCAGGTTTTTGATAATTACACCCGCTTTGACCGCTCCAGTCAATGAGTAATTGGGAGGATGATTATGGTACCGGACAGCCTGGGTCCGGACATTGATCTAATTGGTATTGATATGCAGGTCCTCGGTGCGATAGAAGTTAAGGCAGTGCTGTACCGAAGGAGTTGTCGTTAAGCACAACGGTCTCTGCTTCGAGTATATCTGCATGGAAGAAAGGAGACCTCTCTCCCGATGTTTTGATACAGCAACTATCATACTGCCAGCCCTGACCGCCTGAGCCTGAGCTGGGTGGTAGTGTAATCCGCGCTAGTCCCATCCGGGTTCAAGTTCAGCTGAGTCAGTTGCCAGGTGGTGGTCACTGCATCGATGGTCGTCTTACTGTTCTACCGCATCCCGCTCTGTGCTTACCTAGAGATTCTCGCTCGGTAGTGAAGCCTTTGATTGATTTCCTACACCATGCCGATGCAGACAAGGGGTTCAACAGTAGAAAGCGACAACGCGGGAAGTGCAAAACGGAAGCCCGTCCGCCGAGACCCGGAGAAGAGGAGGCAACAGAATATCCAGGCGCAAAGAAAGTACCGTGCGTGCCAGCCATCGCCGTGCTTAAGTACTTCAATAGGTTGAAACTAACTGCTGGGTTGTGCTATCTAGGAGAGAAGCTTCGTAAGCGTCTGGAGAACCTCGAAGTACTCGCAGAGTCTGCGTCGGAAGCAGCCCTAGCGCATGGATCTGCGATCTCTCTGCCCCACATTCTTACAGATGACGTTCCAAATGCTGAGGCTGCGAGAAACCCCGTTTCCTTTCCATCGGTGGTGGGCCCAGAAGACCCAATTCCACCACTAGACGGGTTCTCTGCACCACCTAGCTTCTGGGAGCATGCAACATGGCCTGCCGAGTTTGATGACTCTTCAACATCGCTGGCGATACTCGACTCTGCTATATATGCACCATCACCGGCCGGCCTTCCAGCATCTAACATATGGGGTTCGCCCATCGACCTCATTTCCTCAGTCTCCAGCTTGCGGGATTTCACCCCCAGTGCTCCACAGTCAAATGACTCCCCATCCACCTCCCATGGCGAACCCTCCTTTCTCATTCCAGACAACGAAAAAGGCGCTTCACAATGCACGATGAGCGTCAAATGCGGCTGTCCAAGCCCGCACATCCGCATCCAGACACAAGGATCCCACCCATTCCGCACGGGCGAGATCCGGGTCCTCAGTCTGGACCTCCCCGCGCAAGTAGCAGACCCATACACCAACCACATTCGCATCGACACGCTCTGCACCGTGACAGCGCTGTACACCCTTGGATTGCATATCGGGGTTACGGAATCGATGCTCTGCGCTGACGCCTCGTTCTCGCCTTTCTACCGGCCGACGGCAGGTTCCGTGGACGGTCTCACCAAAGCAAACATGGTCGGCGCCGTCCAGAGGATATTCAAGACGCTGAAGCCGGATCTCCGGCCGACCCGCGAGCAGATCACGATCGAGCATCACCCCTACGTCGACATCCTGCCCTTTCCGACGCTGCGGAAGAATCTCTTGACTCAACAGGAGGAGTTCGATGAGGATGAGTTCTTCGATGATGTGGTTTCTGGCTTGGTGTGCTGGGGCGGAGCGGGTATGGGGAAGCGGGACAGGCAAGACTCTATTGGGTGTCTGCCAACAGGTACCCCGTGGGATGTTCGCAGTTGGGAGGCTAGGGGGTGGTTTCTGAAGAAGTATTGGGCGCTGCTGGGTGGTGAAGATGGGGAGCTTGTGCGGCAAAGTGAGTGGTGGTGTAGCATCAGGGGGGAGGACATGGAAGTGCATGGTTAGAGAAGTCATTAGCGGATATTCCCTCCTGCACTTGCGTGCTGATTTACGGCAATAGAGTTAGAGTGATTCGTGACGGCTTGCATCGTTTAGCTTAACGCTGACACCCTTACCTACAGGACAGAGTCATTCTGGGACTCTGTAACTCCATACTCTTTGTCAAAAATCAAGCTAACAGAAGGTCTGAAAGGATACTTGGTGGGCCGTGCGTAAGGCAAACCCCAAGCCTGAAGACATCCATCGAACCTTTTCTACTTACATTTTGAGTGAAAGGTTCGACGAGGTACCAACATCGATCAAGTTCGACAGTCTGCCTGAAGAAAACCCTGTAATAAAACCTGTCCATAAAGCCCAACGCCCACAGAAAGACAAATAACACCAAAAGCCAAAAACAAAAACAAAAGGCTCGCCCGCCGTCGCAGGCTACGAAAACCCCTTACCGGTGAATCCCGACAGGTAGAGCCAGCGCCTGGAAGTGCCAGCCGAGCATCGAACGCAGGACCTGGGGTGTTTACCTCTACGATCAACTTGTGAGTTCCCAACTACACCACAGGCCCTGCTGGTTACCGAGTGAAGACCGTTTGTGGATGATATAGGACGCGGGCTTTGTTTCTTGGTTGCTGGTTTGAGAAGGCGGTGCGGTGTGGTTTCTCGGATTGCGGGTGGCAGTAAATTGAGTGCGGGACGCGCTAGACCGCCTTCGGAACTAGCGTGGCGGGCCTGGGGTTGATCGATGGATGTTGTTCTCCATCTCGAGATTCAGTGTGGGGGCACCATCTGTCATGCGAATTCATACTTGGTTATGAGGTGGAATACCTATCGTGCTCATCAGCGTCTCTGTAGTGTTGTTTCCACTGCTCTAACTTATTCTTTGGTTTCCTGGCTGTGTGAAATCTCGTTCCTGAGTTGTCTGCCTTTGTTTACACATAATGCTCGTTCTCTTCATCATGGCACCGCACTATACTGGGCCTTCGTTATCCAATCGTGGCGCATCTGCCATTAATTGTTCCTGCGCCCAATATACGCGACGGCCCAAATACGCAGCGCTGAGACGGATGGGTGACCAAGACGGCCTCAAGGTTGAAAAGTACCTGATGACTACTCTGTACCACGGCGCAGCTGAACCAAGAAGAGTGGCTCCCAAGGTTAGTCATATCTTTCTTCCCACGTCTACCAAGCTATGAGACTTGCTTTGGATGACATTTCATCTGCCGTGCTAACGGTTACAACCTATACATAGGTCTAGCTTTGATGCTATTGAAGTGTGCTCCACGGGACAATTCGGTTTCATGCGCATTGAACACGATCACCACAACTACAGCTCGCTTTGATTGTCTCGTCCCAACAACCTGTCGCGTACTTTCCCGGCTGGATAACGCATCCGGTCTCTTATGGGATCGTTTTCAGCTCTGGGAGAGCGGATGTGCAGGAAGCACGATTGACTGTGCGAGTCTTGATTTGCGTCGACAGACTGCTGGTCAGTCAATGACAGCTCAACAAACAAGGCCACAAGCAGGGAAGGCATCGACTTACAAGAGTCGATATTCAGAGCGAGGCAATACGCATTATGAGCATATAAATCCTCATCCTTGCCAGCACCCTGCTACATCTGATGAACGAGATCCTCCTGCTAAATCGCACAGTCGCAGAAATCCAGGGAGCGACAGAACTATCGTCACCTCCAGTCCATACTACGACTCGCTAATGTCGATAACTGACCTATGACAAATGTCAACGATCCCACCACGCAGGCACGTATTATCATGCTTCATGCTCTCAACGCCAACAACCGGATTACTGGCAAGATTTAAATACCCCTCCTGCTTCACTTGGAGATAAATTCGCTCTCAGTCCAACACCGACGATCAGTTCACTTGACACAACCTATCCTCGCGCTGTACGCGAGTTCCCGTATCTAAGCGCAGTAAGCAGCGTCGTTGTCGATATCAATCACTTAACGCATGGCCTTTTTGAGAGATGGCTTGGCCCATGGGGCTGTTGAGACTATGGATAGTGCTAGTGGCACCAATAGTGACGTGGAATTCTCTGCGCGCTGGGGATGTGCATGAGTTGGACATGTCTTGATCTCGATTACCTGTTGTTGGCGTGATCTCGAACGGTTCTTGTCTAGAGTGTATATTATTGACCGGGTTGCCTGAGGACAGATTGAATACTGCTATTATCGTAACTCACAGCTGAAGTTCACCTGACTGTATTTCAAGTAAATGTTCTGCAAATGCTGCTTTCCTTGTGGCTCTGTTTCGATGAAAATACTAATATCTGTTTCCATTGCACAGGTTTTGAGTGAAATCTTGTTTGGAGACTTGCATTCTCGCCTCACGCCCAACTTAAAGAAGGTCAGCCAACCTTTGATTGTCGGAAAGAGCCGCATATTCAATCGCCAGGACGAGGAACTTTCCCTCTGTTTGACTTGCCCCATCCACCGTTCCATGTCCGCTGTTGCTTATCTTGCCACTTATCATCAACCTTCCCAATATTTATCAGACACTAATACATTCTCCCCCTATCGCTCTTCTTCATCCCACACGTCGTGACTCTCCTCTTGCACGCTTCCATACTCGCACCACTCGTGCAATATCCCAACATGTCGGAGACTTCCAGCTATTTATCCGCTTCGCAAAGCGAGGTGCCTTGTAGAACAGTTAGGGATTTGCCCACACAACTGGCAGACGCAATCGAGTATATGAGCGAGAACACTCTGAACTGCTCCTCGCTGACATGCCAGAAGAGGCGCGGCGAGACGTTCCGCGACCTGCTGAATAGATGCGTCGATTGCAGCCTACAGAACTTCTACACGGTGGACGAGGAGACGAAGGACAAAATCTCAAAGACCCTGGAACAGGCCATCTGCACCGGGACGCTGAGGGACCTCCCGCACTTCATCCGTCATCTCCGCGTGAACATCCGCAAGCTCGACGAGAACGGGGCCAGCCTGCTGCATCTGACGGCGGCGGTGGGCAATTGGCGGCTCGTCGAAATCCTCCTGAAGATGGGAGCCGATCCCACCGTGGAGTTTGGCCCGGCCCACGATCGACTGACGGTGCTCGACTGCATGAACCCCGCGGGCCCATGGCCCCAGCTCACCGCGCGCACGCTCCTCCAAGCCGGGGCCCGGTTTTGCACCGACCGCATCTTCGTCGCCATGCTCGGCAGCTCCCGGTGGCGCGAGAACTTCGGCCGAGCCATGAGGAACGGTACCGACCTGCTCCGCTCGCCCTGCGACACCGCCACCCGCTTGGAGCGCTACCACCTTCTGGTGCGCCACGCCCCCAGCCCCGAGGCCTTCTCCTTCTTCCACAGACACGTCGCCAAGCTCGATTGGAACCACAATCAGGCCGCCCTCATGGTCCTCGACGCCCTGCTCTGCCGCAAGCCCGACCTCGCCTCCTACATGATCCGCCACGGCTTCCCGCTCGTCGTGCGCTGCACGTCCGACCTGCCCGAGGTCGACGAGGCCCTCGATATGGGCTATGTCGGTGTCCTCCAGGACCTGTTCGCCCGCGATGAGCTCCGCGGCTACCGTGACAAAGAACTACTGCTGCAGCGCTGCGAAGCCCGCAGACAGATGCGCGAGGCCGAGGCCGAGGCTGACCCGATAGACTTCTAGATAGACTCGAAGCATCCAAACAAATACCTTGTCTACATTATCCTCCACAACTCTCAGTACTAGATACATCCAACTCATCCAACTCAACTACTAAACCCCCTCCCCCTCCTTTGACACCCCTAACAACCATATAACACAGAGGGCAACATTCATGGGGGGAGAACCCCCCAAACCCCCCCTTTCTTTCAGCTTCCCAGCAATACTCATCCCATGAAATCCAAAGCAGTGTTCATGGGGGCAGAACCCCAAAACCCCCCTGCCAACCTCCCAGGGAATTAACCCCCAAATCCAAACTCAAGCACCAACCTCGGCACCTCCACACTCCCAGCCGGCATCGAGAACCTAAACTTCCAAACCTCAAACCCACTACAGTCCCAAATCAGCACCCACCCCATAGGAAGGAAGAGAAGAACTCACTGAACAGGCTCACAAACCCCCCCGAGCAACCCACAAAACCCCACCAGGGGAACACCCTCCACCGTCCCCCCAGCAACTCTCACATCGACCCCCTCCACATCCTCCAACCCACCAACATCCCGTACCCCATGGAGCGGATTCACCGCCACCGCAAACTCAAACACACTGGACGCGTTCCCATCAGGATAAGACAAACTAACCCGGTACGGCTCCACCTCAGCACAAAGCGCCGCCTCAGACGGGATAAGACTCATGTACCCCACGGAGTTGTCCCGCGGCCGCAGCCACTGGATTACCGCTGGGCTGTACGAGGTGCTATCCTTGGAGAACCCGCCGATTGTGGATTGGTTGTAGGAGAAGGTCCCGATTGTGAGGTTGGGGGAGAGGAAGGTTGTGATGGTGCGGGGCGTGAGGTCTGCGGGTGGGGCGTAGGTGTGCGCTTTGTAGATGTAGCTTGCGCTGGCATTGGAGGAGAGGGTTGAAGGGAGGGAGGTCAACCGGGTGAGGATAGAGTCTGGGAGGAGGGTCTTGTGAAACGGCGCAAGGATAGCGAGGAGCGGCGCGATCTCGAAGTCGTCGGCGTGCGCGAGCGTGTAGATCGGTTGCGTCGACGGCGGGTATGCGTGCGTCTTGCCGACTATCGCCCAGATCCAGAGCGACATTATCGCCACGTAGTTCGTCATGTCGTAGCCGTAGGTTCTGTCCCATGGTCCGGCGAGATTGCGCAGTGTTGGGTGCCAGAGCTGTGCGGTTGTGGTCCAGATTGTTTGGATGAGGGCCGGGGCGTGCTGGCCGATTAGTGGGGTTGCGGTGGTTGTGGTTGTGGTTGTGCTTGGGTTTGCGCTTGTGTTTGTGGAAGATGGGGAGGAAGGGGAAAGATACTTGGCGGCCAGGGTGAGGGCGTACAGCGAGACGCCCGCGTAGGTCGGCCCGTTGAACTCGGACAGCGTGTCCGTGGTGTTGAACAGCGCTAGGAAGGCGCGCGCCGAGGCATCGCCCGCGGCGCTCATGTTGCGGTCCTGAAACTGTCGCCCCGTCCAGGAGGTGACTACCGTGCGCATCAGCCAGGCGTTGCTGTATGCCGGGTACAGGTTGTCGTTATCGACGCCGCCGACGCGGTAGCTATCGCCGATTGTGTTGTTGTAGAGACTGTCTAGGATGAGAGATGGCAGGTGGGCGGGCAGCAGCGGCCGGAACTCCTCGTAGATGACGATTAGGGCTGTTCCGATGAAGCCGCGCCAGTTGGGGTCCCATGAGTTGTAGATCTGTGGTCGTGCTTAGCGGGTGCCTGTGCTACACGTAAGGGAGGCTGTACTCACCACCGCAGGGTACGCCGCACTCCCCACGGTCGGCTGCTCCGGGTACTTGGTGTAGTCGCCGTACCACAGCACCGACGGGTCCTTCTCCTGGACCCCGATGACATTCTCCAGGATACGAACAGCCTCGTGCACGTCGTCGCCGCGATTGCGCTGCAACAACCCCGCCGCATACCAGACGCTCGACCGGGTCTCGTGCGCGCCCGCCGCGAGCGGGTAGTAGAAGTAGTGCAGGTATGCGGCGGTCGGGTCGTAGATGGCGTCTTGAAAGACCATCGACTCGTCGAAGAGGTCCTGTGCGTAGGGGGGTAGGTCTACGGCGTGCACGACGCCGGCCGCACCCAGTAAGCCCCAGTGGCAGAGCTGGCACCAATTGAGTTCGAACCGCATTGCGACGATCCCTGCTGGTGGTTTTCTTGCAGGGGTTCGGTAATGAGGGGGGAGAGGATGCAATGCGAAGAGCTATTATATGTGCATATCCCGCCGGAGGAATTTCACCGGACGTGGTCAATTCTCGAGTCCATGTATCGTGACGATCATTGTTCTTGGGCCAATAGTCATAATCAGGAAGAGAGAATGCGGGGCAGCACAAACCCTCTTTGTGGAGATAAGATAAGATAGCGGGCATTGAGCCGAGGTTGTGCTTCTTCCCCGCACTCGTCACTCCCGCCTGCATTACCCACGATTGAGTTGGTTCTGGCCAGTGCGATCGTTTACTCGGTATGCTTCTCTTAGATGGTTGTGAAACAGATACAAAGCTCACTTATCCTTGAATCCTGCAAGCTTGATCTCATCTGCCAGATCATGCTCCGAGGGCTTGCTCCGATAGGGTTGTACGTCAGATCGAGAATCCTGAAGTCTATCCATGGATCTAAGGTTCCTAGCGTCTTCGGAAGCCTGTCATCCGAGAATCATACAATAATCATACAATACTGAGCTAGTCACCCCATCAAGCTGAGCCCCCTTGATGCGATTTCACTGGTAATTGGTAAAAGAAGTCATATTTGCACAACAACCGAACGCCACCATCGCCATAATATCAAAGAAAAAAAAGCTTCCCATATCCACTACGGCACCGAACTACTGCCTCAAGTTCCATTTCGCATACGCCTTCGAAGGATACCGCTGCTCACTAACCTCGCCCAGATTCTCAATACAACCCGGGATATCCTCGTCAAACCTGCGAAATTTGGAGATGACGGCATTGTCTTCCGGAATCAACCGATCGCGCAGATCAAAGAACAGCTGATAGATGGAAGAGACCTGGCCGCGGGTGCCCTTCACGGCCCGCCAAATGTTCAGGATCAGCGACCCAAACGGGGCGTAGGCGAGGATATGGCCATAGACGTCACCATCGCCAGTCCGACCGGGTTCCCGCGCGCGGGTGTGGATATCCAACGTGACCTTGTCAATGAGCTGATTGATGTCCGGGATCACTTCGTAGGCAGCGGAGCGGTGTTGCTGCACGGCAAGCAGCATCCAGCGGAGCGCAAAGTCCGCGAGCACATGGTTGGGCTCGATGACTTTACTCGCGAACTTAAACCTCGTCAGCAAGGACTCCAGCCAGCCGCCGCCGAACTCCCGCAGAAACCGGAATCGCTGGCGGCCCAGGTCGTAGTGTACGCCGGGCAGCCACTCCTGACGCGTGACGCCGCACTGGTCCCAGTCCTGCGCGCAGTGGTGCGAGTGGCTCCGGCTCACGAGGCACGGCTGGAAGATGAACAGCCGGTCGTGGAGGGAGACGGCGTGGTGCACGTTGGCGACGACCGTCGACACGTTCTGGTCGTAGAAGGTCGGCCAATCCAGTCCCACCCCGCCGGTGAACTCGGGGATCCCCAGGCTGCCGACCGTGTCGAAGAGGCCCATGAACTTGATGGGCGGGAGGAAGCGAGGAGCCTTGGGGTTGTCGGGGTCTTCGTCGCCGACCAGCGGCCACGATTTCGTGCGTCGGAAGTGCAGGGATTGGGCGGAGTGCGGCGCGTTGATCGTGTACGACGACCGGTAGAGATTGTAGACCGTCTCGCAGAGCAGGCGCGTCTGCTGCCGATCGATTGATCCCCCTGCGGTCGTTATCGGGTGGACGATGCCGCAGTTGTTGATCATGCCAGCCACTGCTCGGGCCAGGTACGCCCCGCGCGAGAGGCCGAACATCCAGATTTCGTGGTGTGGGTAGGTATAGTTGTGGACGATGAATTCGTAGGCCTCGATGCACTGGTTGGCAAGGTCTTGGGCTGTGGCTCCATTGAAAATGTAACTAGATCGTGTCTCAGCGACCGGTGCGCTGTGACTTCGGCTTGATGTAGAGGCAGGAGGACTTACTCGAGGAATGAACTGCCCAGTCCGACACCCTCGATATAGTAGACTCCTTCTGGGGTTTGCCACTCAGTGCTATCCTTCTTGATGCTTATTCCCACCATCTCTGCAAGCTTGTAAATGTTAGTTCTCGTGTTAGTCTCTCGACCACACCATGTCCCGTCGCAGAGGAGAATGAGCGGCTTGGTCGCCGTCTCCTTCGATGCTTCACGGGCCAGACTAAGCGATTTTCGCGGCTCTTTATCCATGACTCTTCAGAGAGCTTATGGTGGTAGATAAATTGAAGATGTATTAAGATGGTGGTCAAGAGATGATGGGGAGGGGAAATGGGAGATCATCGCAGCCACGACAGCCTGAATGGGAAACGGCACGGAACCACGGGCACAGGACCGTGCACACGAACAGTGGGGATCTCTACAAAGAAAAACAACCCGTCTCCGCATCGCGATTGGCAGTGAGCCCACTGATGACCGATGTCAAATACGATCTGGCATTGCCCCATCGCAACGGGGTAGACTAGGTATGACGCATTTCTTCCAGCCGAGCTTGGACCCTGAACCAGTCAGCCACAGAAGCTGACGAGTTTGACTGCCTTGTGCATTACTGGGCAGATAGCTTTTTTTCGGCACTCTTCCTACTTGATGATTCCGGGTCTGCATACATTACGAACAGTATGATTGTCATTGATTATTAGTCTTTTTGTACTATTGATTGGGGCTCTTGATCATGATGATAGATAAAGTACAGGATGCGACGAGTGTACGCTGTTTGCACTGTTTGATCTCGCCCTATTGGTGGATTCTGATTGTTTGTTTGAAGCTCGTCCTGCGTCGCCGACAGCTGATCGTGGTTACTGCGGTGAAACTCAAGCACTTTATCTCAGTCGCTTTACCTCAATTTGTGATCTAAAGACTGATCTTGAAAGAAGAAGAGTCCTCATGAAATGTGATGCTGAGCGATAGTTGCTGGGGGGAAAACAAAAAGAAAAAACCAAAAGAAATGTTGCGTCAGCGGGGAGTCGAACCCCGATCTATTGCTTGGAAGGCAACAATGCTAACCGCTACACCACTGACGCCGGTGATGTCTAAAGAATTAAGATTTTGCTCTAAGATAGCGTAATGTTTTAAAGACTTGAGCAGAAAGAATGGCAATTATACTGCAACGTCGCATCAATCATGTCTGTCAAACGTGTTGATATGGTGACTGAAACTACTGGATCTATGCCGTGGTTACACTACACTGATTCATGCTTGCATATTACTCTTTTTAATTTGATTATATAGTACTAGCGTCATTGAAATATCCTGTTGGGTTTCTGTATGCATCTGAATATATTCATGACAGGCCAAGGGGATCAGTATTTATAATTCCGGTATATATAATAATAGTTGATGATAAAAAATAATCTTGTAGGACTAGGTAGCTGGCATCTTCAGGCAGCTCAGATTGCACCGGGCGAAAACCCATCCTAACAAATATTCTACAGACCTACTATAAGCATGGTAGCCGTAGATTCGAGATCTTAGCATAAATCAAAGGAAGTGTACCGGCCGTTCACTGAGTACCTACCTGCGGCATAAATTGAAAGAACAAAAATACATTTTTCTTCATTGATTCGAGTATACAAAGTCCAGTTTAAGCTATGTAAGTGTCTTCCTTGATGATTCTTGGCTAGTATGAAAACCTCCAGTCCGATCAAGAGAACATATACAGGCGGACAGCGACCCTCAGCCTCCGGCTTCCGTCCGATCACCGTATGTCTGGTAAACGCCCAGCACGAGCCCAACTTGGTCTCCCGCTCGACCGGCAGGCTGAGGGCCCAGCGCGGGCGCAGGTGGGGATCGTGGCCCTCGGAGATCTTGAGGAGGCGGTTCAGGGCCGCGGTCGGGTTGCTCGGTCGGTGCTCTCCACCCGGAACGAACCCATATATTCTATGATATACTATATTTGAAAATCAGAGAATTACAATTTAACTAGTATAAATCAATGTTGATAACTGACAGCAATTAGCCTATAGCCCCATACCACCCATGTCCCACGCCCTTGGCCCACTGCAGTTTAGCACCATAGCAATGCCAAGCTGATTCAGTAGCCGCAGCCCTAACTCCAGCATCGAGAGCATTGCTGATGTGATGAAAAACAGCTCTCTCGCAACCTCAAACCACAACAGTGGGTCCACAAACATAGGAGATAAACAGAAAAGAAGAAATCAAAATAAACATAGATTCAGAACAAAATCGCTCATTAACCCACACTTCAGCCAACACAACACAACCCCTTCAAGGAAGCCAGAAACACTCACCCCGAAAGCCTCAACCGCGGATCCACCCTCGACTAAGCCGCCACAATCTCTGCATCAAAAACCCGCGGCACTACTCCAGCAACCACCGTACGCCATCGCCCTCACCCCAGAGAACAGAACCCGTCCCGTCGTCCTGGAACGCACCACTCCTACCCGACATCGGCACCGGCACCCCCCCGGATCCAGCTCAGCAATGCCTGCCCATCAGTATGCAGAGTGAGCAGCCCAGGCAGACGACCACAGCGTACAGCGGCATTACGGGCTGGAGGCGGTGCAGGTGCCCAGAGACCTCGGTTAAATCGTTTAATTGCGGCGGTGGTCTAGTTGAAATCGTGCGGGGTGCCGCAGTGGGAGTAGGTTAGTTTTGTGTATTCAATTAGTGCTTTGTCTTGTGGTTGGTGTTGGTGGTTGCTGGGGTCGGGGTGAAGGGGGATAGGGCTGGGTCAAAGATGAGAACGGTGGCGTGGATGAGTTGGAGGTTGTAGGTTGAGATGGACATTTTGGTGTGCTTTGGTTTTGGGGGTTTTGGCGGAGGGTGGTTTATTCTGGATGATTAGGGTAGGAAGCCTCATGAAGAAAGGATCTGGAACTGGATTGGGCACAGGATCGATGCTTCCCCGGATGCTTCTATCTTGGGGGCTTGGGATTGAAGTGAACCAGGAAGCTGAAAGAAAGGGGGGCCCGGGGGTTTCCCCCCGGAAGCTTACACGTTTAGTATAGAGAGGGGATAGTCCCATTCCAAAAGAAGTACAGCACACGACAAGAACAGACCAAAGCTCTAATTACCAAGAGCAAACCAGAAATATAACCACAAAACACCAACTCAACTAACAAGTATTGACCATAATCTTGTCAAACGCCATCCAGCTACCGCCTGAGTAGCAGTTCGGGCTCCAATTCACATAAGCAACCTCGGTGCCGAAGCAGCTCGAGCCATACTGGCAGAAGGAGACGCCGCAGGCAGAGACACCACTGACGACTTTGCCGCTCCCCCAGGTGTAAGGGTACTCGAAGACCTTCTGTCCCTTTCCGGTATCGAAGACCAGGGTCTCCTCGTGGAAGGTTCCCGTACAGTCCTTGTTGGACCACATCTGGATGGTGGCGTACTGGGCAGCCTGGGCGCCGGTGGCGACCAGGAGACCGGCGGTGATGGTGCTGACGAGGTTGGTGAGCATTTTGAGGGCGGATTAAGGGTCTGGGTGATGAAAGAAAGGAAGAATCTGTGATTGTTAGAACTCCATAGGTGTATCACGAGGAGGGAAAAGCGAACTAAGAGGGGGTTGTGGTTTGAAAAGATGTGGAACTGTAGTTGAGAGAGTTGTTGTTGCTGGCTGGGATGCTCTTGAAAAGGATCGTAGGGTCTATTTATACTGATTTCTCGTTCCCTGTTGATAGCAATCGTTTGCACCATACCCCCGCTACCCTCGTTTAGTCGATGAGGTTCATCCAGATGGCCCTCCCGTGCATCAAGTCTAAGCCTTGGCATTATAGAACCTCGTATCCTTTCTTTTCTCAGGACTTGGCGAGTGGGCGATTTGATCACGGGCCGGACCGTTTGGTACCTATCGCCAAAGTTTGCTTCCTTCGAGTCAGGCCAATATCTTATAATGGCTTTAGGCTGACTCGTGTAGGATGCTTGGCATTCATTAGACTATAGTGCCAAGGTCTTAAGATACTCCGGACCCTGGAGGCTAGGCATAAAGAGAACACGGGTTCGACACGGCTATTTGTGCAAAATTCTCTGTGTCCCGGATCTGATTAGAACACGAGAGGTCGTCGTATCCGGCCAATCATCCTATCGCCGCTCTCAATACCAAGATGCCAAGATTGTCTGAGGTAACCGTAGTATATCACAGTCCTATTAGCTGAGCATTACAAAGAACTCAACCATCCACACAAAACCTGCATGAATTGAAACGGAATGCTCAAATCTCCGCAGTAGCACTTCAAGAGTACTTGAGATTATTGATATCAACAGCAATCTCACATGTTCATCGTGGGGCCATTGACCGAGACAGCAACCAGCGCCTTCAAGGTTCCCGTCCCTACTAGTCGGAGAAAGAGACATCTCGAAGTACGTCTGAGCAAGTCGCAGTCGAGATATCCTTCTCAAGATACCTTTTTGAGTCTGGCTCAAATAGGAATTTTTTTTGCCTCAATTCAGGATGCTGTCGCGAAGCAAGCTCGCGAACAGGACAACGTAGACCAACCGCCAGAATACTCCCAAAAGGTCGCCGTTTCCTTAAGATCTTGGTTACTGACCGATATGACAAGACACACGGGTTAGATTGAAGGTAGTCTCATGGATGCTTTAGCTTGCGGCTGGAAGGGGGGTTGTAGGGCTTTCGAACCCCGGCATCGGAATTCAACATACAGTTACCCCACCGGGGGATCTTGGCTAGTTGAATTCCGGGTAGAATTTGATTTGACAGGTTATAGCAGTCATGTAGCCTTGTCTCGTCCTTGTCGTATTTGTAGCTTATCTTAGGGCTTCCAGATCATATGGCGCTTCTAAAAGCCTCATGGTCTTGAATTTCGATACAACAAACAAAGAAGATTGTTGGGTGTGGCGGGAAGTGAGCGGACCTATAGTATAGTTTATGTACATTCTCTCTTCGGATCATGGCGTACATACTATCCTAAGCCATTGTCAATGCATGCATTGTGCTATTAAAGCAATTAGATTAATCTACCCAACACATCACCCATCCCCCTTATCCGATAACGAAATTCAATTACTTGCGAAATAATTCGTTGCCACAATATCCCCCAGACCAATTTTTGTCTCCCATGCATCAAGATCAAACCGCATCCGATGCATATTTCCCAATTTCTGCCCACCAGGCGGTGCGTACTTCTCCCCCTCGAACCCGACCGGCTGCTCGTACAGAAAGAAGATATACCGATGCGGCGAGCTTCCCGGGGGCGGGGCGGGGCCAATGTAATTAGCGACAAATGGCGCCGTGATCTTCAGATCATATGTGGTCGAGTCGCTATCTGATGGCGTGGGCTGAAGATCCGACTGGATCCAGTGTAGGATGGGGCCTAGGACGCCGAAGGAAGGAAAGGGGGCGTCGATGTCGAGGCCGACGACCATGTAGGTGGTGTTTGGTGAGAGGCCACGGAAGGATAATTTCGGGGGCAACTGCGCATCTAATTTGAAACGTGATGGAAAAGTCAGTCAGTTATGTTGAGTGTGATCTCAAATGCTACTGTGGGTTTCTGACCCGCTCTGGGGATGTACTGGCCCGGTTGGACGTTTGTATGCTTGCCAACGTCAAGGCCCAGCACTTTCGTGGCATCATTCTCAATCAATGACAGGGTTTTCTTGATGCTGTTGTTCGCAGGCATTTTGAGCAAATCTGGGCGTGTGGAGAGAAAGAAAAAGGAATCTCGTCTAGTATGCGTATTTGTTCAGGTAAAATCCAGGGCTCTTTGGCCTACCCAACTGCCTATCGGCGATAACGCCGGAGATTAGGGCAACTCCGCCAAGGATAAAAGTCCACCCACCAGTCAGACAAGCCTTGCCTCATACCTAGACAAGCTGTAGTTAATTCATTGTCGGTGTTAACTAGCTCTTGGCTCGTATCTCCGCTTTATTAACTTGCAACAGCCCAGCTTCTATACATGTTCTGAAAGTCTAAGGGCAGATCTAGAGCCAATCTAATACATCTCGTGCTCCATCAGCTAATACAACCGAACATTGCTCTAAGCTCCCTGACTTGGAGCAATGCTATTTAGAACTAGAGGTGTTAGAACATTATTACTTTCCTTCCTGAGTTTGCATTTTGCGACTTCAATATCGCAATATACTATTGACCACTTCTGAGTTGAATAGGGTACCTTCAGGTTCAGACCGTGCGCTACTAGATGAAATTCATATAAAGTAAACTGTTTACTCACTGATACTAGGCTGATGAATCTCCAAGGCTTCAATCCAATGATTTTAGTAGGCGTGTAGGCAAGAAATACCATGCAGGAATGCTTTTGGGCTCAAAGCAGCCTGTACCCCAGATTCGGCATCCTTATCAGTCCTGTAGGGTGGACAAGGGACTGAGTTCTTGACTCCATTGGTTTTACAATCGTATGTACTCTCTCTTAGCTCACTGTTCTATAATTGCTTTAGTCCTGTTGCTTTTCATTATTGTACCGCCCTTACTCACCTGTAAATCCTTGCTAATATGTTCGAGAACTAATTGCGTGTACCACCCGGAGCTTTAGAATGAACTCTTTACCATACAGAACACTGACTCGAAGTATACTCTCGACCTTCATTCCTCCATTTTCTGCTATTCATCGCAACAGCAGACCTTCCCAACCGTCATAGAAGCTGGCCTCAGGCAACCCTCATCTCAATAGCTGCACTCTGACGTTGACAATCGGTGAGGAAAGCAAAATAGCGGTGAGTTGTGCACCGCATCTATGAGGAACCCATTTCCAACATCTTTGACCAAGCAACCACATCAATATCTCTACATTTTCCAGCCTCTTTAACCCAATCTTTTTTGACCTTTATCTCAAACATGGCCACCTACCGTGACCTCACCCAAAAAGTAGTGCTCATCGTCGGAGGCGGCGCAGGGATTGGAAAAAGCGCAGCCCTGGCCTTCGCGCACGCGGGCTCCAAAGTGGTGGTTGCAGACATCAACCCCGGCTCCGTTCACCAAACCGTGACCGAAATCAAAACATCTCATCCCCAAGCCCAGACCCTCGCCGTCACAGCCGACATCTCCCAAGCCACCGAGGCAGATGCGATGGTCCAGAAAGCCGTGGCCGAGTACGGCCGAGTGGACGTTGCGGTCAACAGCGCCGCGATCCCGGCCGCCATCGCACCGATCGCTGAGCTGGACGAGAGCCACTGGGCGCAGCTCCTGGGTGTGAACCTCACGGGCATGGCCTGGTGTCTGAAGTATCAGCTGAGGCAGATGATTCAGCAGCAGAAAGACAAGAGTGATGGACAGCCATCGATCATCAATCTTGCGTCTGCGGCCGGGCTGAAGGCACAAGCGTTCCAGGCGGCCTATTCAACCGCGAAGCATGGGGTGATTGGGTTGACGAAAGTGGCTGCGCTCGAGAATGGAGTGCACGGCATCCGTGTCAATGCTCTTGCGCCCGGGGCAACTTCCACCGACTTTCTGAGGCAGACGTTGACCAGAATGGGGACATGTGAAGCTGAGGTTGGGCCACATGTTGGCTTGTTCGGGCGAGTGGCGAGCTCCGAGGAGATCATGCAGGCGGTCTTGTGGTTGGCGTCGGATGTTTCTTCGTATGTTACGGGGGTTACTCTGCCTGTGGATGCTGGCTTTACTTTGCAGTGATAGTAAGATACTCCGCTTGCTCTTCCTACCAAGCTATTTTATGGTCACATGGACCGTATTATAATGATAGATCTTATTCAGCTCACATCAATATTCGATCTTCTTGATTCAGAACAAAAACCTTATAATCATCTATTAAAAATCTGCTCCAAAAGTCGAGTAGAATGTCTCAAGATACCAACGTTGAAAAAGTCAAGTATAATCAATTAGGGCTCTGCTCTATTTAAAAGGTAAAAGTCATACTAAACGTTAATAGGCCTCTGCAGATTAAAACGTCTAAATTGTGAACGAGACCTTCCAGCCATCCAACTTCTCGTTGGGTAAATACCGCTGATTGCTCAGACTAATCATCTAGTTAGCACTGTCGATTGTAATCTCAAGTCAAGATGGGGCTTACTTACGACCATTTCACATTGCCAAGCATCATGTTCTTGCACCCCTGAATAAGAACTGAGATATCAATCTGGGTCTTTGTATCCAACTTGCGATATCTGAAGCCCGTCGTGAGACAGTCGCTAGCTGAGTCGAAGAGTGCTCGGGACCGTTGTAGGTCACGGATCGCAACATTCAATGCCTCCTGAGCCGAGGTCATTTCGTGGTGGTGCATGATCAGGGGAATGGTGCTATCAAGCTGTCCGTCAACCTGCAGTATATCTGCTGTCAGCTTGCGGTGAACTTCATTCTGAATCCCAACGGTGACTCACAATCTCTTTTTTGAATGAGATGATATCGTTGACGCTAGCCTCCACGTTAGTCACAGTGTAGACTCCAATGATAGTGACACTTACATCACACAGGAGATAGCAGTCTCTCTAAACATGGTTTGGACAGCTTCATGCTCATAGACCCAGTTCGGGATCTCCAACCCGTAGGCGTACCTTCACCCGCCTACCATTAGCCAGCTATCCCACAACCGTTCAATGCCACTAGCAGCATAATAAGTGAGGATACGTACTCCATCGCCATCAAGCACGGCAATGCACCGATTGAATATACCCGGTTGGCGAGGTATTCATCCCACGTCGGAAAGCCGGTGTCCCGCTGCTTCTGCACCCCACCAACCGAGGCCACGAAATCGTACATCGACTCTGCATAGCGTCGTAGTGCCCCTGAAGCTCCGTCAGTATCCTTTATAGCCTGCTTATATTGACTTGAAAGGTGAGTGGAAAGAGGATTATTGTAAGGAAACTAACCCCTGGAATGTCCAGTCTGCATAGCCCGTCCGATGTCCTCAAAACAGCCCGAATTGTGCTTTGCATCTGCTGGGATTGGACACTTGGTGCGCTCGGGAGCGTAGTTTTCGGGCTCTAGGCACCATTCCATGAACTTGATGGTGTCTTTGGTGTATTGCTCCGTGCCTTCGCGGTCGTGCGTGAGTTCCCCGCAATCGACCTCTGGATCTGGTATGAGGAAGTTTTCTAAATGCAGCAACGGACCGGAGCAGAACGTACCGTCATCCCAGATGAAGTACTATCAAGCCACATAATTGAATCAGTCATAGTCTCATCTCAGTAAAAGATTCTGTGAAGAACTCACCCAGTACATAAATTGGGCCAGAGGGCGTAGTCGCTCCAGCGGGCAACCCGTCCAGAAGTAGCCCGCCTGTTCAGCAAAATTGCCTTGCTTCAACTTGGACCGTTTATGGGGGTTGGGGCACCATCTGTATTTTGCGGGTCTCTGTTAGCACGCCGCTTTGCTTTCCCGACTAATGAGATTGTAAGAAAAACATGCCGAGCCAGAAACTCATTCTCCATCTCGTCGCGAATTTGCGTCTCATTTTCATGGTTTTTAACTTCCCAGTCGGGGTAGAGTAGCATAACAAGATCTGGGATCGTCAGGGCCTGGCCCTTCAGAGCGTCTACAAGTGTTTGGTGCGAGTCGGGGGTGACGGTTATGGTCAGCGTCTGGCCTTTGAGAGGCTCAGCGAGTAGCTGCTGCGCATCAATGGTGACAGCCATGGTTTAATCGATGAAGAGAATGAATTTGTTAGTATCTAGCCCGGATCGATGGAGAGTCATGTATATATACAACCCAGACTTTACCTTGTGATCACTTCGGTTAATAGTGTCTATACTAGGCAGTCACACATCTTAGGAGACCGTGGTCTCGCCTATTTTGCCTTGTAGATAGCTCTTACCGTGATTGCAAACAGTCCAGGCCAAGTTCGAGACCTGATATTGACGTCAGACTGCATGATCCAACAATTTACAAAGCACCAATTTGATAGTATTTGGGAATGACTCTTGCAGCTGCAGATATCAAACATGCTAGCGTGAGCCTAACGCCATCATCTAATCTGTTAGCTGCTGTCTTACATCACGATAAAGCATCTTAACGTCATCAAGGGTTGCAAATAGCTAGATCTAAATCAAGAGGTACACTTCAATCAATCGATAGCAACTCCTCATGCATAACCTCGGGTATTTAGAGTCAATAACAGAAGAATGAACAATGTCTTGCAACCTTGAGAAGAAAACCAACCCAAAAAACCATGCTTGAATCTTAGTTCTGGGGCCCTAGATCTAGCCATGACGAGACCAGATTATGTCCTTGCGTTCACGCACGTTCCAAGGTTGTCTCTATCTAGACCATCGCCAAGTACATGAATACCATATCCCTGGGATATTCTCCTGTTCCGCTACATGCAGCATTACCTGCTATGTGAGACTATTCACCGCGTTTAGTCGGCATCACATTAAGCTCAGTCAAAAGTGTATCTTTATCACTTTCACGGCCACTGTAGCCCTTGATGCTTGATAATCAGCGGTCAGCACCTTTCTCTCATGCCAAGCGGCTTTGCTGCTATATAAGTTAACGAGGCATTAGTTGGGTGCTGTTTCATCAAACAAGTGAAAGTCCAGTAACAAGATCCACCTATCGCACACCATGGCTGCCAGCATCAACTCCCCGTGGACTATTCTAGCAATAGGTGTCTTACTATTCGTGTCGAAGTGTTTGTATCGGATCTATTTTCACCCTCTCCGCCACATTCCCGGCCCAACGCTTGCTGCTGTTACTCACCTAGAGGAGTTCTACTACGATGTGATCCGAGGAGGGAAGTTTATCTGGAGAATCCAAGAAATGCATAAGCAATACGGTATGACTGTTAGACTCACGCCGAGCACTAAGCCGAAATTGATAATTCTCCAGGCCCGATCGTCCGCATCAATCCAAGAGAGGTGCATATCACCGACCCTTCCTTTTACGATGAGATCTACGCAGGGGCTGGTCGCAAACGCAATAAAGACTGCCACATGACGCCTATATTCGCGTCTCCCTCAGCAACAATAGCAACCATCGATCACGATCTCCATAGGACGCGCCGCAACCAGCTGAATGGCTTCTTTTCCAAAAAGGCGGTGACAGAGCTGATGCCCGTCATCCAAAGCAAGGTTGTGCACCTACAGACCATCTTACACAAAGCCTATGCATCCGACCAGGCCGTGAACCTGCATGAGATCTTTGCGAGCCTGTCGGCTGACATCATCACACATTATGCCTATGGATCGGACTGCGGCTTCCTCGACAACCCCAGCGAGAGCAACCTGATCTTGAAGGGGGCGCACGAGATCATTCAAGCGTGCCACGTTCATCGCTTCTTCCCGCAGGTCTTGACTGTCCTGCAGGTTGTACCTCCCTGGATTCTGCGGCGCGTGCGCCCCAACCTGTCTGGAATCTTTGATATGCAAGATCGCATCACTCAGCAGTCGAACGACAGCCTGCGTCAAGTAGCGAAGCACGAGGCATTGGCCTCCGACTATCGACCGCGCCGCACTATCTTCGATGCGATCAATGACCCGGCTCTGCCGCCTCAGGAGCGCACCCTCCAGCGACTGCGCGAGGAGGCGTTCACGGTGCTTGGGGCTGCCACCGAGACGACGGAGGGCGCCCTGACCATCGCCATGTTCCATCTGCTCTACCACAAGCCGTACTTCCTGCGCTTGCGCGAGGAGCTTCGAGCCGTGATGCCAGATAGCACCGACACAGCAATCTGGCAGGACCTGGAGCGATTGCCTTTTCTGGTACTGCCCTCTGTGCCTCCCTGCCTCCTTTTCTGCTTCTTCAGATCCTGTCAGAACAGCACAGAATGCTAACGCCCCTCGAATCCAATATCTAGACAGGAGTCGTGAACGAAAGCTTACGGTTGAGCGGTATATCCATCCGACTCCCACGCGTCGCTCCACAAGAGACACTCCACTACCACGAACATGTCATCCCGGCCGGTGTAAGTGTGCTTTCCTTACCACCCCATCAAGCCAAATTCAACACCACCTAAGCACAAACCACTAACGAACCCTCCAACATAAGACCCCAATGAGCACAATCTCGTACTTCATCCACACCAACTCGACCATTTTCCCCGAACCCGAGAAATTCGACCCAGACCGCTGGATCCGGGCCGCAGCACCAGCCACGCAAGGGAGCGGGGCATCTCCACAGAAGCTGACCAAGTTTCTGGTCCCCTTCACCCGCGGCAGTCGCATGTGTGTTGGGATGAAGTCAGTTCCTACCCTGTTTTCCCCCTCTCTTTCCATGCCTTGACCAATCCACGCCCGCAAATCCACCCACTTCCAATTGCTTTTCTGCCGTGTTAGTTGTATTGTCCACTGACCTGAAGCTTCCTTGTGAACGTCACAGCCTGGCATACGCAGAGCTGTACATGACCCTCGCGGCTGTGGTACGGCGCTTCGATCTGGAGCTTTACGGCACGACGGTGGAGGATGTGCGCTTTGAGCGGGATTTGTCGCTGCCGCATACCGATCGCGGAGCGCGGCGCGTGAGGGTGAGGGTGGTGGGGTTGGCCAGTGAGTGAGTATAATCAGGGCTGGGATTGGATATGTCCCCTGAGCTGGTATTCTATGTTGTTTCTGGGATATCTAGATCTTGGATGTGTGAACTAGGGAATATTGCTGAGTGAGGTCCAAAGGTGAGCATTCGTAAAGGTGCCAGCAGGCTATGAGATAAACAACGTATCTGCTATTTGTATTTCTCCAGGTCTTTAAGCATTCATCTAAACTCTTCCCTTCTTTTGCCGTGCCATAGACTTATGCGAAGATAGAATCCAGCTTATGAGAATTGTTAGAAGAACTGTATCGCTTCAGGGCTAGTAAACACCACGTGATCGATGATGAACGCCAAGTAAGGCTTTCGAGTATGACCAAGATGAGACTGTCAAAAATTGAAGTTCGAGGTGACACAGTACAAGCTAGCTATCCCTCCAGCTCCTCTCTATGTAACCTCTTGCAACAGAGCATAGAGCACCCCTATCCCCTAAAATGCACCGCCGTAATCAAAGCCTGGACGCTAAAATCCCCATCCCTCGGAAACGCCAGCCCCAAGTCCCGCACCAGCTCCAGCATCTCCGGTGGAGTCTCATACAGCTCCATATCGAACCCTATCGCCAGGAACGCGACGGCAAAGTAGAGCTCCATGTAGGCCAAGCTTCATTGTTCAAGGATGTATTAGCTTTTTTTCTTGGTCCCGTGGTGTTCCTCCAGTAGTTCCACGTACTTGATACCAATGCATATCCGACTTCCTTTCGTGAATGAGGCCATGTACTGGTCTAGATTGATACCTCGCGCGGCGGCTTCGATCCAGCGGTCTGGTTTGAATTTTTGGGGTTCGGGGAAGGCGGCGGGGTTCATATTCATGTAGTAGCTGGATATTGAGATTGGGGTCTGGAACTCATTGTTTGGTGCAGGTAAGCGGTGTCAGCGTTGCTCATATTGTGTTTCTTGGCTTTGAATTTGTGGATAGTCACGACTCACCTGGGGTGGGATTGTATGGCCGTGACAGACCAGAGTCTCAGTGCGGGCCACCCGCGGAAGTCGGGTTAGGGGACACGTGAATCGTACGGCTTCGTGGACGACTCCAGACTATGAAACCGGAAATCGGGCTGTTAACGCTTGATTCTTCTTGGTTTGGCTATGGAAGACGATTCTAAAGGTGTGTAGGCATACCAAATATCCGCATTTCTCCAACTGGGCAAACGACACGGGCCTGTCCAGCGCGAGATTGAGCGGTGCCAGCTCGCCGCGTAGCCGGTCCCTGATCCCCTTGTCGCGCATCATGTGATAGAAAGCAAATGACAACGACCGAGCTGTTGTCTCGGTCGCCGCGAGCAACATCGAGATACCCTCTGCACTCACACGATGCGGAGCCCGCTCGGCTTCGGGGACGGTGGTAGGATCGGTAAGGGCATCGAAGATTGTCTGGCGCGGCCCAATGTCTTCTTTACCCCCTTCTGCTTCTTGTTTACCACGGCCGCTGGCCTTCGCAGCCGAAGTACTATCAGACGCCGCAGACGACCGGCTAGCGACCATATCCTGGATATCAAACAACACCGCCAACTGCGGCTTGAACCAGCGCATCAAGCTCGAAGGCAGTTGCTGAATCAACTTCCCAGGCAACGCAATAAACTTGCTAACATGCACCAACCTGGAGAATTCAGCAACCGCTATGCGGACCTCATTCTGGAAGTTCGGGTGCCGCAGGAAGTCGAAGCTGGTGCCGTAGCAGTAATGCGAGATGGTGTCCGCGGTGAGAGCGGAGAAAGCGTCATCGAGTTGGACAATCGCCTTCTCGTGTTTGCGGCGGTGATGCGCTTCTTTGAGGCGTTGGGCGAGCAGCTGGACCTTCTCCTGGAAGAGGGGCGCGAGACTGAGGACTGACTTCCTTGAGAACAGGCTGTTCAGGAATTGCCGGCGGAGTCGGTGGTGCTCGTGCGGGACAGTCGCGGCCATCGAATACGACTGCCCGAAGATGGCGACGGCGCGGGGGTCCTTGTCGCGTTTGCGAGCGCTGTGGGCGTAGACTTCGGGGTAGAATGCGGGGTCGCTGACGTGGATCTCGCGGGGGTTGATGCGGACGATGGGGCCTGGGATCATTGGTCAGCTTTGGTGCTTGGTCTTTGCTGGCTGGGAAGGTTGCTGATAGAGAATGTCTTACCGTATTCTTGGTGCATCTTGTCGATTTCCCAGATATACAGCCCATGTCGCACGACATCATGGTAGAACTCCGGGAGGTAGGTCGCTGCGGCGAGTCTGGGTCCGGGGATCTTGCAAAGGGGATGTAAGAAGAGGTTGTATGCACTCTTGACAATGAAGTAAAAGAGGAGTGAGAGGATGAGTAGCAACCACATCGTGGCATGAGATGTCGGGCTGACGGGGAAAGAGTCAGCGGTGTACTTGCATGCAGTAGAAACATCATGTCGATTTGAGGAGTTCATATCACACAGGTGGAGGGGTAAGGTCTCGACTAGACCTTCTTGCTTCTTATCTGACGTTACATCATCTTCCTTGTTTCCTGTCATTCCAAAGCCTTGAGATTGATTATGCTTGTGATAGAAGCATGGATGCATCCTTACCGCTATACCTCACCGCCAGATGATCGTCTACAGATGCTTCTTTCCTTGATGGCGCATGCACTGCCTGCCCTTTTTTTTCCCCTTGCTGAACTCAAACCAACAATGCAATGCAATCTGGCATGATATTCCCTCGAATGTATGTCGTCATTGCCAAAGCATTGAGCTATGAGGAGTGGCTCGCTTGACATGAGCCGATGCAGTGAGATTGTGAAGTTCATTTGAGTAGTCTATCAGGCCATATTTCCGGCCAAGTCAAAGCTGACAGGCAATCTGATCGCTTGAATGAGCTCGTCGAGCCCCGAGAGCAAGCCATGGACGCACTCATGAAATTCACGACATCTCAATCGTCTCTGGTAGTGGAGAGCACCATCCAGAATCCTGTTAGGTGGACGGCAATTGGAGTGAGTGCTCCCAACAACAATGATAAGCAGTGCGCTGCTAATAGACGTCCTCCAGATCATCGCCAGCATCTGCGCCAGGTTCCTCTACAATGTCTACTTTCACCCCTTAGCCAGATTCCCCGGCCCATGGCTATACCGCGCCTCCTCGATCCCGATCGCCATCGCCCAAATCCGCGGCAACTTCCACGAAGTAACCAAAGCCGCACACGATCGTTACGGCGAGGTGGTGCGCATGGCGCCCAATGAATTGTGCTACATCTCCCCACAAGCGGTCAGCGACATCTTCACACGCCGCAACGGGCTGTATTCGCTACCTAAGGACGAGAACCTGTTCAATACCACGCTGATGGAACCTGGAACCCTGACCATCGCAAAGGAGGACGAGCACCCGCGCCTTCGCCATATGCTGGCACCTGCGTTCTCAACGAAGGCGCTGCAGGAGCAAGAGACTATCCTTCAACGCAACGTCGACCTGCTGATCGGACAGATGCACGACCGGGCCGCCAGAAACGACACGGTGGACCTCAAGACGTGGTACAACTTCACCAGCTTTGACATCGTCGGTGACTTCGCGTTCGGGCAGAGCTTCGGCAGCCTGGAGCGCTCGCGGCCGCATGAGTGGGTGCAGTTCGTGCTGGACTACATCCAGGTTGCGACTTACATGCACGTCGCGCGGCGATTCTACCCGCTCGATAAGCTGCTGCTGCGGCTGGTGCCGCGGGCGATGATGGAGCACCGGGCCGAGCACACGCGGATGGCGCTCGAGATCGTCCAGCAACGCATCGATCGGGATCCAGTTGTCGATCGCCGGGATTTCGTGCACTACATGCTGCGAGCGGTCGATCCGGCGGCCACCAACGAGAAGGGCGGAGGAAAGAAGGACCAAGTCGTCAGCACGCGTGATGTCGAGAAGCAGGCCAATATCCTCATCCTGGCAGGCAGCGACAGCACCGCCACTACCCTCTCTTTTGCCACCTACTTCCTGACCCAGCGTCCTAGCTGCATGGTCACGCTCCGGCGTGAGCTCCGCGCCAACTTCTCCAACGAAAGCGAGATCGACACCCTTTCGCTCGATCGACTTCCGTACCTTCATGCCGTTGTGCAAGAGACGCTTCGCATGCGTCACCCCTTTCCCAGTGGGTTCGGAAGACAGACCCGGAAAATGGGATCTGTAGTGGATGGACAGTTTCTACCCGCAAATGTTGGTTTCGAGCCTCCCATGAGTCGTGGTGCACCTTAAAAAGCTAAATATATAGCAGACTGTGGTCAACATCCACCTATGGAGTCTCTTCAATTGCGAGTCCTACTTCAAAAGGCCCGATCACTTCGCGCCGGAACGCTGGCTCGGTAATGAAGAGTACGCCGACGATGCCAGAGAGGTTTTCCAACCTTTCTCCATCGGACCCCGGAATTGTCTTGGCCAGAAGTAAGCAGGAAAATATACTCCTCTATCCTCGAATGAAAACAGGTGACTGACGACGAGTGTTAGATTCGCATTGAACACAATCAAGTTGGTCCTGGCAAGGATGGTCTGGAACTTTGACCTCGCTCTTGCTCCTGAGGCCCGGGGGTGGCTGGAGCACCAGCCGGCTTTTGTTTCGTGGGAGATGCCGCCGCTGCTGCTCGAGCTGAAATTGGCGGATGTGCAGAGATAAAATACTCAGTAGACAGATCGGAAAGAGAGGAGTTGGTATCGGTTGTTGTGCGTGGTGGTCGGAGTTTAGCTCCGAGGAACGTAATGCACATTTAGTTTGTTAGCATCCAGACAATAGAATCCGATAATATGACGCACTATGATGTCTGGGTTGTTGTGAATCAGTGCGGTACCATGGTTGTCAACCCGCCAGCCTAGACTGCTTCGCTGCCCTATTCACAGTTTTCCGCTAATCTCAATATACATCAATAGTATACACACCCATTCACCCTCCTTCGTGAACTAATCATTCCAGATTTCCCTGCCATCCTCGTACTCTTCTTTCTCTCCTCTGAAACCCACCATCTTCAGGATCCCTAGAGATAGCACCGCTCACGTTAAGTCAATTTCAATATACTCTAAGGGCCGCAGCATCTCAACGCTGACGTAATTACAACAATGTCCATTCTTTGTGGGAAGACGACGATAACTATGCAGCTCGAGACTGCGAGAGATTTCAGACAATGATCAAGGGACTGAGTGTTCTTCCAGCCATGGAACTTGTCATTCGGCGTAATGACACATCTCCCGCACTCACGTTCAGTCGGGTCTTATGCAAGTTCCTTGAAGGCTCCCAGGCCAAACCAGGCGACTATAGCCTGATGATATTCCATTATGCCAGTCACGGAAAGAGACTAGATGGAAAGTTCACGTTTGCCGAGACCCAAGCCGCCGAAAAAAGGATCAATGCAGAGATGTATCAGCTGGAATCTGTCCAGAACCCCGTGGTAATTTGCAAAGCAGACCATCTTGACATCTTGCTTATCTTCGACTGCTGTTTTGAGCACGTGGCAACTCGAGCTCCAAAGGTTCCGCGCAGCATCGTCGAAGTACTAGCCGCGACGAGCATATCGACACCCTTGGCAAGATCGTCGCCGAAAAATACATTGACTGCATAGCTCGCTGAGAAAATCGCTCACAGAAAGTGGAGAGGACACAAGCATGTGGAGTTTGTGGATGTCTTCGCTACCTTGAGGTCGCGACCCTACCCACTACGAGGCACTTCTCATCGCCAGTCGCGGCCTATACCCTCACTATCCCTGCGAACCCCACCCCTAAAACAGTCACTTCCGGGACTCTCCCTGCACATCCCCGGCTGTTTTAACAGCGTCTGCGCCGAGTGTCGTTTCCGTACTCGGGGACAGCCTTATTGTCTCCTCACCCGCTGGACGTCTTGGACTTTCGTGCCCTCCACCATCACCACCACCCACCACTCACACTCCCGTCCAGTACCCCACCTGAAGTCGATCTTATCTGTTGTGCTCCAACAGACTCATGTCTACGCACCACCCGGTGCAGGACGTGATTTAACTCCGACCATTGCAACAAATATTCGTTACCTTGAGGTCGCGTGGGGATAAAGTCCTACCAACACACAGTTTACTAGTTGGCGTTACTTCGGTTGTCTTGCCACTCAACGGAGCCAGGGATATTGATCCCACGAGTATTCTACCCAGCTACACGGCACTTTTCAGTGTCAACGTCCTCAAAGACCTCACTCCGGAGGAAATCGGACAGCTCAGCACGTGGATGCGCAATCTCCCTCGTTTTGCTGCCTTGAGCATCGACAACATTTATCCGACCCAGGGGATGTGTATGTTTTTCATCATGCGTTCCGCGATGTCCGTTTATGCAAAGTTGCACAATCTGGATGGGTATTCTCTGATCGCCGAGAATCCTAAGCCGTCTCTCGATTTGGATTGTTTACTCGGGCTGCAGTCTGCGCCTTGTTCTGTTGCACTCAAGAAGCAAAGCATTCATTTTCAGAGGGTGGGGGGCAGCGAAATGAGGAGTTTGCTTTGGCTCATACTACTGTTCTATCAACGGATGTTGCGGCAGCACGCCTGAATAATGCGCCCATGATAGCCGCTGGCGGTATTTGGATCCTGGGGTGCTTGTCCATTAATCGGCTCGGACGGCTTGTGCGAGACTCTTTCTTCATCCAATGGTACCGGCGCGAGCAGTACTTTGGAGGGCTGCTGTTCGATCACTGGCTATTGTGGGAACACAGATGCATACTGTGGAATCGGCCAGTGTCAGTCGACATTTGGTAGCTGTGATGAACAATCCATTGGTTCCTATCGCCGGTGCGGGTTTATGTCGTCGACCGGCGCGACGTGCTTAGGAAGTCAATTTGGTGGAGTGCTGCTCTATGAACGAATACCCGAGGCAGATTGGATGCTCGTAGTGTAGCAGCATAGTTTTAACGGACTATGGCAGTTGTTCTTCTTGAGTGAAGTATATCATACAATGGTTGAGAATTCATTCTCCACACAGACAGTCTTCACGGTTAGAAGTAGTAGGCTGCTATAGTAGTGCTTAGAATGGGCAGAATGGAAATTGGTGGTTAATTGATTGGACCTTTAGATTCCAGTACAACGTCTACAATACACAGTCTAGACTAAACAAGCAGAAAGACAATATACAGTTAGGTACGGAGTGGTGATTCAACATTTCAGAGTCATAGCAAAGAAAGTAGAGAGATACGAGACTTGACATCATACCATATTGACGGGCGGAACCATGATCTCTTTGTTCGCCAGCAATTGACTTCAAACAAGATCTGTCCACCAGAGGAATGCAGGACTCCGACGCCACGATCGCATTAGAGTCAATATGTAGGCGCTAGTCATATCATCTTCGTGTCTTCCATCCCGTTATCGACGCCGCCGCGGAACAATGAGTCTTGGCGTGGGTGGCAGAATGCCCCTCATGTGACGGGCTTGGTTGGCGCCCATGGCTCTGCGTCAACGGTCCATGCAATTTAACTTCGTGCAAAACCAATTGAGTGAGGTGGCTCGTATCCCCCGTTATAGTCTATCTGTGTTCCACTGAGAACTGATATGAGTACCCACTTATCATACAAGCAATGCACTGAAAATCACCCGCCGGCTACCAGGATCCACTCCATATAAGTGGTAGTGGATGAATCTACCAAGACTGTCGATCGATCCAGCTGGGGCCCTCATCGAGACAAATGAATGGCACAACTCGGCTGTTCACTGGCTCTACCAGCTTCCCCGCTGGCTGGGATCCGAGGTCTCTGCTCGCGCCTTAAATCCCACGGTCGTTATAGTGGTCGTGGAAACCAGAGAATGGGGGTGCTGGGAGCTCTAGACTGGCCTGACTTCGTGTTTTTGAAAGATCTTCTGGGGTCGTGACTTGCCGATCCATTTCAGGGCCTTCGCTGTTTATTTGATGGGTGCCATGATGGCCGCGCAGACTTGAATCTGGCTCCATACCGACACGCACAGAAGAACAGCATGGTTGTGTCTTTGATGGGGTATTTAGATGCTGTTCAACCCCGGAAGGTTAGGATGGGAATCTGCGTTGAGATGCAGAATATACGACCAAAAAGTATTTTTCAAGGCCATCACTGCGAGGGATCCTGTCAGCACGATACACAAAATCTAACCTCATCTAGCACTCACCAATATCTCATGCATTGCTAGCCTTGGCGCCTAGGGACCGCGTACTTCAAGCCTACAACTTCTCTTAGCCAACGCTCTCGATTGTTTTCCAGAAGAGAAAAAGAAAGAGACCGAAAAAAAACCGACACAAATGCATTGCCACCTGGGAACCCTCCTCATCCTGCTGATCGGAGCGGCAATCACGCCGGTGCTCCACGCACAGCAACCAAGCTGTTCCGGCCAAGCCTGCTACGCGGCCTGCTACGAAGACAGCACACGATGCCTGACCGAGTGTCGTACCGGGGCATCACAGGTCCGCAACCCCCGACAAGCCCGGATCTTCTGGCGGCAGTGCCTGAACGGGTGCGACGCAGGGATCGCCGACTGCCACAGCACCTGCGACCGCGCGTGCCGGCAGAGCGAGAGCGACTTCGACGCCTGCAGTCGCGACTGCCTCTGGCAGTCTGTCCGCGGTACCCGCAACTGCCGCATTACCTGGACCGCCGGTGAGAACCGGGAGTCTTGTATCGTCCAGGCTCAGTCCGACCGCAAGTCGTGTGAGACGGACTGCCAGATCAAGCATCTCCCGTCCTCCATTCTCGCTACCGGCACGGCGACTCGCACCCCGTCCCCCACCGGGCCCGTGGCTACCTCCCCCTGCGAGATCGACCTCTGCAGCGCCAATTCCCAGGTCTCCGCCTGCGACTGCACCTGCCTGAACACCCTCGCCTGCGAGCAGAAGACTTGCAACGATGCCTCCAATGCTTGCGGGGGCGATCCCACTGCCTGTGGTAATGCGTACTCTGATTGTATTGAGCCGACGGAGACGAGATATCAGAGTTGTAAAGCTGCATGTGGGTCTGACTGATCTTCCAGTGCGGATGGGTGGGAGCTGAAGACACGGATTTGAAACTGGATGCCCAGACTTTGTGGTTGATTTCTCTGCGACTTCAAGGGAAATGCGAGAATTGGATATCTATAAGATCAAAAACCTGTCCGAAAGAAAGCCAATGTAATCATTCTCGGTAGGGTAGCACCGAGAAAAGTGCTATATCGACCGTTCGTTTACCTAAATTGACTCTGCCCGCCCAATATGATCCTAGTTGTTATTTTTTCTTGCTCTATCTGCCAATGTGCGCACATACCAGCTTCAATAACCAGTGGGGGGCGTATCTCGCCTGATCAAAGCCCCTCAAATATTCCGAGCCTACACGCCAATCTCAATAGTCCTGGACGGGTGGAAACCTGGATGGAGACAATCTAACAATGATACGAGCATCCAGACCATATGTCTGGCTTTAATGCTCGTGACGCGTTTCCCTGTTCGGCGATCTATCACGTACTATCACGCATACGACCAACAAGGCGCAGATAGAATTTACGTAGGGTTGAAAAATTTCCAAATTATAGCTTCCAAAGCTCATTCATTAATGCAGTTGCTTTGGATCACAGCCCTTTGATTATTTCACAAACATAGCCGTTCATCCGAGGCATAAACTGAAAAAACACTGGACAGAGACCAGTGGTAGATACTACCTCTAGTAAGCTTCGTGCAAATGAATGCTCCGATTTCCAGCGCAACCTACCTTGCAGCCATCATTAATTTGAAACAAACCTATGAGCCGCACGCCAGCAAATTAGCTTACAACCTTTTTTATAAGATCGTCACTGGAACCTATTTACCTTGAGCTATGATACACTGTGGATGGCAATCGTATGTCTATCCACATTGTCCCTGCTCTTTCTGGGCGCTGGCAACACATTTCGCGAAGCTTCGACCTTTCCCGAAAAACTGACGGCAACATTCCACAATGTCACTTTCCGGCTGTGGGGCTGCAGCACTAATTACCATAAGGATTATCAGACCGAAAAGAACCTTCAAGTTGAGGGTATACATCTTTTCTCTGTCCGGAAGTCTTCGATGAAGATATTGAAGTAAATTAATTTAATGAACTCATAGTTTTGACACTAGCTCAGGCATGTACATAGTCTTCGAGCTGACTAGGGGCTCTATTTATTGTCAGAGACCGAGCATGAACACTGGACCATGATTCAGGATGAATGACCCCTCGTAGTAGTTTCGACCTTTTTTGATGAGATCAGAATGAGATCATGTGGAACATTGAGTATCAGGAGACTTTTTAGCATAGAGACTGAATACGAAAATTAGAGACTTCCGATCACAATTTCCATTGTATAAACTTTCTAAAATATTTTCAAAGTCAAAATCGATGAGGGTGGGTAATCTAGAATTAGCCTTTTTCCGAATACCAAGACCCAAGTGAAACAACGCAGCTGAATCATATCAGGCAGTGTATCACAATTTCCAGCTACAAAGGAGTTCTGATGTGGGAGACGAAAGTATGTCTAGACTAACTTGTCACTTATGTTCAAGGTTTTTCGTTGTTAGAATCGGTAAGTACCAAGAAGAGATTGTATGAGAGGATATATTCTCGTAGTATCATGGGCCAGTCTAACTAAGCCTCTAATAGCCTGTCTTACATGTATTGGATATGGTATGGGATAGACAAAGGTAGGTGTTTGTCACCTGCAGGTCTGTAAGGTGTGGGCACCCTGCGATCTCGGAATATGTTTCCAGTCTCGCCTAGTGTAATACTTGTCTTGCAACACGCGTTTTCGCCCTCGACACAAAGACAACCTCATAGCGTCGAAGTCCGTCAGACTTACTTGATAGCACTTTCACGGCGTAGATTAGTCCTCTAGCAGCCACTAATTCAAGTGAAGTTCCATCAATCATTAACAAGAGCTTATGCTTATGAACATATGACTTGGAACTAATAAGTGGATTTTATGTAACAGACTGAAGTGTCCTCAAGCACATACGACCACAGGGTGTGGAAAACAGGGCTTCCCGTCCGCTCAGCCGTACTTAAGCCACACGCCGGGAGGTTAGTAGTTGGGTGGGTGACCACCAGCGAATCCCTTCTGTTGTATGTTTTTGCTTGTTTTTAAGCTGAGTATTGTCAAGGATGTAGCGCTAAATAACGCTCCTTGTCCTTGCGAAGAACCAGCCAGACCTCTAACCCGGATGGCGGGTTCTGCATAGGAAGGAATATGGGGTGAACTTGTCATTCTGCACCCGCACACTCGGCAGACTACATTCCTCGAGCATACATACCGAGCCAAAAAAATCTATTAATGTCGTATCTAGAACATCTAGAAAGAGTATATGATTAATGAGTGTTTTGATGATGTCCAAGCATATTGAGCAACCTGGATACCTGGTCGGTGGCGTGCTCCGCCATCGGGTGCTTGCAGTCTGTTGTGTTTGTCATGTTGACAGTATGGTTAAGAGAGTCTGTATTAGAATATCTTTCTCTGGGAAATAGGAGAATTCCAGGATGTAAATCAATAAAGAACAAAAATAGTCAACAAAGACTTGATTAGAGGACTTCTGTATATCTCTGGGCAATAAAGATATTAATAGGTTATTTCAGCGATAATCAATGATTGTCGAGGAAAATATCTTTAAATTCATGGTCCTAGGATGGAGACTATCAACTGCGGAAAGTACCTGTAGAATTGAGAGCTGTTTCTTTGTCCATTGAACAAACAACCTCATGTTGTTTGCAATAACTGCTACGCATACCGTCCTAGGTTCCACTTATATATAGGGCACTCCTTTTCCTCCTGTTTCAATTCGGAATCCATACCTCCTCCAGTTTCCCATCACTGGCAGCTTTTCCCAGATTCAATGTATATAACTTTTCAACTTGATTAACGTGAAAGAAAAGACCCACAAAAGCTGGAAACATGTCCAACTCCGGGGAAAACATGCCTAAATCTGAGCAAAACATCCCCAAGCCTGAGGAAAACATGCCTAACACGGAGGACAACACGTTCAACCCTGATGACCTCGTGCCCAAATCTGGTGAGACCCTCTTCGTGTGCAAAATGATTGGGAACGCCATCATCCACGTCGAAATCGCGGGGCGCAGTATCGAGCAGCTGAACTGGGACATGTGTCAACAACAGCTTTCGCGAATCGTTGGGGACTGCCGTCGGAAAAATCCCGATGCCCCACGTCTGTTTGCCTTCATGCACTGCGATCGCTGGCTGCGGATCTATGTCGAGTCCAGTCCCGAGCAACTCGCCCGCGTGCCGTCCTGTCATATCCAAGGGTTTGGGCTGCTTCATCCAGATGGGCAGACCACCAAATTCACAATTGACTGTATTTCGGACCGGAAGCAGATTGATTCGTTTGTGCTAGAGATACTTATGCCGAAACTGGGGTTGTCGGTGCTCTCAATGCCATTTATGGGCCGCCAGGTAACATGGGAATGTCGCTGCCAAGCTTGCCTCGAATCGCCCCCCTCTGTTAAAATTCCCGGACGTGGGGCGACTGGGGAGGAATAAGGATCAGTGTCCTTATAGGATCCAGGGTCTAGAGACCTCTTCTTTTCGATGTATTTTACTTTATCTGATTTGAAATATTCTATTTCATGTATCTAACTAACCAGTTGTAAGCACACTAGTAGTTATCTTTCCTGCTAGGCTGTATAACATGGAAGGTATTCCGGGCTTTACCTTGTGGGTACTCGGGGTTAGAGTTCCTCTTAGTTAACCCGGTGGGTTGACGTCGGGTCGGAATGATTACCAATATCAGTTAACAAGCCCATCACTAGCACCACTAATCAGTTTATCATATCGTTCGAACAATATAGATTTAAACATATGGATTGAGCATGGAAGCGAATGACCCGCAGCGCCTTCGAGCTGACATTCCCCGGCGGGCGGCGGGCCCTTGGACGTATTATTTACCAATAGTGCGGCAAGTTGCAGCGAAGCTTGTGGATACTGTAAACTGGCTTTCCCCCCCAAAGGGGCATCAAACTTAAATAATCAAACCATACTCCACATGATTAGTGTCTACTAAGGAGGTTTTGGAATTTTATACGAAAATCAGCTAGAAAAGTTTTTATGATATCATGTGATGTGATCTCATTCTAGGATTATACTGTGGATTCATATTATAACACAGTGTCACGAATTCAAACAGTACAACCATATTTTACAGTATCTGATTATAAGCGGAAACGACGTCGGATTTTCCTGCCCTAATTACGGTGCGGGTGGCGGCGGCGCGGCGCGGCGCGGGCTTGTCTCACCGCAATCTGCGATAATTTCTTTATACTTTGTAGGTTCTCACTCTCAGGATCGGTTAGAATTTAGGGCGATTAGACTCTCACCGAGTGGGTCAGGTAGGTAGGTGGGCCTCCTTGTTGGAGGCGCTGTCCAATGTCTGACAGCCAAGTGACTCGGGAGGAACAGGATCCAAAAGCCTCATTTCGGTCCGGAGCCGACCGAGGAAGTTAGTGGAACTCAAGCTTGTGCTTAGCGAGTTTGAGGTCGTATTTGTACCAATAGTAACATGATACGAGCCCATCTTTAGATGTGGTTGGAGCGCTTTGCGGCATTAAAATTCCTTTCCTGGCCCTTTTCATTATTTTCATGAAAGCGCCGGGTATTCGGGAAGTTCTGGGAGAGCTCAGCTCAACCCAATACTGTATATGATACTTTTTGAGGTCGACCATGACCACTAATCCAGCCCAGCGATGCACCCGTTACATATTGAACGATTCATCGGAGAGCACATGTAGATAGCCTAGCGATTGCAGCCTGACACGACCTCGGGCCTGACCTAATGATGGCGCAACGCTTTTGGGTCTATGCCTGGAGTTGATAATAGTTAAGCCCCAGTCGACCAATGCAGCTAAAGAGAAAATACTCCAAGCTAGAGCGCTGTAGTGAGACATATGTAAGACATTTACTTCTTTTCACCGGCGAGAGGTTTTCAGTCACTCGAAACATGTCCGAGAATCCGAGAAACAGGGGTTCTTAAAGGCTCGTTTATCCCATCTGTGGTATTTCTGTTCTTCCGTTGCGTCTCATTCTCACCTTTGATTCTCTGATCCCTCTGCTCGATGCTATCTGAAGCACAAATTGCTCGTCTTTGTTGTTTTGCAATCTGGTTCAATTCTCTCTGCTGGCTCTTTGTTGCTCATCAAGGCTACGATCCTGACGTTAGGTTTATCCTCTGGACTTTCGTCGGCCCAGCCTTCTACGCCACCTTCGGATGGCGATGGCCTACAGTTGATCGACGGTCAGCATCTACCTGATCGGTGGTTTGCTTACGATCTCGACGACGTCGACCCTTTGCCCTTCCAGCCCCCGAGGTGGCCTATGAGAAAAATCCCAACACAACCACGAAATTAGCTGTCCGGGAGCCCGTCAAGGTCTGTGAAAGCGGTCTCCAAGCTTTCTCAATACGCCTATGGTAAACGTCGTCTTCACCATGACCGCTGCGATCGCGGCGGCGATATGGTCCTGGTCTCACTTGAAAGACTGCAGTCATCACTCCGGCATTGTCGACGGCTGGCAGTATGAGTACTATACTACAGGTCGGAATTGTGACACCACGGCCCAGCAGAAGACCATACAGGGAGCCATCTATCAATACCTCAACAAGATCGAAGGCAATACTGTTTGCGGTACTGAGTGTCTTACGCTTAATCACGGAGGTACCTACGGCTACTTAAAGTTCGGCAAACAAGGCGTCTTTAACTCATCTGCTTATTGTGGCCCGACCCTTCACTTTGAACGTTGTGCCTCAGGTGGTGTGAACGCTTCTGAAAGGCTTCGTTCCCCGGCAAATTAGTTGGATGGGGAGAGACGATAGAGAATAGAAGAGGGGGAAGGAGCTTGGAAACGGCTGGTCAATTGGATCTGTTATGTTTGTGGATAGGAGGGTATTCTTTTGGTCACTTCATGTCTGATTGAGCGTTTAACACGAATGTATCATCGATGATTGAAGTTCCGAGGGAAAGGAGGTGGTCGCTCAATGCTTTCTAAGCACAGTTCTCTTCGCCTATCAACCGCTTTCAAAATACTCCATGTCCAAGGAATCCCCGCCCTGGAAGTGCTCCTGCTTAGCTTGAACAGACACACCCTGTTGATTCCAGGTCGAGTCTGTTACACTTGACAGAACTGACTAAAGCCTCCCGCAGGTGCCAGCAGGCCCTTCATAGATTCCTGTGGAACAAACGACTTCTAGCCAGCCAGGCTTGACGATTCAGCTCGCTGTGGACATAAAAGCGATGATAATTACAATCGTCTGAAATTCCTTATTCAATGGGTGCTGGTACCTGCCCATCCAAAATGCCTCCGATTGCACCAGAGAAGATCCTCGCCCGGTAAAGCTACGCGAATTCCCACATTTGTGAACGAGAAATAAGTGGGGAGTGGAATTATTGAAAGGTGAGCTGAACTTAGCCTCATGACTTGCATATTCCATCGCTCAAAAGTGCGGAACAGGAACATATACGCAAAGTAATATAAGTACATGGCTAGCAATCTTCTGCCAATTGGTCTTATTACAAGCAGACAGACAAGTCTCTAGCTAGTCAAAGTGATTGACCAACGCAACAAGGTATCGGATGCTGCCTGAATGGTGGCTGAGCGCGACCCCGCCCACCATTTGGCGTCGGACTAGGGCAATAGCTTCGGGATCTTGTCTGCGGCGCAGTCACCATGCAGCAACACCCACCACTTATCACCCTCACAGTTGCGCTAAGACCGCGCCCCCACTAAGTCGCCGGCTTAGCTTCCGTTTCGTCCCGTGCGATCTTTGAGTTCTGGAGTTTATAATTCTCATTGCATTTATCGTGGGGTTCCCACCAGAACCCAAATGTTCTCCAGTTTATGTATTTCACCCGCTACACAACGGCGCCATGCCTGGTAACGCCGCAGACCGAACGAGAGGTACTCCGACAGGAAGCCCGAGAACACCTTCACCCTCTTCCAGTCAAGAGCATATCTTGCCCTCCGTCGAATTCACTTTCTCTTGCAGCCCATCGTCCGCAGGATGTACAACTCCAGCCTCATCCGTCAACGACAACGCAAATGCTTTCAGCCCCGGCGCCGATCGACACACTCTCACTCCATCAATGCAGACTCGCTTCCAAGCATTGCATCTCAAAGAGAGTGTGCAACCCACGCCGACAGTCGAGGACCCTCAAGCTGACTACACCGACCGGGCAAGAAGGGTGTTTGGCTTGAGTCCCACGCCAAAAACTCCTGAAGCTTCTGGTGCAACCACGACCTACAGGGACCTTTACAATGTCACGCCCAGTCCTGCCGGTCCCTCTCCCCGCCGGCCGAGTCATCAGCAGCACCAGCATCGGTCAGACACACCCAGCTCACCGTTAGGGAACGTCATATCCGAGATTCAAAACATCAATTTGGGTGACTCGAGAGGTGAACCAAACAATGCCCCTGAGCACGAGGGTGATGACTCTCACACGGCAACCGATGTTTCCACTCATGACAGTGAGACTGATGCGTCGGAAGATGATGATGACCACTCAGACGACGAGAGATTCTTCAATATTCGTCAGGAGGAACTTCCTCAGGCGCCGATTTACAACCCCCGCCTCCAGAATGCACTGCGTGATATCCGAGGCCAGCTTTCCAGTCTTGCAGAACACCTGGAGAAACGGCGCGCCTTGGTGCAAGACACTACGACTGCATTGCATGGACTTCATCAGCAAACGCTGGCGGCGAGTCGATTCGCTTATCCCGCTACGCGAACAGTAGGGTTCATTGGGGATTCCGGAATGGGTGATTCATATGGGGAAAAAATATCCTTAGCTTAGGAAGGAAGAAGGCTCATACGCCCGACAGGAAAGAGCAGTCTCATCAACTCCATCCTCGATCAAGAGGGGCTGGCCCGCTCGGTAGGTCATATTTCCTTGGATGCTGATGGCTCTTGTGGATTTCAATGGTGGCTGACCGTATGGAAGAGTGGAGACGGAGCTGCCTGCACGACTGTCGTCACCGAATTCCGCAGTGTGGATGAGGCGCACCCACAGAATTATACCGTCGAAGCGGACTTCATGAATGACGTAGAGATTCGCGAATTGCTGGAAGAGCTGTTGTCCAGTGTGCGGAAATACTACACGGGCGCCTTTCGTGAGGTGCAGACGGCGGCTGAACAGGAGGACATCAAGGCTGCGGCGCTGCGAGCATGGGAGACATTGCGGTCTCTTTTCCCCACACACGAGGATTGCGACCTGGAGTTCCTTTCTCAAGAAGGAGAAAATGCGGCGGAAACTATCATGAACACCTTGCATGAATGGGCCATGGCTGGGCTGGACCACCGACCAGGCGGACGAGACAATCTGCGATACTCAATCGTGGCCCGGCATGCGGATGAATGCATGGAGCGGCTGGATGGTCTCATGGCGGATCCCAAAGAACGTGATCGACCGGCACTGTGGCCGTTTGTTAAATTGGTCAGGTTCGAGTGCCTTGATCATCGGGTTGTTCAAGATGTGGCTGATAGAGAAGTAGGGTCTATTTGCGGTCGCCGGTCTTGCGTACAGGCCTAGTCTTGGCTGATCTGCCCGGTACTTGGTCCTAAGTGTAAACTTGCTCCCCGAAACTAATATCTTGCAGGATTCCGCGATCTAAACTATGCCCGAGTTCGAGCAACCGAACGCTACCTGCGCCACAATTGCGAGGAAGTGTTCATTGTTAGTTCGATTCTTCGATGCACAACCGATCAGTCCATTGGCGACATTATTCGCCGTTGCGCACGGGACCAACCAATTCGTTTAGTTTGCACCCGGTCAGAAGTGTGTTCCTCCCCATCGCCCGGATCCTTATTGACCGAGCTAACGTAAAGGTGTCAGGACGTGGATGCCAGAGAGACGGCACGGACTGCGTCCGCTGAGGATAGAACGAGGATCCGTGATATGGACGAGAAGATCCAGGCCCTTGAACGAGAAATCCGAAGCACGCGCTCTCGTAGGCGGCAGGCCAGAGGCAATAAAATTCAGAGTCTTGCGGTAGAGGAGGCCGATCTAAGGTGCGCTATTTTTTGCATAGACGTCATTGCGTCTCTGACATGGAATATTTATAGTGATCAAAAGGAGGCTCTTGAGTTCCGGTACGTGACACGCGTCGACAGTGTTCAAGTGGTAGCATATGCTGACTTCGAGCTTGCCAGACTGAAGCGATACCTTATCAAAAGGCGAAATACGCGAGTGACGGGTCTTTTGTTGACTGCCTGGGGAGACCGTGCCCGAGTCTTCTGCGTGAGCAACAAGCTTTACTCTGACCACCGCTTGAAAACTCCCGAGGAGGACAATGGTTACCTGAAGCTCAGTGGGATCAAGAAGCTTCGTCAATACTGTCAATTGGTTCCTGCAGATGCGCAGTTTCGGGCCACTGCTTCCTTCCTGAAGAATGAGGTTCCAGCACTTCTCGGTTCCCTGACGCAATGGGCTCTGGCGGGGTCAAACGCTCTCACTGTGGCCCGAGCGGAGATCCTGAGTGGGGCTTTGCATAAGGCGGAGGAGACTCTCGAACAGGTGCGCTGACCATCTCACATCATGTAATGTCACGGTCCTACCTCTTTCTTAGTGTTTTTCTCTTCGTAGTTGAGGATAGATTTGTGTGCGGATTCAGCGCTGAGCATTGCTGACTTTGTTAGAGCTTCCTGTCCGATTACACAGAGATAAGCTTGGCGCACGACGCCCTAAAGCTTGGCTTCGACTCTGAAATCGCACAGAGAATAAGTGAGTTTGGAAACTAGCTACCGACTATGATGAAGCAGTTGACTAAAATCTGGCACAGGCAGGTCTCGAAATATCTGGAGGGATGGCGCTGTCCACGCGAGCGAAGACTGGGCAGGCGTAAGTCCTGATAAAAATCGACCCATTGCTAATCCCAGAATCTGCTAATACAGGAAACACAGTGGCACCACATGTCATACGCGGCTTGGTGTCGCAACTATGGAACCCATTATACAAAAACCCAACAACATCGTTGCTGGAACGAAGAAATTCTCGGCTCTGCACGTGAGCAGCTAGCCCTATCATGGGACAACCTGTTTGAAGATATGAATTTGCTCAGGGAATCTCTTGGGGAGAAGATTTCGGACCGCTTTGAACGTGTGCGCGAGTCGATCCAAGGTAGACTCTTTCCATACCGCTCGGCCCTTTGCATACCCCTTGGCTGATCTGATCCCACGGCTTAGTACACCAGGATCTCGCACCAGACACACTGCGGAATCTGCTGCTTAACATCGAGAGACGCCGGATATGTATAGACGAGGCCCTGTTCAATGCTTTCAAGGACCTTATGTATACGACCGAGTATTAGAGGCCCTTTCCTGTGGTTTCCATCAAACATGCATTGCTAATCGTGTTGGGCAGAAAAATCAAGGACGATACAATTGCCGGTCATTCCAGCTCTTTTATCGCGGGCGTCATGCGCCCGATTTATAATATCTGTCGTGAGCAATATGGTGAGTAATGTCCATTTTGGGTAGACCCTCATGGACAGGATCTGAACATCAGTGTTTAGGGACCGGAAGTGATTCCCGACGCAAGGGTACGATGTACCGGCATCTTTCTTCTCCGACACTGTTCATGGACCTCGGCTCTATAATCACTGAACAATTCGAGGGAGTCCTTCAACATACCTTCAATGTTCTGGATCGAAAGATACGTGATAATATTGGAAATGTCACCCGGGATTTACGGAGCTCAATCACAGTTGAAGGCGAGATCTCGGAGGCGGGGCAGGATCCACAACATACAGAGGAATTGAGGGGAAAATTGGAACAGCTTCGAGGGATCCTGGCCAGTGCTCAGGTGACAGTCAGGGATTTGAGGCAAGGATAGTGTCTTGATTCTGTCACAACGTTCTCCCGTCCATTGATTGCATGCCCTGATCAGTATGTTTGTCATGTTTGTCTCTTTGGCCTTCTTGTCCTTTTTGTACCCCGCAAGTGTTTATTGCAGAAGGCGAAAGCATCGGCACGAGCCGCACGATCTGCGTGGGCACGGATTGGATTAGTGATCGTGAAGTTTGAATCATACGACTTGGCTGCTGCGCAAATTCACAAGTCAGCCGATTATTCAACCAAAATGTCACCCTTGGCTCAAACCTGTCCTTTTAGCATTGTTCCTGAGGGCACAGCGTTTGCGCTTGTCTCACTCCAAGACCGATCGTACCAATCTTCAGCTGTGCCAAGAAGAAAACCCCGCGGCGTATCTGCAGGATGTAAGCTGTACGATGAGCCATGTCTGCTTTTGTCAATGATCGTCAGGGAACCAGGCCTAGATTTTGAGCTGAGTTTTTCAGCTTGCCAGGGTCCTCCCACACAGGTATAAATGAGGCTGACCATCTGCGTTAAATGATGAACCCACGGATCAACCGCCTTGTACCGACGCTATGTTGTTCCTAGCATTGCTCTTCGGCCTTGCTGCTGGCCAAGATGGTATGTCTACCGTAGCCCGAACTGTTTTTCATCCCAGCTGACTCGAACAGCCACCACCAGCGGCCAATGGCTCATCACCCTCAATACTACCATATTCTGGCCTACATCCACGGACTACTTCTACGGACCTACAACCGGCCCGGATGCCTCCGTCGTCTCCTGCAACGCAGCCTGGATAGAATGGTCCAGACGCTCTACGGAGCTTCGGTCCCTAGGCCCCACCGCCACCATCGAGTCCACCGGATCCTACGCAACCAGCACCGGCGCATGCCGCACTTCAGTCACTCAGGAAGCATGGTCGAACTCCCACAACGGTCCTCTTACCACCCTTTGCGACGGTATCCCGCGTGCGCTCGGACCTCTGGAAACAGCAACGGAGTACTACCCTGACAGCAACGGCCTCTGCTCCGAGGGCTACAAGATCTATACCGAAACCGAAACCCTGTACCGCAACCCGCCCGACCCAACCCCAGCCTGCACTCTCCAGACGAGCGAGTGCATTCCGATCTGGTCCACCTATTCCAGCCTGGAAAGCTCCTATGATAATTCAGTCACCACCTCCGCTCCCGGCGACACCCGAAGCCCTATCCCACCCTACGACTGCCCCTCCACGGCGCGCTCGTACCCCGAAAAAAACCCTTGCTCGGCCTGCCACATCCTCCCGGGCACAGCGACACTCTTCTACTGGCCCGTGACCACCGCCGACGGCGATCTCTGTCTGCAGAACGGAACCACCGTCCCTCCCTCGGGGCCCAGCACCGCCATCGTCAACGGCGAAACCTTCATCTCCCCGACCGTCTACCTCTCCTTCACCTCCATCTACGCCTGGAGCAACCGCCGTGGCCACCCGGGCTCTCAATGCGGCGTCTCCCACACCAACGAGATCCTCTCCCTCAACCCCTCCACCCTCTCCTCCGTCCGCCACCACCGCAACGCAAAATACCCCACCGTCGGCACAGCCTACCCCTTCAACTTCGCCGAGTTCATGCCCCACGACCTCGGCAACAACGGCACTCAATCGCTGATCCCCTGGCCGCAGTACCGCGGCGGCCAACAATGCCCGCTCTACGATCCGTCCTGCACCATCATCCGCGACGACTACATGCCTTGGGTTCTACTGCCCGAGGAAGTCCGACAGATCGACCCCGGTTGGTCTGTCTGTGATGAGAGCTGGTACATCCCGCCTGTGACTATGGTGCCCTTGGATAGGGAGGTGATTACCGTGACCGCGACGCCAACGCCCGACGCGGAGGCTGAGGCCGTCTTTCGTGTTGCTGCTGCTGCTGCTGTGCCGAAAGAGGGGTCGCCCACTGCGACGCCGGTGCCGACAGAGCTGGGGTGGTGAGTCGCTCGGATTGTGTTTTTGGTGCGCGGGCTGCTTCTGTGGATATGTGTTGCGCTTGCATGTCTGTTCTTACGAATATACGGTAGTAATTTTGCAAATATTGCGATGGGGCATCGCAAGCCAGTGCTATGGCTGAAGATGTGGCACAGGTAGTAATGAGCATGAATTATGAAAACTGAAGTGATGCCATTCTGGTGTTTAATATCTGATTATTTACCTATTATCACCGGGGAAAGACTTTTTGATTTGGCCGCATGGTTGGCTGATCAAGTAATGCTACCACAATACTCCATCATTGGCTAAGATATTTCCTAGATCATTATTATCCTCAGGTTTCTGACTGACAAAGCAATATAGGAGTTGAATTTTAAAATGAGTAAGATGGTAGCTAGTTGCTGCATAAATCTACACTCTAATCCTTTCATTCATGTGTTTACACTTGGTTAATTTTGGGAATATTTTGGCCTTAAGCAGTTGGTTTGATTTTGATGTATTACATAGCTAGATGCAATATTGTCTGCCTTGAGTAGAAGGGCTACATTGAACTCGATAGCACTTAGAGTATAGAAGTAATGGTATTAGTGACTATGGAGATTTATCTATACTGGCCACACAGGCAGGTGAGTGAGTCAGCTGAAGCGGAAACCACCAGGCTGGCAGGGTTCGGTTTGAATCCGTGCCACGCAGGCTTCCCCGAACAGCAAATCCCATCTACTCATCATCGCGAATATCGACAACCTCCCGCTTCCACTTGCGAGCCGGGACACGACGCTTGAACAGAATGTCGATCTCACGGAAGGACCTGTTCTTCATCTCGGGAATCCAGAGCCAAGACATGGCGGTGCAGAAAAAAGCAGTGCCGGCCCAGATGTAGCCGCTCTTGCCGCCCAGGTTCCACTTATCCGTGTTGAGCATGTAGCTGGACAGGAAGATGCAAGGGATATTGACGATGTAGTAGGCACCTCGTCCCATACCAGTTGTCAGGGGCCTGAGACGCACGGACGATGTCTCGCCGATGATGACCCACGAGGCAGGCGCAGGTCCCAAGCAGAACAGCACGGAGACGATCAAGCCGAGGGACGCTTGCGCGTTGCTCGCTGCCTTACTCGCGCCCACTGACGCCGCAATCCCGAGCGCGACCAAGAATGCACAGTTGATGAGCTGCCCGTACACGTAGATCGTGCGTCGGCCGAGGTAGGTGGTCAGCACCCACGAGAGCATGACCATGATCATTTGCAGGGCCGAGGTGATCAGACCGAGTGCAAATGCGGTGTTGTCTGCCATGCCGGCCTCTGCGCTGGTGTTAGTCTGTCTGCTATGAGGGTGCAGGCATTGGCTGGGAACTCACGTTTGAAGAAGTATACCGCTTGGTTAGCGATCAGATTGCCCGTCAGGTTCTGAGATGCGTACACACCGCACACAATCAATGTGCGGTAGAGATCGGTCCCTTTCCACAGTTCAACGAGACTGGGCTTCTTCACTGTCTTCTCCAGCTCGATCGTGCGACGCATCATTGCGACTGCGTCGGCGGGATTATCGTTTGAATTCGCGCTGCCCAGGCGCTTGACGGCCTTCTCTGCGTCGGCCAGACGGCCCTGTCGTACGAGCCACCAGGGCGACTCAGGCGCAAGGAAGAGTAGGATAGCGAGGGGAGTAGGGAACATCCATTGGAGTGCAATGGGGACTCTGGGATAACTGTTAGTACAGTGCTCCTTTTAATTCATCTCTATGGGAGCGGAGGAGCGGACGAACCTGTACGCTGAGGAGTTATCCTTCGATTGGTAGTGGTAAGTGATCCCGCCGACAATGATCGAGCCAATTGCCCAGAACATCTGCAACATCTGCGTTGCGGGAGCTCTCAATCTCATGGGCACAATCTCGGCACAGTAGGCGGGGGCATTGGCGATGAAAATGCCCCACGGGATACCTTCCAGGATCTGGGCGGCGAAGAACATCCCCTGGCTCTGGCCGAAAAAGAAGATGAAGATGAAGGCATTCAAGGCCATGAGACCGCCAATGGTTGCCCATCGATATCCAATATAACTGGTGATGGGACCGGCCACGAATACTCCAATGAAGGCACCAAGTGGACCGCTACACTGGAATGCTGACTGCCATGAAGCTTCGATGATCCAATCATTTTGGACGTCGCTCCATACGCCAAAATCCTGGGCGAATCGATGGGTGGCTATGAACTGTCCCATTAGGAAAACACAGTATGACTCCATGATCTATCGCAGTGTTAGAAAGATAATCTTTGGTTATTGTGGACAGGAGCGAGCTCACAATGGTGCACGACATGACGAAAGCCCACCAGCTGGCAGCGGGATAGGCCTTGACAGCTTGCAGCACCGTCATCCGATGTTCGACCTCCTCGGCATCGATGGCGCCCGCTCTGTCGTAGTCAACCTTCTCGCCGGCATCGTAGACAGGTTCGTCCTTGGAGGTGGGCTGCGCCTCGACCTCCAACGCCGAGGTTTCCTTCTCTGTCATGTCGCTAGTCATGTTGACGATTTCTGAGAGAGAAAAGGGTGAATGAAAGAGAGGCGGACACGACTGTGGGGGGCCACGAGGGAGGTGTCAGATGTTTATAGCTGCGATACCCCGCTTGTGTGATGATAATCCGGAGAATAGCCTATTTGAGCGAAGCTTACTCCGGAGACCCCGGAATTAGATAGATAGACCTCCTGAACCCAACTTCTCCACTCAAAATGGTCATTTTCCGGGGCACCACGCTAGTCAAGGTCGTATTCCCGACGCCATCGCGTTCTTATTGCACCGAAGGTGTGCTTACCCCCTAAATGCCCTAGGGTCTGGGTGTAACGGTCACTGTAACCTTGATTCTGGTACTCCGGGGGAGTGAGATTCAGTCGGGTGGAGATGCCCCGGTTACTTCCCCCATCGGCCCATTTTTCCCCGCAAATGCGGGGGTGTTAAAGTTTTTGGTCAGCGTTCCTCCACTCGGCTAATCTCACGGGCCCAATCAGATTTCCAATTCTGGTTATTTAGATTGATATCATTGACTATTATGGTTGGTAGCGGGTCATGTGCACTTCAACCCACGTGCTGGTGGCCAGACGGTTCTAGTACTTCTGAGAGGGTCGACTGTCGATCGCCTGGGGAGAACATGGAGAGCTGATGTGGAGCCGACAATTAGACATCCACATAGTGCGCAGTATGTGTCTGTCAAAGTTGTCCTAACTACTTGGTATAAGTAAAATACTGTTTTCCGGGAAGACACAGCTGTAGGTAAGGACGATATTGACTGTATTGGACTGGTACTATACCAGCGTGTCAATTTACAGCGATTACCTTATTCTTTGCTCTTAGCCTTTCCACGTGATACGATCTCTCTGCCGCGCTGGAAGAATCCTACGCCTCCTTTTCTAATTTTCCTCCAATACGCCGCCATGCACTATATTAACACTCTCCTTAAACCTGCTTCCATGCTTACTTGGTTACCTAGCTAGCCCGCGTGGTCATCCAATAGCTCACCCGTTCACCTACGCTTTTGACGACATCACCCCAATCACCCGCACTGACCCTTTGTCTTAGCGTTGCTTGCCCACCCATGGCAGCAACTTGAGATATGGCACCATTCGGCCACGTTCAATACATGCTAGTATCCTGCATTTTTTCTCTTCTGGAGAACCCAACTTTCCCATTCTCAGAGCAAATAGTCCTTATCGTAACACCCCTCTTATGCGTCGCTTGTCGTACTCAAACCCTGGTAAGAATTATACTTGCTCGGGCTCTTTGGGCTTTTCTCTCGCTTACTGGCTGCTTCAGCGCTGTGCATATGCTAAGCATCGGGAATCCACTGCATGGGTACAAGAATCCTTTCAGGCTTTATAAAGCTTCCCAGCTTTGTAGCTATCTGCTGCTTACGATTCCCGCAGTGCAGTGGAAGCACAGACGCTGCATATCTGAACCTCTCCTGCCAAGCCACAGCCCCTGACTTACAAGCACTGCGAATACCAGTCGTTGACATAAGTGCAGGTCCACGGACTCGCACACACCGTCGGCCCCGTCCAGCTTCCCCCGCCACACTGGCCATAATGAGCAGCGGTAGCGCCCGTGCCCGTGGACGTGGCCGCGCCAGTCGTAGCAGTGCTTGTTGCCGTCGCCGTCGCAGTCGCCGTAGCGGTAACGGTAACGCCCATTCCGGCCAACAACCCATCATACGCCGGCTTCTTAACCAGATTCTCATCCCACGGCAGCGCAGCGCCGTAGCCCGAGAACGTGCTGGGCACCCAGCTATACTTATCCGTCCAGTCCCAGATAGTGAAGCCCACGCACCCGGTGGTCTCCACGCACGACTGCACCAGAGCCTGGAAGTCCTTGGCTTGTTGGGCGAGCGTCGTCGCCGTGGTGGGCAGCTGGATCCGCACGTCCGCCTCCGTGTACGCGACCTCGACGCCCAGCGCCGTGAAGCCCTGCAGCACAGACACCAACGAGCTCTTGCTCGGCACCGTGCCCACGCTAAAATGCGCCTGCAGACCCACCCCGTCGATCTTGACTCCTGCCTTCTGAACTAGCTGCACGATCGCCCGCGCGCTCGCTGCCTTGTTCCCTCCGTATTCTAGGTTGTAGTCGTTGTAGAACAGCTTCGCGTCCGGGTCTGCTGCTGCTGCTGCTGCGAATGCGATCGGGATGTAGGCTTCGCCGATCGTTGTGTAGAAGATGTTCGTGCGGTAGGTGCCGTCGTCGTTGAGTGCTGTGCATCCGGGGAGGGGGGAGTTAGCTTGGTGGGTGGGTGAGACGAGTGGATGGCAAACCTTCGTTGACGACATCCCAGTGCAGACAGCGCCCCTTGTAGTGCTTTACTACGTTCGTGATGTGGTTTTGCAGCGCCGCGATCAGCGTTGCGTTTGTCCAGGTGCCGCTGGTTACTGTTGCGGATGTTGTTAGTGTCTATGTCAAGGGGCACTGTGGGAGAGGGACGTACCCCAGCTGGGTAGTTGATTGTACCACACTAGTGTGTGGCAGCGCAGGTACTGCCCGTTCTGTTCGGCCAGGTCGGCGATGACGTCTCCTTTGGTGAAGCTGAAGGTGCCCTGCGATGGCTCGGTCGTGTCCCACTGCAACAAAAGGTTAGCTGATTATCTCACGGGATAACACATTAGTCTCCGCTGTGGAGACGGACGTAGGGATACCTTCTGCGAGTTTCCAGGGGTGATTTGACCAAAGTCAGCGGTGTTGTTCAGCTGTGTCAGGTATGGGATATCCGTGAGCTCGGGGTTATCCGTTGCGGTGCCGAAATATAGAAGTCCTTTGGCGACTGCAGCCTGGTCGAGACCAGTGGCAGAGACACTAGAGGATTGAAGAGCATGGTCAGCTCATACTGCGTTATCATGTCAAAGCCCAGGAGAAGCGCACATATTAGGAAGCACAACTGCGGCAAGCGCCGCAGTGATTGAAAGAATCGCGACCATCGTCTCTTGGTTGTGGTGGTTCCCAGATCTCCTAATGGCTCATGACACGCGACAGAGCTACTTATATACATTTACATCTTGGCATCGGCACTGTAAATAGGCAGTGAGCCCGTCTATCTGTCTCGGAGCCATGCTCCGCAGTTTTCGTAGTAGATCTCGGGTACCTCAGAATTAGAGACAAGCATATTGGTCCATGAGGAAATAAAATGTTGCCTTGTATGAGAGATATAGAAGCTAACGCTGCGGGACACGGAGCAAGAGATGGCCGTGCGCAGCCAATATATTGGGTTGCGTTGATTGGCCGGACAACGCATGGCAGAGCGGGTTTTCCCCAGATTTTAGCCTAATTGCGACTACTCGTATTCGAAGTGGTCAAAGTACTTTACTTTGTGCAGACTTTGAAGGTACTGCGCGTCAGACGGAAGTGTGCTGCTCCGTGGCTAAAACGCGCTCGGTATCGGAAAGCGGCCCGAGGACCGGCAGCAGCAGTTTATGTACTGTAGCAATAGCATAGCTGTTGAAGAGACGGCGTACGTAATTTCCGTGATGAAATAGCATTTCCTGAGCGGGGCTGGTCCCGGTCTGAGCTTCCTGTGCACGTACATTAATTAGAATACGGCTTGAATTGGGGATTTGCCTGACATATGGAGTCATGCCATTACCGGCTTCCTTCTTTTCTCGCACCACGTGGCGGGAAACAAAGTGGAGGGTCCAACGATATTCGTCTTAGTGATATTGGATGATTAGCGGATAGCGACTAATCTTGATGTCGCTTGCGGATTTTATTCTTTGTTAACGATTTTATATTATAGGCTTGAAAGTGTGTAGATGATTCAATGTGCCTAGCTTATTGTTGTTGACAGAGATTACCAGGGGAATCCTGGCTCCAATAAAGCTTCTCAACCCCAAAACACGAAATTCATTCAAGAAGCTCGTCCAGCGAGCGAACTAAAAGACGTGCTGACCCTTCACCAACAGTCCGGACGAATCAATCCCAATGAGAATAGATACCACAGTCGCTCCAGCATGCGAGATGGCGGCTTCTAAAGTGGTGTTTGCCCAGCGGGACGGGATTGAGGTAGATTCCTTGCATGATGCTTTATGATACGGTTTGACCTCCGTCGAGGGCGGAGTACCGGTTGGCAAGGCCAACTAATGTCTGGAGTTGGATCAAGGTCGGAGTTTTAGAAAGGGATGATCAGCCAATTCGCGAGCTGTCTTCCTTTCCTCTGGGATCCAGGTGAGCATTTGTCGAGCAAAAGACAGAAATGCCTCTCGATCCTTCCCTTCGAGGAATGGAGCCGTGTCTTCCAAGCTTCGGGACGGAATTAACTCCTTGTGCCAGAATCCACCTTCAAAAGTCAGCATGCTAGGTATCGGTGTTCGAGTTTCTCGTGCACTGACCCTCTGTATGGTAGAAAGGACCATCAAAGAATTCTTGAGCATTCTTGCAAAGCTTGCCGGTCTCGTTAGGTATAGGCTCTGGCCAGTTGTGCTCGGACATGGCCTTTGACTTTGCGAGTAAGGCACTTGGGGGCGGGCCGAGTAGGGCAATCATTTCCGCGAGGTGTGACTTTGCGTCGTATTGGCCATTTGCACTTCGCACTTGGGAAAACAACTCCCTGCTACCAAGGAGATTCCACAACTTAGTAAAGCACACATTAGCATTCAGATCAAGGTCAGCAGTCGTAGCCAATCAGAAGCAGAAAGTCTGCCAAGATCATTGCATCGTAAACTCCATACATGAATCATCACAAACAGCGACAGGGTCTCTCACCAGCACACCAAAATTCCAGATATCAGCTTTGAAATCCCAGCCGCAGCCAAGAATTACCTCGGGGGCACGGTAATAGTCCGGTTGAATAGGATAGATGCCAAGTTGCTCTCCTACCATTCCGTTATGAGTCGACGGCTTGTCAAGTCTTGTTGCGAGCCCAAAATCCGATATCTTCGGAATCAGATTTTTGATATCCCTCGCATTAAGAGGACCAAAGTCATTATGGCAGCGGTAGATAGTCCGACCACTTACACCATCAACCTTGTACTGCATTGATTGTTGTCGGTTGATGAAATTGGTAAGGATGTTTTCGTTCTCGAAGCTCATGAGAATATTGTCCAGCTTCAGATCTGATAGGGAGATTAGGTCATCATGTCGCATTGAAATCGGAAAGTCACTATCAGCCCTCACCCGCATGGACAACTTTGCACTCCGAGTGAAGATAATCGAGACCAACAAGGAGGAAGTAGATGTAGGCCTTGGCAATAGGCAGGGGAAGTTTGCGATCCACGAACCGTCTCTTCAAGATCCAGAGTGGTTCTCTCATTGGTTCGTAAACGAGGCAAATGTGCTTTCCCTGCGGACCAGTGATCTCCAAGGCATCCAGACACGTCCGGAGAATCACCCCACCGCGATGCTCAGGATTTAGCTGCGCGATATGCTTCTCAATCTCCCTCTCATGCAGAGCATCGTCTCTGTCGTTACTGTTGTTTATCTTCAGGGCCACCGCTTCTTCAGCTTGCCATCTGAATTTCGATAAATCTCGGGCAAGCCAGACTGTTGATTGCGATCCCCAGCCAATCTTGGACAAAAGTTGGTATTTGTTGGCGAGTACGTCCCCAAGGTTGGCTGGGTAATATGCCGCTGACTCATAGTCTGGACAAAGCTCCTCGTCGACAAGTTCTTGTTGAGAAATCGTAGGCCCCAAATTAGGTGGGAACTGCCAAAGCGCCTTCTTGGCGAATGAGAATATGGTACGTCGCGGTGTTAAGGCCAGTCGCTGGAGGGGCGACATCATTCATTTTACCGTTCTCGAACAGCTCTATAGGATGGTCAAACTCCAGATAAAAGTAAGACTGAGCCAATTCAATAGCCCTCAGATCAAGCAAGCTATCACTCAGTGGCAAATACTACTTCTTACAACACAGGTACAGTACAATCGGAACAGGAAGTTAAGAGAGCCCCAGAGATGGGAAGGCTGGGAAAGGATGAAATCATGTGATAACGGTCAGCGATGCCGGAATAACTTATAGCCGCAGATATGTATTGCCCAACACATTCAACCAGCCACGCAACTTCCCTCCTGCACAATCAGTCCTGTAGCTCAGTTGGTTTGAGCATGGTGCTGCGGACCACGCCCATGCACAGACCTGAAGGTCCAGGCAGTACTGCTGCTTTGCTCCTCCTGGCTGTCCCTTAGGGTACTAGATCTAAATAGTTAGAGGAAACACTCCCTGGCCTGTATCCAGTAATTATGGAAGATGGAACTTTAGTATATAATAATCTTATTATAGTATACAACAGCCCTGACGAGATTATTACTTTAGAGATAATTAATCTAACTACTGCAGTAGTCTTTTAAGCCGTAACAGTAGATAAACTAACAGAATTCACCAAAGTAGTATAGGTATCATAGGCTTATATATTTAAAATCACCAAGGCTTATACCGCGAGTTAGTAATAATGGCTTTATAAATACTGCCTGTAAGATTACCACTACTATTACACGGATTATTAGCGAATTCTCTAAAAGTATACAGCTAGTAGGAACCTGTCCAAGGCCTATTATTCTGGACACCGAACACGACCGCGGCAAAAGGGTGAGATTGGAAGTCGGCGCGGCTAGGAGAACAGGACGCAGCCGTCGCGAGCTTCACCACCCAGCCCGATTGCGGGATTCTGCTCATGTCCCTCAAAGCCGGCAACGCGAGACTGAACCTCGCCTGCGCATCCGAGGTCATCCTGCTAGACCCATTCTGGAATCCCTACGTCGAAGACCAGGCTGTGGGTCGTGTATATCAAATCGGCCAGCATCACCAGTAGATGTGCACAAGTTTCAGTACAATAAATAATGGAGTTGTCTGTATAAATATGTTTTACTATAAGCTACTGTATGTATAATAATTATGAGCTTCAAACTATTATAGATACTAATTGCTAAGGACTCGGTTGTAGCCCCACAAGATGTATGGTACTTGCACAAAAAGCCTTTAGGGAGTTCTCAACTGCTGCGCTAAACTTAGAAAGCCACGTGCCACATTTGGGAAATCTGTCAACACTGGAATGACTCCTTTCCTCCGTGATGCAGAAGAGTGTTACGATCCCCCGTAGTTCTTAGTCGATGGCCGTTTACGGAGGCCTAGCGGGACACACCCGCAAAAGCTTTTTGCTATTTGTTTGTGGTGGTCCCTGACCCGCAGATCCTTGTTTTCTCAGGCTCGCTGACCCCGCGCTCGATTCTGCCTCGTGGTGCCGCCTGGCTAGATTCATAACAGAGAGCTGAAGTTATGGGACAGTCGAGGCAGACTTGTGTTCACAGCCCCGCGATCAAAGAATCACGAGGACAAACTGATAAGGAGCGACAGGGTCCGAGCTGCGGCCGAGGGAGAGTATGACTAAATCTAATTGGAGGAATGCATGCTAGGTCTGAATTCGAGCGAAGACGTAAATTGGTGCCTAACCCCGCAACATGACTCATCCAGAAGTGAGACTTAAAGGGCCGGTTTGCTCCTCTTTCTTTCCTCTTTCTGTCGGTTGTGAATTGTTTGAGTTGTTGTCGAGGATGGGGTTGATTATGGAGTGTCTTATGGATATGGATGGAGGTGTGGACTCATGTGCGGGACATGGGCAGCGGAATGAGGATCACGGAGGTTATGCGACTGCGGAGAGGCCGCTGGGCACAGAGGGCAGGGTATGGATAACAATTCTTTGATAATATTCTTTGGCTTCCCTTTCAAATTCCATCCTAATAGTGGTACTGTATAGGGCGGTGATGCACATGGACATAATCAAAGGTCATCTGCGGCAGATTTGAGAGGTATCTTGAAGGACGCCGATGGCGATGTAGTTATGGGCGGTACCGAGGGCTGCAAGAGGAGTGGCAGGGGTGACTTTGAGGTGACAGGTGGTGGATCAACTCTTGTGTTTCTGATTATGGGGGGAAGGCTGAACGATTTTTGAGGTTGATGAGTAAGTGAGAAGGCACAGCATGCAGAAAGAGAGCAATGAGCCGGATGGGATTAGGTACACAATAGGACCGATCTATTAGGGCAATATAAGACCTAGTCGCATCCACATTATCATCTCTCTACGAAGCTGTAGGCTGGCGTTGAGATATTACGCTATGGATGGGGTCCGCTCGCTATAGGCTTGACTGCCACGACATACATAATAACCTGAAAGGGCATGCGGTCAGTTCTTTTGCTAAAGAATTAGATAAGCCGCAGTACCTGGTCTGATCATAGGAACGGCGATTCATAGAATTTTCTGCCTAGTGCATCTATTACTGTATCTCGATCTGATGAACAGTGCTGATCTACCTATTGAAGTGCCATGGCTATTAGTCATGCGATCAGTAGTGCATCTCGCCGTGTACGTGGTAGGCTACAGACCGAGTAAAATTATAGCAGAAGAGGGTTGCTAGCCACCAAGATCTGTACCCCTAGAACCAAGCTTGGATTCTCAAGACGCTCGATTCTGGAATGGAGAAATATGGGCGGGCGGGAAGTTGACAAGTGCCAGAAGCATGGCACGTGCTTCAGTGGATCAGCCGAAGCTTCCAGAATGATGTAATATCGTTCCATGTATAGTACTGTAAGTTAATATTGTAATCTTACTCAAACTACAAAGTATCTTGCTTATACCAAGAGAGTTGAATAAATACACTAGCTGTATATAGACTAGTGCTCTTAGCATGGGGTTTGGGAACAATCTTCTAAGAGTCCGGGGTAGGCATGGCAGTTTGCCAATTGTGCAAGGCACTGTAACAGGGCTTGACCAGCTGAGTATTTCGAATTTGGGACAAGGTCAGATTATGTATCAATAGATTATTACTGTTATTACTCTACTTCTCCACCTGTACTTCGGTTATATTCTATAAAAAATAAATAAATCATTATAAAGATAAAACAGCAGTATCTTACTCAGATAGTATAATTAAAAATTGTTTTATTTATTCTTATTACTGATATTGTATTAAATACTTGGAATGTGGGGAGAAATATTCCATGATCCAGATTCGGGGATAGCGCCGGATAAGCAAAGCCGGGGTAAGAAAGTCGCTTATAAGTGTCCCCGCGCGGCTGAAGTCTTTTCCTGACTTATCTTTTTCCTCTTACTTTTATCTCTTTCGACTCTCACAAATGTCCAGTGAAGGGAGAAGTGCGCGATGAGCATACAAGTGTTTTCCTTCTGTTTCTATCCCTGATACGCAGTGATCACCCAGTAAATTGACTAACACACCAGGGCGAAGCCCCGGTCAGCGACCTCGCGTGTGCATTCCGCTCTACTCGAACTTCCTAATTGTCGCTGCCCTCCACCATGTCTCCACAACCAGAAGCCACGGAGGGATTAAGAGAGTTTCAAGTTCAAGATGCTAGCGTTGAATTGCCTCAAGAAGGGGATCTTCAATTGTACGTGTGATTCTTATCCGAAACGCATAGTGCGCGACGATAATGGAGTCATTCCTTGGATCTGCACTCACACGATGTTTTCGCACAGCCAGAAGATCCTAGTCATCGTGGCCGGCTTCACCATCATGCTCACAACCAATGCCCTCATCTTCTCGGCCGGCGTCTACCAGGCGCTCTACGAGGAAATGGCCAGCGAGCCGGACAACCCTTTCAGCGGCGCCTCGTCCGCCCTGATCGGCCTCGTCGGAACCCTGGCTATCGGACTGATGTCCATGACCGGCCCATTCGTGATGATGTGGATCAAGCTCTACCGACCACAGACCGTGGTCGCCGTGGCGGGCGTCCTCTTCGGCGTCGCCTACATCCTCGCCAGCGTGAGCCGCACGCTGTGGCAATTCGCGCTGACGCAGGGCGTGCTCGTGGGCATCAGCGTGTCGATGTCGTACATCCCCGCGACAACCACGGCACCGACATGGTTCAACGAGCGCCGGGGTTTAGCGATGGGGATTGTGATCTCCGGCAGCGCGGTCGGGGGCATGATCTGGCCGTCAATCCTGACAGCCATGAACGACCATATGGGATTCCGCAACACACTGCGCGTGTCGGGCGCCATCTGCGCGGTGGCCATCATCGCTGTCTCGCCGGCCGTAAAATGGGAGCCAGGCTTCAACCAGCAGATCCAAGCCGAACGCCAGGCGCTGATCCAACGCGCCCGGGGCAGCTGCCACCATCCACGGCCCAGCTTCCTTCAGCTGCCGCTCATCAACTGGCGCCTCACCCTCACCAAGAAATTCCTCGCAAAAGCCGCAGGCTGCATGCTCCAGTCAGCCGCATACTCAACCCCGCTAATCTACTACGCGGCCTTCGGGCGCTCGCTGGGCTACTCAGCCACGACAGCCGCCAACTTCATCACGATCAGCAACGCGGCCAACGCCGTCTCGCGCGTCGGCATGGGCTACGCGGCCGACAAGTACGGCCGCATCAACATGCTGTTCGCGACCACCTTCCTCAGCGCCGTGGCGGTTGCCGCCTTCTGGATCCCGGCCACGGTCGCGGGCGCCACCGCCGCCGGCAAGGCGCTGTTCATCGTGTTCACGCTCCTGTACGGCTCGTTCGCCAGCTCGTACATCGCCCTATTCCCCGCCTCGCTGGTCGAGCTATTCGGGAAGAAAGACTTTACCAGCGTCAACGGCGCCCTGTATCTGGTGCGCGGTATCGGCGCCCTCCTGGGCACCCCGCTGACGGGGCTGCTGATCCCTCAGGGTCGCGCGCTGCTGTCCCCCGCGGTGTATGAACGGGCTGCTATTGCTGTCACGGCGTTGTTGTTTCCTGCTAGTTTTTGTATTCTTTGGGTCAGGTTGGAGATGACGGCTGGGAAGGATTGGAGGTGGAAGGTTTGATTTGCATGCAAGGTTGAGATTGATTCTAGAGACTCTCGATGTCAGTAATGATATCCACGTTCTTTTTTCTAGCACCAAGTATTTGTGTTAGTAAGTATATAGTTTAAACTGGAATGATATCAAGCACATACGACCACAGGGTGTGGAAAACAGGGCTTCCCGTCCGCTCAGCTGTACTTAAGCCACACGCCGGGAGGTTAGTAGTTGGGTGGGTGACCACCAGCGAATCCCTTCTGTTGTATGTTTTTGTTTCATTTTTGTAAATGACCGCACTGGAAGCCAGTTCTTTGCTAGCAAAACACATCATTTATTTATTTAGCAGTCATGTGTGTATACTGACCCTCTTCGAACCGACTCGGTAAGCAAAGCGGAACCCGGCCCAAACAACATAACCAAACGCAATATCTCGGCCTCCAGTCACCCCAGTCCTGATATACGCAGTTCTCCATGCTAGGACTTGTTTCTATGGATGACTGCAGCAAAAAAGCTTCCTTCTCGTGTAAAGTGGGCACAACGTTCATACCTTTTATCCTGAGCACCCTAACCCTGTCCGGGTTTTTTTTCCGACCTGCAACTGCGGCTGACGACTGAGGATCGGCGACTAGACTGAATCCGGGAAATCTGCAGCCAGCCGACCGGCGCGGCGGGTGCTTGCATGCAGTCATTCATTTAGTCAGTTGCTATGCTTGACTGCGCATCATTACCGAGGTCATCGTTGCATGAGTATATTTTACTCTTCTACATTGCTATGAACCACTCAGATAGAAGCATTGAGGCATAGAAAATTATATCATTAATCTACCAAGTGCAAAAAATCATCGCGTCATACCATGCAACAACCCTAAGGGGTCTCCTCGACATTATAAACCAGCTTCTCACCGCTGACCTTCTCCTGCTTCAGGAGCTCCAAGCCCTCTAAGACACCCTTCAATCCCGCGGGCCCAACCTTGGGTCGGTGGACCTTAACCTTGCGCTCCTCCAACAACTTAGCCGACATCTCCCAGAAGCGGGCGGCGAACTCGCGATCCTCAGGCTTAGCAGGGAAGGGGGTGTTGCCGAAGTTAAAGTCCTCGCCAAAGGCGGTATACCCGAGGGTGAAGCGGTCATTGACGTTTGCGCGCTCGATTTTGACAGGGAGGAGGGAGGAGTACTCGCCGCCGTCTGTGGAAAGCGCCTCATCGCAGAATTTGGCGGTAGGTTCCAGGGAAATGGTATCGAGGACGAGCCGGAGCTTGTTTTGGGTGTGCTTGCGAATGGCGGCGGAGGACTGGGGGTCCTTGTAGTCGAAGACGACGTCGGCGCCCAGCTGCTTGACGAGGTCGAAGTTGTGCGGCGAGCAGGTGGTCAGCACCTCGTAGCCGGAGAGCTTGGCGTACTGGATGGCCAGGACACCGGTAGCGGTCGAGCCGCCGTAGATGAGGATGGGCTCGCTCGCGCCCGGCGCCAGGGGCGCCGTTGGCGGCGCCATCTTCAGGCTCTGGTACAGCGACTGCCCCACCGTCGTGATGCCCACGCCCAGCGTCGCCGCTTCCTGGAAGCTCAGCGTCGACGGGATCTTGATTTGCAGGTCCGCGATCGCCACAATATACTCCGCGAACGCCCCGTCTTCCGGCTGCACCGCGTTCGCCCCGTGCACGAACCCGCACACCCGATCGCCCTTCTGGAACCGCTGCCCTGCGTTCTTGCCGACGGCTTCGACGATACCGGCGTAGTCGCAGCCGACCAACACGCCCGGCGGCGCCAGGTATGCAACGTGCTTCCAGTCTGTCGGGTTCAGCGCCACGCTGACTGTCTTCACGAGGATGCAGTCATCGCGAAGGGTCGGAATGGGCCGGTCGGTGACCAGGTCGGCCACTTTGGGGGAGGTGACCACGACAGCATTTTGAGTGGACATTGTGTTTTTGGGAAAGGTGGAGGTGTTGTGGTGGAAAGTCGGTAAGGAAGAAGAAGGGTTGTGTTGGATGAGAAACAATTCAACCAAGTTCGGCAGCAATTGGGCAATTTATATAGAAAATGGCACCAGAAAGGTCGCAGAGCACAAGGTTCAATAATTGACCAAATGCACCAAAAAAGGGGCTTACAAATGTCGTCAATGAGGCTTCTGAAGTCTGGAGATGACAAATCGACTTCGATTTCCTTCCTGTGATCTCATCATGCCCCGCGACCCACAATTCTGCAGCAGATCCCACGGTTTTCGACAAGGACCGAGGTACGTCTGACTTCTTCACGGCCATGTTCTGCAGACTTGGCGTCGAGATGCAGCGGAGACTAGGCCTCTAAGGGCGCATATCTAGCACTGGGCATTCTGCCAAAACACACTTTCCCTTTACGAATAGTCGTGGGGAACTATCGGAGCAGCAAACTCTATTGCAACCACAAATTCTAAGCTGCACAACCAATACGCCGGTCCGGTGGTGTGATCGCCATCATGCTGAGACACGACGCTCAAGACGGAAAATATCTCCACCGATGCCCTCGTCCTAACGGTTTCACTGCGCCCTAGACTACTCAGTAACTACCTCGGAGCCTATCGTTCCCGCACTTATATCCGCCCGTTATGTCCGGCCCCTTGGACTGGGCCATTTAATCAAGCTTTGATGGTTTGAAGATCGTCGCCCCCTTTTTCCGTGTATTCAATTGTAGATGTTGCCGGGGGTAATAAAGAATCCAGTGCTTGTTCAGCTGGCTTGAGGTACATTCTCGCGTGTATGCTTAAATTATAGTAAGTTCAATTAGAGTACTAGTAGTAAGCCCTAACGCAAGCCCGTGGCTTAGCACCAATTTAAGCCTCCCCGAGAGAACCGAGATCCCTCGCGGAACACCACTTCTGGCCGGTAACTTCGTCATCTCGCATCATACTAATAGTTGTAGCACGTGGCGCCAAAGTTTAATCGGTAAAAAAAGTACTCGAAATGCATCTCAGCTCGCAAAGCCAGGCAATCAACTGGCAGCCAACTGCATGCAAAAAGCAAAAAGCAAAAGTAATGACCAGACTGGGGCTCGATCCCAGGACCTTATCGGTGTTAACGATACGTGATAACCAACTACACCATCCGGCCAATTGATGAAAGATTTGCTTCTATATGTGCTCTATCATCCAGAACTTGACTGTGCTTCGTTCGATATCCCTGAATTAGGATAACTCAGGCAGTTAAATAGCACTCTACTTCAGGTCCACTCACCTATCGACTAGTAGGGTAATAGACACCTATCCTGCCCCAATTGCTTCTACTACCTCGGAAATCACCGCAGAAGAGCTATCTCAATCTGGTCCACTGCACACTCGCACTGCAGGGGCTGGTAGCATCGCGGATAGTTGCTCTGACCGCCTGGCAGACCGCCATGTCTGGCAGAACGCTCCCGACCTCGCGACGAAAATCACGGATATAAGCGGATATAACGGGTAACAGTCTGCGAAAACCAGATCAAAAAACTGTTCAATTTGGCGGTGGCAGAAAAAAGGGTGTAAAAGCGGCAACACCACTGTGCAGAATGCTGGGGTCTGCTACCTGGTTATGGATTGATGCTTATCAGAATCCTAGGCTAGATTTCTATAATCTTGTCTGAACATATGCTGATGAGCATTTTCCTTATGAGTCGTGGCTCGAGATCGTTGAGTTGGTGCGGGCGATAGCTCTGCTTCCAATCGCTAGGCGATGGTAGCGCATTAGGTGTAGACAGTATATTTCTCGAATGTCTTGCAGTTTAACGCTACTTGGTCTGGCTATGCCGCTGGGCTGGATCCCGGCAACAGAGATCTGGTTCTCGGCGGTCGCCTTTGGGTTCCTTATTTGGTTACTGCTAGAAGCGTCTGTATGTCAAGAGCAATCTCCTCGAGCACGTCTAGGAGTGTTTGAGCGGGTGTCCACCCGCTTCGTAATATGCTCATCTGACATGTGCATAGTTGTCCTCGCACGGTCATACCAACCGGTGCCGTATGCATCTGGGGTACTGTATAGCTCTCGTGTCGGGGTAGATAGTGTGCTGCCATGAGAGTCATACGTCTGGGTTTTGTGGGTTGCTGCACTCGGTGCATCACCAAATTATACTTGTTCGGGAGGGCTGGCGGAATATACATCCGCAATAGCAACAGTTAACAGAATATCCAATATATAGTACATTGGCTTTAATGTGTAAAGAGGAACTATAAGAGCACCTTGAGTGCTGTAGCATGGGCCTCATATGGTTTAAGGTGGTAGTTTGAAGGTGTTACTAATTAGAGATAATCATATTCCTCAGTGGTAAGGGGTTGTGGATGAGAAGGCGATGGTGGAAATGCATCTTTTTAGCTTCACAGTCATGTCCTGCTTTGTAATGGCAAAATTTGAACCTCTTATCACGAGCTGGCCGGATGGTGTAGTTGGTTATCACGTATCGTTAACACCGATAAGGTCCTGGGATCGAGCCCCAGTCTGGTCAACCTTTTTGATTCTTTTACCTCCGTGCAAGGATTATCCATACTTTTCTTGGTATAGTAATCAGGAGTTATCTATCTCAAATGAACAACAGAGATGCATTCAGCTGTCAGGACCCCATATATCGCCCAAGGCAACTCAAACGACCCCACACCCCTTGCCTGGCAACTACAACCACCCTCCGCCCTATCTGAGATCTGAGATCCCATCACCCAGCGTGAGCACACCTTCCTCAAACACTTTTCTTCCCCTCTCCACCCGAATAACGAGAAAAGACGACAGCCCCGCCATGTGCGGTAGCACTACGTAAACGCCACTGCAGCTCTAGCAGCTGAAACAGAGCAAGAGGCAGCCTACCGGGCTCCTTGGTATGAAGCTCGAGAACAACCTCCGAGCGAGAACCTCTGCAGGCCTGGTGATGGAGCACCTCAAGCGCACCAACGCTATTCGGCGCGCAAGTCGGGGCGACACGACCGAAGAACATTCTTGGAATGGAAGCCAGTAGAACCGGACCGTCAGCGTCCTACAATCTTGCCTGAACTCGAGCGGTCTCAGCGCGGAATCCAGCTTCAGCCATGCCTGACCCACCGACGGACACAGCAGGATCATATTGTCGCGCGTGTTTCGTTCTAGGAGCCGAGCACCGCCTGCCGCCAAATGCCACCCTTGGCCCGGCCCAGAACATCCCGATGGTGTCCCAGAGTGTACAGCGGGTTTTCTCACATGTATATGTCTTCAGCGAGAACGAGTAGACGGACGAGGGGCGGTTGAGTGAGCAGGACCCAGTAATGGGGCATAGCCTGTCTCGTTCCCTGCATTGCTTAGCATTAGATTCAGATCCGGGCGAAGGGCGATTTGGGGTGAGGGCGACAACGCGTACCGAACCCATCGTGCGGAGACTCATGCTTTGGATCGACAATTTTGTTGTGTATGACGGGCCCCTGCGATGAGAAAAAACGTTGCTCAAATGGAATCTCAGTCGTGAAACGTGTTTCGGCTTACTGACATGCTGCCAACGCGCATGCGGGCATCTTCGAAACACAAACAGGCAGGGAGTGGTATTTCCCCGGAGACTTCTGGCAGTCACGGAGCATTTGCTGTAGGACCTCAATATCGGCTAGGCAGAGCAGAACTCGTAAGCTGGGATCGACTGTCGTAGCCTAAAGTCGAGCTGAGCTGCATGGTGATCCCTGCCCACGGAGGGTCGTCCAACTTGGGCACCGGGTTGCTAGAAAAAGAGCCTCATCTCGCTGTCCTAGAGCTTGAGTCTGATGCAGACGACTGCACAGTTTTGACTGGGAGACTTATGTGAGCTGTTATATACTTCTATGGTGCAAGTGGGCGAATGAGGCACGTCAGACGAGTTGCTTGAGCGGATGCTTGGATCTCACTATGTGGGACGTGGACGTGGGGAAAGTGAGATCACAAAAGAGGTTGCTGCGCCGAGGCGATATGGGTGCTGGGGGGTATAGAAAGAGAAAGGTTTAGTGGGAGATAAGGTGATGCTTGAGGTGAGGTGCGTGATGAAGTGAAGTCGAGTTGAAATGGAATAGGAGCTGAGATGAAGCAGCTTGGCACATTAGCCTGGTCAGAACGTATCGCCATAACCAGAGGAGCATATCCCATTCCAGTCTATCGGAAGCAATAGGAAATTAAGTATCATAGCACTTAGAGATTTTTCGCCAATTGTCGTTCACAAGCAATTTCTAGTGAGAGGAATGATACTTTATCTACCTAGGATTGCTCTCTTGTCAAGCTGGAAGCTTTAGGGTGTAAGTTCAGGTGACAGTAATACTTGTTTGGGTGAGTTTCAAACTATAGCCTGCTCTCAACCAACCAAGGTCACATATTTGACTCGGAGTTTAGCTCTTGACCAGTTATATATGCTCTTCCACTGGGATCAATTGCTTGTTTCCCCATAATCCACGAATTCACCAAATTAAAAAGTATAGATTGATGATAGAACCGGGCAACGTCCTCTCATCCGTAGACAGCACACTTCCGTGCTCCTCTAGCTATACACTACGTCACTATGCCAAGCACAAGAGATTAGAGGTATTAGCCCAGCCCGGAGTAATATGCATGTGAGCCTTGGTGGCAAGCGACTCCATAGTAGAAAGATAGGTGCATGAGGATTTTGAAGTTCGCTCTTGGCCACCGCAAGAAGACTTGGGGGACACGGTGCATACGAAAAGCATGGAGGCCCGAATCTGGAGATGTCCTCTGATGCAGTGAAGCTGCGACGCTAGATCATAGGCAGCAGCCTGTTCAGTATACCGGCTGGCAGTATGAGCTCGCTACGCTCCGAATATGGAGCTAAGAAAGAGAATTTTATTATATAAGCGGCCGGATGGTGTAGTTGGTTATCACGTATCGTTAACACCGATAAGGTCCTGGGATCGAGCCCCAGTCTGGTCATTGCTTTTTGCAATTTACTGTTTTTCCCTGCTAAATATCTTGAAAATCATTCTAGTCACCAACACCTGAATGAAATGAAGACCATGCTCTTGTATGCCGACTTGCTCTGAATTTTATATGATAGCATGCCTGTAGAATCAACCCTCGGTTGACCTAGTTCCTTGTTCAAACAGGACATTCTCTTTACTTCTTCGAATTATCGAATGCCATGTGTGGTCATGGGATGAGCTGCTTGTATCATGACCCTCCATAGAAGTGAATAAAACCTCATTGAAACATCCAAGAATAATTTCAGAAATAGGGATAACAGTACTCCGTACACAGTTGGCATGTAGCAGGCCGAGATCACGAATACGAAGACGAAAATGAGCAATGATTCCTTTACAGGTATCGTAGGCCCAAGTGCAAGAATAAAACTCACTTCAAGAATCATTCTGAATGATTTCAACTCGCATGCTCCCGAATGCATGTCACCATTCTCCCCAAGATAGCAACAAGCCCCTTCCACTGTACCACTATTCTTCTATCTCCATCTTGGCGTCATAGTTAAAAAGGAATCTTAGTTCTCGTCCTCCGCGAGTTCTCTACTAATCAACCTTTTCATATTCCCTGTCGCAAGACATTTGTCTCAACATCAACACTGAGGCTCTTCTCTTATTCAATGGTGAGTCGCGCCCTGAATATTGGTGAGGCTAGGGAAAATACTATTACACAGGTGCTGATATCTTTTTCATGTATGCTACCACTTTTCCCACCAAGACAAGCTTTCTTGAAGAACCTCCACAAATCTGGCTCAACCTTGCCTTCCCCTCACCTCTTTCCAAGGTCCTTCCCTTCATATATCGAATGCGATCAAGCGAAAAACACAGTCTGAGATTGATGGCTATACTCATCGCAGCCCACTAGAGTCGAATTCAGACGTACGACTTCCTCCAAGTGCCAGAGTTGATGGCCCATGCCCCGTCCCGAATTTCGACGATTGGCATAGAGGCTCACATTTGTCGATCGAACAAATTTCATGGAGAAGAAAACGAAGCCGGTCATTCCTTCTTTACTCATAGACTTCTTAACAACACCGAAAGGTCTCCCAAGAAGTGAGTTACCCATAGTCCCATAGAATACAATACCATGATGACCAGTCTCAGGATCATCCAAAACAATGCCGTTGCTCCGTGAGACCAACCGAGCCGAGTCAGAAGTTTACATTCTCCTGATCGGTGCCCTCTGCCTCAAAGCGTTCTGAGTATTGAGAGGCCTCATCACAGAAAAGATGCTCAATAGTACCGGAGGGTGATAATATTTCGGCGGCATAGATTCTCCTAGTGTTTGGCTAGATGTACACATTGATTCCCAGCACGGTATACGCCATCAGTCGACCTCACCAATGAACAAGCAGCGTATCGTTCAAAGGAATTAGCAGAGCTCGCTAATGTTCAATTACAAAGGATCGTGGCCGCGCACAATGCTACGGCTCAGATTGTGCACCGTACCAAACCTGGTTTACCAGATCACTGCCAATGATGATTTTCCAAGCAACAGAAACACGCTTGCAGTTTGGTTCAGTGAAGTACAGCCTTAGCCGTTGATATTGGCTGTTAAAGCCAAAAATCTAGCCAAGATAGCACAGTTGGCCGGATGGTGTAGTTGGTTATCACGTATCGTTAACACCGATAAGGTCCTGGGATCGAGCCCCAGTCTGGTCATATTTTTTGCCACTGATAGCTTCTCTTCGTTGTTATTTTGCTTGACAGACATGATTTTAGTGACTACATGATGTTCTTCGCCATTCTCAGGCGACACGGGTTCTTTTCTTGAGAATGGGGTGTTTTGCTGGAATTGTGCGTGTCTTCGCACGATGTGTGCTACGGCGGATGCAGGATTCGAATTGCTAGCACGAATGCCGTAGATTGACTGAATGTGAACGGCTCTATTGGGTCACGAGCAACTATGACTGTGTATATGATTTATCTTTGCAACCTCTTGTGGCGTTGACCATTATGTGTGGACCACAAAGATTAAGAAAAGACGGCCTCACTTCGATGATCAATCGATCCCAGAATCCACCATGCTGCCAGCCTGTTCACTCTCCTAGCCTGTTCTTAGCCGACGATGCTTGTACTTCATGCGACTTGGATCTTCAACCTGACAAATATGCCAACTCGATCAAGCTATGCAAATTGCCGTCCCCGCCAATAATTGAGCAGTACTTTCAACCGCTCGAGCAGGCTGTACATCGTCCAGTCTGCAGGCCTAAGGCCCTTCAGCCTGGCCGTCATAACTAAGATCCCCAATTCTCGAGTGATTTACTGATAGCATGGCCCCTAAGCTAAGATTCGTAGCTGGGTGTTGGTGGCGGAACATACCATTTCCGGGTACAGCCCTATTGAACCGACAAGACAAGAACCTTGCACCCGGCCCCCAGCCCCAAGGACACATTACAAACAAATGACGAACCAAAGGTTACAACACCTTTTGCACAACCGACAGAACTATGCAAGCCTAGGGTAGTACCTAAACAGAACACGATTGTTCGGTCTTTATCGGGACAAAAAAGAAAAAGATATGACCAGACTGGGGCTCGATCCCAGGACCTTATCGGTGTTAACGATACGTGATAACCAACTACACCATCCGGCCAATCGATGAGACTATTTCTCTTTATATGCCTTCAGAAGATTGCTGCAGCCTCATACCAAGATACCATCAGGGCGCCGTCTGGGAATCGATAACACTCTATGGTATACCAATCGATATCTTGCGCAACCTCATTAAAATCAAAACCACCAGACACCCGAGCAACCAACCACTATCCTCCCATCGGCCTGGTAATAATAACGAAGGCAAACCAGAGTCCTCAATCCTCCTCGCCATCGACTATCGTAACCGCGACACCATCCTACCGACGTTAGCATCAGCATCAGTGCTATTCCACGAACATCAAACCCCCAACCCAAGATCAACGAAAGAATAGAAAGAGAAAAAGAAATAGAAACATACCCTCCCAAAAGCCGTCTCAAACTCGCGGACAGCAGTCCGATAAACCAACCCAGGCCTCGGCCTCAACCCTGCCAACTCCCTCTCCTTCTGTCGCACCCACACCCTCTTCTCCTCACAACTCGCGCGCACCCACTCCAAATACTCCGGCGCCCCAGGATACACAACATTGTCCGCAACCACCACCGAAGTCCCAGGCACCAGGACCCCAAGATCCTCAAGCAACCACAAATCCGGCCGATACAGCTCCTGCCAATGATCCAGAAACAAGAACTCGACCGCGCGGAGCTCACCACGATCCACCAACTCCCTCAGCGATGTGGCCGCCGAGCCGACGATGACGCGGACCACGTCGCGCAGGCCCGCGAGTTCGAGCAGCTGGTTCGCCACGGCCGCCATCTCGGGGTTCTGTTCTAGGCTGAGGTAGCGTCCGTCTGGGTGGATGCGGCGCAGCGTGTCGCCGAAGAGCATCGCCGAGTAGCCTACGTACCCGCCTAGTTCGATTATCGTGTGCGGTTTGTGCGCGATGATGAGGTCGCGGATGTAGTTGCCTTTTGGGATCCCGATGTTCATGAGTGGTTGTTGCGTTGCGCTGTAGGTGTCTATTGCTTTGAGGATTTCCTTGGGGTTGTCCTTGAGGTTGGGGAGGGTGGGGAGGGAGTAGATGTAGTGGAGTAGGTCTTGTTCGCGGCCGTCCTGTTTTATTGGGAGGTTTTAGTGGGTATTACTTTCTCAGGGGATGGGGGTGAGGTGTTGTAAGGGTGGATGGGTCGGGGCCAGCGTACCAGGGCGTGGGATAGCGGGGGAGGGGCGTGTGGTTTAGGCATCGTGGTTGTTGTGTTGTTAATCGTGATGGTTGGTATGAAGTTATCAGCAGAAGTGGTTGAGCAGAAAAGATGAGAAAAGATGAAGCTTAGAGATTGGTGTCTGGTTCCTGAGTTCGTGGGCCCTGCGCTCCTTTGTACTACCCAGGCTGCTGTCGGCGTTCGGCCAAGATGAGGGGTATATTCCTTCTTTGTCTTGTCTCCGAGTAGACGCTCGGGATCGACACCAATGACGTAGCTGTGAGAAATCAAGAGACTTGGTTGTCACAGATATTATCCTTGGATCTGTAGGTGTCAAACGTTAAGCATAAATGCACGGAGATAAAGAGCAGGCCGGCTCGGATCCGAGGGGCTCGGAGTCCGGAGCACCCGGGGTAAGGATCGGGACTGCCGATCGGGCCCGCTGTGGGCATAACACTACACCATGGGGTCTACCTTACTCTATGTATCGTTCAAGGTGTTAGACACAATCTCATTCCGCATTATCATCTTACAACAAAACAACCACCTTTTGAGCCGAGATGCCACCCCTCCCATACAGATCCACCGCCGCCTGCACACTCTCCAGCCCCTCACCCACAACCAAGGGCCGCGGAGCCGGCACAAAGGAGCCCGCCTCCAACGCCTTAGGCAGGTAATCCTCATAGATTGCCTTGCCAACGGGATTATCCTTAATCGACAGCCCAAAGACACTCTTAACCGTCACGCCATCCGGCGGCGTAGGGAAGTTCTCCCTTACAGTCACCACAAACTTCCTCTCCACCGCAGGAACCCTCCGCACGACATCCACACAGAAAGCAGTAGCTGAGAAATTGATACAATCCATCACACCCACCAGCGGCGCAGGCCCCCCGTCCTGAAAATATCGAACAATATTCTCAATCACAGTCGGACAATTATAATCAAACACCTCCGTCGCGCCAAGCTGCCGCACATACTCAAAGTTCTTCGCCGACGCCGTGGTAACCACCTCATATCCCGCCGCAACAGCAAGCTGAATCGCATTACAGCCAACACTACTGGCACCGCCCCAGATAAGGAGCGACTGCGCTCTGGGCGCCGTCCGCGGCTCGGTCGGGTACGGGAGGCCCAGGAAGTCGGGTTGGAAGAGACCCGCTGCGGCGGTTGATAGACCCAGTGGGATCACGGCTGCGGCTGCGTAGGCCATGCTGTCGGGGATCTCGGTGGCCATGTTGGTTTGTAGGACGGTATGGGTTTGGAAGGCGTTGTGTTGGGCTTGCTTGGTGCTCATTCCCACGGCGTGGCCGAGGACCCGCGCGCCGGGTGCGAAGCGCGTTACGTTTGCGCCTACGGCCTGTACTTCGCCGGCCACGTCTTGACCAAGGATTGTGGGGTAGTCGAGTGGGTACCAAGCTTGGGTTTGCAGGGCGTGGTCGACTGGGTTGATTGCGACCGCGTGGTTGCGGATGAGGATCTCGTTGTCTTGTGGTTGCCACTGTGGCGTTTCTTTGAGCTCGAATGGGTGCGCTCTGGCCAAGGGGAGCCAGGCGGCGAGGCTGCTCTTGCTAGACATTGTGGATGGTGGTGTGGTGTTTTTGGGCGTTTTAGTGTTGTGGGATAGTGTAGAAGAGCTCTTAAGAGTAGATTTGTCCGGTGGATGGTGGGGCGTAAGAATACTCAGTGAGACCTTCCGATGGTCCATTTATATACCTTTCGATGCACCATCAGTATGTACTCGCACCCATGACGTTATCGCGATATCCCTGCCGGAAATAAAATCGATGTCCGAGTGCAAGCAGGAGTCCGCAAGTAAATCCGGACATGACATCCATCATCCATGCAATTGCAGTGGAATGTTGAGGATCTTCCGTCTCCACCAAAGTACGGGTCCCGCTACGGGGCCGCAGCAAGCTAGCCTCGTTGGGCCTAGCGTGACGGGCGGTATTTTCGGTCTTAACGGGTCCAGCGGCAATCTGTATCCCTCTCAGTCCCGTATCTCCTTGGATTCATCCATTCATGTTAGCCCATGTATCCAAGTTGAGGAGTTGGTGAGGATGAAAGCGATCAATATCAAGCCATATCTGGCAAGATGACAAATTCTTAGCAGAGCGCATTTTGTGTGGCGCAAGAGAAGGCTCACCAAGTTAAAAGAAAAGCTCAGAACACACCGCAAGGGGCAGTCCAAAGGAAAACTAAACTACAGAAGACTCAGAATAAGCGCAAGAGAAAAGCACAAAATGGAACTAGGAGAAGTAAGAAAGGCCAAGGTTGAGTCGCGGAGGAAATCACGAAAGAAACGCAGAGCACAAAAAAAGGCCAGTCCAAGGCGCAAAGCAAAGCAGAAAAGGGATCCAACACGGGAAAGATTATTCCATACTTGTTTTAGATACCGGATCTATTTGGAGTATAAACCTGCTCGGTATAATCCATGCCCCAAAAGCCTTCTCATGGTCTACGTATATTCCATGATATCGGACGATTTCAAAGAGCATATTATGAGAAGAACAACAGGTTTATTGTCCTTGGTTACATGAGAATTGCTAATCTGGTTTTCGTGGGAAGGAACCGATGCGTGAAACGGCTGGAAGATTGCGCTTGAGGAAAAAGAAGAGAAGCTGCCATTGAAGGAACCATTTTATGGCGACTGAGGAAGACCGTGGGTTGAAGACAAGTATTATCAATATCAATACAACCTCATTCACAATGGGCCAAGGGAAAGTGGAGTCATGATCGTACATCCGCTTAGAGTACTTCAGCCGAGCGATCACTAGTTAACTAAGCGTCGGATAACACAAGCTGTCAAGAACTTCGGCCATGAGAAAGGATTTATTCTAACTTGTTGATCCTGTCTACACAAATCCGCCCCCCGGAAAGCCAAATCGCTCATGTGGAGCCCCTGTGGGAATTTGACTTGGCTTTGTCTCAAGGCCCTTACTCGCATATCTGTCTACTGTTGCAAGACAGAGTTCAATAGCGAAGTCAGGCACTGTTTTCAAGAGCTCGAAGTCGATCGCCGGAGGAAATCCTTCTCGAAGGCTAGGCAAGTTATTGACCACGACGTCTACCGCCAATTTCCTCAATTCCTGGTAGTTGGCTCTAGGCGAATATAACTCTTTAATCACCTCCGCAATTAAGTCCCTCTCGGAGCAGTCCTTGAAAGATGCACGAAACTCGCTTTTTGCTTTAGCTTTCAAAGCGTTGATCATAAAGTAGTCCGCTTCGCCGAACATACGGGCGTGGAAGTAGGATGGGTGACAATCAGCGGCAGCATCCATGACGCTCCCTTGACCGCTGGGACTCTCCTCATTCACGGAATCTTGTGCGATATTGTCTAGGCTCTTGGTGTCTTCGTTGGTGCCCTCTCCTGATTCGGACACAACCTCGGTTGCGGCGTGTTCTCCTGCATGCTCTGTCTCGATTTCCGGCCGTCTACTGCTATCGACCGGTGGGTATCGAGCTTGCGGGGAAATGTATCCGATAGTGTAACTATCCTTGTATAGAAACTCCAGCACCTTCTCAACAAGAACTGGGTCTGTGTTGTCTAGGTGAATTGGGTCTTTAGCCTCCTGTATATCAATGCGCATGTCAGACCTCTTTAGGACTTTTGAAGGCCGGCTTCTTGTACCTTGAAATCTCCAAAGCAGGCCTTTCTGAAATACTCTGATCTGCAACAAACGAGGGCCCTATGAGCTGGGAAGGTTTTACCCTGGCAGACAATCACTAAGTCACTGTACTCCGAGTTGAGATAAAGGCTGAAACTAGGTTAGTTACGTTGAAAGGCTCTCACTCGGACTGTACGGCACGCTTCTTACCTTGATACAAGATCTACAATAGTCCCTTGTCCGTCCCTATCTGGCATGTCAGAAGCGGGAAGAGGAGGCTGCTCAACCTTCGGCATGGATAATCGCGGAGTTCTGCGAGCCTTTATTTTCTTTCCCATGGCCGAGAAGGCTATTGGATGTGTATTGAAGATAACCTTTATCTATCGCTTGAGAAGTGAGAAGATGTGACTTAAATGGGCCCCCAGCTGCCTAAGAACACGCTTCATTTCAGGCTGCAACATGGATCATATCAGAAGGCGCCAGCTCAGTCTGGACCTAGATCCCTGCTCGTTGCGGGGAAACCGAGCTGTGGTTGGACGAGCTGCTAGGCCAATTTTTCAAAATTAGTAGCCAAGGCCGCGGCTACAGCGCGCCAGTCACCGATGCCAGAGCCATTGCGGCCAGCGGAACCCTGGTTGGAAGGATTTGGGCACTGTACCTTACCTTACTTAGGTTTGCTCGTGGAAGGTTTAGTGACGTGCCACACTGGAGTTGCTTCGATAGTGCGACCGATAGTCGTTGTAGGAAGCAAGCTCTTTATAAGATATTACCAACCTTAAAGATTTACTAGAAGATTATTATATCTATTAAGTGCTGAATTTTCCATGGGTGGCCATGCGCTCTGAGAAAACATGTCTATTGGTCTATGGTGGTATCTTCTAGTCCAGTCTATGCTATCTATCGATCTATCTATTTTGGAACCACAAAAGTATAGCAAGATGAGTGCTCAACAACGAAGAAACAAAAAAGGGCTCAACACCAACGCTTTCCAGGGGTGGTGACTGAGATGCTGTTATGGGATGGAATGTATGTGCCCTGAAAGACACAAGGAACACAAGAAAGCGAAAAGAGGATGAATAGGTCTATATACAGTCCATCAAGACAGAAGTGTCGTCTTGGGCGGGGAGCTAACGACAGTCACAGACGTGGAATCAGGCCCATTGACTGAACGGTACAGCAACCCATTCAGGCAAACCTCTGGATTTCAGAGGGCATACGCTCAGAAGAAGAAAGCAGCAAAGCACCTATTCCGCCTTCTTCGACGCCTTAGTCCGCAACTTCATCAACGCGAACACGAGCGCATATCCGCTGATAGCAAAGATCACACAGATGGCCGCATCGCGCCACCCGTAGTAATAGTGGTTGATGTTCAGGGTGGTCAGGAAATCGCTGCCGTCCTGATACTCGCACACCCTGCAATCGGTGGTGGCATCCGGGTTGGTCAGGTTCACGCGCCAGCCCTTGCCGTTCATGTAGTCGGCCAGATACTCGCCGCAGGTACCGTTGACGGGGTCGAAGATGGCGAACTCGCCCTCGTTACAGGTCACCTTGGCGCCCCAGATGCCGAACACCAACATGCCGGAGGTGACGTAGTTGAACGGGTTGAGGTAGTACATCCAGTAGCGCCAGAAGACGCTGAGCTGGGTGTAGGGCACGAAGACGCCGCACATCAGCACCAAGAAGCTGATGATGAGGGGGTTGACCAGGGCGGCGAAGGTCGGGTTGGGGGCGTATGCGGCGACGAACTGGCCGATGCCCGTGTAGATGAACTCGTAGATCAGCATGATGAAAAAGGTGGCGCCTGCACGGTTCGACTCGGTTGGTAGTCTGGTTTGGTAGTACCAGCAGACGAAGTAGAGGACAGCGCAGATGCAAAGGTACGGGAATTCGGAGACGATCAGCCCCGTCACGAAGGCGACCCAGCTGTACATCTTGGATTTTTTCTCACGCGCGTCATAGATGTCACGGCGCTGGATAAAGAGCGGTTGGAGCTGGTTAATCACACCGGGGGCCACAAAGACGAAGTTGAAGATAGTGAAGAGTTTCAAGTTCAGAGCAGAGACGCTGGGGCCTACGTGCCAGAAGGAGAAGCCGTTCAGGAGGGCGGAGATAATGTGCAGTGAGAATTTGTTGTTGACGTAGTTGGTGTTGCGGAATAGGGCCACATTCATGCGATGGGTCACGATCTTGATTTGATCCCACAGCGGCATCGAGAACTCGTATCCGTCGTCGTGCGTGCCCGGCGGTTTGGCCGCCGCGTCGGTGATGAGATGGTCCAGCTCGGATATCATGTGCTCGTGTTCAGGCGAGTCCAGCCAGACCTGGTGCCAGTCCTTGTCTTTGACCTCCTCAATGCCCCCGGTAACCACGTCGATCATGAACTCCGCCGGGTTCGCCTCGACGGGGCACTGAGCGCCATATTTGCCAAAATACTGCTTGATCGTGGCTCCGTTGTCGCCAATATCGCCGAAATACACGGTCTTACCGCCGCGAGCAAGCAGAAGCAATGTGTCGAACTGCGCAAAAAGCTGGGCAGAAGGCTGGTGAATCGTGACGAGAACTGCTTGGCCGACGTCCGCCAACTTGCGCAGAAATCGGACCGTATTATATGCAGACTGCCCGTCAAGACCCGAGGTAGGCTCGTCAAGGAAGATCAAGATACTGGGCTTTGACACCAACTCGACTCCAATAGTCACCCGCTTTCTCTGTTCAACACTGAGGCCGTTTCCAACAGTACCGATCAGTGTATCCGCGAGGTCGTGGAGTTCCAGTAAGTCAATGATTGTCTCGACATACTTGAGTTTCTCTTCTCTCGGTGTATCGCGCGACTGGCGCAGGAGAGCGGAGAATTCAAGGGCTTCGCGCACCGTTGCGTAGGGCTCGTGAACATCCAACTGCTCGCAGTAGCCTGCCATGCGCTGAAACGAGACAGGCAGCTCGCGACCGTCAACCATGATGGAACCCTTGATTGTGCCTTCAGTTTTTCGCTGGGCGAGCACATCAAGCAAAGTCGTTTTGCCTGCTCCCGACGAGCCCATCAAAGCACCGAGCATGCCGGGTTTGACCCATCCATGAATGTTGTCCAAGAGCACTCGCTCCCCGGTGGGCGTGTTTACCGTATAGGTCAGGTTTTTCCATGTGAATATAGAGGTGTTCCGATTCAGGTTTCCCTCATCAACAGAGTCCAAAGCATCGCCAGATCCCTTGTCGCGAGCGGGATCCTTTTCCCGCTGCCCTTCTTCGTCCCGATGAGCGCGTTGAGCCTTGAGCTTCTCCCGGGGAATAAGAAGCGATGAGCCCGAACCAGCACCAGCGTTCCAATAACAAGTGCAGATAATAGTCATGACGGCAAAGAAAGCCCAAAAGGCCCAGAGAATGCCATAGTTGCGCCACATCTGCGAATGCTTGTAGTGCAGCGAAGAGAGATACTGGTCGCCAGTCACGTAGTCAGCCCCCCGGAGAGCACCACCAACACCGGTACAAGCCTTGTTGGCAGCATCAACATCCTCGTAACCCGGACCGTTAGGCACAAGGTTGTTGCCCACGCACGGAATGATCTGATCGTGAAACTCATTGGACAAAGCCGCTTGGAAGGCATAGGCAAATGGATTAGTGTAGTACAATTCCAGGAACCAGTTCTTGATGTGTGGCTTCGGAATCATGTAACCGGCGTACATGACGATTCCTTTCACGGCCGTTCCTGAGATCTTGGAGGCAGCTTCGAACGTGTTGAACCCAGCACCAATGCTGCGAAAGAGCGCCGTCACACAAAGGGTGGTCGTGAAGAGGATTGCCCAGAACGTGAAGAATGCTGCTGCGGTATGCTTCAAACCGACCATCCAATAGAGAATCACGGAGAAGAGACTGCATTGGACGAGTAACACGGGTAAATCGGCCGTGATCTGGGCAAGACAGAAAGCGGCAGGATGGTACATCGCAAATGACTTATGTTTCACCAAGACAGGGCGGCCTTTGAAGGATTCAGTGACTTCTGACATGGCGACGATGCAATTGTAGAGAAGAGCGAAGAAGACGGCACCGCCTTTAGTGAAAAGACCGGCAGTCGTTTGCGGGGAATTGTAGAAGCAAGAACCGGCGATCAGAGCCATAATGATCGACAGAATCTGTTTGATCAAGAAGGTCGACTTTTCTCCCCAGAGAATCTGGTATTGACGAACCGTGCAAGCAATGAGCTGGTCCCAGAAGCTGGTCGTGAGAGCGCTTTTCTTGGGGATGCGCTTGGACTTCTCCAATGCCACAGACTCCTTAAAATCTTGTGTTCGCTGATGTGCGATTCCGGACGACGGATAGTCATACTCCTTGATCATCTGCTGATACAGTGAGGATTGACGATACTCAGCCAAGATGGCATCCGCGTTTCGTGGGAAGCGATTGTCAAAGCCAGGTTTGATCTTTCGTTCGGTAGGGACAGTCACTCCCGTTAGGTAGTCACCTGGATGACTGTCAGTTCACTGAAATACACATCACCAATGACAAAAAAAGTGTCTACCTACCAATATTCGCACCGTCAGAGTAAACAAAGCCGAGTGCCTCCATGAAAGGCTTGGCCGAGGCAGCGGGGCCATAGTATATCTGCTTCCCCTCATCCAGCACGAGGACTTTATCGAAGAGGTTGTAGATTCCATTTCCTGCCTGGTACAAAGTCACGATAGTCGAGAGGCCGAGAATGTTGGTCATTGACCGTAGCGCCTTGGCCCATTCCAAGGCTGTACTGGCGTCGAGACCACGTGTACTGTTATCCCAGGTGAACACAGACCCATTGGTGGCCATGCATTCGATGATTGACACTCGCTTCCTCTCTCCTCCAGAAACTCCACGAACGAACTCGTTGCCGACCTTCGTATCTTCCGTGTGGGCGATCTTCATAGCTTCCATCAGGAATTGCTTGGTGTCTGCAATGTAGTTCTCCGCAGGAAGGTTGGCAGGGACCTTGAGCTTGGTCGCAAAGTCCATGGTCTGCCCGACAGTCAATCGAGGGTAAAAGAGCTCTTCTTCGGTGTTCATCACGATCTGTCCCCGGTATTGGGCTGCCTCTTGCGGGTTCATATCTCCAAAGAAAACATCACCGTGCACAGAGCGGTATCCCTCCCGTCGATTGGACAACATCTTGAGAAGTGTTGTGCACCCTGAACCTGGCCGGCCCAAGACAAGCAGCATCTCACCGGGTTTTACGCAGCCATGACTATCCTGAAGGATAGATTTGAGGGGCGGTTTCCGAAGATAGTCTCTGACCAATTGAGGGATGTTGTACTGCGTGACCAGGTTCTCCTTGACTGCCGCCTCAGCAGCCACCACCTCCACAGTCAGGTTCTGCCATGTCACGCCCAACTCGCGTCGTTTGTATCCTGCTGCTTCGGCACGTTTCTGGTTTTGCATGACCCGGTCGGACATGCTCCATTCTGTATCGATGCGAGGGCCAGGGGCTACATGAAGGTCGTTGGGGACGGCGAGGGTTTCGGCACTGTGAGCTTCGCGGACGTTGATCTTGGGGATGCGCAGGTGTGTCTTTTTCTCGGATAGGTGGGCTTCGTCCTCAGAATGATCGCCATATTCCGTAGGGGCTGTCGAAGCCGATGGCTCCTCATGGAAGAGATCCATGTCGGTAGGTTCTTGTGTTGTATCAAACTTAGTGAGTGGAGATTGGTCTGAGCATATAAAAAAAAAGGCGAGACTGATAAAAATGATCAATAAGATCTAAAGTTGTATTGAGGTACGACCCCTCGAGAAGATGGGACTGAGTACGTATATGTACGAGCGCACGGATACGCGGAATGGAATCTTGACAAGCGGTCGAACCGACTCTGCCGGTGGAAAATTGCGGTACTATGAAAGGTAGAGAGCCTGTACCTGAAACCTCCATCATTGCCGAGAGTCAAACGCTCGGACAACGTCAGCGAGCCGAACTCCCGCTTGACTCAAATGAAAAGAGCAAGCGATGAAGCAGCTCATGCAGAAAAGGCCATGCATATCCCCAGAAAACAGCGCATAGCACATTATATTGTACTCTCTTGCGAGTTTAAACCTCTTCCCCTGGGCTTAGGCAGTGTTCTGGATGTCAGTGCCGTCTGGCCCGGTAGTGCTCACCAACATCGTGCAATACGTACAGTTGACTAACCTCCACAGACAATCAACTTATCTCCTTTCTTATAGTCTACTATATTACAAATAAAATGAGGCTCAACCCATCGAAGGCCCATTTCTGGTGCACTTGTCGAATCCTTCGTAAGGAATTGAGGTTCAGGGCAGGTCCTGGCACGTGGACCTTCTAGAATATTACCAGATCAGGCAATATCCTACGCGAACCAATCGAAAACGGCAAGAATGACTCAGATAAGGAGACGAACCCGATAAGGGATGATGTCCCGATGGGAAGATTGAGAGACGATCCCGATCTACCCGGCCTGGACCCAATCCATCGGGTTGCCATTCGGGATGTGCCACTCTAGTGTAGCGTTTTGCCTGGATAACCCCTGTATGCTGTCTTCAAAACCATGTCGCAACTTCAAAACCATTGCCGCGGTTCCTCGGCTTCCTTGCTCAGCATGATCTGGCAGATCTCGGCTGAATGATCTTTGGTAGCTCTCAGCTTGTCCACCATGATCATCCCGCCTGCCGAGTACATATTTATTCAGGCGTTCCTTCGTAGCAATCACTATTCCAACTTCCTGTGTCACTCATTTGAGTACTCTTACGTTTTGCATACTCAATGACACTGCCATCCTATAACGAGAAATCCTTCTTCAAGATTCAAATATTCTTATCAACCTAAGACATCCCACTTTTTGTTTTCGATGCCCAGTGCCCGGCCTAATCAAACACACCTCGGGTCGGCATGTAGTCCGGCAGCTGAAGTTGCCATGTCGAATCGTTCTCCACACAACCAGCTGGGGAGAAAGATTGACACGGGAAGGATGATAAAGGAGATCACTGTACGTTTCTCTGGCGCCTAGTTCCTTATCTGTAGCGTATTACAACACTTTGATGATCATCTGCTCGTGCATCAAAGTCCATGACTCACTGCAATAAGCCTTTGCGCCCACCACAAAATCTCTCAGCATCATATTTGCTGATTGTGGACTAATGGTGTAGTTTTTGCGTGGCGCACACTGCTAAATGGGCATGGGTTGGTCATAGTGCATATTTTCCAGTGAGATTTCGTAGAGTGGACGGAAGTCATGTTCGAGTCGGTCAATCAATGGATCTTATATAACCTCGACGGTAGATTCACCCGTTTATAGTATGTGATGCTTGACGAAGGCCATCACGGAATTCGCTTGGTAGGTGAAAGCCGCTCCGCCCACCCCGGGATTCGGAAGCAAATAAACATCCGAACCCCGCCCGGAGCAAGATGCGGACGCCATTCCAACGAAAACCGTCGCAAACAAGCTGGAAAGCTTCACACGAGACCGAGAAATGGAATCCCGATCGAGAAGAGCGGCCCCGTACGGCCGCGCCTGCGTCAATTGCGCCCGCGCCAAATGCAAGTGTCTGCTGCGTAACAATGGCGAGGGCTGTGAGAGGTCAGCCAGCACACAGGCACCCTGATTATCCCCACTCTCACTCATAGCTCGTGATGCTCACCAGTGATCAGATGTATACGACTCAAGAAAGAATGCATTCCGTCGCCTACCGTGCGGCAAAGGCGACCGCGAGCCTCCCGCGCTGCGCGGCTAGAGCAGAAACTCGATGGGCTGGTTTCGCTGCTGCAGACTGGGGGTCGTGGCTTGGTGGATACAGGAAGGACTGAAGATGCAAGAATGGTTAGTGCTGATGCTAGTGTATCTAGTCAGCAGCCTAGCAGCCATGATACCATGGTGCCAACCTCCTCCTCCGATCCATATGCTCTTCCTCAGGAGATTGAAATCCCGCCAGGGGAGGCAGAGGCGTATGTGGAACTGTTCCGCACTCGATACCTAAACCTCCTCCCAATAATGCATATCGGTCACGATATCACCGCTCAAAAGCTTCGTCAGCAACGACCTTTCCTCTGGTTATGTATCATGGCCGTATCGTGCATCGATGGAACTCAACAGAACGTCCTAGGACGAGCAGTGAGGGAGATCGCCGCTCGGGAGGTCGTGGTGGAAGGACGCCGAACGCTCGACCTGTTACTAGGCTTGCTTTGCTTGATTGCATGGTATGCTTCCCTTCCAACCATAATACGAATCCTTGCTTATAAACACACACCCAGGGGCCATTTCCGCTTCTCCATGGGTCCTTTACTGACAGTGTTCTCACATCTCTGCACTGCAATGACTTTGGACCTGGAGCTGCAGAAGCGCGAACCAAAGAGCAGTCATATCCAGCATTTTGCGCCTCGCGCCGTGCCACCGCAGTTTCTAGGCAAGATCCGGGTTCCGGAATCGAGAACCAACGAGCATCGACGCACGGTTCTGGCTTGCTACCTGCTTACTTCCAGGTTAGTCTCCCTTGAGTGCCACCGTGCATGGAGTTGACATGGAGTCTACAGTGCGGCTACCTTCCACGGGAGGATCGAGAGTCTGACCTGGTCCCCATATCTTGACGATTGCCTAAAACTGCTCGAAGATGCGAACGAAGCTCCGGGCGACAAGCTGCTTGTCTACCTGATTAGATTCCAGTTACTCACTAGTAAGGTGATGAAAATTGCACTCCAGATCAGCGACACCAAAACAGAAGAAAGCACTCGGATCATCGGGCCCTACCTCGCTTCAATCAACGGCGAACTAACCGCCGTACGAGACCCGGCTCCCTCCCACATTAAAACAAACAGTACGCCTGCCCCCCGCATCCATTGACATATTCACAAAAGAACATAAACTGACCCTCAGACTAGAGATCTTCCAGACAATGGCAGCACACACCGAGATCGTAATCAACGAACTGATTCTCCTCCGCGTACATGACGCCCCGGTCTCCGCCGACCCCGACCTGCAAACCATCCACCATCTACTCAAATGCCTCGACGCAGTCAAATTGTGGGTGGCTACGATCCTCCAATTCGAAGCAGAAGATTATGTCGGCTTTCCGTTCCTGCTATGGAAGCAGTTCCGCACCGTCGTTCTCGCTCTGATCCGGCTGGCGTCCCTGGATGACCACGCATGGGACACGAGCTACGTTCGCCGGTCCGTCGACCTCCCTGCAGTGCTTGACAAGATCAGCCAGAAGTTAGAGCGTGAGATGAATGACAGCCCCCCGTCCCAGGGTAATGTTTTTTCCACATTCGTTAAAATGATCCAGGTTCTCAGATCCTGGTGTTTATCCGCATACACTGAAGACGAACCGACCAGTTCCGATGTCCAGTCCCCTGCTATCTTGCATGCAGGAGAACAACTGGGAGTTCTCGAGGATCAACCCTTGGATTATCATGAGTTCATACCTTTCGACGAAGATTTCTGGAACGTGGGCTTTCTCGGTTGGCCTTATATCTCGTGACAATTATACACCCATTTAGCTCAAAATAATCAACCCCTCATCCGCCTCAAGCTCCGGCTTCAAACCAGATTATAGACATTCCCGGGGGAGAACCCCCGGACCCCCCTTTCTTCCACCTTCCCAGCCCACCTCACCCCTATAAACAATGTATAAGCGTTCCGGGGGAGAACCCCCGGACCCCCCTTCCTTTCAGCCCCCTGGTAACCTCAATTCTATATCACTTGAAATCAGGACTCTCCTGCCAGCGGGAGGAGCCATCTGGGTTGCTGAAAGGGTGGTGGCGAAGCTGACGGTGCAGAGTCTTACGGCCTAGGCAGGGTGGATGCTTGATCCTGGCCGTGGAGGGAGGGTAGGTCTCGAGGCCTACGGCGGAGAGGTTCGTGAACTGTCTCATGCAAGCTGCGAGGGTGTGTGGGAGCAATTCTGCTTCAACTAGTTGGAGGTGGCTGCTAACCGCAGCCTGGTATGCCTCGTAATCAGTCCCTGAATTTTCCAGGACCCCTTGTAGCCTGGCTTGCTCGGTGGTGAGGATGCGCATGCCATGCTCATCACTAGCCTGGTGCAAGCACTCAGCGGCCATCAGTTTGGCCTGCACATAGGTATTGTAGTCCGTATCGTAGTGGCCTCGAAACACCTCAGGAATTAGCCAGAGTTCCTGGACGTGTAATCGGAAGACATCATGGGAGGCGATGGCTTCAAGTTCTCGCAGGCCATCGCGTGTGATGAGGACGCTGATGCGATTGACATGGCGGCTCACGAAGGTCGCCAGCGATTTGGAGTAAAGCGCACGACATGAGAGGCGAAGAGCACACCAGTCTGGTAGATCTAGATAGCACAAGATTGAGTCTAGGATCTCGTCGGGAAGAGAAGCAATCGACATCTTGTCTGCGTTGTATCTCTCGACGCTCGTGAGAAGAAGGAGAGAACGTAGAACCCGCATGCAAGGGGCAGGCGCTATTAACCTTTGTTTTTCTTGACAAGGGGGTTGAAGGAAAGCCAAAGGAGCGCCTGAGCCTCACCGCGTGGTTTTTCCGAAATTAAACAGCCTCGTCATCTTCTCATGCCAACCAGACTAATGCAGTCCTCTCCACGAGGCCATCCCGATCCCCGCTGCATGCGCCTCCACAGGCTGCCCATTGACATTAACACATGCACAGCCTTCATTACTAACACATTGGCATTACCCCTACAAACTCGAGAATGGCTCAACCAAAGATCTATTTTCTAGCCAATTTCCGCAGTCTAGCTCAACACCAAACAACACAAGAGAAGCCAGTGGGACAAGGCTCCAAGCTATAGTCCCCACCACCTATAACCTTAGCACCGATGACCACGAACCCCCTTCGCATTCCATACATCCATCTAATCATTCAAAATCTGCACCTAAATCGCCCCAGAACCAGGATTACTCGCCGTCTCAAACGCCCGAATCTCCTCCCCCAGCCGAAACTGATGCGAGACCGACGACTCCAGATCGACCAACCCGGCAGCCACGAGCGCCATGGACTTAGGGTAGATATCATGGTATCGATACTGAAACTGGAGATCAATTTACTTAGCCGACATGTGCATGAAGGGAATAATCCGAAAGTCCTTGCCACGCCGATGACGAGCACCATGCCGCCGAACCGGGTCGCCTGGATGGGTCACGGTTAGCACGCCATCTCCCCACCGGCACCGGCCCTAAACACTGGACTTCAGGAAGAAAAAACTCACATAAATCCCCGCATGCACACTACTCTCGATTCCAGTACACTCCGACACCAACTTCGCCTCTTGCCCCAGCGCCCGCACAATCCGGCCCCCGAGCGCATGCGCGCTCTCCCCGCGCTCTACCTGCAGCGTCCGCACGCGCGGAATCAGCTCGCGCGCCTTGGCGAGACGGTTCGCGTCCAGATCCGTGATGACGATGGGCGCCGCGCCGGCCGCAGATGTCGGTGGCGCGGACGTGAATGAGGCACTAGTCCGGGGCGATCTGGGGGATGGGGCATTCAACGAGACGGAGGTCGTTTGACGGGCTCGTGTGGATGGCATGGTTCCTTTGGAGAGTTGGGAGGGCCATTGTGTGTGATAGATGCTATGTATTCGAGATCTGAACAAGGGAACGTGATGTGGTGGAGGGAGAAATATTTATATCGGTGGTAGTAAATGGGTCTGGGTGTTTTGAGATGGTCGTCTGCAACTGCTGTAGTTGTTGTCAACTCGGCGTTGTCTCCGGGCTTCGCTTATGATCCGCTCGGAGTTAGTCCCGACCCATTCACGAGACAACTCCAGACCGGCTCGGTTTGTCTTTGGGAAAGATGTGAGGCAATGCAGGAGAATAGATCAAAAGGTTAATGCTGTAGGTCTGAGTCATGTATTATGTTGTTCTGCTCGCGCAGAGAAGGAAGCTTGTAAAGTTTGCGGTCCACCGTCGGAGACTATATATACAGGTAAGAAACCAGAAGAGCGAGATAAGTTACCAAATCCGCCTCCGAGATGAATCTGTAAAGGTGGACTATCAGCCATAGATTTGTACATGTATCTAAAGATTACGCAAGTGAAAGCAGTATATTGTCTTTGACTGGATGTATGTATGCTCTATATCTTGATGTTGATTCAAGATAGAAGAGGGCTATATAAACTTTTAATACCAAGCACATCACACGCATCGACACCGACAGTACCTAGTGGTTGATCTTTTCATACAAATACCAGCCACTTCCTACAACTACGGAACCTTGCTTCAGCGGTCGAGGATGAAATGCATGGACTAGATTAGACTAGACATGAATCTTACGCTCAATGGATACACGACGACAAGGTGATATACCAACATACTCAAAGCAAGACAACACACGTCATGTATTCAACCCACAAAGCGCGAAACAAAACAGGAATGAACACAGCAAACAAGACATCAAACACGGCCAACCAAGGCATCCAACCAACCCAGAACGCGGCGCAAACTCTCCAACGCCGGCGTATCACCCTCCGCCTTCCTAGACCGCTCAATATCCACATCCCCCAGCATGGCATCGAAGCCATGCGGCGCATCATCCGGGAACTCCGCATGAACCTGCACCCCAAGGCGACGGAGGGTCTCAGTAGCCGACAGACTAATAGTGACGGGCACGCCAACATCATTGCGACCATGCACGACCGCCGTAGGCGGCAGACCCGCGACGCGGCCGCAGGCGATAGCAAACAGCCCGCGCGCCTTCTCCGGCACGAGGTCCACTACCTCACCACCAGAACCGTCACGAACGCGGCCCGCCAGACCGGGCACGCCGGCCATGTAATCGGGCAACAGCGCTTGACCATGCAGGGCGGCGATCAAGCCCATGCGGGCGTCGGTGCTCGGGTCCGCGGGGATAGGGTATCCGGTCCGCACGGTTGCGGCGGGATCATCTTTTTGCTGGCCCGCGGCCCAGGCATCGAAGAACGGCCGGCTGTCTGACGGCGTCATGCCGAAGAAGTTGTCTACCGGGTGCGTGAAGTGCTCGTGGAGCGGGTCCAGCATCCCGTAGAGGAGGAGCAGGGCGTCTGGCTTGTGCTCGGCCTGCGAGGCGCTCGTCAGCGCCAGGTAGGCTCCGGCGCTGGCGCCGGCTGCGATGACGGGGCCCGGAGACAGGTGCTGCAGCGTCGAGGCTAGCGAGGTTCGCACCCACTGGTACGCGTCCACGGCATCGGCTACCGCGTCGTGCGCCGTCGTCTCGGGCAGGAGCCGGTAGTCCGGCGTCACGAAGATCCATCCCCGCGCTGCGCAGGCATTGACGAGCCAGTGTGGGAGGAAGGATTGCCGGTCGCCGACGATCTAGTTGGGGTTAGTGGGGATCGGGCAGGGTGGTGAGATGAGACGTACAAGGAAGCCGCCGTGGTAGTGGATTAGGACCGGCACGGGAGTGGTGCTTGCTTGAAGGGGGTAGATGATATCGAGGTTGAGGCTGAGAGACCCGGTTGTCTTGTAAGGAAGGGTCTTCATTTCATAGCCACTTGGCATCTCTGGTGGTGCCATGGTGAATACAGTCTTGATGTATTAAGGTCACGAAGGAAGAGGGATCTGAAGCAGCAGTATATGAGAAGAAATGCTTGGGGTGGGGATGACAAGAAGAAGGAAAAATAGAAAGATTGGGAAGATGAAGGAGGTTGCGAGGAGGAGAGCCTTTTATGTTCAAATCACTGGGGCATCCTGCACGTGAATAGCGTTTTGGACGGCTCTTACCAGGTGCAGCTACCATGCAGGTGTGAGGGGCTAAATGATAGGATACATGCAGTGCAGTCATCCCACTCGCTGGAGAAACGCCTCCACACTTGAGATACTGCGACTTTTCGGTGGAACTACATCTGTTTATAGTGGGAGGAGCCTGTGATCACCGCTAAACCAAGCTACACCCATTACCTCCGTTTGCTCCAGCCACTTGGAGCTGGACGCCATAGCATCTACTAATGCCTCCCATCCCATCCCATTGCCACTGCAATTTCTATGCACACGACAACCTAGCGAGTAACACAGACCACGAGCATCTCACAGACGAATCATCCAAGATGTCTATCTCAGACCACCACGAGCAGGAACCCGCCAACTCTCCACGCCACAGCGCAGCACGAAGAAGAATCATCTACGCCCAGCGATCCTCAGTGACTCTAACCATGACGTCTCTCGTGCTATGCGCGACAAATCGGTCCACCCATTCCAGTTCCGTCTTGGTCGGATTGCACAAGGCAAACTGGAAGTGAGAGAATAGATAGGCGAGGCAAGCATGGAGCTCGAGGTACGCAATACTAGCCACAAATCGTCAGCAACAGCTCCTCTAACCACGGTTCTCAACCCTCCTTGCTTAGGGAACGTAAACACGACGAGTAGCTTTTTCTTTCTTTCCATTTTTCAGGGAGGGCGGTTCGTACTTAACACCGATGCATTGACGCGGTCCCCTGCTAAAGGCCACATTCCACTTTCTCGTGGTCTCCGCCTCGTCTCCCAGCCATCTATCCGGGAGAAACTTCTGCGGTTCGGGGAAGATGCGTGCGTTCTGCTGGATGCTCAGCAGACTGACCGATACAGCGGTCTAGATATGTGGTATGTCGTTGTCAGTCCGAGCGCAACATAATTCATTCTAGGCAGTTGACTCTACTCACACCCGGGGGAAGAAAGATCGAGCCGTATCGCGTGCCAGGCTCAGGAACCAGACGAGGCAGACAGCCCGGCACTGGACTCGAGAGACGGAGTGCCTCCTTCACAACGGCGCCCTGTGGCGGAAGAGACAGTGTTAGCGTGAGGAAAGAAAGGCCTAAGCGCGGGCCATTTGTCCAGGTTCAGCATTAACGTACCAAATACGGGAGGCTCGCGATCTTGTTGTGATCGAAGTTGTCGCGGATGAAGGGCGCTGCCGCATCGAGCTCAGCCTGCAGCTTGGCCAGCGCCGTCGGCGAGGCCAACAGGTAATGCACGGCGCAGGCGGTGGTGTACGCCGTGGTGTCGCTGCCGCCGGCGATGAAGTTGAAGATGTCTTCCAGGGGATGAAGGACGGCGCGGGTCTTCTTGGTGTCGCTCGGGTCGATTTGCGCGTAGCGTTTCATGTGGGAATCCCGCTGGGATGCAACCTGCGAGGACTTTGCCATTCGGACATCCGTTGCCGCCCATTCTTCGCAGTACTAATGTGGTGTTGGCCGTTTGTTACGAAAGCAGTTCAAATATGCCAGTGCAACACACTTCACCCGGCGTGCTCTAGCAGGAGGGTAGGTCGCGAACGTACCTTGGTGAAGGTTTTAAAGGCAGACGCAAAAGCCCGATATCCGGAGCCTGGCACTAGGCTCAGGAAACCGGCCACGGACGGATACGTGAGAACTAGGTGTGGTCAGATGGTTGCAGTGGGAACGCGAGCGTGAAAGACTTACTTAACCAGGTCTTGGTCATCACCGTATCCAGCGCCTCCAAGAAGGGATGGTATGTCTCACAATCGAAAAGATTTACATCGTGAGAAAAGAGGATCCGCAGAACGATATCGGCCTAGTAAAGAAACTCGAATCAGAAGACAACAGTTCAAGGGTCAACAGGTACTGACACTCAGGGTGCGGAAGATTTGCAGAACATTCACAGGCTCCTTCGTGCTGAGATGTCGTCGCAGTTTGGTGGCACTGAACTGCAACTCCTTGAGAACACTCGGCGCCAGTTCGTCGGCAGACCGCGCCGAGTACAACGGGGCGATGTGGCTCCGATAGATGCGGTAGTCCTGGGGGTCGATCATGCTGTCTAGCCCACCGAAGTGTCGGTAGAACGAAGAATCCTTCGCCCACTTGGACCCGACGCAAAATACCCTGATTGGCCTGTGTTAGAAAGAGAAGAGATATAGGATGGGACCGAGCGAGGAACATACTCTTCGAAGAACGCTGGATCATTTATGTGGACATGATTCGGCCCGATGCGGATGATAGAGGAGTCTTTCGCAACTTCAGCTTAGTTTGATGGGACGGACGGGCATTCTCCTACTGTACTTGGCGTGAAAGCCTTCGAACTGCTTGGAGTAGCCATCTCCCTGCAGGAAATTGAAGTAAAAGGCATAGAGGTCTGTCAAGGCCGCGAGACGGGGCCCAGGTACGCGTGCCAATGGATGGAAGTACAGACGACGTAGGACGATGGTGCTGAGGGCCAAAACCAGAAGATGAAGAAAACCAGCAACAAAAGGCTTCTCAATCAGCGCATCGCAATACCAGGAAGAGATCGAGCTGCCTTCGCGAAGGCTCATGAGTAATTGAGACATTCTCACAGTCGAGACCTTGTGGGATTATTGATCCTTGCAAATGCAAGAAAAACGGCGTGAGGGAATGCTCAGCACATAGGGTTCTTGAGGGAGGGGGAGATGGGGGAGTCCTGGCACGTTTGGGCCAGATCGGCCTGTGTGGAGCTTCACAGAAATGTGATATCACGTCATATGCCTGTGGGCTGCGCAATACAGTCTCAATGTATGTCCGCGTTGCGTTTCACAATTCCCTTGCCACCAGATAAAGCTTGATGAGGGCACTTCTACCCCGGTCAGCCAGCCACTTAATATCGGCGGTAAAAGCAAAGAAGAGAGGAGAGCTTGGAAAATCTGCATCTCGGACGGTTTGGGCCGATCCCGCCCCGCCGTTAACCGTGGCTTCTATTATTTTATTGAATTTATTTTATTTTTTAATTATTATTTTTTTCCCCCATGCTGCACACAAAGTCACTCTTGGCATCATGCTGCAGCTGATCTGCGGGTTTATCCCAAACATGCATAGCGTACGTAGCCTATGAATTAGTCGATACACGTTGGCCGAAAACGTCTGACAATACCATGACCGTTCAATACATCCATACTATACTGTATTCCCACGCCCCCTCATAGCACCATCTATCAAACTACAGAACATCAAGCCCAGTTTCGAGAGCGCAAGACAACAACACCAGCGCACATCGTCAACTGCCTCACAGCCCCAGCATCCGCTTCATCTAAAACACACACACCATGACGATCCCAGAGTTTCCCAAGCGGCCCATCCACGCCAACCGACAGCTGCGCGTGATTTGCATCGGCGCCGGCGCCTCAGGCTTGTACCTCGCCTACCGGCTGAAGAAGAGCTTCACGGACTTCACGCTTCAGATCTACGAGAAGAACGCCGACGTGGGCGGGACGTGGTTCGAGAACCGATACCCAGGATGTGAGCCTTCCCTCTGAGTATATCAGTCGCAGTCGAGCAAGGCAGAAAGAAAACTGACAACCCCCGTTCCGTGTGTTCAGGCGCCTGTGATATTCCTGCGTAAGCTACCTGGCTTCAATTCCACTCTCCCGCTTTCTCTGCATAGGAAAGACATACTGATAAGGAAAAGTCACAACTACACCTACACCTTCGAGCCCAACCCGGCCTGGTCAGCCAACTACGCGACTGCGAGCGAGATCGCCGCGTACTTCGCCGGGTTCGCGGACAAGTACGGGCTCCGTGAGTATATCGCGTGTCAGCACGAGGTGGTCCACGCGGAGTGGGACGAAGACCGAGCGGAGTGGATGGTCCGCGTGCGCCGCAGCGCGGATGGAACGGTGCTTGAGCAACGGTGTGATTTTCTGATTAATGCGGCTGGGATCTTGAACGCTTGGAAGTACCCTGACATCCCCGGACTGGATACTTTTGAAGGCACCCTGGTGCATACGGCGCATTGGGATGAGACTCTGGATGTGGGGGGGAAGAGGGTCGGACTTATTGGTAATGGGTAGGAGAGTTTATTAGTTTGTTGCTGTGCTGTTGAGCCCTAACTTCGTGGCTTAGGTCTTCGGGGGTGCAGGTCCTGCCTGAGTTACAACGGTAAGCTGGCTATCACTAATACGCGTCCCATCGTTTGTTTGAAACTGTTCTGATTGGGAGTAGAAAAGCACAGCACGTCACGGCATTCATCCGCAGCGCCACCTGGGTCAGTCCGGCGCGAGGGATGGAATATCACCAATACACAGAGGAGGAGAAGAGGAACTTCCGCGAGAACCCCGACCAGCTCCTGGCAGTGCGCAAGCAAACGGAAGGGTTCATGACCTCCGCGGCGCTGTTCTCTATGTTCATCCAGGGCTCCAAAGCCCAGGAGGTGCTTGCGCAGGACATGGAGACCCAGATGCGCGCGAAGCTCGGCAGCGACCATGTTCTTGCAAAGTCTATCATCCCTGACTTCCCACTGGGCTGTCGACGGCCCACGGTGAGATCCCTTCCCCCTTGTGACACTTCCCCGGACCGCCCAGCGGGAACCAGGCATGAAGATTAAACACCAAGCTAACCCCCCCAGCCGGGGATCAACTACCTAGAGAGCCTCGGCCAGCCGAACGTGACCGCATGCCCCGGGCCCATCAAGGAAGTGACACGAACCGGCTGCATAGCAGCAGACGGCAGCGCGCACGAGCTCGACGTCCTGGTCTGCGCAACAGGCTTCGACACGACCTTCCGACCGCGCTTCCCGGTGCTGGGACGCGAGGCGCGCGATCTCGCCACGCAATGGGCCGACGAGCCACGCAACTACCTCTCGCTGGCGGCGCGACACTTCCCGAACTACTTCATGTTCGTGGGGCCCAACTGCCCGATCGGCAGCGGACCGATCATGGTCTGCATCGAGGCCGCGGGCGACTACATGGCGCGGATGCTGAACCGGTGGCAGAAGGAGGGCATCCGCAGCTTCGAGCCCAAGGCCGCCGCCGTCGACGACTTCATGACCTACAAGGACCGCTTCATGGCCTCGACGGTCTGGCACGCCCGCGCCGGCAGCGGCCGCTGTCGCTCGTGGTGGCGCGACTCCCGCTCCGGCCAGGTCACCGCGTTGTGGCCGGGGAGTACCGTGCACTACCTTGAGGCTCTGGCCACCCCGCGTTATGACGATTATGATGTCGATTATGTCGGTGGGAATCGCTTCGACTATCTGGGGAATGGGTTTGCGCAGCGCCAGCTCGCAGCTAACGCCGATCCCGTCTGGTATCTGCGGACGGCGGATGAAGGAGAACTGCTGCCGGATTTGATGAGCACCGAGAATGCGAAGGATCTGGGCAGTTTATTGCGGGACGGCTTTGAGTGGACGCCTGCTCAGGGGGCATAGCGCTGGGTCTGGTCTTACGTACAATACACCGGGCGGTGTTTGCCTTTCTGCTTGAGAAATGTGGAATTATCAAGACCTATTTGTATTGGTAGACCAGGAGCAATGTGTCGTGGTAGATCTAGACACGATGGATGTGAAATTGGCTGCCGTGCTCTACGTGCATCCTCTGCTTTTATAATCTCAGTTCAATTCAAACCTTCCACCCTCATAGAACAAGAGCACACATATCCTAGACAGTTCTGTGCGAGCTCCACACCTGCCCAGCCCGACGAAACGCCTCATCGGTCGAAGGACCATGCGATTGATCTGCCGCGCCCAACACGCCCGTTCTAACCAAGAACTCGACGTTCTTCCTAATCGCCGCCCGGACGTGTGACTTGTGATGGTCAACGCCAAGGTCCGAGAACCTCGCACCGCCCAACCGACCGTTGACCTCCTCAAAGACCTCACGCACCGGCCATAGGGGATGGGTGCGGCCGTCCACGTCGATGGCCCGCGTCACGCGCGACACCCACTCCTCATGCGGCACTGGCGTGAGTCTACGAGTGTTGTTGCCAAGAGCCTCGTTGACGGTGTCCCAGTACTCGGCCACGGCCACGCCATCGGTTATGTAAGTGATTGCGCGGTCCAAGGGGACCGGTGCGAGCGCGTTCCGCACGATTGCCTCGGCTACTCGCGCCGAGGACGTGATCCACAACATGCCTGTGTCCAGCGCCGCCTCGGCACTGTACGATTCCCCTCCCACCGCGGCCGCGGTGAGGCGCCAGAGGTAGTCGTCGACGTTGGGGACCCCTTCCTCCGGGGTGCCGATGATGAGGCCGGGCTTGACGACGGAGAGTCGTGGTCCGGCGAAGCGGCGAACCACCATCTCCGCCACGAACTTGCTTTGTCCGTATCCGCTGCCGCTGCGGATTACCGCGTCAGCCAGTGCGGTCTCGGTCTCGTGCGGATGCCACGTGTGGCCGCCGGAGACGTAGACCAGCTGCGGCCGGGCGGGTGAGGTGAGAGCCGCGCGGATCAGGTCGACGGTTGCATCAACGTTGACGGCGCGGAGGAGCTCGTAGCCCGCGTTCCAGTTCACTGCTGCGCCGGCGTGGATGATGGCGTCGACGAGCAGGGGAGGATTCACTGCTGTAGAGTCAGGGCTCTGGGGCGACGGGGGAGAACTTCCGCTCACGCATGCCCACTGTTCATTGCGGAGCCCTAAGCGCGGTTGGCCGAGATCCCCGGCCCAGGCTTCAAGCTTGGGGCCGTGGCGCTCTTCGGACCACCACCGCGCGCGTCTGGCGGCCTCTCTGCACCGTGTGGACGCCTCCTCGTCAGTCCGCGCCCGGACATGCACAATAACGCGGCGGACCTCGTCGCTCTCGCATAGTTGGTGCAGGATCTCGGTGCCGAGAAGGCTAGTACACCCGGTCAGGAAGACCACTCGACCTTGTGCTCGTGGCACAGGTAAGGGTTGGGCTAGGGCCAAGTCACGGTCCACAGTCTGAACCAGCCGCGCAACCTCGCCGGTCAGGTCGATTGACTGCGGCTTCTGCGTGTCGGATGTAGTATCTCCCGCGACAAGCGCTGCAAGGGAGCGCACCGTGGCTGTCCCGTCCAGCAACGTACGGACAGTGAGATTCACCGCATACGTCTGTCTCAAGAATCCGACCAAGCTGGTCAGTTGAATGGAATCCAGGCCAGCGGCGGCGATGGGGAAGTCGTGGCCTCGCTGCACAGGGGAAACGCCGCTGTCACGTTCCGACAAGCCAACAATCTTGTAGCTGATTGCGTGCGCGACTGTCTCGTCTGTGCCGAGCGCATTCCCAACTTCACTCTTCGCCTCGCCGCCCCAGCGCGGTAAAACCTCGGAAGGCGGCTGCATCAGCCAGGATTGAACTCGTTTGCGGTCCAGTTTGGCCGACAACGACCTTGGGAGGCGTTCCACAGTGATGAAGTGGTCAGGTACCATGTAGCTGGGGAGGACATTCCGGATCTTGTGCGTGATCGCAGCTACATCCACCCCCACAGTCGCAAGTTGGCGCATGGGAACAGGGGCCAAGACCGTGCCCTGCGATGTTTCTCCTTGGGCAGCCAACGACGACGACTCCAACACCGCGACAAGCCGCCGGGCAAACGGTCCGCCAGTGGTAGGACAAGCCACGACGACCGCTGACACACCAGCACCACCTCCGGCGACTAGCATAATCTGATGCTCAATCTCGCCGAGCTCGACCCGCTGCCCCCGAATCTTCACCTGGGTATCTTTGCGCGCTACAAACACCAGCGACCCGTCCTCCTGGTACCGGACGAGATCCCCGGTTTTGTAGAGGCGGTTGCAGCGGGAAAAGGGCATCCACCTGGGACGGGGGATGAATGCTCGCTGCGTCAGCTCGGGCTGGTTGATATAGCAGCGCGCAAGGTTGGCACCCTCGATTAACAGCTCCCCAACGGCCCCCACCGGGGCGAGAATCTGGTCATTCTCGGGGTCCACGACCCAGCACGCGCCCCCGACGGCGGTGCCGATGTTCGCGGGATGGGATACCACGGTGACGTAGCGGTTGGAGGCGCTGATCACGCAACACTCGGCGGGACCGTAGCCGTTGATCAGACGGACGTGGCTGGCCCACGTCTCCAGCGTCGTCGTCGTCATAGGCTCTCCTGCCAGACAGAGGGTGCGCAGGGTCGGCACTGAGGACGGATCCACGGTGCTGGCGAAGGAGGGTGTCAGGAATGCGTAATCCACCTCCATGCGGTTGATGGCGGCGGCGATATCATCCGCCCGCTCCTGGTCGGAGGGGACGCAGACTGCGCCGCCGTGGACCAGCGTGCATAGGATCTCCCCGAGGCTGACGTCGAAGGCGTACGAGGAGAATTGAAGCACGCGGTTCCTCCCCAGCGCGAGCCCGGCTCGGTGCGCCAGTGCCGCGGTGCAGAAGGCCCCGTGTTCAATCACGATGCCCTTGGGGGTCCCGGTGCTGCCGGAGGTGAAGATCACATACGCCGCATTGCCGGGTGAGACGGTTGACGAGAGCCGCGGAGGCTGGTCTGCCAGCCAGCGCTCCCAGGACGCATCCAGGACAATGGTTGTCGGGGCCAGGCTCGGGTATCTGTCGTACTGGGCTCGGGAGCACAGCAGAGTGGTGGCTTGGACCGTTTGTATCATGGTTCGCAGTCGGTTCTCCGGGGCGGAAGCATCGAGTGGGACGAACGCGGCGCCAGCCTTCAGCACGGCCACCATGGCCACAATGGTCCAGAGGGACTTCTCGAAGCAGAGAGGAATGTACGTCTCACACCCGACGCCGAGATTTATCAGGTATGCGGCCAGCTTGGAGGAAACCTGGTCGAGTTGGGCGTAGGTCATCTCGCCGTCCCACGAGCAGACAGCCTGCGCGTCGGGCTGTTGCACAGTTCGCGCCTCAATCAGCGCGTGCACTGTCGTCTCACTGCGCTCATCAATCCGGCTATTCCAGCGATAGATGTCATCTTTGTCGCGCGGACTGGCTAGTTCGACGTCCTTGACCGCGATCGTCCGGTTGGCGGACAGCTGCAACGCGACATGCTCGAACTGCTGCAGCATGCGCTTGACCGACTCCACGCTGATGACGTTGGAATCGAACCGCGCGTGGACGGTGGTACTAGTAGTATTGCTTGCGATCTCGATAACTAGAGCCCTGGTGCGGCCATCTCCGCAGAGCGGTACGTCGGTGCTGAGCCCACGCCGCATCGCCAGGAGACTCTGGAACCCGCATGCTGCGGCCGGACCTGGACCAGCGCAAGCAATGACCTGGCAGTCCTCGCTTTGACGGGCAAATATCTTCTGCAAGCGGCTCCGGATGACATCCAGATATTCTCCTACGGCCTCACCTTGAAGAGTCCGCACCCTGAACGGCAGTACAGGCCCGTTCAACGCAGCACCAAAGACAGTATCACACGAAGCAAGATAACGCGCCTGCAGTAGCCCCCAAGCCCCCAAACTTACCGCCTCAGTGGCGTAAGGCCCTGGAGCCTCCAGATTATCAGCGAAGGAATGCTGCAATTGCTGATCCAAGACTGGGACATAGGAGGTCGAAGGCAGGCGCGGGAACGTCGGCATCTCGTCTCCATCGCCGAACTCCTCATTCCAGAACGCACTGCGCTCCTCCTCTTGCCCAAAGCACGAGACCATCTCCGGGGCAAACTGTAGCATCTCGCCGATAGAGACCGCAGGGTCCTCGTGAAGCCGGCGGAGGATCCGGACGAACTGCGCCAGAATCGCCTGCATCTGGTGCTCTGGCACCACCTGGTCGTCGAATACCGCCTCCACGCGGAGTGCATCCCCGTCATACTGACAGATGACTGTCAGGCAGTACGTCACCCAGGCAAGGTGGTCGTCGTTCGACGACGTCAGTTCACGCAGAAAGGAATCATCGGCCGACGGAGGTCGCTCCGGTTGCACGACGAGGAGAGTCTGAAAGGCGCACGCGCGCGCCGCATCGGGCCCGAGCCGACGAATGTTCTGCAGGCCGGTTTGTTCGAAGGGGATCCCGTCGATCGTGTCTTTCTGGAGCTTCTGGAGGGCGTGCGCGATGCGGTCCTCCCGGGTGAGGACGACTCGCGAGGGCACCGTCGCGATGGTTGGCGCCGTCAGGTTCTCGATTCCCGGCACCGGCGCATTGCGACCTGACCGGACGGCCCCGAAGGCGATGTCGTGGCTGCCTTGCAACTGCGCTTGGGTCAGCGACCACGCGAGGCTGATATAGGTGCTGCTAGTGAAGGCTCGGTCGCCTGGCGGGGGGATGGTTGCGCTGGTTGAGATGGCGGCTTTAGGGACGGGATGGTAGGTGGCGGAGGGCAGTGGGGGAAATGCTGCTTCCCGAAAACCGTTTGTCATGGTTTTCCAGTATGCATCTTGGCCTTGCGTGCTGGTTATATACTGGATGAATGGAGTGAACGGTCGAGCTGGAAGGGAGAGCTCATTGTATGCGTCTTTGAAGCCCTGGAGTAACAACGGGAGCGTCCATCCATCATACACAGCATGGTGCATGTGTATCACCAACTGATGACTTACATCAGGGCTTTCTTCGGCTCGACAGATTGCAAGGTGCACCAAAGGGCCGCCCAGAACTGCTGTCAGTCCAGGTGCTGGTGCAGCTTCTACTTGCTTGGTCCAGCTAATCCGCTCCCGAACCACAACCTGCAGCATCCCATGGATGGTATCTGATACGACGATCCTAGTCCTGAGAATCGGACTGGCCTGTGCCAACCTCCCCCACGCAAGCTCGAGTCGCTCGAGGTTCAGACCTGCAGGAACCGCCAATGCGACCTCGGTGACGAATGACGGGCCCAAGCCCTGCATGGACAAGGCCATAAGACCTTCTTGCAGCGGCGTGCAGGGGTAAATGTCCTCAATGGCATCCGGATCAACCGAGCATTGGGCGGCACTTACCCTGATAACATGTTGTACGTCTATCGGCCCCAGCAGAGAAAAGGGCTGGGGAACGGAATCCGTCCAATCCGATCCTGACTGGAGGATCGAGGCAATTTCCCACAAGCGGGGGTGGTCAAAGATCTCTTTGACGGTAATCCTGTGCTTATCCCTGCGGGCTGCAGCAACCAGTTCCATGGCTGAAAGTGAGCTTCCCCCGCGACGAAAGAAATGATCGTCCGCCCCAATCTCCTCTCCAGGTATGTGTAAGACTGCCGAGAAATACCGCTGCACCGCCTTCTCCATATCGGTTGCTGGTGGTCGACGACGAGCCAGCCCTAGCTGGAACCGCTCCTGCTCTCTCTGCGTTAAAGCGCCGGCCAGTTCCCGCAGTCGCCTTCGATCTGTTTTGCTTGTTCCCGTCAGCGGAAGAGCGCGCAGCGGAAGGAAGACGGCGGGCACCATATAAGGAGGCAAGGCAAGCTGCATGTGAGACCGCGCCCTCTCACTCTGGCCGAGAAACTCGCCGGTGGGCTCTGCGAGGAGTGCAGCAGGGGGCTGTGTTGTGCTGTCACTTTGTGCTTGGGCGATGAAAGCGACGAGCATTGGCGGTCGTTGCTCTCGCGCCGGCGTGACCACCTCGGCCACCACATCCGCTGCTTCCGGGAAGCATTGACGCAGATGATGCTGGACCTCGTTGAGTTCGATGCGCTGGCCGCGCAACTTGACCTGCGTGTCCTTTCGTCCCACAAATCGCAACGAGCCGTCGGCCTTGTACGCAACCAGATCCCCGACTTTGTAGATCCGACGACCCTGGTGCTCCTTGTACCCACGAAACTGGCGCATCCAGGATGGCATGGGAATAAAAGACTGTGTTGTGGCATCGGGGTTGTTCAAGTACCCACGGCCGACAATGGGACCCTCCACCAACAGCTCCCCAACTGCCCCGATGGGCATCAGGGTCTCATGGTCCTGCGGATCGACGATCCAGCTGGCACTCCCGGTCGAGTAGGCGACCTCGCCCGCCCCGGGGTCTCCTCGTGGCCGGCGCCGGAGCGAGATGATCGGACACTCAGATGCTCCGTACAGGTTGATGACATGGACATGGTCCGTCCATCGCGCCAAGTCAGCGGCTGACAAGCTTTCGCCTCCAAGGGCCAGGGTCTTCAACGTCGGAACCTCGTGGGGATACAAGAGTCGGGCCACCGTGGGCGTGATAGAAACGTGGTTCACCTGGAATCGTTCGATCGTTCTAGCCATATCGCTCCATCGGTCTGTGTCGGAGGGAATGCAGACACACCCCCCTGCAATGAGGGTAATCAGGGTGTCGAAGATAGTCACATCGAAGGCGTAGGAAGCAAACTGGAAGACGCGGGAGTCCTCATTAAGAAGCAGGGCCTGGGTGTAAGGCCGCACGCTGGCGTAGAAAGTGGCATGTTCAATGATCACGCCCTTGGGGGTTCCCGTCGAACCAGAGGTGAAGACCGCATACAGCGCGCTGTCCGGGGTGACGGACTCAGAAAGCCCAGGCTTCTTGCTGTCCGGCTGCTCTGCGGGTTGCTGGACATCCCCGAGCACAACCACCTGAGGGGCCAACGCGCGAGCCACAGCCGCAGACTCGGGCGATGTCAGCACCACCTGAGCAGATACCTCCCGACAAATCTGCTGCAGACGAGCCGGAGGATGAGAGACGTCCAGCAGCACCATCGCACCGCCAGCCTGCATGACCGCGAGCATGGCCACTGCCACCCACCGGGACTTCTCCAAGCAGATGGGCACAAACACCTCGGGGCCTACTCCTGCGCTCACCAAGTGCGCGGCGAGGTCCGCCGACAGACGCGAGAGCTGCCGGTAGGTGAAGTCGCCATCCCAGGCACAGACGGCGGGCCTCTCGGGCTGTCGCACACACCGCGCTTGGATCAGCTCATGGATACACTGGCTGGTCTGCTCCGGTGCGACGGCATTCCACGCGTAGATCCTCTCTCGGTCACAATCCCCGAGGAGAGATTGGCCGCGAAGACTGGAATTTCGGTCTTGCATGAGACGCGCCACGGCGACGCAAAATGTCTCCAGAACCCCCGCCGCCTGGTCCTGAGTGAGCATCGAAGTTTTGCAAGAGAGCGCTGCCTCCGCCCTTTGAGCGTCAATCTCCAAGAGCAGGCCGTGCTTCAGATCCGTTCATTAGCATTCGTGTCTCCCTCACAGCAGAGACTTGTAGTACATACCTTATTTGGAACATCGTAAATCCACCCTTCCACCATCCTACGCTCCCTTTTCACCCCATCAGAGAGAGAAGATACAAACGCCAAACATGTATTAAACGGCGTCGTGCCAGCGCTCCGCGCAGAGTGCCCGCAGCCAGTCAAAGCGCAAGAGCGAACCTGCCGCAGTCGCACCCACTCGCCTTGAGCCTGCTGAACCAACTCCCCCGGTGCGAGGTCCTCTGGCATATTCAAAATGCAGATTGATGGTTGCGTGACCGGCTCCTCGACAAAGCCGAAAGAGACGGCGTCGGTCGCCGTGTATGCGCGCAGGACCAAGGCCCATGCCCCGAGGAGCACGGCGGGAACTGTCGCATCGACGGTCTGGCAGAGTTGCCTCAACTCCGGCTGCTGGATTACTGGCACTGGCGCGCGTGTTTGGAGCCATTCACCGGATCCAGGCGCATGGTCGTCGCCCAACGATGGGAAGTAGCAAGGGCCCGGATCGTGTTCCTTGTGCTGGTCGAGGCCATCGTCATCCCTCGCAAGACTTGGGAGTGGGTTCAAGCTCTGAGGATTCGTCGATTTGGACATGTTGAGATGATCAGAATATGTGGTTTGATCCAATGTTGTAGGTGTTTAGTATATATTCCTGTAATGTACAACTTCACTACAGTGTACTGCCGACTTGAACGGCATCGAACAACCCTCCGCCCGATAGAGAGAGAACAACAAGCCCCTTAGAAAAGAGCCACTCAATCAGGGGCACAGATAAGACGCCTCAGAAGCAACATCGCAGTGTTTGGCAATAGCAATAGCCCTCCCCTCCATGATCATACCTTCCCTCATACCCGTACGTACCGCACATACAATACAAAACGGTACCAATTCAAGCGCGATACTCTGGAAAACAAGTCGATCTGTATAGCGGGGCGCAGTGCATTAGTGTCATGCCGCCTGAACCTTAGCCACCGCGGAGTCCGATGCAATCTCCTCATTGATGATCCATGATGTGAGGGGTCCCTTTCTAATTTGAGGAGCTCGTATGGAGGGGGTTTCATGCATGCACTGCACGCCCTGCTCGAGCTGGCCCCGTCATGTCGATCTTCCAAGTATCCGCGCGGTGCACTGCTAATGGGTCTGGACTGTGGCTATTCTGCAGGCTTGATTCTGGATTTGGGAAAAGAGGTTCTCACTACTTAATGACTGCAGCTTGATGAAGTCACAGATGAGGGGTAGTCAGGCGTTAGATAAAACAGGCGAAATGTCGACTCAGACAGGGATGGACAAAAGAGATCGGAAAAAAGAAGAGAAGCAAAAAAAAAAAAAAATAATTGAGAAAAAACGAAAGAAAAAGAAAAAAGTACCGTAGGACAGAGGTCCGGAGAGAACCCCACCGCTAAGAAAAAATAGCAGGCTTTCACATGGTTGCACCTACTTCTATCTGACTTTGCTTTATATACAGATCGATTTTGCGTATTGCGTCTGTACCGTGCGAATAGCCTGGTGACAGTCACATTGCTTGAAGGTGCTACATGTCCCATTAGTGATTCATTCCTTCTGAAATCAAACTCGGTGAGTAGGATTCAAACATCTATTCTTATGCCATCTATTGACTGAGCGAGAATTAGACAAGGTTGGGAGCAAGCCCATAAGAGAATGGATCCCCGTGGACAAGGCCAAGGCTTGAAAGGGTGCCCGGTGATGGCAGGTGGCCATGGCAAACCATCTCAGCAGACACTGCCAGTAGGTGGACATCCCGTCATCGAAGCGTTGGCGAGCTTCAATCGAGAGAAGATCCCCGAGAGACCAGTTCATGCCAAAGGCGCGGGTGCGTATGGGGTGTTCGAGGTAGGTTCCATCAGTCCCGATCCCTGACTCCTCCTGCGATGACCACTGTTGCTCATACAAACCACTCTTGCAAAGGTCACGGAAGATATCTCGGATATCTGCAACATCGACATGCTCCTCGGCGTGGGTAAGAAGACGGCGTGTATGACGCGATTCTCGACGACGGGGCTGGAGCGCGGTTCGTCGGAGGGGGTGCGTGATCTGAAGGGCATGGCGATCAAGTTCTTCACGGAGCAAGGCGAATGGGACTGGGTGTGCCTCAACTTCCCGTTCTTCTTCATCCGCGACCCGATCAAGTTCCCGGACCTGATGCACGCGCAAACGCGCGACCCCCAGACCAACCTGCTGAACCCGAACCACTACTGGGAGTGGGTGACGGCGAACCACGAGTCGCTGCACATGGTGCTGCTGCAGTTCAGCGACTTCGGGACGATGTTCACCTGGCGCACGCTGAGCGGGTACGTGGGCCACGCCTTCAAGTGGGTGATGCCAGACGGCTCGTTCAAGTACGTACACTTCTTCCTCTCGTCCGACCGCGGGCCCAATTTCTCCATGGGCCAGTCCACCGCAGACGACGCGGGCCTGCACGACCCGGACCATGCCTCGCGCGACCTGTACGAGGCCATCGAGCGCGGCGAGTATCCCACTTGGACGGCCAATGTGCAGGTCATTGACCCGGCCGACGCCCCGAAGCTGGGCTTCAACATCCTTGACGTGACCAAGCACTGGAATCTGGGAACTTACCCCAAGGACCTGGCCAAGATCCCCTCGCGCCCGTTCGGCCGCCTCACGCTGAACCGCAACCCGCAGGACTACTTCCGCGAGGTCGAGCAGCGCGCCTTCTCGCCCGCCAACCTCGTCCCCGGCGTCGAGCCCTCCGAGGATCCCATCCTGCAGGCGCGCATGTTCGCCTACGCCGACGCCCAGCGCTACCGTCTAGGGCAGCAGCAAAGCCCGCCGCAGAGTCGTGCGTCATCGACGACAACCGCCCCGATTCAATCCGACCCAGCTTTCCAGGAGTGGCTGTCTGAGGTATCGTCACCGACCTGGTCCCAACCCCACGCCAACGACTACAAGTTCGCCCGCGAGTACTACTTGGTCTTGCCCGAGTTCCGCAGCCAGGACTTCCAGGACCGCATGGTCGAGAACCTCGCCGCTTCGGTAGCCCAGACCCGGCCCGCGATTCGTACGCGTGTGTACAGAACCTTTGAGCTGGTGCATCCCGAACTGGCGCAGCGCATCGAGACTTTAGCCGAGCAGAAGACCCAGCCGGCGACGCCTATGGAGGCAGGGACTGAGGCACCACAGCAAAAGGCGCATTTGTAATGGTACTAGTAGCTTAGCTAGTATGAGTTGGCTTAATGACTATGCCGGACAGCGTGGTCGCAATTCCTATGGACGTGACTCTTAGCTAAAATGGAATATCACAAGGGAGGTACTTTTACCACGAAACAAGAAATTGAGATCCACAAGGGTCTGGCCTCATCATCTGTCTTCGTATGCAGTGAGATTGTTTGCCTTTCTTGGCGAGGCAACGGAGTTAGGGCATCCCCGCCCGGGCCTCATTCCAATCAATCTACCCGGCGGGGTCGATGAACGCATGCATAATACTAATCTATAAGATGCAAAATTACTGCGGGTAGTGCTTCAAGTAGACTACGCTAGTCAATTGGTGCGTTCACTCTGATGTACTCAGGTTGAGTAATTCCATGCAACAGATATGATTCAACATGCGGACCAGACACCTTAAGGATATCCGTTTCAGTTCTCCGCTCAATTTCTGATCATATGATCAAACATTGGTGGGGAATTTGTCGTCTAGATTTGATAATTGCGTTTTCATGCAAGGTGCTACAGCCACGATGCAACAATACTATAGTGTGTTTGCCCGCATGACGCCTGTCTCTTCCTCATACAGTAGATGACATGACCCAGAAGAGTTTCATCTATTACCAATAGACTAATGCGTCCTGGAACTCACTTATTTGCCTAGCAATTCGGCATTAATCTCGAGTTCTAACTGGCTAATCCAGATATTTCAACCTGCAAATAATAATAGGCATTCTGTAAGACTCGCAACCACTGAGCTGTGCATACTATCTTGTTTAGCATAGCTATAGCTTACAACAGAAGCAGGGAATGAAAACTGGTACTGAAATCCGAGACACAGCCAACGAAGTACAAAATACACTAGACACTGACACTGCCGAGGTACTTCACAAGCTCGATCCGACATTCACGGATACGGGGATCGCTTCCTTGGTTTCGGTGCAGTCTGGCTCCAAGCGTGCTGCGTCGCAACTCCGTTAGCTCCGCATAGCAATGCACCCTAACCCGGATGCGAGAGACAAGGGAAGAGGGGATGCAACTCACTAATTGCCCAGTCGCCAGTCTCCAATGTCTGGAGGTACACGCTGAGGTACGGGCGACCTTTGCGGTAGGAGAAGGAGATGTAGGCGTGTATGTAGTTCAGCTCCTCGTGTAGAGCGTGCGGGCTAGAATGTAATCGATCTAGTTTAGCTATCATGTTTCTCGTGCCTCGGGAGTAGGGTGCGTGCACTCACTATGATGCGCGCAGGCTCTCTTCGTATCGCTGCGCCATGCGGGTCCAGCCGTGCCGGGCGAAGAAGGTGGTCAGCGCGCGGGCGATGGCCATATCATTCATGCCGAAGACAGTGAAATACACCTGCGGTTCGGGCATGGGGTCGTTCTGGTGCAGGGTGAAATTGGCCATGCTGGGGAGGAGCTCGCCCGGGGGCGGGATGGAGCCCAGCGGGAGGAAGGGCTCCGGGTAGGAGCGCAGCCCCGGGGGGATGTCGAGCAGCTCCCAGAGCTCTTCGATCATCGCCCAGCCGTCGTGCGTGGCGGCGTCATCTCGCCGGCCGCCCAGCGTCCACAGCTCCCTCATCGCGTCGAGCGAGACCATCCGCTCCAACAGGTAGACCTTGATGCGCGACTTGGCCGGGTCAATCAGGTCGCACGAGAGGAGCCGCGGCGTCGCGGTGCTGTGCGGGCCGCGCGAGTGCACGTATGCCTCCAACATGTCCAGCGGCGCGCTGATGGCCGGGTAGCGGTGAGCCAGGCTTCGCATCGAGGAGAACATGAGCTCCTGGACCGACCGCCCCGTGGCCGTCTCCTTCAGCGCCGGGTAGATGTAGGTCTTGGGCACGACGCGCCCGCCCTTCAGGTCCAGGGCCAGTTTGTTCTGCGTCTGGATTTGCCCGTCCACCAGCTCGCGGTGCTGCTGCAACCAGGCCGATTCCGCCGCGTCCAGCGTCAGGTCGCGCTTGAAGTGCGTGAACCATTCCAGGTTCAGCGACGGCTCGATGGCCATCAGCGGCTTGAGGGCCTCCCAAATGGCGAAGGTGTTAAAGGGATCCGTAGTGGTGCCGCTAGCCGCCGTGATCGGCTCGTAGGTGTATCGCACCAGCGAGTCCGAGCAGTTGAGGCTGAGCTCGAAGGGGGTTCCGTAGCGGGTGAGGATACTCAGCCAGCGATCGCGATCGTTGGTGGGGTACACACCCAGGAAGGGGATGACATGCTTCTTGAACATGGCCAGACACCGGTACTGAGTGTGAATCTCATAGTCGGCGGTCTGGAGCAGCTGCGCAAACATGGGCGCCGTGCTATGCCACCAGCTTCTTTGCTCGTCATTGGGGAAGTCGAAGATCTCGCTCAGGACCTGATAGGCCTGTTGATACGAAGCATTGGCGGCCATGTTGGTTTCGTTGCTAGAAACGTGTAAGGACGGGATGGGTTCTGGCTTTCTGCTACCTAACGGCTTATATCTATTGAGCCGGCGAAAGTACTGGACACAGCCTCAGTTGTCGCTCCTCCTTGAGGGGTTGGAGGGGGCTTGCTCTCTACCATACAATTTACACCATACACCATACACCATACATCTTAAGCTCTAAGAAAAGTCAATCCATGCCCTTACTGCTTTACCTAACAGGTCAGGCTAAGCCATGTAGGCGGCACATGACGATTCATGCAGGTGAGGTCAATGGGCTTAGCTGGACCATATGCAGCTGGAAATGGGTGGCAATGTCAGCTTCTCAGCAGCGCCGCGCCGTCCTGGGATTTCGCAATTTCCAATGTGATGACGCTGATGGAATGAATGAAAAGGGAGAGTCAGTCATGTTCCGCGCTAGACAGACCCCACATTGCAATGTCTATTTCTAGCCCCAGGTCAATCTCTCCTCAGTCACGTCACTGCTTTCCTTTCAGCATTTCCCCCTCCTGCACGAGGCTTCATAGGGTTTTTGTCTTCCTAGTTTTGCCACCAATTCGGAGCCTATTCGACCTGGACTGTCCGACATATCGACCATGGCCCTTACTGGTTTATCCTGGTCATGGAGGATGACACTGTACGGTTTCCTGGTTCTTGTGGTTGGAATGCTCGATTGGAGATCCTTCTGGATCGACGAGCGATATTGTCGCTGCCAACCACACGAGCCCTGCTGGCCACGCTCGGAGGAATGGGCAGGCCTCAACGCATCGCTGAATGGGGTATTGTCATCCGTACGACCGGTGGCTTCTGTTTGTCACGACCCCACTTTCAATGAAACCGCCTGCACCGAATTGCATCAGCTCGCAGTCGATAGTGGGTGGCGAGCCGCACAAGCAGGCAAGTGGAGAGCTACCAAAAACTGAATAAAGAGATTGAGAGCACCTCAACTGACAGGCAGCACAGGCGCATTACAACATTGGGTGTGGGAAACAGGCACGGGGAACAATGAGAGCTGCTTAGTGGGATCGCCGAGGGGGGAGATCTGCCATCAGGGCCAGATCCCACTCTATTCGGCGGCGGTGGAGTCTGCGCAAGATGTGCAGCAGGTGGTCCGATTCGCCAATGCTCATCGACTCCGCATTGTGGTCAAAAATACCGGACATGACGGGGCCGGACGCTCCGCGGCTGCAGCCGCGGTGCAAATTCACATGCATCGGCTTCAAAACATCACCTATCATGAAGACTTCCTAGTGAGTGGGGTACCCCGTGTTGGCGCCGGCCGGGCTGTCACTATCGGAGCAGGGGTCATGCATGGTCAGCTCTACGCTAGTGGCGCTCTCCAGGGATTCCTGGCTGTCGGTGGAGAATGCCCCACCGTCGGAGCTGCCGGTGGATTTCTACAGGGAGGAGGAGTATCAAGCTTCTTCAGTTACGCGCACGGACTGGCTGTGGATAATTTATTGGAGCTGCAGGTGGTCACGGCTGATGTAGGTTTGCCTTTTCCGTCGATCATATCCGCTCCCCCACTAACCAGGCTACTTGTTTTTATTGTTTAGGGCAAGGTAGTGATCGCCAATGATCACCAAAACCAAGACCTCTTCTGGGCAATGCGAGGGGGTGGCGGTGCCACTTTTGGAATTGTTCTTCATGCCACCCTGCGAGTTCATCCTGACAGCCCTGCTGTGGTGACCAGTATCGCTCTCTCGGCGCCCCACAGCAATGCTTCGGCTTCAGCTTCAGGGTCCTGGACTGCAGGGCTGACCAGCCTTCTGACCACGCTCCAATCAATGAACGCCGTCGCGCACACCCCCGGTCAACTAATTGTATCGCCTGCGTCCACGACAGTCCTCCAAGCAACCCTGGACATATATTCTCTCAATACGAGCGAGGCATCAGAGGACGTGGAGCAGCGCATTCGTCACCACCTGTCCCCTCTCAATTCCTGGAAGGACGTGTCTTACAACGTCACCTCGAAGGTCCTCCCGCGATTGAGCTCGGCGCTTCGCACCGCCTCCGATATTTACCCCGACAACTATGGCATCCTGCAAGGATCGATGCTCGTCTCGAACCGGCTATTCTTCTCCGCCGACGGACCGAGGCAGATGGCGACGACCATTGCGCGTCTCCCCATGCAGCCGGGGGATCTCCTGTTCACCAGCAATCTCGGCGGCGGGGTGGCGGCCGCAGATCCTGATCCTCCGTTCAGCCAGACCGCAATGCATCCGGCCTGGCGGTCGTCGGCGCACTTGATCACCTTCGTGCGGTCGGTGGAACCATCGATGGCAGGGAAGACAGCTGCCATCGAAGAGCTCACTGGCGTGCAACTGCCGCTTCTCTACTCCCTGGAGGAGCCGGCCGCTCGCGTATCCTACCTCAATCTGGCTGCTCCAAGCGAGAGCCAATTCCAGCAAGTCTACTGGGGAGAGCAGCACTACGCGCGTCTTGCTGCCGTGAAACGGAAGGTAGACAAGGACGGCTTGTTCTTTGCCCGGTTCGGAGTGGGCAGTGAGGAGTGGGATGAAGACGGCACCTGTAGGTGGCCTGTCGGCCGGTTTGCACGGGTTAGGGCGGGCCTCGCTGCGTTTACGCAGAGATTGGCAATATGGCAATAGCGTTGTAATTGCTGTACTGTACGAGTAGCTGTACTGTAGCATACCACGAGCTTATAGCTATGACCGTGGCAATTGTCGCACCGTGGTTGCGCAGTGAAACTCAATCACTCTCAGCGTAGCAATCGCAATCATAAATTCCAACTCCACCATATACCACACAACCCTCCACTCTACCTCTATCCACGTACTTGTCCTCAGCAGCAACCATGATCTCCAAGACCGAGCCCGAGCCCACAATCATCGACATCCGAGAGGAAACCACCTCGGATTCGATCCGGGACCTAGTGGTGCAAGGCCTCACCAGCGAACCACGGACGCTGCCAGCGCTCCTCTTCTACAGCACCGAAGGCATCCAGCACTGGAACCACCACTCGCACCAGCCAGACTTCTACCCACGGCACGAAGAAACCCAGATCCTGCGCGACCACGCAGAGAGTATCGCGGACACCATCGCGCCGAACAGCATAATCGTAGACCTAGGCAGCGCGTGCGTACCTCCCCTGTCCCCCTCAGCCCTTGTACCATCATCACAACCACCACAATCACCTCAATCCACATCCACACCCAAACTGACTCACTCACCGGATGCAAATGATTAGAACACTAGACAAAACCCTGCACCTCCTCCTCGCCCTCGAATCCCAGCACAAACCAACAGACTACTACGCCCTCGACCTCAGCGCCAGCGAGCTCTCCACTTCGCTGCAAACCCTCCAGAGCGCCAAGAAATTCCAGTACGTGCGCTGCGCAGCGCTACACGGAACCTTCGACGACGGATTGCGCTGGCTCCGCGACACCCCCGGTATCCGCGAGCAGCCGCAGCACCTCCTCTTGTTCGGGCTGACGCTGGGGAATTTCTCGCGGCCCAATGCCGCGGCGTTTGTGCGGCGGATCGCTGAGCATGCACTGACCGGGAGACCGAGCGAGAGTAGTTTGGTGTTGACGCTGGATTCGTGTCGTGTGCCTGTGCGGGTGCTGCGGGCTTATACCTCTGAGGGCGTTGTGCCGTTCGCGAGGGCGGCGTTGGGGTTTGCGAATCGGATGTTTTTGGGGGAGAAGGAGGAGGAGGAGGAGGAGGAGGAGGAGGAGGAGGGGGATGTTGGTGCAGGGAAGGGGAAAGGGCGCGTGTTTGAGCCCATGGAGTGGGAGTATCTTAGTGAGTGGAATCATGGGCTCGGGCGCCATGAGGCGTCGTTGATTCCCGGGCCTGCGGAGGTAACGCTGGGGAAGCCTTTGGAGGAGATTACCGTCCGGCGTGGCGAGAAGGTGCGGTTTGGCTGTAGTTATAAGTATGATTCTGCGGAGAGGGAGGCACTCTGGGAGGCGGCGGGCGTGGAGTGTGTGGATGCCTGGTCGAATCCTGGGTGTGATGTTGCTTTTTATCAGGTGAAGACTAACGCTTAGACGGGGTTGCATAGTTATTTGATTTTCATATCCATTGCCCTATATTCAATGCAAGATTCATGTTTCACATTCCAATTTAATACGTAGAAGCGTATGAAAGAGACAATCAAGCCCAGCAATCTTTCTCCCTCGCCACAAACTGATCAAAGCTCATCGGCCCAGCACCCGTCACCTGCTGAACCACATCATTCAACCGCTCCTCCGCGCCCTCCTTGATCATGGTCTCCATGCCCGCGAGCATCGTCGCATCATCCGGGGGCATACCGGTGGCCTCCAGCCGTTTGGCGTACTCCGCCTCGGAGAGATCCGTATGCGTGATCTTGCGACCGAGATGCGATGACAGGACCCCCGCCACCTACCAACCATCTAGATTAATTGTGGTGCCATCAGAAAGAAAGAGGCAACATACCTGCTCGTAAGACAGAAGCTCGGGGCCGAGAATGACATGATCGCTGTTGTGCGGGACCGCATCCGTGAGCGCCCGGAAGGCAACGCGCGCAATGTCGTCGGCCGAGACGAAGGGGATCTTGCCGCTGCCCGTCGCCGAATACACCGTGTTATCGGCGGTGATGGACTGGTGTTGTGGTTCCCCGCGGGTGGAGAAGTTCTCTGTGCGGAGTGCGTCAGTCAGTCAATCAGTCGAGATAAGAAGGAATCATTGCAATACGACGGCAATCGCACTCACCCATGAACCATGTAGGTCGAAGCACACCATACTCAATCCCGCCACCCAGCTTGGCCAGATACTCATGCACCTGGCCCATCGCGGGCCCTCCGAGGTCGATCGTGCTGGCGCTGAGCAGCACGAACCGCCGCACGCCGCGAGGCCGCGCGAAGTCGATGAATCGCAGCATCGGCGGCGCGAGGTCGAACACCGGCGGCGGAACCAGGTATACGGTGGAGATCGGGGCCATTCCGGCGGCCGCAGCGGTGGTGAATGGACTTTCGTAGGTTTGCTCGTTCAGCCAGTCGAAGTGCGCCTGCTTGTGCGGATAGGCTGGGTCGGTGGACCGCGAGGCGACGAGGAAAGGGGCGTTAATGCCCTGGAGCAGCTTGGCTATCCGGCTGGAGGTCTTGCCTCGGCCACCGAGCAGTAAAATAGTCATTGCGGTTGTTGGTGGGAGAGCAGAAAGAGATGTTAGCATTTAGAGGTCGATGCTTGTGGAATTCGTGGAGTTGACAGGCCCGAGGATGACAGAATATATACGGAGGGTGGAGTATATGTCTCTCGGCAAGACTTATGTCGAGTTATTGCCACGGATAAATGATTACAGTATTCTCACGCACGTAGATACCGCTAGAATTGATGTTACCATACATTATGCATGTCTGACCACTAGTGCATATGACACTACTTAGGGCTATCCACTTCTGGCAGCCTAGATAGTACATCACATATTTCCAAGCATCGTATTGATGCATAAGCCCCGGTGACGACACATGCCCTCATCTACCTCGTTCCCACCCCCTTCCCGGGGGACTCCCTCTACACTACTGCTCCAATCTCCGTGGCGGCCAGAAATTCCTTACTGAAAGGATAATCAAGGTAGCCCTTGTCCGAAAAGGGAATGTAAAAGGTGTCTCGGTCATACGGCTGCAGAGGAATGCCCTGTTTGAGCCGGTAGGGCAGGTCCGGATTGGAGATATACAGGCGGCCAAACACGACAGCCACATTGGGATAGTCACGATAGGTGTCCTCCACCACACGACTGGCCGAGTCAGCGTCATAGCCGCCAGCCAGCAGCACGGGTCTGCGGTCGCCCCACATGCGGACGAAGGTGAGGTTGTGGATGTCGGGATGGGTGTGGTCCTCGACCCAGCGCGAGTTGGCGAGATGCAGGTAGGCGATGTCCAGGTCACGCAGACGGGCGATGATGTACTCGAACTGGTCCACCAGATCGGGCATCGTGCCCATGCCCTGGAAAGTGCTCCAGGGCGAGAGCTTCATGGCGACGCGGTCGGCGCCGATAGCAGCCACCACGGCGCGGGTGACTTCGAGTCCGAAACGGGCGCGGTTCTCGATGCTGCCCCCCCACCGATCCGTACGCTGGTTGCAGGATGCCTGGAAGAATTGGTCGATCAGGAATCCATTCGCCCCGTGCAGCTCGACCCCGTCGAACCCCGCCTCCATCGCCCGCCGCGCCGCCTCCACGTACTCCTCCACATACCCCTCGATCTCGGCCTCCGTCAGCGCGCGCGGTGTTGGCTGGTCCGGCTCCACTGGCACCGCGCTGCTGGAGGTCAGCTCGTGGCCTGCGGCCTCTAGCACCTCGGTCTCGGCGGAGCGTCCGGTCGCCCAGAGCTGAAGCCAGATGTAGGACCCCTTGGCGTGGACGGCGTCAACAATCTCCCGCCAGGCATTCACTTGCTCCCGGGTCCAGATCCCCGGCACGTTGGGAAACCCTTTGGCCTGCGAAGAGATAGCCGTGGCTTCCGTGATGAGAAGTGTCCCCGGGACCGAGGCTCGTTGCGCGTAATAGTCCTTCACAAACGCCAGTGGCACGGCCGCGTCGTCGGCTCGAAACCGGGTCATCGGCGACAGGACCAGCTTGTGGCGCAGGTCACAATTGCCCACTCGAAGAGGAGTAAAGAGACTTTTTGAGTTTGTCATTTCAGGCGATATAGCGTACCCAAGGATAGAAAAAGGGTGGTATAGTGCTCTGTATTTTGAAATTTCAAGGAGAGCAACAGTCGATCAGGCACTTCCGGCTGAGGCTTAAGTATGTTTCCCTCCGGGGGGTAGGCCGGGATACGACTAGTATGAAAAGGACTTGGTCATCGATATCAATAATAGTATTGTGCAGACTATGCATATGCGCGATGACGAGTCTCCTTGAGTCAGTGGCGCCTGCATAATTGGCGCCCCGCGAGGGGGATCAGCATTAGTCCAAATACCCGGTCAAGGTCGTCCATCGTATTCAGCTCGTCTGTGACAGACAGACGCCTCGGCACGAAGTCAGCCGTGGTCTCCCTCTGTCGCGAATAAAACCCGGACCATTCCACTCTCCCTCAACGCCCCCGCATCGTCACAACTCCATCCCCGACTCGAGTAAGTCCAAACCAGACCAACCTAACCAATGGCAACAGTCAGCGGCGGCATATTTGCCATCACAGGGGGCGCATCAGGCATCGGGGCAGCCGTATGCCGGCTCCTGGCGCAGCGCGGCGCCGCAACGATCTGGGTAGGCGATATCTCCAACGCGCGCTTCGCCGAACTGCAACAAACCATCCACCAGGAGAACCCGTCCACGGAGCTGCACTGCCGGGAACTGGACATCACATCGTCGGCGGCGGTCGAGACGTGGATGCGCGACATCGTGGCCACCAGCGGCGACCTGCACGGGGCGGCCAACGTCGCGGGCATCGCTCAGGGCGCGGGCCTCCGGAAGACGCCCACGCTCCTCGAGGAGCCCGACGCGGAATGGCGACGCATCATGGCCGTCAACCTGGACGGTGTCTTCTTCTGTACTCGCGCCGAGGTGCGCGCCATGAGTGCCCTGCCCCGTCGCCGTGATCGCAGTATCGTCAATGTGGCCAGCATCGCGGCCTTTGCCCACACCCCGGATGTCTACGCCTACGGCACATCCAAGGGCGCCGCGGCGTATTTTACTGCCTGTGTGGCGCCGGATGCGTATGCCGTCGGGATTAGAGTCAATACCGTGTCTCCGGGTAGGTGCTCGCTTTCTTTTTTATATGGGGAAGGAACTGCTGGATTGGATTTGTTGAGACGGTCGGGGATCTAGGACTGTATGCATGCACATTTGCTGACTCGGGTTATCTCACTAGGTATCACGAATACGCCACTACTTCCGCAGTTCGAGCCTAACGCGCAGGGTCTAGATGAGATCCGCGGATTGTACGAGAAGCAGGGCCTGCCGTTGATTGAACCCGAGGATGTGGCTAGAACCATTGTGTGGTTGCTCGCCGACGATTCGCGACCCGTATACGGGGCGAATATCAACGTTGGCGCTCCGATTTAGATTGTGCGTGTTTGCCACGAACTATCCGCTTGCTTGCGGGAGTCTAGCATGATGTTTTCTCTCGAAGTCAGTGTTGTTGTGTGTGTTTTGGCGGTTGATTGGGTTTTAAAGAATGTGCGTTGTCCGATTGTGGATAGTGACATAGCAGAGCGGGAATCGCAACGGCGAAGCCTTAAACAACAACTATACACAGCCGGTTACGCCTCTTCGGTCGGTTTCAGTCTGCAAGCAACACTTGCAAAAAAGAAGATAAGAACATACAACAGCATAAGTATATCGGTGCTCACCCAGCAGCTGTGGTGGTCCAGTGTTGTCTTATTCGGGGTTATTCAGGTCAGCTTCTGGTGGCTGTTAGTACTCTAATGATAACTACCTTTCCTGTCCACGTATCTATCTAAAAAGTGACTGGTATCTATCGTAGTCTTCCAGCTTTTGTCATATAAAGTGAGTTAGGTGAACAGGTTTCCATCTTACCGAGATCTTCATGTTTTTCAATTACACTGATGTATCTGTTGCATCACGCAAGTCACTAAGCGATAAAATAGAGATGATCATGATGATATGGAAGGGACAATTTACTATTCTATAAGTCCTAAGTCTTCTTTCTTCTAGTTTTGAACTCTTAAGTTGATCGATTCACAAGAACCCCAGACAACGATATCAATGATGATGAGATACGGATATCACCACGTACATTTAAAAAAGCGAAGTTAGAGCTATATGAGTATATATGGCTTGGGTGTCGGAAAGTAAAACGCCCTTTCATGCCGGTAATAGATATTCCAATTCTGTATAAGTGTGTGAAGGTTAGTCTCGCGGCATAGTAACACCTGTCTGTTGATGCTACCGCAAAGGTCCGATTTTCTCAGAAGCCTGTTTCAAGGGTAGGTAAAATATTCGAGTTTAAATTTCTTTCTTACTTATGAAAGCAGGCAGATATTATATTTCTATGCCCCTGTGGGCCTGGCTAAAATTCTGATGGCAATATCCTCTATGAATTTATCAATCCGTTCTTTCGATGCGGTGATCGGATCGCTTATACAGATCAATATATGACCATACGATCTCAAGGGCGTACCATGAACTTCACAGTTTTGGCAATCAGACCTCTTAAATATGGGCTTTTAACTTCCGAGACATATATTATATTAACTAAAGTAGACCTCCCTATATATAATTTAAGTACAGAGGAGAGCCCAGCAGAGTATCTACATCAACTTCAGAAAGACCTTGATTATGTATAATCTACAAATTATGTGAAATCTATTGTTATGTTGTCTTCCAAACTCCAGAAGCTTGTTAACTTACTAGAATGGTTGGATCTTTCCTCTATGTATGAGTAATTCATCTAATACAGGGAACTACTACCCCAGAAGCCTTAATCCAACTTTACTTATGATGTGATTACTGTGTGTCTACTAGCTTCAATACACGAGTAATAGATCTGATCAAACATAATTGATAAATGCTTTGAAAAGTCCAAAACCTTACCTCTCAAACACAAAAACATAAGGGTAAGTCAAAAACATAATACTATAGGGCTTCAGAGGAAGCTATACGCCGTTGGATCATACAGCCCCTAGCTCAACTGCCCCACTCGAAGGGCTTGGAGCTCCGTTTCCAATTCCTTGATTCTCTGATTGCGCTCCTCGAGAGTGGGCTTGTTAGCACTTGGCTTCCCCTTATTTCCCTTTCGAAGCATATCTACAATTCTGTCCAGTTCAGCCGATTCAGGGTCTTTATTCCGTGCAGCTTCGGCAGCTGTTGGTAGAGATAATCGACTTGTTGTGTTTTGCTTTGCATGAGTAGACTACACAGGCTGCGGTGACTTTATGACAGGGAAGGTTGGTTTAGCAGGGTCTCAGGTGAGTTACTGGTTCCAGCCAGAAAATTTCAGGGGCCGCTCGGATGACTGCTTGGTGGAACCCTGAAAATGAAGACGACAGCCAGGGTCGCTTAGATCTGTGGAGACTTGACGGACATCTGAGGCGGCGATCAACTGGGGAGCCGCAAAATAAAGCGATTTTCATGAGGCGCTATGACTTACTTACTTGGTGGGGCTGCCTTAGACTGTAGTTGAACTGGCATTTCGATGACCCTGTATAGGTAGGTCTGTATATTACTTGATTTGAAATTAATACCATTAGTGAACCGTCCATTTACTTTATTGACTCGCTAATATTTCGTTGAGAAAGGGTTGCTGGGAGATACAAGAGATACAAGGCCTGAGATACTATCACTTAAGACAGACCGGACCATCTTTACCCCTGGTAAGACCCGAGGAGCTTGAGTATGGTCTGAAGCGGAGCCTGCAAATCGGGGTCCCTCTGCAGTCTCTCCCCGGCGACTTCCGAGAGGCTTTGATTTTTGAATTGCCTGCAATTCGCTCGCGCCGTGGAATCAGCTCCAGCCTCTAGCAGTAACTTCACCACTTCCTCCTTTGCGAGATAGGCAGCACGATGCAAAGGCGTGCCCCACTCCGCGGAGGTAGTATTGGGATCAAGCCCCTTACTAAGAAGGAACCGAGTCTTGAATATCCCTTCCCCACGCGGACGGATGGCCTCAAAGAGAAGATTGGACTCCAACTTCGCCCCGTATTCGACAAGCAGGCCGAAGAGGGAGGTGTCTTCGCAGACGTATTCCAGAGCGCAGGCGAGGGGAGTCCCCCCCTTCGGACCACAACGGTTGGGATCCGCGCCTCGCGAGAGTAATGCGTGAACACAGGCGGTATTCCTCATGAAGCTGTCAAGCCCAGGTGTCAGTCGCAATCCCCGAGCCTTGGCTGGACCAAGGAAGGGCAATGAACATACCGTAGAAGAGGCTCGCCGTTGGAGACGTTACTGTTGGGATCCAAACCATGATTGAGATAGCAACGGGCAATGCTCGGGTGCTGCTGACCATCTTTTCCAGTGAGGAAGCTCACCGAATTGGCCGTGACTCTAGCACCGGCGTCGAAAAGAGCGGCCACGATGTCCGGGTGCGCCTCACCGCTGGCGAGGTTGAGTGCCTCGTCGAGGTCCTCGGTGCTGAGCCGCCCGCTCGCGAGGGCTTTTTGGGTTTCCGATAAGTTTCCCTCAAAACAGGCATCATGGAAGGCGTCTACAAAAGCGTCAATGGGTACCATAGTGTGTAGATGAGCTGAAAATCCAATCACTTGATCTAGTTTAGTTGACACCGGTAGAGTATTGGGTCACTCTGGGTCGACATAGTAATTTATAACTGATTGAACCGGGTACCTCATTTACCGAGGAATGCACTAGTCTAAGTATGGGCAGGTACAAGTGGACTAGTCAACTACAGTAAAGTGAAGTTAGTCGGCCAAGTGGACTAGTAACTTAGGTTATGCTGTGTAAGGGAACTTACTAGCTCGGGTGGAGCTTGTTTCCATCCCTGAGACTGTCATTCTCTTATTGATTGTTAACATCGGGCTTCTACTACTCTCTTACCGGGGTCGAACAGTAGTTTCGTCCTACATCGCCCGCCCTGAGAGTAAGTTCATTGTAAACATCAAGTCATCAACTAACTGTTATGTAGCCCCCGCTGCGAATTGTGGCCGAAAGGCCTCTTCCATTCCACGTTAGCGAATTGATAGTCACTTCCAGACTGACCCATTCCAGCAGCTCCCTCCCAAGGAACAATTTCCGAATGATTGTACCCTTTGGCCCTAGGCTGTCAAAGGCTTCCGACACAGACGGATGGATCCAGAGAATCCGTCTGGTAGGCAACATGTTGCACATACACCGCAGGAAAAGCCTTGTAGTCTCCACTTGTATCAATATCATCTCCGACAATCGGAATGTGTTATTGACCATATATTAGTGCCCATGCTAGAAAAGGTGCGGAGCCTCGCCTGTGATCTTGTGATCCCCGTCTCTTAGAGCAGACTTGCCTGCATGAACAACATATATAGGAGAGTTATCCTCTCTTCCCAAAAAAATGCAGACGAAGGCCACTCGTCTTTTCTTTCAGACATCATGGCGGCACCGACGCTTGTCTTCCTGGCTCTCAGTTTCTTGTTCTTGAGCCTTGCTCATGCGGAGGATGGCTACTTCGTTGTCGGCGCCCTTAGCCAGTATACTACCAATGGGGTGAGCTTTAACCAGTCTCCCATCGGCCTCTTCATGTTTGTCAAGTATCCCACCAATCCATAGGTTGCTACACCTGCCCTGACGGGTTCCACGATCGAATTCACTGCAGTAGATGACCCGGCGGAACACGGGCTTCTGGTTTTCCTGTCTCCGGATATGCAGTCCGACCTGAAATCTGTCATGGATAGTAGATGCGCGATAGAGATCGATACCGGCTGCTTTCAAGGGGTGCAGGATGTGCTGGAAGCGGCAACCGTGTGATTCGACCGCGCAGCTTAGATAAACGCGAAGATATATTTGACATTCTCTCATATGTTGCGGTCTTGGCTGTCTCTATGTTATTCCTTGGTCCAACGCGGAGTGGGTGGCCGCTAGAAACAATATGGTGCAATGGGCGCTCACTCAAGCCCACTGGCTGAGCCTGACAATCAGCGCACCTCATCTCCATGGCCTGGCTGTCGGTACCTTTGTCCTTTCGTTGATCTACTTCCTCACCGGTGCTATCACGACTAACAATGTAATCCCCTCTGCCTTGCTCCAAGGGGGGTCCCAGCGCCACTGTGTGCCAAGCGCAGACGGCGACTCAATTCGGCGTGGAATGTGGCGTCCAGTCCTGGGCCCCTCAATTCACCTGCGCCACTACGTGCTCGACCATCACCACCACCGCCACGGCCACCATGACTGCAGTTAGCACGGACGTGACAGGAGGTCCGTCGGCCTATCAAGGGCAGCAGATCGCTGTCGCATCGTACATTAGTCCGCTGAGTGACCCGGCGGCTTGGGATCGGCTGATCAAGTATGACGTGACGAAGATGTCAATCTTGGTTGCCAACGTCGTGAACGGACCGGACTCTGCTGTTGACACAAACTGGCAGGATGTGATTCAGCGAGCGTCAGATGCTGGTAAAACGGTTCTCGGATATGTACGCACTGGATACCTGGGCGTAAGCGCGCAGAAGTTCCAGACACGGCTGGGCTCTGGTGATTTGGCAGATTGGGCCGCCCAGGTTGAGGAAGATGTTGATACGTGGTACAAACTGTACGGCGACAGCATTGGTGGCATCTTCTTCGACGAAGGCTGGCCAGAATGTGGCGACAATAATGAATACGTGGACTTTTACAAGTATGTCAACGCTTATACGAAGCGTACTCACCCCGGGGCGTATACCGTCCTGAACCCCGGGTCGCCCATGGCGTCTTGCTTCGAGGATACCATGGACACTCTGCTTACATTCGAACTGAGCTACGATTCTTACATTAACAGCTACACACCTAACGACTGGATTCCCAAAGACCCGCGAAAGCTCTGGCACGTCGTGTACAACGTGTCCAAGTCCTTGATTAGCCAGGTTGTCAAGTTAGCTAATGAGCGCGGGGCGGGCTTCTTGCAGCTCACCAATGACCTCATGCCCAATCCGTACGACACTCTGCCCGAGGACTCGTACATCCAAAGCATGATGGACGCAATGGACGGCGGCTCGCTGCTGAACGCAGATGCAGCCGCCTGGAAGGCGGATGGTGCAGCAGGTACGGTCACTGAGCTGACAGTGGTGACCTCAGACTACAGTTCGGTGAAATTGTCCTGGGATGCCGCCACAAATGCTCAGGGCTATAATGTGTATGCCGGTGGTACTCTGGTTGCCAGCGTTCCCAGCTCGATGAATGGAGTCACGATTGGCGGCCTCGATACCGGAACCAGCTACACGATCTACGTCAGTGCCGTGGGGGAGGGCGGCACACTGGGCTCGTCTTCGAACCAGGTGACTGTCACGACCGACTCTTTGCCCGACGGCAAGACGGTGGCCAACTACAAATCCTCTCCCCGGGAGAACTCAACCGTCATCGAGGCTGATGTGCTGGTGCCTTACTCCATCGTCCGCCTCTACCTCTGGGACTCGATCGAATGCGATTTCGACAATGATCCAGGGTGGAGTGTCAATTTCAAAGTCGACGACTACGTCTGCGCCCACTACATGGTTGAAGGCACGACCCTTTACCGCTACAACGGGGTCCTTCCGAAGGACTCCACCGCGCCCCCGTGGTCCTGGGCAGTAATCGACACCGTCACCCGCGATATCAGCGGCTACACTTACACGTGGACCCTGCCCCTGGGCACGTCGACTGTCGATACGAGCAAATTCGTGGTGCAGGCGCAGGGTTACAATCCCTGGACCAACATCTTCGAGCCAGACCCGTCCGACTATGATTGTAAGGGCTCGTCCATGTGCACCACCCCGGATCTGCTGAAGTGGTGCGACCACGCCGTGAATTATCTATCTCGAGACGACGATTTGAATTATTATTCTGCTGAGATGATTGAGTAAGTCCTCCTCCTTCTTGGTTTGCGGTCCTTTTCTTCGATCGTTCGTCTTGGTAGTCTTTATATCGCGAAAGATGTCATTATCCATCATGGCCAACTCCACAATTACTGATTGTATATCTCTCAAACCATAGTGGTACTTATTGGAATTCCCAGAGTGGAAACTGTTGGGGCGATCAGACTCGGGGTTGCGGCGTCTTCATCCAAGGTCTGAACTGCAGTATCAGTGGGAATGATATGTGGAATGACTACCAGAACATCCGCACCATCGGCGGCTGTAAGAACTGCGGCTCGTACCACCGGGATGACGGGTGTTTGGTGACTATCAATTATGTCTATCAATGCGATAATCACTAAAGATGAGGTTTCTGGTTGGTAAAGGAGGGGTGAGTCCGGGGTAGGGCGTCATCTACAATCCTTCGTCTGGTTTGAAATAACCTTGCTCCCGAGACATTGGGTTATAAAAAGTCGGCTCATTTCAGCGTCTGCATACGGTATCTTTCTTCCATTTCTCCCTTTTCTTTCTTTCCTGCAACATCTTTTATTGATTCACTATCACATCAACATTGCCCACCCTTTAGATTTCCTTTTCATTCCCCTCATCCCAATGCTGTCGAGATCTCAACCTCATTTTCTGCACGGTTGTAATACTCATACTTCCTATTCGTTCATTATTTGTTTTTGTTTTTGTTTGTGCGTGAGACTCTGTTATCTGCTCTTCGTTTCTGCTTTTTTGCTTAGCATAACATGCCCTATATAACCCGTTCACGTTTACATACTCTCCCTGGCCATCTAATTTACAACTCGCCAAGCCTTATATGCAGCCACCACTACTGAGGGCCCCTCTTGCTTCAGAGTAACATATTTACAAGCTCGACTGTAAATACATATAATATTAAGAACTTATACTTAAATCTTAAGTTTTTAAAGATTGATAGAACTAGCTAGAGTAGTATATAGTTTCATCCTTCATGAATAAGCTAAGTTCTATATCAATAGTATCTTCATTCTATATACTTTATATATACTGCAGAGTATCCTTAACAAATTATAGCTAAAAGTGTTTGGCTTTTGTAAGCTGCTTTCACTAGTGGATCTCGAATAGAGTGGCTTAACCTGACCGTTATACCTTAACCTTAACCTGACCTTAACCTGGCGGTCAGGTATAAAAACTTTAATTAACCTGACCTGACCTGGCCGTTAGCCACTCTAATATCCAGATACACATTAATAAACACTGGCATAATCTAGTCAGCATATTCCACGCTGAACGCCGAGTGGAGATAGCTACCCCTCGCTCCCAACAAAACATGATACCTCAGAGGGTTCCATGGCGACCTTCAAAATCAAACAGACACCTTCTATCAACAAGGCTTTTCTCAATCCCATTGGCTCCTTCGTTGAGCGACTTGACCAGTGTCCTACTATGAAGCCAAAGTCACATTGACCACGGAATTTGCATTTAATCACGCGATTGTTTTCCTATACCATGTAGATCTTTTGCTTCGGTTGCAGGATAGAACAAACCGAAGGATTCCATCCAATGCACATTGAGCTAGTACATGGATCTGCTGAACAGCCACGTGTGATTAGAGTAAGTTGTAATCCGCATCAATCTGAGCAGGAAAGTAGACTGGCATTTGCCTCTATGACTCCGCAAATTCAGCCTCTGCTCGATCTCCAAACACGTATGTTCTATTTCCACAAAAGAAATAAGCCACCATGCGGCCGCGTAGCTTCTGGCATACAAATTCGATGAGTTTCGGTGCTTGCGAAATCAACGGTTACCAGCCCCGGTATGCTCCGCCGTACTGCTAATACAGATGAAGATGTGTTTTGAATAATCGGCTCATCGATCGAAAATTGCATTACGGATTAGCGCGAAGGCTTGTGCTACTCAGTAATTTTGCGATGCGAGTGACTGGGCTTTCCAGCAGGTTTTTTGCAACCGATTCTGTTTTGCTTGAAACAAATATTCAACCATGATCTGATTTAGAGAATTCCGAGCAAATTGAATGTCGCAGACTTGGTAAGACGCATTGATAAATGTATGTATAAAATGCAAGGATCATGCGAAAATACATCAATTGACTGCATGTATTCTGAAGAAGTATTGGACCTTGTGCCCTCGAAACAAGAATTAAGGCTCATTTGAAAAGGAGCCATCAACAGACAACTCCAGGGTAAAATAGTTTCTAAACAAAACAGGAACTTGTACGATTTTATCAACCACGTCAGCAGTTAATTCCCAACTCAGGTTCCTTTCAGACGGCTATCCTATTCATAATCTGTCTTTTTATTGCGTTTCCTTTTTTTATTTATAAGGGGTCTCGCTTGTTGGCTCTGCTTCTTTAATTCATTATTATCAGAACCCTTACGAAATAGGAAGACACTTCCATTTTCTTTGCTTTCAATATTGGAAGATAGATTGGAAATGGTGCTTGGTACAGAAAATAAACCGACAGGTAGAGCTCTAAATCAACTCTTATACCTATTCTCTGTCGAATTTTAAATTACTTTCTCTGGCATTGAGCCCACTAGCTGCGCAGAGTCACCTTAGATATTGCTTTGTTGATGTCAAGAAGATCTGCTAAAGTTTTAACGACGACTTGATTGCTATGACCATCTGCGATAACCTCGCCAATTATATAGACTTTTTGGCGAGATACTTCAGCTGCTGCCTTGTATACTTTAAGGCACTGCTTTGATATCCTAATATCTTCCTATAATTATAAAGTTTTTATCTTTGTTTCTGGAGGCCCCAGTTAAGATTAGAGATCTTAAACGCGCTTCAAAAAGACTTATAATTTCTAAGAAACTACCTCAGTTTCTATCTAAGGCTTAACGAGTAAGTAGTTACGCTTCGAAGACATCTATAACTCTATCTTAAGTATTTGAAAGATTTTTATAAAGAGGGACTGATTCTCAGTTGAATAAAGATTTAATATATGATCTGGCATCTTTACAGATTAGGAGATATTATTTAGTTACTTCTCTCTTATCCTTGAAATCTAGTTTAAGATTTAGTAAGTTATTATTCTCAGAAGCTAGTTACGTGACTTTTTTATTTATATACTATAAATAAACTTTAAGATTATATACGGTATCCCAGATTATCTTATTATATTCTTCAAGAACCTTGCGAGTAATTTTTGATGCACGTCTGGGATCCTATGTTAGTTAAAACCTTTAGTTAAAAGTAGGTCAGACAAATATATTGATGGTTCCTAAACCGGCCGATATTGTGGACTTGTAGCCTCCGATTGTGTTAATGAAATCATTGATGTTGCTTCTCCTAAACTCTAGATTTATCCAATCCCGAAAGCCGATCTTTGGTCTTGCGTTGAAACTGCCTAATAACTGTTCGATTTCGGAGCAGAATTGGCTGCATCTTTGTCTAGGTCTTTACAGCAGTTCCAGAACAGGAGTTTCGGTCTCGGCAGCTCGTGCTAATGATTGCAAGATATTATTGAGATTATAAAGCTTATTTGAAAAGCCTGCGCAGGATTTTATCGCGATCTTTAAAGCATCTTGTTGTTTTATAGAGCGATTTTGTTGACTAAATTGCTGCTGTAACAACAGCTAGAACTGAGACGGCGATGCTTAAAGGATCCGCTAAAATATATGTAGGTCGTAGGTGGTTAGATATTATCAGTGAAATATCAAAAGTTAGTCCCAATCAAATTCAAGTCATCTTACAATAGGGTGGGAAGGGGCTGATTCAAGTACCCCACACTAAATTGTCAGTTACGTGGCAGGCATGTAAGCGCCTTGTAGATTGGGAATCAGCTTACCCCGCTTCCTGTCTAGAGGCTAAATATTCTAGCTTTATGACCGAAAGCTAAGGAAGAGAAACCTAGTTTTCGGCATTTCGAAGAACTGTCTCCCTTGATTTGATCTCAACTCCATGATTGTTTCTTTGGCTCAGCTCAAATTCTATGTAAGTTTATAGTAACCGACCTTCCCTTGTCCTTTATCTGAATCCCGGAAGAGACTTGCAGGGTTGCTTTGAGCTATGACACTGCCTCAACAATAGGCTACAGACGGCGATATTAGGCGCCCTTGGCATGCAGGCGAGAGTTACTTGTGGGTTTGAGAGCCTTTTGTACCTATTACTTCTTTACCCAATAACCCCGTCGACCTTGAGCAGGTGAATCGCCCTACAGGCCACTTCAACTTTTGTGTCTCAAGAACCCCATCTCAGCTGCGCTGTGGGAAATGACAACGGCCTCGACCGCGCCTGGGTTGCAGAGTAGCCGCTGAGAGTGATGGCATATTCGACACATCTAGACAGGAAGCACCCTGGAAGAACACTTGCGGAAGAGTTGCTGCAGGTCAGCGGAACATCGAGAAAGCACGAATTGTAAAGAGCTGAAGCGCGTGATGGTAGAGAAAGCCAAACATGTCTTTCTCGGTGCGTAGCGATGATTTATACGTAGTGTGATTTTAGAGAGCAGGAGCCAGATAATACCAGATCATGAGCCTAATAACTGCTTGCCGCCGAAAAGGCAACAGTTTATTGAATCAAAGAGGAAAGACTATTTGAGGACAAGTGGAGGAGGAGACCTGACCCGTGTTAAGGTGGGTCACCTTTCATTTGACCAAGCTTCCTTCCCCCGCTTCCACAATGGTGTCGAACAATCTCTAGTGTTCGGCGTCTTTGTCAAACACTGCCCTATAAGATGCACTGGCGAGTTTGGCATGGGTTGTATTTTATCTTGGTCCATCATTTCGATGGTGAATACTTCCCCTAAGAAATAGAAAGTTGTGCGCAAACGCTTGAAACAAAAGATATTGCCAGAACTTGGATATCTTGCACAAGCGAAGTTCCGGACCTTTGTCGCTGATATCGATAGGCGGATTCGCCATGTGGTAGACTGTCATCGCTTCATGACTCACAGGGCGGCTGGGCCAAAATGAGGTTCTTGACTAATTTCCGTTTACGCGCCCGCACTGCCTCCCCGCCGCCCCACCTGAGCGCGTGGGAACCTTTTGCCCACCACAGAGCAACAATCACCAGATAAGCCTGACGCTTACAATTTGACGACAATTGATACTACGCTTCAAATATAAAAACCCAACTAAGCCCGGAAAGAAACTATTCAACAACTTTTCTTGCCTATCCCTTCTAAGGTATTTGTTTTGTCTTAGTGTTATTCTTTACAACTCGAATGTTTATCAAGGTGTGTTGTAACAACACAGGACTGCACAGATATAACCATGGCGGAACCGATCGGACTTGCCTCCGGCATACTTGCACTGGCGACGTTTGCCTTCCAAGGGAGTGTCACGCTTTATGAAACAGTGAAAAGTTTCCAATCGCATCCAAAGCGTGTCCGTGACCTTCTCGGGGAGCTGGAAGCTTTGAGCGCCGTGCTGGCACCCCTTGTTGATCTAGTAAAATCGACATATGAGGTTGATCTATCAGTCCTCGATTTGCCATTGTTCCGATGCGGCAATGCCTGCAAGGAGTTCCAGCAAGAGCTGCTTCGATGCGCGTCAAGATCGAGCAGTAGTCGGGCAAGCTTCCGTGACTGGGCACGGCTGACATACATGGGTGATAATATTGATGGGTTTCGCAACTTGTTAGCAGGTTACAAAGCCACTGTAAATATTGCCTTGACCGATGCTACCCTGTAAGTAACCCTCGAGTAACAAAAATTCCCTTTCGTTCTATGATCCTTTTCAATTGATTACTAATTCTCATAAGACGCCAATCTACTGTCGCTGTCGAAAGCATTAGGGACTACGAGGACCTGATTAAGGATGCGAAGGAGGACCTGGGGGCTCGACTGGAAAGTATTGATCAGAAGTTGGAGCAGCTGGCTCAGAAGAGTGGAACTCTGTCCGAACTAGATGCAACTGAACTCCAGTCTCTGAGAGAGGAGCGCCGGAGTACAGAGAAATGCCTTCAGATTTGTGCCCAGTTGTCAGCCTATATTGATCAGATTCAGCTGCTATCTGATAATACAAGCTCCGTGCGAGGATCTGAGACGGCTGATACATCGCCCGAGACTGTCACAAACGAAGGCCTACAAGAATGCAAAAGGAGCTTGCTTGCTACAACCGCTAGGTTAGAAAAGCATATGCAAGAGGTTATGGATCGACTGCTCGCAAAGTCAAGATGTACAGTTTCCTCCGACGAAGACGCTCAAGATTTATCGCGGCTACGTGACGAGTGGGAAGCCGCCCGGCAGTGCTTGGATATTTGCTCCCGCGCAGATAGTCACGTCAAGGAGACTGTCAGTATTATCGAGAATCAAGGCACTGGAGACTCTCTCCAGTTTATGGTTTCCACAAATGGGAAGATCCTTCATGGGAAAAATCGGGGCATGGGTTGGAGAAACAGACAATTCGGAGGTTATATGAGCAATGAGTCAATCCAGCAGCTATCGCGAGACCTCACAGCTCATTATACTCTTTCTCCAAGAGGTGAAAAGCCTAACTCCAGAACCGATACTATGCCAGAAGCAAGTGATGTGGCAGAAGATGAGACGGTTCCCCAGTTCAAGGAACGATATGGGCGAGGCTTCACTCTAAAATCAACGCCAACACCAGAGAGAGGCACGTCGTCTTGAAGTACGGGGATGCAGTAGAGCATCAGTGTGTGATAGTGCTACAGAGGAAGATTCCGTGATAGTAGAGGATCTGATACGCGGGGAGCTCTTTCTCTTTTATATCCTTATATATTTGAGATTTTCCATTGACGTTCTGCCTTCTTTTTTAAATGGCTTTGGAATTGCGAGGATGTCTTATTTTAGTTCAAATGATTCGAGAGGAAATTGAGGCTTCAAACTAAAAGGGTTAGGCAGACGACTTTGTCGGAAGCATATAAGCAGCGAGCAAGAACTTGAGGTTTATGAGCGATTCGCCGTGGAAGAGCATGTCCATAACATAATTACTGAGATGTACAAATTACCCACTACTCGCAATGCGTTCGGCCTCAGCAATGGAATCCAGTTCAGCAGTCCTAGAAATTCCTCATAATAAGAACAAAACTCTTGAAGCGGATGCAAGCCAAGTATTAAGTATCTACTATTCAAGAACTGATCAGGTCTATATTCATCATATCAACAGCAACACTACCACTCTTTTTACCTCTGCCACGTATAAACCAACCTTACAAGCTTTATGTCGCCACCTTTCGTATCTTCGTATAAGGCTCCGACCAATAGAATTATAAAAGATTATAATCAAATCAAACAAAATACTGACAAACCAGAAAATAAAGCTGAGGTATAATACAGAATAACTTGTCTGCTCCGCCCTTGTCCAGGAGTATTATATTATGATTCAAGAAAGGCTCAAGTACTCCTACGTGATCAACGGGCTTGCTCGGGTCCTCCTCCGTGTTCCACATAATGATACCAGCACGCTTTATTACTTCTTATATGATCCTTACAGCGATTTAAACACAGAAGTTGCCTGCTTCATACACCTGTTTTCGCTTCGCTCACGCTTACTAGCATACCCATTTTCACGTGACACGGAGGGGTAAAGCGTTCTTAGCCAAGCGGAGCAAATCCAAGTTGGGCACCTGAAGGTCAGAAGCCAGCGAGAAGGGGAGAAGGGGAGACCGGGGCTTGGCGAATTTAGTAGTCTAACTAGGAGTAAGCGACCTTGGGGTCCGGATTAATGTGTGTCCCGTCGTGTACGGTTTAATTAATCTATGTTTCCGCCTTCTAAATAAGGCCGCTCTGCTGCTCTGCTACTCTGTGCATAGTATAGACTTCCGCACCTTGATAAAAATACTTCAGATTGTAGAGGCTTGGAAACGGCTATAATTATTATACTTTTGTATATTTTTTTTATCTCTTCATTTGATATAATACTAATATTTAAAAGAAATCTTATACAGCCAGCATTAATACTCTTAGTTTTATTTAGAATGAGATCTCGTAACATAAAAATTCCGATTTATAGCAGACTTTCAGAGCTAGCATAGCTGTAATTTACGAGTATTGCGAAGAGGGTCATGCTATACACTGTAGCACAAACCCATTAATCATCAACCTATTGCTTATATACTTGTGTTCTGAATTATGTCTGCTATCTCTTATTGATTATGGTACAATACCCAACTTACTGCCAAAAGAAATTGACCAAGAATGTATTTTTAATAGCCAAATCTGCCGAAGCCGCTAAGTGTAGCAAGCAGGCATCGATTGCATAAAGTAAGTTGATACCTAGTGAGTGGATCAATCCGCAACGCGATGTATATGACTAATACTGAAACGCCGAGAATTCCACGGCTGATAAGAAAACCTTTCTTGAGGTGGCGAACATAAGTTGATTTTGTCCCATGGATAGCACAATTACTTTTTGACTGATGATGTCAGACCTGTTAGTTAGTTGAAAATAGCAAATGATTGCGTATCTACACAAATTTCTCTTTTTCTTATACTCATTTAACGAACTTATCTTACACTGGACTTTCTTATATAAGATGACTTCTCACAGCTCAAATAATGTTGAGGTCTGGATTTTAGGCACAGGAACTGCTGCACTCGCTTCAGCACTCTTTCTTCTCAAGAATAATTCCCTCAAGCCTCCCAATATCCATCTGTTGGACTCTCATTCTTCAGTTGACCAGGTTTTACATTATCCTGGCAACTCGGGCACAGGATATGACCAATTTGCGGGGTGCTTGCCGGTACCAATCGGTGCACCTCTAAGAGACCTTCTTTCATCAATCCCATCTTCTCAGAATTCAAGGATATCTATCTTTGAAGAGATCAATAATCGACAACAGCAGAGATATCCAGTCAATCATAATCAAAGAACATGTTTCGTGATTCAAAAAAATGACTCCCTAGAGCAAATCTCAACAGACCATCTGAATTTAAGCATTAGGCAGCGTCTAAAGCTTTTATCCTTCATGCTTAAGTCTGAAGACAGCTTAGGCAGAAGTCAAATTCGGGAGCACTTCTCCAAGAATTTTTTTCAAAGTGTCTTCTGGGCTGTCTGGTCGGCGCAGTATGTCTTTTGCTCGGACAAAATCTCTTATCTGCTAACTATCTCCAAGATTTTGCTTCCAACCTTGGCATAGCGCAACAGAATTCCAAACCTCCCTAAATCAGTATTTGCATGAGTTTCAAGGACTAAGTATTTTGAACTGTCTCGATATTACGGGTTATTACCAACACGAATGTATATTTCTCCCTATCTATCATTATCTCAGGAGTTTAGGCGTGGACTATCTGTTCAACGCGAAGGTCAAAGAGATATCTTTCGTTAATGTTGGTAACGATCTGAAGCCACAAAGGTTGAGCTTTTCACACTGCGAACACATTGTCACGAAAAACCTTGGTCCGAACGATTTCCTTATCGCCGCGCTTGGATCGACCGTCTCAGGGTCTCAAACAGGTACAAATAGCCAGCCGCCTCAATGGAACTCAATCTGGTCAAATGATAATCTTAATGATAACTGGTCGCTATGGTTGGAACTTGGAAACAAGGACAGGACCTTTGGTGATCCATACAACTTCTGCGTCCGTCAATCGGAGTCAATGTTAGAATCTTTCACAATTACCACGGAGGATTCGGTACTATTTCAAAACTTTCAAGTCATTACTCAACACAAATCTCAGGCTGGGGCTTTTATATCCTTGCAAGAAAGCTCTTGGAAACTGGTTCTCTGCGTTCCCTTACAACCAGTCTTTGCAGATCAGCCGGGGAATGTACGGGTTTTATGGGGCTTTGCGAATTGTCCAGATCGGAGGGGGAATTATATCTCCAAGCCGATGTTACAATGCTCGGGATCTGAAATATTGACCGAAGTATGTGGGCACCTTGGCCTGACTCATGAACCTGCAAGACATCGTACTATAACCATCCCCCGTGTCATGCCACGAATGAGTGCAGCATATTTAACACGCCAATCAAGCGATCGCCCTTGCACGAAACCGAAAGCTACTTCAAACCTTGGTTTGATTGGTCAGTTCGTTGATCTTCCACCATACACGGCCGTCGACTTAAGCTATGGTATCCGTACAGCTGAAACAGCTGTGTCCCAGCTTCTAGATTCTGCTATTCCGAACACCGAGAGAAAAGTATCATTGCCTTCCTTATGCCGTCGCATACTTTTTTGCAAATGATGATGGGTACTTATTGGGAATGTCACCAACTGTGGGTTTTTCAAAGCACGGACAAGGGATAATATCAAAATACTGGAAAGGTTTGATATCACGTATATAGGTCTTCTTGGTCCGGAGACTAGCGCGACTTAGGACGTAATTCGCCGCTGCTCTCATTGGTCAGTAAAACCTGCCGTCGGGAGATTTGCAAGGGATCTGCTACGTAGTATGCATGTCATACAAGCGGTGCAGGCAGTAACCACTTCAATCTAACCCCTTAGCAAGCGCCGACGAAGTCTCTCTATTTCCTACTTTTGTCTCACAATTTGTGTCTTACGATGATCTGCGACTTTTATTCTTATCCCAATGTCTACCAACTATCCAATAGATATTTACTTACTGCCAATACCCTCACCTGCTAACGAACCACAACTCGGATAGTCAATGCTATCTACAGCAAATCAATTTATGTATCCCTCCAGCTTTCACAAGACTAAACCCGGTGTTACATTACATCCTGGCTTCTGAAGCAATCCAATCTCAACATTCTTGGGTATGGCTGAAATGCAGTCTAAGACTCGTGATTCGAAAAAAGAAAAGCCCATACTTTGTATCAGTCAGCCCTTGAGCATTTTAATTAAGGACATGACAGAAGTCCCTGTTAAAGATATTGAGTCTTGGGTTTATCGATCCTCGGATACCCGCATTCAGGAAGGTCAGAAGAAAAAAGGTAGAGTTACCCGCCCGATGAATTCTTTCATGCTCTATCGGTCTGCATTTGCGGAAAGGACAAAGCAATGGCTCGCACGAAATGGTCATCGACTTGTATTCGAAATATCTGATAAGAGCTGGAAATTGTAGCCACGAGGAATTCGCCTGGAGTACGAGCATTTGGCGGATGTTGAGAAGCAGAATCGTTTTAAAGCACACCCCTAATACAGATTCTCTCCAACAAAGATAAAAAGATTTTCAAACGGCGTCAGAGGAAAACAGAAGATTAGTTCCGAGCCCAACCCAGACTTGCTCCCAGTATTTGCTCTGAACGCCGCTACAGAGGAAAGCAGTAGCGGGAATTGGTGTAAGTCTAATATCTAAAGCTTTTGCAGAATGAATTCATCCAGTTCCCATGGTCTTTTCTGCTTACTGATATGCTCAGATGAACGCTTAGGGCTGACGTCTTCTACCAATGTATCTTCATATCAACCTACAATGATGCCACAGAGTGGTCTGCCAATCCAATTTAATTCTGACTATAGAAGAATGAGCTTTCAAATTCCATCCTGCAATTATACAATTTCAACTGATTTTCTGGCACCATCATACCATAATATTCCACACTTTTCACTCTCGGCTACTATTCTGGAGGATCTTAGACAAAATAACTAATCGTTCATAGTTAAAATTGAGCTTCCGAGTGCTGGTCAGGTCTCTAGCCTTCAACAGGTGTTATGGCAAGAGTTCTCTACAGACTACGAGTATTCCCAATAAGATCGTAATTACTTGGCTAGTTTATTCTGCTTATTTATATTCTTAATAATATTATCTAAATTACTTGTATTTACTTTGATCTTAATACTTATTTATAAAGTAGTAACTTAAAGAAGACTTATATTCTTTTTAGCCATGTTCAATAAGTAGCTTAAGTACAGCTGAGTAGACGGAAAGCCCTGTTTTCTACACCCTGTGGTCATATGTGCTTATTATTTAACAGGGTTAACTTATAATAGCAGAAATCATGTACAGGTCCGAAGCATTGAGTTAGCCATCTATCAAGTAGGGTGCAGTACTAGCAACAGCCACGTTGCCACCCCATCTACACATCAAGCGTTAAGCAATATAACCAGAAAGCCACAGTCTATATCTCTGCAGAAATACGACCTACATACAACAAGACTCAGGCATCCAACATAGCCTTCAACACCTCAGCGGGTGTCCGCTTCGGCGCCGCCAGCTCCAGCACCTCCTTACTAACCGTCCCCGCCGCCAATTTGCCCTCCCAGAGTGCCTGCAACGCATGCGTGATCGACCATTCGAGCCGTTCAGCCTGCCTCTCCCCAGCCGGGGACCGCGTATCAACAAGGGCATCCACAAACGAGATATCCTTATACCTCACATCCACCACCTTAACCCCAATCTCGCGCTCCACCATCTCCACAATCTGACGACCGGTCACATCCACCGGTCCATTGACCACATACCTAGCGCGGTCATGCACGGAAGGATCCTCCAGGCCCAACAGCCGCGCAGCCAGCAACCCAATCTCATCCGGATCAATGAACCCGACAGGCGCGTCCTCCGACGCCATCAACCGCAGCGTACCCTGCTCCCCTGTCTCACGAAACCGCTTGATGAACTCCACGGCGGTGCCGAGATACAGCGGCGCAAAAGCGTTCGGCTGCAATGAGGTCCACTGAAGGGGACGGAACGGCGGCGAGGCGAGCAACGTCTCGATGGCCCAGTGGGTGCGTGCGTAGCCGGCGCCAAAGTCCGGGCGCACGTTGGGCGCATTCGTCGAGATGCGCACGACGTAGTCGACGCCCGCGTGCAGGGCTGCGAGGTGGAAGCCGGACTCGTCGACGAATTGGCTGGGTTCGATGTGTGTGGCGATGAAGACTCGTCTCACTTCGTGGGCGCGGAGCCAGTCGGCTGTTATCTCGGTCCAGTTGTGCTCGAGCATCTGCACGCCTGGCACGGTGGCGAGGTGCTTTGCTACGGGGCTGTCTAGGGAGCGGGTGAGGCCGAGGATGCGATGGGAGGAGAGGATGGTGTTGCTGGCTTGGAGAAGCTGGGGTAGGGCTTCGGTTACGCTTCGGCCTGTGTTGCCTGTTGCGCCGATGATGAGGATAGTGGGTGCCATTCTGGGGAATTGGGTCTCTGGTGGTGAAATTGAGTGTTTGAGTTTGTTAAGATTTGTGCTTGGGTTCTACCCCAGTGGTCCTGGCATTGTTTGATCATATATGTACTCCTCAAGACCCTTCAAAGAGTCAGGAATTGATTAATAACATTTGTCATGAAGTATAGACACCTCCGAGCTCGGTGGGATTCCCGGCCCGGTCCCGCGGGATTTCCGTCGCCGGGAATGCCACCGTTGGAAATCATCCGTCACCTTCATTCTCAACTGTCATTTCCCAATCAGCTTGACAAATTCAGTTGCTTGCTTCAATATTGATGAAAACAGATCAAATTCAATGCGAATATTGCATAAGAGCACTAGTCTTACTTGGCATGAATTCCAGAAGCAGGTTTAGCTGCGATTTCCCAGGCTGCAGCGCCAGCTACTGGCGGAAGGCGCATCTGAACCGCCACAAAGCCCAACACGGCGCACAACAATCACCGCTATGTCGAATTTGTGGTCGAGAATTTGGGCGAATGTAAGCTGATGATATCCAGTGATAGCCAACCTATCTCTTACCTGCAAACCATTGTCCATAGTGATACACTCCGCCGACACATCCGACAGAGCCATACAGGAAGAAGTGAGCTGGTGCCTCCGATCAAGCAGGCCTGTGATAATTGTCGGGTGCTAAAAGCTCGCTGCGAAGGAGGTGCACCCTGCAGCGCATGCCTACGCCGCCATATCTCGTGTTCCCTTGTTGAAGGATCTACCTCTACCGGGACGGAGGATACTGGTCCACAACAGACCGTGCAACCCCGTTCATCCCCATCTGCAAAGGCAGAGCACTTTATCAAGATCTTCTTCCAAAAATTCCACCCACACTGGCCATTTATTCATCAATGGTCATTCAACATCACTCAAGGCAAAGAAAATGCACTACTGCTGCAGTCCATGACCGTCATCGGGATGTGGATCACAGGCTTGCCGAGCAACCGGTCCGCAGCAAAGGAGCTGCATGCGGTTCTGGACGCGGCCATATATCAGCAAAGAGTATATTCCCTCCCTCTCACCTGGTTTCTGCGTATGCATGACACATAGACTAACCAGGAATAAACACTAGGAGAAGTGGGATGCAAGTATGCACGAATCCGCATCCAGCGCAACCTGCAAATGGCCCATCGCCATGTATCAAGCCATCCTATTGCATATCATCTTCGCCCTAACGAGCAAAGACAGCGTCACTTTGGGACTCGATCTGAAGCCCGCTCTTCCGGCCAACGATAAAACCCTTCTCAAGTCGTTGGTGCAAAGCTGCAGAAAGCTGGGCATGTTCTATTATCCGAACATGCTTGCGCGATTCCGACCGGAAGAACCTGGAGGACATGTCTGGGTGGGAGTTGAGGAGGTCAAGCGGTTTGTCCTTGCTTTAAACAGGGTTTGCAAGATTATTGGAGCTGAAGAGCAAGCCGCGAATGTCCATGGGAAGCATCGCGATGTGCCAACGCCGAGGAGTGGGTTGCTCACGGCAAGCGAGCTGCATTTCCCGATGCCGACGAGTGAGGCGCTTTGGAATGCGGGCACGGAAGAAGCGTGGAATGCGGCTGCTGTAGATAAAACTGACCTTATTCATTTGACTGATTTCCGGGAGGCGCAGTGGATCTCCCGGTCGGCCACGCTTCTGGACTTGACCTAAGGGGTCAGCTTCTAGGCGTGTCCAATGCATGTGAGGCTAAGGGGATGTCGCGGGTGCAGCACGTCTCCCTGGTTGCCATCTTCCTGCTGGGCTCGCTGTACTGCGTGTATGGATTGGCGCGGCTCAGCACCATGGTCTCCGAGCAATTAAACATTATATAGATTCTATAATAGGGTAAAGCGTTCCAGGGGAGAACCCCCGGACCCCCCTTTTCTTTCACCCTCCTGGCTACGCTCAATTCTATACCAGATATACACCAGAGTACCCAAGATTTAAGATTACCAGGAAGCTGAAAAGAAAGGGGGGTCCGGGGGTTCTCCCCCGGAACGCTTTACCCCCGTAAAGAATCGAGAGAATTTCCTAAATCTCCGCCAGACACCCCGGCCACCCGCTGAGGCTGGCTAACATGGGGCATGTGGCCCGCTGAGCAGCGCTCAACACGACTGCCCGCCAACGCCGCCAACTGCTCCTGTAACGGCACCGGCAGCGCGCGATCGCCCTCACACACCAGATACACGCTGGGGACCTCCTTCCAGCCGGCATACGACACCGCGCCATCCCACCCGTCAGTCGGCTGCGACTGCAACTTGGCCCGCCACTGCGCCTTCTCGGCTTCGGGCACGTCGTCGAAGAGCAGGAACTCCGGGTTAATTGGGTGTGCGGCGCCGTGCTGCGCCCGTTAGTAACCACCACGTTGGGGCAGTCGAAGTTAAGGGACAAAAAGTACTTACCTTAGAAATTGCAAACGGCAGCAGATGATGCTTATGACCCTCGGGGAACACCGCCCCGCTAATGAAAATGGTCTTTGTCACGCCGCCAGCCAGATCGACCTGTTCGCGCGCGGGCCGGCTGAGCCCGCCTTCCATGGCTGCGCTGCCTATGAACCCGCCCGCCGAGTGCAGGACGAGAATCACCTCTTCGTTGCGCTCGGTGACATGCTCCGATAGCACGGCGCGCACGGCGGCGATGTCATCCGCCATCGTCGGGTTACCTGGTGAGGTCGTGCCCGTGCTGCGGAGCGGGGCGACCGCCGTCTTGACGGAGGCGGATTCGAAGAGGGTGATCAGGGGTTGTAAGGTTCGGAGCCTTCCCAGAAGCCCGGGACGATGAGGACCGTGGGGGACATTTTGGGTGTTTGTTTGTGGGGTTGTGTTACGGTAGGTTGAGGGGGTCAGCGGTAGTGATTTAAGGGAATCAAGAAAAGGTAGGGCCAGGAAAGGGTGGATGAGGGAGTGGTATGTTTATGGTCGTCTGTTTGCTTGCATTGCGAGAGGGTGGCAAGCGAGGGGCTCAAGATACTAGGTCCTGTTTACCCTCGGTTGACTCCTTCAAATTGAAGGACCGAGTGCGACAGAGGCATGCAACACGCGAATTATAGGAGTAGTTTTTTAATTATCCTTTCAAGCACCCCTTAACAAGCAACTAAGCGGGTACCTAAGCAAGCAACCTAGCAAGTAAGCAAAACAGTAAGCACTTTCACCAAGCACCCCCACCATGCAAGTAAGTAACTAAGCAAGCAAGCAAGGCCTCTTACCAAGCACCTCCTCCCCGGGAGCTGGCCGACGCGGTAAGTAATGGCAGAATACGCGGGCACGTGAGTACTCTCTGCCAGGACGAAATCTCATCCAATCAATTTCAATCTATGCCGACCAATCAGAAGCCTAACAACCGACCAATCAAACCGCAGTTCAGGAGTCCTCGGAGGGACAGGACCTAGCATAGGGCTCCGCGCTTACGCGCGTCGCAACAATGCGACACTCACACAGTCAGACAGTCAGCCTGGCCCCCAAAGTAAAATTGCTGAGAGCACCAAAAAAGCCAGTCAAGACTGCTAAGCGTGTTAAGCCTCACATCGAACGAAAACACCCCCAATTGAGAACCGGCAAAGCGCGGGTCGATTTGATACTGCGAGTAGTTTAGCCCTAGTCGCGTTTCAGTGCTTACCGTCCCAACTATTAGAATGAATTCGCTTAGTGAATGGTAGGTAAGATGAATCACGCAATACAGTGCCGAATAAAAGGTCTACTAATTACATTCGATTATCCTGACCAGTTAACCCGTCAGGTTCCGGTGCACCACACTCGCCATCGCCATGCGCATCGACCCTTGGCGGGCGGCTTCCTCTACCGCTGGCTCATACAGATCCCACCATTCCCTCGCCGTGCCCATCAGCTGATCAATGCGCTCAATGAACTCCGTGAACGCCATCAAGTACTGCAAAGTTCACGGGAGCGCGATGTCCTCCATCACTCTCGGCCCCACTGCCGCGGAAATATTGGGCCAGGTGTGGACTTGGCGCGTCCGCGCGCATCCCAGTCGGACCTGGATGCGATCGGGTCACGCTGGACGCTTCAGGGCTCCGGCACCACAACTTCACTATGGCTATGATAAAATAGAGATTGCAGTCCTCAGTACGGGCCATTACTCCCCTACCCGGATCTAATTACCAGGCTCCCCGAGTTTGATCATCGCCCTGATCCGTCCACCCATGGACGCACAAGGGAGTTCTTCGCTTCGGGTCCTCGAGATAGTCATCAACCCAGACCACCGGATGACCACCAGCCAAGAACAGACATCCCCCACGATACTCCCCGTCCCCAACCCCGCGGAACTGCGGAAACCTTTCCCGAAGCTACGACGGAGTTTCGACGACAGCAGAGTGAAAGACATGCACAGCAGGCAAAAACTCGCCTCCCCGGCCTCCTGGGTTCAGTGCAGAATATCCGGCATTGCTGTGAGAAAGGCGAATACTTCCTTGCCTTTTGAAACATGATGTCGCTTGCCGTTTCAGCTGATCTGCTGTGGTCCACGGGTGCAGCTATCACCGGGACTGTGCAGGCTCGCCCTGAGACAGGCGAACCGGTCTATGGGAATCTCGATGAGTGGTCTGTTTTGACTTTCTTTTGTGGACCTTTGTGTCAAGGCTCTTGCTTTGACCAGTTTTGTTGAGTATTGTCCGCCGGAGAATGCCACATGACTTTTCCAGTAGGATAATGTGCTTTGGGTTGACTTTCAATTGAGGTTTCAGCTATGGCTCTTCTTAATTTGCTGCAATATAGTGATGACTGCCTTGGTTTCAATAGCAGTGCACTCTTCTTCGCTATTAGGTGGAAGGTTTGCAAAGTACCCATGCATCCATACGTTATCGTAAGAGCGACGTCTTCATGCTAATGGATATATGTACTAGTAATAATCATTTCTGTTGAGCCCTATATTTTACGAGGGTGATCCCATGATTCAGTATAGGATTTTTGTCGTCGAGTTGTTATGTGTTCCGTAGGGACTTCCACTTTGTCAAGTCATTTCGACGAGAGTTTTCCCTTGGCTAGGACCCATAAGAAACGTATTAATCAGATTGTGCTCAGGCAATTGGAAAAGATCGTCCAAATCTCCGCATGGAGTTGAGTCCAGACCTCGGGTGGCGATTGGAGAAAATGCCGCAATGCCACCATCCGATCTCGGCGACACCCCCCGTTGCCCCGTAGCCCTGTAAGCGGGGTCAAACTGGAAGGCGGTGGACGGTTCCATCGGCCTCGGCAGTATTGTCCGCCACGCAACATCACGTGATCTTGCCTCTCCCCCACTGCGGGGACTCGGGGATCTTTCTTGGTCTGGCTTTTAGACGTCAGAGTTTCAGGGACACACGTGCGTCCCCCAGGGACACGCCAGCAGTCTCGCCCATCATTCGCCGTGGACCCAATCAACCGTGGGTGACAGCCTTCAAAGTTTTGTGCCTGGGGTTAAAGTTTTGCACGTTTAACACGTTTTTTTGCCATGCACTGCCCTGAACGTGCCCTGGTGGCTGACGCAGCCGCCTGCGTTCCTGTCTCCACCAGAAGATATAAAGAGTCCTTTCCTTCGAGTTACAAGTCTGTTCTTCTCTCCATCAAACCAGTCTCTCTCTTGAAGGCTTCAGAGTTCTTTCTTTTTGCAATTGCAATCTACATCTCGAGGTTGATCCTCAGACATTCTTTTTTTCAACGCGTGTTGATCAAAACTACTCTCTCTTCGGTGACTTTGTGACTTTTCCACACCTCCACCACAATCACTTGAATACCACTTCAATCACTTCAAACAAAAAGAAATCAATTCAATCTCTCCGAACAAACAAAATGTTCTTCTCCAAGCTCTCTCTCGCTGCCGCCACCACCTTGGCCCTGACGGCCTCCGCCCTCCCCGCACCGAGCACCTCCACCAGCTCCGCCGCGGCAAGCAGCTCCAGCGCCAGCGCCAGCGGCAGCAGCAGCGGCGGGGGCAGCGTCTCGATCGTGAACAATCTCGACTCGACCGTGTACCTGTGGTCGACGGCCACCGACACGGGCTCCAGCGACATGCATTCCCTGGCCTCAGGCGGCGGCAGCTTCTCCGAGAGCTACCAGACGACCTCGGAGGGCGGCGTCTCGATCAAGCTGTCCACCAGCCAGGATGAGAGCAGCGTGCTGCAGTTCGAGTACAAGACCGACGGCAGCGAGCTCTACTGGGACCTGTCCTCGATCAACCTGGACAAGGACTCGGCCTTCGTCAAGGCCGGCTTCACCGCCACCCCGTCCGATTCGAGCTGCACCACCGTCAGCTGTTCCGCCGGTGATGCCGACTGCTCGGCCGCCTACCAGAAGCCCGATGACGTGGCTACCAAGAGCTGTTCCACCTCCGCTGGCATCACGCTCATTCTGGGCTAGACGCTCGGACTGGGTTGGATTAGCGATAGCGCAGGGGTTCCCGCACGGAAGCCATCGTCGAGCCGGGCTCTTGCGGGGCAGGTTCCACCTTTGTGTATGAGTGACAGGCGCAGGGCAGGACCTTGCTGGATATGATGGATGTCACTTTGGGTTTTATGATATGACTTAGACTTTAGACCTGATAGACTTCTCGATGATTTTTATGATAGATTTCAATCTCTACAAATGCAGATTGCCTTGATTCTTACTCTTTGTGTTCTCCTTGCCATCCATGAAGCATTAGTGTAGCCGACACTCGGCTACTCATCATTTGTAGAGCCACTTTCTACTACTGGTTAGAGCAGCAATAGGTGCGCCAAAAAACTGGTATCTAGACATCCCACTTGATAGGAGGAAGCGCGACAAGAAACCTAAAAAGTTCGAAATGTGAAGAGACTCGGTTTATTGATTTCTCATTGATCTAGTCAGTTGGCCAGCATTGATCTTTACCGCTCGAGATCTGTAAATATCTACAGCGGGAATAATGAGATGGCTTCAAAAGATAAAATCACACTTAAACAGCCGTGGTCACCGACCAGAAGTCTACGAGCGTATAGCCGACACATTTCTATACTCTACCTTTCAGTTTGAGCGTACTCTTTGTCGATGTATTGAAATTCTACCCAACTTTAATGATAGTATGGTCAGCTAGTCTTTGTTCATGAAGACTTCTTTATAGCAAGTAAATATATTCTGTAGATCAAACAACAAAAAGACAATAAAGCAAGAAGCGCGGATAAGTATATCCAGAACAAAAAGATAGTCTATAAATACAACCCTAGCCCTCCCCACCATATCAATAAGAAGAGTATCCATTCTCATAAACACCAGACCACTGAACCAAATGCCCTCCAATCCTCAAACAAAAACACATCTCCCATAGCAAGATGCCCTCAAAACTCGCGCTACGGATCACCCTACCCGAACAACTCAAACAAAAAAACTCAACACTAATCCAAATCAATCTCCCCAAAGACCCCCGACCAATAAAGAACGATTGGGCGCCAGTCAAGAAGGCCACCCCAAAGTTGTGGAAGAAGCTCCGGGAAATCAAGCCCGAGTTGCGCGGGCAGCGCATGGGTTTGCTGCTGGTCTACGAACATAATTGTGACGCCCGCCTTCGGTTTCTCGTCGAGCCGGCGGCGCAGAAGCCGGTTGAGTACTTCGAGTACAACGGCGTGGTGGAGTTTGTTCTGGATTCCGATGCTGCTTGTGAGGAGTTTCATGCTGCGGCTGTGGAGTGGGCGCGTAGCGTGAAGGGTGGTGTAGGTCTTGGGGAGGGAGAGGGAGAGGCCGCTTAGCCGGGGTTGGTCGCTTTGAGTGTTTGTTTAGTGTTTATTTTCTTGTGCAAGGTAGTTAAAAATTATATATCTCTGTTCAAAAGTATAGGTGATTTTTAGAGTGTAGGAGGTAGAATCACAACATACAATTAAAGGGATTCGCTGCTGGTTATACACCGACTCCCAACCTCCCGGCGTGTGGCTTGAGTACAGCGGGTAATTGAGTGAACGTCTCCAAGATAACTCATGTACACAGACTCGCGCGAAGGGTCGTGAGCATATTACAGGACAACGTTCAGATTGAAGATCACGCGGTTGTTCCTTGGATTGACCGGACTCATCTACTGTAGCCTTAAAACTAAGAAGCCGGCCAGTTTCTCAACTCATCCATACGTCCCTGAACATCCTTAACCGCAGCCTTCCACTCCGCCTCCCGGAAATCATACGGCCAGCCATACTGCTCCCGCAGAATTTTCTTGAGTAGCGGGTACGGCATAAATTCAATATTAGCAGGGAAAAGGCTCTATCTTCTGTTCAAAGAGATTGGGCAGGGAAGAAGCTTTTGCACATACCGCTTTACCATCATCCTCGTTATAGAACCATCGATAGTTACGTGCACCACCGGGGATAATCTCCAAACATCTCAGCCTGTTCACATACTCCGCTAGGAATGTGGGCGCATGATGACCATAGAGACTCCGATAATCGGTATTACCATCCTCATCGTCCGACGGTGAATCTCCCCAAGCCCAACACTCGGATTGTATCTATAACGTTAACAAAAGAAAGAGAGTGAGGGGCGGGAAAAAGAATGGTAAAAAAATAAAACATACTTTCTTCCGTATTAAGATTAAGATTAATACCTTCGTCATCTCTGGTCGCAAGAGCAATCTCGTGCGGTAGAAGAAAGTCTTTGCGCGGGGTGTCGAATTCCCAGCGATCCGGATCTCGGCCGTCTAGGATTTGGTCATCGTCGATGTAGACCATTGCTTTAGACCCCGGGATGAAGGGGATATCGAGGTGGGACGTGACCGGATAGGGCAGTCGTTGCATCAAGGATATTACTTTGGGGCTGAGATTGAGCTCCTCGCAGCGGGCTTTGTTGATAGAGTGGCCGTTGGGTGGCGGCCAGACTAGTTCGGGCTCGCCATTCGCGCGGTTGTTGATGAAGCCGAGTTGTATGTAGATGCGGTATACTTCGCTGACGAGGCCGACGATGGTGTCCTCGTTGTATGGAAGTCGTGTGAGGGGATAATCCACCTCCTCCTGGTCTTGGTCGGGCTGCTCCGGGCCGCTGGGAGAAGGAGAAGAAGACACCTCCGGGGAAGATGCAGGAGCCGACGGTTCAGTAAGGCTGGCGATGGTGATTTCTGGCTGGGAAACTGTAAAATATAGATGGCGGGTCCAGCGGAACGAGATGAAGCCTATGACCAAGACAGAGAAGAGTTGGATGCTAGGGCTGATTGAGCCTGCGTATATCAACGCAACTGTTGAAGAGCAGAGCATTTTGAGTATTGACTGCGAGAAAGTTTCAATGGGAGGAGTTACGCGGAGACGAACTCTTTTAGCTCCGTCTTGATGGTCGTCGTCACAGTTAGTGTAAAAAGGGTTTGACCAGTTTACTAACCCCAATCTGATTTTATTAGTGCCATGCGGCCAACCCGGGAACAGTGCATTACAGTAGTTATATCATTAAGTAGACTAAGTTAAAATCATAATCTATGTCACCAACCCTTTCAACCTCCTGTCTGTTATGAATAATTTCAGCTACTATAAGACTTGCCTGTAGGTAGCCTAAGATTATAAGTACTTCTTTTATATCTTCGTATTGAATTTAATGAAATAATTTTTATTAAGGTTTTCCCCTAGAATTTTTCTCTATAGATAGAGAATCGAGTTTTGAGCTAAGTTGAACTCTGGTTAGCTGGAACTCGAAGCTCGGCTGAGCTGTCACGTGACTGCTCAAAAGTCGCCCGACTCGCTCAATTGCCATGTCTAGCGGCAATTGTCCGCCGTACTGAGCTGTTATTAGTAACCCTGCCGCTTGGATCATCAATCACGTAGGTACGCCGTCATGACTTTTTCATATCCCTCAATCTCTACAATGTGTATCCATATTTCCTAAGATACATCATGACGCAGCTTCCTGGTTATAAATACTTGATCTGACATGGTTGCCGACCCTACTCATACTAAACTCGCGGTTCTTATCGACGCGGACAATGCGCGGTCCTCCATCATCAACCTCCTACTTGCAGAAGTCGCAAAATATGGCACGGCTCATGCAAAACGAGCCTATGGAGACTGGAGCAGTCAAAGTCTCAAGGGCTGGAAGGAAAAGCTTCTCGAACATTCAATCCTGCCTATACAGCAGTTTGCGTATACCCATGGCAAAAATTCCACCGACTCAGCTATGATAATTGACGCAATGGATCTGCTGTACTTGGGCCGCTATGATGGGTTCTGTCTCGTCTCCAGCGACAGTGACTTTACCCGACTCGCCGCCCGGATCCGCGAGGCAGGGCTCGTGGTGTATGGTCTTGGGGAAGGCCACACGCCGAAGCCCTTCGTTGCAGCCTGCGATAAATTCATCTACACCGAGAATCTCGTGCATCTCGATGAGCTTGCGCCGCATGCCGATCGCATTGTTTCGCCTGAGAAGTCGGCTCGGGCTAAGCAAACTCCAATCAATCCAGAGCTAGCCAGTCATTTACGGGCAGCGGTAGAAGCAGCCTGCAATGACGAAGGATGGGCTAGACTCTCGGATGTCGGTCAGCTCCTGACCACAAGACACTCGGACTTTGACTCTCGTAGCTATGGGTACCACAAGCTGAGTGATCTGATTACTGCCTCTTCCTTATTCGAAACAAGCCGCCGCTCCTCACACAAGAGCTCATTTCCGGAGATTTACGTACGTGATAGGCGTCGGAAGTGATATGCAATGGGTCGATTAGTTACATATAGGTTATCTTATTTATGCTTTAGTCTTTCGTCTTCCTCGTCGGGCGCCCGTTGTAAATGAATTACACACGTATAAACACGGGGTAGAGGGGGAAGTAGTGGTGACAGTTAGGGCTACTTCGGTGGTCCCGCAAGCTGCAGGCGGGCAATAGCTGTAGATGCAGGCAAAGGCACAAAGTCCGGTGCTGTATTCAGCCATCTACTGTCATAGCATCACTTGGTTTTCTTTACACTGTCGCATATACCAGCTTCTTAATCTAATATTGTCGTCCCTTTCAGCATCACTATCCTAACTAGTGAGGGTATATATATTCAATCTACACGAGTAAGTGAGACTTCCTATCAGCATCTAGTTCAGGGCTATCTCGCTCACTACCCTCCCTTGTGAGTTATGCTGGCATATACAGCACAACTGCACCCTCATATCAAAGCACGAGGCTTCATCCAAAGACTCGCAATCAACGCAACGCCAGCGACGGCGCAGCCCACAGCCCAGATCGTACGCAAACTGTCCGCATACACCTTCCGCACGTCACTTCTTGTCGCCTCATCCGCTGTTTTCCAATACCGGGATGACACCGAACGGATCCTGTCGGTACCGCTGCTCGATCGCCCTTAGCTGGGGATGGCGGGCCATGAGCGCAGTCGCGCGATTCTCAGAGATCACACCCCCAATCGCCACGCCGACGCACTGCCCAAAACTCCGGAAGAAGGCGGCCAGGCTGATGGCCATATGTATGAGGGCTGGGGGGCTGCTGACCTGCACGGCCAGGACGGCGCCGAGCACCACCATCCCCAGGCCCACCCCGGACACCAACTCGATAAAAGTCCAGGCGGGGATGCGGGTCTCGACTTGTAGGAGACAGAGCAAGCCGGAGCCCACGGTGGCCAGGGACCAGCCTGCCCAGATCGCCCAGCGGATCCGACCAGTGGCCACGATCGCGAACCCGGTTATGGCCGCTACGGGGGGGCGATCGTCAGGGTGGCGGGGAACAGCGCCACGCCGGTCACGATGGGGTTGTATCCCTTGACAATCTGGTAGTAGAGGGAAAGATACTAGAGGCCACACCAGAGTAAGAAGCCGAGACAGAATAAGCTGCCTAGTGCGAGGCTTGTCGACCTATCGCGGAAGATGGTGGGTGGGATCAGCGGCTGCGTTGCCCACCGAAACTCATATGCCCCAAAGGCGAGGAGACCACCGACCCCGAGGAATAAGGGGAGCAGTGTATGCCAGGAGCTCCACCGGTACATCACGCCACCCCATGACAGAGGGATCAGAAAGGAGCTGATACTGGTGGCAAAGAGGACTATGCCGACCAAGTCGATCTGACGGAGCTTGGCCCGCAAGTCGCGAGGGCGGGATGATGCTGACGCCCGAGGAAAGAAGACCAACAGTAGTGCGGCTCCATTTGCCAATGAAGGGGAAGTTGATGTAGAAGAACCAGCACTATCAGAGGGATGTGAGCCATTAGCTAGAAAGTATAGTTCGGAGGGTTTCTTGCGTGTGCGTTGTTTCTTACCCAAGTCGATTTCTCTGCAAAGCAGCCCCCAATCACCGGCCCGATCACCGATCCAAAAAGCCCACACTACGCTGAGCATCCCAAAGTACTGGCTGCGCTCTTTCAACGGGACATAATCTGCGATGATAATGCTGCTGAGAGTAACCAGACCACCTCCGCCGACCCTTGCAGGGATCGACCTACTAAGAGCTGAGTGACATTGTGCGCAATTCCTGCGACGAGCGACCCGATAGCCAAAAAGACAATCCCCAACAGAACCAGTGCTTTGCGGCCCAATGCTTGCGAAAGAGAGCCAAAGATTGGCTGAAGCACTGCCCAAGTTAGTGCTGGAGTGTGATACAGGGAAGATTCCTGGGTGGCCCTGCCACTTACCGGCACTACAGAGGAGATATGAGGTCCCTGCCCAGAAACCTTGGATGGCCGAGGCGTGCAAGTCATTGGCGATGGCCTATAGCTATAGCTTTGAGTTCCGAGGCACGGTCAAGGAGAAGGAGCTGACAATGGCTACTTACCGGCAAAGCCACTGCTAACAAAGAGCCATCCAGCGCCGCCATGAGACTCAGCACCATCATGGCGGTGATTGTGAGAGCTTGGTGTTTAGTGATGTGGAACTCGTCCCCTATGGCTTCCTCCTCCTCACTAGTTCCGGTGGGTAATTTCATTTCGATGCTGTTGGCTGAAGACACCGTGATAGTCGATCCCCAAGGCTGGCGTGGGAAGTCCAATATCTCGGTACGTCTTAGTTGACTGAAGAAAGCGACTGACCTCTTGGCAAACACACGTTATGATTACCCCATAAGTCCAAGGAAGTGGGACGTCTGCGGAATCATGTCCAGGCGATGTAACCTTAATAGGGTGGCATTCCACACAGCGAGGGAGGCATTTGCTGAGTTCTGCAGTATGACCCATACATTAATGAGAAGCATCTGCCGGTGAATAAAATGGGTTTAAAGCTATCAAGGTAGTGGCGATTTTATACATGAAACAAGCGGAGTTAACTTTGCCAATACACCATCTTTTGGAGAAACCGTCACGTCCTCCCGAAGCTCCAATTCCCTGTCAGGCTCCGCAAGTTCCATGTGAAGCCGTCCGATCATTGCAGTAAGCAGACAAGCAAGTTCAAGCTTTGCAAAGGACTGGCCAATACAGCCCCTTGGGCCATGCAGAAAAGTCAAAAATGCGTAGTGAGTGCTCGCGCCCCCGGCATTCGCCTGCCTGAATTCCATGAACCGATCGGGATTGAAGACCTTCGCATCCGGTCCCCACAGTTCCTCCATCTGATTAACAATCTTTGGGGAGATGATCAATACGGTACCTTTTGAGATGTCCTGACCAGCCAGTGTGGTGTCTTTGTTGGCAATGCAAAATGTGGAAGGTACCGGTGGGTAGAAGCGGAGGACCTCGTTGCAGATCGCACTCAGGTAAGAGAGATGGGCAATTGTAGCAGCATCCACCGATTCTGAAGTTCCACTGTCTATGGAGGGGATCTGGGGGCGGACCTGCGTTTCGCAAGCGCGCTTGGACTTGCGGATGCCTGCAAAGCGCGTAGATGGCCCACTGCATCGCGGTAGCGATGGTTTCATGATCAGCCCCAAGGAAGGTCATGAGTTGGTCGAGCCGGTTATCGTTATCTATTATTCCGCTCCCCAGGGCAGTCGAAATGATATCAACACTGCTTGAACCGCCGGGTTCATTATGAATCCTTATCTTGTAAAGCCGAATTATTTGGCGAGCATTATCACGGATGGCTGTGCCTCCCTCGTAAATATCTCGGTTATGCTTGGTGGGTAAACAGTGTGTAATATCGATGCTGCCCAGCAGCATCCCAATAATTATGAAGGTTTTGATGACTTGGCTTGGGGCTACTGTAAGCTTCTGGTATGATTTGTAGAGGGGAATGGATGTGTCATGAAGGGAATTAAAATTATGATTCATGTCTACACTACTGATTATATCAAGCACAGCTCGACTGGCCCATTCATGGACCTAGAAGGTGTTGTCTCCACAGCAATCTCTGCCCTTAATGTCTTACTGAATCAGTCTGACTATCTACAGACTCTTAGTGCAAAAAAAGTGGACAAAGATTCACAATATAACGATAGACAAACGCGGGCATGAGTCGCTTTTATTAAAGCTACGGTATCGATTTGTGAGCCAACACACCTGCAAGTAAAGATGTTTCGTAGGTGATTTACTTACCTTGTGGACCTCCCATTCAGAAAGTAGAAGACCCTCGCCTAGGACTTGCCGCAATACCTAGTGAAAGATCGCCGGTTTTCAAGGTTATAAATCCTAGTCACCAGCAATTCACTCAAAACCTTAGAACTGATTGTAATGACTTGCTCTAGATTCCCAACCACATAGTAACGTAAGAGACCCTGGTTTGGGATGGTATGAACATATTCCTGCAGACACACATATGGAACCTCCAGAGTGCATGAATCCCCATTGCCTTTGACCCAATGTCAATTCTAGGAACTATTAGCGATTTTTGCCACAATGGTATCAAACCACTGTGACTAACATGTGGGGTAGGCAGGTGTTTGAGGGGCGTGAAAAGGGATGGTGCTGATCTCGAGTTATGGACCGAGAATGTCAGGGTTTATATAGAGTATTGCTGCGCATGAGAGTGTCTGTAGACGGATTCTAGATTGCAAATGACAAAGTGCCAGGATCATCACTCTGCACTGCCTGCGATGCATTTCGGGGATGTGCATCTCGCTAAGCCATGGAAAGTAACCTCTTAGCGATGTGTTTTGTCGATTTTATGTTTGGGGATGATGCTCTCAAGTCTTGGCGGGCTCGGGGGTGGCTTGGCGGATGGCGGAAATAGGGCTGATGTCATCCACCGAGCAAGCTAAGACCCAGTCTCGATTCTCTGACACTCTCCCCATTTGGTGCCTGTCTTTCCATCTGGTCCAAACCATATCGGGCCGATTAAAGCTTGTTGATAACTCACATATGAAGTGGTTATGGTGTTCAACACGGCACCCACATCCGCAAATGCATTGCCAGCAGCCGTGTTGTGCTCCTCTGATAGTTCAGTTGCCAGAAAAAATCCTGAAAATGAGTCTTCACCTACTAGAGAGATATACAACAGTCTCAATGCCGTTGTCTAATACCACCATTGTGGAATGTAGTTCTTGGGAAATACTTACATTGCCGATTGTTCTTTATTTGTCCGTGCCATTCTTCCTCTCTTAACTTACGAAATCGCACTCCTTAAATTTGAGCCTATGTGTAAGACACTAGTGTCTGGTTTGCACTATTGCTGCTTTTAAAATAACATTTTGCCATCTCTTATATGTAGTACTTTTCATACCTCGAGTGCGAGCCGGGAATTTTGATGTCATGTATTATCGCGACCGAGACCCTGATACGCTATTAATACGGTAATACACGGTACAAGTAGGTAGGGCGGTAAATGTGTTCCGAGCCAATCACCCGCGGAGACGGACGACATCTCTAATCGTCGTAAAACCACCCCCCTCCCGCCCGCCAAATCAACCTAAGTACTACCATGCACCCAATGAAATTATATTGCACGGCGCGAACACAGAGTATAATCTGGGTTTACTTCATTGTGATATATATAATAGAATCCGCGTCAAAAGAGTATGCACGGTCAGCAATCCACCCAAGATGAACTTCCAGTCTTGGAGCTTGATGCATTATCCCTCCTCCAACTGAGAAGTCGGAATGTAGAATCTCTCCGAGAGGGCTCTCATGGGATTGACCCAGTCCTGCTAGACCCAACATAGACTGAGTAGTTTCCTTTGCCAATCCACGCTCCCACCCTTCTGCCCATCGCAACCTTCCCTAATAGCGATGGTGGTGTCCGTGAGCATGACGCTTGTGCATATTCAGATGCAGAGCTGCTGCACCAAGAGTCTCGTCGCTAGCGCTCTATCTCCGACCAAAAGTTCAAAAGTCAGTCATAGCTGTGCTTTACCTTATGCTAATCCCAAAAATAAATGAAAGGATGCCAGCTTACCGCCGTTGCGGCAGCAGGGACTACCGAAGAAGAAGAAGAAGAAGAAGAAGAAAGAAGAGGAGGAGGAGGAGGAGGATGAAGAAACCACCGCAACCCGTGTAGACGAACCAGAAATTGCCACCACCACCGAAGAAGAAGACGAGTGTGAACTCGTCCGGCCCCTCACAGTGCCCACGGTGCCATACACAAACGCAGGACTCGGCGCAGTGGCCACCGGACCCCGATTATACAGCTCACAGCGGCCGTCGCCGCCACTGCTAAACAGCCAGGCTTCGCAGCGACTCACGCTCCCACATTTGGCCGCGCAGGCGCTGGCATCCGCGAATCCGGACCTGGTCGGAGACGTGACGGCAGACACCTTGACGGGCGAGCGCACCAAGGCTTTCATAAACAAGTTCAAAAATATCGAGCTGAGAGCATCACGCGAACGCTGGGAATCGACCAAACTGGCAGCGAGACCCGCGCGATCGAATTCGAGGATTTGGATTATGAAGGCATGGCAGGGGGTGACGCAGACCGATTAGCGGAATTCATGGCGTGGACCGAGACGACTCCGCCCAAGAAACCCTGGGCCAGCTACAGGAGACATCGAGAGTGGGCGCTGCTCTATGGAGAGAAGGCGACAATTATGGAGACAGCGTGTTCGAATTGAAGGCTTCGTGTTCTGAGTGTATGTAATCGCGGGTTGGTTCAATAGTGCATCCGCTTAGTGTATCCGTACTAGTGAAAATATGAGCTAGTCCTTCCTCGCTTGGAATTTGATGTCTGATAGGTTCCTGGCGCATCCACGCGGTCAATATTGAGCTAGCTCGCCCGAGCTAGCCTCCGATGGCAGAGATTTTCTCCGTACGCTTCCAATGGAAGTTGAAGTAGCGTCAATGCCCTGAGCTAAGCCTTGGCTCCACTGGGACTAGTCAGGGTCCCACTACCGCGCAACACTGTATCCAAAGAGAAACCAGAAGTGGCAACGCGAGATCATCCTTGCTCCCCGAGCTGAATAGGAAGCCAGAAATCATGAGTACGCACCTCTTGGGATTGGGCACAGATGGCACGTTCACGCTCTACGACTGACTGCTCCTTGAACCCCACCGCCTCATCCAATCCCATCGGCCAATCTCCTGTCGCGCGCATGATGAGATCTCGTAGCTCTTGTGGCAATCCAAATTGGGATCCCAATTGATCGAACATTGTATCCTCTCTCCACCAGGCATGCTGTTGTGGCGGCACATTACGGGACGAGCAAATGCGGTAGTGCGGGTCGACCAGCCAGATAGTGACAAAGCGCTGATGACCCGAGAGATGAGGGTCTTGAAGCGAGAAGGGCAGGGTCCTGTATCTGAGGGTATTGGGCCAGGCTAAGAAGCATCCCTGATGGGTGGCGGTTACTGATCCCAGAGTCTGTAGTTTCGGAGGGGCATCACCGAAAGTCGCTGGATCTTCATCCGTTCGAGGCAAACCAAAAATCTTCTGCATCGCGTGGGGCTCCAGTGTGATCTCGAACGCATCCAGGTCGACTTCTTGCTGAAAGGAGATGCGCGCCTCGGTGATGTTTTCGACGTCGTAGTAGTATCGCGCGGTGGCAACCACATGCTCATTCAGGAGCCCGTCAACATGATAGTCATCGTCTCCAGAGAAGATCGCTTGCTCCGCGGTGAGCTCAATGCTGCTGACCCGTACGATCACTTGTAATCCCTGGTTGCGAAACTGGTTCTGCAAACAGACTGATTGATACTGGTGGTCATGGTCTGAAGGAGGGAGCCGTTTCCTGTAAATATCTTCCGAGGTTCTCCTTCTACCAACAATTGGCTGCGCGGTTTTTCCTAGTTTCCACTCATCGTAGGAGTATGAGACGCCAGGTTCCGGATACTGGAAACTGTGAAGTCGAAATCGTTTCTCTGATACAACCTCCTGCACTTGTTCGACAGACTTCCACATCTCTGGAGTCATGAAGCCCAGCAAATCCTTAGGATAAACCGGTTCAGATGGATCGTCGTCAATGATTCGAAATTTTAGGTCCGGCTCGGGAATTGCAAGATACTGTTTGATCTTCTCGCAGTCCATGGCCCAGGTTGGCCTGGGCCAGTGTTTGCACTGACGCCACCCGAGAACTTCCGATCCGAGTTGATTGTATGGTTCATTGAGCCCCGTCGTCACGAACCCATATGTTCTGATGCGGGGGGGATAACGGCTAACAGGATCCCTGATCAAAATGTCGTTCCATGGCTCAATGCAGGCGGAAATCAGCTTCTCAATCGCCGCATAGGCTTTGCCGTTACGTGGATGAAGATTGTTGATGTATGAAGTGATTCGCACGTTAGTCCCCTCCGGGCTAACGAAATCCACTTCACATGGTAGCCACTGGCATCGGTGGGACCAGCGATAAAAGGGCCCGATTGAGTCGTCTCTTGGCGGGCGTCCATGTTGTGTCGTCCATGTATCTATAGGGTGCTGAAGCGAAGGCGCAACGTGGACGTCGGAGCTGGTGGTAGGATACGATATGCCGGCAGCAGTCATGGTGACTTGGCCTCCTTGACTGAGAACGGCAGTGCGACCATAGACCAGCATGTATAAGTCGGGGTCCACCAGGTCATGGTAACCAGGTGTTTCCTGCAGGAGTGGCTGGAATGCTGCTTGTAATTCCTTTTGCAAGTCCTCGTTGACAAGCACGGCCGACTTGCACACCCCCGAATCAGCATTCAATGTAATGATATAATCCTTTTCACGGAAGCTGACAGCCTTATCGCGTAGCTCCGCAATGCACCAGTCCCATGTCTTTGAGGTAATGAGGTCCAAGTCGATGCTCATATCTCCCCATTCGTCCGGTCCCGATCGGGCTTGAAACTGAACGAGAATCTCCCTATACCATTGCTGGACAATACCTTCATCAAACACGTCAACCTCCCAATTCTGCCGCTCTGTCAGCATCTCCATGATGCGTAGCATTAAAACCTCAGGTTGGGTTAGCCGGATTGCTCGACCTCGGCTTTCAGACCAATCTGGCAGAGCTCCGTGCGCAAAGCGTTGACCAACGGGTAATTCATAATCCACTGGGATATCATGGAAGCCGGGGACATGCAACTGGCCATTTCCGGTATTGTCGAATTTAATGGAAGACATTTTTATCTGTCCGTGGGGGTTCAGACTGGGTCGAGACACAGAGCAGAAGAAAAGGAGAAAGAATTGGAGATTCGAAGACGGCGCAGCCCGATGCTGGTGATATAACTAGTGCGTGTGTTGTTTACCACCATAGCCCCCGGCAATAACGGCAGTCCGTACGCTAGTGGCAGTGGTTCCATACCGTGTATTACCGTATTACAGTCGTATGAGCGATTGGAGTCACGATGGTTAATTACATGGCTTCAAGAATTTCGACTCGCACTCGAAATATGAAAAGGGGTGGATCGCGTTTGGTGAAATTTGGGGAGATATATACGAGACGACAGAATGACTGCAAGGCCGACCTCGGGTGCTTCTTTCCTTCGAATTTTATAGCTTCTTGCTATGTCCTTTCTTTCCTTCCAACCTTCACGTTTCCAAGCCCATTCATTCATTCATTCATTCCTTCATTCCTTGCTTCATTTGTCCGTACGTTCTTTCTTTCTTATTGCATCCGGTCGCTCATTTTCCCGAGTTCGTTACAACTTTCACTCGTCAGGATGCTGCTTGTTCTGCAATTCATTCTTTCCCTTTGCCTGGCAACACTTCAGGTCCAGGCTCGGGCTGTCTTCGCCCACTTTATGGTATCTAATACTCTGCAATATACCGTGGACGACTGGGAAGATGAGATGACGCTGGCCAATGAGGCCAATCTCGACGCCTTCGCTCTGAACATTGCTGTCGGAGATGCCACCAACACTGGTTCGGTTGCCAACGCCTTCTTGGCGGCCGAAAATGTGGGCTTCAGTCTGTTCTTCAGCTTTGACTATGCCGGAAATGGGGCCTGGGCCGAGTCCGACGTGGTCAGCATGATTTCTACCTACGCGCTGACCGGGGCGTATTTCCAGCATGCCGGCAAGCCCCTCGTCAGCACCTTCGAGGGTCCGGACAACGCGGCTGACTGGGTCTCCATCAAGGAGCAGACGGGGTGTTTCTTTATCCCGGACTGGTCCTCAGTCGGGGCAGAGGCAGCAGCAGGGCTTGCGGACGGTGTTGCAGATGGACTGTTCGGCTGGGCGGCGTGGCCGTACGGACCCAGCGACATGAACACGTATACTGATGCCTCGTATATTGACTTCTTAGACGGTAAGCCATACATGATGCCGGTCTCTCCGTGGTTCTTCACCAATATGCCTGGATATGATAAGAACTGGCTTTGGCGGGGCGACGACCTTTGGTATGATCGCTGGGAACAAGCTATGTACCTGGCACCCGAATTCATTGAGATCATATCGTGGAACGACTTTGGTGAGTCCCACTATATTGGGCCTATCCAAGCTTCTGGGTCAGCTCTTGCCAACTCGACATACACAGCATTCGGCACCGGCGAGGCCCCTTACAACTACGTGCTGGATATGCCGCACGACGGCTGGCGCGCATTCCTCCCATGGTTGGTTGACACGTATAAGCAAAACATCTCGACCATCACCCAGGAAGGAGTTCAGGCGTGGTATAGGCGCAATGTTGGGGGAGAGTGCGTGTCGGACGGCGGCACCACGGGTAATACCGCCAGCCAGCTTCAGCTGGAGTATTGGCCCTATGAGATTGGACAGAACAAGGTCTTCTTCTCTGCGTTGCTCGGGTCGGCGGCAGATATTACGGTAACCATCGGTGGCGAGAACATGGGTGCGCAGTGGAACAGCACTCCAAGCGGGGGTGCAGGTATATATCACGGATTTGTGAGCTTTTCTGTGCAGGAGGGCCCAGTTGAGGTTACAATCTCGCGTGACGGGGCTGCCATTGCTAGTTTCACAGGCGCGGACATCGTGATCGGGTGCTCGAGTAGCACAAATATCGAAAATTGGAATGCCTGGGTGGGAAGCGCGATGGCCTCGGCCACGATTGACGCGACGCCTACATACTCTCTCCTAGACGCCGTGTGTATCGAGGGGTGGGGTACGGGGAATTTCGATGGACTCTGTGCGTTTACCTGTAGTCTCGGGTATTGCCCGGTGGGTGCGTGTCTGTGCAAGAAGATGGGCCCGCAGCCAGACCTGCCCAAGAGTCTGGGAGTAGTGGGATATCCCATCGCTGGGGAGACGGGGGATTACAGTGGACTTTGTGCCTTTGCCTGCAACTACGGCTATTGCCCGCCTGCGGCTTGCGGGACCACCGAAGTAGCCCTAACTGTCACCACTGCTTCGCCTTTTACCCCGGCCACCTGCACCGCCGGCCAAGGGGAGGGTGATCTCGCTGGGCTCTGCAGTTATGCCTGCAACTATGGATTCTGCCCCATTCACAATTGCACATGCACCTCCACAGGGCCCTTGAATCTGCCCCCTGCCGCGAACACCAGCATTTACGGATTCTACAGCGGTAGCGGCTCTGACAGTGGCTTGTGCGACTTTGCCTGCGAGAGGGGATACTGTCCGTCTCCCACATGTCTGGACGATAAATCCACCACCGGCACTGACGATGACGACGACGACGACGACGACGATTTGGTTTGTGCAGACGATGGGACGGACACACGCGCCGTGTGTAACGAAGAAGTTTACACGGGTTGCGACTACAGCGTCTCCTTCGCCAGCTTTACCGACCTTTCCGCCGCGGCCGCGAGCTACAATGCCAGCTGTGTGAACTACTATCTTATCGGGGCCCTGTCGAGTATGCTAGACTCCGCCCTGGCGAATTACACGCAAATAAACAGCAGCTATCATGATAAGTTTGAAGACTATGTTAGCTTCGTCAAGAAGGAGGTGCCCGAGGTACTGGACACGCTGATGGCGGCGGGAGGCGCGGGGAACGCATACTTCGAGTGCACCTACAGCGCCGGCGGCATCAAGAACATCTCCACCACCAGCTGCCCGTACCATGTCCCACAGACCAGAGACGACGTAGACGTCAACAGCGTCGTCTACTACGACCTGGTGAATGCGACGGGATGGTGGGATATGCTGTTGAGTGACTACGGGCTGCAGTCGAGTTGGGTGCAGCTGGGAGAGCGCGTCATTCAGAATCACTGCTCCCCTTCAACGACCAACACCCTCACGGGTACGATCTGCCACAAGCAGACCTACACCTGGAAGGGCTACCCCGTGGCGGCGGCTGATCTGGTTGTCGCCGACCCGGCCACCATCGTCCAGTCGACGTTGCCCAACATCCAGAACCTGACCAACACACTCACCCTCACGAGGATCCTGATCAGCTCCGGCGCGTGGGGCGGGCCCCTGGACGACATCGTGCTGAGCGTGTCGACGGCTGTGTTCACTCTCGTTCAAGCCGTGCAGAACATGGCCCAGATCGAGACGATCGCGACGCAGTACGAAGAAGCCAAGAAGAAGGAGCTGATCGAGGAGATCATCGGCGCGCTGTTCCTGGTCGTGCCCTTCCTCGGTGAGATCGACGTCATCTCCGAGAGCCTGGCGGGGCTGGCCGATATTATCACCATGATCGGCGACACGGCCATGCTGGCCGACAGTATTTATGGGGTTGTGTCGGCCAAAAGCGCCAAAGACGCCATTCTGGGCATTTTCGGGGTGCTCCTCCTCGGCGGAGTAAGGTCTGTCGAGGAATTTAGCGATATGGCGAATCTCCGCCGCGGGCTGTCGGCGGAGGACATTGCGAAGATCGGTCCGGACTGGGAGGAGGCCGATACGGAAATGAACAAGTTGGTAGATGTTTGTTTCTAGCTGATACTGAGATTAAGCATGTATATATATCTTCTGTAAAGTACTGGCAATTACTCATGTCCCTCGTTTGCAGCATATCAAAAAATCGCATACCTTTTTACTGCGTTCTAAAGATCGCAGCTTTGTGTTTTTTGATTACACAGTGGGCATGACCAGGTTAAGCGAAGCATGTATACTCACTGGTCTGTCAGGCACAGCAACAGTCACAAATTAGTCTTCTCCACACTAATCATACCCCTGGGCTCCGCATAAAGTGCACATTGCGTCGTGGTTTTCTTTAAGCATTGAATCGATATCATCTTACAATAGCCCAAACATATGGGGTGCTAGCTTACACCAAGATTCAAATATTCTCGCGACCGACATGCAAAAAGATCAGGCTATTGCGTGACAGCGAAGCGCATTGGCGGCATCGACCCAAAAGTCGGGCAACCCAGCCCTAGGCCTAACGATGACTGTTGCTGTTGGCGCCCGAGGACCAGAATATTTTATAGCTCAGAGACTTCACCCGCGGTTGGTCTTCCTTTGGGCTTAATGGTCAAAGTCTTCAGCAAAATGCGCTTGCAGCCGATGAGAAGATCGCTGTCAGTCAACATATCTGTGATCCAGCCTGGAACTTCCGGGTTCACCTCGTCGCCGGGGCGTGAACTAGAAGTCTGCTGTCGGAAGAAGCAATTATTTGCGGCCCATGTTGGCCCACCACTCGTCCGGAGTCTTCGCTGGTCGAAATCTGTTACCCCTTGCACACCCCCCCCCCTTCCAATCCCGAAGGCATTGACCAGAGATAGAATGCAACCGAACGACCACACATCGCTGCTGGAACCGGCATGAAGTCCAGACCAAGCCTCCGGCGCCTGGTAGGTATTGGTCCGTGGGGATAAGCTTCCTCTTTGCTGGCCCTGGGTGCAGCTGGGACCGATGGGCTTCCCCATCCCGAAGTCGGAGAGTTTCCACCGACCAACGGGAGAATCGCGGCCGGTCTGGACGTCTCCGTACACCAGGACATTGGTCGGCTTGAGGTCGTAGTGACAGTAGTCGGCCCCGTGCACGTGCTGAAGAGCATCCGCCAAGCGCTCGACTTGGTCCAAAAGGTGTGGTAAGCTAGGTGTGGTGTGCAACGGAAATTTGCCACGCAGGATCTGTCGGAGATCGGTCTGTGCCAAGGGCAGAAGAGTACCTAGATAGTCTTCAACATCGATTGCAGCCAGCATGCTAACAATATGCTTATGCTGTTGGCGATGCTGACACAAGCATTTGAGTACCTGATATTCGCGGTCAAAGTCCCTCCTGTGTTCGACTCTGAATTTCTTGATGGCCACAGCTGTTTTCCCCTGTAGGTCATGTATCGATGAGCAACCGATGAGCGACTGATAACACCGGTACGGTGGGAAAGGAGGGCGCAATTCTCGATTACCGCTCTTGGGGCCTTCTTGATATCGGGGTCGGGTGAACTACAAAAATGGCCAGGAGCAATATGTGCGCAGATGACGTCGGCGGATGCGCCCGCGCCGAGTCTGGCTGCTGGCCCATTGACTTCGAACGGTAGGCGCCAGCCACCTTTCCGTACGATAAAGTCTTGGTCGGTAATGGCGACTGGGCAAAAGTTATAGCGGGCACTGTCAAAAGCCTCGCTGGAGGTCGTTTGCGGAGTATGTGTGGATTTGGTCGTCGGTCCGTCTGGGGTCCACGAAGATCTCGCGAAACCGAGACCAGCTGTCTCTCTCCAACTCGATGGACACGAGGATCGACAAAGTCTGAATGAATTCTCCAAACAGATCTTCGTTATCAGCTTTATCGCGGTCTGGCATTATGTAATCGAGAAAGCTTCGTCGCCCTTCCTGGGACCAGATGTACTCCAGCGTGGCTCGCGCAATGAACGCCTCATCTGATTCCTGCGACCGAATTCCAAAGTCATCCCCAAGTCCCTCACACACATATTCAAAGGCCGCCGAGTCTTCTGAGCCTTCTGATGCCATAGCGTGTGATTGAGTCGGAGGTTGACGACGGTCGGTGACCAAGACTGTGTGGCTCGTGGTGGAAAAAGGAGTCAGAATAGTCTCAGGCTGCAATCCTTCTCTGAACCCGCAAAGGGAAGGGGAGGACGGATGGACAAAAAAACAGGGATGTAGAGAACTGCCGTAGCGTATGAAGAGCTTTCGTACATGGTCAAGGATGATAGAACATATATATGATATTTCTTGATTAAAGACGGGATACAGAGAGTTTTGAAGAGCAGAGTGGAGTAGGAAGCTGGAAGTGAGTCGTGACGAGAGAGAAAGAGAAAGAAAGAGAAAGAGAAAGAGAAAGAGAAAGAGAAAGAGAGGACAAGAAGAGCCATGAAGAACAAAGATGTTTTCGGCTGAGTCTTGATAGTACCATGTCGCAGGGTGCCTGAAAAAGGGGGCCATCACTTGTCATCAGCAAACGATTTGATGGATAGTCTTAACCCCAGATTTTGGCGAGGCACAGAGACTATCATTCACGGAGAGGCGGACTGTGCAGCCTTAGGTGGGCTAACAACCAGATGCTGAAGCTGGGCACCGAATCATTCGACGACAGCTCGACGTTGAAGTCCATGACGCTCGTCACGCTAATCTATCTCCCCGCGAACTTTGTGTCTGTGAGTCTTAACGCCAGCCCCTTGCTGCCGGGATTCCTGTCCCTCCCTCTATGGCGTGTCTCTGAGGAATTACATATCACATATTCCACAACGGATTGTCCCGGCAGGAAGGAACACTGATTTGACTGATCAAGTGCCAGTCTATCCTGGGGATGAACCGGTTCGATTTCGACGGCGACGGTACGGGCGCGTTCACCATCTCCAAGCAGTTCTGGATCTTCATCGTCCTGGCGGTGCCGCTGACCCTCCTCACCCTGGCCTCCTGGTATGTGGTCTCCCGGCGGACCCGCCGCGCCCGCGAGCGACAGATGGAGGGGGCTGCGGATTGACGCCCCCCCGGGATCGCTCTTGACAAGAGGAAGTAAGCTGCAGGAAGAGATCTGGTGCATGCTTGGCCTGGATTGTTTTTGTCGATGTTCTTCCTATCCAGGCAGACGAGTTCAATATATAGCTTACGTGAAGCCAAGCAGACAGCAAGCCCCTTTTTCCACACTTTGTGATCATATATACCCTTTAGCAGCATCTAAAACCATATATACAAACCAAATGCAACAATCAAGAAGGCAAAGCGGGCGGTGGCCCCTGCCTGTCCGGAAAATCCGTACTCCTCGCCACCTCCTCCCACTCCTCGACCATCATCGTTAGCGCCCGGATCTTCTCCCGCAGAATATCGAGGCATTCACTACCAAACGGCACACGCAACGGAACTTCTTTCCCCTCTGCGATGCCAACTCCCTTGGCCAACTGAATCACCTTGGCGATAAGCTCGACCGCGTTTCCGGGCTCGTTGCGGTAGTTCTCCGCGCCGCGCGCGCGCACCGCCTCGTTCAGCGGCCGCCAGAACTCCACCCGGTTCGGCACGTGGTTGATCTTGTCCATTACCTCTGTACTGTGGATGCCGGCTTCGATGATCAGCGGCTTGATGCCTGGCGCGAAGAGCGCGAGTTCTTTGGACAGGCTTTCTACGGCGCCTGTTATCGAGTGGGCGGTTAGTTAGGGTTAGGGTTTTGCATATCCGAAAAGGGTGGAAAGGCCGAAGCAGGGGGTTTAGAAGGTTCGAGGAATTGAGAAGATGCATGCATGCATACCTTCCAGCGCATGCTTGCTCGCGCAGTACGCTGCCGCTGCTGGCTCGCCGTAGAACCCTGCCTGCGAGCCCATGTAGATGATCCGTCCCTCGCCCTTCTCGCCCTTGCTGCGGAAGTGCGGCAGCGCCGCGCGCGTCAGATTGATAGGGCCGTGGAAGTTGGTGGCGAAGCATCGTTCCATGTCTTCTGGTCTGTTATATAGGTTAAACGACTGAGTGAGCAATTGGTGTAGTTCCGGTTGGACCATCACGTACGTCATTTCCTCTATCGCGCCGCACTGGATGTATCCTGCATTGTTGACCAGCACGTCGACTCCGCCGTAAATATCCACCGCCTGCTGAAATTTCGCGTCCAGTTCGGCTTGAGGGGCTGTGACGTCGAGCTCGAGAATCGTGGCGCCCGTGTCCTTCAGGTGTGCAAGCTTGGTCTCCGCGTTGCGACCGGTTGCAATGACGTTGTCGCCTAATGCCCGTAGCTGTCGCACGAATTGCTCGCCGAATCCGCTGGAACAGCCTGTGATGAACCAGGTTTGTTTGCGGGGATCCATGTTTGTGTGCCAATTGATTCTAGAATGATAAAGTTCAGAAGGGGAAGATGTCTAGTGATGGTGAGAGGTGCTGTGCCGAAAGTAAGAAGAATCTGATTCTTCCCAAGTACCAGGTCGCTTATATCGTAGGTAGATTGCAAGGCTTTCCGTTCTTAACCCCCCCCCTCCTTTCACCCCCATGAAACGAGGGGTAATCGGGGCTCATGCATGCTTACTTCGACGGTCGGGCACGCCAGGATACTTGGCAGGAAGTTCATCCACGATAATTGGTTATGTCGCTTACTGTCGCTTGACCCACTCAACTATAGAAGTGGACTTTACAGTGATGTGACGAATGCTGTCCGGTGCTGATTCTCCGCCTGCCCTACGCCCTCGTAGTAATGAAGATTATCATCCATGGCATTGGTTGTCCGTCCAGAAGAACTTTTTAGATTAGGATCTGCAGGTCCCACTAGAGCGTCAATCGGGGCCGAAACGCGATCGCTTTCCAGCCAGGCTGCGCCGGTTGCACCCTGGCCACCTCTACGAGGAACTCGTATAGCACCCCGCCGCAACCTACAAATGCACGGCATCAAAGCGCTTTGAATGGGACTCACCTTGCCGCTGTCGTCGGCAAGCGAGCATGGAAACCGGTAGAGACGAAGTGGGCAGTTTCGGAAGTAAAGTTCCTCGCGTTAATTGATGTCCATCTGCTTTCCATGCGGTCAATGGAGAAAGACATCGTATTCCTGGCAGCTTCGCATACTTCCTCATGTGCTCTTCCGAGAGGGTGTAGCTGGGACGCGTTCTTGGTCACTATCCGGCTGGAAACCCATATCCAGTGGCTGCTTGAATGACTGGATTCAAGGCGGCTCAAATTACGGCGGTCCATCGCTGGAAAGAGGCATTAGTAAGTAGAGGAAAGTGATAGAGAAGGAATGTTATCTTTCTGCAGGGGGGTAAATTTTCTTGATGCACACCAATTGTTTGTTATTGTCTTGGTGGAGAAAAGAAGGGAGGAGCGGGTCGCCAAGGCCAGTGCACATGCTTCCCGTGCCTCCCGCCTAAACGCCGCCAAGACCTTATATACTCGTACATTTTCATGACTCCTGTGAGTATCTCCCTTTCACTCATCCTTCCATCCTGAAGATTCTTGAAAGTTTCCAAATCCATAACTTATCATTCAGACAGCATTCCTCGTGGTCCAGACGAGCTCTGGCATATTATGTACCCCAAAGCCGAGGATGAGCATATTGTTCACACTGGGCTTTTCAGTTTCTTGATAGCTTTGGCTACCGCTCCCTTCTTCCGCTCCCTTCTTCCGCTTCTCTAGTTACTGGTCTCTGCGTCGAAGGTCTTTCAAGGCGAAATGTAACGTATGGCGTAAGGACCACACGCTCTTATGGAGACGCAATCGTCTCTGAGGCCATCTAATCTCCCTTTTATTCTGATGCAGAAAAGCGCGCAGATATCTGGTGGTCTGGATCGAAAAAAGTCTATGTTTCTCTCTTCCCTCTTGGTAAGTAAACAGATACCACCGTGAGGGCTTAGAAATGATAATCTGTACACTGAATGCTGCGAATTTCGGCACCCTCCTGCTGGCAGCGTGTCTAGAGACCCTTGTAGGCGTGGTTAACCAGAACAGATCCCCCAACAGCTTGCTACGCATGAGTATAGCAGATTTGGTACAGAACATGCTTACGAAGATGACAGTCAGAATCGTCTCTTTTGCCTGCCCTTCTGCGATAAACGAGAGATTGAACGTGGGCTTTCATTCTTATTCAGTGGTCCGAGTGTTTAAGAAAAGTATCCGGTTCAAAAGAACCACAGTCGTGACGATGATTAGAATAGAAGACAAAACGAGATACAAGAAAGAAGAAAGAAGGAAAAAAGAAAAAAAAAAAGCTAAGCACGTTTCAACATGAACGCAACCTGGCATCGATCGGTCAGGCTATTCTCCACAATCTCAATCCAACTGACGGAGTCGTCATCTGAGTCGCCCCTCTGATTGATCTTGGCCGTCCATATCGATTGGATGTATTCACCAGCTTTGACGACCAGTTGCTGCAACTTGGTGGATGTATCCTGCGGAGGACCCGCCACCTGGAGGTCATACTCGTAGTAAGTGGAAGTAGTACCCAATCTCGCAGGGGTGGGCAATTGTGCAGCGGCTGTGCTAGAAGGCGTAACATAGCTGTATCCGTTACTGGATTTGTTGGGATCTGTATCGTCCACCAATTGAATATTGTCGGTTTCGTCGGCTCCATTGCGAAACAGACAGACGTCGTCATCCCCAGAATAGAGCGTGATGACTGTATTCGATAAGGTAACATCGCCGGCAGACTTGTTCTCGCATTTGATTGTAAGCGTCTTCACTTGCCCTGCGCTGACCGTGGAATCGGAGAGGGTGTAGGAAAGCTGCGGGGAAGGGGCAGTGTCAAACCCACTGATGAGGTGGTGGGCCTCGTCATCGATAAAATCGGCAATCGGGTCAGGAGGGGGCTTTGTGCCAGTAAAGAAGTTGATCAAGACCTGGACGATCATGAGCACAATGCCGATCACCGCCAGCACAGCCCCGAGGATCGGTAAGGCTACGCTCATGGTGCCCGTCACGGCCCAGAGCCCGACCTCAGACCCCACGTTGATCACATCCAAGAGCACCGTCAACCCCTGCACAATCACGTTCAACACGCCCATCACTTTGCCGGGATCCGTGAGAGAGTCCCAGTCGTTGGCTAGAGAGAAGGACATCGCAACTACCAAGCCAATGCCCAAGATGGCGTTGAAGATTTTCAGCAGATTTCCTGACCAATTGAACCGGTTTGCCGCCTCTTCATAGGCAGGAGGGACCTCTGCGGGAGTGGAGTTAATGTCTTCATTGAAGGATTCTTCGCCCTCAGACGGCGTGGCAATCCCGTCGTAATGAAGGCCATCCGCTATGACTACCTGGTAGTTTTCGTCCCCGGCGATCTTTTCTGCCATCTCACCCATTGTCTCAGCATTTTCCATGACTTCCTCCGTCACCCTTTCACTGAGAGTTTCAACATTGAGCTCGTCCTCAGCCGTCTCTGTTGGTTTGGACTGGAAGCTCTTAAAGGCATCTATCGCCTTGTCGACTGCGTCCGTCACCAATCGAATCGTTTGAATAATCACGTCTGCTCGTTGAGGATCGGACATAGTATCCCACGCCGTCACGAGGGACCAGAGATTTACTGCCGCCATTGCCACCATCATGCCAACCTATATTGGAGATTTTAGCTGATCAGCCTTGGAAGGTAGGTTTTGTGGGAGGGGGAGAGCCTATACCATGCAAATGCTTGAAATCCCTTTCAACATGTTCGCACCTGGCAACGGTATCTTCTTGGCGACTTGATCAAAGGCTTCCCCTACCCATTTGAACAGCGAAGCGCCTCCGAAAGCAACCTGTAACCCTTTGCCAATGTACGTCAGCCAATGTGTCAGCTCCCTCATAAACGAGGCACTCTTTTCGAGGATCGCCGCGGCGCGCTGCTCGGCATCGGCCTGCTGATTCAAATTATTCTGCTTCTCGAATTCCTCAATTTGTTCCTGTAACGCAGCCCTGACGTCACTAGAAATGGACGGATCGTCATTGAGTACCTTGACTATGAGATCGTGCATGGAATCGTGTAGCCACGGGTACTTGGCATCCTGATCCTCATCCTGTTCGATGTCCGAATAATGCAGGCCCTCATCCACTATCATGCCCATGATCTTGTTGAAAAATTGCTCCGAGTAGTTATTTGATGGACTGAGCGCATCTAAGATGTTGCACTGCTTGTTTATGAGGTTGTTGCCCTAGAAAAAAAAAAGAGAACCTGTAAGTTTGGGGCTGATTGTGTAAACAGTTTAAATCAAGCAGGAACGTGCTAGGATGGTACTAACACTGTTGTCAATGGGGAAATGAAGCCACTTTTGAAGCTGCCGATCATCCTGGAGAAGGTATGTGCAAAGGTCGCTAGCCCAGTTATCGGGGTGGTCCGCTAGGTACGGTTCCAATTTTTCCTCATTCGCTCGGCGCATTGCTTCGCGGGAACTCAGGCGGTTGATGTCATTGTATTCTTGACTCTGAGATAAACTCTTCTTGCCATTCCCCTGCCACCAATACCAGAGATCATTCATCTCCTGGGTTGTGAACTGGTTCATATACTTGGACGTCCGTCCGACATAGCGACAGATGAAGGCGGGGGCATACTTGTTTTTGAAGAACTCCTTGAGGTCACTTGGTAGACTGTCTGCAAGAGCGGCTGGAATATCTTTGTCGACCAGCGGTTTGGGCTGCTGCAAGATTTTTTCTCTTTGGGTCTCGTCCATATGGTACAGCATCATTTCTTTGATAAGAGATTGCGAATCATTATGAACCTGGGTTGCCAGCGTCAGATTGCGCCTTTGTTCAGATCATGATGGAAAGACATCGAACTTACCGATTTTTCGTCATAGCCTCCCAGGTTCATCAGATCTCGAATACTTGGTGTTGCGAGGGTAAGAAGGTTTTGTGTAATCGACGCTGGTCGGAGCCGATCGTCGTCGGTGGTGCCAAACTGCCCGGGCCTGACGACGGCCGCGTAGGCTTGGGAAATCTTAGAGCGACACGCATGGACTGCTGCCGTCTCATTGAGGGTGCCTGTTACCAGATGACTGTTTTCAGTCAGTATCAGAGCGTGTGGTCATTGACTTTTTGCTTGCCTGGGGCTTATACCGGTTGCCCTTGTTCCCTCGTTTCGTTGGGTCATATTCGAAAAAGTACCCGGTTATCTTCTCATTGAGATAGTCGCTATCATCCAGTTTCAGAGTCATCTCCTGGAAGAGTGCTGGTATAGTCACATCAATATTCAGGTCCGGGAAGCCAACATCGAACGTCTTCTTGAGGTCAAGTCCAGTATCGGACACAAATGGAATCAAAGGTGCACGGTTCCATCGCACGGTATATAAGTCATAGGTGTCCTCATAGTTCTCATCATTGCTGTATAGCTGTCCGGCCACTTGGTAGAAGTCGCCGAGCTGAGTCCCGTGGTTTTCGTTGATCTTTTCTCGTAGATTATCGATCAAGGGGAATCTGACCCCGGGGACATCAACTCCCTGTGTGGTCCACCAGCCATCCTCAATCGTGCCCGCATCAACGGGATCGGTAGGTTCGGGCTTATTACCAGAATCTGCAGGCCACGGATCGCGATCATATGTCATCTGCCACTCGCCCAAGGTAGTCCATTCACCCCCATTGTCATCCGTGGCTCGCGGACTGGCCAGTCGCGGGTCCAAGCTTCGTCCTCGTGCCTCAAAGGGATGGATTTGGTCCCGAGAAGGCGCTTTCTGAGGCTCCGACTCAGGAGATAAATAGATGACACCCCGTCCCGCGGTTGCTTGGGAGTAGATCTCAACAACGCCATGCTCGAAGAGCTCCTGCTGTGACAGTTTGCGCGTCCAATGGAAGCTTCTCTGGCGGGGTTCGTAAGTACTCCGTAGCAGTACCTCGTCCTCGGCCATGAGATATCCGTCGACGAGGGTCAAAGTAGGGAGCTGATAACCGGCTGGAAGGCGATCCGGGACCCCAGCCTCCAGGGAAAAACGTCTCTTGAGACGCTCAATCGCCACTCCCTCGGGCCTTGCTAAGTTCTTTCTCATTTGCAGCCGTTCTTTGAAGGGTAAGGAAGCAATAGGCTTCCATGGCCCAGGCTTTTTACCGTCAGGGGAGCCGTATTGACCGAATAGCTCCCAGTTTAGTCGTTGGGAGATGGACTGGGCGTCGAACCGATGGAACATCGACGACAGTTCTTTGCAGGTATACAAGAGGCCCAGTCGCTTATCCACGGGGACTTGACGCAGCCTCTTCCGAGTCTCTTGCAGGGTGTAAACGGGGGCATTGGTGTCGACTACATAACCATGTGCGTGGTAGCTCTGATGCTCCGAGGGAAGCGAAAGCGTGTAGCTCACTCTTGGTTCAGCCGCTTCGCTCCGCTCAATAGAGTTGATCATTATCGTGGTTAATTCAGCCCCTTGAGATTGATAGATCATGTGTCCTATGGCGAGCTGGCCAATATGCCGGTAAGGGTTGATATGTCGTGCTCCCTTGACATCAACGGCCCGCGGTCCGGTCGTCGTATGAAAGACCTGTGAAGCAGGCAGGAGGGGCGACTGCCCGTCTACATCAATCGCATCAGTTCCCATTTTCTCAAACTCCGCTTCGGGTTGTAACTGCACTCACTGAAGCCAACGAGCCCTGGCTCTCCCGGCTGTCGAACGGGCTTTTGGCGGATTACAACAGACTTGCTGGGCTGATCGGGGACCAGGATTTCATCGCCTGGACGTAGGTCTTCCACGGGTCGTGATCCCCCATGCGCGAGTGAGATGGGAGTCCCTGGCAGGACACCACCCCCAAAAGAATTGCTGCGTCCAGCCCACGGTTCGCCCGTGACAGGGGAATAGCTGTTCCATCCGTAAAGCATCTGTTGATCGTAGGCTGTGTCCATAACATTCCCTCGTCAGAAAGGGAAACGATCGCTTAGAGAGTTGAAGGTCGTTCTTGTAAAACATACCGTACCTCACCCAAATTCTGACTGAATCCCATTTGCTGCCCTTGAAGGCGCGATACATTCCCGTCTCCCAGAGGGGCACAGCCTCAGCTTCCCATTGATGCGTTAGCATCATAGAGTACGACTGCCACTCATTCACGATTTCTTGACAATCCTGGAGACGGGCCAAACTATCCCCGAGTGCCTTCTCGTACGCATCGTCGGCGAACCGGCGGCTTCCACCCATATCGTAGAACGCCCTCGTCACCGTGAACGTTTGCGCGGGAATTTGCACCCCGGTCTCGGCATCTGGGGGGCATAGGCCGACAGTGGCCGCCCGGCCACAGAAGCGGACAATGCAATCCATCAAGTCGGGATCATCCTTGCCACCGCCCTCAGCCCAGAGGGTGTAGGACCATTGCACGAGAGCCTTGTAGCTCGATCGGTTTTGGAACTCGATCCCGGCGAGCGGGGTATCGCGGCCGACATGGTCTCGGTCCTGCATGTAGTCCGCAATGATAAGCCAGGTGATACTGAACAGATGATCATTCCGCAGCATATCGGTACGGATCTCCGTCCGGATAAATTCAGGATTGGTGATCGCCTGCAGGCAATAGTCCTGGAAGTCACCGTAATGCCAGAGGTCGTCGATGGTCATTGCGCCGCGCGATTTGAGGTCGCGGTTGATGTGCTCAATGAGGCAGAAAGTGAGGAGATTCGTGATGCACTCGAGATAGCGAAGGTGTGAATTGTTCTTCGGTGATTCAAAGTACCGGCGTCGTATCAGTCAGCGTCATGTCTCCGTGGACAATCCGGGAGAATTGGTAACCCTCTATGACGGAGAATGTAAAATAGATCAAATACCTGGTCCACATATTGCCTGTAATTCTGAGGATCATCGCTACTGCTAATGCTCGCCATTCCGTCGGTAGCCGAGGGGATTGAAAGCTTGTTGAACAGATCCCAGATGGAAAAAATGTCGAGCAGCGCATTGTCGGGATCCGGGTCGTCTTCAGGATAGGTTGCCGACCGATCAACGCACGCCCGCAGTTCATGGTCACTCATGTCCTGCTGGAAAGCATTGCGGACTTTATTGTGTAGTCGGTGGGCATAGTCAACGTAGGGCAAGGCCTTGAGGCCTTTGGTGGCTTGCACGGCCTCAGCAAACACTTGCTGCAGATCGTCGGACATGGCTTTGAGAGAGCACACGGTCCTTTCTTTCTTCAAGATTTTCTATGATCGAGTATTCTTTCCGGGTTTCCCAAAGCAACGAAGCACTTCTCGAGGCGGTTCACTGGGGGAAAGAAAAGGGATCGCCTCTCCTCTCCTTTTATACCCTTCGAGTTGTCTCCGTACCTCTGGTCTCGCATGAGATCGGTAACACCCATAACCATCGAAAAATCATTTCGCCCAGCTCTCCGCGCGCGATGACGACAAGACTTCGTCGTTGATGGATGGTGGACCAAAGGTGACATGTCAGATGTCGCGATGATGCAAGCATGTGCTAGGCCTGCCATCCGGCAGAGCCAAGGATGCGTCAACCTTCGCCGAAGTATATGCACCCTCAATTGAATGGGTTGGCTGTTGTGGATGGGAAATTTGCCCGATGCGCCCAGATTTAAAAACTTGGTTTTTAAATTGAATCAACGAGAGCAACGTGTTGTCCTCTGTGCATCGCTGACGATCGTCGTCGTAGACGAAACTTATTTTTGCAATGCCGCGCTACGAGCTGCCAGTGAGAGGCCGAAATAAGCTAGAGCGACCCAGTAAGTGTTTCGCAGGAAGATAGTATGACTTTGCGATTGGCAGGATGCATTCAGGAAACAGTCTCCAATGGATTCCTGTACTGCTGAGCTGTACCTGGCCGTCTGCAACCGGTTATCCGACTGGGATCAAATCAAGGAAGGCGAAAACAAGCAAACCGGTTCTGCTCATTGAGCTGTATATTTCAGTTCCTTTTGTAACCCTGCAATGAAGATGCATCTGCGCTCGAGGACTTCGATTCCTGTAGTGTAGCATTGACCCTGAAGGATTTGATTGTATTCAGCCTAATATTACCATCATACATCATCAGCAACAAAATATCTTGGTACAGACACGAGCCCTAGCGAACCGATCTCGAACCTCATAAGATAAGGAGAGAAGCGAGTGGAGTGATGCTCGCGACGGGCCGTACCCGATCAGCCATCGTCATTTATTCTTGGCCACGGTATGTCTAAGGCTGGGGTCAAAACTTGGAATAGCTTCTTCCTTGTCCTTTGCCCCGCATTGGGTGGAAATCTGGGAGCTCACCTTTCTGCAGAGGTCAAACCATCGAGACAAACCCGGGATAGTGAGTGGTTGCTTCCCCGCACTGGGAGCTGCAGTTCGCAGCTCTAGTTTGCAGTAGCTCGAAAACAGCAGATGTACAAGATCGAAAGGAGCAATCTGAATGGGCGGTTAAGGTAGCCCGTGCATGGGAGCTGTCAACCTATCCGGCCGTTGCATGAATCATGGGCGACATGCGTATACCTTGGAGGTTATGAAAACAGGGGAGAGAGGAGACAGAGCCGTAATCGCGCATGTCATGAGGGATTCTTTGCATGGCGAAAGAATGCCAACACTGCAATCATATGTATGCTGTGAGGAAAACCTTCCAGGATTGTGACTGTCATGCTTTCCTCATTCTGCAGGATCTCACTGCCATGAGCTTTTGGCTATGTTGAACCGCCGTGGCGTGACCTCTCTCTAACATCTCCAGTATCCAGCTCCAGAGTCCGACCCTGACCACCCTTTCTTATTCATCTTGCAGTGTTCATCATTGCAAATTCATGATCGCCATGGCGTAGCTCTTGTGCTTCATGGAGATATACCCCATTCCGACATAGTGGGTCACCCAGCCCAGGGTTGTACCGCCGAAATAGAGGTTTGTGAGGGGCCGGACGGCCTGATATGCCGGCGACGCGTTGCTGGCGGCTCAGCCGTGCAGTGCATTTCCTGTAGCATCATGGATGAAATCTTTATCTGGCTAAGCTTTATTAGTCCCGTCGCCTCTTGACAGACCCCCACTCGATCAACAAACTCTCCCCCAAGGTCGCACACGCCAGCCCAACAACCAGATACCCTGTCTGAATGATACTGCAATCGAACGCGATCATCGCTGCCGTAGGCTCAACAGGTGGCAGGCTTGCGATGATCTGCATCAGCCCCGTGCTGTTGATGTTTTTTCCACTCGGACCCGGGACCACACCACTAGGATTGTGTGAGAGCTGGTTGACGAAGAGAACCTGATCGATAGCAATCGCGACCGCGGACCAAAGACTGCGCAAACAGCATGACCGAGGTCCTAAGCATGACATCGTCGGCTGCCAGGAGAATTTGTACGACGTTTAATGCTTGGGACGGCTGTGGCGACAACGTTCATGTCTCTGCTGACGAGAAACGAATACCGCCTCCAGGGTGATCATGAGAAGCCAAAGTTTTGTGCCTGTTCGATACTCGGCCGCATCTGGTAAGGAGGGATGGTCAGCAATCACGAAGGTGCTTGCCCGCCCGTTGGTAAAGACATAAGGTCTTTTGGGGTCTTCAATTTCCAGCGTGTGAGACATTGAGGTGGTTATAAGCGTTGGTGCCCGTTAATGCCAGCTACCACCGATGAATGCTTCGTTGAGGAAAGAGCAGAACCTTCCTGGTGATGTTGATGAGGCTGGATTGCCTTGGCTCTAGTAATTACTAACGTTTTCTCACAAGACAAGCTGCCAGACCAGTCACTTCAAAATTGTCTTTTCATCCATAATGAACTTTTCAAAATGTACACAGATCCTGGGTCATTATATTCACACTGTTACGGCTATTGTATCTTTTACTCCTTGTGCAGTACCTTTATTTCGAATCGTTGATCCCTGTCATCAAGGTCAACTCGTAGTGAAATAGAGTAGTGATATAAGCACTTTTACAAATCACTAGTGGGTTCATTATAGTTATAATGATCTATCTCCGTGCGGGGAAGCCGAGCGGAGATACGGACCGGAGATGCGGAGCGGAGAATTCCGCCCCACAGCAAAGGAAAAGATACACATCACCAAGCTCTTGTTCACCCTCGAAGTTATGTAAAGGGAATCCGTGTTATCTTGCATTGATCAATAGGGGACAATCAGCAAAGACGCATGGCAAGCTGGAGTTTATGACAGTCACTTGTCATGTCACTAATATCTGCAGTAGAATGCAACACTAACTGCGACCCCTACATCAGCTGGACGTATAGACTCACTCTATCATCCTTTCGCCATCTATCGCACTAAACGGACCTTCTAATATAATCGAACCAGCGCCGCCCTTTACGACCTAGCACCTCAAATACCAACCCTCCATCCATCACCAGACAGAAAGTGAACCCATCATTGCGGATCAACATTAACCGCATACTTACTCTTCCGTCGAATTCTCGGCCCAAAGACATACAGCAAGTACGGGACGACAGTCATGACCCCACTAATCGCACCCAGGATAGTCAGAGTATAATGCACCCCGATAGCACGGTAAATCGGACTCCCAGCCACCGTGACCCCGCCCGCCACCACGTATCGTGTGAACACCAGGAACCCCAGAGCCGACGCCGAATATGTGTCATACGCGTCGATGAGATACATGTACGAGATGATGAAAATGGTGGTGATCCCGTACCCAAACAGCACTGAAGCCACAAGAGGAGACCAGATCGAGATGGAGGGCTGCGTGTGGATTAACGTTAGTCTGGGCCATACATCTTGCCGGAGGTTAAGGCGAAGGGACACTCACGTTGCTGGTCCAACCCATCCAAAACAAGCTCACCGGGACGGCAGGTGCCCCGCCGAGCATCGCGTACCAGAGCCGGGTTTCCGGCCTAATGACGGAGGTTTTGGCGTATTCTTTAACGGTCCAGGAGTAGATGAGCGGTACAATGCAGCTGACCAGCAGGGAGCCGACCAGCATGCCGGCCCAGCATAGACTAGTCAGACCTTCTGAGATGCCGTAGGTCTCGCCGAATATGAAGCTGTAGCCTTCCAGGAAGGTGAAAAGGACGATGTAAAGGATTGTCAGGTAGAGAGAGACCAGGATGATGATCAATTCGGAATAGAACATGGCGAAGGGCCGGTAGATCGAGGTCCGGAGCCGGTGCGCGAGCCCTTCATGCTCAATTTCCATGGGAGCCCGGTACCGCTCGTCGCCGGTCATTTCTCGTAGGATCTTCGCTTTCCAGTACAGGATAAGACTGCCGTAGGTCTCGGGCTGCAAAAGGAGAACAGCCACCAGAACGGCACCACCAAGAATCAGCATCATCCACTCCAGCCAGCGCCACCCTATCGTTGTCGGAATGTAACTGCCAATCATTTGTCCAAGCATTGGTCCCGAGAAGGCCGGGATAGCGTATACGGGAAAAGCGTAGGCTTTCTCGACGGGATTCCACAGATCGGCCACAGTACCGCCCGCGCAGCTCAGCGGCGTCGAAGCGAAAAGCCCGGCGAGAAAACGGAAGATGAGATGACTCTGCAAATTTGGTGCCAAGCCTGCAGCCATGATAAAGATCAAGAACACCAGCATTGTCGTCGAGTACACCGCGTTGCGCCCAAACGTCTCGGAGAAAGGCCCGGATAGGAGAGAGCCGAACGCAAAGCCTACTAAGAACAAACCTAAAGCGATTCCAACAGGGGAACAAAGTTCAGTCACCGTCGAAAGGTTTGTTCAAAATCAATTGGTACCAGAACTTCAAAGGGATTAACACGTACCCGTCGCAAGGGATCCAACTACCTCTGATATTTGAAAGTCTTTACTATATTCCCGCAGCCCGCAAGCATCGATTGCAGATGTCGCAGTCACAGCTACTGCAATCAGAGACACTAAGAGCGTCAGGGCTAGCTTTCGCTGTACGCTCATGTTGGCAGGTTTCAGGGGATCATCGGGTCCATCCCAGCCAACGGCGATCACGTCGCAGCTCGCGTCGATGGTAGGCCCGGAAGGCTGTTTTTCTCGGGTGCTATCAAAAGAGCCTAACTGGCAGCTATTCAAGCAAAGGATGTCAGAAATATCCCGATAGGTATGCTTGAGGTGGTTACCTGGGCTTATGCACGAAACCGACCGTATAGCCTTCACAAGTACATTTCTCTTCGATATTCGACAGAGTTTGGCGAACCGCTCGCCGGATTCGCTGATATTGCAAGTATGTCTCCATGGTTAGGTCTTGGTTGAATTTTGCAACCGCCAAGTTGAGACCAGATACCTGAAATAACGAAGGAAGGCACTATTAAGTGCTCACGGGGTACAATGGACCGGACAACCAAATATAGTTTCCGACCTCACATAAACTTCTACATCTCCGATCCTTTTCTGTGGCGATCGGAGAAGAAAATGTGGAGCCCTGCTTATCTCCGCTTCACCTGTTCCATTCTCCTGTCCTGCCCTCCATTTTCTCCATGTCTGTCTTAGTTTTCCCTGGAACAGGAAAGTGTTTGAATACGAGCTTCCCACAGTATTGAACAATTGAATTGGAATCAGCTCAAGTCACCGGGAAAAGGAGCGTTGTGACATGTAGGTTGGTTATTGTCCAAGCGGTATGACTGACGGAGTATGCGCGTATCATAACGGCTGGGCCGAGCAGATCGTGCTCTGTGTTATAGATATCTGTAGCCTCGTGCAGTCCATATGAAACAGGACCCAATGGTCGAGCGATCTCTAGATCCTGACCGGAAGGTCTATCCTTCGTGAACCCGCAAGGTCCAAGGATTGTATAACTTCTATTAGATGTGCTTTCAGCAACCTGGTTTTCTATCAATTCGTAATAATCTTGCCCTCCCTCTCCCATACTGGGAGATCCCTTACGTGGGAAGACTGCTCGAAGCGGGAGCCAAGCACTAAATAGGTCAGCAAAAGGGAAATTTCAGCCCAGTTCGCGGAAGAATAATTACCCAATTGTTGTAATCGGCGTCAAACCATTCCCGCATATCAATCCCGTCTTCAAACAAGTTCTCGACCTGTAGCTCTGTTGGGATTTGAAACTCCGAATCCCGTGCAGCCGACTGAGACCAGTCATGAAAAGTCAGCCAGCGAAACTATGAAACCACATTTATGGTAAACCTACTGCATGTGACTCAATATGGGATAGGCCTTGAGGCATGTTGCGCTCCGACCAGAGCAGCTTTCCATACGGGCCATGAGACCCTGCAACTCCTGTCGGTAAAAGCTCGAATCCCACGATGGTGGCATATCGGCGATGCACGAACTGAGCGCCACGGCAGCGTGGAGTGCTTTCAAGCTCACCACCCCGTTGAGCAACCAGATGAAGTCTCGAAGCAAAGGCACCTCATAGATTTGGCGATGTATAGAAATCACTTTCACCGACGAATCAATACATCGATCCCTTGAGGCGGAAATGAAGCACGGCGCTTGCGAGTGATGGAATGGACGATTGAGCAAGAGCAGAAGATGATGCGCGTACGTTTGCAGAACGCACCAATGGGCGTAGCTGGAATCAAGCAGGTTTGGCGCTCCGTCGATCATGTATGTCGAGTCCCACAGTCTTTGCTCGGTAGAGATTGCGGCATCGAATTCCTTCAATGGCTCGGGATCAAGCCTCGAGGCACCGGATATATGGCGGCAAATGCGGGTAGAAAGTGGAAAGAGACGAATCTTGAACATCATGACAGACATCTGCGTCGGCTCTTTGGGAGGCTGTGAGATACCTTCATTCGTAATGTCGTTGTCATTCACATTTGCCGGCAATGGGACCTTAAGATCGAGGAGAAATGACATGTCGACATCTCGAAACAAAATGCTTTGATAGGTATGTAGCGATAGAAGGCCGGCCCAGCAGCGGCGTCGCCTTTCAGCTTCGATTAGACCAAGTTGCTGATTCCCAGCATTGCACCGTAACGCCATCCCGATGTTCAAAGCCATTCCCAGTAAGGCCCATCCCTGATCCACGGAGCCATTCTGAGAGAGTTTATAGATTAACATCAGCAGAGCCTCAAACGTGCTGAACTTGTATCGGACAAAGAATTGGTCCTGTGAAAGGCATGTCATCGCAGTTTTCAACATCCGACGTGTCAAAGAGAGTGTCTGCTGGACGGAATCGCCCGTTCTTTCTAGCCACAAGCCTGCCAAGCGGGGGTTACTTGGTTCCACGGCGTTCAGCGCGATTGTGCACATCGAGAACAGCAAGGCCAGCTAGGATAGATCCACACCCAGCGGCTGCTGCGTGAAGGCGGTGTACTGTCTTTGAAATGTTGGGCCATGAAGAATGGGGAAAAGAGGCGAAATGTGGGTGAAGAAAGGGGAGATGAGATAGTCTAGGCAGGGTCTTGGAGGCAGCACTTCGATGATTTCCTGAATCGAGAATCCCGGACTGATGGAGAAGGGAGACGTTGCATCTGGTACAAGATACACGTTATGCTCTCCAACTGGTCTGTCCAATACCGCTGGCCAGTCGCTGCTTAGATTTACCTGACTTGCGCCTGGCTGCTGGGATGCTGGAATGCTGACGAGATTGCACTGCTCCGGCGCAATGGCGCCGACTGCGAATCATTCGTAGCCGTTGGCACATTCGAGCGACGGTCATGTGATCGTGGTTGATGAGCGGTGCGCGCGGCACTGGGCGGAAATGCGCAGAGAGCGTCTCGTCCCCTTCGTTTGCATGATCCGCAAGGCTATTGGCGATCGCAACGCAGCTTGGAGTGTCGACATCGCTCGCAGCTAATAGGTTTTCGTTTTCGGCGCGAGGAGGCGGAGCTTTGAGCTGGTTCCTGTCGGAAATTGACTGGAGTTCTTGGGCTTAACAGCTCTGCCATATCTTTCTATTCCTCTAGGCTCCTTAGTCAACGTCCATAGGGACTGGGTAGTGTCTTACGCAAGACGGAGCGGAGACGTGGGAATGTAGAGCAATGAGCGGAGTTAAAGATGGATGGAAGATTCGATCGAAACGCAAGAACGCAATTGTTGTCGGAGTCGGGAAGTTCCCGCCGGATCTTCCCGGCCGACTTACTGTGGTTAACGCTTGTGCACTCACTACATGGCAGTCATGACGTAAAACAATATCATACAAAACAATAAGTTTTCAATGTTTACATCTACTATCATACTGAGGAAGTGCTAGCTTATTCACTTTCGATATTCAGACTCAAAGCTTTGTCAATATCAACGTATAGCGCAACAGGTAGCGACCCCAGACTATCTCCGATCCGCCTTCCCGCTCCGCATCTCCGCTCCCACATCTCCGTTGCCGTATCTCCGTCATGTTATCTCCGTCTCCGTTGGGTCTTTGTCCCAATTTGGACTTTGTAGATATATAGCTTAAAGCTTTGATCCAATGCAAAAATCAGTTTTCACAAGTCCAAGACCAACCTTATAGGGAGGTAGTAATCAGAGCCCACGACACCCAGATAGCTCACTGAGCAGCCTCAACCTCGATCAGAGCCTTGAAGGCATTCAAAAGGTTACGCTGGAGATATGTGAAAGGCTCAATCCTTACGCTGAGCAGCAGAACGCCCCGCCGGCTGGATTATCGGACATCTTTCCCCACCAAATCAAGCCTCTACGCTCTCTTGGCTCGTTGCGTGTTGATCGCATTCGATGCAAAAGCCTGCAGCTGTTCACCCAGCCACTGCACCAGAGCAGTGCAGATGCTGTTAGCTAAGAGCCACGAGTAAAGACGAGTTTCTGAAAGAGAGGTAGGATGTAACAACACTTTCAAAAACAACAAACACAGCCGTGAGCATGACAATCTTCTTTACACCAACTTCCACAATTCACACCCGATCGAGAACTCCAACCAGCATAGCCCCAACGGCCGTAATCATGGGTGCATACCCCCAATGCCCCCATTGTCCTTGCCCCCAGCCCCAACACACCGCCCCATCAGCAAAGGCCACCGCGCTGGAGGCCACTAGCGTCCACCCGAGAGACTGCCGGGTGCCGTAGAAGGCTGCAGCGTAGATGGCTAGCCCCATGAAGATATCGCGGACGCCATAGATATGAATTAGGCTAGTGACTAGCTGGCGCTCGGGGAGGGATGTGGGAAGTGCCCACTCAAAGAAGGTCAGGGCATGCTCGGGGCGGAGGAGGGCGTTGAGTCCGAAGCCGATGAAGATGGTTCCGAAGGCGTTGGCGATACGGGGGAGGGCTGCGTGTTGGGAGAGAGGCATCTTGAGGTATTGGTAGTGGGTAGTTTGGAAGTGGTGGTTTGATTGAGCTTGCAGTGGTGGGGAGGTGTTGGTTGGTTGATGCGTGAAGGATAAGGTGGGGGAAGAGGGAAGGCTGCAGGCTGAAAGAAGACAAGATGGCGTCGGTTGGGCGGTGACAAAGAACAAAGAACAACGAACCCAATTCAACCGCCAAGAAGCCAAAGCATACAGTCAGCCTCCTGGTACTGACAGGTCATTCTCGGCTTCATGCGCACCGAACCACAGCTGAAAGCCTGCAATCTGATTAACTCTTATCGGCGGATAACTAGGTATGTGACAGACGGTTACTCCACCAGAAAAAGTGGGACTACCCGTTCAGTCCGGATTGTTATCATCCACCTTGCACCACCGTCCGTGCATGAGGAAGAAGGATGTTGAGAGAATAAATCGATGCACACATTCCATCCTGCAATCTCGCCCGCGGCAAAGTGTCCCGAGCTTCTGGAGCGAGACTCCAAGCCCCAGCGCCACGCATCTGACTAGTGAAGTATGATCACATCCGTCGGTTATCTTCTGGTAGTCCGGCCTTGTGACAACGCCTAGAACTCTACCGAGCCCACAGACGCACAAGGCTGTTGGTTTTCCGTTCCTGATCGGGAGCATGACAACACCTATCCAACGCCTCAAGCGGGGTCAGTGGACGACGACCCTCTTAGAGACCCCAAGATACCGCCGGGGATCTGCAGGACATCGATAGTTCCTGCAAGTTCTTATCAGCTGCCCACGCACGCTGCGTGAATTCTCCGAATGCAGTCACAGCGGGGGCGGGCGTGTAATAGGGCCTCTGGTTGGATTGACGACGACGCGAAGGGGGATGCATTTGCAACTAATTTATCTCGTCTTCCACTAGCTCTTATCTTCGATTCTTGTTCTGAAAAGATGCAGACAACAACACCCCGTCACTTTTGAACATTTGCATATTCAAGACTACACGAGCCATTGTGACCGGAAACAACCCGTCTACCAGTGTAGTGCTCCCTGGAGCAAGACATCAGGCCTCATGCTCGGAGTATTCCCTCTCATTCCACAAATCCACCAATGACCACTGGGAATGTGTGCGGAACGTGCATAAGTGCCTGCAGCTACGATGGAGACGGCACACAGCCCGGCGCTTAAATGTATTTTTATCGTTCCTGTCATTGGGTTCCGTTCCCCTGGGACCTCGAATTCGTGCAATGATTGGCTGTTGACGGGGAGGATTTACTATGATTAGAACTCCCAAAATAAACCGGAGAAAGGGTCATGCAGCATTAATTTGCGGGAGATTCATCGGCCGCGTTGGCGTCACTCCATCAGCGGGTTTACCCCTCTTTTGACTCCTGACCCGACCCGGATGGTGGTTATATTCTCCTGTCATGCCTACCGTCCTCAGGCTTCTGATTTTCTCTTCGCTTGCTCACAGCTCTCAGTGTGGTCTGGAGTTGCAAAGTTTCTTTGAACCAAAACATCGCTTTCTGTTCTGGTTTGATCAAGTGCTCTGATCACCATGGGTGTCATGCGTCTACCTCGCCCAACAGGCGTTTATGTGCCTGCCAGAAGTCTCAGTCCTGAAATCATCTCGTCCCCTCTCTCTCCTAGTTTCAACTTCGACTCGGAGACCCTCACTCCCTCAATCATCCCTGCTCTCGAGTATATCTCCGCCAAGCTGGAGCAGAAGATGATGCACGTTACCCTTCTGGTCGGTCGGGGCAAACCCTACCCAACCGGACAGCCCTCAGACCTCATCATCATCCCCATCACCCAACTAGATTCCATCACCCGGCCAATCGTCTACCGCACCGTCGCCAAGGGCGCCAGCAAGTTCTCGCTGGGCCAGAGCTGGATCGACGCTCTCAACCGGAGTCAGTACGAAAGCGCGGCCAATGATTACCTCCGACAACAATCCATCATGCAGAACGAGGTGATCTTTAGCCGAGAAGGCCTGACACTGCTCAACGTCGACCGCATCTACACCTTCAAGCGCCGACTGTGCATCCTCACCAACCGAGGAGTCGACCCCGAAGAGTCATACATCACCTCCTGCACGCAGCTCCTTCATCGCACCATCCAAGACTTCCACGGTCGGCCTTTCAGCAAGGCCTTCTTCCACCGCGTCTACGAGCAACTGAATGTATCCGACGAGCTCCTCACCCGCGTGGCTGACACGTACAAGAAGCAATACAACGATGACGGCATCATCCTTCCCCCGCAGCCCAAGGCCGAGCCTCCACGAAAGGTCGAACAGCTTCGCAAGGCCGAGGGACCGCGCAAGTCACCGCTCCGGTCCACTCGTGCGTTGCGCCGGCAGGGTCCTCCGCCCACCAAATATGTGCTCCCCGGCAAACGCGGCCCCAAGACACCCTTGTCCGCGTCGGACGTCACGCCAATCACGCAGAATGAGTGGAACATGGTCATCGGGCCGGAGTTCCCTCACCAGGCCAAGGCGACGGTTACCAAGTGGACTCCGTCACCCACTGTCATGGCGGCTGCGTGAAGACTGCTGTTTCGATCAAGGATTCCTTGATGCTCATCCCTTTGACTTCCAAGAGCAAGTGAAGTCACCTCCCAGTCAGCAATGCCTAAACGGCTGGGCCCAGAGACTCCATCCCGCACAAGATCAAAGGTGAGAACACCCAAGCAAAGACCTGAAAAACATACACTAACCAACCGGTGCAGAAATTGTGGCAGTTGAAACACTCCACTTTCATGGTCGCATTGACCAACAAGATCACCCACGGCCAGGCTTAGTGGAGCCACCCGAGCATGTCGGTCGGCAAACTGGCCAACCGGGCGTAGTTTTGCCTCTCGGTACAGGCTATAGCTTTGTGGGGAAATGGCGGGAATGCCAGCATTCCGACCGAGAAAAGAGTCGGGTTCGTGAAGTGAACCGGTTTCTAGTCGGTTCTCAATTGGCAAATGCTCAATCAATCGGGCATCGGCAGATTGGAAATGCTTGGTGGTTACCCTTCTGAATAAGGTGGACACCAGATATGTACTATATTGTATCATTACTTAGTTCGAGTCGAGAAATCGATGACTTCAGTATTGAATCATGCCAAGTAATCAAAGAAGCTTAGCTAGAGTCAGTATATCGGCGCTCTCCGGCACGGGTTGTATGGCTTTTCGTCTTGAGCAAGGTGTTCTCTCAGTGCAACATTCTTGTAGAAAAGATCAGCAGCTAGAAAATATTAGTTTTTCGATGCTCTAACTTCAAATTCAGCTCACAAGCGAACCGTTTCGCCAAACCGACAGAAAGCAGCGGACAACTCCGGCTCTCCCCGAGCGAGCGAACAAGTTTCCCGCTCGAAGCTCTGCGGAGAAAAAGTCGAAGATCCACTGCAGAATTTGTTCGAGCAGCAACTAGACCAGTCACTATCGACCAGATCATTCTGCATTCTGTCGCGTGGATAGTCGGATCCACTGGTTGGTTGGGGTTGATAATTCAAGCATCTAAAATTCTTATCGCCTTCGCAGCGCCTTATCAAGTCTGCCCCTCCCTCTCGAACATTCAAATCCTGCCCTACGCCAGCCAAACCCTTCCCCACACATACACCCGGACTCTTCACCACTTCACTAACACCGACACACCAGTTTCAGCCCGTGGCAGTGTTCTTCAAGGACTGTAGACCTCTCCAGCCCCGTGCGTGAGCCCCAGTGTCCAACCATGCGGGACTCATCCCCATCCCCAGCCGATGCAACCACGGGCATCGACAACAGCGACATGCCCGATCGCAAATGGACCACCAAGGCCTTCTTCAAACAGGCAGAGAAGTCGCACAGTCGACTGCCGGGGATCCGCAAGATCCCACTGCCTGCCATTGGCATTATACTGTTTATCGCGTTGATCAACGTGGTAGTGTGGATAGCCGCCGCGATCGTCCTGGTAAGTCATGCACACCACTCACTCTTTCTTTTTTGCAAAACCTAACAATCTATCCAGAAATACCACCCGTGCGTTCAACCCAGAGACCTGTAAACCAACAGGACTAATCCCAAGGACCCAGATCCCTAGTCTCCAACGCCGTGCTCTCCTACACACTAGGACTACGCCATGCGTTCGACGCAGACCACATCTCAGTACCACGCCCTCCCAAATACACCAACTTGAGACCCAACTAATAACCGCAAAAAAATAGGCCATCGACCTAATGACCCGCCGCCTACTAGCAACAGGCCAGAAACCCGTAACAGTAGGAACGTTCTTCTCCCTCGGCCACTCCACGTACGCTCCCACCCCCACGTATCCCCGTTGTACCACGTCTAACAACCCGCCAGCATCGTAATCATCACCTCAATCGTGGTAGCAGCAACCGCAGCCGCGATCTCCTCGCGATTCGACAGCTTCAGCACAATCGGCGGGATAATCGGCACGTCAGTGAGCGCGGCATTCCTGATTCTCCTCGGGCTGATGAACGCATATATCCTGTACAAGCTGTACCGGCAGATGCAGAAGGTACTGGATCTGCCCGAGGGCCAGGAGGACGAGGTGTGGAAGATCGAGGGCGGCGGGGTGTTGTTTAATGTGTTGAAGCGGATGTTCAAGTTGATTGATCGGTGCGTTTGCCCTTGCACGTCCAACCTTTCCAAACTGACAGGGGTGAAAAGTCCATGGAAAATGTACCCCCTCGGCATCCTCTTCGGCCTAGGCTTCGACACCTCCTCGGAGATCGCACTACTGGGCATCTCATCGGTAGAAGCAGCAAATGGGACGAATTTCTGGGTGATCTTGATCTTTCCCGCGTTATTCACCGGTACAATCACCCCCCCCCCCCCCTTCACCCTAAACCCCGCACCCAACAAAAAGCGATAGCTAATAAACAAACCCAAACCAGCGGGAATGTGCCTCCTCGACACAACAGACGGGGCCCTCATGCTCTCGCTGTACGTCCAACCGTCCGCCAACTTCCTGCCGTCGAAAAGCGATACCGCCTCCGACGCGCCGCTGATGGGCGACTCCGAGAGCCAGGAAGAGGTGGCGCCCTCGCGCAACCACCGCGACCCCGTCGCCTTCCTGTACTACTCCATCGTGCTGACCTGCCTGACGGTCATCGTGGCCATCGTCATCGGCGTCATCCAGGTGCTTACGCTTGTGTTGAACGTCGCCAACCCGACGGGACGGTTCTGGGATGGCGTGCAGGTGGCCGGCGATTACTACGATGCTATTGGCGGGGGGATCTGTGGGTGTTTTCTGGTGATTGGGGGGTTGAGTGTGCTGGTTTATAAGCCTTGGAGGCGCTGGGTTGCCCGGCGGCATGGGAGGAGTATTGTGACTGTGGGGGATGTGGAGAGGTATCGGGATGAGGAGCCTGCGGAGGGTGGGGGTGGGGATAGTAATGGGGGGAAGGGGGTTGCGAAGGGGGCTACGGCTTTGACGGTTGAGCCGGTTGATGGACCTTCTCGTTGAGCTTGGCTGGTTGGGATGGGTTGATATGGGGACGTGGTGGGTAGGAGGTGCAAGCACGGCAGATGTGCATGAGTATACGAGTTTACGATAGAAAAGTTCTGAATACTAAGCTCATTGATCATTGACACCTGAGGCACCCACTCACTACCGGTACCGGCTGCCAACTGCCGGCCGAGTCCCACCATGCCTGAGGCAGCTCTCCTCAAACTGACGTCAGCTATCACGAACCTTGAAGCTCAATACCTATCTCCATCTAAGTCCCGTTGAGCGACATCTGACATCAGTATATCTACTACCGTACTGGACATAATGTACTCACTCAGATAATACACACCGCAATGCTAGATCCCAGTTGAAGCCTTCTACTCTAGTCCATATATATACCACAATGACATAGCAGACGAAGTACATACCCATTGAGCATGGCAAAGTCAGACACAGCATCCACAACGACAGAGCCAGACTCGCGTGACGCTCCAGGCCCAGATTTCTCAAGCTATCCACCAATCTACGTTTTCCAGACGCACCTCAGCATCGAGTCCCTGCACGCCATCGAAGAGGAGCTAACAAACCACAACGCCCGGCTGACGTACGACATCGATGAAGCGCGCCTGATGCTCGGCAAGATTAGCCAGGCCAAGCGCGCAGCGCTGGAGCTGCGAGCGCTGGGGCTGTGGACGGAGGCTATAACCGGGGGGTCGTCACCCCCTGCAAAACGCCGGCGGATTGAACCCGCCGCCATCGCCAGCCCTGAATCCAGGGAGCTCATCGACCTCAACACGGAGACAGAGGATGAAAACGAGGTAGAGGGGCAGCACGGCTCATCTAGACATCTCGTGCCACGAGACCCCACCGCAGCGGAGCAGGGCATCATAACAGTGCTGAACCTAACCTGGCTCGAGCAAAGCATACAACGCGGCACCCTCCTCCCGGAGGCAGAGTACACAGTGTACCACGCGCGCCGAATCGAGCGTCCAGCACCGCCCCAGATCCCCCAGGATCCCCCAAGTACACAAAAAGGAAAAAGCACGCTCCTCCAACGCGCAAAAGCAGACACCGCCACCACCACCACCGCCTCCCCAACCCACACCAAACCCCCAGAAACCCAACCCCAGCACCACCCGCGCACCAAACCCACCCATCCACCCCCAAAACTCTACCGCACGACCACCTCCGAAGCAGACGACCTAGCCACCCTCCCGGAGCCCCCAGACTGGGTGAAAACCCAATCAACGTACAGCTGCACGCGCAGTACGCCGCTGCACCCACCGCCGCCAAACGCAGACTTCATATCCGAACTCGCAGACATCCGATTAATCCGGGAACTGACACTTGACGACATCGGCGTTCGCGCGTACAGCACAGCGATCGCAGCCATTGCAGCGTACCCGTACCCGCTGCGCCGGCCGGCAGAGGTGCTGAGGTTACCGGGGTGCGATGCTAAGATTGCGGGGTTGTTTTTTGAGTTTCAGTCGCTTATGCAGATATTCAGCCAGAGCCAGAGCCACAGCCAGAGCCAATCCCAAGCAGAAGAGTCTTCCACGTCACGGACCCCGGGGCAAGAAGTAGGGAGAGAGCGAGTAAAAGGGAAGTTGAGCGAAGCGCGCCCGTTAAGCGAGGACCCAACCCTGAGCACGCTGCACACCTTCTACAACATCTGGGGCGTGGGCGCCAAGACAGCCCGGGAGTTTTACTTTCAGCGTGGATGGCGGGATCTCGATGATGTGGTGGAGCATGGGTGGGGGGCGTTGACGCGCGTGCAGCAGATCGGCGTGAAATATTACGATGAGTTTCTGGCGGGGATTCCCAGGGAGGAGGTCGAGGGTATCGCCGCTGTTGTGAAGCGGCATGCTGCCTTGGTTGTTCGTCAAAGACGAGAGCACCGGGCTGGGGTTGAGGGGGATTACCCTCTCAAGGATGAGGATGACGAGGGCGAAGGACAAGGGGTCGAGTGTATAATCACGGGCTCGCACCGGCGCGGGAAGCCCGTCTCCGGGGACGTGGATCTGATCCTCTCGCATAGGGACGATAGTATGACCAAGAATCTGGTGGTGGATGTGCTGCGCAGTCTCGAGGCTGAGGGCTGGATCACGCATACGCTTGTGCTGCATCAGGGCAGCTCCGCGCGCGAGCAGCAGACGGCGCCGTATCGAGGGGATAGTGCCGGGAGCGATTCGCTGAGGCGGAAGATGTTTGATTCGTTGGATAAGGGGCTGGTCGTTTGGCAGTGTCCTTATTATCCCTCCCGGGGAGAGGGAGAGCGCAACCCCAACCCCCATCGAAGGGTCGATATCATCATCTCGCCGTGGCGGACGGTCGGGTGTGCGGTGCTGGGCTGGTCGGGCGACAAGACCTTCGAGCGCGATCTCCGCCGGATCGTCAAGAAGGAGCGCGGGTGGAAGTTTGATTCCAGCGGAGTGCGCGAGCGGACGAGCGGTGGGCGCGTGATAGATTTGGAGTCCGCTGGGGAGACGTGGGAGGAGAGAGAGCGGTTGGTCATGGAGGGGCTGGGGATTGGTTGGCGCCCGCCAGAGGAGAGGTGTACACGATAAATTATCTGGTTATAGGGTTGAAGTGCCCCAGGAAGCTGAAAGAGAAGGGGGGTCCGGGGGTTCTCCCCCGGAATGCTTATTCTGGTCTATGACTGGAGTGGGGGTTTGGGGTTGACACCTATATGTACAGTACAATTCGAGCAGAGGAGTGTGCAGTCAACATATTTCACATTGTCTCATAGAGCTAAGTACACACGCAACAAGGCAGACAGAACGACCAAGAAATGAGACACAAAGTAAGGACATACAAAGAATCGGAATCGGAAATCAAAAGCAAGCACAAGCCAAACAATCGTTACACTAGAGCCCTGGAGCTGGTCATTTCACCATATCGTCCTCTTCCTCTCGTGGTATCGTAAGCATTTACAACTCTCATCTGCCCGCCCTCGTCCGCCTGACTGAACGCGTAGCCGCGCTGCTTCCGCATCCGCTGCACTTGGCGAACCTTGCGGATCGCCTTCTGGAACTGCTCCATGCGCGGCCGGTAGTCCTGCACGTTGTATTTCTGGATCTCCTGCACGTGGTGGTAGTGTTGCGGGAAGTACATCCGCTTGGCGTACTTCCACGCGTAGTCTCGCAGGAGACAGATGCAGGGCAGGATCACCACTAACAGGTAAAATGTTGGGGACTTGAAGACCACGGGGATCGTGCCGTAGTACTCGGTCGAGAAGCCGATCGCCGGGGCGGCATAGCCGTACGCCGGCAGGAAGATCAGCCAGATGATCATCGACCCGGGAATGGCAATGAATGTGTATTTCGTCCAAATGTTCGTGATCAGCGCCGCCTTGCCCAGCACCGTCGCCAACGCAGCAGTGTACAGCGTTTCGGCCCACACCCAATGACCAGCGGTTTTGCCGTCGGCCTGGGCACCATCCCAGATAAAGAAGAGCTCTCCAACGATGTACAGCAGTAACGAGTGGTAGAAGCCATTTGCAATCCAGGACCAGAAGCTGTGTCGTCGGAAGAACAGGCCCTTCTGGCCCATCTGGTACAGCTGGGGATACCGATCCAACAAACGCGCAGAGATGAACTGATCACAAATACCCATCGCGAACGGTGGGAGCACGGTGAAGAAGACGTTGTAGAACGAGAGAGTCCACGATTCGTAGATAACTTCACCGGAGAAGGCGTTTTGGAAGGAGTACTACGATTTATCAGTAAATATCTGGTGTAATGTGCAAGGCCACTTACCCAAAATTGCGTCATACAAAGAGCGATGTTCTTGTAGAAGGAATACAAGATCACTCGACTGATACGGTGGTAGTTCCATGCACCGTGGACCAGGAGGAGCTTGCGCAGATAACGGAACTGAGCGATCGAGACATCCGCCGACCGCGCAGCCTGCAAACCTTCGACACCACTGATACCGACTCCAACATGCGCGGCTTGGATCATGGACACGTCGTTGGCGCCGTCACCAATAGCCAGGAGCAGAGATTTGTGATGACGCTTGACCAGCTTGACAACGAGGGCCTTCTGGAGGGGAGACACACGGCTGTTCGAAATTAGTTACATGTTGAGAACAAAATGTAAGAGACACTTACCAGCAAACAACTGCTTTGCACAAGACAGCAAGGTCCAAGAACAGTTTCTCCATATCCTTCTCGAGGGCAAATGTCAGCGAGCGACCGTCGATAATTAAAGCCATTGCTTCAGCCTCGCCAGAGGTTCCCTGGCTTTGAACAGCCTGGAGCTTTTTCGTCAAGTTGTCTCGGGTAGCCTGGGCCGTTTCCTCGTTGACAATGAGCAAAGTCATATCCTCGGATATAAGCTTGCACGACATTCCGATATTGATGGCGGTTTCCTGTCGGTCACCAGTCAAGACCCAAATCTTGATACCTGCCGTCTGAAGAGTATGAATCGTGTCTGGGACTCCATCCTGTAAGCGATCCTCAATGGCCGTGGCCCCCAGAAGGTAGAAGTCTCTTTCAATGAGTTCGGCCGCCTTGTCGAGTTCATCCGCGCGATTTCCGCTGACCGTTGTTGCGGCCTTGTCATAGATCTGGTACCATTGCTGGAACTCTGCTTCAGGGATCTCACGCATTGCCAAACAAAGCGTTCGAAGACCTTCCGATGCATATTCCTCCAAGTGCTGCAAAGTCGCCTCGACAGTCGGATTGTCGGGGTTGAGGCGCTCGAGGATAACGGTATCTGCACCCTTGGTGTAGATCCGGACTTTGCCGTCGGGACAGCGAAAAATAGTGGACATCCGTTTTCGTGTAGAGTTGAACTCACAAACTGCCAACAGCTCGTATTCGTAATCCTGCCCCTCCACTGTGAAGATCACGGACCTCGGCTTGCGGTTGGAGAAACGATATCCCAGAAGCGCAGCACCCTCGACCAGTGCACCCTCATCAGGAGACGCGGCTTGATACTTGATCTTGCCAGGTTCCTTCTCAGATCTTTCGGGGATGACAGTATGACAAGATGCAAGAAGAGTAAGAAAATGGTGGATCACGTCCGAGCTGGGATGGGAACGCAGGTTCTCCCGGAGCTTCTTGAAGTCATGAACACCCACTTCTACACCATCTTCGACTGTAGCGCGGCGGTCCTCCGGGACGTCTTCTCCATACTGTATACCGGCAATAGTACACTGCTTAAACTCCATCATGTTGCATGTCAGGGTACCCGTCTTATCGGAAAAGATATACTCGATCTGTCCCAACTCCTCGACCAAAGATGATGTTCTACAGGTTGCAGGAGTATCGGTTTTGTCGTAGTAGATGTCGAGATCCGCATTGATCAAGAACGCCTGCGCGTACTTTATGATTTCAATCGTCACGAAAAGAGAAATCGGAACCAAGTTCGAGTAAAGGACCCAGTAGGTGAAGATATCCAGAACGAACTGCTTGACAGCGTGCGTACTGCCGTAGTCGAGGTACGTGAGCTGACTGCCCTCCGTTTGCCGAATCACCAAATCACCAACAGAACTGATCACACTGAGCGCCACAAGGATGCCGACCAACATCAGAATCTGCACGTTAACCATGCGTTCGACAGCGGTTCGTTTGATCGGGGTCGCCGTGGCGTTTCGCATCAACTTGGTTTCGTGGCCGGTAAAGACGACAATACCGTGTACCCAGGGAGTGTTGCGCAGAGTCGCACCTCGCAGAAGCAGTTGGTCCGGCGCCAGCGGCAATTCCTTCTCACCACCTCCAGCGTGCATAGTCAACGTTGCCTCGTAGGTGTAAAGACTGCTGTTAGGCTGTTCCGATCGGACGCGCCCGGTCAACCGACTGAGGTCAGCGGGACTGACCAAGTGCGCCGTCTCCGGAATAGCTTGCTTAATCTTCAAGTTGGTCTCACCGTCCAGATTCGCAGTTTCAATGTAGCACAAACCCTCGGGTTCCGACGATGCGAGCAAGACCATGTCGGCGGGAAATGGCTGCTCGGACTCCACGCGAACAATATCACCCACCGCGACATCGATCCATTTGGTTTCATGGAAGCTCGAGCCTTTCAGTACCTGTGTCTTGGAAAAATTCAGCCCCTTATCCGACGACCTCCGTTTGTAATCCTCCACGAGTTCCTTGATGGCTGAAACCAACAACACAATCAACAAGGGGCCAATGGTGGTGTACCGATTCGTCGGGGTAACGTTGGGGATCTGCTGCAGAACGGCGGTGAAAAGGAAGAACAGGTTGGCGTATTTCGAGAACTGTTCGAACAGGAACTTGGGGATGAAGGTGAAGACATTGTACTTGGCGGTTGAGACATGGTTGTCGACGAATTTGTGCGCAGCATTCGCGGGCGGATTATTCAAGACGATCATACGAGGGCCCAGAGTCGACGGATCTACCTTCCTGCGACCGAATCCAAACTTGAAGTCCGAGTTCTTCGGTTTCTTTCGAGCGCCGGGCGCCGCGGACTCATCCGGATCTGCACTGTCCACCCGAGCCGCGCGTGCGCCCGACTCTGTTAGGGGGAGATCCATTTCCGAATACTCGGCGCCCATGCCCAGCATGTGCTTCGCTCTGCCCATCAAGCCACCCCCCAAACCTAGAATGCTGTTCCTTTCCTTCGCCTGGCGAACCCGGCTGTCGGGCTGCAGGTGGTCTACGTCGCCATCATCCAGATCGTAGTATCCGTGTAGGGATCGATCGTCGTCGTATTCGTCGAGGGAGTAGCGGTTGTAGTTGCTCAATCCGGACGTGTGGGAGTAGGTGCGAGACATGTCGGCTCCGGTGTAGGGATCGGTGAGGTAGCCCCCGGTTTGCGCCGGGGGGTGGGCGGAGGAGGTCGCATGTGCGCCCGAATGCGGCGGAGCTCGTCCGCCGACGAAGCTATCGTAGGAAACAGAGGGACGGGATTGGGGTTGGTCGGAGTCGTCGATATCGTACTGTCGCAATAGGTTGTCATCGTTCACGGGCGGACGCTGACCCGTGTTATACATCGGAGCGGACTCATCCAGCAGCAGTTCATCGTTGTGGCCAGCGGCTGGATGAGGTCCGGGAGGCCTACCGCTGGCCATGACGCTGAAGGCGGGCAGACACCGTTACTGCGAGGAGGTGCCCCTGGAGCATTGATTGTCGGGGAGGAAGTGGGTGGAAGTCGCACACAGAGGACCAGAAAAAAATGACGGAAGCACGTCGGGGCAAAGAGAACGTGGTCGGAAGCGAAACAGGGTGACAGGAAGCGGCGGGGGAGGGAGAGAAGTGCAACAGATGGGGAGAAATTCTGACTGCCTGGCAGTTTAGCTCAGATGCCGCGCAAAGGCGTCTGAGGCTAAGCAGAATTAGCGTTGGATCACCGCCAGTGGCTGGGGCCGGGAGATGGGGCGGGCAGTTTGGTCGGGTTCTTCGGGATTGAGGGAATAATGAATAGATTGTTGACTGGGAGATGGTGCTAATTATATGCTAAGCATGATAGGGTAGAGGGAAACTGTTTCAGAGTAATGAAGACGGTTTTGGCAGAGTCAGGCAGGTCTTTCGGTCTCCCGCCGCGTGGTTGAAAGTCGAGGATGGATTGGGGAAAGGGAGTCCCGGTGATGAACCACCATTCGCCGCTTTGGGCTTAGTGTCGCTGTCCGATCATCACCATGCAATGTTCTACAGACCTCATCAACTTACACCTGCACGTAGCCACATCAATACAAACCACCATCTCAAAACAACAACTGAAACAAAAGATTGCAAACGACCACCATACCCTCCCACTATACCACAATCAAGCTCTATCCTCACCCTAACAACAACCGTGCTCAGTCTTACAGCTTCACAGGCCCCATTGCATAGGGAATTTGAATTGCCATACTGCCGAAGCGCTGGAAGAACTTGGTATTCTCGAAGGGAGTAAACTGCTTAGACAGCTCAAGCAATGAGCAGAGACACCGCAGTAATATGATTGTGGAGGGCGACTGCTTGGCGAATTCTATGGTCTTCAAGTTTGGGAAGAAACGGCTATATATTTATCAGCTTACAAGGATCCAAAAAAAGCCGAGTGGAGGGTTGAAGATGGCTGATGAGTTTTGTTTGTTTTTGAAACAATATAATAAACAGGCTTCGTCCTTTCATGGCAAGTAGACCCGAGAGCGTTTATAATGATCACGGACCATTTATGTTTGTCTTATTCCTTGACAAAAGAAAAAAATCATCATGAAGCTGGAGAGGAGGTGACGTGACCGTAAAAGTGTCCAACGCGTTCTTCTCAAAGTCCATCCCGGCCTCACCAGGCGCGAAATCAACATCATACTGCTGGGCTTAGACAGACACTGCGATGCGAAGGCTAAGCAGGGCGAGATTCTTCCCAGGGCAAGTATATGCACCTGTGGACACTACCTTAGCATCAAAACATATCCCATGAGTTGAGCTTGGCTCAATTTATCTTAAGGCATTCTTGCAGTGAGCAACTTAGCCATAGCAAACGGGATAAAAGGGGCCCCATTAGTGCCCAGCCCATCTTTTCTCTCAGCCCATCTCTTCGGAATAAAGCTCGCGGCCGTGTTTGTAATAACTTTTGTGGGTCTGGATGGCTGCACCGGGACGAATACATTCATGTTCCCTGGAATATATACCTCATCAACCTGTAGCCCTTCCGCAGGTATACCCATCATCACCACTGGTCGAAGACGAAGGGTTTCATATATGATGTCGTCCATAAAGGAGGCGTTTTTGACTTTGTCGTACGACCAGTCTTCGTCTCCGTTGTAGCTATCCAACATAAACGGACCCCATTTGGAAGCGCACATTTCATACTGAAACCTCTACCCCATGCCTTCTCCGTTCCTGTGGTCACCGAAGCCCTGTGTATAGTGAACAGAGCATTCTTTGGGATTTGTTGAAGTCTGCGCATAGTAGGATGACTTGCAACACCTTGACTGGGGCCCAAAGTGTAAAGGTATACCGACTTCCGAACGATGCAGATCTCTCGATGGCCTAAAATGTGAGCCTGATCAGCACTACAGGAAGGGAAATCAAGCAGCAGATAGTTATCTGTCTGATGAAGTCACCGGATCGTCTGTGTAGCTTCTCAATCTCCACATTGTATTGCGCGTTCTTTCCTGTCAAATACGCATCGTAGAATCGAAATATCTTGGACCCTAGCAGACCTGGAAAGTGGAGGCGCAATGGGGATCAGGACAGGATAGACCAGGAGCCATTGTGAACGATGATGAAACTGGTGCCCGTGCCAGACCATATGCAAGTCGAGCCATTATTCCCACCCCTCACCTTCATCACTCGTGCTCTCTCGGCTGCATCACGGCTCTTCAGTGGTGGATGAAAGCATCAATCCACATGGTGAGGAGCTAGGACATCAGGCAGGAGGCGGCCGTCCGCAGTGGAGCATGAATCCGATGCCAATGTTCGCGGATTGGTGGGCGCGCAGGAAGCAAAGAGTTTAGCTTGCTGGATCTCATCTGCATCTAAGGACGCCAAGCTATGGCGCTTGCAGGGATGGCATGTCTATCAAAATGGATCGATGCGTCCTCGCAAGTAAGTCGGCTTAGAAGATGGGGGCAGAGTAGAGACAGAACGCCCCTTCTAGTACTCGGAATTCTGCTTAATGTGGTTGGGTGACCGAGTCCTATATCTTATTGCATCCGCCTTTTCATTGGCGGCAGGCAGAGGGGTAAGTCCGCCGTTGATAGTTCGAGCTTGCGCCGACTCATTGATTACAGTACAATGGTCATTGAAAGGTAATCTCTGTTGCTTTTGCGGTCGGGGCTCGCTCCATCTCCCTCCGGTTACACTGCCGATTCTTTGGCCGGAACAATGTAGTCGCTATCGTTGTCCTGATGCGGGCCAGGCCTGGATAAATGGGTTTAGGGCCAAGAACATCATCGCCGGACTCGCCATAGCCCGTGCACTAAATTAACCACCACGGGATTTAAAAGAGTCTTCAATTCCCGCTGAACACTACATGATTTCAAGCGGGTCGAATAGCGACTGAGATTGAGAGTCCAGCCCAAGCACATATCTTGAATTAGACATCAAAGAGAAGTCTCACAAGTTGCTTGACGTCTTGAAGCTGTATTCGATCTAGGTGGGTGTTTGCGATCCTACCCATAAAACCCTACCGATAACGGCCGGGGATATCTACGACCAGGAAACACGGCCAGCTGCCTAGTACAGTTTTTGGCACGCGAAAAACAAGACAGTCAAAGCAAAATGTGATTGCGTATCTTAACCCGTAGACTCCTCGTAATATGCTTGATTGATATCTCTAGAAAGCAAACCCCAACCCATCACCGGTCATTCTCAGCGCGCGATTCCTCAGCCATGCCCTTCTTTGCGCGCATGGCCAAGTCGGCCTGCAGCGCCTTGTCGATGATGGCATTGATCTCCTTGACCTTGTCGAGGGCGACGGAGGTCTTGTTGACGAAGACCATGGCGTCGACGGGGGAGCCGGAGAACTTGGACATAAAGCAGACGTCGCCGGCGTTGTTGAGGCCGAAGACGACGTCGGCCTCGGCGGCCTGCTCCTCCTTGCGGGTGGCGTCAAGGATCACGCGCTTACCCTCGTCGAAGGTGTGGAAGGTGACGGCCAGCGGCTTGTGGGTGATGTTCAGGGCGACGGGCACGCGCTGGTCCAGCCCGTACACGATGACCTGGCCGTCCTTGACGACGGCGTCCGGGCGGCGGAAGTGCTGCAGGCCGGCCATGATGCCGATGCACGCGCCGTCGATCAGGTTGCCGTCGTAGTCCGTGACATGCACGTCCGCCCGGATGCTCCAGCAGCTGACGCCCTTGACGATACACAGCGATTCCGTGTCCAGCGCGTTCGAGTGGCGGATCACCCGGTCTAGGACGTTGGTTACGTACGTCTCGAGATCGCCTTGCCTAGACCGCAGAAGAAAAACCATCAGCGCCGCGCCTCCCCTTTATCTCAATAGAATTCTCACCGTCCATTATCCCACGCCGGAGACCCCATAGCAGTAAGCTCCATCGCAATCGTAAACAGCCCATCAAACGGACGATCTTCGTGCGGTTTCGTAACCTCAGCTGAGACGCGAATCACTAGGCTTCCCCCCGCCAGAGAAAATCAGCATCTTGCATTCTCATCACCGACAACCAGGAAAAACATACCTTGTCCGACCAAGCTGCACCTTCACATGCCCATACTCCTCGCCGAACGACACCTTCAACGGACGCAACTGATCGGCCGCACGCCCGTCCAATCGCACATCCTCGCGCAGCGCATTGAGGATGAAGTCGCGCTCCGCAATCGAGAGCGGTGCTTCTTTATTCATAGTTCGAATATCAGATCTGGCGGAGCGGACTTGGCCCCAGCGGGGGGAACTTTCTTATGGGCAAATTTCCTGGCGCACGCGGACTATCGTCATTGCAAGCGGCGGGCGAACGTTATTCCCGGGTGTGGTCCAATGACACTTACTGGATTATGGGCGGTGAGGTGGGAGCGAAAGAAAAGCAGGTCGCCTGTTGCCCCGGTGCGCCTTAGTGCCTACTGGCAGTACCTTACCGCTTTGGTCCTGTCCGCGGCGGGCGGAGGCTATTATCTGATTCCGCATCACTTCTTTGTCTCTCTCTTCGAACTATTATCGCGCCACTTTACGGACGAACACCATGACTACAGGTATGCGAGACTTCTCAACAGTGATTGGGGTTCATTCATGCTGACATCTTCCCAAAGCACACAGACCTACGTTTGATCCCGTACGTTACCAACTCCGAATCCGATCCCGACTTGAAGAACCGCATCGGCTGATAGGAACCAGGCACAAGGCAAAGAGGCCCTCCGCGGTCCGGCGTACCACCAGCGCCTGTTACCCGCGCACAAGCTCTTGAAGACACGGTAGGATGGACACGCTCTCGAGAATTGTGGGAGGGTCGCTGATGATATCCAGCCAATTCGGCCAAGGTACCGAAGCGGAAGCCAACCAGCGGGATCTGCGCGCGGAGCTGCTCCAGGCTGAGGCCGCCCATTTCGCCAAGAAAAATGGCACGCCCCTTGACGAGCCTGCGGTTGAGAGCGTGACGCCCAAGCGGCAGTTGGAGGGTGGGTCGCCCGGTGGGGACGCGGATACGGGAGGAGAGGAGGATTTAGATGCGAAACGACGGCGTATATTAGAGGAGACGAGGGATATAGATGCCGACTCGGATGGGTCGGAGGAGGATAGTAGTGATGAAGACAGGTGAGATCGACTGGCGGGTTGATTGACGCCGCGCTGACAGGGCTTAGTGATGACGAGGAGGACGAGGCTGCCGAGCTGATGCGGGAGCTGGAGAAGATCAAGAAAGAAAGGCTAGAGCAGAAGGAGAAAGAGGTGTGTTTCGTGCTTCTGGGTTATTGATGGGATACTGATGGTCGATAGGAACGTGAGCGCGCGGCCGAAGAGGAAGAGCAACGAGAATACGACATCGCTCGAGGAAACCCCCTGCTGAACCCCCAGGACTTCAACCTCAAGCGACGGTGGGATGACGATGTTGTCTTCAAGAACCAGGCTCGGGGCACGGAAGAGAAGAGGGGCAAGGAGTTCGTTAACGTACGTATGCTGGCTCTGGATGAGGATTGTATTGACATGAATGCAGGATCTGTTGCGATCGGACTTTCACAAGCGGTTTATGGTAAGTAGATGTCCACAGTTTTTTTTTGGTCTGGGCTAATGAGCGCAGGGCAAATATGTCCGTTAAGTTCGCCTGGCACATGCGGCTCAACCATAGCTACCTATGTATGGTGCTCCTTCAGGCTTCTTTAAGGATGCAATCTAGTTGCAGTATCAGGAGGATCGAGCGTGGGACTCAACAGCAAAGGACGGCAGCTACAGGATGCTCCGTAAGCTAGAAGGCTCAGATGGATACCCACGGAGGATCGAGCAGCTCATGCTATCAATCCTACTCGTGAATCCACACTTCATAGTCACCAACTATAGCCATATATCCATAATACCATACAATGCCACCCACTAACTAACCACGCATCCGCCTCGTTATCGTACCTTAAACCGGCAATACCCAGACCGCCCGGAACCCCGCCCGCGCAACAATCGCATCAATCACAATCACAACCACCATCCCCATCACCACAATCCCAGCCCCAAAAACCCAATACCTCAATCCTCAATCCGTGAAGATGGACTCTCAGCCCTCATCCAAAGCACTCCACAGTAAGCCATCCACCCCGCCACAAACCCAACCACTAACACCTTCGCCGCTAAGATCGCATCAACACAAACATCTCCCAACTCCTCCAACGCTTCGAAAACATAATGGCAACAGCAACAGTGCGTCTCGCGTCCTCGCCCGCCCACCGCAACCTAACTCCTAGTCCCTAATACCTATACCTACAGACAGAAAGCACAAGCCACACCTCAACAGCAGTAGAAACCTACCAGCTAGACGTCGAATCCACCGCACTGGTGAGTCCATCCCATCCCGATCCTCCCCCCGCGCTATCGCACCAGCAGAACACCCCGCTGACGAACCCCGGGGATGATAAATGTATAGGTCCGTGCCGCAGAAGATATCCTTGCGTTGACGCGCACGATGAAAGAGACGTGGCTGTTTGGGAAGTTGGATACGCTGGGCGAGGATGAGTCGGAGGTGAGGCGGCGGGAGGCACTAGAAAAGGATGCCGGGGCGATTCAGCGGGCGATTGAGGAGGGGGGGTTGTTGAAGGCTGCTAAGTAGGGTTTGGGTATACATGTATGCATGGGTGGAGTTTATGGCGTTATGGTAGAGGAAATTGCGTGGGCTGCTGGGTTATAACTATTTGCATGACTGAGATGAGCTGGTTTGGTAACGTGTTTCCAACTTTCATAGAGACTAAATGTCTCTTTCAATTAATGTCAGCTGCGCATACTGTCCAACAAAGCACCTTGGAGACTTGATAGAGGGAATCAGCAGTCGGAGCATCGCAACCAAGCTAGTTACACTCTAATGAACCCACGCCGCGGCGCGCTCTAATCTTATCGATAACAGCTTCCCGCCCAAGCGCAGTCTAAATTCCCCCCTCTCCTCCCTCCATTCCTCTCCAACACAACCACCAATCTCCCCCACCAAATCAACCACAACCTCATCCTCACAACCGACCAACCCAACCCATTGCACCCACAAAAATGCCACCTACACCGAAACCCCTCACCCCATTAACCCTCATAGTCGCCGCGACCCCAATCCCACTCCCACACGCCCCCACCCCCGCAAACAACGCAAACCCGAAAGCCGCAACCTACCGCCTCGGCATCGGCCAAAACGGCACGCTCCCATGGCCGCGCATCCAAACGGACATGAGCTTCTTCGCGCGAACAACCTCTCGCCCACCTTGCCCAGGGACCACGAACGCGATCCTCATGGGCCGGAAGACCTACGACTCGATCCCGCCGTCGCTGCGGCCGCTCAGCAGACGGATCAACGCTGTGGTCACGCGGTCTGTGGAGTCGGTGCGGGAGCGGGTGAATCGTGACCTTGAGGTTCGGAGGGGGAAGGAGGAGGCTAAGCTTCGCGATTCTAAAGCGGATCAGCAGCAGAAGCAGACACCCCGACAGGACGGGCAACAAGGGCAGACCGACGCGGTGGTGAGCGCGGGGCTGGAGGAGGCGGTGGCGGAGCTGGAGGCGGGGTCTGGCGGGCGGCTGGGGCAGCTATTTGTGATTGGGGGCGCGGAGATCTACAAGGCTGCGCTGCGGGTGCAGGGGCGCGGGGTGCGGATTGTGATGACTTTTGTGGAGAAGGTGGGGTTTGAGGATGATGCCTCGCGGGTGTTCGAGTGTGATACCTTCTTTCCTGTTGATGCGGAGTTGCTTTCTGAGACGGGGTGGCGGGTGGTGAGTCCTGCGGAGGTGTCGGGGTGGGTTGGTGAGACTGTGTCTGGGGAGTGGGTTTGCGATGGGGGGGTGCGTGTGCGGATGGTTGGGTATGAGCGGGTTGAGTAATTCCGTGTATATGTTGAGTTATACCAGGAAGCTGAAAGAAAGGGGGGTCCGGGGGTTCTCCCCCGGGACATTATACCTGCAGTATTCACTATGGGGTGAGGTATGCACATGGAGAGGGATGGGGAGGAGTGCTAGGCAATGTACAGTCTTGATGCACTATGTACGGCAACAGGCGGGTTGCCTAAAGGCTCTAAATACACGAACACACAAAAACGCTGGACCAACACCTGGCTAATATACAGGAACAAATCTACTGCCAAACACAAGAAAAGACTAGATCGTAACACATGTCCGAATCATTCGTTCTGCTTCATGAACTTCACAAACGCCTTCTTATGCACCAATCCCGCATATTGTCCGTCGTGGAGAACACACAGGTAGCGCAAGCCCAGCTTGGCGAAGCATTGATACACGAGGTCGATCGGAGAATGAATATCGAGGGCCATAGGTGACTAGGCCGGTTAGCTTTGCACCGTTCAAAGAGACCATCCTACTTACGGGATCGATGTATTGATTGAAGTCCACCCAGTCGGTATTTTCCAGATCTTCGTTGTCGGATAGAGCCGAGGACACATCCATGGTCATCAGACACAGAGTGTTCTCCTCATCCTCCAGGTTGTCAAGCGCATATTCAAGGTCGGGCGCAGGAATCAGCCCCGTCAGAATGTTATGGCGCAAGATCGGCAAGCCACTGTCCAGCTCGCCAGCAATGAGCAGACTCTGTAGTTTCGATCGTAGCTCTGTCGCGGGCACAAAGGGCGAGTCCGAAATGTCGATGACCCGGCTGGCTCGTACGGGCCGAACGAGGTCGCCGAGTTGACCGTCTGACATGGGTTGAAGTTTGTTGTCGAGGAACGGGTAGGCGTTCATGTCCGTCAGGAGATCCTGCGCACGTTAGCACAATGACTGGGATTGCATGCAGTGGGACACTAACGTAGATACTGCGGGGTTCGATTGCGTCTGCAGTCCATTTGGCGCAGAGAACGGCCAGTGAGAAGGGAAGCACATGATCCAAACTGCCGGTCAGCTCGAAGAGAATGACGGCCAGTGTCACCGACAGGCGTGTGACACCACACATGGTTGCACCGGCCGCAACCATGGCATAGACACCCGGTGTTACGCATGACTCCATGCCAGTAGCGGCTGGGCAGGAAGACCCAAACAGGAACGAGGTTGGATATTTGAGGGCCAAATATTGTGCAACATGGCCAACAATCCGGCCCATGAGACCACCGACGACCATGGACGGAACGTAAATACCAGCAGGCAGCTTGATGCCGAACGTGACGATCGTGAGAAGACTCTTGATGACGAGCGCAACAAGGAGATAGCGAATAATCTCACCAATGCTATCTTCGCTGGGGCACAGCCCAGTGGGGGATGACGACACATGGTCACACGGGCTGGCCAACTCGAACATCAGCTCAGAAACAGGCAGCTTGGTGTATCGGTTCCAGAACCCGACGAGACCAGTCACCAGGGCCACAAGCACAACTTCAAGCATGGGGTAACGCTTGATGATCGGAATGCGTCGAAACGATCGCGCCCAGAGGCTGGAGGCTTTGATGAACAGAGCACCGGCGGCTCCTCCGAGCACACCTAGCAAGATGAAGATAACCATCTCGAAGATCTCCCAGTCGCCCAGGTAGCGGACCTGAAACAAGACAATTTTGCCCGTGCCGTAGGGATTGAGGAACTTGAGAGACAGAGCTGCCGCAATGCAGCAGAAGAACGTCCTAAACAGCGTCTTGGGCGGGAAATAATAGCTGACTTCCTCCAGACTGAAGAGCACACCTCCAATAGGGGCTCCGAAGGCTACTGCGACGCCACTTGCAGCACTTGCGCTCAACACCTCACGTCTCTTGCCGTCATTGTGATTGTATTTGGCAAACAGGCGGCAGCAGATATTTCCTACGCAGGTTGCGATGTGTACATACGGACCCTCTTTGCCCAAGCTCAGGCCTGACGCGACACTAAAGACCAAAGCGATGGTCTTAATGGCGAGGGTCTTGAAGCCTAGATAACCGTGCAAGACGAAGCCGCTATTGATGACCTTGACCTCGGCCACTCCACTTCCTGCTGCGGAATAGTATGTCATGGCCGGACGAGTGGGGAGAAAGTCACCCTGTGCTTGTAGACCGCTTGGCGAGTCGTGAGAACTGGCATTGCCAGTCTTTCCCTTCGTACTGCGGGACGATGCAGCTCCAAGGTTCTCATCCAAAGTCGTCAACGAGATGGACGACGGTACCACCGTCTTCGTGAGCAAGGTGAGGGCGCATGAGATCATGGAGAGGAGTATGACCCAAAAGATAAACATGCTGTAGTCGACCCACTGGTTTTCGCTGCCTGACGGGCTCAAGATATTTGACCATGACCGCCAGGCAGGACATTCCTGTCCTCCTGTGCAGCAGCTTTGCCGGCTATGAAACCAGCGGGTAGTGCAGAAGCCTTCCTTCACGTCGAAAATGAACTTCTCGGTCACGTCAACAGAGAAAGCAATGGCCGCGGTTATGCAGCCGATCAATGCGACCAGGACCCAGCCCTGGCTGCCATCGAACCATGCCAGCAGGCGACCCCGGATGTCTTTCCGCCTGCGCAACTCTCGTAGCCGTGCACCGTCCGCGATGCTATCATGTACCCAGTCGGTCGATGTGAACTGGTCGTACCAACTCCGTTCATCCAGAAACGAGTTGGTCATATCGTCCTTGGCCGGGGGACCGAAACTTGCAGCGGAATCGCCGTTGACGCTGTCGCGTTGGCTAAACCGTATAGCCTGCGAATTAGCGCGGCTGTGATGGCGTGATCGCCGGAGGCTGCCTGCCAACAAGCTGTGTCTGAAGGTGAGATCGTGACCCGAATTGCCGGAGATATTGGTGTAGGATCGCGGAAAGCTGCGACGGCGGTCGTGCCCTTTCGGTAGCAGAGTGGTCGTCTCCCCTACTTCCAATGGAGGTTCCAGCGTCTCGTAACCGATGTGGGCTTCTGAACGCTGGCTATGAGAGCGTCGGAAGGCGGACGGTGAGGGCGGAGCCGTTTGAGCGCTGGTCCTTCGGTTCTCGTCGCCGGTGGAGGCATGTTCAATGTCCGAAGGAGCAGATGGGAGTTTGGAGGGGATTGATCGAGGCATTTTCGACGATGCGAAGTGAAGCAAGGGTCGCTTCCAAGCTACTGACGGCTGTCTGAGAAGTCAAATTAACCCCGACTCCTGAGAAACCCAAGACGCAAGGCGGGCGGGCGGGCGGAAGGAGGGGTAGAGGAAAGAAAAGGTGACAAACAATTCTTCGCGATCACGGACATATCCATCAGCGCATCAAGGCCGGGCAACTGCAGAGTGGAGACCCGGACTAGAGTACAACTGTTTTGGGATGCAAACAAGAAGAAGCGGTCGACGGCGGTGAGACACGGAGATAAGAGAGTAAGTGCGATTGGTAGGGGACTCTGATGGGGATAGATCTAGCGATAGAGCAAAACAGATCCACCCACAAGACAACACGATGCAAGAAAAATGAAATCTAATGCAGATAGAAGAAAAGAGAGACTGAAATGCGAGGCTGAAGAGAAGCAAAGGGAGAGCGGGGGAGCAGGGGGCAGGAAGATGCAGGTAATTAAACAATGATAGTCAGTGACAGGCCCGAGAGATCGGACAGACGCGGGGAGAAAGAGAAAAGAGAGACCCATCAAGCTGATCAGCGTCATCTGACTGCCTAAACCGGTTTGGGCAAGTCATCTCCATCCACGGGCGCCTCCAAACCGGCGGTCGGACACTGACTAGTTTTTAAGAGGTGGTCAGTCACCCTTTCATCAAGAAGGAAAAGATGTCATCAGACTGCCGTGAAAGAGGAATGGAGAGGCACGTGTGCCTCTCCCGTTATCAATGCTTGTCAGCCTGCTGGTGTAACATGCCACAATCTCCCACTAGAATCTGTCATTGCGCACTTCTTGGCACCTGTACCCCGGATCCCTGCCAGCCATGGTATCGGTTCACCTACGTCAACCGCCCTGTATACCTTATCTAAGGTGTTGTGGATGTATCTTCTATTTTCGCCTTTGTCCTACAATCGGACAAAGAATCCCACATCCTCGGTAGCATATATGATGACTCTGGTATAGCTGACAAGTCATGCTCCGGTGGATATATAAAAATCATACAGGACTGACCACCACAGGCCTTGTTGCAAGCGTTCCCACATACATCCAGTAACACCTTTTTTCCCCAATGCATGATTGATCTGCGAGTCTACATAAGTATACTTCAATCGACCAAGTTTCTCTAGGCCTCTAACGAAGTGAGCATCCGTCCTCCTTCCCGTCTACAACACCTACGGCTTCAACATCCCCGCCCCTCCGGCAACGACAGCACCACTGTTAACACCGCGATCACCGTGATCGTCGCGATCAACACAATCACCACCACACCCACCAATCACACGCCGGCCCGCCGCATGCCCCCAAACAAGTCTCCCCAATCATTTCCAAGATCGCCACAAACCACATAACAACGACGCCAGCACGAAAACCGTGATACACCCCCCATCCTCCAACCACGGCCCCTCATTACGCACCCGCCAGGGAAGAATCGCAACGTCAGGTAATCGCTGGCAGTGACGACGAATACAAATAGCGCGCCTGATGGTAACCGTAGCGCACGGGTCAATAGCCCAAGATTGGCTGAGACGAGAGCGAAGGGCGCCAGGATCTTGACGATGAGTAGGGCACTCGGCTGAGGGGGTCAAAGATGGGGAGCAGGCGCAGCACAGCGCCGAGGGAGGGGGAAGGAGGAGATAGAGGCGAGGTTGCCCGTGCTGAAGAAGGCAGAGTGGAAGAGGGATAGGAAGCAGAGGGTGATGTGTGTGTGTCGGAGGAGCGGAGGGGGCGGAACTGCGGCTCTTGGCCCGGCGGACACGTAGGCTTTCTTTCAAACTTCTCCTGGAGCTGAAACAAAGGGGTATAGCCTGCCATGGATGGCGACAAGGTAGAGCATCAAAGCTATGCATGGCGAAGGTCAGAACATGCAGGCTATCCACTCGGATCGGTCATCACTCCAATGGCTGAAACGACATGCCCTCGTATGCCTGCTTCCTTCAACTATTCTCCATAGGTATATGCTGTGCCGTGTTAACTTCTAGACCTGGCATGGAGGTATATTGCAAGCCAACATTCAAGCATTGCATTGTGAAGAGATTTTATATTTGTGCTCTAGTTGGATCGAATGGGACTTCAAATTCACCGCAGCACTATACCTTAATAGCTTCTAATCTGCCACCGCCGCACCAAGTCCATCTACCCCCTCCTCACCCACCAAACACAACCAACCCCTACAGCCCCCAACGCAATCGCCCACCGCACCAAACCCCTCCGAATATGATACGCCGCCACGCGCTCCATCGCCTTGGAATCATTAATGCGGGGAAACGGAACATCCTTGGGCACCTCCTTGCCGAGCGCGCGACAAAGCGGCTCCCACCCGTCCCTGATATCAATCACGACCAACCGGTCGGCAGGCACCACCTCGCGCAACCACTCCAAATGACGCTGATATACATAGGCCTTATCCTGCGCCTTCCCATCGTAGACACAATTCCACTGCGCCCGGATCAAGGCGATCCAGGTCACGAAGTGCCGCAACCCCGGCAAAGGCCAGAGGATCACCTGGAGGAAGCGGAGTCTGACCCACGAGGTCAGCGTCTCCATGCTCTGCAGCCAGGCGTCGGGGTCGCGGACCGTGACGATGACTTTCGCATCCGGGTACAGCGTGAGGAGCTCGGGCACGAGCTGCGAGGCCGGCGCGTCGGTGATGGCGGCGTAGCCCGTCGTCAGGGCGCGCAGCTGCGAAAGGGTCTCGGGTTCATCGCGCCGGAGCCAGGCGCGCAGGAGCCGGTTCCAGGCAAGGATCTCGGTCGGCGGGCCGAGCGCCGCTTGTGTGCCGCCGTGGTAAATCGGACCGTCTAGCAGGATGGCGAGCGCCGCGCTGAATGACGCTGTGCCTGTGCGTGAGAGGCCGGCGCCGATTACTTGGATGGTGGTGTCCGGGCGCGGCTTTGACGGGGTTTGGCCCATTTTCTTGTGGATTCTGATCGCGGTTGGGTTTGGGTGAAGAGAAGAGGTACTAAGGTATCGCAGGGAGAGGTGAGATTTTGAGCGTGCACAGGGAGGAAGTGCCGGCGGGGATGGCATACATAAACCGTAACCCGTACGTACATACCTAATACAGTACAGTACATACCCCTTCTGCTTTCGACCTGCCACTGTGAGATTTCACTCTGTAATTAGTTTTTCGGGTACAGGTAAGGGGTAAGCTTGATTGATCGGCACGGTAGCTCTCCTGTTGAAGTAACTAATGCTGATATTTAACTTTCCTCACCCTTCTTGAATAAGCAGTCAACACCTCATCTACTACGACAGAGTACCTTCCAGCTTTGCGAAATAAATTTACTATAGCGCTAACCTCTATAGCCGGTTATGAAAGAAGTGGCCCCGGCTGTACCACACGTACCCTTCCTGGCTCGGGCCGCCAGCCGGGATCAACCGCCATCGATCCACTGGCAGTGGGGACAACCAGCCGGTTCAGGTTGAAGATAGAGCCGACGAGGTATAAAACAACCAAAGCAATATCCACACGAGCCAATGCCGCCTGCTCAGCCTGTTCATGACAGACAGCACGTGATGCATGCGCGATCCGATCTCATAATCTTTCCCGTAACCCCTTGTGAACAGCTCCAGTCCCGCCCGATGCTCCATCTCCAGGCGTTCCCATAAGTCGATAGTCTTGGCATCGTCAAAGTCATAAGAGGTGCCAAAGATCACGTATATGCGTGCAAGTCGGTGCAATATCCGCGAGTGCCAGTTGGCCTTCGTCCATGCGGGCTGCATCGACCACGGAAGTTGGCGATATCTCATTGCTTCGCTCCAGTAGGTATCGATGGTGAAACGCGCGTTCTTGCCGCTGACGGCATGGACCGGTCCGTGCGAGCCCGCCGCCAGATGGGCGAGGAGTCGGTCTACAACTACATCTACGGGGACTTCGTCGATGGTGGCCTGGGTGTTGGGGTCTTCGGCCTTGGAGGACATGAGTAAACGCCTAGACGGACAGAGCAGGACCCCGGCTGTTATCATGACGCCCGGGGTGGAGAATGGCATGCAGTATGCTTTGTAGGGAAACGTCTGTGCGGGAGATACGATTGAGGGGCGTAGGATAAGCAGCTTCTCGGCTTGGTTCGCGTCTGTGAAGATGCGAAGAAGGAGACGCTCGGTGAGATGCTTCGCATATGCATAATGCCAGGGGAAATCGTGTCGTCTGAACTCCTCGCTGGACCCGTCCTGCTGGATCTCAGCCCATTCGTCCCACGCGTCTCCGTTGTGGCCCTTGGCCAGTGTGTACATTGCCTCGTCGATGTGGACGTCGACCTGGTCGGTTTCTGCACTGAGGAATGAGTTGGTGTATGCCGTTGAGACGTAAACGAAGCGTTGCAGCTGCTTGCATTGCATGGCGAAGTCGGCCATTTTCACGCTGGCGGCTATGATTGGATCGGAAATGCGGTGGAGGGGTTGTGCTAGATTGATGGTAGAGGCGGCGTGGATGATGATGTCGACTCGACTTTGGATCATGCTTGCTGTTTCATCGCTAAGCCCCATCTGCGGCAGTGTGATATCTCCTTGCAGCAGAGTGACAGTTTGAGGATCGTACAAGATCTCGATCAATTTCGGAGCAAGATGTTGTCTCCATTGTTCCTCTATGACTCTGTCCATCGCCTTGTCAGCCAAGATGCAACCTCGGATATACAGAGCTATACGTACGCCGGTCCGCTTCTGCAAATCAAGTACAAATGGGAACCGGGAGCCTGGGAAAGAATACGGTGAACGAGTGCTGTTCCGAGGAAGCCGCTGGCTCCTGTGATCAGGATCGACTTTCCTGCGTAGTAGTCCCACATGTTGTAGCTATCGCCTCGCCTCTCATGATTATATTCGAGGTCGAAAACTCGTTGATGTCCGGGTCTCTCTGAGAATATGAAGGTTTCTTTATCTAGAACACGTGAGTCGGTGGTTTTATGGTGTAACCCACTTTCCCACCGGAGACAGCTGCATTGACTGAAGGGGATTGTGATCCGATATGATGGTATTTCCGAAACCTGTTAAATGATGGTAATCTGTCATAAGGCAACCAGGGCTGATCTGCAGCGTGTTATCGACGTACTACAAGGCATGGCTCTGCCGCATCCGAAGCCGTGCTGAATGACTTCAACATAGCCAAGGTCAGGCCGCAGTGTGATCAGCTTGCTATCTTCCTGCCCAAGTCAATAATGGACTCTGAAACATGTAATTGGTGGTTGAATTCGAGCTTGCGCAGGTAAGAATGTAAAGGGGCTGTTAGGATGCAAGGGATTTATCTCACTAATCCTCGTGTCAAAGATCCGCTCTCTGCATTGATTAATTCTTACGTTGAGAGTTGTCCAATTGTCGCAATTACTTGAACTGTCAACTGCTACTGGTGCATGAAACATATATTAATGACCACAGCAATTGGCTGGGTATACTTAGCTCAGTAAATCGAGCCATTTCGTCCTGCCATGTCTCTGGCGTTTTCCAACCTCGAGTCAGATGTGACCATGCACTGGCTGCACAAAGTAGACTTGACATCATCCGACGATGCAAAAATTCCATCACTTCATACACTATCATACTCCATGAGGCAACTGACGGGTGCTGTGACGTTGCTCAGCGGCGACTTTGCCTTGCTGTCCTCGCGCGATACTATTTCTACATGACGCTACCTCCGAGCTCAGCTGCTACCATATTGTTATAAATTGTTTCACGACGGTACCACAAGCTTCTCACATGCTTATGTACAATAGGCCTTGTCCTGTACATCATATACAAAGTGCATTCATCATGACTGCTCTTCGACACACTCCCGTCAACCTGTCCTTGTCTTCTGCGGTGTACCTAGCTGCTGGCTCGGCTCTTGTGCTCGTAGTTTGTGCTCTACTGTCCAGATACAAAACGTCTAAAAAATGGCGTTTAAACTCTTGTACCCAGGTCCCTGGTGGATTTCTTGGTATCAAGCTTTTCAAAGAGTTCACGGCGTGCCATGCAAATGGTCAAATTGCTGCTAGGTTGAGAGAGCTTCATCAGCAATATGGAAGCACCATTGCACTGCCAATCATGGGGACCAAGGTTGTCCTGACATCAGACCCCGAAAACATACAAGCAATTCTAGCCACTCAATTCTCCAGCTTTGGACTGTCTCACTTCCGCCACCGTCAGTATCAACCTCTATTCGGTGACGGTATATTTACCTCTGATGGCCCACGCTGGGAGCATTCACGCCGTATGCTCCGGCCACAATTCACGAAAGATCAGGTATGCAAGAGCATTCAAGTACACCACTTACTTTATGAGGTTTACATACACTGATTTCTTTCAAGGTTCCGCCTTTAGAGTGGTTTGATGCACATGCGAGGCGATTCATCGACTGTCTGCCGCCGGGCGGCCAGGAATTCGACGTTCAGCAATTATTCTTCAGATTGGCATTGGATGCCGCTACAGACTTCTTATTCGGAGAATCCGTCAATTCGTTGTTGTGCGCAACGTCAAACCAAACTGACGTGGCCTAGGCATCGTTTGAGGGACGGCAGGGCTTTGCTGAAGCGTTCGACTATGCGCAGCATGTTCTCTTCAAACGCACAATTGCCTTTCATTTCTACTGGCTATTCAACCCCAGCAGATTCAGGAAAGCGAACAAGACTGTTCATAACTTTGTCCAGTATTATATCACCAAAGCGATCCGAGCAGAAAAAGGTGACGCTCTAGAGAAACAGAAAACGGACAGATATTGCTTCTTGCATGAATTGGCCAAGCAGACACACGACGAGAAGGCCTTGAGAGATCAGTTGGTCAATGTGCTGCTTGCCAGTCGGGATGATACAGCTAGCCTGCTTAGCTCCATCGTCTACTTCCTAGCGAGAGACAAACGGGTGTGGTCCAAGTTGGAAGAGGAAGTCCTGGACGCAGCGAGTGGTGCTGAGCCCGTAACCCTCCGAGACATCCAGAACTTGCCCTACCTGCGTGCCGTGGTGAACGAAGGTATGAGCTCCTATAACCGGCCGATCACGACCTGTGTCTGACTGCCCTTGGCTAGCCTTGAGACTATTCCCTCCTGTCCCCATCAACGCTCGGGTAGCCCTCCATGACACCATAATCCCCACTGGCGGTGGACCCGACGGCCGCTCGCCCATCTACATCAAACGACATCAACCAGTCGGATATTCGGTTTGGACAGTTCATCGGAGAACTGATATATGGGGCCCAGATGCAGAGGTGTTCCGGCCTGAGAGGTGGGCAGACCGGAAGCAGGCAGCATGGGAGTTTCTTCCCTTCAATGGAGGCCCGCGAGCTTGCCTAGGACGTAAGTGACTAGCTATTCCAGGGCTCATCTTCGCGGAGATGATAGGTTGCTGACGGTATTGTGCGCAGAGCAATTCGCGGTTACTCAAGCCAGTCATCTCATCTTCCGGCTTGTGCAGCAATTTGACTGTATTGAGAGCGCTAAGTCTGGTGCAGATTACGAGACAAATCCGCCGATGAGACAGACTTTGACGATGTGCCATGAGAACGGAGTGGTGGTTCGTATGCGTCGTAGGCAAGCGTGATTCGGTTTTGTGTTGTCGATGGTAATGACATTGTCTCTTCGGAACTTCGTAATCTGTTTCTTATGAGTTGAATTGAAAAAAGTCTGTGATTTAATATCGTTGAGAGTGTAGTGTAGGACTAACAAGCAACATTGATGGTAGAATTGGTGTGAGAACCTGACTCTACGTGTATGGAGATTAGCGAGGTCAGATGATGCGGGTGGTCGCGTTTGACGCCCCCTGCTGTCGCCACTTCCTTCCATTATCATCATTCCATCAATGCAATAATCCCTTCAAGTCTACGCGGTTATCTTATTGACGATGTAATTCAATGCATTCTTTTTCTCATGGTTTCACAATTCGTCGCTCATGCCGCACGCATCAATAGCATGAAATCCTAATTGCAAGATCACATCCTTCAGTCCCGTCCATAACCCAAATCCAACCCCTACAAACAAAAATACTCTGACAAGAATAATCAAAGACCCCATCTTCGCCCTTCCACAATCCAGTGATTCCTTCCACATCGATGCGTCACCGTGCAGACGAAAGAGCATGTCTTCGTCTTCTCGAGTGGCGAGTCGTTTGCGAAAAATCTGGGCAATCTCCTCGCCAAGCCCAGGCAGCTCACTGAGCACTCTCAGCGCCTCAACGTTCTTTCGATCCTCCCAGAGAAAATTCCCGACTTTGCTCACTGACCATACTGGGTTGATGCGCCGTACCAGTCTCATGCAATCACCGACCTGTATAAAACCAGGCTTCAAGACACGCAAGTACCAGCCGGTTCTTCTGGTTGTCTGCGTTCGTATTGAAGCTTGCGCAAACTCAAATCGACGATTTAGCTTGAAGCATGGTTGTCTCGGCTCGCTGACCTGCACGAGCACGCCGTCTGGCCCGATCTGAAAAATGTCGCCAATACAAGTGTTGGTTTCGTCGAACGATTCAGCCGAGATATTCTCCCCGTACCCGCCAATGTTGAACAAATGTGCTCGCTCGGGTACCTCTCGCTTCCAGGCCTCATAGTGCCGGGAGCAGTATTGATGCAAGGCTTTGTCGGTTCCTCCATGGTGTTCGTACGCCTGCTCATCACCGGTCAAACCCTGCTCGGTGACATAGACCCTCCCCGGGCATGGTAATTTCTCGATGGCTGAAGTTACAGATCCTGGGCCCAGTTGTTTGACTTTGCCAGTTCGCACACATAACAAGATGTCATCTGCGGGTACTGAAGCTTTAGAAAAAGGTTCATGAATGAAATGAGACATGATTAAACGACGATGCTCTTCAGGGCTTGGAACTCTCCGGCATAGCTCATGGGCCAAGGCCGCTCTTAAAAGAATTCAAGATTTAGTGCCTACGACACATCATCTTGGCATGTTATCAGCTGCCATCATACACGAATAAGGCAAGAGCTCTGCCAAGTTTACCTCGACAGCTACCTGCCCTAACATCAGGGTGAACGGACCCAAAGGATTTGCAGTTTCAAGAACTCAAGTCCAATGACCTCCCACCACATGGGCATACACCATGGGACGCGAATCTAAAATGTATACTTGAGTCTCTCTCGGATTATTACATCATAATGTCATACGCGCTGTCCGTCTTGTGATCTCGTTTTGCAGAACGCTTAACTCTATCAAGCTACGAGATGCGTGAGTGTATGTGCATCGCTTTCTGACCACGGGTGGGTTCCTCGAGCACCACGGATCAATGCTTCATGCCGTGCGCTCCGTGCTCGAACCCGAAAGTCAAAAGGCACTGGATGGCTGATAACCCCTGGCTGGAAACTCGGCCCCGATTTTTCCAGACGCTCATTCGTCCTTTCCTGGCTTTCTTCCAGTCTAAACACAGCCAGGAACTGTGCGATGATGATGAAAATGGATGATTCAGCTAGTACGCGTCCGGGGCAAATCCGCCGTCCGAAGCCAAAAGCCATTCTTCGCGGATCGAGCTCTGGGATTTGGCCCTCCAAAGACAAAAAGCGCTCGGGCTTGAATGCTATGGGATCAGGATAAGTGCTTGTATCATGCATAAATGCCCTTTTGATGGGTAAGCATTGCAACATGATACGCGGGGCAGTAAGCTTACCATACGTTAGGAAGGACAATCGCCCCTTTCGGAATCCAATACCCATGAAACACATCGCTCTCCACATTCGTATGCGGCAGGGCCATCGGAGTGACAGGGTGCCATCGAAGAACCTCTTTTACAAGCGCATTTACGTAGGGTAGCCTCGAACGATCAGCAAACGTCGGAAGCCTATTGTCGTGTATTGCCTCATCGATCTCAGCTTGAGCCTTTCTTTGAACCTCGGGGTTCAATGTCATCGCGAGAATAAAGGTCGACAGAGCGGACACCGTCTAAAACGTATTAGCAGCCGTGCTATCTCGCATCATCGAGCGGGCTAACATGCAGTGTCTGCTCCTGCACTGTACAATGATAAGGCTGTCCACTTGTGAATCGATACGTTGTCAGGTGCGCCTTGGATCAGCTGCGCCAGAAAGCAGCCAGTGTCTTGCTTCGTAGCAAGTTGATGCTCCACAAACGCATAGGGAAGATCTGCCATCCTCATCAGGTTAATCCGCCATTGCCTTGAAATCCTCGCGAAGCCTAATCCCGGTACCCAGTCCGTTAAATTTCGTACTGCTCTCAGTTAGTTTTTACAGCAAGAAGAGGGGCGATGACGTACAGCATGGCACCAAATCCACCAGGTAATCGCCTGGACGAGATGCTTGCCCAAATTCTTCCATTACCTTGTGCGCTAATCCTATCAGTGGATCTGACACTTGACCGTTCGAGTTGTACCCATAAACCAAGTTGAGTATGAGAGATCCTGCTTCACTTTAGTGAAACTTCTTGTCAGCGAGTGGCTTTCTGCTAGAACGTGCGTACAGGGAAAAAGATACCTTCGGATGTGATCAATTAGGTCACCGGGACTTTGCAATACGCGGGACAGGAAACGAGCCGATTCTTTCTCTTGCATGGGCTCAAATTGAGCCGCAGCAGAACAGGATCCAAGGATACGCATGATATTCTTCCGGTGAACGCGCAATCGGTCCGAATAAGGTGATAGGGCGACGGATTGTGCCCAGCCAACCCTGACAGGTTTGATTATTGATTAGCCTTTGTCGCGATCAATATTAACAGCAAAGGAGAAATACATTTCCCCACAGAACACCTGTCGTGGACGGGACGAGTAGATGGCGCCACGCTTTTCCAGCATCTCAAAAGCCAGGTTGACATCATTCAATACCACAAAGGTCTGGCCCATGACCGTTACTGAACTAATTGGGCCTTCAGCCGGCATGTCAATTCTGCCCACGATATACTCTTATGGAATACATTGTCAATGGACATACCGTATAGCTCACTAAGACGAAGCCAATGAAGATGCTCTGCTTGGCCCTTCCGGGGCAGGGCATCAAGATTTCCAATCCAGGGAATGATCCTCCTCGGACCGGGTGGGAGAGGGGGTTTGTTGGTCCATAGTTGCGCCAAACCAAAAAGCAAGTAGAGGATTAGCAGCGCGAGAGACGACAAGAAAAGACCTATTGCGTGAGACATTGCGACGATCAGATTGCCAAGAGTACGCAGACTCACCAGAGATACTGCAGCAAATTGGCATTGACGGCATTGTTCACCATGTACGTCTGCCCTTTTATAAGCATGTCTAAGGGGTAAAAACTATCAGTCTTGAGCAACTGAGTGATCGACAGCCGGAAAGAGAACCCGGCCATGAATTACCTCGGGGATTTTTGGCGCTTTGTTCCCTTTGGTTGCTTTGGTCGCTTTGGTCGCTGCACATGCATACCTGCAGAAGGTGGATTCACCCGCTCCTGCGGGGAGACTGCATTGGGCAGCATTCTTGACCAGGTAACCCTGATTCGACACATGCAGCTCAACTGGCATGAAATTGAGAACGAGTCATTTTGCAGCGGAAGAGGCTTTCGAATAGATGACATGAAAATCATCGACAAGGTTCAGGTGCCTTGCTCGAAGCCGATGATAACAAACGCGGGCAAGCCACGCTGGGTCAACTAGGGCAAATCTCAGCATCTTGATTTTTGCAAATTTGTATAGGAGGGCTCGACACCAGAGAAAGCATCAAGATTTCAATGACGTGCTGTCATTGTGCATGAAGCTACTGTGAGAAGACTGGTCCTGGTTGTCAGACGGGTACGAACGTTGAGTATCTATGGGATGCCCATCTTGGGAAGAGACTTCCTTCAGCGCTGTCCACGTCCCTATTGGCGGGTCCTCACCCCGCGGATGTGGGTTTGCATGTCCTTACAACCAAAGGCACACGACTTGCGCTTGGACTATAGTCTAGGCTCGGCCTCAGCTTGGTCTGGGAAGGACTCTCTCGTCCCATGAGCTGTGTACTCTCTGCCGTGAAGTCAATTGCTTTGACTACCCAAGGAGCTTGAAACATGATTCAGAGAGGAACTGGTGATTTCCCTGCTGAGAGGTGTCCACATCCGGCCTCAAAGTCATATCATTGCATCGGCTATGCACTCCGAGACTTGGCTATAATTACAACTCAAGAATTTTGTACTATGGCGGAATATATTGTGGCATTAGATGGTAGATCGACTTGTTTGCTCTCCTTCCTTGCCGTCTTACAGATCAAATCAGGTTTTTAGAGACAGCACATGATAGTTCGGCACCGTCGGGATTGCGATTTCATCCGCCACCTGCTGTAACATCACCCAGAGCTAATCTCTTCAACATCTGTTGCCTATTTTAGCTTCTTGCGCCTTGATGCGGCAACCGCCAAGCTGTGTTGTGAAGAACTTACTTGATCTGTGCTGAACATGGCTTGGTATACACTTGCCAAAAACTTGGTATGCGTCCGTAATGACTTGAATTGTCTTGATTTCGATAAACATCTGTTCTTGGCACCTGGTGACGCCTCGATTCGAATCAGGTATGATGGATTAGGATAGGAGAACCGAAGCGGCTGTCCCGGGAGGATAAGAAGCGACAAGGTTGAGCGCTGAACCCAGTTTATTCAGAAGCAAGCATTGCTAAGGGCGAGTTCGCATTTTCTGCAAGTATTGAAGGTTCGTCATGACAGAAATGGATGATCTGGTTGTCATTGGTGCCGGTAAGCATACCTTATGGCCGGGAAATGTCCTTCACTGATTAGCTGACGTCATGTGAGCCAGGTCTATATGGCCTCATGGCCGCGAAGACCTATCTAGCCGTCCATCCCAACGCTGCCGTGGAGATTCTCGAAGCGAATCATTCCGTGGGAGGGGTGTGGGGTCGCGATAGACTGTGCCGTGGAGTCAAGACGAATAGTATAGCGGGCAGTTATGCATACAGCGACTTTCCCATGTCTGAATCTCGCTTCGGGGTCAAATGGCACCAGCATGTACCTGGCGAAGTGGTGTACAAATACTTCGATGCCTTTGCGACTGAGTTTGATCTCCACCGACGCATCCGCCTTTCTTGCCGTGTCCAGAGCGTGGAGAAATGTCCAGACGGGTCCTGGTCTATCGCGGCCGTTGAAGACAGCCGCTCCATTCGAATAGGCACACGTCGTCTGATTGTCGCAACAGGGCTGGCCTCAGAGCCTGTCATGCCTGAGTACACCGGCTCTTCCTCTTTTGAACGTCCGCTGCTACACTGCAAGGACCTTGCCGGCCAGCATGAACTCTATCACACCGCTAAAGCGGTTGCTGTCGTCGGAGGGTCCAAATCAGCCTGGGATGCGGCTTATCAATTCGCTTCCCTCGGCACGCGGGTGCACTGGATTCTACGAAAGTCCGGACACGGGCCTGCGCGACTTCTGCCGGCTCAAGCCACACCTTTCCGACTCTGGATGGAGAAAATCGTAACCACCCGATTCATGACGTGGCTAAGCCCCTGCCCCTGGGGAGACTCGGACGGGTACGGCTGGATACCCCGGTTCTTCCAAAGCACGACCACGGGACAATGGATCTCGCGGCATCTCTGGGCTTGGTTCACCTCCACGTGCCTCCAAGACCCAGCCCTCGTTCGCAGCGCAGAGACTCGCAAGCTTCAACCCCAAGCCACTAAACCCTTCTCCCCGGCCGGCGGCTTCAGCGCCCGCAACTACCCGCCGGATTTCTTTCAGTACATCGATAGCGGGATGATCCAGATCCACACAGCCGATATAGATCATCTCTCCGCGGGCACCGTCCACCTCCGAGACGAACCGTCTCTAGACGTTGACGCCCTGGTTGTCTCAGGCGGATGGCAGCACTGGCCCACGTTCAAATTCCTCCCCGCTGAGGTCCACGAGCAGATGGGCTTCCCACGCACCCAGGGCGCCCGCGACGCGCAGGCCGAGCGCATCGACCGCGAAATTCTGCAAAGTTATCATCTTTTGAACAATAGCATCATCAACAAGAATGCGGCGACGGCGGCGGAAGACAGCAATCCCCTCCCGCACCGCGACGACGCCCCCTGGCGCCTGTACCGCTTCATGGTACCGCCCGCGTTCATCCACGACCGCAGCATCGGCTTCGCGGGCTTCGTAGCCACAACCCTCAATACCGTATGCGCGCAGACCCAGGCCCTGTGGCTTACGGCCTATTTTAGTAGTACTGGTGGTAGTGGTGGTGGTGGCGGTAGCTGTATCCATGGCTGTTCGGACGCGCAGCCTCTGCCGGTCGGTCGGGGTCGCGCCGATCAGATCTGGCGGGATACCCTGGTGCATTCGCAGTTCCCGCAGTGGCGGTACCCCGGTAGCTTTGGGCATCGGTTCCCGATTGCGTTCTACGAGGGGCTTCCGTATGTGGATTTGTTGTTGAAGGACTTGGGACTGCGGGTTAGGAGGAAAGGCGGCGTGTTGAGGGAGTGGTTTGAGGGTTACGGACCGGAGGACTATTGTGGGATTGTGGAGGAGTGGTTGCAATTATCCAAGAGGGAGTAAGTGTTTTTTTTTATTGGGGAAGACGGAGAGGCATTGGGGACTGCACGGTGCTTCGGAGGTGCGGGCCGTGTTCAGTGTGGGATTCCTATGCTTTGTCTTCATTCCGGAAGTAGACTTAGCATTTAGTATAGTCAGATAGTTCCAGCACGTCCAAGCATCAGTAGCATATACAATCTCAATCACCGAAGACTCTTGCTCAGCGGCTTCTGATGCATACTTAACTAGCACATGCCTGCGCATACTATCCTGGCGTCAACGTGGTACAACTGCCGAGCATGGAGCAAAGCCATTGTCATCCCACCGAGTTTCTCCTCATCCACCAAAGCTTTGAGAGTGTCCCGCCAAATCTTCACGGCAAAACATGCAGCTAACTCCCTGTCGTCGCAGCCAAGCCATCAGACCCTGAACCTACCTCCCGCTCCCTTCGGAGGCAACCCCGCTTATCCGTTTCCCTGGGTAATCCGGGTCTTTGCATCTCGGCAATTTATCCATCCGCGGGGGAAGTGATCTGCAGGTACTGTACATGTACCTATTTGTTCCTTTCTTCAATTACTTGTAGTACTCTGTTCGAGGATTGATGCCTTTTTTTCAGAGGGGTTGGTTCCTATCAACGCCGAGTGAGCTATCTGTTTCGCTGCGCTGGTCTTTGCATATAAGATCTGAAATCTACTCACGCGGGGTTACGCTCACTGCCTTGCCTCAGCGGTTTGGTACTCAGCTTGATACTTGGGTCATGGACGTTGGAGTTCATCTCGGATATTTCCTTTCTGGAAGCGGACGCAAGATGTGTCTTGGCCTGAGTGCATGCGACGGAGCGGCTTCTCCCCGTGGGGAATACAGTTTAGTTATGGTGGACAGTTCAGGTTTTGAAGAGCGGTTGTCTGCGACTTAGCCCGTGTCTTTGGGCTTGAATGTGGTCTCCTCTGGATGGGTGTGGTGCAGGTTGATGCGTCGACTCGTCGAGATTTCTTGCTGTTGGCTCTGTGGCCCTCACGTCCGTGACGGCAGTTAATATTCCAAGACCTTGGCTCTTCAGTCGTACACGGAGGCTTGAGGTGCTATTTGCTGGACTGTCTCTCTGGTTCGTATGCTCGAGCTCTTGATCTGGGTTTTGGTCCTTGTTTGGTGGGATACACGCAGCTCTTGGCACTTACTGGCTGGACTATTTCGGCATCTTTGCGGGGAAAGCTCCGTGGCTTGGATTGTGATATTGCGCGGGGGTCAGGTAGAGGGTTTGTGTGGGGTTGCGGGGATATAAGGCTGGCGTTTGTCCTGGGGAAGACGGTCTGTACAGATTGCAATCCACATCGGCATCTATCGCAAGTTCGTTTTAGCACCCGCACAACCGGCAATATGAAGAACGTCAACACGCTTGCCAAACTTGTTTCTCTCTTATCTGCTGCTACTGGTGTAGCTGCTCACGGCCATGTGTCGAACATCGTCATCAATGGGGTGTCTTATCGCGGATGGGACATCAATTCGGACCCCTACAACTCCAACCCTCCGGTTGTGGTCGCATGGCAAACTCCCAACACAGCCAACGGCTTCATCACCCCTGATGCATACGACACTGATGATGTAATCTGTCATCTGAGTGCCACCAATGCCCGGGGCCACGCAGTCGTCGCGGCCGGCGACAAGATCAGTATCCAATGGACACCCTGGCCCGACAGCCACCACGGCCCCGTCATCAGCTACCTCGCCAACTGTGGCTCCAGCTGTGAGACGGTCGATAAGACGACACTCAAGTTCTTCAAGATCGACGGTGTCGGTCTGGTGGATGAGACTTCTCCCCCCGGCATTTGGGGAGATGATGAGCTCATTGCGAACAATAACTCCTGGATGGTGGAGATCCCACCGAATATTGCGCCAGGGAACTATGTGCTCCGCCACGAATTGATTGCCCTGCACGGGGCGGGAAGTGAGAATGGAGCCCAGAATTATATGCAATGTTTCAATCTCCAGATCACTGGAACCGGCACGGTCCAGCCCTCCGGAGTCCTCGGCACGGATCTGTACAAGCCCACGGACGCTGGAATCCTGGTCAATATCTACCAGTCGTTGTCGACTTACGTTGTGCCTGGTCCGACCCTGATTCCTCAAGCAGTTTCGCTCGTCCAAGCTAGCTCTACCATTACCGCATCGGGCACGGCAGTGACAACCACGGCCTGAACTGACAATTATTCCACGAAGGGCAGCTTCAAGAAGCTGGCCTGTTGCTCATTGCACCAGCATTATGCGCATCGTCTTGCGCGCATGATCGAAGTCCGGTGTCGGTCAATTAGGGTCCTTCTGCTATCAGGAATGTTTTCATAGCCACTCGTTCTCGCAGATAGTAGCTGGTAGTTAGTTCAGGTTTCAGGTATCACACATTCATTCATGAAGCATATAATTCGCTGACAATGTAATGTGTTTATTCTCTCTCGTGTCTCTGTAGACATCTGATTCGAGAGAGGTGAGGACAAGGTTGGGCCATCGTAGCTTCTACCCGGGTGTTGTGTTAAGGAAGCAGAATGTGGATTACTGAAGTGCATTCATGTTCACAACGATGGTTGCACTGGCGAATTGTGCTTGTCGTCTGATTTAGATTGCTTCAAGGTCCAGCCGAAGGTGACCCTTATCAATCACGATTTGAGCGGTCGGAATCATAACCCATTAGCTGCAGTAGCGCTCTTCTGTAGTCTGACAAGATATGCCTGAATGAACTTAACATCTGGTAGACCTATGGAATACTGGTAAGCCTCGGGGCAAGCGGGGGACACCGGTAGCAGCATAGAGCCAATAAGGAGGTTCGACCGCTAGACCAAGACTATATTGGCATTGTTTCTGAATTGGTAGCTGTTTAGCGAAGCCTGAATAAGCCAGGGTCGGCGGCGTAGCAAAACACAGACCCTGCTGGGAGACGCAGCTATACTAAGAGCTGACCGACAGAGTTCTGCGGGGAAATGAGGACGGCCAATAATCCTTGGGGAAATAGGCCTCCCATTGCCACGGGCTAGTCGCAGAACGTCAGCTGGGCTTATCTTGACCGGTACCCTCGAGAAGGGCAAGCGCCACACTCCTTTGCATTGACTTGTCATAATCATGTCGCCCACCATTCTTGGCGGCCCAATTCCAGTGTTGCGAAGCTTTGTGGGGATCGGGAAATGTAACGCTTAGCGGTCGGAGATAAGATAGGAGGGATTGGAAGAGGTGGATGGGCTCAAGTATTTGTAGTTGCTCGCCTTGTAACAGTCGTCATTATTAGCCAACGTGATTCAAAGACCAACTGCTCATCTGCCACCCACCTGGTTGTGAAATGTGTAATGCTGCTGCTGTGAAGGAAGTTGGTTGTTGGAAGACTAAGTTTCTTCCCCACAAAAGCAGCCCTGAAGGACAACTTAAACCAGACTAGGCCCGAGTGGGCCAAACCGGGCGTCCGGGGAAGATTGACGAAACAGGCAAGGCTTAAGTCCGTCCACCACGTTCTTCTTCACGAACTTCCGTTGGTGTTTATTCCTTAGTAACTGCTTCAGCCATCGCCACTCAACTGCTCTAATTCGAAGCCGTCGGAGGTCGGACATGTCGATTGTGGGGATCTCCTCCATCCCCACGCGCTTCTCCACACGCATTCCAACTTTCGCGCTCTTCCCACTGGCTGATGATGCCCCCAAGACATACGTACGCAATCCCAGACCTTCCTCGTGTTTGGAATCTGGATGTCTTACACGCTAGTTCAATCGCCTCCTGCACAACCGGATTCTAAATTGCGGGAATTGCGGAGAAATGGCGACAATATCTGTTTCGATTATAAAACCCGTGCGGCCCTTATCTGGGGTTATCATCGTTCTCTCCCCAGATATTCTCCCACCCAGGTAGATATATTTACTACCTCTACTTCTGTGGTCGCAGGAGCAATCAGGCAGACTTGAATTCCTCTGCATATCCCTGGACCTGACCCATTATCTCATCTCATTCACCCGGAATGCCCTCTATCGAAATGACGGAGGACGTCCGTCCTTCTACATCGCCCAAGACCCACGAGGAGACACACATCGAAAAAGACAGCAGCGAATACTTCGAGAAAGTGGAAGAGAATCCCTCTTCATATGCTGAGATCGCCGCAGCCACACTATCGCAGTCACACAAGGACTACCTCATACAGCGTCATGGGACCCTAGACTTGGATCCTATTCCGAGTCCTTCGGCTGCAGATCCATACAACTGGCCCCTGTGGAAGGTATGCACATCTTCCTGTACTCCTAATAATTTCAAGTTGCTAATGGTGGTATGCTTCCCATAGAAACTCGCCAATCTCGTCCTTGTTGCCTTCCATGCCTGCATGGCCACGTTCACAGCATCGATCATTCCTGCTTACTCCAGCATCGCAGAAGATCTCGGAGTATCAATGCAGAGAGCCAGCTATCTCACCTCGCTACAGATCGCCATCCTGGGAGGTGCTCCCTTATTCTGGAAACCGTTGTCCAACCGCTACGGGCGCCGACCAATCTTTCTTCTATCTCTCATCTGCAGTCTGGTGTGCAACATTGGCTGCGCTAAAAGTCCCACGTATGCATCCCTGGCTGCATGCCGAGCATTGACGGCTTTCTTCATCTCGCCTGCTGCCGCGATCGGAAGTGCAGTAGTCACAGAAACATTCTTCAAGAAGGAGCGCGGCCGGTACCTTGGCGTCTGGACCCTGATGGTGACTCTGGGTGTTCCAGTTGGTTAGTCTCATTCTTATCAGCGATTGATTGTCAATCCTAACCTTGCCTCCCAGGTCCCTTGATCTACGGATTTATCACCTATAGAGTCGGTTGGCGGTGGATGTTCTGGGTCTTGGCCATTGTCAATGGCGTGCAATTCGTCTTGTATCTTTTCTTTGGCCCAGAAACCCGGTATGTCGGCGGCAGCGCAGAAGGTATTTCCGATTTCAAAGCGCAGTATCTCTCATTGCGTCGGATCGACCCATCACCCCTGACTTTCCGCGAATTTCTTCACCCCTTGTCCATGGCCAAGCGACCCAGTGTGATGATTCCCGCATGTGCATATGCTATGGTCTTCTTGTTCGGTAGTGTCATGATCACGGTGGAGGTGCCCCAACTGGTGCAAGTCAAGTTCGGTCTCAACGCCGAACAGCTCGGCCTCCAATTTATCGGCGTCATCATTGGTACCGTTCTGGGCGAACAGATCGGTGGCACCATGTCTGATATCTGGATGAGCCGCCGGGCACGCAAGATCCAACATCGGCCGGAGCCTGAATTCCGCCTCTGGCTTGGCTACCCCGGTGTCATCTTGACGATTGTCGGAGTGATCGTCTTTCTGGTGATGATTCAGGAAGCCAAGGCTGATCACTGGATTGTATCCCCTCTTGTTGGCACCGCAATTGCTGCCTTTGGTAATCAGCTCGTGACTACTGTCATGATCACCTATGCGATTGACTGCTATCCTGAGGATTCCGGCAGTGTGGGTGTCTTCATTACTTTTGTCCGTCAGGTGTGGGGATTCATCGGACCGTTCTGGTAGGCTTCCTGTCAACTCTCTTTTTCTTAGTGGTTGCGGCTAATGTGAGATAGGTTCCCTGATATGTTTGATAATGTTGGTATTGCTGCCAGCTCGGGAGTCGGGAGTGCCTTAATGTTTCTTGTCAGTTTTCTGCCCATACTTGCAGTGCAAATTTATGGCAAGAAGTGGCGTAATGCTGCTTAGGTATATAGTCTGATTCTTAATGGAATAATGCATTGTTCAAACGATATGACATGTCCAGCTTGTATATCAAGAATATCCTCCTGTCGTGTCCCAAGATCAACTAAGCCTGCGTAGCTGTTAGCATCTGCTACCGGGCGCTGTAGCCCGCGTTCATCTTAGCCAGCTCTCTAGTACTTCATTCCCAGCGCATTTCCACGTGGCGGTCTCCCAACAAATGATAGCTCAATTTAACCATTGATAATATACTAATTGGCTGGGCAAGGCCCCGTCATTTCGATGAATCTGAGCCAGCGCAGAGTCACTCTGCGGGGAATATGCGGCGTGTGTGGAGTCTCCACAGGACAGAGTCAACGGACTCTCGCCCTGCATCAACCTGTATTTCCAAATGCTACATATCAACTCCACTTTCTCACTCGTTGTTATAGCCCAGCGCATAGCCAGAGATATCATTCTCGCACATCATGATTAACAAGATTTAAACGCTTCTCTGTGTTCGAGTGATTCCCCCTCCCCCTGTTCAAGTTTACGACCTTGGCAAAGATAGTGCAGTATCCGAGCACCCTCGGCCGAATGCGACAGATTGGTAATCCGGTGCTCTGCCCTGCTCAGTCTCCAAGAGTTATGGTAAAGCTCATGGGATCCTCGATACCGGTGGCTTGTACTCTTTCCGACGGAACCTAAAGGGGCATTCCGAGGTGCACTCCAACCCCTGCCTTGCTTTTCTGAGGTAGGGAATGCTCTCTCTTCATGAACTCAGGGGTCAGATGCCCTGAGGAGAAGACTCGACTCTGTCTCTGCCAGCGAATACTCCCCTCGGGTCTCATAACTACAAACAAAAGATGAACTATTCTAGCGAGTAGACAACTACGGAGGAGATCCGGCCGAAAACTACTCGTCCAGGATTGCCTCTCAGCACAATCTCGAGAAGCAGCTACCCTGACGCTACAGCACATCCCTTTGCCTCTTTCTCAGCTCATCCTCGCCTCTTCATTTCCACCTTCCACACCTCTCCACACGCCACGCATCCCCACAACCTCTCCACAACGCTAGCATTGACTAGGCAGACACATCCACGCCCTAGCCTTCGTCGGACGAAGGGGTGTATGGTGTGGAGACAGTAGTGCTCTACGAGTAACTTCGCTGCACGCTTGTTCGGATCACCTCGGATGCTCGTCATTGCTCCTTGACCAAATGTTTCGTTGACGATAAGACAAATTACTTATTCACTGTCTTACATCCCCCACACACGTCTCTCCCGCGTGGTTTCTCTGTTCCCGGCCACATCAATAAAGAAAGTTATCCCTAGCTCTCATCATCTCAATGTCCTCGAAGAAGACTGAGGTAGCTTTGTTGGTGTGCAAGGGATGGGCTGGAGGTCAAGTATGGTCATATATCAGAAGGAGGAGAATGAGATAAGGGACTCAGTCCGGCAGGAAAGCTTATACTTCCTGCACTGTCCAACATTTCGTTTGAAATCTCCCACTTCTTATAGGGACACGTGTCGCAGAAGATCTAGACAAGAAGGGTGCCTAGCTGTAGTGCTGTTTAATGACTGATGAAACAAATGGTGGTGATGTGTTTATTTGATTTGCTACGGTGATCCCTTTTGCGAATGGTATGTTTGCTATGAACCCAATTCATGGCGTTCTAGCAGGAGGTGTGAAGCGAAAAGGGGAGTGATGTTTCTACTGAGTTTGAGATTCTTCAGGGGAACGATTTGTAAAGATGACTAGCACATTTCATGCAGTAGATCATTTACATCTAATTCTATTGGTGGATTGCTTTTGACTACAATAAGTGGTTATATAGGCTGCGTCTGGGACATGTTGTATCAGGACCCTGACCATCATGAGGATCTACAACTGTTCTTGTAATTTCCTCTATGAAGACTCAAGATAAGAGTCCTAGGAAGGATGTACCCTTGATCTGCAAAGCAGTGCCTCTTTGTTGTACTAGATTCCCGTTTGTTGCATTCAAGGGTGATATCTGGAATCTTATTCTACATATATAAATTGAGTTTCTGTCCAATTCTGCACATGAATAGTCCATCAGCCTATTTCAGTTGGATAAGGTAACCACAGTAATAGATTCTGTTGACCGCTCTATCCATTATCAGTTTTGAACGTTCTGTCGTTCTATCAAATGCTGCAATTCCAGACCATCGGCTCATCATGAATGCATGCAACTGCATTCTGTCGGCGATGTTCCAGAGATTCGGGTACTTCCGCGGACGCTCGTTGGTGGAGAAACTTCGGGGAAGACATCCTCCCTCCAAATTCTAGCCTTAACCTCTCCAGGGCTCGGTGCAAGTCGGGAATAGGGAGGGGTTAACCGCTATAAATAATGTCTGATCGCCCTGAGAGACGCAATTGCCGGTTGTGCTACACTCCAGCGTAGAGAATCTGAGAGGACCCATATTTGTCAATTTGCTTAGTTAGTAGCTGGAGCGCGGTGTTATCGTTATCGCAAGTCAGCTTGAGCGTAAGTTTCCCCACCAGCCCACTCCGATAAAGCCTTCATCGCGCTGATACCATCCCCAGCTCTCATTTGTGTCGGTTTCAATCCCTAGAAACTCGCTCAGGAGCAATACTGTGGACCATTATCAGCATCATGTCGAACGGAGTCACATCGAACGGGCACGAGGCGGCCTACAAGCCGTACGATCAGATCCTCCTGTTCGGCGATTCCATCACGGAGTTTGGTAGCAATCAGGAATTGGGCTTTGGGTTTCACGCCGCATTGCAGCATGGTCAGCGAACCTCCCAATGGCCCCCGACTACTTTCATATACTGACTCGTTCGCAGCATACAGTCGCCGCTTCGACGTGGTGAACCGTGGTTTAGCGTAAGAACCAGATGATTTCCACTACTTCCATCGGCGACGAACGAACTGACCCGGGACTATAGCGGCTATGCCACCTGCCACGCGATCAAAGTAGTATCTCAATGCATCCCTTCTCCGGAGCGAGCCACCGTTCGTCTGATGGTAAAACCCCCAGTCCCCTTCCACGACAATTCGCCTTAGAATCACTAACACCAGCAAAAGACCCTCTGGTTCGGCGCCAACGACTCCTGCCTCCCGGCCTTCTCGCAATACGTGCCCGTGGAGCAATACAAGGAGAACCTCAAACGCATCATCCAGCATCCGGCCACGGTCGCGCAGAACCCGCGCATCCTCATCATCACCCCGCCGCCCATCAACGAATACCAGCTGGAGTTCTTCGACAAGGGCAAGGGGAACCCGCACCCGACGCGGACGAATCAGAACGCCAAACTCTACGCACAGGGCGCCCGCGACCTCGCAGCTTCGCTGGGGGTGCCGGTCGTGGATGTCTGGACTGCGTTCATGACGGCCGTTGGATGGAAAGAGGGCCAGCCGTTGGTGGGGTCCAGGGAGTTGCCGAACGATGAGAAGTTCGCCAGCTTGTTTACGGATGGATTGCATTTGTCCGGGGAGGGGTATCGCATTGTTTATGATGTGCTGATGAAGACCATCGAGGAGAATTGGCCGGATCTGGCACCGCAGAATATCCCCATGATTTTCCCTCCTTGGCCTCAGGCGCCCAGGTGAGATGAGCTGGTCATGCGGGGAGATGGGTGTATATAGAATCAATTCAATCGACCGAGAGATCCTTGTTGTCAATATCGGATGAGAGCGCTACGGGGAGTAAGGATTCTTTGTTTGTAGTCGCAGATACTAAGATCTGTATGTATGTATTTGTTCAAAAGCAAGTATCTCACTGCACCATGGGAGGATAGGAGAATCAACAATGAATGGAGGGAGGTCAAAGAAATGGCGATGATGAAAGCGGTCTAGATCCAGCCGAGGGCGGCTGCCCGTTGGTTTGCTGGCGGTGGAATTGGGATCCCCTCATGATTTCCAATCCGACGGCACTTCTCAACCTCCTCACTCTTCCCAGCCTTCCTTCGCCATCATCTCGCCATAGCTCCCTCTCGCCTGACTGTCTCCCAAATCTCCACTCGTTACATTTTAAGTCCCTCACTCAAAGATCCTATATCTTCTCGCCCACGCCTCTGTTGCCATCAACCATCAGAAAGAAACCCCCGTCCATCCTCGCCTCCCATCGGACTCCTTCACGCCACGAAAACCTAGCGTGCCCTGCTGCCGGTTCAAGCAAACACCGAGAGAAACTAGTGCTCATAGCAATCCGGTACCCGATTTTCCAACTTTCACCGGGTGAAGTGGTCGCCTTCTACGGTGCATTCGCTCCACGCCTATCCGACGCTTCATTCGTTTCATCCTCATATCAGCCTCCCGCCTCTCCCTCTCCACTCCTTATCGCCTTTTCTCCGGCACGGTTTTTCAGCCATCTCTCTCATAACTCGGCCGTCAACCTCTTTTATGTCTCTTGAGCGCTTCACGAATATTTGTATCTAGCAGACCGGGTGGACGGCCGTAGGGCCGTCTCATCGTGTACGAGGGAGGAGGAGTCTTGGAGGACCAGCGGGCCGTCGGAGTCAAAAAGTGGACTCGATCCGAACACGGAGGACTGTGCGATAACGGCTTTCACAACAAGACTGTTGTATTGGATATAGTTTCGAGTAGTTTTGCTGTCAATCTTCTGAGGTTCTTGTGTCTACCACTCCATCACTCCGCGGTCTCCACGCCTGGACATGGATGCACAGTATCCTTTTGCCTCACGCGACGACATCTGGCGCGTCTTCGAAGAGATCAAGGAGCTTCACGCTGCCCAGTTCGAACAGGCGGAGCGGATAGCACGGCTGGAACGGCGGAGAGACGAGGATGCAAGGCTGAGAAGCGTTTGGGGTCCTTTATCGCCTTTTCCCACCTCTGTTGGGGGCACCGTCCCCGTGGGTATGTGTATTCCCTGGGTTATGTCTTGGGATTGTGGCTAAGGTGTCATCTGTTTACAGAGCCGGTCTTTCATACTCCCGCCGACACGTTTAAGGGGTTCGATCAGGGACATCATCATACAGTGGTCAATACCATGGGTCTGGAGACCGAGGAGGAGCCTAGGCGTGGCACGTCCAGGGCGAATAGCGTTCGGTTCGATGAGAGCGCCATCCACGGTTACTATGGACAAGCCAGTCGATCAACCAGCGAGCTGCCGTTGAGGACAGGGAGTGGTCTAGGCAGCCACCCTATGACTGAGCGGACGCTATCCCATCGCTCAGACGGACGACAAAGCTCCTCGGGGCATTCGCACCACTCGGCTCGAACGAATAGCCTAGGCTTAGAATCCAGTAGCAGGATGATGGCTTCCTCTGTCGTAGGATCGCCCGTCATTCCTCCACCCGGGCTCTTTCTTCTTGGTCCTGTCCCGTGCATCATTCGGTGCTGGTTGACCACTAACTTTTCCAACGATTCTCTGTTGTATGCCGCCGTCTGCACCGGCTCCTACACCTCTTCACTGGGGTATCCGATGGTCCAACGATTCGGTTGGGAAGATCAGCTGATCCAGGACGGAGATGTGCAGTATCTCAAACTCCCCATGTACCTTCCCGAGGCTAGCGTGCATCAATCCTCATCGCGCTCCAGTAGCCCCGCGCCTCAGGTTCCTACCTTGACCATCCGTTTCCTGGTTCGCGAGGTCGACCCCAGTGACTATTCGGTGCAGATTGTTCTTGGCAGTGATGTGCTCCGCTCCCACAACGCCGACGTGCTGTTCTCTCAAGACAAGATCATCATGGTAGACGACGAGCGCAACAAGATCTCCATCCCCCTTGTTCGTCCGGAGGATGACACCGTCTTCAAGTCATTGTGCACGGCCTCCGATGCATCACGCGCAGGGTGGAAAGACCGGCATGCCGCCCAGGTTGACTCCCCGATAGACATAAATGGCCATGCGCCTGTGGGAGTCATCGGGCGTCCTACCAGCTCATCCCGACGAGCGGCCTCCACCACTGGCTCCGTACAAGACTTCACGGAAGACTCCGAGGACAGTCGAAAGGCCCATCCCTCGGAGACGCAGGAATCTCCCGTCGATGCCGATCCGACCCAAGAACAGGACAAGCCCGCCGGGACCGTATCGAGTGTTCCAGCTCGTGCGGAAGCATCCGGGGTCTGGGGCTCGTGGAAACGCGATACCATAGCTGACCCGAATGCAAGCGCGGCGACGGGCAAGCCTTCGCGCGGCCGTGCTATGAAAGTACTGCGGCCCACCAAGGCGACATCTCGAGTGGCGTCGTCGACGACAATTGCACCCAGCACCAGCTCACCGGTTGATGTCGTGCAGCAGCCTCCCTCGACTCGCACATCCCCGGACCGGGTGCGCTCCGGCAAGCAGTGGGCTTCGAATCCCGTTGGCGGGGCCTCGGCTTTTGGATGGCTCAACACATCGTCCCAGCCGGGGACTCGTAGCATGACGACGGCCACTGGCCCTAAATGAAATAGATTAGGGGCAGTCTGGTCGGGCGTGGTCTGGTTCGGCGGGCATATCTCTTTGATTTTACTTGTGGTGTCTGGTGACATAAATGAAGCAACGTTGAAGATGCATCCCTGCATGCATAATGTAACCAGTTACTCGATTTTCTTTAATATACCATATTATCAACCTGTGAACCTCATAATCCATAATCCCAAAGTGACCTTTACCCTCTCTCTGAGTGATAAACCACCCTCCCCTCTCCCCTAATACCACACAACACCCCCTTCCCCCACCAATAAGAAATAATAATAATTAAATCCTAGCTAAAGCCTCCAGAGCCCCCCTCGTCTCCTCCTTCATCTCCTTCACCACCCCACTCACCCCCCGAAACGCCTCATGCCGCGCATCCCCCACCATCTCAAACAAAAGACTCTCACTCGTCGTGACAATCGCCCCAGCATCCCGCAGCCGCGCCAACGCCACCCCGCGCTCCTCCGCATGCACGCTGCTCACCCCGTCCACAACCACATACACCCGGTGTCCCCGACTCAGCAAGTCCAGCGTCGTCTGCGTCACGCAGATGTGCGTTTCGATCCCCACGATGATGGCGTCCAGCGGCGTTTCTCCGGCGTTTGGGTCCGGGAGGAGTTTCGCTAGCTCCGGCGTGATCATCGAGAAGAGCGTTTTGTCGATGTTTGCAAGGACTCGGGGGCTGGTGCCTGTTTGGGCGTTGGTCTCCGGGTACAGGTATGCGTGAAGCTCTGGGACCGTGTCGCCTAGTTTGCTTTTGTTTTGGGTTGTGATGTAGATGGGTGTGTTTAAGGGTGCCGTGCCCGTTGCGCGGAGGAGTTTGGTTGTTGTTGTTATTCTTTTCTGGGGTTAGTTCTGTCTTTGGGTTTGGTCTTTGCGATGGTTTTGCGAGGGGGGGTTCGGTAGGTAGGTAGGAAGTTGGTATAGAGGTAGGGGTTTGGGATTGGAATGAAGGTAAGGGGCGGGACGCACATCCTCGGGAATTCGTGGATTACGTGTCGGAATTTCTCTTGGATGTCGCAGATACTATTAAATTGATTTAGTTTTGGATGGGTTGGGTTGGAGTTGAATGGTGGCGTACAAGAGCGCTGGGTTGCCTGGCTTTGTGTTAGTTCGGGGGGTTTAGTCCTGGGGTTTGGTATGAAGTGGACGTACGGATGCGCGTTGCGCGGGTGAGGGTTTGGGTGGCCATTTTGTGGGCTTTGGGTGCGATGATTGCGAGGATTGGATTGTGAGTAGGAGGATTTTATGTGGTGGTGAGGAGATGCAGATCGCTTAAATGGATGCAGGAGATGAATTGCAGGCAGGCAGTGCAGTTGGAGTGCAGAGCGGGGAAATGCTCGGTGCGGGGAAGGAGCCGGCCGAGGTATGATGTTAATGCCTTGCCGATCAGGCACAATTTTAGCTATATGAAACTAGACTATATCTACAAACTGATCTCCTGCACCTTCGCGCGCCCGCTGAACCAGCTATCATCCCCCCTCGACGCTGCCTGTCGAATGGCGTACAGCTCGTCCAGGAACGCAGGCACGAAACTGCCCGGCCCCCGAACCTCCTCCCTCGCCGCTGCGTTTTCAGCAGCGATCTCGTACATCAAAAGCCCTGCTAGCACTGCGAGGAGCTTGTCTTTCGGGTTGGCTGCTAGGAAGCACCCCGATACAGTGCCAACGGCGCACCCAGTCTAGAATCTATTAGCATCCGCCACAGAACAGTGATTCAGCTACTTACCCCCGTGACCTGTCCGAGGAGTTCGTGGCCGTTCTCCACGGCAATGACGCGCTCGCCATCGCTCAGGTAGTCAACCGCACCGGTTAGAAGCACGAGGTTGCCTACACATCTGGTTAGAGTCTAAAGACACAGCCACTGGAGTCAGACGTACGCTCTCGCTTGGCAAGCTCAAGAGCCAGCCGAGCCTTGCCTTGGCTGTCAAGACTACTGGGTCCGCTGTCGACGCCCCGCTGCGTCACGCCGCTGTTCCCGTATACCTGGCGAATTTCTCCCTCGTTGCCCTTGATGAGATCGAAGTATCCGCCCGCCATGAGCTGCTTGACGACACCGCGACGGATGCTGGTGGCTGCCGCACCGACTGGGTCGTACACGACCGGGTTCCCGCGCTCATTGTACGCTTTCTGCGCCTTCAGGTAGTTCGGGATGCTCTCGCTGGTGAGCGTGCCCATGTTGATCACCAATGCACCGCCGAATTGGCGGAGATCGACGGCTTCGTCGCCGTAAGGGGACATGATCGGAGAAGCGCCCCTGCGATCTGTCAGCATCTCCAGCTCAGTAGGCGGGGTGAGTGGGAATAGTACATTGAAAGAGCGACGTTGGCGACAAAGTTGGCCACGACATGGTTGATCATATTGTGTACCAACGGGTGGGCCTTGACCATATCTTGGACCACCTGGGGAACCTGCTTCAAAAGTCCGGCGGTATCGCGCGCCGTAGTAGACAGATCGCTGTGCACGAATGGAGGCGGGGTGGCGACGAGCTTCACAAACTCAGCCGCCGCAGCCTTGGGGTCCTCGGCCGCCATAATCGCACTAACAATGGCAACGCCATCCAGGCCCTTGTTCGCGGCGCGAGACTGATACAATACCCGTTGTACGTTCGACTGGTTGATTCCGCCGATGGAGACGGTTCCCACCGTCTTGCCAGTGTCGGAGATGGCTTCCAGGATAGCTTGGGTGCCGGCTGTCCCCAGAATCAACTTTGTGTTCGTTTTCCTGGAGCTTGTTAGTCGATATCCGGTGATATCTAGAGCAACAGCAAGCACCTACGTTGAGGTAGCAAACATGGTTCCGATGCCGAGATAATCGGCCCCGGCAGCAATCGCCTTCTGGGCCTCCTCGATCGACCCGGCGCTAATGCCGATGATGGCATCTTTCGGGAGAAGCTTCTTGGCTACCTCAATTGCTGCACGTCGTCAGCATTGTCGGGCTGCATGCGAAGGGAAGACACGTACTCATGTCATCCTGGCCCAGGTGGACGCCCTCCGCTCCCACGGCCAGAGCAACATCCACGCGGTCGTTGATCAGCAACGGTACGCCATACGCCTTGGTGAGCTGGTGCAGCTTCTTGGCTGTCTCGATTTGCGCCCCCGTGTCGCTTTTCTTCTCACGGTATTGCACAATAGTCACGCCTGGAGTAGATGGTTAGTGGTTTGGGGTGTGTTGTCGGCAGAAAAGTACTTGCCTCCTTTGAGGGCCTCTTCCACAACCGTGCAGAGGTCTCGACCCTTGAGAATGGCAGGGGTCGAGTCGGTGACTAGATATACGGAGAGATCCAGAGGCATTTTACAGATTATCTGGATGTCTTGGAGTTAGAATATGCAGTCTATGTAGTTTCAAGGCTTGCGATGAGGGACACGTGGGGCATGCGGGAATGAGCAACCAACAATGCAGGATATTTCTGGATTACTTGATTGGTTGCAAACTCCCCACTTGGAAAAGTGCAGCTTACCCAAAGCCAGCGACGACATATATCTAGGAAATTCAATGGCCGAAATGAAACTCGGAGGGTCGGCAGAGGCTTTTCGCGACGTTGAGGAGTTGTGGGGACGGCCGAAAGTTAGTCATTCTATATGACGGACGACGACAGCGCCGTGTAAGATAGGTTCCCGCTACATGTCTATATCAACCGACGTCAATCCGTGTCTCGGACAAAGACTACCTCAAAGCTTGGCTACATGTATCAGAGACACCTGTAGAATGGCTTTCTGTGCGGTTCGCATTCATGGACGTCTCGGATGAGAGATCCCACCCAATCTGAGCAGGCATTACGGAACATGTCTTAAGCTACTAGAAGAGCTTATTCATGCTCAAAGTTTACTGTTCTGTCCGGTTTCAGCAGTGCCTGGACTGGGTGTGATGCGACAGGTGGCGGTGAGTCCCTCGAGCATAACAGTTACTTCATAGTGTAACCATCGACGGTGGTGGTTGTGGTGATGGGAGCTTGGCAGGCTGTGACTAGCATGGAGCTGAGACAAATGCATGACATGAAATATAGACAGACGGCATACTTAGACAGGGTTCAGGGTTGTAGGCAGCAGCAGTAGCAATAACAACACAACCACTCCAGTCCGCCTGCTATTGTTGCCAAACCTCGGCTCTAGACATAAGTACCTTACTGGAATGAAAGGAAGAACGAGTCATAACCGACCGAATGGAAGCAGTGAACGGCAAGCACGTGTATCCGGAAGGCCGGCATCCTCCATGGGGGGCAAGCTGACTCAGCCGACCAGTTTTTCACTCGAATTTTCACTTGATTGCCAGATTGTTCAGGCTTTCTATAGTTCTCTCCCAAATCAACTGCTTGGCAAAAACCGGGTCGGACTTTTTTTGTTTGGGACCTTTTCTACCGACCCTCGACTCGCCTTCCTCCTTCTCTCTCTTCCTTTCCTTTCCTCTTCTCTTTCTCTTTCTCTTCCTTTCTCATCCACCTTCTACCCACAACAACTCTCGGTTTTTTGTCAACCCACCTTTTATCCAAATTTCCGTCGGCGTTTAACGCTGCTGTCCCGTTACATCTTCCTTCAGGCGCTCATTTCTGCCTGCTGGTTTCTACCTCACGTTTTGTTCACGTCCAAGCCACTCTGGTTAGTCCCACTGCCACTCACTCACCCTCTCCTTCATCTCCCTCCTCTTCCTCCTCCTTACACGATTACGAATCTGACCCGTCCTCTTTCTTTCGTCCTACAGAAGAACCACCCGTTGGTTTCTCTCTTTCCTGCCAGAGAAAGCCACTGAAAATAGAGTCGGTCGAGAACTTGTCTATGTATTCGTCCTGCGTCAGAGATTTCGATCACCACCTGCCGCTCAAGCTGCAATCGTTTCGCTTCACGTCGAAACCTTGTAGTAGACATTCCAAGTCCTGTGGCTGAAAGCTTTTGGGCTGCCGTCTTCGCTGTGACCATCGTTCCCACCAACTCGATCGCACAACCGCCACCATTCCTTCTCAACTAGGAAACCCACGCATGTCTTGTTTCTTCAAGATATCCCTGGTCCAGATTCCCTCCCGCTACATATAACCACCTCAACTAGTCCCCTGAAGTTTTTTCATCCACTCCAACCGTCATCATGGCTACTGTCAACATTCGTCGGGATGTCTCCGATCCCTTCTACCGCTACAAGATGGAGCGCCTGCAGTCCAAGATTGAGGGCAAGGGCAACGGCATCAAGACTGTCATTGTCAACTTGAACTCGGTCGCCCAGTCTCTGGCTCGCCCTCCTGCTTATGTCATCAAGTACTTCGGCTTCGAGCTCGGTGCTCAGGCCAACGCGAAGCCGACCGATGACCGCTGGATCATCAACGGTGCCCATGATGCCCCCAAGCTTCAGGACTATCTCGATGGCTTCATCTCTAAGTTTGTGCTGTGCAAGAAGTGCAAGAACCCGGAAACGGATGTCAACATCAAGGATGAGAAGATCTTCTTGGACTGCAAGGCCTGTGGTCAACGCTCCGATGTCGACTCTCGCCTCAAGCTGAGCACTTTCATCCTGCGTGATGTCGCCTCGGGCAAGGGAGGTAAGAAGGACAAGGCTTCGAAGAAGGATCGCCGCGAACGCAAGAAGGATAAGAACAAGGCAGCGAACGGTGACAACAATGGCAGCCCCGGAGACAGCAACTCCGACAACGGCGATGAGGAGAACGGCGATGTCGCCCTGGAAGCAGGCAGCGACGACGAGCTGACCCGCCGCATCAAGGCCCAGGCCCAGAACATTGAGGCCGAGGATGAGATCGATGATGATGACTGGGCGGTTGACGTGTCTGAGGAGGCCGTCAAGGCTCGTGCCAAGGAACTCCCCGATGACCTCAAGCGCACTTTGGTCCTTGAGGACGCCGACGAGGACGGTGCCGATGGCCCCTCCGCCTACGATGAATTGGGTAGCTGGGTCATCGAAACTGCCGAGAAGAACGGTGGCGTCACTGGCGTCAGCGATGTCGACATCTACATGAAGGCCAAGGAATACGGCATCGAGAACAAGCACAAGACTCTGGCTGTTCTGGCCCAGACCATTTTCGACGACAAGATTGTCAAGCAGATCCCCGCCCGTGCCGGTCTGCTCAAGAAGTTGATCACTTCCGAGCGCCACGAGAAGGCCTTCTTGGGTGGCACCGAGCGCTTCGTCGGCAAGGACCGCCCCGAGCTGATTGGACAGGTTCCTGCTATCTTGCTGAAGTACTACGAGCACGACCTCATCTCGGAGGACACTCTCAAGGCTTGGGGCTCCAAGGCCAGCAAGAAGTACGTCGACATCTCGACTAGCAAGAAGGTCCGCAAGGCCGCGGAGCCCTTCCTCGAATGGCTTGAAAACGCCGAAAGCGAGGAGGAGAGCGAGGAGGACGACGAGTAGACTGCTGTCAGCTTATGGATTCTCGGTTCTAGATGATCGATTTCGGGACGTTTTCACTCATTGTCTCTTTGCTTGCTGTTTGTCTAAACGACTCCACTCATTTGATACGTATACTCGACTGAACCTGCTGTTTGAGTCTGATGTCTGCGAGGTTTACACAAGAAAGAGCATATTAGTTAGCTGCCAATAAACTCTTCTCTGTATATGCTATGTATCACTGTAGGGTTCAGATTCGTAATCTACTGATGATCTTGTGTACAGTACAGGATACCTAAAACACCGTATCTGCAAATTTGAGGTTCGTCCCCGGGACCGACCACTCCCTCAACGGCTCCTCAACCACCTCGCAAATCATAGGACCCTTGGTGACAGTCGTCTTCTCCTTCTCCACCCTTGATCTCGCCCCCCGAGCCTTGTGCTCCTGAAAGAGAAACCAAGTTAGATCCGCATTCCACGTCTCCATCGCCTCCAGCGCCTCCTGGATAGACGCGATATCATCCCCACCACCACTAACACCCCCCAGCCCCTTCTCACCCTGTGTGACCCCTCCAGCCACCCACAGATCATAAACCTCCACACCAGCAAACAACACCACCCACTCCGCCACGTACCCGCATATCTTATCCCCGAACCCCAACGGCAGCCGCACGTGCGTGAGCAGCGCGATAAAGAGCGGGAGCAAGCTGCGCCAGACGGCGTGGTGCGGCGTGAAGGCTCGTGCGCTCGTCGGATGCAGCGAGAGGGATTGCGTGAGTTGGATGCTTGGTTTCGTCTCGACCTGCTGATGCGGTTCCTGGTTCGGGGAATTGTAGGCCTGCTGCTGCTGCTGCTGCTGCTGCTGGCGCGACCGGCGTTCCACGGTCCTTTCCGCGTCTTCTCGGACCTTTGTCCATGTTTGCCGGTAGAGGCGCTCCCAACGGGGGAATTCGGGCTCGATGCGCGACGACAGGAAGTCGCCTGCTGTTTCGAGGAGGGTGCGGATTGTTTCGCTGGCTGTTGTTGTTACGTAGGTTTCTTCTTCGAGGGCTGCCGTTGGTTCTGTGTTTGTGTTTGTGTTTGTGTTTGTGAGGGTTAGGCTTGTTGATGGGGGTGGTTTCGTGGTCGTTGCTGTGATACTGCTGCTGATCGGCGAGGTTGGGAAGCAGATGCGCGCGGCGATGGATGGCCATAGGTCGTTGATCAGGGGGAGGAAGCTGTTTTCGTGGGTCGAGAGCGTGGGGGACACGTCGATCAAAATCGCTAGCAGTGATCGTCGGAGGTACGGCGAGGGTGAGGTCAGGTACGAGGGGATGGACTGCACGATGTGCAGGAGCAGCGCGTGCGTTTTGCTCGCAGGCTTCTCGCTGTCCTCCTGTTCCTGCGGCGCGGGCAGTGGTTCGTCGGTTTCGTCTTGCGCCATTAGGTCCGCTAGTGTGTCGAATTCGCTGGTCTCGTCTTGTGGTGGTGACCTCTGCTGCTCGCTGGGCTGGGGCTCGCGCGTCCAGGGCTTGCGAGGGTGGCCCGTGACGTTGTCCTCCTCCTCCTCCTCCTCCTCCTCGTCGTCGTCCCGGAGCTCGGTCGTGAGTTTGGTTCGTTTGGCGCGGCGTTGGGCGAAGTCTTGCGCGAGAGTGGATATTTGCAGGTTGGCGTATCGTTTCTTGCGGTGTTTGGATTCTTGGGTCTGTGTCCCTTCGGTGATTGCGAGCTGGGCGCGGTTCTGCGTTCCTTCTTCGACGATCGCGGCCAGCGTCCGGAACATCAGCTCGACCAGTTTCGGATAGCCGTGGTACATGTCTAAGATGCCGAAGATCGCGTCGACTAGATCGTCCAGGTAGGGTATGAGCCGTGCGCCGCAGAGCTTCACCATCATCAACAGTACCTGCGGGGGATACGGGGATACATCGAAGGTGTTCAGCTTCAGTGCCACCGAGTTCACGAGGTAGTCGACGTTCTCGATTACCATCGTGCTGGCGTCGGCGTAGTTGCATGCGTTCGTGAGCTGGTTCAGGCACGTCATGGCGTGTCTCTGGACATTCGGGTTGCTGGACGCCAGTAGCTGAAGAACCGGGTACAATGCGTCCATCAACTCGGGCCGGAAGGCCTCCCCGAGTTGCTGTGCTTGTAGTGCAACTGCCTCTAACGCAAGGGCCTGTACCCTCCAGTCGCGGGAAGCATCCGCCAGTGGCTCGTTCAAAATCGGCAGTGAGATGTAGTATAGCTCCTCGATCATACCTGTTCTGGCTGTAAGTTGGCCCGATGGTTCAAGTTCGTCCAGGGATATGAAGTCGTCGAAGGCTGCTGTAGCCTGCAGATTACTCCGGAGAAAGTTCAAGGAAAGCCACATGGGTGAGATGAGAGCGTCACCGTGCTCCTGGTAGAGGCGATTGATGATCAGACGAGTGATTCCGTTGCCCGATTCTGAAGAGCTCAGCCGGATGATCATACTCCGAAGATCTCGGAGTGTGTCTCGTTGGCTTTTATGTTCCATGAGGACTGGTTCGAAGGTGACTGCTTCACTTCCATGCTGCAGAACTTCCAGGTTCTGGGACTCGGCGGCATCGATGGTCAGAGGCTGCAGTGCACTTGTTGCGTGGTTCACAGCTGCCGCAACACTATCGCATAATCCAGACGCCAGGCTGCCTTGCAGGATATCCGAGTAAGACTGCACTTGTGACAGTACTTGGAAAGCAGTCGATATCTGCTTGACTGCCCATTGTTTCGCTGTCTCGTCGTTGCCCTGCATGGTCCTTGGGAATGAAGTGATCCACGTATGAAGAGAGTTCTTGAGGTTATCTACCACGATTGGGTAAGTTGTGGCGTGGTGTGTGAGAGCAGAGAAGGCTTCATTTGGTGTGCTGTTCTCGTCCACTTCAGACAACACGACCAGAGTTTCAACAATAATCGGTAGTGACTCCTGCAGAGTAGCTTGGCACTCTTCTATCACCATCAGACAGAGCTCACGCAGGGCAGCCTGTACTTCGGGTCTTTCATGGCGTCTTATCTGTATAATATTGGCAAGAGCAAGTTTGATCTGCGTGGCTGTAGCTTTCAGCCACGAGGCGTCAAGCACGAGCAGATCGTTCGGCTTTTGGGACTGAACCGAACTATCAGGGAGCTTCGCGACCCGGTCATTCAAAACTGTTCTCAGCATGTAGGTGAGCACTTGGAGGCAAAGGCTCAGGAGCTTGTACGAGCGTCGCGTTTGTGTCGTCGGCCTGATCACTTTCGTCAGGGTCGAGACTGTCCGAGGCATGATACTAGCCAGTACTACCCTGTCAGTAATGCGGCCATAAAGGGCTTTGAGTGACTCGGCTGCCGAAATGCAAAGCTGATCAGACTGCTCGTCGCTGATCCCTTCAAGCAGAATATAGACTGTTTGATCGACGACAGTGGCAGTACCAACTTCATGGTAAATTGTCGCAGTGGCGACGGGACCTTCAAGCACATCAAAGATAGCCGAGAGGCAGTTGAACCCTGCAATGGACAATTCCGTTGACCGCGTCTGCGTGGGTTGGCTTGCGTTAGCTTTGCTAGGCGCACCTCCGACGATTAAGGTCAGTAGGATCATAAGTTGTTTTCCCATTTGTGGAGACAGACGTCTTCGCCATCCTCTTTCCACTAGAATGTGCAGGCATTTGACAGCGAGTTCCAGAGAGCTGACTGGTGTTCTCTGCGTCTCGTTGAAGATGTGACATAGAGGGAAGAATGCGTATTCCGCCAGCTTTTCGTCCAGGGCATCTTTACTGCCTAATTCGTTGAGGACCGTATGAACGGGTTTCAGAGCCTTGAAGACATCATTTGAAGACGCTTGGTTCCCACGAAAGCGTAAGCCGACAGCGCTTAGTTCCACACATGGTGGTTTGAGCTACAGTGTGTATTAGTCTGCGTTGACCATGATATTGGATTGGGGTCGCACCTTGCTGAAAGCTTCTTGTCTAGAGATCTCCATCGAGTTTAGTCGGAATAGAGATAATTACAGCATTCATAGGCTCAAGATACTTTCAGCCATTAGACCGATGTGACTGACTGTCAAGCAAATCTCGCATTGGCTACAGCAACAAATCCGGTCGTGCTTTGCAGCCAGTAGAAGGAAGCATTATCGATAATCAATCCTCGCCGCCCTCGCGATGACTTTCTGCCCGGCTTGGAGGGCGGTAAGAATGAGGATATGAGTTTGCACTGTTTGGCTCGTAAGTGCGTCACTCTTGGCCAGTTCCGGTAATCTGCTAAATTGTCACTCGACAGCAGCAAGACTCTACTTCAGGTTCCATTTCACAAATGAGAATAGCCTCAAGCTGCCGGTACCATATCACGTCTCATTCTTTTCCTCCTATCTCAATGTCAACAGGATCAAGACATTGACCTGTCTCAACCCAGCTGTGAGTCCAATCACGTGACACTAATTGATTTCGCGTCACGTCACGTCGCGTCAAGTCAAGGCTCCCGTCGAAGCTTAAGCAATTGGAAGGCAGCAATGTCTACCTAGTGTGCCTAGCCCATGGATTCTGCAGCCCACGAATGCATATAAACTGACAAGCTGGCAAAGCTTATTACCAGGTGAAAGGCGGTAGCACGGAACGTCTATGCTCTCTTCATACCGCTCCGCGTGCATTACGCCGTCTTTTCGATTTCTCTGCAGGAATTCCGTCCCCGGCACCATAGCCCCGAGGACTTTGCATTCGGCCATCTCCTTCGCGCGTCCCCTTTCCTCACTCGCTCACACAAGGCGACTCGTGGTCAATCCTTCGCTGCGATCAGATCATCCGTCCCGTTCATCGCCTCTGCTCGCAATGGCGGATTCTAAGGGTCGGAAGCAAGCAACTCTGGGGTACGTGAAGGATTCCCAGCTAACTCTCGGGTGGGTCTGTTCAGGACTTGCGCCTAGGTATCCCTATATCAACTCTTATGCGCCTGAATACTGATTTGTGGTTGTGGCTACAGGAGGTTCTTCGGTTCGAATTCCGACGCCCCGCAAGATGCGCCTAAGAAGCAGACCACGCTGGCGTTCTCAGGTAAAAAGAGCAAAGCTTCCAAGGAGACCTCCGAAAAAGAACCAGAATCTGCTCCTGCCAATGGAGCCTCAATCAAGGACGAACCTATGAAGGACACTGGCTCCTCTAGCGCCGAACCAGAAACAACTAAGACGGAAGATAAGCAAGACACCAACGCATCGAAACGCGAGAACAGCAGCGAGGACGACGACAGCGATGTTCAGCCTGCACCGAAGCGCCGCCGGAGAACTTCACGCGAGAATGAGACGCCAGCCTCGCCGAAGAGCTCCCCGAAGAAAAGGCCCCCACCACCCAAGAGTCCCAAGAAGCAGACCAAATCCAAGCAGCCTTCCGAGTCAGTGAATATCGAGAAAGCTTCAGGGGAAAAGACACCCGAGAAAGAGGAAGAGGTATCAGAGGAGGAGGAAGCGCAGTCGGTCAGCGAGGATGAGGAAGATGAGAAACCGGAGGTGAAAAAGAAGAAGATCGAGAAGGTACAAGCTACACTCAAAGCCAGCGGAACGGAGCCATATCCCGACTGGAAAGCTGGCGATCCAGTTCCATATGCCGCACTGTGTACGACCTTCTCGCTGATCGAGATGACGACCAAGCGATTGGTCATCCTCGCCCATTGCTCTCTCTTCCTCCGTCAAGTCTTGCGCTTGACTCCGCAAGACCTTCTTCCTACTGTGCAGCTTATGATCAACAAACTGGCGGCAGACTATGCTGGCATCGAACTAGGAATCGGGGAGTCGCTCATCATGAAGGCGATCGGTGAGAGTACAGGACGAAGTTTGGCTGTGATCAAAGCTGATCAGCACGAAATTGGTGATCTCGGTTTGGTGGCCGCTAAGAGTCGCTCGAATCAGCCCACCATGTTCAAGCCGAAGCCCTTGACAGTCAGAGGCGTCCACGAAGGTCTCCTCACTATTGCGAAGGTGCAAGGACATGGTTCCCAGGATAAGAAGATCTCTGGCATCAAGAAGCTCCTTTCTGCGGCTGACACCGCAGCTGCAGGCAAAGGCAGTAAGGGTATTGATATTACCAAGGACAAGGGTGGCCCTAGCGAAGCCAAGTATATCATTCGTTTCTTAGAAGGAAAGCTTAGACTGGGGCTGGCAGAAAAGACGGTCCTTGTCGCTCTCGCCCAGGCCGTGGTCACGCACGAGGCTGAGCTTAAGGGTGAGAAGGCTCCCTCTACTGAGAAGCTGGCTCAGGGTGAGGCTATCTTGAAGACCGTGTACAGCGAGCTGCCAGCTTACGAGATCATTATCCCGTTGATGCTCGAGCATGGTTTGTCTGACCTGCACAAACACTGCAAGCTGCAACCGGGCATTCCTATCAAGCCCATGCTTGCCAAGCCGACCAAGTCCATTACGGAGGTTCTTGATCGATTCGAAGGCAAGGACTTTACTTGTGAATACAAGTACGATGGAGAGAGAGCTCAGATCCACTATGTCGCGCCAGATGCTGTCGACAAATACCCCGGCGCCAAGGCTACGCTACAGAGTGATAGCAAAGGTCTTAGCTCTATCTTCTCTCGCAACTCGGAGGATCTTTCCAAGAAATATCCAGATGTGCTTGCGAAACTGAATTCTTGGGTGAAGGACGGAGTTACAAGCTTTGTCCTCGATTGTGAGACAGTTGCTTGGGATACGGTCAACAAGAAGGTCTTGCCATTCCAACAGCTCATGACTCGTAAGAGGAAAGATGTCAAGGCGGAAGACGTCAAGGTCAAAGTCTGCGTGTTTGCCTTTGATCTACTGTTTCTGAACGGCGAGGTAAGTGGCCTGAAGTTCCCGCTTATGTTCACGTCACTGATTCAAGGCTATAGCCAACGGTCAAGAAGAGCTTACGAGAGCGTCGCGAACTTCTGCACGATTCCTTCCAGACTATTGAGGGCGAGTTCCAGTTTGCACAGTACGGAAACACAAACGTTGTGGATGAGATCCAGAATCTTCTTGATGATAGTGTGAAGGCGTCGTGTGAAGGGTTAATGGTGAAGATGTTGGATACGGAAGAGAGTGGTTATGAACCCAGCAAGCGGAGTCGTAACTGGCTCAAGGTACGTCGAGCAAACGGGAGAAGGTCCGCTCTCTCTTACTAACTACGATATCAGGTCAAGAAGGATTATCTCAGTGGTGTTGGTGACTCTCTGGATCTTGTTGTCTTGGGTGCATATCACGGCAAAGGCAAGCGGACGTCTGTGTACGGTGCCTTTTTACTAGCTGCATACAACACGAGCACGCAGACCTATGAGACGGTCTGCAACATTGGCACGGGTTTCTCGGAGGCTGATTTGGAAGAGCTTCACAAACAACTTTCCCCTCTCGTCATTGACCGGCCGAAGCCGTTCTATTCTCACTCGACGGTCCCCAAAGATCAGCCCGATGTGTGGTTCGAGCCACGGTTTGTCTGGGAGGTCAAGACGGCTGACCTTACCCTCAGCCCACGTTATAAGGCTGCCGCTGACGAGTTCGAGGGGACTACTGGTGGCGGTAAGGGTATCTCTCTTCGATTTCCGCGGTTCATCAAAGGTCGGGACGACAAGAAGCCCGACGAGGCGACTACGACGCGGGCAGTGGCGGAAATGTACCGCAAGCAAGAGGCGGTGCAGAAGGAGAATGCTAAGAAGGGAGTGGATGATGATTTCGAGTATTAAGCCGATTGATTGAAGTACAGTACATATATACGTACAGCTGTGGCTAAAGTCCCAGTCCTTGGATTAATTACATACATAGATATGAGATGTCTGATATGCCCTTTACCCCCGCATCGTACGCATCATTTGTTCCCCTTTCCTTAATCCTGATTAATGGAAATGACCAAGATTAGCAATCAGACCATGCGAATGACAGGACGGACGCCAGAAGATATCCGGTGCCAAGCAACAGAGAGGAATGCGCACAGTACTTGGCATTGCAACCCAAGACTTGCATCCCGCCCTTGCGTGGATCGTTCCCCGTCCACTTCTTGTTGCTGCTTATCCTGATCAGGCAGGTCCCTAACTGACTGCCCCATCCAGTCCCATTTCTCTCCCCAATTTCATCATCTCTCTCTTCAATTCTCCCACTCTTGCTTTAACCACGAAGCGGGGTCTTCTTGACCTCATAAATAGGGCCTGTCTGCCTACCCTTCTCTCTTTTGTATCCTGTTCAGCTCTGAACTTTCTACAAGAGCCTAGGTTGCGACCTAATCGCCATCGTTCTACAACGTTATCATGGGAGCTCTTCGGTGGCTCTCCATTGTTGCTGTCGCATCGGTGGCTTCAGCACTGACCCCCGAGTACGTGCCACTTGCGCCATAACAATTGTATTGTCGCCAACCGCTCATGTCTCATAACTTGCAGGCAATTGATTAGTGCTCCGCGGAGGGACGACGTCCTTCCCAACCCATCTGGAGTATGTTGCATTACTTGATCACTTATCTGGAGGGAATTGACAAAAATAGGCTGTCGGACTCTTCTCAGTCTCCCAGTACTCCTTTGACACTCATTCCGGCAGCTCATGGTGGAGTTTGATTGACCTGCGCTCGGGTGAGACTAGCACTCTCACTAACGATAGCAATGTCTCTGAGATCATCTGGCTTGGCACCGATGACTCCACTATCCTCTACATCAACAGTACCAACGCGGACATCCCTGGAGGCGTTGAGTTGTGGATTTCGGACGTTGTAGACTTCGCCAATGGGTAACACTCCTATCCCTGGCTTGTTCGGGAAATGGCTAACATGAATCTGCAGATACAAGGCAGCTTCATTGCCAGCCAATTTTCTTGGTCTCAAGACAGCCGTCACAGACTCAGGCGACGTACGCTTCATTCTTCGTGGCAAAGCCTATGGCAACGGCACAGCCTATAACGACAAGTTAGCTGGAACGTCCCTGAGCTCTGCTCGGATCTATGATAGCCTCTACATCCGTCATTGGGACACATACCTCACTCCACCATCTCATGCTGTGTTCTCGGGCACATTGCGCAGCTCGTCTGATGGTGACAGCACTGGCCACTATACTTCAGATGGCAGCCTTACGAACTTGGTGTCCCCCATCAAAAATGCTGAGAGCCCTTATCCTCCCTTTGGAGGAACCTCGGACTATGACCTCTCCCCGGACGGCAACTGGGTCGCTTTCAAGAGCAAAGCGCCAGAGCTACCCCGGGCCAACCTGACAACTTCATATATCTATCTTGTGCCTCATGATGGATCTAAGACGGCATTTGCCATCAATGGACCCAAGAGTGTCGTCACGCCCGCTGGCGTCGAGGGTGACTCAAGTAATCCAGTCTTCTCTCCTAACAGTGACAAGCTGGCATACCTTCAGATGAAGGACAGACAATACGAGTCGGACAGACGCACCTTGTACGTCTACACTCTTGGTACTAATGAGTCCATCTCAGCAGTTGCCAAGGATTGGGATCGGTCTCCGGACACATTGGCCTGGGTCGATTCAGACAACCTGGTCGTTACAAGTGAAGATTTCGGTCGGTCTAGGTTGTTTTCTGTTCCAGCAGATGCGGGTGATGATTTCAAGCCTAAGAATTTCACCGATGGTGGCTCCGTAGCTGCGTATCATGTGCTACCAGATTCCACCATCTTGGTAACCGGGAAGGCGCTCTGGACCAGCTGGGCTGTCTATACAGCTAGTCCTAAGCAAGGAGTCATCAGCATATTGGTTTCCGCTAACGAGATAGACCCCGAGCTTGCCGGGTTGAGTTCTGCTGATATCGACGAGTTCTACTACCAAGGCAACTGGACCGAAGTAAGTTCAACAGAAATCGCGAATCACAATACTTACTTACCGGAATCTAGATTCAATCTTGGATCATCTACCCTGAGGGCTTTGACAAGAGCAAAACGTACCCATTCGTTTTGTACATCCACGGCGGACCCCAAGGCTCGTGGGCTGATTCCTGGAGCACGCGCTGGAACCCCAAGGTCTTCGCAGACCAGGGCTATGTGGTCATCGCCCCGAACCCGACAGGCAGTACTGGGTTCGGTGATGCACTGACCGATGCTATCGCAAATGACTGGGGTACTAACCTTTCCATTTATACTTCATAATGAAGATTTTATACTGACAAACCGCAGGAGGTGCCCCATATGACGACCTCGTGAAAGCCTGGCAATACGTCCACGACAACTTCGACTTCATCGACACAGACCACGGCGTCGCCGCCGGCGCCAGCTACGGCGGCTTCATGGTCAACTGGATTCAGGGCTCGGATCTCGGCCGGAAGCTCAAGGCCCTCGTCTCCCACGACGGGACCTTTGTCGCCGATGCGAAGATCGCCACAGATGAGCTATGGTTCATCGAGCATGACGTGCGTTCCCATATCCTCGCATAACTCACATTTTACCTTTTACACCACCACTAACGAAGAGTGCTATCTCACAGTTCAACGGCACCTTCTGGGCCAACCGCGACAACTACCGTCGATTCGACCCCTCCGCCCCCGAACGCATCCTCCAGTTCTCGACTCCGCAACTGGTCATCCACAGCGACAAGGACTACCGACTCTCCGTTGCCGAGGGTATTGCGCTGTTCAATGTTCTCCAGGAACGGGGCGTGCCGAGTCGGTTCCTGAACTTCCCGGATGAGAACCACTGGTGAGCTTTTTTTCCCGCGTATTTTAATTTGTCCTCTCCCAGCCATAATCCGCGAGCATTATCTCCGTCTAGAAGTGGTTACCATAGTACAAAACCAAGCTAACGCACGATTGATAATCGACAGGGTCACCAACCAAGAGAACAGCCTCGTCTGGCACCAGCAGGTGCTGGGGTGGTTGAACCGATACTCGGGCGTGGCGGAATCGAATCCGGACGCGGTCTCGTTGGAGGATACGGTGGTGCCGGTGGTGGACTTCGATTCTTGATTCAGCGGTGTCGAATCGAGTGCTGGGGAGCGCTTCGTACAGCAGGCTGGCTAGCTCTGTCGGGTTGTCACGGTTATTCTCGCGATGATACCCTAACTCATCAGTCGTGCAACATGACCAATGATCAAGTGTTTTATATGCATGCGTAGTTGGACAACAAACAAGCTGCCATGTGACGGACCGCATTGTAGACTTTTTCCTATTGTTATACCTACTGTACCTATAGTATTTACAAAACAGTCAAACGGCACTACTGCGATCACCCCATCTCCATTCGTCAGGCCATACACTCTCCAGGATAGAGTTAAGAAGACTCGAATCAATTTATCATCACCGCAGTGGTATAGTATAGTATGGTATCAACAACAACAACAACAACAGACAGACAGACAAACAACAACCATCACGATGAACCAATTCATCTCATTCCATCGACATTTATACAATCCACCGCAGGCGCTCATAATCAACAAATGCTTTTTGTTTCGTCATTTCGGCCAAGAAAACAGGGAGCCAACCCGAAACACAAACACAGACTCAAAGCTGAACCAAAGACTTCGCCGTAACTACATATCATGAATATATAACCTCCATCCATCATCATCATTCCTTACGCAGTAGAGACAGAGATATAAACTACTGAATGAAAGCACACAAAGGAAATCATGGACCTTACAACTCCCCGCCATGAGGGGCATCGAGGTCATGGCCGGCGCCATCACGCGCCAAAAAGCCATTCTGTCGGACACGCAAACCAAAATTGACCATGACGATGGCGACGAGACCCAGGCCGACGACGGTGGGGCCCCATTTCTCGTAATAGACGCGCTTGACGTCGCGGCGCTTGCGGATCTTGTCGACGCGCCAGATGTAGAGCATCAGGCTGTAGATCAGGGACATGGAGGCGAGGATGGTGAAGGCCCATGAGGAGGCGAAGGTGATGTAGTCGTCGCCGAAGTTGAGGAGGGTGGCGGCGATGGTGGCGAGGAGGATGGAGAATTCGAGCCAGGAGAGGAAGGTGCGCTCGGCGGCGAAGTAGACCTTGGGTTCGACGCGGACGGGGACGTGGATGCCTGTGAGTAGGGGATGTTAGCATTTCTGGTCGTGTATTCGATGGGAGGTAAGGTGGAAAGACTCACGTTTGCCCTTGGGCGCGTGGAATCGCTTGACGGTCCGCTTGTTGCCGATGACGGCAATGCCGCTTTGCTCCGGTGCTGGGAGGCTGGTGGGTGTAGGCCGGGGGATGAGGGCCTTGAGGAGATGGATCAACGCAGATCCGGCGTGGTCGGTGTAGTATTTAGCCAACTGCTTGTAGTAGTATGTGCCTCCGACCCGACGAGCTTCTTCCAATTCATCCGAGTCGATCGAGGATTCCTGGTCCGAGTCATATAACGGGTAGTCCTCGTCCCCGGGGAGGGGCTGAGCGGCGATGCGTTCCTCAATGTCCAGCGCATTACCATCATCATCTGCGAAGAGCGCATAGTGGTCAGCATCGGTGGCCTCGCCCCGATGCATACCATTAGGCCACTGGGCCGTGTTGTCATCCTCGTCGTCGGAGATCTCATCCTCCGGGGTTTCTGCCGCGGACAATGACGTACTGGGCGGCGGACGCTGGATACCGAATGCACGGGTGGCTGGCTTGCGAATGTCGACGTCCATCTGCGGCATCCAGAATGGAAGGAGATTGATGCGGTCGGGGAAGAGCGTGGCCGTGCCGTGGATGAATTTACTGTACTTGGGCACAGCTTCCACCAGATGGCTAGCTGTCAGCTCTCTGATCCACTTGGGTGGCTCTTGGCCCGCCTGGGTCTGAAGCTTAACTTCCAGAACAGCATAGGGAAATCGTTCCACGTCCTCCGGGGGTAATTGTGAGAACGGATAATCTACGCCGATATCCATGCGACGCCAGTTGTTCCCAGCTCTGCGGCGACCATCGAGGTTATCCTCCCGCACCATCGTCAATTCAGTATCGAGGGAGATACGCACGCGGGCGTCTCCGGGAAGCTGGAAAGCTGTGCGGTGGTAGAACGAGCGAGTGACTGGCACCAATCGTCGCGTAATGGCTCGGTACTGGATTTCCCGCGCCAGTTGCTCGAGGTTGGAAATTTCCTCCTCGCTCTTCTTGCCTTCTCTGCGCATCTTTTCGAAAATCGACTCTACCGTCAAACGGCCAGCCAGATAGTCGTTGACATGCTTCTCTTTCAGGGAGAATCGAGCCTTGACCGACTTCTCTCCAGTCCAGTCCTCCCGGTGGGTCTTGCGTTCCACGAAAATCTGATCGCTCTCCATGCCACCGTACCAACGCAGTCGGATAGCTTCTGCACCTTCCGTCTTCTTCAATCGCCCTTGATAGAGCTCCCAGGTATCGGTGTTGTCGTAGTAGATCGAAGAAATGGCAGCGTCCTTCTCTTCGAACTCTTTGCTCGGGTTGAAGACCAGAACGGGAAGGTGCTATTTCAATTTCCATTAGCACAAGACGGACCTAATTGGCTCTGGCGAGCTCCTTACCTTGAGAATAATCAATTTTAGCTCCGTGATGTTGTCTGGGTGCACCCAATACTTGGTTGTCTGACGGACAAAGTTCTGCTGGCTGCCACCGGCCGCCGAGTCGCCCTTAACGGGGTTACCCTTGGTCCGCACGAGATCATAGAGCTTAGACAATTTGACGACCAGCGCATCATAGTTATCATTGAAGAATGGCTTGGCGTTGAGGCGCGCAGCAAAGGCGGGCTTCAGATGCCACCCGGTTTGTTTCTGCATGTAGCCGTTAGCGGGCGTTCATTGCATGATGTCATTCCAGGGGAGAAGAAGTACTCACATCATGCTTCTTGATAATCTTCTGAAACCCGGTATAGTTCAGTTGCGTGAACTTGGCCAGATCATGCACGTCGGCGATAATGTCACTCAAGGCCTGCTCGAGCACCAAGAAATCCTCGTCCGAGGGCGCAGTCCGGCTGGAGCGGGCATTGGAGACACTGTCGGAACGGGCGCTGGTGGCACTCTCGAGGCGCGACACGACATCGTTCACCTCCTGCTCGCTGGCCTGGATGCGGCGAGCAATCTCGGCGCTCTTTATCCGCTGGAAGTTGAAGACCTTGTCCAATTCGCTCTCCAGCAGCGTCACGAATTGCTTCTCGTCGTCTTCCGACCAGGGCTGGCGATCGGGGTTGGCATTTTCGGGGGTCGGTTCAGTGACGTATTCAGTCCTCAAGGCTTTCTTGAGTTCCTCATAGGCGATATAGTACCAGTAGTACTCCTTGATCATAGATGATCGGAGATGTTCCCCGAACCTGGAGAGAAGGGTACAATGGTAAGTAGGGCGGTTCAGTCAGGTTGGGGAAGCCATTGGGATAGACCAACCTCATGCTGAAGAATTTCTAACAAGTCGCAGAGAGATTCGAGTACAGAAGGCAGATGCGAAGGGGGAGGAGGATGAATTGGAGCAAGACAACGGTGTGCGCAACTGTCAAGTAAAGAGCATGATGCGGACGCAGGGGGGAGGAAGGCGAGAGGCGAAGACGTTGGAAGCGAGACTAAGCGCAGAAGGAATAAGCAAGTTAACAGAAAAAAAAAATGGAGAAGCTGACGGGTGATGCCTACCAAGTGTCTAAAGAAGCTAAAGAAGACGGCGCGAGAAGAGTGGGTGAGCGACAAGTTAGACTGTTAGAGAGAGATAGAGAGAGAGGGAAGGGTGGCACAGCAGAAGGAGCTATCCATGATAGCTTCGAGGGTTCTGGCCATGAATGGGAGACTCCTCGATGGGGACCAGAGAGACGACGTCAACCCCGTGACTGGAACCGATAACACGGCCCTGTCAGTGGTCCGGGCGTGTCTTATTCATCCAATGCCCGTATGGAATTATGGATTAAAGGGCAACACAGGCAAAACAGAATTGGCCACAATCAGTCGAAATGGGTAGTTGAATGCGCACTTGTCTCGCTTGGCCAATAAACTAACAGTCAACTAAGTCAACTAAGTCAACTAGATCAACTAAAGCCAAACTAGGGAAATCGACAGGAAATGCTCTCATGGATTCTCAGCCAGTCGATCTAGCAGGTGCTGCTCTAACGGAGGGCGCCTTGCTGCCTTAGGTTTAGCCGGAGTCGACACGAGGTTCCGAGGTTTGCTGCTCGCTTTTTCCCCTCCACCCGCACGGCAGTCATCGCCTTCCAAGTTCCGATTCTCATACTCTCTTTCAGTTATTGATCTAGTCAATCTGGGCATTCACGCGTACCTACTCTATGTCCACGCGTTGTCGGAAAGATGAGCATCACGTCCGCATCTGAGGCGTGGACCATGGTGATATCTCCTCGGAATCGCCGAGCACTATAGCTTGACTCACCCTCATTAATCAAAGAACTGCTGCCGGTGTCTCTCCCTCGCCTGGCTAGACCGATCGGCTGCGATGCAACGACGCCAATGAGATGCTAACCGGGCAAACTGCGGCAGTGGCTAACATGCATACTAGCTGGGTTGATGGTCAATTCATCCCTTCGGGCTATAACACCGAGGTTGATATTGGTAGACTAGACGGCGACAGAAATTTCGACACTAGCAAGCCACCCGCCGGTCTTTTGGAATCAGAAAACAGTCCAAAATTTGATAATCGCCTAGGGTGTGCGACTGGATCGCAATAGTAGTGGTGGCCCAACAATGCTGTGCGATTGGGGCACGTGCTCCTCGGGCCATGGTAGACCAGACCAGACCAGTACCAGTCAGTGCTCATCATGGTGAACGACTACTTCGCATCTTCACTGCGGAAAGATATAGCGCTTCTAAAGGATCTGTGATAGTTACATAGTATTTGGCGTGCATCAGCCCTGCAGTGAGATCGCGATCCCACCCCCGAGCACCGAATATCAACAAGCCACTGGGAATCATCCAGCAACCGCCGAGCGAAGACCCTGCATCAGCCTTCCAGAAATCTTAGCCTGGCTGAGCGTGTTGTTCCTGCCGTGGCCCGGAGCTTGAGTTTAATCGTCCACTTGCGCCCCTAGCCGCCCGCCTTGCAATCAGTTATATACTTCGCTTCATATTCGAAATGAAGGGGCACGCTCGAGTTTCATTCACCCCACGTATCATATGATTTTCACTCAAATCGTCTTCAAGAAGAAATGGCAAGTTGCCTTTGAGAAAAATAATGGGTTCTATATTATTGATGCGCTGCTTCTCGAGGAGAACCACGCAACTGATATGAGACGGGAGACCTCAACAACCCAAACCAGAAGCACCCAAATACATCTTCGAACACCTCCAAAGGAACCCCTAGAAGCCCAAACAAACACTCAAGAAACCCCCATAACCAAGCCCCACCCCACCGCAAAGACAAATGGCGGCCTAAGACAACCACCTCCCCCATCCACATCCAACCCACCCAAAAACCCATTACTAAATCCCAGCCTAGCATGTCGAGCCCCCTCCACCATCCCAGCACCGTCCCAACCCAAAACCAAAATCCTTGCCTGAGGCACCAGCATCCCGCACTAGATAAACGAATACAGCTCCGCTACTGTCAACAACAGCCGGGGTGGTGTAGTGGTATTAACATTGCAGAGCCCCCGGGGCCTTATACCTAGCGGGTGGAGTGCAGATTCTGGGTTCGAGTCCCAGTCCCGGCAGATTCTTTTGTTTTTCTGCTTGCTTGAGGGGGAAGGCGTCATTGAGGCGTCATGATGCGGACGTGGATGTGCGGGTGGGTGGCTGAGGGAGGGAAGGCGGCGGGAATGGGGGAGATGGGATTGTTGGCGGAGGTTTGGTGGGGTAGGGCCTGTGTTGATAGTGCTTGCAATGAATGGGCTTGGGTTAGGGATTATACTGTTTGCGTTGACAGTTATGCGTGATGGGCAGAGACTCAGGTGAAGAGAGGAGGGATATCAGGCCTGAGGGCGGCATCGGCTATAGAGCTAGAGCTTCTAGCATGAGGCAGGCTGGACTGCCTCTTGGCTGTGAGTGGTAATTTACTACATGGATTGGTAAGCAGGCTTCGTATGAACAATTAAAAGTTTTAGATGATTGACCACGGAGGATTCGCACCCCGAATTAGATATACATGCTCGCAATATTAACCAACACCAGACACCGTCCTCCCATAGCAAGCGACTAACACAGCTCGCACCAACCCGAAAAGTTTTCTAGTCCGTTGCATCATGAATCTCATCAACTAAGCGCCCTTGAACGACGCTCAGGGCAAAGCTCCGGCGGCGCGTCGGATACTGCGACGCGGACCATCGCCCAAGACATTGATCGCCCCCTCGGTCTCCAACGCACGCACAGCATCGTTGAACTGCGCGCTATCCACGCCGGCGCTGCTCTGCTCATTCAGGACCCGGTATACGTCGGCCCAGCGGGCGCCGCCGGTGGGACCGGCCACCTCATCCACCACGGCAAGCACGCCACGCTTGAGCGCTTCACGGTTGCGACGCTCGCTGGCGCTGGTGCCCTCGGTTAGGAGACCCATGTCGATCAGACCGGTGCGAGCGTCCGTTGCCGCTTGCTTGATGGCCGACCGGATCAAACGCACGGCCTCCTCCACATCGTCCGCCGTCACTTCGGTCGACAAGCGCATCCGCGCGTGAGCCTCGGACAGACGAATCATCGATTCCAATTGACGGGTCGTGGCCGTGATACGGCGGTCCGCCGACCGGATGTCGTCTCCCAGTTTGCGCATATTGACATATGCGTCGGATAGCGCTTTGCCTGCAGCAGGAGTGAGCACTGGGTGCACCCGAGTCTTGGCGTAGGTGATGTAGGCCGTCAAGAACTCGATTGGCTATGAAGTAGAAATGTGAGCAATGATTCGTCATATCGTCATAGGAACAGTTGGCTTTCACTTACCAGAATTTCCTCGCTGCTTGCGTTCTCCGGCTTGTCTTCCAGGTACATGTTCACCAAGTGCTTGGCCAACCGACGGTCTTCCTGCTCATCGGTCCGATCAAGAACGAGATACACAAGGTCGAATCGAGAAAGAAGAGTAGGCGGCAAGTCAATGTTCTGGGGAACGGGAAGGTTGGGGTTGTAGCGACTGCCGATGGGGTTGGCCGAGGCCAAGATACTGGTTCGAGCATTGAGTGTGGTAATGATACCGGCCTTGGCAACCGAGACAGTTTGCTGCTCCATCACTTCGTGCAGAACTGATCGCGTCGACTCATTCATCTTATCAAATTCATCAATGCAGCAGATACCACCGTCAGAGAGAACCAAGGCGCCAGACTCAAGAACCATCTGGCGGGTCTCGGGATCACGGGTCACATAAGCTGTAAGGCCGACGGCCGAGGAACCCTTACCGCTGGTATAGACACCGCGCGGGGCGATCTTGTGGACGTAACGAAGAAGCTGCGATTTGGACGTCGAGGGGTCACCGCAGAGTAAGATATTGATGTCGCCACGGTAGCGCGGGTTACCTCCCTTTTCAAAAGTCTTGTTTGTGCCTCCAAACATCTGGAGCAAGATTCCTTTCTTGACATCATCCATCTCGTAGATACTGGGTGCCAGGGAACGAGACAGCAGTTCGTAGACGTCCGGCCGGGTGGCAGTTCGCTTGATCTTCTCCTCCTCCTCAGCCGTGATCTTGCGTGTCTGCTCAGAGTCCCCAGCGGCCTGTTCCGAAAGCTCTTGTTCAACAGTCGACGCATCGATACCCAACTTCTTGCGATCGATCTTCTGCACGTGCAAGACGTCCACATAGGTCTTGAAGAGGGCCTTCTGTGTCCGCTGACGAGGATTCACGCGAACAGGATTGCATCGGAAAATACCAGTAACTTCAACACGGTCACCCGCTTTGCAGACATCGACAAGCTCATCGTACACGCATAGAGAGACGGAGTGGGGCGTTTGACCATCAGGAATACTGTCGGGGGTTTCTTGGAGTTTGATCACCTGCTTGTCGGCAAAGGCACAGCGGTTGTGAATAATCTGCATCGAATTCTTGGCCTTGCAGATAGGACGGGGACATTCAGCAGGCTCTGCAATCCTACCACGATCGATGTCGACCTGGACACTATGGTTACAGATTTGGCAGCGGAAGAAAGCTAGACGATTCTGTTAGGAAGTTTGGCACGGCAGCTTAGGAGAATCAGCTTACCCTCTTTCATGTCAGGGATAATAGGGGTGGTTCTGATGACCAGACCCTTGATGCTGATCAACTTATCCATGTCTTTGTAAAGTTAGTACACAATAATCTAACCAGCAGAGGTGTGGCACGTACCAGCAGGGTCAAGATCTCTCATATTGACTGCAGAGTCAAGTCCAAAAGGCATGACTTTGTAGGAGTTAGATTCAACTTCCTGGACGAGGTCTTGGATTTCAGTCTGCGGGGCTCGGCCAGCATCACTCATGAGTGCATCGGAGCTGGGAACGGCAGGTGCGGAACTCAGATCTCTTGACTGGTGGGACCGGTTGTGGCTCCGTTGCCGCTGCATCTCCTTGCTTGCGAGCTCCACCATAACATCCTTGACAGTTTGATCCATTAGAGGGATGATTTCTTGTGGATATGCGTGCAACTGATGCCATAGCTTGAGCGTCGAAGGGTATGCTTTGAGGTTCTTTGCGTCCAGGTTGAGATTGGTGACACCGAGCTGGCGCATTGTGTTCAGCATGGTAATATATTCCCTCTCTTCTGCAGCCTTTCCCATTGTCCGAGTTTCGTCCTCGGATGCACCTTCTGCCCAGAGGCGATACTTGGTAGCGAAATTGTAGATGAAGTTTTTGAAAGCGGACATAGAGTCTTGAATGGAGATGTTGGTACCCCAAATCACACGAGTCGAGCTGCCACCGAGAGCTTCCGCTTCGGATGTATCGGGGTGAATGTTGGAGAAGGTTGCGTCAGAGCGCGGCTCAGCATCAGTGGTGGGCACACCATTGGCGTCGACGAAGATTCTGCGGCGGCGACTTGGGGTTGATCCAAACCCGCCCGAATGGAGGTCATTGCGACGGGAGACACCCCGGTTGCCATCTGTGACCGAACGAGACGACACAAAAAGGCCGCTACTACTGCTGGGAATATCGGACCGCTCCGCCCGGCGACCGAGAGAACGGGTTGGGCTGGAGCTAGAGACATAGCGAATGGGAGATGAATCTATTCAAGGGTGAGCGAACGGAAAGGCGGCTAGAGCCTCTTGCGACATGTAATACCTCTGATAGCAGCAGCATTTCCTCGAGGTGTGGTTTCACCATCGTCCATTGTCGAAGATGCTCTGACCGGTGAGCTAGGCTCTTCCATTCTGAGATCCGGGGTCTCTGCGCTGCTGCTGTTTCCCTTCATAGGAGAAGATTGAAAAAACATCGGCGACGACGATGGAACAGGGCCTTCACCCCGTAACCGCCTAGATGCGCGGGGAGTGGTTTGCGAATGATCATCTCTGGGAGGAGGACTGCTGGTCTGAGGTTGTTGTTGAGATCTGGTTGAGCGGGTTGAGCGGGCAGGGGAGGAAATGGTCGAATCCCTGGCGGAGCGACCTCTGCGACGATTAGGCGCTGGAGAAGACATGATGCTGCCTGATCCTGTCGAGTGGTAATTTGATCAATGAGAGGACCGACAGTCGGGGGAGGGGAAGTGTAGACAAAATGGAGACAACTGCAAAACGGGATAGTGGAGGAGGGAGTTGGTTGCTACGGCAGAGTCAGTAACAAATTCCAGGTGAGTGGGCCATGCGGACTCGGGAAGGAGAAATGATTTCTCTTTCTTCCGCCCTCGGGGCAGACGCGTTCCGACGCGACGACCGCGTAAAGAGGTTTCCCTTTCAGGCTTGCGCGCTGGACGACGGAGCGAGCCAAGATTGAGCCACATGACCCCGTGGCTGGTGACTCTGAAGAATTAGGGCTGAACTGCACCGCCACACCGGCTCCGTCACTCCCGCCAATCGCGCTGTTCATTTCCGTTTCCGGTCAAGTAAGGGATCCTCTCTCTGGGTCGGGATAACACCAAGAATGCCTTTTCAGGTTAACATCAACAAGAAAAATACTTGAACCTGACTATCACCGGCTGCACAAAGAAGTTGCTTCTCTGCTATTCTGGCTCCTGCTGTTCCTTTGTCAAGTACGCGCCTGTAACAACATCCATGGATGGTTAGATGCAGCCAGCACACCAGTCAAAAGTCTCCAAGCGAACCTTGACGTGGTGGAGCATCAGCCAGGCGCCAGCCAGTTTCAGCAGGCGCTTGATGTCATTTCAAGGTGCGATCTTCTCTGCCCGCAACCTTTCCCTCCTTCAGGCTCCAGGGTTCTTCCCCTTCCAAAGCCCACTGCAGCGGTAATTCCCCCCTCCCTCTACCGGTGGCGCATCTGCCCTGTTCGTCTGGACTTTGGATCGACACCTGAATGGACAATGGGGCGGTGGTGGGTGCCACTGTTGTCATGCCTGCATCTGCAACACGTTTTTCTTTCTTCTTATTGATTCTTTCACCCTTAATACTGCCCTTTTATTAGATTTCTCCCCTCCCTGGATCTCCAAACCGCTGGTACCACCTCACACTAGCCTAGGGACCAGGGTGACCACCACCAACCAAACCCACCTTCTTTCACGTTCTGCACTCTCATTGACTCCCTGTCCTCTAGATCGTCCCTCCTACGCTGATTGGCCTTTGACTGCCGCCGGCGTAATGGCTTCTTAATTTCGCTGCGGTGACGTTGAACCTCTTCCTGACTTGACAACCAACAACCACCTGAGCTGCGTGATGTGCAGCTGTCACCTGGCCACCTCAATCATCATCCTCATCACCTTTATTTTCTCATCCTACTTTTTACGCCCGACAACTACACATTGACCAACACTGAGTGATCTCGACTGAGCGACCATCGCCTGCTTCAATCATGGGCGATCTCGGGTCGGCGCTGGAGCACGCGGGCGGCTCAGGCAAGAATAAGGAAGGCATTTCAATCGGGACATTTCTCGCATCCCTTGCCACTGCCGTGGTCGTCTTCGCTGTTGAATTTCTTCTCTTCATGCTTCTCAAAGGGAAGCTGAGCCGTATCTAGTATGTATGCGCAGACGTCGGTTACAGAACCGCGAGACTAACATCTGAACTCTTCTAGCCAGCCGAGGACATACTTAGTTCCTGACAGAGAACGCACTCAACCGTCACCACCAGGACTCTTCCGATGGATCGGCCCTGTCTTCCGTACCTCTAGCTCGGAGTTCATCCAGAAATGCGGCTTGGATGCCTATTTCTTTTTGCGATACCTGCGCATGCTGCTAAAGATTTTTCTGCCGCTGGGGTGCCTCATACTACCTGTTTTGATCCCGTTGAACAAAGCCGGCGGCAAAGATACGAACCTGAAGAATGCAACGGATACTGGCGGCGGCCGGTGGAATGTTACTGGGCTCGATCAACTCGCCTGGGGAAATGTGACCCCGGAGCATACTTCGCGATATTGGGGTCATCTAGTCATGGCCGTCATCGTCATCTTCTACGTCTGCGCAGTATTCTTCGATGAACTCAGACACTATATCCGTCTCCGACAGGCATACTTGACCTCACCCCAGCATCGTCTTCGCGCATCTGCCACCACTGTCCTGGTAACTGCTATCCCGGAAGGTTGGCTCTCGATGAAAGCACTCGAACAGCTCTACGACGTCTTTCCGGGCGGCATTCGAAACATTTGGATCAACCGTAACTTTGACGATCTGCATGAAAAGGTGAAACAGCGAGACGAGCTGGCTTTGAAACTCGAGGCTGCAGAGACCGAGTTGATTGTCAACTGCAAAAAGGCCCAGCTAAAACAAGCCAAAGCTGCAGCGAAGAAGGCTGGAATTGATCCGAACTCTGTGGAAAGCCAAGAAAGAAAGGCCGCTGATAGAAAGGCATCGCAGTTGGCCATGGATGCTGGAATAAGTTCTGGAAATCCGCATCAAGCCCACACATTAGAACAAATTCTGCATCGCAACACTGATAGAAGCACCCAGCCAGAACCCAAGAAGAAGAAACTGCTCTTTAACCCATTGGATCCTGCCCTAGAAGCAGCAGGTGCTGTTGGACAAGGCGTGGAAAAACTGGGAAAGTCGGTCCTGGGAGGTTTCAGGAAAGTGGAACATGGTTTCGACGACTCCTTAGCTCGCACTGGCGGATTTGTGCCTGAGAGTAGTGTTCCCGCCTACGGCGGCCACGTCGCCCCGCCGGCAAGCTATGCCAGTCGTGAAGATCCCTTACCTTGGTCAGAAGATCACCATGACGAGACAGAGCAAGTCCACGAGAATGAGATGGATGTACCGGAAACCAGGCCGGAGTCATCTTCCACACCCAAGCGACCATTCTGGAAGAGTCGAGGCTCCGGTAATTCCAAATTGAGCAAGAGGAGTAACACGTCTGAGCCGGATGAACTTCCGTTGACTGCTCCTGAATCGCCTGTTGAACGTGGCAGGAGTTCTGATTCTGAGAGGAGCCTCTCAATCAAGGAAAAACAAACGAGAGACCAAGGATCCCAGGGAAAGGAGGGAGACAAGGTGGACGGAGATGAGTATCCACGGGCATACAATGAAGCATTCGATAACGAAGACTATGGAGAGCCAGTATGGAAGAAGTATATCAAACCGAAGAAGCGCCCTACCATGCGACTGCCGATTTTCAGCTGGATGCCATCTCTGTGGTTGATAGGCAAAAAAGTGGACACCATTGACTACTGCCGCAAAGAGCTGGCTCGGCTTAACTTGGAGATTGAGATTGATCAACAACACCCCGAAAGATTCCCCCTCATGAATTCCGCGTTTATCCAATTCAATCATCAGGTTGCGGCCCATATGGCTTGTCAGGCAGTCAGTCACCATGTTCCCAAGCAGATGGGGCCGCGCATAGTTGAAATCTCGCCCGACGACGTTATCTGGGATAACATGTCCATGAAATGGTGGGAACGGTATCTGCGAACATTTGGCATTATTGCTCTTGTTTGCGCGATGGTTGTGGGATGGGCTATTCCAGTTGCCTTCACTGGTCTTCTTTCTCAATTGACATACCTCGAAGAAGCTTTCACTTGGCTGTCTTGGATCTCCAAATTACCGTCGTGGCTTATCTCGGCAGTGCAGGGTGTCCTGCCTGCACTTTTCCTCGCGATTCTCATGGCAATTCTTCCCCTAATCCTTCGTTTCCTCAGTCGGACCCAGGGCCTTCACACTGGCATGGCAGTTGAACTAACGGTGCAGGCCTATTATTTCGCGTTCCTGTTCGTGCAACTATTCCTGGTCGTCACCATTTCATCCAGTTTTTCGACCATCATTAGCAACGTTACCGATGTCACCAGCTGGCCAGAACTTCTGGCGCAAAACATTCCCTCATCCAGTAACTACTTCTTCTCCTATATGATTCTGCAAGCCATGTCCGTGAGCGCGGGAGCTTTGGTTCAGATTGTCAACTTGGTGAGCTGGTTCATTTTTGCACCGATCTTCGACAAGACTGCCAGAAAGAAGTGGGGTCGTACAACCAATCTGAACCAGATGCAATGGGGTACTTTCTTTCCGGTTTATACTACCCTTGCTTCAATCGGTATGTTTACTTCAACCTAGTCTAGAAGCCAACCTTGAAACTAAGTGTTTGTTTTGTAGGCCTGATTTACTCTATTGTCGCTCCTCTCATCCTGGTCTTCAATGTGATCACATTCGGCCTTTTCTGGTTTGTCTACCGGTACAATACTCTTTACGTGACCAAGTTCCGCTTCGACACGGGTGGCCTGCTTTTCCCGAGGGCAATTAACCAGTTGTTCACCGGACTGTATATCATGGAGCTCGCACTGATTGGCTTGTTCTTCCTGGTTCGCGACGAAAACGGAGATGTTGCATGCGAAGGTCAAGCGATCATCATGATCATCGTTCTGGTTCTCACAGTGGGTTTTCAGCTGCTCCTTAGTGATGCATTTGGCCCGTTGATTCGCTATTTGCCTATCACGCTGGAAGACGACGCTGTGCGTCGCGATGAAGAGTTTGCCCGAGCTCAAAGGGCACGATTAGGCTTACCCGAAGAAGAGGAAGACTATGATCATCTGCCGGATGCTGTTGATCACCCATTAGGGTCCCAAGAAGCGGCGCAGCGACAGCTGGAAGCGAACTCCCAGAATATCGAGCTAAAGAATCTCGACTCATCTCCCGAGAGGAGTCACAGCCATCCCAGTCTCCATATCCAAAAACCCAAACTTGGTCCCCCTCGTGGATCGTGGGCTGATCGCTCACCGGACCGCCGATCCAAATTTTTTGGAGTCAACTCGGAGATGGCGGTTCCTAGCATCGAGCGGTTACGCGAGAAAATCGCCCTGGACGCCGAAGCCCAAGGTCCTCCAGCGCGTAACATGGGTCCTGCCTTGTTCTCTGGCATCCACGACGAGCTCGAGGACCTCACACCGGAGGAGCGCGATCAGCTCACACAGCGAGCTTTCCAGCACGATGCATTACGTGCGAAGCGACCTGTGATCTGGATTCCTCGAGACGACCTGGGTGTTAGTGATGATGAGATCTACCGGACTCAGCGATTCAGTAAACACATCTGGATCAGTAATGAGTACCAAGCACTCGATGGCAAGAGCCACACTATCTTCAGTCGCAGTCCGCCGGACTTTTCTGAGGTTGACCTCATTCAATTATAGATGAAGACCGTCAGGAACGGTTGGTTTTACGACATAATGAATGATTTTCACGCCATGCTTTTCCTCTCCAGCGTTTTGTCTTTCTGTTTCGTTGTTCTTCTTTTGTGACTATGTGCATAATTGGGCGTCTTGGTAGCATTTCTTCGCAGCGAAGTCGAAGCAAGTGTATGATAAGAGGAGCATGCTCGTCTTGTATATAACTAGATCCCTGCCTGTACCACTTTTATCTGAGCTCCAAATACACCGCTTGATTTTGAATGCGCTGCCATCACATTTGTAGACATTACCAACACAGTTCATTGCTTCATATACTTGTGCTGAATCATCTAATCCATATATCTGCACAGCGGCAGGCGGTACTTCTCAATCGCCCAGTACGGCCTCCGTACGCCGCTCCACTCGCCCTCCAAAGTGGGCACATCGAACTCCTCCCAGTCGGCATCGAACCCAGCCTCGAGCAGATCAATCTCCACTACCTTCTGGTACACATCATAACTGATCTGGCGATCGGCGCCCATGCCGTTGAAGAAACTCCACTTGCCTTCCTGCTCGAGTAGCCCAATGACCTGCTCGGTGAAGAACTCGCGGAAATCGTTATACGACTCAGCAAAGGTATCGTAGTAGATGGCGTCGAACATCTCGCCCTCGGCGACCAACGCGAGGAGAATATCCTGCCAGCGGCCCTCGTGGATGACGACGCCGGGCCTCTCATGCCAGCCCTTGCGCTTCATCTCGGCTACGACCTCCGGGTGCGCCTCGACGATATGGTGCGCCGCGGGGGCCTGGTCCTGGAAGAAGCCATCGACGATACCCATGCCGTGGCCGATGTTGAGCACCCGCAGCCCGGGCGTCGGGAGGAGGGACTTGGCCGACCTGTTCATGATCTCCGTCTCCCAGGCCATCATCACGCCGTTCTGATCTTGATCGAGGAGCCGGTCGCGTTGGAAGGTCAGGCCGGAATCGAGGTAGCGGGATTGCGTGACGTCCGTGTTGGGGTTGTTGCTGTCGAGGCCTGTGCCTGCGGTTTGTGCGTCCGCTACGGCGGCGCTGGCGTCCACCAACTCCGGCACGCCCTCTTCGTCCTGTTGTTGCTCCTGCTCAGTATCCTCCTTCCCCTCCCCCTCATCCTCACCCCCCTGCATCTCCTCATCCTCATCATCATCCCCATCAGACAACTCCGCATACCCATCCAACCGCCCCAACAACAACTCCGCCCTCACGCCCGCATCAACAATCGCCTCGTAGACCTCGCGCATCCCCACCCGCCGCGCAATACACCCGGGCGTCTCCCCATTCTTATCCAGATCATTCCAGATCGCGCCCTCCAGCAGCAGGAACCGCACCGTCTCCAGCGCGCTCTTCTCCACCTCTGAAGTCTGGTTTTCGGTGCCGTTGGTGGTCCCGTTGACGACGGGTTTGTGCTCCTGTTGCTGTTCGTCCTCGTCGTCCGGCTCGCAGGCGGCGACCGCCGCGTGGAGCGGCGTGAACCCCGTCTCCGGGTCTCGGGCGTTCACCGGGTTGGCGAGCGAGGGGGAGGGGTTGGTGCGGATGAGACGGCGGAGTTTGGGGAGGTCGTGTTGGGAGGCGGCTAGGAGGAGGTCTTGGATGTCGAGGTCGACGTTGATGTTCAGTTCGGTGGTGGGGTCCATGATTTCTTCTTCTTTTTCTTTCTTTTTTTGGGCTGAGAATTGGGATTGTTAGTTTAGGTCAATTGGAGGGGCGGTGGGGTTGTTATAGGTGTTGTAGTGAGGAAGAGGGGAAATTTTGGGGAAGATATAGATAGTAGTGTAGACATGTTTAAGATTTTAAGCACGGGACAGCGTGACTACTTACTTGATCGTAAGTCTATCGGATAGTGGTAATTATTCAAGTCAATTTTTGAAATCCCCAATCATAGAACCCTACTATTGCGGGCAAGGAAGAGACGGTGGTGAGGAGAAAAGTCAAGCTGCAGATCTGAAAAAAATCCGCCCGCCGCTTTGGAGGTTCCCCGCTGACGATACCGCCGCGGCAACCTTTCGATAAGGCAGGCGGTTCATCCAAGACCAATCTTTGCACATCATACACGGTAGCTCACGCGGAACATAATAAAAAGAGATGAGAAACTGTTCGCCTGGTTGCTCTGAGAATCCTGCAAATAACTGACTATTTGTACAAAAAACGTCCCCCCTCTCCTTGGCCGCGCGCGACCTATAGCACCGAAGGTCCGTTGTAAGAAAAAACCATTAGATAGTCAAATCCGATCGCCTACCGCCGGCCCTGCATGGCTGGCTCTTACTGCTTATCTTCACCTCCTGCGTTCACGTTCAAACCCAGACCCTGCGAATCCAGGTACAGCTTGTTCTTGCCGCTGTGCTCACCCAAGATCTGGGCGATGTGTCGGGCGTTCTCGATCTTGCGCAGCTCGATGTAACTCTTGCTCTTCTTGATGGCGTCTCCAATCAGCTCAGCAGAGCGGGCTTCACCCTGGGCGCGGACAATGAAGGCCTGCTTCTCTTGACGAGCCTTGTCAACCAAGAACGCAGCCCGCTGAGCTTCCTGCTGGGCGACTTGCTTGGCCTCGACGGCGGCCGTGAATTCGGGGGAGAAAGTAAGGTGCTAAAGAACGAGAGACGTCAGCATAGGTGAAACGAAAGTAGGTCAGAGAGACATACCGTTAGCGAGACATCGTCCAAGGCAATGTTGAAGCGGGCAGCCCGACGGGCAAGGTTATCCCGGACAAGGCGGGCAACGTTCTCACGCTGAGTGATCAGCTGGCTGGCATTGAACTGGGCCACCACGCTCTTCAGCACCTCATTGACGATGGAGGGCAGCACCCGCTCATCGAAATCTTGTCCGAGGGTACGGTATATTTGAGGAAGGGCATCCACGCGGGGTCTGGACAGGACACGACAGGTGATGTTCACCATCTGCAAGTCCTTGGTACCGGTAAGGGAAGCGATGTTGCGCGGCTTCGCGCGCACGTCATAGTCAATCGGAGTCTCGACCCAAGGGATCCGGAGGTGAGTTCCTAGTTAAAAGTCCTATCAGCGGCTGAGAGTCGATAGCAGAATGAGGCATGGACGCACCTTCGCTGTAGATCTCCTTCTGCACACCACCAAAGCGGGAGTACTTGATAGCACGGTGACCACCATCGACTAGAGTGCCCGTTCTGTCAGCCCAAAACAGCTCCCACAAAGCTCCCAGACCACAGTCCAAGCATTCTCACCGTTGAAGAGAGAGTTGGAGAGCAGGTAAAGACCTGCGCCAACCGTCATCAGGGCGCCCACAGCTCCGAAGCCGCGTCCACCACCGCCGCCGCCGCTAAATCGGTTGAGAGAACCGCCACGGTTCTGCAGGAGAACCTGGAGTCTCTCCCACTGTTCCCTAGGGTTCTGAGACATTGTGAAAGATGAAGGGATGGGTTATAGTGTGAATGGAATCGACGGGAGGGGAAGAGAAGCCGACGGCGAAGAGGCAGGATGGAGAGAAGTGGAAGTTCGCGGCAAATCGCCCGATTCTGACACCGCCTTGGCAGTTTTCCATACAACATCATCTCCCGCTTTCATTGTTCGCTTTTCCTACTTGTCGACTGCTTCTATAGCTTCTTTCAAGCTTATTGCTCTCACCAACGTCGCAATCATGGCTCCTGAAAAAGCGGGGAAGAGCGTCTTCCTGGGGAATATTCCCTATAGTATGTGCTTTTCCCCACGTTGTCACAAGATGCAAACACCAGCTCTCACCCAAATCACTATCTTTGTCGACATTCACTAACCTCAAACACTCGACAACTTCCAGATCTCACTGAGGAGCAAGTCAAAGACATCCTTAGCTCCGCCGGAACAGTGACGAAATTTCGACTTATGATAAACCCCGAAACTGGCAAACCCAAGGGCTTCGGCTTTGCGGACTTCGCCGACGCCGACGCCGCGGCCTCAGCCGTGCGCAACCTGAACGACTACGAAGTCATGGGTCGCAAGATCCGCGTCGACTGGCCGCACATGAATGAGAAGGACTCCATCCCGCCCGATTATGCCAACCAGAATGCTGCCGGTGCTGCCACAGGTTCAGCTCTCGGACAACAAGACGGCCTTGGTCTTGGCGCTGGAGCCGGCGCTCAACCTGCTCACGCGCCGCTTCCTCCGCTCCCCCCGGGCGTCCCTGTGCCCCCTCACCTTGACTGCCCTAACGCCATCTCGCAAACCCTCGCATCCCTCCCTCCGAATCAGCTCCTCGATGTCCTCCACCAGATGAAGTCCCTGGTCAACGCCGACCCGGCCCGCGCGACTGAACTTCTCCGCCAGGCGCCCCAGCTCGCATACGCCATCTTCCAAGCACTGCTCCTCATGAACCTGGTCGATTACAGCACCCTCGGTCAGGTAATTGAACAGGCCACACAGCCTGCTGCAGCCGCACCCCCTCCGCCGGCGGCAGCGGCAGCTGCAGCGCAAGCCTTCCAGACCTATCCCGGCCAAGTGTCCACCCCGCCTATGGTCAGCGCGCCGTTCCAACAGCCTCCTCAACAACCTATCCCTCAACAGCAGGCACCGCCAGCCATCACCGGTCATGAAGAGCTCCTGCAGCAGGTTCTGAGCATGCCTCAAGCAGCCATCGATGCGCTCCCCCCTATGGAACGCAGCCAGATCCTGCTCCTGCGCCAGCAGTTGATGCAGGGCGGCATGCGTTAAGAATGATGTGACGATGATGACCAATCCACCTATATCTGTTTTTTCTTTTTCTATTCTTTCCACGCTTCAATTTTGGGCGGCATCAGTGTGACAGTTCCTTTCTTTCAAGAGAAAGCGTGTGAGTCCTCCCTTCCCTTTCTCTATACCATGAAAGAAAATTGCTAATGCCAGCGACAACAGTGCAACGGCAGCAGCATCGTCTTGGTCGGTTTGTTCTCGTTTCCATAATCTGTATCAACTGGAATGGCGCAAACGGGTTATTGTTTCTATGGGGTCCTGTTTTCTTGGGTTTCGTGCTCGGATGAATATTCTGTAACTACTTTACACCTCACTTCTTGCCTTGCGGACACATTTTTACTACGCGAGTTGTGGCAGCAGATATCCCAAACGTTGATTGATTTTCCTTGCTTGCTGTATGCATCGATTTTGTGGAGGATGTAGCATTTGAACTGTAGTCGAACCCAGCATAGAATAAGCGTCACTTAACTCCTGCACAACGATTGATCGACACAGAGCAAGAGACAGAAGAATCCTAGCTGCACCGACAACATCACCTCAAGGTGAAGTCTACCCTCGGGAGTTCTTCTCGAACTGTCTTCTGCGCAGTTCCAACAGTCCAATACTTGCTCGACATTCCACCCTGCCCAAAACTTCGTTAGCGCCCCAAGTATGACACTTCGTCCCCGGCAACCCCGCTGCAAGGAACATCTACACTACGCCCTCGTTACAAACACCAAGTTCACCCACCCTCAAAGAGCGCACCCTTCACCCCGACGAAGCACGGTGGCCTCTGTACCACAAACAAAACTCAGAAAGTCTGCAGGCATAGATACCAAGGGCAAAGAAGACCAACGAAAAGAAACTAACCCAGCACTAGAACTCACCCCAACATGCACATCAGTATCCATGAACTCCAGCCTCAAGCCACGCCAAGGATCCCATCGGGAGAGAATCTATCCCGCTCAATTCTGCGGGCAAAGATAAACACACGTGATCCTGGTCTTCGGCGTTCGGCTCGCTCGTGGAGATGCCATGGGAGAACGATTAGGAGCTTGATATGAAGAGAATGTGTCTTGTGGGTATGATCGTAATTAGAGGTAGGCACTCTACGTACACATAGAAAAATCCTAGGATGTTGTCGTTCTATGATGCGTCAGTCTTGGTTTTATTCTGTGGTCTGCAAAGCTCAGGTAGGAATCATAATAGCTTCGGAAAGGATAGTCAAGCTTTCACATATTCCTCAGACCATATAACATTACAAACAAACTGAAAACGAAAGTTCCTTGGACAGTCACTTCACCAGCAGAGCGAGCTCACTATCTGCAGTGCTATGTTGTTGTTTTTTACCTGACTTGCTACTATCTCGTAAACCAAACTCACCAGCTTCGCCTGGGTCGTAGACTTCTAAATAGACAGCTACAACATGCTCTGAGTAGAACAGAACTTCAAGACATCTCGAAGAACTACCGGATACTGTAGTCGTAAGGCACCAGATCAAACTCGAAATGTTGACATTACTGCAACCTTTGTCCACATCCACTCTGCACCTGACCTAGGATCTCCACAGCAGGTTGCAATAACAGCAACACATTCACTAACAGGCAAACAAAATAACAGCCTCCCCCAAGCCTGTCGTTCACATTCCCTGTCATCTCTCACCCCACACGTCTCCTTTTTGTTTACCCCTCTTCGTGTTCTTCCCTTACCTCCACCTTTCCTCTCACCTATCTTCTCCGGCATAAACTTATTCCACACCACCACGTGACTTCTTCGTGCCCTCATATCACCTTTCTCATTCAAAAGTCTTAGAACAGATCACAGAACGTCACCAAGCTCATATCCTCTTCAATAACAAAGTTAATATCTTTTTCCCAAGTGAGACAAGATGCCTCCGGGGAAGAAGAGGACCCTGTCCCACGATGGACCCCCACCCAAACGATACCGCGTCTCACTGCCAGGCAGCCTTGATGAAGAAGCGATGGTTGCGCTGGAAGAACTGGATTCCACTAACCCTGAGTTCGTTCGAACGCTGCCGTACGCAGAAGGAGGGTTGTCGAAGGCTCAGGTGGCTTGGAATTTGCCACCGATGCACAAACTGAGCGACATTTTCAGGTCCATCACCCAACGAGCAATGGATCTGGGCCTGGACAAGTACCTGACGCACGTGGGATTGAGACCTCTCCGCGTCGTCACCGTATGTTCTGGCACTGAAAGCCCATTGCTGGCGCTCGAGCTGCTGCAGGAAAGTAAGTGTGCCTTTCCTCCTCTCTACCTCTCTGGTAATGCAACATAATGCCTGGACAACTGACGAAACATCTGTTCTTGTTTAAGACCTGAAAAGATTCCACAACAAAGATTTCGCATTCGATCATCTCTTCAGTGCCGAGATTGTTCCATTCAAACAGGCTTACATCGAACGGAACTTCCATCCCCGTTTGCTTTTCCGGGATGTACGCGACTTGGAAGGTGTCGTAGCGTGAGTTTTCCTTTTTACTGCCCCTGTCTTGAATAAGTCACTCATATCTGACTGGGCTCGCAATCTTTAAGTCAAACGGCATACGGTTCCTGGGCAAAGATACCAACGGATGTCGACCTTCTTGTTGCGGGCTTCTCTTGCGTGGACTTCTCATTGTTGAACAACAAGCAGAAAACTCTCGACGAGATAGGCGAGTCCAGCGGAACTTTGCATCAAATCGTAGCGTATGCTAAAAAGCACCGACCTCGCTTGGTAGTCCTGGAGAATGTGAGAAACGCCCCCTGGGATCAGATCAAACAGTGCTGGATCGGCATTGGCTATGCTGTTGTTCAAGCCGATGTCGACACAAAGGCATATTATCTCCCGCAGACGCGTGAGCGAGGCTACATGTGCTGCGTCGATTCCCAGCTCCTGAAGCAGAATGGCCTCTCTGATAAGGTCGTGCTGACATGGTCTACCTTGATGACCAAATTCGCACGTCAGGCAAGTTCACCCGTAGGCAAATTCCTTCTGAAAGCCGATGATAGAAGGCTGCAGCAAGTCGCAAAGGGCGTCAACTCGAATAGGACCAAATACAAGTCTCGCCCTTGGGAGAAATACCAGGTCCGACACCAAGCCTATAGGCAGGCCGAGCACCTCGGATACATGCGTCCATACAGCCGGTCTCTAGACAATGGCACTTGTCAGACACCTGACTTCACTTGGCATCCATGGGTAAGATCTTTGGTGGCCAGAGTCTGGGATACTCTCGACGTCAATTTCCTGCGCAAGCTCAGAGAGGGTTACGACATGAGCTATAAAGAGTAAGTTGGGCGTCTCAGCCCGCCGATCTGTGAAGCAATGCTTGGCTGACCAATCTCAGGAGGTGTATTGATCTTTCTCAGGGTCTCGAGCGTGAAGTGGACGTCCGTGCCTGGGGCCTTGTTGGCTGCATCACCCCTGCTGGTATTCCTTACCTCACCAGCCGGGGGGGACCGCTGTGTGGCCTCGAAGCGCTTGCCTTGCAAGGTTTGCCCTTGGATAGACTTCTTGTCACTCGCGAATCTATGCGTGAACTGCAAGATCTTGCCGGCAATGCAATGAGTTCGACGGTCGTAGGTTGCGCAATGCTTTCCGCATTGATCTTGGGACACAAAGTCCTCCGAACAGGTGAAGAATCGTCAGCCTCCATCGCAAAAGGGGCTAAGCGCAATACTTTGTGCCCTCAAGACCTTAGCAACTTGGTAATTGATAACATGCAGCTCGACCACGCCATCGACATAGACACCCGAGAACTCCAAATCCAAGCCGCAAATAGCGCACGATACTGTTTGTGTGAGGGACAGCTGTGGGTTGAAAAGAATATTCTTCGATGTACCCTCTGCGGTCATACTGTTTGCTCAAATTGCGGCGGCAATCCATCTCATGCCTTCGAATCTTGGTCTGGCATAGAGCGCACCTCACCCATGAGGTTCATTAGCAAGTTAAGAAGCATTCTACCGGCTCGCTTGGTGTTGAGTGGTATCTCGCGTGACATTTATTCACAATTTGTGGCCCATTCAGATCATTGCCCATCGCAGGTTTGGTCGCTTTTTTGGGAGGTTATTGACTCCAGCATCAATGGCGAATTGTCACTCTTGGATATAGAACGCAGGGATGTTTGGGTCGCTCAGTATGAAGGTCATGAGTCGAGATTGGATCTTGTCATAAGTGAAGGCGGTGTTGAATGGCTTCTTTATGCATTACCCCCCTGTCAGAAGCCGTCTCTATCCCTCATCCGAGAAATTCTCTCAAAGCCCATTGCACGTCTGAGACCTGAGCATGGTTCACTGTTGGGAGGCGAATGGGAAGTATGTTTGCCAATCAGCCTCAAAAGTTGCTTCAATGTTTGCGGGAGTGGGCACCGCATTAAGAGCTACGAAGTCAATTGCGGGCACCAAGACCCGAAATTCGTTGGATCGGAGATTTGGACACATATTGACGTACAAGGCGCCGATGCGGACGCGCAGGATCTTGAAGTCGACATCCGGGGCTCATATGAACTCCTGCCAGAGTGTGGAACCGCAAACGCATCTTTGCACAAGAAAGTCATTACCGGGAAAGAGCCCGCTGTTTATCTTTTCTTGGATCCGACCAAGCTTGGAAAGCCCGAGAATGATTGCTTCGTTTTCTCGTTGGAACATCGTTTCATTCCAGGATATGATAGACGAGCAACGGTCGCTGAGATGTCACACAATTGGCGCTCTTGGGAAGCAAGCCACGTGCCCGAATCAGTTCCTGTATATCATCGCAAGTGGGTCAGGACTTCAGCTGTGACCATAGCTCCTCTTTCCCCCGATGCTTCCGCCACCTGCCAAAGCTTAGCACCTGGAAACAAGATCACCATCTGCAGTTTTGATTGTCGTAATGCCAATATCACCTTGCTTTCGTTCAAGGTTGCACTGTCAGAAACGGGACATGGCCAACAAAGCAATCAATGGGAGGTTTTCGATCCACTAAGCTTGTCTTCGAAGCTGCGGGATATCTTTTGGTTACTTCAGAAAGCGGCAGGCTTCACTACTTTTAAAGAATGGCAAGATCTCGCTTATGTGCACGCCACCGCAACAACGCACGATGGCCGATCATTTTGCAATGTATGTGCACCGCCCAAACCACGGCTTCTCATGAGTCGTAGTCGCAAGGGTCGGATGACTCCATACGAGGATCCTTATGATGCAGCCCTGTATGAGCGCCAGATGAAGTCGAAGCCACCCGCATTCTTGTTCTTTCGTCGAGTTGGTCGAACAGGAATAAACGAATTGTGTGTCACGCTGAATATTCAGGTCCTACTCCACCAGGCTTGTGACCGACTGTGTAGTTCCCGCGTGGTCGAAGGGACTTCGTTTCAATGGCGTCTAGTACCCAACTCTTTCGACACACGAAACCACACCTTCTTCAAATCCAACCTGCCGAGCAACCGCAATGACGCGCCTTCTGTTCAACCACCGAACTTTCTCTTGAAACTGCGGCCAGAACAATTACGATCCCTGTCTTGGATGATTGGGGAAGAAAGTGACAACAACGCATCATTCCTAGAAGAAGAGATAGAGGAGGCACTCCTTCCGTCAATGATGTGGCGCGCTGAAGCAAGGGTCGTTACTCCAAAGACAGTCCGAGGAGGCGTCCTTGCAGACGATGTCGGCTATGGCAAAACTGCTATCATCCTCGGATTGGTTGATATGCAACACAAAGACCTTCAAATGTCGGTTCTGGACCCCAAGGATGGCTTTATCCCGGCAAAGGGCACCCTGATCGTGGTTCCTGGAGTACTGCTACGGCAGTGGGAGCTGGAGATTAAAAAATTCTTGGGCTCCATTTATAAAGTTCTCGTCTTTGGCAGTGTACAGAGTCTCTCAAGGGTGACTGTTGGCGATATTCTCCTCAGTGATATCATATTGGTGTCTGGGTCTGTGTTAAACGGCGAAGGCTACTATCAGAAACTGCAGAATCTTACTGGAACGCATCAGGTGCCCAGGAAAAAGGCTCGCAGTTTTGATGGTTGGTTCGCAGATGCATTGATCTCACTCAGGGACTTGGTTCGTGTTTTGGTGGGAAAAGGCCCTAGCGCTTTTCTCGAGTTGATCCGTTTAAAGCGCCAGAATACTGAAGATAGCCAGGCGCGAGCTACCTATGCGCCATCCAAGCGTTTGAGAGGAAAGGCTTACGCCGAGGCAGCTCAAAAATGGTGCGAAAGCACTGAATATGAGGAGCATGCTGACGACACATCCAGTATCGAAGACATCTCCGGCCTTAGTGAAGACGAAAGTGTCGAAGTATTGAAGGCTAAGGTGGATCAGTGTCTGAAATTCTTACCCTCGAAAATGTTGGACCCTGATGACAGTGAGGAGCAAGAAAGCACAGGCACACCAGACTCGGAGGACGAGATTTCGGAGGATCAACCTTCGTCGACCATCCGCAGTAAACAAAAGCAACGTGGCCGCTCAGCTTCTAGCAAGAAAGACTGCAAGACATGGAACGATTGGAAGGAGTTCAATATCAGCCTAAAGTCGAACAAGCCTTGGACAACAGTTCGAAATATTTCCCTCCATGCTTTCAGATTTAGTCGCCTGGTCATTGACGAGTTCACATATGCAAGCCCTGAAAGGGTTGTATCCTTCTTAGCACTGGAAGCTCGTGCTAAATGGGTCCTTTCGGGAACTCCACCTTTGAACGACTTCGCAGATGTAAAGTCCATTGCACGATTCTTAAGCGTTCACCTAGGAGTTGACGATGATGAATACAAGCTGCAGACCGGGCGGCAGCAATCCGATGCGGAGAGGTTCCAGTCCTACCGAGCGACCCATAGTGACGCCTGGCATCAAAACCGTCATGAAACTGCACAGAGATTTCTGAGCCGTTTTGTGCGGAAGAATGTTGCAGAAATTGGCGAGATCCCTTTCACTGAGCATATCATTCTCGTCCGCCAGACACCAGCCGAACGCGCACTTTATTTTGAAATGTACAGACAGCTGGAGGCATGGGAAGGCAATCTCCGCCTACAGAGCAGATCACGGTTCGGCTGCGACCAGGCCAGTCGGTTAGATGAGGTCATCAGCAGCAGCACAACCGGTGACGAGGCACTTCTCAGACGCTGTGCGTGTCTTGCTGTTCTTAACCGTTGGACCAAGGCCGGGAAGCCGGAGGTCACGACTTGCGCATCACTTATCGACAACAGAGAACATGAGATCACCGAACTGAGGGATGAACTCGTGGCGAAATTGAGGCTGGCAGCCTGGATGTACTGCGAATGCGATTCAAAGTCTGAAAGATTCGAAAAGTTTGTTGACGGTGTGACCGCACACAATTTCGGCGACAACTCGGTGACTGAGAACGTCTGCGCTCTTCTGAATTCCGCAGTCCACTTGTCAGACCCCGAGCATTGGATAGATTTCTTCGCTCCTCCGGCCAAAGCCGACCCTCAGCAATCAGCAGACAAGGAAGAATGTGACAATCTTGGCGTCGACTCTGAAATCCGGACGCGTGAAACCAAAGGGAAACAAACGAAAGGTCCTCAGCCGAAGAAGTCAGTTCGTCAGGGAAGACATGCCAAGAATGATGAACTCCCCACAAAGCCCACCACATTAAGTGAACTCGAGGCCTTGCTGCGCGAAGTCACAACAGTCATGAAAAAGATGATTGACGAATGGGTCCTACGCAAGCGGGGGGTGAGATCTCTCAAAAAGTTACGATCTATGCAGACCGGCGAGTCAGTCTCCAAATGCTCCAGTTGCAGAAGCCAGCCCGACAGTCTCGATGCCTTGAGTCTGTTAGGATCATGTGGCCATGTGCTGTGCAAAGTATGCATCTCAAAAGCTATACAAAAGGAGGAATGTTCTGTGGAAGGATGTCGCGGTTCCGGCAAGTGTTATAATGTCATCCCGGCCTCGACACTCGAACACGACCACGTCGACAGAGATACCATATTCGGCGGCAGCAAGATTGACAAAATGGTCGAGATTATCCGCGGCACACCAGCGGGCGAGCGAGTCCTCTTGTTCATCCAATTCCCGGATCTGATGAAAGTCGCCACCAAAGCATTGAGTCTCGCTAAAATCAAGTTCATCATGATCACAGCCATGGACGGAAAATCCACCACCAAGATCGACAAGCTGCAGGTGAGTGGGTTTGGGCAAGCGAAGGTCCTGGTCCTGAACCTCGGAAGCGAGCTGGCTGCGGGATTGCAAGTCAACCGAATGCCCACTCGAAAATGATTCAGAGGAAGTCTAACATTCGTACCAGGAACTTGCAACAAGCTAATCATGTCATATTCCTGTCGCCCATGCTGACACAGACCCAATATGATTATGACTCGACAATGACCCAAGCCATCGGGCGGAGTCGACGATATGGCCAGAACAAGCATGTTCACATCTACCATCTGTTGGCTAAGAAGACCGTCGATGTAAACATCTTTCAGAATCGCCGAGGCAAGGTCCTTATCGAGCGAGATGGAGAACCTGCGCTGGTTACCCACGAAGAAGCCGCGGATGAGAAGATTATCAAATGCGAGGGGGAATTGTTGCACGAAGACGATGGAATTTAGGTTATGACGAAGATATGTCGAACGTTTTACGTTCGGCGTTTTGTTACAATCCTGGACTTGGAATGTCGTCTTTATTGTCTTGCATGTATGTGTCAACGCAGGCCAAGGTGTAGGAATAATAGACAAGCAGACTCAAAGTTGTTCTTACCATTAGTGTTTCAGTGAACCACATGTGTAGACCCAAGCGGATTTATCGATTTCTCTCCCTGTTCCTGGAGGGCACCTGGATCTATGCGTAGGAAGACTCAACCGACCCCTACACCGTCGTCCCAAATGTAGGGGTCGGTTGGGGTCGAAATGATACAAGCCTGCTCGAAGACGACAAACGGCAGGCGTGTTGGTGGGCAAGCCGTCACATGATTTGTGGTTTTGACGACTAATCATGGCACTTTGATCAGATATTGCAAACTCTAGAAACAGGAATGCCTGGCACGGTAGGTAGCATTAATTAATTGGTCGAGCGCAAATAGAGTGGATAAAACTGAAAAGACTCCATTGGATACTGCTAACAAAACCTTCTATGGCAAATCAAATCCCCCACTATAACCCGGTTTTCCTCCTTACGCAGTAGGAAGCAAGTAGATATGAGGCACAACGTACTGTACATGAGCGTTATCCGGGTTGCCGTGTCCGAGATATACCGGCCAGGAATGTTTAAGAAAAGAGATATAGAACGAGGGGAAAAAAGGAGAACATGAGAAAACTTTCGAACCTTCCAAAGCACGGCATCGAGAAACTAAATTCAAATTATAGGCTGATTTTCATTTATTGCGCGGGCTGATCCAAGGCTCCGTCCTTTCTCATCATGGTCTCCGGGTTCCAGACGGGGTCCACCAGGTTCGTCAGGCCGGCGCTGTTCTCGCAGGTCTGTCTACCGCTCAGAGGACCAGGGGCAGGCACCTTGGGGGACTGGCCAGCCTCAGCAGCGGTTGCCGACTCCTTGAGCGCGGTGAGGAGAGTCTTGATAGATTCGGGGGTGAGATCCTCGTAGTAGTCGTCGTTAATCTGGACCATGGGGGCATTGACACAAGCACCCAAACATTCGACCTCGACGAAAGTGAAAAGACCGTCTTCAGTGGTGTGTCCGGGGGTGATGCCCAAGTGTTCCGTGATAGCCTCGACGATCTTGGTGCTACCGCAACCACCGAGCTGGCAGGGTGTCTGTGGATCGCTGTGTCAGTAGCAGGACTCGCGCAGGCAATGAAATTCATCCGAAACGTACCGTCGTGCAGAGCTGGACAAAGTACTTGCCAACGGGCTCACGGTTGTACATGGTATAGAAAGTTGCGACTTCGTAGACACGCATGGGGGGCATCTCGAGGAGGCGGGCGACCTCGTTCATGACGCTAATGCTGGTGTAGCCGTGCTGACGCTGGCCCAGGTCGAGAACGGGCATGACGGCACCCTTCTTGTACTGGGGAGGGTAGCGCTTGAGGATCTCATCGATGAGCTTGAGGTTCTGGTCGTTGAACTTGAAAGGGACGGACGGGTTGTTGTCGGGCTTGTTGCGGTGCTAGTGGATCGAGATGGTCAGCCTCGAATGTCTCGACCCTTAAAACCATTTTGTTCGACAAGCAATCGAGAGCGAAGAAAAATCCGACTCAACCGCGAAATCCGAATAGAGATTATGCTATCGGGTTCAATTGCACATACCACGGCAAGGGATTCGCTGTAACGTTGCGGACCAGCCGAGAAGGGTCTGAATTGAGTCTTAGGGAAGTTCTGGAAGAGCTGGCGGCCAGTCCGCGGGACGGCGGGGAAGAGTTTGGAAGCCATTGCCGGCAGCGACAGGGAGAATTGAGGGGGGTATTGGGGGGAAGGAGAAGAGATGCGATCTGATGGATTGAAGGTGAACGACCGACTTGGAGTCGAAGAGGCGTTTTGCGGGAGCTGCAGCTGACCAATCACCGCCAACAGATTACTCCCCGCCTTGTGCCAATAAGAGAGAATAGCATCGATAAAATAAAAGCATCCTCGCTACCTGCAACTTACAAGCCCTGCTTACACCGCAGATATAAGAATCGTCTTCGAACTCTTGTTCGAATTCATTCGGATTGAAACTAATGACAGTCACTATTCCGGGTCCCCGAAGGTCAATTTCAGGATATGCCGCCATTACGCATCACCTCCGCATCCGCCATTCGATTCCAGTCAAGCCTACACATTCTCCATCTTGTAAACCTCATATGCGACCTCCTCGTACGGATGAGCCTTCACCAAAGCCTCCACGGCCTGCAGCATAATCGACCGCCCCAGGCACATGATCTCCACTTTCATTTCGTCGACATACTCCACGTCGCCGACCGATCCAATGGCGGGATTGGCACCCTCTCCTGGCAAAAACTGGCCGGTGCCTGGGGATTGAAAACAGCACTTGGAATATTTTCCGCCGGGGAAAGTCCCGGCTCCGGTAGCGAATATCGCGTCCTTGCAGACGTCAAGGTGGGTGTGCGGCACGAAGAAAACGAGTTTGTACCGGTCGGGGATCTTTTCAGTAGCCATAGTCCGGACCTGACAAATTTGGGACGCTGTGTGTATGTGTAGGAATCTTGAGGTAGTGATGGAGACTTTGTACCGGTAGTTTAGAGCACTAACTATCGTAGAAGTAGACGAAATGGTGCGCGAGCACTGGCTAGGGAGGGTAAAACAGGAGGTTGATCGAGCCCAGATGGAGTGACGCAGACGCTGCGATACAATCATGCGGGAAGCCGGACGGCCCAGCATTGGCATGAGGGGTTGCATCATTTGGATTTACTGGGGTTCGTGCTTTTGTGCGCAAAGTTGACAGATGCGCAGCTGATATGGATACACCCGTTCTTAAGAATGTAATCACTTGGCAGTCATAGAGATATTTAACTAAGTGATCGTTACTAATCTCGACTTAACCCATAGTTTAGCTGAGGGAGAATGAACGTACGCGGTGCCCGCAATGCCATAGATTACAACTGCGACGGGTTTCGTTTCTGAAATTTGAGATGTCTGCTCCATTATTTTGCTTGAGAGTATGATTCTTCTTTTAATTCGAACAGCTTGATCATCAGTGTGCATCATCAACTCATTATATCTACCATTTCTATATGAATTCTAGTCTATATTTATACCAGTGTAGCATACTTCTCCACGTGGGCATCAATCCGCTGCAACAACTCCTTCTTCCGGTCCTCATCAATCCAGCTCTCAGTCACACTGTTGACGGCAATAGTCTTCCACTCATTGACGGAGAGCTTGAATGCCTCGTGGACGGCGCAGTAGTTGTCTAGGATATAACCACCGAAGTAGGCCGGGTCATCGCTGTTGAGCGAGAACTTGACGCCAGCATCAAGGAATTTGCGGATGGGCACTTCCGCCACCGACTTCACGCACTTGAGCTGAACATTGGACAGCGGGCAGACAGTCAACAGGATGCTTTCGCGAACCACGCGCTCCATGAGGGCCGGGTCTTCAACGAGCCGGATGCCGTGGTCAATGCGCGTCGCGCCCATCTCCAGCGCAGCGCTGATGTAAGTGGGATCACCTTCCTCACCGGCGTGAGCGGTGAGACGAACGCCCTTGGCCGACGCCGACAGGTAGATCTCGCGGAACATGTCCTTGGGGGGGCCGACTTCGGAGGAAGAGTAGCCGAGGCCATGAATCACCTCAGTCTGGAAGTGGTTGTTCTCGAGGATCTTCTCGTAGGTCTTCTTGGCAGACTCGACGGGGAGGTGGCGAACAAAGCACAGGATAAGGCGGGTAGAGAGACCGAGTTCCTGCTCGGCACGCTTGCAGCCGGCCACAAAGCCGGCCACGATGGTCTCGTATGGGATGCCACGATCCTGGTGCACCTGAGGGTCGAAGAAGACCTCGGCGTGGTGCACGCCGTCCGCGTGGGCCTTCTTGAAGTAGGCCCAGGCCAGATCGGCGAAGTCAGACTCTTGGATGAGCACGGACATGCCGATGAAGTAGAAGTGGAGGAAGTCGTCCAGAGACGAGAAGTGTCCATATCTTTGAGTCAATGTCTCGATAGACTCGTAGGCGGGCTCGGACTTGGGATCAGGCAGTTGAACCTGGTTCTTCTCGGCCAGTTGGAAGATCAACTCGGGGGTGAGACAGCCTTCCAAGTGCACGTGGTGCTCGCACTTGGGAAGGCCAAGGAGAAAATCATGCCATGAAGATTGACACATGGTGGGTTGCAAATATGAAATGAATGGGTATTGGGTATCTTTGATATACAGAAGCAATGCTGGACTTGAAGAAAGTAGCTAATAAGAAAACAGAAAAAATCACGAAGGAAAGAGAAAGACTTTGCGGGAGAATCACAATATAAGGTCTGTACCAAGCTCGATTTTTGCGGAAATCCAAAGGAGAAAGTCACCAAACACGGCTGCTGGTCCGAGGTGGATTCACCTTTGACTCACTCTAGGAATAAAGTCAACTATGTGGATTGCAGTTGGCCAACAGTGACCCACCAAGGGGTGAAATTCTGCAGCCCTTCTGGAAGCACGATTCATGATAAGCTTGTTTTTTGTGGGCGGGAAACTCAGGCACGCCCGAAAAATACCGACTCGGAGTCGGCCGATGGCTGGTCCGGAAGACGGAGAAAATCTCCTCTGGGGACTGATAAAGCGCCTGATTTGTGGTGCTACTCATGTAATTGGGAAAACAATCCCCAGCCGAATGCTGATCTGCAACGACTTGTTTCGTTATCAGATCATCGCATAGCTTACCAAACTCTATATTGATCAAGCAGCAACACCGCAAGCTGATTCGCTATGGATTTTATGGACTCATGCATGTCGATGATTTGGTATAAGACCTGCAAGGTCGTTCATAGCAATTCGTATCTAGAGTATAAACCGTCTAGCCATCTTCAAAATAACCGCCCAAGGATAGATGTCAAAATTAATAATGTAAATGTCGAAAGAAAAAGATCATCGTCCTAACTCAGACCCGAAGCTCTGCCCCTGCGGCTTTCCGGAGCCGGTTCATCACAGCCGCAGCCAGGTCACCTTGCTGATCAGGTACACCCTCCACATAGATGACATCAACGTCCCGTTCATCCATTGCCCGCAATGCAGAGAACAATCCTTGAGCAATTGACTTGATGTCTGGTCCGAGACGGCAGTCAAAGGTCTGTTTTGTTACAACGCAACCCTTGATCATGTCATCGACAGGGACAGGGAATGACACCAGATTGTCCACCAAGCTCTCGATAGGCTTCATGCTGTTTTGGATCTCTTCATCTGACACCAGTCCCAGCCCTTGTTTCCAGTTGCGTGTGCGCACAAATCCAATCATATGCGCTCCGACCGCCGAATCCTCGAGATCCTTGCGAATGTGGTTCCTGATGCCCTCGTCTGTAGAGTCGGGTTCGAAAAGGATTACACGGGCCTTGGGGGAATAGTGTCGGTACTTCATACCCGGCGCGCGAGGAACTTCCTTAACATCCAGAGTACCATCGTGGTATCCGATTTGAACATTCTCCCATCCGGGGCACTGTCGCAATTCTTCGATACCAATACCACCGGGACGAAGGATGGCTGGGGGGTCGGAGAGACCGTCGACGACTGTGCTTTCAACTCCTACTCCACAAGAACCACCATCGAGAATGAGCTCGATCCGGCCCTGTAAATCATGGTAAACGTGCTCTGCCGCTGTCGGGGAGGGCTTCGTAGAGGCATTGGCCGAGGGGGCTGCTAGAGGTCGGTCCGTGACATGGATTAACAACCGCGCCAGAGGCGACGATGGCATTCGCACGCCAAATGTAGTGAGATTCGATGTGACTTCATTCGCAAGGGGAGATCCGGAGGGGTTCGGAACGAGGATGGTGAGGGGACCAGGCCAGAAGCGAGAGATGACCGATTCGTAGATGGCCGGGAGCTTATTCTGCGCAGTGCTGGTTAAACGCGTAGGACTATGGTGGACGGGGTTAAGGATGCGCTCAAGCATTCCAATGGAGTCCACATGTATGATTAACGGATTGTCGGATGGCCTCTGCTTAGCCTTGTAAATCCCCTGCACGGCGTCACTCCGAGTGGCATCAGCTCCTAACCCATACACCGTCTCGGTAGGAAATGCGACCGGGATGTCACTCGTCTGTAGGAGCTGTGCAGCTTCCTCGATCGCAGCGGCTTCGGGAGTTTTGTTCCTGCATTCGTCCGCCCACCATTCAGCCAGGGATCGCCCATTGGGGCCTTCCTCGTTAAGCCGGCGAACCGACACGATCCGCGTGTCTACCTTAGGAGCCATGGTGGCTGTGGAAGAAGATGTAAACCGGACAAAGCTGCGCGGGAAACCGCCAGCGAGGAAACGATAAAGGAACAACACCACTTTGAACCAACGAGGGGGATATCGATTGATATCCGAGACCACAAAAGAGAAAGAGAGGCTAGTCGCGGGGTTGGGTCAATATGAGTGACAAAATTTCTCCAAGTGTGGGGGGGAAAGAGTCACAAGCGTGGAAAGTTATTCGTTCACCCTTTTTACAGATGTCAGATATGATTTAATTCCTCCTGCCTCTCTTCCCCATTGGACTGATTCGGCACGAAGGATTATTTCGGCTGCTGGGAAACGAGCAAATCATTCTTGATGGCTTTCGAGGCTTTTGCGCCAGGGAAAAAAAAGCGCAATGACGTCGGCTGCCTGGTGACTAAGCGCAGGCATCCAGCCCTGCGCTTCAATCAGCCAACATGCAAGCAGTTCAGTCTCAGGAATCTGATATCATCCTACATCTGTTCAGATAATTTTGCCACAATATGGGCTCGAGCCCGTAAATGCTTGTTGTTCAGCTGCTGTAAGGCACGTCATTCGTGTCAGGCCAAATGATGTGGACCGGACTAGTAGTACACTACCAAGAGGTATATATTCAATTACCCTCAGCAAGCGGAGACAAATCTCCACTGGCATTATGACTCAAGCCTGACATAAGGAGTCTACACTGTATGTTTCAGAATCTATCAACCAGAAAGGATAGGGACTGTGTGAACATGCCAAAAGAGAGGTAAAAATATGATAATGATTTCCAAGAATTGTCCGTTTACAACAAGCGCTGCTTTCCGCTGGTAGTCACTAGTGGGGAGCGCACGTGTCTTGCTTTGTATCTGTGCGCATGGTGATCATGTCCTTAGGACATATGATCATCTCTGTAGGGGAATGGTCCAGTCAATTGCTCGAAATTCATTTCTTCTTTCCTCCTCCTCTGCCTCCTTTGCTCCCGCCGCCGCCGCCGCCGCCACCACCACCTTTGCCTTTGCCTTTATCACCCCCGCTGGCCCCAGCACCGGTCATGATGCGTACCTTCCCCACAGGGACTGAGTTGATAATTTCAGTATCCTTCCAACCCTTGATCAACTCGCCTTCGCGTTCGCGGAGCTTCTCAGCTGCTGCCCGATTGATACCAGCGTCTTCGGCGTGCTCCTTCTTGACCTTGCCGGTCGTCGTTTCGGCAACCCATCGCCCAATGATTTCCTTGACAGCCTTTCCCTTCTTCACTGTACCCGGCTGCAACTTGATCTTGTACTTGTATCGACCCAGGGCAGCCCAGGGGGCACATACTGGAATGGCAGCGAGGATGTCATCGTCCGGATGGGGTGTTCCGACCATGGCAGGGATCCATTCGAGATCCGCAGCTTCAGCGGCGGCTGTCTCCTCATCGTAGTCATCAGCGCCCCCCTCGAAAAGAGCCTGTCGTTTGCGTTCAGCTTCAGCTGCTCGCTCATGCTGGGCTCTGCGACGTTTCTTCTGAGCCTCTGCTTCCTGCTCACGCTTAGCTTTGGCTTCAGCATCTGCAGCGGCTTTGGCAGCTTTCTCGCTGCTGACACCTAGCAAGCGGAGTGCCAGTTCTCGCTCGTCTTCGTCCTGGTCCGCGTACTTGGCTGCAGCTTTCTTTGCTTTGCCCTTCTTGCCTCGAGCGGAGGCCGGCGCCTGCTTGGTGTTCGTAGGTTTGGCCGGTGCGCCGTTCGAGGCCGGCTTCGAGCTTTCTTTAGCTTCCTTGGGTGTAGTTTCTTGGAGCGCGAGCGGCTGTCCTTTCCTGAGAAGACGACGCTCTCGAGCTGAGAGCTGACGCTTGCCCTGTCCTTGCGTCGACGCTAAGCTCTCGTCTGGCATAGTATCATCCGCAGTTGTCGTCTGGGTCTGAGGAGATGGGTCATCCTGCTCCTTAGAATCTTCTTGCTGCTCCCCTTCTTCGTCAATATTCTCACCATCTGAGGGGGTGTCATTGGTATCATTAGAAAGACCGGCTTCTCCCTGAGCGGGCTCAGACAGGCCCCGTTGCAGCGGGTTTCTTTCTGTGATGGTCTTGTTCTCCTCAACCTCCTCATCAGACTCCGAGCCCTGTTCCTGCTCTTCCTGTTCGCCAGGACCGTTATTTTCATCGGCTTCGGTCATCTCTGGTTTCTCTTCAACAGGTTCTTTGTCTCCAACTGTTGCTTCAGGAGCATTGCTCGCCTCAGTGGCAGGCTCCGCAACCATAGGCTCGTCAAATTGGCGCAGCTTGTGATTCCGTAGGCTCTCTTTGCTGACCTGGAACATTACTGCGAAGCCCAGAACAAGCTGTGAGGGGGCCAAGAAATTCTTCTCGCCCTTGATGACAAACTCGCCAGTAGGAACAAGGCCACCCACCTCGGCCGTCTTAGAGACTTGGCTGGCATCAACCCAGTATGCGGACATGATTGCCTTGGAGTCCCAGGCGCTCGAGGTAGCAACACACAGATTACCAGCTTGGGAAAGAGTACTTGGAGGAAAAGGCGCATTGGGCGTGCCCGCTCTATTCTTCACGATCATTGGCGTAGCACCTTGAAGGTCAGCATGCACGAAGACATCGCCTTTCTTGAGGTAACGGCGATACAGCATCTCACTCTGCATTGCATCGCGACCACTAGTCATAGTCAGAATCGATAACCAATATGTTTTAAAGGGGGTGGGCACTCACCCGAGGACCAAGTATCCCTCGGAAGAGACAAAGAAGAGGAACTTCTCGAACCAGAAAAGCTTCCTAGCCGGCCGAAGGACCTGCTTCTCTTGCTTCAGGTTACGTTTGAGATCCTGCGTCACCTTCTTTTCGTGGCTCTTGAGCGCCTTTGTGGAGGACTGCGTCGTCCTCTGTTCCTTCACGGCAGCCTGTTTTTTCTGCTCATAGTACTGAGTCGCATTCGCCCATGGGGAGAGACCGAGGTCGATGTCAACCACCAACACATCAGCCCGCTTCTCAAAGCTTTCAGCTTGCTCCTTCTCATCCTCCGATTCTGATTCGTCGTCGTCCGAGAAAAGCTCCTCGCCTTCATCCTGTTCCTCGGCGCCAGCTTCGCCAAGCATCAACGTGATTGTGTTCTCATGAAGCTTCAACGGCAACTTGATTATTCTCGCGACCGGATTGCCTCGACTCTGTTCCATCTCGATCAGGCGCGCGATTTCCACCCAGTCCATACCCTGCGCAATCAGGCCATTGACCGCATCCATCGCCTCCTGCACGCGGTAGACATTATCCTCAATAGCGACAGCCTTCCGGATATGCAGCTCCTGGACCTCCTGCAGGGCACCGATGCGCTTCGCATGCTCCTGCCTGACAGCATCAAGCTTTCTCTTTGCGGCCTCCTCTCGCTCTGTGAGCCGCGACTCAAGCTTCTGCGACTCGATCGAAGAGAAGTACTCATCAACCGTCTTGTTGAAGTTCTCAAACTCCAAGATCGTAACCCCAGGTTTTCCCTGAAACTGGCGGGGCTTGAACGGATGAAAGTCCTCATACAGCAGCGCCGGCTTCTTAGAAGATGCCTCTTCCCCCTCCTCCTCAGCAGCCCCTTTAGCCTTCGGCCTCGTATCCTCCTTCGCCACAATATACCCTGGATGGCCCTCCCCAACCGACAGCTTCCTCGTCTCACCCCTCGCCTCCTCTAACACCTCTATCACCCTCTGCAACAGCGCCTCATCCGCCAGGACCTCCTCCAACGGCGTCGCAGGATCCAGGCCATTCACTGCAAATGCATGATCCAGCAACAGCGGGGGATACTCCGGAAAACCCTGCGACAGCGCCTTGCGGAGGACATCGGTATTCTTCTTCTTGGACTTCTTGGGCGCGTCACCCTGGGCCGCAAACAGCGCCTTGGCCTTCTCGACCGTCTCGCGCACCCGCTCCATCGTGATGTCCGGCACCCCGTGGTAGTTCTGCTTGTTGTCGATCGTGTACTTCATGCCGACGCGCGTCTCCTCCTCCTGCCCGTCCCCAGCCGCGACCTGGCGGAACAGGGCCAGAATGTTGTACTCCCGGTCGGTGATGATGATGTTGCCGCCCGCGAAGAACTCGAGGAACATGTGGTACACGCCGTCGCTGAAGGAGAAGTCGATCACCCGGTCCGTGCCGATCTGCTGGATGGAGGTGACGCGCCGGGATTTCAGGAACTTTCGCATGCGGGTGACGAAGGGCGAGGGCGCCGAGGCCGTCGCGCGCGAGTACTGCGTGACATGGCAGCGGAAGCCCGAGTCGACGACGAGTTGTTTGCGGTGGTCGGGTTTGGCGAGTTTGAAGAGGAAGATTCTCTGGTGAGCAGTAGCAGATCGCACAACGTTAGACAGGGAGATTGTCAAAGCTAGAACAGTTATGATAGCTTACCGACGAGAGATCGTAGATGTTCGAGACTCGCAAGTTAACTAGCTCCGATGCGAGCTCCTGGGTGATGACCTGCAAATGTGTGAGGATCGTGGAGCTCAACTGGTGGTACAAGCCAGTGTAGAAGACAGGCCAGGTAACAAACCTTGACATCCAAAGAGGAGAATCTTTGCTTCATCTTCTGAGTTTAATTGGTCCCCAATGCTGTAGTTGGTGTTGGGCTGGGGCAAAGAACGCGATTCGATTGTACAAAGAGTGTTGAAAATTGTCCCCCTCCGAGGAGCGGGCGTGACGTATGCGGGGCTGGATTTCGCCTATGGTTTCCATTGCCCTTTCCATAGTGTTCGAACACTATCTTCTCGATCAACTCCGCACGTGTGATTACTGATCCACTTTCAGTGCATATGAGCTGATCGAGACACTTTATCTTGTGCGGAATATATGATTTCCTTTATAGCCAGTGATATACACACGGTTTTATGACATACTCGCCTCACAATGCCGCATGCAGGGCACAACGTCTGAACTCACGTGAAAACATCGTAGGAAATATCTATAATGAGCCAAATCCCTGAAACGGAGATTTCATCAAGGTCATGGTATCTCTTTCGAATGAACATAACAAGAAAACTGAAATACCATGCGGACAATAACGCCAGGACCAGCCAGAGAACATGACAGCAAGACACATTAGAAAATCGAAGACAAAGCACGTCCTCATGCATCAGAATCGAAATACCACAATAACCACGCATCCCCCATTTTACATCTGCCGCAGACCCTCCGCCAGACGCCGCTTGCCGAGCTCCCACGCATTGAGCAGACCTTGTTCCGACAAATCGATGCTCTTCAAGTTGGGCGCATCGGGGGCGGGAGCGCGACTTACGCGCGAGGCGATCAGGACGGGGTCCGTTTCCAGGATGATACCGTCGTCAATGATCTCGTCAATAGCCAGGGCGACTAGGTCGTAGTTCTCGACGATCGTGCGCTTGTCAGTGGCACCCCTGAAGAGACAGCATCGTGTTAGTTACTCATGAGGCCACGGAGAGGACGCCTGATGCGAAAAGAGTAAAAAGACATACTTGAATAAGATTCCAAGAGCATCTCTCAGAGACAGAACAACGTTGTAAAGCAAGACTTCGTTCTCATCGGCGCTTCCAACCACGTAGAGCATAACGTCGCTCTCCATTTTGAAAACCACGATCCGGTTGTCGTAAAGGATCACATCGCTGGTCTGCTTGTTCGTCTTGTCGAGGAGGCCCTGCTCGAAAGCCTTCTGCTCCTTCACGGTGGGATAGGGGTTCGCTCCGGGGTAATCGGTCGAGTTGGGGGCAGCGCCGGCCGGGGGGTGAGGAGGAGAGTAGTACTTGGCGAAGATGCGGGAGCCATCGTCGGCCGACATGATGAGGACGGCATTGACGGAGAAAAGGGACAGCGAGCCAGGCATGGTGGGCGAATGAGCGAGGAATTAAATCGGGTCGGGGATAGGGTGAGTGATGACTGCTGCGCCGGGGCAGTCGACTTACACCTCCGTGCTATTTACAAGCTGGCCGCAATCCGGGCGCCGCTTCAACGTTGTTCCGATCTGTATACTATACAAGTCTCTTCAACACCATAACATTATTTTGAGGTTTGACCATGGCACATGAACATGTCCACCAGCCCGAAGAGCTATCATATGGCATCTCTACGGAGTTTATAAGTAGAGCACAGTCATGTCGATTCTAGTATATGAGCAGGTACCGTCCGTCGTATTTCACAAATCCGTCACATTCAAGCGAGTTGAAACTGATATTGGTCCACACCATAGGACATTGTTTTCATACTTCAAAGACAAATAAGCTCTCCCCTAAGCGATCTTTGACAGGTGCTATCTCACAGAAGACTCTCCCGTAACACGCATGATCTGAATTCAGAGAAACGACGCGAAAGTATAGATGTGATCCTCAGATTGTGCGATCGCCGGCTACAGCCAATCTAAGACCTCTTCACCTTCATCAATCAACATAACTGATCTCGCCCACACCTTGGGTTGGTCATAGGGCTCTTCATTCTCGCTTCCGTAGGCCACTATCGCCGGCTGAACACAGAGTAAGACATTCATGCCATCCAGCCTATGGTCGTTCTCGTCTAATTTGTGCAACCGGTGAGCAGACATCATCGTGTTAGAAATATCGAACTTGGGAGTATCGCTTTGGTCGACATAGTTCATATCGGTACCCATCTTCCATAGTGATAACGCCAAATCGCTTGCGTTCTGGTACAATGCTTCGAGTTCTTTGTAGCGCCCGTCTATCTCATTGACATTATTAGTTGGGCGTAAAAGGTGCACGAAGCCCTCTGACTCTAGGAACATGGATATCAGCATGTTTTCCCTGTTTCTGGCCTCCACGGACAGTCGATCCATGCCAGGTCGAGCGTCAGTCGACAGGATCCGCAGCATGTGTGAGCGCCATGCATGGGCTTCTGCCTTGTCGACTGCTTCTTCATCAGCATAAATGCGATCAAGCCTACTCAACTTGACTGACCTTGCTCCATGGTGTCGTAGAGGTTTTTCATTTTCATCGCTCCAGACATATCGGACCGCTCACTGAATCCATCCCAAACAAAGAATGGGTCTCTGAACATTGGAGCAAGAATATCCTTGGCGATCAATGCTTGAAGGAGAAGAGCCGGGATCCTGTCTTTCCAGGTTGCCAGGCTCTCCACTAGCGAGCTCCAGTAGGTGGTGGCACAGAAACCCTCTAACGAGTCCAGAATTCCAGTTTTGGAAGGCTCGGAAATCTGGTCCAGATCGGCCAGAGCGGGGACACTGTATTTCCTTGTCCAGCAGCGAATCTGATCCTGCAACGCATCCAGCTGATCTCGAATGGTATGATCCTCCATGGGCATAGGGCCCTTCTTATTCAAGGACTTCAAGGCAGCCTCTTGTAAGCCGCGAATTAGAGACTCGAGGCGTGAATTCTCCTCGGTAAGCTTAACGATGTGAGCGTCACGACTGTGCACTAGCCGGTACTCGGCATTGCACTGTCGGATGGCGTCGTCTCGTTCAGCTTCTGCCTGCGCAAGTTTGCTTATCAAATTCTCGCATTGCTGGACTGCATCATCTCGTTCTGTCTCTGCCTGAATGATCTTGCTTTGCAAGTTTCTGGACCATCGCACTGCACTGTCTCGTTCAATTTCTGCCTGCAAAACGTTACTTTTCAGACTCCGCAACTTGCGATTGCGACGAGTTTTCAGGATTCCAACTTGATACTGGAGTTGCTGTATCTGCCTAGATTGATTGTCGATGATCTCAGTCTGCATAGCGGAATTATCGGCAGCCATGCTACGGCTTTCCTGCCGATTCGCAACGTCTCCATCGCTGGAAGTCTGTAGCCTCGAAGTCTGTATGCTTGACCTGACCGGTGACACCAGTGCACGGAAGTACTGTAGCCCCATGTTGAAATTCTATCCCCTCATTAGTCCCTGGGTCTCTCAGAACTTTCTGATTTGTTGCCGGGAACTAGATACGTACAGGCCAGGTTCCTCGATCTCTCTCCATAGCATTACCGTGGTCATTGGTTGACATGGCTTCAACACTTCTCGTGATGTGTCTTCGTGATTCAGTTCTCGTGAGTGAGTTTGATGAGGAGGTGGCGATGAGATGAGAAGAAGATCAGAGGGTGTGAGAAAGTAGATATTTCTTCGCTAACATGTGATGGTGGGGTTCCTAGTAAGTGAGTGATTGGAATTGAGCAGGCGCTGCAGTGTTGAAGGAAAGCAGGCCCGCACTATCTCTCCCTCATTCACTCGCAACCAGTCAGTCAGTCAGTCAACCATCCTTTGGCAATGTGGCCAGCCCATCCAGAGAAGGTGATATCGACATAACACTTCCGGACTAACACTTCTCCTTCCCACTTTCTTCACCTGCACTTGTCTCTCGCTGATTTCTCTTATCCAATCTCTGTTTTGGATCCGGTTTCCTCTCTCTACTCAATATTGATTCCTGTTACACCACACTCACTTGCGGGACACAACGACCTAACCATGGCAACTCACAAGGTTATCGTGGCCATTGATTATGGTACAACCTACACAGGTGAGCTCCTGAGCGAAGTTTAGATAAGTGTATACTGACAAAGTCCGTGGAAAAAACAAGGCGTCAGCTATGTGAGCTCGAGCGGGACTGATCTCAAAGATGTCAAACACATCTGCTCTTGGCCTGGCCCGTCCAAGGGCTCCGAAATCGTCTTCAAGACTCCATCTCGTGTGGCTTATCCCGCAGACAACCCGAAGCTACAGACATTGAAATGGGGGTATGAAATCGAGCCCGGCATGATTGCGTATGCCTGGACCAAACTTCTCCTAGATGCCGGTACTGCGTTGACCGAGTACGATGATTCCACTCTGGAGAATGCTTCGCAGACTGGCATTCTGCGGCTGCCACCCCGATCCACCGCAGTCGATGTAGTAGCAGATTATCTCTCACAGATTTACCAGTTTATCCTCCAGACTCTCGTCAAGCAGATAACTGAAGAGACACTCAAGATAACTCCCATAGAGTTCTGGTTTACAGTTCCCGCCATATGGTCTGACAAGGCTAAGGATGCTACTCGTACGGCCGCCCAGCGGGCAGGCTTTGCATGCGACCCTCGCCGCAAAGAAGACAAGATTTTCTTGATCAGTGAGCCAGAAGCTGCTGCTATTACCGCACTGGAGAAGTATACGACTGGTGACTTGGCAAACTTGGTTAAGGTAAGCCCTTGTCATGGTGTTTTTCTTTTAAGGTAGCTTCCTTCCTGATATATTCGTTTTGACACACGCGCTTCAGGTCGACGATGGTGTTCTGATCTGTGACTGCGGTGGCGGCACCGTGGTAAGTTGCTCAAGCCCACCATCGAGGTGCTAGAGAAGTGAGGTCTGACATTGTTTCCAGGATCTCACTACCTTTCTAGTCACTCAAATCTCTCCCAAGCTCACTTTCGAAGAGCTATGCACGGGGATCGGTAGGTGACACTTAGGAGCGTCGGTACGAGTTCGTGGCTAATCTGTCATAGGGGGCAAATGTGGTTCGAGTGCGATTGACCGTGAATTCTATCGGCTGATGTCTAGGCGATTTGGGGCCGCTTTTGATCTTCTCAAGCCCAAATCAAAAGGCCCTGGAAGCTATTTGATGAACAAGTTTGAGATCATCAAGAGGGGCTTTGGGCTTTCTCATCAGGCAATGTTTGAACTTCCCCTCAACATGAAACTCGAGAAGGTTGATCCACGATATTACGATGAAGAAGAGCGTGTTGTCTTTCTCTATGAGTACGATTTTACCACAGAGACTTTCTCAAGTTTTCAAGCCCTTTGTTGTAATGCTGACCTTTTGACTAGTGATGACTTACGTGGCATGTTCAACCCTGTAGTGGACAAGATTGTGAGCTTGGTGCACCAGCAAATTGAAGAAGTCCGACGAGAGCGCGGCAAGGACATTGTCAATGTCTGTGTACTTTGTTTCCTTCATATTGTCGCTTTGCTCGAAAGTGTCAACTAATATCCGGTGCACAAACAGAGAATCATACTTGTCGGTGGCTTCGGCGACTCCGAATATCTTCGCCAAACACTCGAAAGGTCTTTTGGTCAAACTGGGCAAATCAGCATCACCGTTCCCGATTACCCGTACGTTCAACAAAATCCTTTTGAGCCCCCATATCTCGTCTCAAGACCGACAGACCTACTATATACTGACGTATTTCAAAACTGCAGTCAAGCTGCTATAGTTCAGGGCGCTGCACTCAGTGGTCTTCGAGGCTTGAAACCAAGTTCAAGAAAGTGTCGTCGATACTATGGATTCCAATGCGGTCTTCCCTTTCGTCCAGGCATTGACGCCGAAGCAGACTCGTACATCGAGAAATGGTCAGGAGCAAAGTATGCTGGCCGCCGCATCATCTGGATGATCTCGAAGGTACGTAGACTGTATGCTCTGCATACCACGCCGAGACTTGAGTTCGAACCAAACAGAGCACTCACTAATAGCCGCACTTGCCGACAGGGAGAAACGTATACTGGAAATACCACTTTAAACGAAGACGTTATGCGTGATTATTCACATCCAGAATCTTTGACGTATAGTTTCAGACTGTACGCCTGCGACAAAAGAGATGCACCTGACAAGATAAACCAGGGTAAGTCCTTGCACCGCTGCTTCTGATTTACGAAGATGATACTGTCAGCCATGGGGAGTGAGTGTGGTAGACGGAGGTAGCTTTCTCGTTCCTGCCTATTGATGAGATTCGCGATGCGCAAGGCAGAACGACCAATCTTCGGGTTAGGAAAAGCACTAGACTAATGCTCAGCGGAGAGCCTATATGTCACTGTGTCATTGGAGCATACTTAACTGATCAAGAGCTAACGCCTGTCTTTGCTCCGCAGATGCCTATCCCGTCGGCGAAATTATCACGGATCTGTCTGGAGTGGGTTTGTCTCAGTTCAAAGCCAAATATTTTCAAGGCAAGCGTATCTACCGACTCGAGTACTCCGTCACAGTGACAATTGGCGCTCAGGAAGGGGTCCTCAAATTCGAAGCTCTCGCCAAAGGCCAGACAATTGGCAAGACAAGCGTTCGCTTCGAAACTACTTAGGAGGCATCGGGTGAAGCTGAAGGAGACGATCTGCTCTGAAGGGGCTTGGGAAGTTTGGAATATGGCTGGGAATTGTGGTTTGCAAATTGTTGATTTTGATTCGTATCTGATGCTATCTGACACTTTGTCAATCAAGCAATGAACCCCTAATGATTACATATCGCAAGGGGTAAGCTCGTTTATTCCATGTATCCGAGCCATAAAGTTCAATCCACTCTGCGCTGCACAATATCGGGTGAAAGTGGCAACCCTATCAAGCCATCCGCCACAAGCAACCCACCATTTTCATCATGAAGATCCTCCCCTCTCCCACATAGAGTATTTTTAGAACTATCTTATAAAAAGCCCGAAATGACGAAGCCGCTTACTAGTTAGCCTCTTCAATCATAATTTCTGCATCACTGAGACTAGACTTTCTCCATGCCGTCCTTTTGGTCAACTGCTCGGATACTCCCAAGCTCCTCCCAAGGGGGTTCCTGTCTAAAAAGCAACAAACGAAAGCGAGAGAGTATGCACCACCAGGGAAGATCGTCAATCAGAAATTGGAATTCTTCATCGCTAATGGCGTGGTCGTAACGCGAATTCTCGACTAGTTAGAGCCGATAGTAGTCTGATGAGACTTAAGCCACGCGTCGAGATAGCGGATAGCCCAGTTTACAGCATACAGCTAGCTACCTTGGGATATCTGTCTATGTAAGCAGATCTGAAGTAGAGTGATTCTATCACGGAATTATCCTGGAAATGCGGTTCTATTCGCATCCGGTAAAATTATCTATATACACTGGAACATTTCAAGTCTCCTGTGCGGTAGTTGCTGTATTACTCCTGGATTTTGGGGGATACCTGTTGAAAACAAGAAAGTCCGTAGAAGATAGATTTCCTAAGTACTATATGTGCAAGCGACCCATGAAACATACTGATGATATGAGAGGTGTGTGGTAAAATCAATGCATCAATCAATAATAGTTGCTATCTACTCTATAGTACAAGAAGAAAAGATAAGTGCGAGGCACACCAGAACACGTCGAACGAGCAGAACCTCGTCAAGCACGTTCATTCGACTCCACCAAGGGGGGAAGTATATAAGCAGAATTGTATGTAGGTATGTTCATCAAGATAAGGAGGGGCATGAATCAATAAAGGTAGAGCGAATTTCGTGGCCATCCGAGTATACAATGTTGTTGCAGAAAAAACGAGTGTCCTAAAAGCGAACGTCCAAAAAACCAGGTCAATCATCACATCATGCCGGTTCAAAAAGATGCGTTGGGGGGTCGTCTATCACATAACCAATAGCATGTAGAAAAAGCACAAAAACGCGTTTTCTTTTCAAAGGACGAGAGATTGGGTTGCGAAAAGCGCCAGACTTGCCCATATAGAGAGGAAAAGCCTGGACCCATAACCAGCTCGAACACCATGATGATGATCAACACCAAAAAAAATGAGGTAGAGGGCGGAAGACAGCCAGAAGAAGACTGTTGCAAAGGTGCCCTGGGAAGGTCATGTATGGAGAGCAGATAGGAAATAAGACAAGCGAGCAAACTGGAATCATTAATTAGGAGAAAAAGGGTATTGGTGCCCCCTCACGCAATCGAGCCGCTTGGAACGATTGATGGAGGTGTTCGGCATGGAACTATCAGGACATCCACTCGATCAGATGGGCGACTGTGCGTCGCTGCTAGTCCCGGGACGGTTAAACCAAGGGATCCAACTTCCTCGGTTGGCCTTCTTCCGAGCAGCCTCCTCTTCCTCTGCCAGTCTAGTGGTTTCACTGACAAGACGCAGAGGGCGCAGCTTGTTCTGCGTCATTACGGCGCCTGTGTAGTTTGTCATGCCATTGCTAGAACGGGGAGAGCTAGAGGTAGCGCCAGTAGAGGCGGTATCAGCAGCTAGGTCGCTCGTGATACTGTCTGAGCTGCTCAAGCGGCTGTGCTCGGGCTGGCTTGACAAAGAAGGCGCGCGGTTGCTGGCACTCATGCTAGACATGTAGCTTGCGTTGGAGAAGGCGCTCTGGCGTGACCCAGGGCCCATCAGGGTAGGGCTGATAGGGCCACCCGAGTTACGGCCCCGGTACATCTGGCCGACAACTGCTGCAACATTGACGTCTGTTTGCTCGGACCTTGTCCGGCGGTGACCACGGATCGACTGAGTGCGCAGAGGAATGCTAGGTGCTGTCTCCGGGTTCTCATGAGCAGTGGGCACACTGGTTGGGGGTGGCATGTAGCTGGTGGGGCGTGACCGAGGTTGGGTCTGAGGGCGAGGAACATTGGTGTTCGGCTGGCCCCCAACGACCGATTTAGCCCGCTGAAGGAAGGTCTGTGATGAGGCGTCATCTTTCTCCAGGGGAGTGGGCGGCAGATCCTTGTTGTGACCGGCAGGGAGTCGCTTGGCAGGCGGATCGTTCTCGTTCTTGTCGAGAATCGTCTCGAACCCGTCATGCTGCAGGAGCCGGCTGATGATCCGCTCGATGTAAAGAGTCAAGGCCTTGTTCTGGTCCTTGAGCGCCTTGACCTCGGACTCGAGCTTGCGCGTATTGTCCGTTTCGGCCCTGGCATCTACAGACTCAAGCTCATCAGCCAGCGAACCCAAACCGCTGCCAGCTTCCTTGGTCTCGTCTGCAGTGTCAGGATGAACCTCACGCATGAAATCACCCTTGGTAAAATCGCCATTCAAGGTTCGCTCACTCAGAAGCAATTGGTAACTCTCATTGTCCTCCATCAGACGGGCGTTGGCCATGCGAGCTTCCAGGAGCTCCTTCTCGAGCTCCCGCTGACGGCCGCCCCCTTGGTTCTCCATCTCCACAAGCTTAATCTGGGACTCGGCCAGTTCGAGTCTGAGAGACTCAATCAGCTTATCCTTCTGCAGAAGTAGATTCGAGTTGTTTCGTGAGGGGCTCCGCTCAATCTGAGAAGAAGGCGCAAATTGTCCATCCACGTCGGGGGATGATCGGTTACGGAAACTAGCTGTAAGAGAAGTCAGGGAGGTGCCGAATCGAGCGAATGAATCAGGGATAGGTCTTACATGAGCGAGACATGTTCTTGTCTGCATCGGAGTTGATTCGCTCCTTCTGAGCCAACGACTCCTTCAGGCGCTGAATAGTTGCCTGCATTTCCTCTTCCCGGCTCGCTTGCTGCTCCTTCTCCTGCAGCATGGCATTCCGCTCCTGTTCATGAGCCTGCTCCAAATCGCGAATCTGGCGCACATGGTCTCGTATCTCGCCATTGAGTGCTTCAAGTTTGCTGTCCTTCTCATGCGCCTGGTCCTCCAATTTGCCTTGCTCGCTGACCGCCTCATCAAGTCGCATTTGGAGAACACCCAATTGCTTGCGAAATTGTTCGGAGGCGGTTTCGGCTTTCTGCAGCTGTTCCTTCAGGTCGTCGATAAGAGCGGCATTCTGGGCTCGTGCCTCCTCGTCGGACGGATTGGGCGCGGCCTTGGGAGCACTCGATGTGCTTAGGTTGGAGCGACCTGGCTTCCGGGCTGCAGCGCGCGCAGAGACGGGCGTAGACGAGCGGAGGGACGGAGAGCGAGTAAATCCATTTGTTGCCGTGCTGGGGGAGCGGGAATGAGTTCGTGGGGGGGTTCCATTGACTGTCGGGTTTTCTGTCGTCGAGGACTTGGTGGCACTGCCCGGAATACTGGGCTTGCGAGGCGTCGCAGACATGTTGGCCTATTCAACCGGACAAGAGAGAAATGGCCGAAAGCGATAGGTTAGGAAACAAGAAATGCGAGGCAACCCAGATAAGGGGGAGGGACAGAGAAAAAAAGGCCTCTGGAGATTTGGACGGAAGAAAGTAGTGCAGTGAAACAGCCGGGAAATTAATTTAAGGAATGGAAGGCCGAGTCACAGTTGTAGTAGCGGTCAAAACAGTGGGCGCACTAGGTAACTATCTCGGTGGGGGAAAGGGTCGGGTTCGAATGGCGGGCGGGCAACGGGAGGGAGGCTAGGCTAAGTAGGTAGTGAACTAGGTAGTGAACTAAGTGAGTAGCCACCGTCCAAGGAGAAAAGAAGGGCAATACGCAAGGATGGAGAAGAGGAAACCCGTTGTGTGTGGATGGAAGCCGGGTGGATATCGGGGAAAGTCAGGGATTGGGTACGATCAGCATGGAGAGTGTGTGAGAAAATGAGAAATAATGTTGGAGAAGGAGGTGGGGGGAAAGAGGGAAAGTAAGTCATAATCAATCTGAGAAATGGGAATTGCATGCAATACAATAATCTGTCTCTGTCTGTCTGTCTCCGTCTGTCGTCTGTCTGATGGGCACGATTCCAGTCTTAGTTAGTTTAGTAGTTACCATACATGACCGCTGTTTGTGCCTATGCTTGGCCGGTCTTGGTAAGTTTAGGTCACGTTGGCCTGGGGATTCTGTTCCATAATTACAATCCTATTATGAATTCACTTTCTTCCGTGGTCAACCCTCCAAACCAAGTCTTTGCGAGCCTGGTGGACTTTGAATTCATTAAGTGAATTAAACCTAATTTCATATTCTTCGATCACTTCCGCTGGGCTACAACGAGGTGGAGAGAAAGTCCGCCAGCGCCCTGATGGGATAGTGCCCGAATGCGGATTCAAGTTATCGATAGCAACAACCTTAACAATACGGAAATCCCCAACCAACCAGCCAACCCATTCACCTGGGCGACAACAACACGAACCCAATCGACACATGGCAACGATAAAGATAGCAGCCACTCTCGAACGATCCCTTCCCCCCTCCATCCCTCCCCTCGACTTCCTTACCGTAGCCAGGGTCTGGCCGTGTGTCGACTGCCACCCAATCATGAATGCCCGCCATCAGGGGGGGCGGAGGAAATCCAAAAGACCACGCCGACTGCGCCACGTCTCTCGTTACAACTTCCGGCTATGCATCATCGGGGGTCATCGCTGCTGCCTCGAGAGTACTATTGATGTAAGGTTGTCCACGATACAGGACTTACAGTATTGCGCCGTGAAGAAAGGACGGGTACTAGTATACCCGTCAACTGACTGCCTAGGCAACCCGTTGTATACTTTCCACTCTTTCGCATGTCCGAGGTCCTGCCATGTACAAGCACTGTTCGCACGAGGGATCCAACTCTCAGCTGTTCAATTCCGCTTACCTGGTCTCTCATGACCTGGACTGCTCCCAAGTGCAGCCCCTGAGTTTTGACGCCTGCCAGCGTCCGTTATGGCATGACCATCGCTGCTCACCCGGGGGAGACGACAGCCCTTCACATAAACGAGATTAAAAACCGACTTTGAAGTCATCTTCTCGTTTCAATTCACTGTCACTGTGGAATCGATGTCCATTCGTTCGCCGCCGACTACCAGGGTCTAGAGAACAGCACCATAGGGCGCCAATAGTCCGGTTAACAACTTCAGCCACGCCATTCATAATTGGTATGATCATGTGCCCTGGCGGCTGAGTCGACAATGCCACGAGTAGATATACTGGCTCCAGCACATATGGGCTTCGCTTGCTGTTGAAGTGAATATCAATGATGCGTTAAGTATGGTCCTTCACCCGTGCTACCTTCGGGAGAGAAGCCAGTAGACATTTTTTAGCACGCTCGATACCCGTGGTATGGTAGTGCGAAGCATATAAATCTCACACGTATTTGAATATTCAGTGCTCTATGAAGTTTCCAAGACTTGGAACAGTCAGAATGTTCGGGGGCCCATGTACTGTGATAGTTACCATTTGCTATGCGTCGAGTACGGCAAGTATGTTCCCGCAGCCCGCAGAGTATACTTGACAGCCAGCCGACGCAAATATTCATTGGCATCAGTCCAACCATGTCGGAATCACTTCGGCTACAAGCACTGGAAGGAATCTGGAACCAGGGCACCCTGTATACCCAAATGAATGCCGGGATAGGGCACCAATCTACGCAAATGATGTTCCGTCGGCCTTTCTGCGGCAGGCCCATCTTGCGGGAACACGGTCACGTGTAATTGTCCCGCACCCTGACGGTCACGTGTATTAGTCAGACAGTCCGGAGCGGAAGAAGTGGGATCCGCGAATTGTCGAACCCACAAAAAAAGAGCGGTAACAGGCTTTTTCGATTCTATCCCATTCCCAAGACAAGGCCGGAGCGCATTCTCTCTACAACAAAACCACATTCAACCTTTAGGTATGTGGTTTCTCATCAATAGCCATGGCTGAGATGACGACTTGCTCTTGACCATTGCCATTTTATCTGGCTTTCGGTCGAGTGCAGTTGATCATTTTAGCAGAGCTTGGCTTGAAAAAAGAACCTTTGCTGATTCATATTGATCACGCAGAAGTTTAGTCTTCGACAGCGTAACGATGGCCCCCAAGAGCAAGAAGACCGGTGACACCATCAACTCGCGCCTGGCGCTTGTTATGAAGTCCGGAAAGGGTATGTTTTCGGAATTGGATGTTTCGCAAAAGGGCCGATCGCTAACTATTCTCTCTCAGTCACCCTTGGCTACAAGTCCACCATCAAGACCCTCCGCTCCGGCAAGGCCAAGCTGGTCATCATCGCTGCCAACACTCCTCCCCTCCGCAAGAGTGAGCTCGAGTACTACGCCATGCTTGCCAAGACCCCCGTTCACCACTTCTCTGGTAACAACGTGAGTAAACCCTTTGTCGTCGATTCGTTTGATGCGGTCTCTTTGGCACAGTGAATGCGTCACGAGGGAGCAGCCGCATTAGGTGCGGAATCGATTGCTAACTCTCTGATATAGATCGAGCTTGGTACTGCTTGCGGTAAGCTCTTCCGCACTAGCACCATGACCATCCTCGACGCTGGTGACTCCGACATCCTCTCCAGCCAGTAGGTGTAAGGACCGTGCCAATGACTTTCATGTTATGTCTGAATGGGTTGAATGTTGTGAGATGTGATACTCTCATGGCAAGCTTTAGAAGATAATGACAAGAAAAAACCTTCACACCGAACCATGCGCACTTGCAATAGAATGCCGCGTAGGAAGAAAAGACTGAGGTGGTTCAGACCTTACTGTAAGAGCGTAGGCGTACTATTAAGCGGAGGACTGCAGACCGCCAATGACAGCAGATCTCACTTCTGGCTTAACCACCACCACCACCACCACCCAACCTGACTCCCGAGTTCTGACTCACGCGAATGACACCATAACTACTAATCAAACGCCTCCGTTCATTAGAAATCAAGATCATTGATCCTGAAACTTTGAAATCACCCGACCACTGGCTAAAATCTCTCAGTCTCTGACAAATGCGTCATGGGGAGCTACGGCCGTGATTGGCGGAGAGGCTAGGGTTTAGGGCTGCGCCACTCGGTAGTGGGCGGGCGGATTGCTTGGAAATCAACGTCGAAACTGTCTTGCCCGCCGGCCCGCGAGGAAGACCTTTTTCCTTTTCTCCCTTGGACCTCCCGACACCACCTTTCTCGACAACCCACCCAGGAAGCCAACTTCACCAACCGTCAAAATGGCCCGCCGTCCCGCGAGATGTTACCGCTACTGCAAGAACAAGGTGCGTTGAGAGAGACACAGAGGGGAGAGATGCTTGTTTGGAATATTGGCTTTTGTGTGTGTTTGATCGGGAAGGGATCTCTTTGCCTCAGTTGTGGGGTGGAGATGTGAGAAGGACAGAACAACCGCGTCACGAAAGGGGAAGAGGCACGCGATGGGATGCGCATCAGATTTCTTTGCTCTTTTGTCGGGGAAACAAGCAACAACGGGGGAGTTCGAAAGAAGATAACTAACATGTTGCATCACAGCCCTACCCTAAGTCCCGGTTCAACCGTGGTGTTCCCGACCCCAAGATCCGTATCTTCGATCTGGGACGTAAGAAGGCCAACGTCGATGACTTCCCCCTCTGCGTTCACCTCGTCTCCAACGAGTACGAGCAGCTGTCCTCCGAGGCCCTCGAAGCCGCCCGTATTTGCGCCAACAAGTATGTTACCGCACACCGAGGAATTACCACGACCCGGACAAGAGACAAGAAATAACTAATGAAAACAATAGGTACCTCGTGAAGATCGCTGGTAAGGAAGGTTTCCACCTCCGCGTCCGCGTCCACCCCTTCCACGTCATCCGTATCAACAAGATGTTGTCGTGCGCCGGAGCCGATCGTCTCCAGACTGGTATGCGTGGTGCCTTCGGTAAGCCCCAGGGTACCGTCGCCCGTGTGAACATCGGCCAGATCATCCTGTCCGTCCGCACCCGTGACTCCAACCGCGCCACCGCCATCGAGGCCCTCCGCCGCTCCATGTACAAGTTCCCCGGTCGCCAGAAGATCATTGTCTCCAAGAACTGGGGTTTCACCCCCGTCCGCCGCGAGGACTACGTCCAGCTCCGCCAGGAGGGCAAGCTCAAGCAGGACGGTGCCTACGTCCAGTTCCTCCGTGGCCACGGTCTCATCGAGGAGAACATGAAGCGTTTCCCCGACGCCTTCGAGAACCTGTCCCAGGCTTAGATTCCCTATGGGTGTCTGGCTAGAGAGAATAGGTGTTTGTTAGGTAGTGGGAAAAAGAATGTTTATTAGCATCTTCTCGTGTTCTTTTTTTTTTCTATAATGTGATCGGAACCCCTTGAGACCATGATTCTTTTCCGCCCTCTTTCGTTGAGGAAGCACCATCTATCCTCCACGCCTAGACCTTTCTACAACTGTTTTTCCAAAGTCCCTGTAGAGGTATACTAGCGAGTCAATAATAACGTAGAACTCTTTTCTCACAATCGCGTAAATCCGCCCGATCCCCGACTTAAGCACGCCATTACGAATCAAGTCTTGTACCCCTGCTCATTGTCTAACTTCACGGAACTGAGCCGAATTGTGATCAGATCTGGGACCCGGCTCAGCCTGATCTTATCTCTCCTGTAATCATCTGCACCAGTACACAAGGATAGCAGTAACAACAGCACGTATGCGATCGGTCTCTCCCTTGCATGGGGTCTTTAAGATTCTCATAATATGTGTCGCTTCGTGATGGGCTAGGTAGATTTCTTGTTTGTCCTGAGCTAAGATTGCAGTTTCGACCCGGAGCGTCCGAGTCGATATATATACTGTTCGTGGGATAGATTGGCCTCGATTATCCCACGGCAAGGGCACTGCTATGGATCACTTGTCTTACCTGGCACCAGCAGCAACCGTCGTAGAGCTAGCAGGCCTCACGAGTTACACGCGGTAGGGCTAGATTTCGTAGACATCTAATAAGAGATCAGTTCTTCATCGAAATTGTGAATCAATCATGTCATTTCATTGTGATATTCCTTGGCTTTGCACCATTCATGTATGCATGCGGATAAATGTCTATCCCACCTAGACCCTGACGCCCGCCGATTCATGTCCCTGTTGCAACCACCTACAGATAGAGTATATCACCTTCCTAGCAGCTTGCACCTGCCAAGTTCGCCGCCGATGGAATCCCCTCTATCCCCGCTCTAAATGATGACGATAATGATAGGAATTGTACAGTAGATGAGATGGTCCCAATGATAGAAAACAGCCAGGTATGTACTCAAAAAGTGATGATCCAGAAAATTGTAATAAAAATGTATGCGATTACCCAAAGCATAATCCCAAGGTTGATCACCAGGACTCCCCGTTCAAACATAATGGTAGCAATACTTTCGATGGCCAGCATGTAATATGTGATGTAAGAATAAAAAAGAACGCAAGAAAGACACCCTCAGGAACCCGATCAGACATCGCCCCAGGCTCCTATTCCAGCTGCAACGGGCGCGACCGCACTTCCGCTGTCCACGCTCCCTCCGATGTCCCAGTAATTTCGACTGGAGCCCGTCATTGTCCGACGGCTGGAAATAGCAGACATCTTCGCGCTTTGGCTCGCACAGCTGGAGCTGGGACGACGGAATCGTTGGCGGAGGACGGGTGGCGAGACGCCTACTGGTCCGGAATGATGAGAAGAGTACTGGGACTGGCGTCGAATCTGTGCCTGAGAACGTGCGTGTGCGCGCGCAACCAGGGGGTGGTGTTGGCGGATGATCGCGGCACGGTGAGAAGCATCCTGCGGAGGCCGCCGCGAGGTGTCGTGAATTGAATCTGAATTATTGTCTCTTTGGCTGAAGCGGTTACGTAGATAGCGAAAGACCACCGAGACGTCTAAATCATGCTCCCAATACTCTCTTTCTTGCTGTATGCGCGCCGACTCAGAGAACGAATCGCCTGCTGAGTTGCCGCCGCCACGGGTCAGATCGTCATCATCTTCGATGCCCCATAGAGCCGCGTGCTCTCGGCTGCTGGGAACTTGCAGAGTGGGGGTGAAATGGGGCGAAGATATTGATTCCGCGTTGTCTGTTGACTCGATCAGGGTCGCAGGGTCTGCTGAAGCGGATAATTTATGATCTTCCTCGGGCAGGCGTCCCAACGGAATACCGGCATATTGATTCGGAATCTCATTTGACAAGTTGAGATAGGTTGTGAAAGCGCCAGGATGCTCACAGAATTGGTGAACGAGAATGCCTAACTCGCGCGCAATGCGCTGAAGGAGCTTGTTCTTCCACGGCGGATTGTCTTCTGACGTTTGCTCCAACTCCCGGTTAATAGCCTCGTCGATATTGAAACCATCATCCGACCTCGCCGATGCGTGCGTCTCACCGTCCTCAGTAGACGGCAACGACTCCCCGAAGATAACAGAGAGCAAGGAATCGTCGATCCCGATCAGGTCTCGAATTACCTTGCGAGTAATGCGCTGCCACAAAGATTCATCCTTGTCGGTTTCCTGTTCCGTTGTTGCAGAAGACGCAGATGCCTGGGACGCTTCTGGAGTCCTTAGATTGTCCCGGAGAGCCTCTACATGCGGAACCACTTGCTCAGCCTGTCCACTAAGACGGCTAGCACGACTATCACGGCGCCTTCGGGTCGCCTTCTCAATCTCGTGCAAGAGTGCCCGGCTCTGTTCCATCCTCCACTTCTCAATACGTTGCCATCGTTCTCTCTCCACATCAGCTTCTTCATCGCGCGTGATCGAATCCAGCCGACGTTGTATGCTAGAACGCCGCCGCGGCCGTAAGTCTGGTCTGCGATGAGGATTGAACTGTTCGTGTTGCCACAGCTGATGTTGTACCGTCTCGCTAGAGGCTTGAAAGCTACCTAGACCATCGTGAGCCGGCAGTGTGACAGGTGCCCCGTGGTCGTCTTGTACAACAGACGGTGCCCGAAAAGCGTGGAGCCCATCATCTAGACTATCGAGTTCGGTTCCGTCGTCATCTAATGGCTCATCGAGGCCGCCGGCGCCTGTCTCGCTTTCCGGATCAACAGCTGATCGAGTGGCCGTGCCAAATGAACCAAAATCACTCAAGCGGGCATTTGTTCGCGGCGTGCGATCGGTGGAAATGGTATGGGTGCGGGCGATGGTGGAAGGCTGTCGGGTCGGGGAGAAAAGCACCCATTCTGTCGCATCGTGCTCCGGTAGCTGCGATAAGGAAGAAGGGACATCAAGAGCCGGCGACGGCAAGGAATGCGAATATGAAGGACGACGACGGGGAACTTGTGGTGGTAGACGAAAAGCCATGGGTTGACAGCCCGGTGTAGATGGGTTGAAGGGGATCAATTTCGTGGGGGGAAGGAGAGATAAGATGGCACTTTATCGATCGCGGCAGATCTTCCCCGCGTGACGAACAGAGGGGGCGCGGAAGAGATTCTTGGGAGTAGATGAGAAGGACGCGCGGCAAAATGAGGTCGTAGATAATATGAGGGTGAAAAGAAGAGGAAGGATGGTAGATATGGATTCTGAAACGGGACAAGAGGTATTCTAGACAGGGAGAAAACCCCGAAACAGAAGATGATCAGTCCGATAGCGGTGTATTGTTTGGGGGGAAAAGGGCTGGTGATGAATTACGGATGACGTGGGATTGGGTTGTATGAGATAAGAATGAAGGTTATGGCGTGGAGTATTCCTCCGACACCCACCCGAAAGAAAAAAGGAGAGAGTTTGTTTCTTCTCTCCCCCACCACACTCTTGTGGCACAATCCAACAAGAAAGGATAAAAGGGAAGAATAGAAGAAGCAAGGCAATGGAGGCAGGAAAGAAGAAGATGTTGTAAGCACGAAGAAGAAACGGATGATGTGATGGATGGCTGTCACCAGACCCGTTGGGGAAGGCACAATTTCAAACTTGAACAAAGAAACAATATGATTACTCGCTCTTTCGCATCGATACGAGTCTCCTTGGGCTAAACTAATGGATGAAAAATTACTTACTAGTGATAATACTATTGTGACGGAGAGCGGAACCACGCCTCTACGAGTATCTTAGCATTGACTGACTATTGGCTTCAAATCTGAATGATCGGATGATCGACGGATGTCCGTGATATAGGTTACTGAGTACTTCCGTCTACATCTCCATCTCCATCTGCATCTGTATCTGTATCTGTCGCCAGCTCATCACAGCCACAAGTACACTCGAAACGAGTCTCAAACAATCATGTTTCTCTGCTCTCGCTTAAGACTTGCCTGTCACCCTCCCCCTCCTTCTCAACCAAGGATCAGCCCAGTGCTGATCATCCCACTTTCGCTTTCCATCTCCTCTGATCTCAACGACATGTCATCCTTGATCTGCCCTGCATGGTTCAAAGCAAGCTGACTGCCTGTCAAGGGGGGCAGCCAAGCCCCCACTTCCTACGCGAGGTCAACTTCCATCCTTCATCTGGAAAGCCGGGTATTATACGTCTATCAGGAGCTGCAACCATCTATTTCTATTTACAGGTGGGGCTGCAGGCTGGGAACCTCACGCAGAGATACGGAGCAAGAACTTCTACCCAGACAACGCTTCTCCGACCCAATCCATCTGCACGGCACTCACCCCACGCGCGTAACTACGGTTCGTGAAGACAAACTCGTTGTACAGGATTGCCTCCACCTTCTTCCCAAACAACACGCTTGATGGGTGGATCGCCACGGTCTGGTTCCCCACCACCGTACGATAGCTGCCATCTGGTACAAGGCGTGCCGTATTCGTAGCGAAACCTCGAAGGAAACTTTTCAGAATGAACATTGGGGAGGAGGAATTGATGCTGGTGGTGGAAGTACCCCCCCGGGTATCGTTGGGGAGAAGCTTGGCTTGCCGGCACTGGGCGGTAAGTTGTTTGCGAACATCCTGTGGCAGGCATGATGGTTAGTGGAAAATCGTGGCCCGCAACCCATCACTACCTCGCTAATCACACAAGGGGAAACGTACCATAACAGATTGCATGGCCCGATGGGAGACGAGATGTCTCTCAGCCCATGCTTTCCGATCCGTGTTCTCGGCAGCGTAAGCCTGTACTGTAGCCAGCATCGTGAGATGATCACCTTCTCTCCGATACAGATCCCGTCGCGCAACCTCCGCCTCTTCTTTCTTTTCCTCCGAGGTCGTGTTCAGGAAAATGTTCTCAACACTGAGACATGAGATAACATCAATGACATCTAGTAGGCAGTCCGTCCCGAATTCTGAAGCGGCCAGCAGCACCCGTCCCAGCGTCGGCGTAAGAGGAAGCTTGGCAATGTGTTTTCCGATCGAGCTAATTTGGCCGGTCTCTTCCAAGGCATCAATGCTCAGCAGCTGCAGCAATGCCTTCTCCAGAGACTCTCGTGGAGGCCGTGTCAGGAATGGGAATCCCATAATATCATCGACACCGCGAGCCTTCATGTTGAGTAATGCCTGACTCAAATCACAACGGAGAATCTCCGGAGTATTGGTTTCATCCAAAGCCAGATAGTCCTTCTCGGTATAGAGTCGGTAACACGAACCGGGCGCTTCACGACCGGCACGACCCTTACGTTGAATCGCAGCCGACTTGGAGATCGGCTTGACCAACAAGGAATCCAGTCCGAGACGTGAGCGGAATTGCTTGACCTTGGCCTTGCCACAATCGACAACATGCCGCACTCCAGAAACCGTGACGGAGGTTTCAGCGATGTTCGTGGCCAAAATAATCTTGCGAGTTCGAGGCGGCGCAGGCAGAAAGACTCGTTGCTGAGCAGCTTGTGGAAGGGCTGCGAACAGCGGCAGAACCTGGATCTTAGGCAGGGCAGGGTCCATTCCGACGGCATACTCATTCACAAGATTCTCGAGCGCTTCCACCGTCTCCTGTCCAGTGAGGAACACCAGAATATCACCGGGTAGAGGCTCTTTGTAATGGATATTAAAAATCACCTTGAGCGCTGCATCGACGAAATCATGCACGGGCTCTGGCGAATAGATGACCTTCACAGGAAATTGACGACCCTTGATATGGCACGCAGAGATGCCCTCTTCTTCCTTCTTGCCTTCAGAGGGGTTGCCTGTTACGCTGTTCTCCTCCGTAGTCCCTTCAATAGCACGCCGAGGTTGTAATCCCTCCTTGAAGAAGCCCATGAGACTCTCCATGTCAACCGTAGCACTCATGACCACGACCTTCAAGGGCACCCCTCCTCGACCCTCGAGCTTGCCTGACACCATATTCCTCAAAAACCCCAGCACCTGATCAACATTGACACCACGCTCGTGTACCTCATCCACCACAATGGCACTATACTTGGTCAACCACGGATCATGCAGCATCTCCTGTAGCAGCATTCCCTCCGTCAAGAACTTGACCTGCGTACTCGGCGACGTCGACGTATCAAACCGAACGGCATAGCCGACCTTACTCGCTGGAGAGGAGTTTCCCAATGGCGTACCCATCTCCTCCGCCACGCGCCTCGCCAACGAGATCGCCGCCACCCTTCTGGGCTGCGTGATGGCGATGCACCCGCCCACCGGGACCTCCTTCTTCGACCCATCCTCCGCCTTCACAGTTGTCTTGACAGACCGACACCACTTCTCCGTCACCAGAAACTGGGGTATCTGCGTACTCTTTCCGCTACCCGTCTCTCCGATCAACAGCATCACATCATTCCGGCGGAGGTGCGCGCGTATCTCGTCCGCGTGCGGGAAGATCGGGAGGTTCTTGCGTAGGTGGTAGAGGGCCTGGGCCTTCTCGCGCAGCGGGCCGTAGTTATTCTTCGCGCCCCCCAACCCTTGTTTCAATTTGTTGTTCGAGTTGTTGTTGTTGCGGTGGTGCGGTAGTGGCTTTCGATTGTTGTGATCCGGGCCTTCTTCTCCCTCTTCCTTCAAGTTGTGTTTCTGCTTCTTCGTGCGTCCGGACGCTTTTCCGTCCCCATTCACACCGTTGCTCTCAACCGGTTTCGACTCCGTAGCCCCTTCGCCCCGGTTCTCTTTCGTCTTCTTGGTTGTCGCTGTCGCCGTCGCGGACCCTGACTCCTGCGCAGCAGCAGCGTTGGAATCTCCAACCTTCCGCTTCTTGTTCTTCTTCTGCTTCTTCACTCCGTCTTCCGTATCGTCCACTCCGGATTCCTTCCGTTTCGTCGGGACAGATTGCGATTGCGATTGCGTAGCTGCTTCCTGAGGCTCAGATTTGCGGCTGCTGACGGTAATGGCGTTGTCCTCGTCGTCGAAGACGGTGCGGACCCTTTCGGGCATTTTCGCGGGGTTAAAGCTTGACTAAAATTAAGGATATCTCAGAATGAACGATCAACAGAAATATGCTATACTCGTGATCTCATGTCGTGTAAATTGCGGATTTTTCTTGCGGAGTTCCCCAAGGCGGCGGAGGTTTACCAAAACTTCTCCCCGAGAATTTTCGCTGGGTCTGGATGTGTGCTTATCGATAAGGCGGCTTGGCGGTGAGATCACCCAGGATGATAAGGAGATCTTGGGTTTCGGGACGGGGCCAGGAGTCAGGTGCCGAACGATACTGCAACGGGCTTTGGCAAGGCTCTTTGCTAATGAGTGCGTTTGAGGTCAATTCCTTATTCTCTACTGTCTAGACGAAAGATCTGATAGTGCTGGTTCCTGTCATTGGCATTCATCTTGTATATATCTCTATCAAGGAATCTATTGGCCAACATAGATATCATATCATATCGAGGTCCTTCGTGTCGACTGGCATATAATCCACAACAAATTGAAACGATTGATTCTTAATTTCATGTGCTCAATGCATTCCCCATCCCCGAACGCGCCGGAATACAAATGAGCGGTCATTCTTGAGGCCAAACTCGGCCCAGTCATCAGTGAGTTTGTTATAGCTCCAGTACCCCTTCCAGGCCAACTTCGTGTTTTTCGACGGATTCGGTGGCGAGACGTTCGGATGATTCGATTTGCCGACCGGTGTCGAACGGAGCGACAGCTGCAGAAGGTACATGTACTTCGGACCTACGCCTTCGGTTTCGATGATAAGATCCCGCGGATCGGATTGAGACGCCGCCGCCTTGTCCGGCAAGGACTCGTATGCAGACGGGACTTCGCTCTGCGCGTCTTCCGAGGACGAATCGGAATCGGAAACCGGCTTGGTCAAGCGCCAGCGACCCCGATGGGCGTGTCTCAACGCTTCCAGCGCGACATGAGGGATTGGGTCTGTGGCTTCCGCGGCTCCAGCTGCATCCGAGGTGTGGCGGGGATGTTGTTTCTGTGTCGTCGCTCGGGCGGCCTTGACGTTCTCTTTGCTGATGTGAGGGACCACGTCTCGGGGTTCCACTGTCGTAAGCAAGTAGACGACGGATCCGTCCGGATAGAAGCGGAGGTATCGGTAGTAGGTGACGATATGGATCGGGCTGTTCCATGAAACATTCTGGTACGCTGCAGCTGCACCTGGACGGGTATAGTTGACCGTGCTAATGTAGATACCCGTGTACCGGATCCGAGGGAAAACTTGGAAAACCTCACTCCAGGAAGAAAAAGGTTCAGGAATCTGAACAGGCACTGCTTGAGGGAACGGCGTGTAGCGTGTTGCTAGCGTGTATTCTGGGTTGCCGTGAAGATCGCATGCAAATGAATAGTGCATGGATTTGAAACCAAACTCTGAGCCCTGACACAATCGCCTCCAGATATGCTGCTCATGCGCAAAATGGTATGCGAAGCGCTTGCAGACAAGCGCCATCCGACAGAGCGTCGCCGGGTCCATCAGCGCCACATGCCTGAATATCTCGACTAGCACCTCCGATGGCACATGAGAGATAGGACATGGGGGAGGGGGCGTGTTCTCGATCAGCGGCTCTGCTTGAGGGATCGGGAGATGGGCGAAAGATGCGATGAGCTCCGGGGTCGGTAGCATGGGGGTCTCATCTTTGGATTGCTGATCTGCTGGCTTGCCAGTTGTACCGCCGGAAGTAGGAGCCTGAGCAGGTTTCTTCCACGCCGCGGCAAAGTACTTGTTACGGTATGTTTTATCGACCGCTGAGTCCAACTAAGGAAGAAAGACTCAAGTCAGTAAAGTCTGGGATATATTGGGCGCCTGAATCGTTCTCACTCTGTATGCTTTGCGGTAGTGCTGTACACTGTCTCCTAGCTTGCCCTCTGCCTCTTTCTCAACCGCTCGCTCGAAGTGCTCAAGAGCCGACTTGGGTTCTTCTCGAGACGCTGGGGCGTGAAAAGCATCTTCATCCGAGGGTTGCACATTTAAGTGACCCATTCCATGGATGATCTCACCATGATCGACTGAGGCCGCGCCTCCGTGCTCTTCTTCATGCTGCGATGCCTCATGACGGGTAGATGGAAACTGGCTGGTCGGGGCGGTCGGAGGCTTGGATGGCCTTGGTTGCGCAGGGGCAGGTCTAGTATGCTTCGTCCGTTGCGCAACTTCCTCGCGCCACTGGCGTCGAAAGGACTCGAGTTCGGCGTTGTCCTCCATTCTCGCAGTTAAATATGACAAGTTCGGCGAATGGATCCCCAGACCGATAAGCGGGCTAGTGTGGGACTTGAAACGCCGCGACCGAGGAAAGCTCAACTCGAGGAGCAATGGGATGGAAGATGAAGGCTATCGGAGACAGAAGCAGCAAGTAGAGTAGAGTTATAGGAGTAAGCATTTATGCATCCATTTTATAATTGTAGCAATCGACAAGCGATCAGATTTGACCTGCAGGCGGGGACTCGATTAGGTCGAAAAGGCAAAAATGTAGGAGAGGGACCGATGGCTTATCAATATTATCTCCGACCCTTAACCTGTTAGTCTTTGGTCCAGCCGCCACCGCCGACCGCCGACGTCCCGAGCGCGCTTTTTCTCTGACGCATTTGTTTCTCCCCTCTTACGTCTGTTGCAGATCCTCGACGCAATCCTACCTTGCTGCTTCCACACCCACGCCATCCCGGAAATCTCAGTCGGCTACGCGAATCCGAAGTGCAGACCGACTGATTATCGCCAGCTATAAGGGTGTCCCACTTCCACACTTACTCGCGCTCGTTGATTGAATGTCCGCAATCAAGTCTGAAGTTGCGCCGGGAGACCGATATCGCTCGAACGACTTGACCAATTTACAAGGGGGCTCGACAGAGTCATGGCAATCAGCTAGCCAGTCAACAATGGCGACTACTTCTGGAACGGGGAATGCCCCAGCTCTGGACGCCAAACCCCCCAAAGATGATGTTTCACTTTCTCAGAAGATGGTTTCTGCCACAACAGGCAGTATTCTCACATCTCTGCTAGGTACGCCACTCTGCGAACCTTACCAATCTAATAGGGCTCGGGAAGATGCTAACTCGAACTTTTAGCCACTCCCCTCGATGTCGTTCGAGTCCGCTTGCAATCCCAGTCCTCAACTAAAAGCCTGCCTCCTTTTGCCTCCCACACTACACACTCGTTAAAGAACGTTCCTTCGGATCTTGGGGTCACGGCTTGCTGCCGGGAGGTCTTTTGGATTGGTCAGAATGCACAGATGTGTGTCGCCGGGCCTGGCACCGGAGCCCTAGGCGCCACATCGTCGATGACGGAGTGCGCGGTGGAAGAGACTCAGCGACGAACGTTCACCTCAACTCTGGATGGATTACGAAAAATCGCTCGGAATGAAGGTGTACTGACCCTCTGGCGTGGACTCAGCCCCACATTGATGATGGGAATTCCGGCAAATATCATATATTTTGCTGGGTACGACTGGTTGCGAGCTGATGATAAGAGCCCCATCAAAGCTCTCGTTCCTGTCGCATATGCTCCATTGGTTGCAGGTTCAGTAGCAAGGACCGCTGCCGCATCCGCCATTAGTCCGATCGAGATGTTCCGAACGCGACTTCAAGCTACTCCTGGCACAGGTGCAGGCCATTTCAAGGCTACGCTTGAAGGTTTGCACCAGATGGTCCGGGCCAATGGTTATAGCTCGTTGTGGAGAGGGTTAACCCTTACCATGTGGCGAGATGTTCCTTTCTCTGGCCTTTACTGGTGGGGTTATGAAGAGGTCAAGAACTACTTCATTGACGCCCGCAAGAAAGCCTACTTGAACCGCCTGCCACATGATTTCTCATTCTCCAGTCACCAAACACCGCACGACCTTGATACCCCCACATTCCTCGATAGCTTTATCGCAGGAGCCTCATCCGGTTCCCTTGCGGCTTTCGTTACTACCCCGTTTGACGTTGGCAAGACACGTCAACAAGTTTTCCGACACATGGGCGACGAAGCATCGAGCGCCCTTGGAGGCAGCACGAAGGGGACACTGCATCCCGAACAACTTCCCTTACCCAAATTCCTGATGCACATATTCCGTGAAGAAGGTATGGCGGGACTCTTCCGTGGTTGGGTTGCACGGTGCCTCAAAGTCGCCCCCGCTTGCGCTATCATGATTTCATCCTATGAGCTTGGAAAGAAGATGGCACGAAATGTCAATGAACGAACTCGCTCTGCAGACGAAGCTGCCTCCTCTGATTATATTTAAACAAGACTTCTCACGCTTTACAAGGACATGGTGATTATGTTCTCACTTACATCTCAATACTTATACAAAGCCAGCCTTGGAGCAAAATACCCCCCTGAATCTGGTTAATCATTGACAGATATCATCTCTACTCTCTACCATTACCTGGCTGGGTACTCTTCTAGTTTCGTGTTCCAGTGATGTCGCATTCAGCCTGAACCATAGACACATTTTCTGACCTTCTATCTCTTCATTTTCGTTACATTTTCTCCCATCTGCCTCATTTGTATCCTTACTTTGCATGGCGCTGAAAAAGGGCGGGCTCGTGTTTCTGGGTTACAACACCGTTTTTGATTCATGTACAACATCCTATTCCCGATAGAGCGACACAGAATCTTCCTTCCTTATGTCTATATGATTCTTGTGCGATGGCTATTGTGCCGAGTATATATGCAGAATTGTCTAATGCCAGATTGAATGACAAAGGCCCCTTGTAAGTATAACGTGTATTAAGACTTTATTAAACTGGGAGAGGTATTTATACTTCTCAAAGAATGAATCAGTCAAACTTTAACTTGTGCTTACAGCTGACTATATTGAAAGGCACTTCGGAGTTTGTTGGCTTCCCGCTTGGTCATAAGGCTGAGGGGCACGGTGACAAGGCTGTCTTAGACTCAGCCGGGCTAAGTCACCTGCTCTAAAGGAGTCAACAATGTGTGTGTCAGATGATGGTGATTGCCGCTACTTCTATTCTTACTTCTATCCTTAAAGACCCCCATTCACCTCCTTCCTACAGACATCTTTCCCTCTCACTTCAAGATGCCTCAGCCCTACAGCTTACTTGAAAGGTAAGTGCATCATGGCAGTTCTCAACGATGAACGGCGGCTCCAGATCGAGACGGCAGTCGAGTAAGCAAATATCGGTCCCCCTGTCTTTCAACTTGTGACAGAAATGATGCTCATATGAAATGGGACTTTAGTATCGTCGCCGTTCCAGCAATAGGCGCAGACCCGGAAAAAACGTGGATCGATGAAGATGCAAAGGCGCCTTGGCTTCTCTCCGAACTGACAAAATTCATACAAAATGTCCGCGTGATATTGATCGACCATGGCCGAATGGGACCACAAGATGATCTGGAATCGTTAGCCCATAGATTACTAAAGCAACTTCTGCAGGAACGCCAGGCAACAGTATGAATTCTCCGCCTTGTTCTCAATTACCGTATTGAAGCTTATATAGTTGACCGTAACTTAGAGTCCACGACGACCTATTTTTTTCATCTGCCATAGCACGGGTGGTCTCGTCGCTAAAGCAGCGCTTGTCGCAGCTAGCCAAAAAACATCGAACATCGAATCAATATGGTCGAGTTGTTATGGGATTGCATTTTTGGCGAGCCCGCATTTTGGCTCGAGCTACCTTTCCGCACCTGAGTTCACCAATAGCATTCACCACTTGATGCGACTCAAGCATCATATTCCACTAGGGATGCAAGAGCTATTCAAGCCGAGACATCCGTATCTGCTACGCCTATGGAGTCAATTCAAGTCTATCTCAGCAGACATGAAGCTTTGGTCCTTCCTCGAGACGCTTGACTCGGAAATCAGCATCGTTGACCACGAAACAGGAACTGCTGTAGAAATGCACGTTCCCATCACTTCGATACGATCAGGAATTCTGGATTTCGAGCACGAGAAAGTCATCCCTTTAACAGCCGATCATATCGGAACTGCTTGCTTCAAGGGTCAAGAGCTAACGACGAGGTTAAACTTCATCAATGAGCTCCAGTCATCTATCTCCATGGCTGTAAGGCTGTCTAAGATGAACGACGCTCCTATGGGTGTAGATCAGGAAGTCATGATCCAGGTAAGCGGTTTCTTTGAAGACACAGCCCGGCCGCACTGGACGTCTTTGGCCATGTCGGGGTAGTGTCGCATTGCATACATCCAGATTTGACGGTATCCGGACGTTATACATTCAGTAGTAGATCCGCGTTGTCGGCGAAAAGTAGTTTCCGACGTCTGGACCAGATAGTCACCGTCACCGTGACGGGGCCGAAAGCTGTGGACTAGTGCACTCCGGACTGTTGGACGCTGCTTGTTCAGAACGACCAAGCGCTTCACGGCATTGGCGCAGAGTTCAAGGTATGAGATGTCGCGGAAAAAGGTATGAAGGGAGGGGATGATGCCATCGCAAGCTTCTTTTGACCGTAGGTTCTCCCATATTGAGGCGCGTTCGGATCGACTAAAGTTCGAAAAGACCTCTCCGCTGAGGATTTTACCCTTCACGGTCGTCCAATCAACTTTGGACGCTCGAGGGGCGTATAGCTGCAGCTCGTCCACCGTATGGGTGTCAATACGGGCCATCCAGATGCGGTCATGATTGGCAAGGGCGGCCCAGAAGGTCCAAATAACTCGCAGATAGTGAACGATCTCCTAGTAAGAGCGGTAAGCAGACACAGTTAGAGCTAGCTGTGAGGAGAGACGAACTTCATCGCACTTCAGCGCGAATACGCTATTCAAGGAGCCCAAGCTCATTCCCTTCCAGAGCCCGGAGATGGGCAGTAATGCGTCGAAGCCTGCACAAATGAAGGTATTTTCTTGGGAAAAGAGCTGTCGTAGCCGCTTGGCTTTGTTCGGTGATAGCCGCGACCACCAGCGGTTTTGAAAGAGGGCATTGCTCTCATGCTGATACTGTCGGATTTTTCGGTACACTTCTCCGTCGGTCGGGTGTCTTTCATTCGCGTATTCGTCCACGAGAGCATGCTGTAGGTCCTGGCTAATATCTGCACTCTACGGTCAGACTTAGTAGAAATCAGGTGTGGGCGAGTCAGACCGTCCAGATATAAGTCGACAATCCACCACTGGTCTGAGGGGGCTAGAGTTTCCTCGCCAGCCTTGAGTCTGTGTTGCCCATGGAGGCACTGTACAGGGTGTCCAGAGAAACGGAGGTGGGGGTACTGTCGTTGATGAGATTTCAACTCTTCAGGGGTTAGTCCTGCGTCGTGGCAGGCTCTCGTGAGGTGTCGCCTTGAGACTATTGCGGTGACGTGGTTTCGGATATCTAGTCGCTGACATCCATCCTTAAGAAATATATGACACAGTCGCTCCACGTTCTTTTCATCGATCGTCCGATCAACCGATGGGTGGAGAGAGATTTCGGTGAGATTGATTTTGGCTGTACCTTGGTATTTTAGCTGCCGTTCTGTGGCTAGTTGCCGCTCGGTATCTGTCAACATGAAGTCCATACTGATCTGGCCAGGACGTTGCCAAGTCTTCTTTGGATTTGACAAACCTACATTTGGGAAAATAGAGGTATTTATAATTTACGTTGAACTTAATTCAAATTCCACGCTAGTTTGCTGGGCACAGATAGGTGCCATTCTCTGCAACCTTCTACGGGCCCTCTTATATATGAGACATCCGCCCTAAAGTTGAGGCCCTCGACATATACCCGCTGCCTTCCTGTCGCGCTCATAAGCAGCCCATCTGTAGCAGTCTTCCAGACATCATACACCATGGATAGACCTGTGACCCAGATCTTCGCCGCTTCTCTCCCGGTTAAGCGATCTGCTCCTTCTGCACCCACGCCAAAGGTCGAGCCTAAGGAGTCTCAAAGACCGATCAACGCTAGGCCGACTAAGAAGGCGAAAGAGGACGTAGGGCAAGAAATATCTAGGAATGTCCTGCGCGACCATGCACAAGATCTTCATCAGAGCAGCGTCCGAAGCGACGGTCTGGCAGCTCAACCGCTCTCTATTAAGAGAGAGTCTCCTTGGCGAACGTTGAAAGATCTATTCACCTGCGATCTTGCAGGCCCCGTCTCTGTCGCTGTTGATGACAAAAACCCGTCTAAAGTGATCGCGGTCCGCGCATTCTCTAAGAAAAAGGCAGATACATGGTTACAGGTACTGGAACAGACTCAACACCCCAACGTCATCTCTGCAAGGCAAATTTTCAAGGACCATGGAATGACATACTTTATTGTTGATGACCTACCTCTGACTTTAGAACACCTGGTTGCCTGCGATGTCTTTCCATCTGAGCTTCAGTTGGCTTCTATACTTGTACAGGTACGGAGAGGCGTGCGAAATAACGGCAGGGAATGTCACTAATTGTGAAAGGTGCTGGACGGAATATTACACTTATTGGAGAGTGGCTTTGAACATGAATCCCTGACGTGTTCCAATACTCTCCTGGGACAGGATGGGATTATTCAAATCGGTATGTGAACAGGTCAACGCGATGCCTTTACATCTCATTACTCACGAGTCCGGACAGCGGCTTTGGAGCACTGCGTTAAACGCCAACCGAATCAATCACAGGAAAAGACTCGCCATGCCCTGGCTAATATAACAATGCTTCTCATGCAGAAGTATCTGAAGGCAGATGGTGTCGTCGGAATGGACAATACTCGCTGGCAGGCGGACCCCATATTGTTCCTGTCAGCAACTCAGTCCGTCTCGACCGTCCAGGAGTTAAAAAAGGTCAGCCAGGCATTCTACGCACGTTGAGAATAGTCTCAGTATCTTACAGATCTACAGCAACCCCTAATTACCAAACACCGCTGGTCTGCAGGGACGTTGATTGGGCTTGCCCGTCTCTGCCTCATCACTACGCGCACTTTTATAACAAAACCCTGGTCCCAGACAAGTAAATGATCATGGATGGGATTCAAGAATTACGTACTTGCGAGATCAATCCCGCTTCACAATTTCAAGTCGCTTTATTCGCGGGTTGGACATTAGTTTGTTTGCCATGTCAAAGCAAATAGGGTATTGAATAGAACCCGAAGCTGTTGGAATATAGTGCGATTGTATGCAACTACTACTGTACTTTTACGTCTGGACCTTTTAGGCCTCATATCACCGTATTGTACCATGCAGCCGGTTGATGATAAGCGGCAGGCCCTGTTGCCAAGCAACCTCAGCCTGATACTCAAGCAAGCAGTGGCATCATCACCAGACCTTATGCGCAGCCAGGACATCCTACCAAATGGGCGCTTGGACAAAAGAACCGCTGAGCCATCACTCGTGTGTCCGGCCGGCAGTACCCCACAAGGGTTTTCCACAGAAATTGTGGAAGTTCATCACTTCACCCCCTGTATAAAATGCGGTCTCGGTTTGGGAATGTTTTCGCACATTTGACGGGCTAAGTCCCCTTAAGTAAGTTTCCCAACACCTCACCCAAGACACATATTGTTGCCTGCAAAGTCTTTCCAGAGCAGCAGCAGCTGGCTGCCAGAATGTCTCAAGACCACTCCCTAAGATAAGTTATGGGCGTAAGAAATGTAAGCACAGGAGGTTGGGTCAGCACAGCCAAAACTTATCAGAGGAGACGATTCATCTCTACGTATACGAGTCAAGGAAAGCAGGCAATGGTATTATTATTTTCTCCGCGATTGGTCTCGTATCATCCGCTGTCGACGAATACGTGATCTCAAGCCTCCTAGAGGCATCTTTGGCCTGTTCACGGGCAACTTTGTGCGTTTTATCCAGCCGTGCTAACAGCTATGCTCCGACATTGGCTGGTTAGGAGCTATCTTCTCAAGGACGTTTTGCATCTGGATCTAAGAAACGAGAAATGGGACAGTCACTGGGCGAGTGTACAGGGGAAATATGGTAAACAGATCAATTCACTTACGGCTAAAGCTGGCATTATCACTATACGACTGCTTTAGCCGGGCCACAGTGAGTGGTTTGGGACTCACGGATATTCTGTGCCACATACCAAAGTACGCCAAATGCCAAGCACTCTACAACCCTGCACCCAGTCACCGAGCAGCTTCCGCAGGATACATCGAAAGGCACCGCATACCGCTGGAACTGGCAGCAAGACATGTGAGCATTGAGGCATGACGTCTTTCCAAGTGTGTCTAAGAAGTGCTAACGCAGCCGTGGCTGGTCGCACGTTACGATCGTGATAGCGATGAAAGACCCAAAGAACAATAATAGGCTCGCCACGATTGTAAATCTTGTCTTTTTCAATTACAGCAGGAAAAAAGGGGGTTGAGTCGCTTGGCAGACAGGACTCGGTAGCAGATGATGAAAGTGCAGGTTTGGTGAACTCATCGTGGAAAGAGAAAGAAACCGTCTCTAGAGTATGAAAGCAGCCGCCACAGAAAGTGACGTTGCCCAAGAGAATGCGGCTGCTTCAGAATGACCCAGCATCATACGTTCACTCCAGCTCTTGCGGCAGTGGGCAAAACGCAAGAAACTGCCTCGAGCTAAGCCTTGGATGAATTACACCTCGGCTCGGGGATCTCCTTTCCTCATTATGTAGACAGACAAGAACTGACTATATCTCCAGAGCTTTTATCACCACCAAACATCCGCTTGGTTTTTCGGTATTTTGAGTTTGTGAGGTATAGTAACGTAAAGCAGCCGCTCTAGCTACTCCCCCAGTGGGTACTCTCAGTAGGCTGATACTCAAGTTCTGCAAGTTTTACACGCTGACGGAGATAGCTCCGTACCGTCTCCCGTATACAGTCTCGATTTTTGCCGGTTGTGGAAGCTAGACAAGAAACTCGTCAAGTGATCAAGCTCCAGAACCCGATGAGACAGGCACTTACCCATCACCAGTGTCCGCCGTTGCTCATCTCGGATATTGGCTAACCTCTTGAGTGGATCCCCAGGTTGCCTCTTGATTAGGGCACCAGATGCCTCGACGGATATTATGCTTCGATAGTCAGGCGCCCCCTGGTAAAAACAGACTCGTTTGTGCTGACCGGAAGGTAATCTTTCCATTGCCAGGTCCCCCATGTAAATGGAGATATTCAAGATCTAAAGCCACAGTTATTGTCAGCTGTCCAGAGGCTGTCCCGCAACATGGTAATACGAACATAGCCATGATCCTTGTGATCATCCTCGAGAAGGTTGTTTAACAAATGCTCAGCGGCGGTAATTTCGGCCCTCGACTCTACCTGCCATACCAGATGCAACCGGCGAGCCTTTATGGTCCGGGTGTAATAACCATAGATCGTCTTCTTCATGTATGGAATTGCTGCTGCGATCCCAAATCCACTTGCAATCACCAAAATACTTTCGTAGTGTCTAACATCTTCACTCATTCCATGAGGGCCAGTGAACAGGGCACAGAAAGAAACCGGGGTTTCTCCAGCTACGGTGGCGTAACGAGCAAGATCCGCAGATAGCCCACGGCATGGTTGCACAAGAAGCTCTATGGTATTCCGTGGGCCTTTCGACCACGATGTGACTGTGAAAGGGTGTGTTTGTGCCCACGACCATGGACTAACTGCCGGCATCCACAGGTTGATATACTGCCCAGCTTCGAGTTGCACAGGTCGAGGTAAGGAAACGCGAATATGGGCAGCTGTCACAACAATATATTCTTTGGATTTCGTTGTGCTGAACGACATCTCAGCCCTTGGAAATCCGCGACCAGCAAATAGCCCGTTTCGATATAAAAGTAGCCCCAGCTGGAAGAGAAAGTTAAGTCCAAACACGCCCAATCCGGTGAAGAAATAAATTTTCGAGAAGCGGCTACGGCCTTGAAGGTGCTGCCAGGTGCCGTAGACAAAGAGCACAGTGAGGAGCTGATGTCCTCTGAGAAAAAGCTCATAAGACCATTGACGAAACCATGGAATGGAAAACACCGCAAGGGCCCCCAGTGAGATCCCAGCCTGTTGTATGTCAGTTGAATTAGGATGACAGCAAGGATAAGGCTTACAATTACGGTAAAAAGGTTATGCAATTCACGAAGCGGAAATATGAATTTCTGTGTTTGAACTACAACAATGATGTGAAATGACAGCAGAGCAACGGACATCCTGCCAGTGGCCCGATGGATCCTACGACAAGTACTCCACTTGATACCTAGAAAGTCAGCTAGGTGGCTTAGATTGATGGTGGACAAAGGGAAAATCTGGTTGATTAGGGCTAGTTCTCCTGCCCGGCTGCCAGCATCGGTGAACGACTCTATTCTGAAGAAGACAAGAAAGATGTTGATTGCAGCATATGATACGTGAAGGAAGACACTGGCTCCGGTCCATGGCCCGCAGAATCGATGCCTGTGAACAAGGGGGAAAAGTGCTAGATATTGAAAACGGGGAGCAGAAAATAACTCCGGCAGGTGGTTTCGTATAGAGAGAGCTTGGATGACGAAAAGGCTAGCAAGTATGCCGCCAGAGGCAATCGCGTAAATGGCCAATATCTCCATATTGTTCGAAAAATGCGACAAAGAGGGAAGCACGAAGCAGGAAGAACAAAGGAGGGAGGTCATCCAAAGCAGACGCTTTTTATAACGAAGATAACGACAGATGACAGCCTTGCGCTGTTGGCTGCAGACAAAGAAAGTCTTCACATTGGGAGTCGACGCAGAAACAATCAGGGCCGCAGGCAAAAAAGTTTAAATGACCCCGGCACTTTATATCCTGGGATATTGAAGAAACCCCGCCATTGGAAATAATGAAATCCCAAACCAGCAAGGGCAAAGTAGGGTTACTTGGAGCGTGCTTGAGCAAGACTATCAGGGTGGTAGAGAGCAGAGAATATCCTATCCCTACACGGAGGAAGAAGAATTTAGCCGAGTGCGCAAAAGGATGTAGACCAGAAATGCCAGTAGATAGAAGTAACGCATATGTATAATTGATTTATCCCCAAGAAAGGATGAGGTAATGTATTACCGGGTTTTGTCATTTCCAATTGGCGTCTGTTTTCTCAGGTTATCAAATTTAAGTCCTCAGAACTTCATCCGCTAGCTTCTATTGCGTCCGATATTTCACCATGCGATACACCCGTGTCAATGGTGATGAGGAATGGCTATAATGGTGGGAGTGACCTGGATAACTTAGTTATTGTTCGTTGGGTGACATAAGACGATCTACCACCCGAAGTTGGAGTTAAAGGCTGAATTAGGGTCTACACACTTACAGTCTCGCTTACATCACCTGATCTTCACAAATGTTTGCATTGTTTGCCATCTGTCGGGCTAACATTAAAGGGCGTGGGACAGCAAATGAGGGATCTCATGGCTGCTGTATATTTCAAGAGGTGCAACTAACTCCCAAAATCATCGAAATACCGAACGCGAGGCCTTTACCTATAGTTTAGCGTTTTTTGTGCGCCAGTACTCCTAATACGCACTTTGAGCACAATTCTTGGTGCTTTGAGAAATAGACGCCCTAATATCGCTAGTGCCAGAGCGTTCAACTTCGTGTGGGGCTTAGTGAATCCAAAGACCCGACCAGACAGATGAACGATGAATGCATCACGCAGAACCGTACCAGTGTACGTCAGGGATCGTGATCCGGCTGATGCACAGCGTTTATGGATAACCCCACAGTGCTTGAGAATTGGATGCCGCCCAATTGCCATGCCCGCTGACTATTCACACCCAGTTCAACTAAATGGCCCGACGGAGACACGAAGATTCCAGAAAACGAAAGCAGCAGTATGCACGGTTCGCAATTGCTTCTGGGTTCAATGCTCACAAGGGGACAAGTATAAAGTTTCTTGGCAAATCTTCGTGGAAGGCGCCGTTTTGATATTAATAAAATGATGGCTCCAAGGCTTTTCATAACCAGTCATTCTACATACCAGGCTTCGATAGAAGAATGTCCATCGAGAGTCGAGAATCGATGGCAGGGCCCGGGTGGGTAGATTCATGGCGGTTAGTCGATTTTGAAAGACCCAAACTACCAGAGAACCTACAGCCTCTCATCACGGACAAGTTCGGCTTATCCGACCTGCTCATTGAACTGGAAAGATACAAAGAGGTGATAAGAAACAATGGTAGTATCGCTTGCAATCGAGGCGCGACTCTCCGCACTCCGCGATTATGTGCGCAACTAGGAAGGTTATTCTCGACCCCAGAACCACAGACCTCTGCGTCGTCACGCCCACTAACTTGGGCATGGCTCGTTTGCCATGTGGGATATCCTGGGGTGAACCTACCTGACACCGTTCTGACAATTGGAGATAGCGTGGTTCAGCTTCCAGAAGACGATCGTAATCTTTTGCTCACCGGGAGGCCATGGCAATTTCTCGAGCCAGGGCCAGATGAGAATGACCTTGCCGAAGAAATCGACTCAATCGAAATCACCGTGGCAGAGCTCAGCGATGTCAGCGAACGGGTAACCCAAGGTTAGGCTCACAAACCAAGTGCTTTGGCCTCTGCTAATTCAGCAGTTCCTGTAGCTGCTCGGGAAATAGACACCCTGAAAGAAGAGTTATTGCGTCGCCAAAATCGGCTTGTCCTCCTTCAAAGCCAGCAACATAGCCCTAGCGACCCGATGAATCCGTTCTCAACCAACCTGACGATAGGAACAGCAATAGAGTCAACAGGTCGGCAGGATGCGACGAAACAGTCAAAGAATGTGGAGCTTGCCAATAACTCATCGAGTCAACATGCTCGGTCCTGTTCTGACACCTATGAATCCCCTCAGAACACGGCGAGGCGGTTGAAGGTCATAGATCTCATGAATATCTCCTCTAGCCAGCGCGCTCAGTCCACCCCATATGTCACTGCATCACCAAAGGCGGCAGTACCGTCCGAGGACTTGGAGCCTGTGGATAACCTGTCTCGTCAGCAAAGTCAATGCCCAACAGGGCCGTCCACACCACCTGTCAGCCATGCGCGATCTTCCGCTTGTACGCCGAATACTGATGCTATGTATTCGCCTAATGAGACGGAAGAGCAAGTACCCGATCTCATATATTCACCGTATTCACCCACTGCGGTGGAAGAGAATGTATCCGATCTCATATATTCACCGTATTCACCAACCGCGATGAAAGTGCAAGCACCCGATGCCATGGATTCGCCCACTATGACGGAAGAGCAAGCGCCCCCAAGCTCGACAGCGTCGTACTATACAGTTGGCGAAACAAGCGGACTCGGACAGCCGAACCTTGAGGTTCAGGAGCAGGCGCCACCACAATCCGAGGACACTGGAGCCTGCAATCACCCTACCTCTTTCCTACACACTCTATGACGGTAAGGAATCATTTGCAGGATGCTCTGACTGCACGAACGCGGCCCATGCTCATCCTCGGCAGTATCATAGACGATCCCAAAAACTCACATCTCATAAGATGGTCCCACAAGGGGGAATTCCTTCATCATTCCAGATAGAAACGAATTTGCTCGCACATTACTCCCTACAATTTGCGGTCATTGCAATTTCAGAGCATTTTGCAGACTCCTATGGTACTACAACCTCCATCTCAAGAAGCCAATCGTAAATGGATCCTCTCCGTGATGGTCATGGCAAAGCACTCCATTCAGAGAATTCAGCAATCCTAATTTTCGGCGCGATGATGAGTTCACGTATCGAATGTCGAAGAAAGAAGACCAAAGAGTTCTCAAACCCTGAACCTCGGTCTTCAGTGTCCGATCTGTTTTCCTGTGCAGACGGAATGAAGATCATGTCGCAAGCGACATGTGGCGAGGCGACAAGGCATGCGAGAGTGTCCGAGGGTCACGCATTAGGTATCCAAAGCGGCGACGGGTAGCTTAGGGGAACAGATAGTATAAGGACTGCATTGTACCGTAGCGCTCTATAGGTTGTGAAAGTTCGCACGTGGTAGTGCAAGCTACTTTGCAAAATATACAATTTAATGGGCTCCCAATAGTACAGAATGATTTGTGGCTTTAACGCCGATAACACATTATAGCGGCATAGTCATTGGCATTTCTTCTGAGGTCAACATATGTAAGGCATTGCCAAGGTGCTGTCGTGAGACAATTTCTTTTAGGTTTCACGACCAAAAAGCGGAAACAGCTAATGTCAAGGGGACAAATACCAACGGTAGACGATCTCCAAGGGTAGAGCTTGGGTGCCACACTATCCCGGATATGGCAAGGGCCGGCGTCCACTGTCCGCTCCGGAATAACCGGCGATAAAAGCACCGCGGCTTTGACAAGCCCGCACGAACCCGGAGAACGAGGTCGGAAATGATGGCACTGCATGAGAGCTGAAGGGACGAACTCATCAACCGCTCATGAGTGGTGTCTACTAGTTCTGTATCCTCACATGTGCAATTCGCCAGCTTTTGTTGACTAAAGTTGCTGTTTCATGCGGGAGCCACAGTAGCATCTGGCCAACATATCACCAAAGACAACGTCAGCCTACCGCTTTGTGGGCAACGTTCGTAAGATGATTTACTTTTTCGAAACCATATGCGAATGAAGGATTAAATAGTGCGAGATCACCATCTGCACTGTAGCTCTAGGAAAGCCTGGCAGGTCAAATCAGAATGTCTGGTGAGCAACTTCCTTTCCATCAGGCCAAAAGGTGCTATAGGCAAAGGCTCTGGAAGACAGGCGAGGGTGCCGATGCATCCATTGTCATTGGCGGCTTCAGAATTCCAGTCCACTCTTCGATCTTGGAGGAAGAGAGCCGATATTTTCACAGCGAATTTCGCCGGAGTTTCCAGGAGAGAGGCAGACCAGAGTTGCATTTCGATATTAAAAATGTCAATACGGTGTGGCGAACTCTGGAACTTATCTATCTCGGAACATACTCGAATGAGCTCTGTCCCTTATCTTACCTTTCTGGTAGGGTTCCTGTTCTCCTCCATGTCCCTAACCATACTAACAAATACCATAGACGAAGGAAATGAGCTTGCGCTGCATGGGTCGGTATACAACATGGCGGTGTCCTGGGGATTATCAAACAACCTCCAAGAGATTATCTTTCGAAATTATAAAAACACAGTCGAGAATAGCTGGCAGCCTTTAGCCTTTCTGGAGTCCGTTAACATAATTTTCGGTCTGCTGAGGGAGAGCGGTATGGTCCATGCACCCGGAATGTCTATTATAGCCAGTGAGTGGTTAGACCCAGATCGGCTACGAGAAGACAGAATCGCGCAACTCGTTGTCCAGCAACTCGAAACCAGGCGCGAGGCGTTTGAAGACGATTCATCAATCATGTTGTGCCAGTCGCTGCAGAATTGCCCTGTATTACTGAGGTTATTTTTGCAGCGTTGGCTAGTAGCGAAGAGAAAGTCTTAGTCCGACATATATCCTTGAAACTTGGAGTTTTCGATTTATCACCGCCGATGCTCGTCCGAGATGATCAAATCAGAATGCGTCTTTAGGGCTGATGCGGGTATACTAGTTCTGGATAGTTACGGTACATAAATGCAGTTCCCAGACGCCTGAGGACCTTGTACTTGTAGTACATAGGCATTACTGCTTTGACCAGTGTCCTTTTTAAGTTATTCTTGAGGATGGACTTATCTACCGCTGCGTTGGCAGAGAGTTAAGAAATCATTTGAATAGCGACTTATTTTGCAAGGTGACGCTGATTCAGCCTTGATAAGATGAAAACAGCAGATATTGTTCCAAGAATATATACGTGACTTTGATTGGTACACACTGCCTTACTGAACCTTACCAATTCATATAATTCAAGCGCGAGGCACAGGAGGTCCAGGAGGTGCTAGAGATGAGAAAAAACAGTCTGATTTCAGGAAAAGATACAAAGTATGTTGGAATAAGTATCCCAAAAAAAAAAAAAAAAAAAAAAAAAAGAAAAAGAAAAGAAAACCATGCGGAAGGGTGCAAACGCGTTAGCAGATACATATTCAAAGTGATCTGATGAAGGTGGAGAGCAGCCTGCTTGAGAAATAGGCACTAAGTCTAGGGTGTACCCTGGTTGGAACGTTTATTTGGTCGCCTCGTGCTGTGCATACGGCACAAACCTAAACTGGGAAGCCATACGCCATACGCCATCCCTAGACCTCGATTGAACTGCGTACCAGATGCGATCTCGGAGGACTAGGGGATGAATAGGGCGGCAACGTTCTTTCCCTCTCCCGTGGACTACCGGATGAGCCTTGCAGTGCGTCCCTCAATTTATCGCTGATGGCGATATCGTGCCGCCGTCCTGCGGTCGCAGATGGGGACGTTTCCCGATTCTCACTGGAGCCTCGCACCTCATACATCTGAGCTTGGATTTGAGATTCGATCATCGATCCAAGAGCTCTGGTCATTTTGTCCATCTCCTTTGCGATACTAGAGGCCACTGCCGCTGACAGCTCCTTTGAAAAATCAGTAAACCTCCTGTCCACATAGGCCTGGACTCTCCCGAATAAAGCATCTTCGTCGATCCCCTGTTGTCCTTGTTGCCCCTCGGGCAATGCCGCGGAGGCTCTACTGCTATCCAATAACTCCAATTCTTCAGTATTGTCGGGACACGCTGGATTTAAATACGTAATCCTTCTTGCTTCAGTTTTAGCGGGTATGACCTGCCCATCCCTTGCGCAGACACGGCTGATGAGCAACTTGCCCTTTTTGTCGCCAACCAATCGTTTGAATTGTGACGTGGATAGGAACACCGGTGTCTCATATTCTTCAGCGGCTATGATACATTCCGTGTCAGCGGGCAGTGTTGACTGTGCGTTCCTATCCTTTACCAACGGTGTCAAGCTTGCCACGAATTCCAGCTGTAGAAATTTGTAAGACTTGCCGTCCCTCTTCCTTGTTATTATTTTGGTTTCCGGGTCTTCTTTATCCGTCGCCGCAAAAACACATCTCTCTTTTCCTTCTTTTGCTGCATTTTGTTTCCATGCGTCAATTGCATCGGGGTAATCACTATAACGAACCAGTTTATGCTGGTACAGGGTAACAGGAACACCGTTCTTCTCCGTCTGCACTGGAAGTTCAATAAGATAATAGCTGATTTTATTTGAGCGGCTGTCCATTCTTTCAGTCGTCTTCTCAGCCATGATCGCGACACCACTTTTCAGCCTGTGAGTAGCCCATGGCCAATCGTGCGGGTCACTTTGTGCCCAAGGGATATTCTCCTCTTCGATTTCTTCAATGCTTTCCCCGGCTTGCAATCTCCTCCCCTTCTGGTAACGACGGATGCCGGACCTTGTTTGCTGTCCAGGTGGAGCCACGCCAGGCGCTCCCTCTTCGGGTGAAGCCACGCCAGGCGCTGCCTCTTCGGGTAAATTCACGCCAGGCGCTGCCTCTTCGGGTGAAGCCACGCCAGGCGCTGCCTCTTCGGGTAAATTCACGCCAGGCGCTGCCTCTTCGGGTGAAGTCACGCCAGGCGCTGCCTCTTCGGGTGAAGTCACGCCAGGCGCTGCCTGTTCAGACGAAGCCACAGGAGGTGTCTTGCCCATGTCCTCCTTTTTAAGCGCAATAAAGCTGAATGATTTCACCTCTGGACACTTTTAGCACATGATATGATCAAGACAAAAATCACAGTCTTACTTTCAAGTGCTGCATGCGCATCGGGCATGTTTGCTTTCTCTGCTAGCTCAAGAACATCCTGCAAAAACTTCTTTGCATCATCACTCGTGCCTTGGTATTTGGGCCCCATGTCCAGGACTGCAGATTCTTCTTTGAGTATTCGGTCAACTTCGTCAGCTAGAGCTGTTATGATTATGTTCTTTTGGTTGGGAGTCAGGTCTTGGGTCGCATTCTTTATCCCGGCAGGCAGATCTGCTTGCTTCCCACCCTTCCCAATATGTGCGATCAGACTGGCATTCACGAACTTCGCATAAGCAGCAGTAAGGGGATATTCGCGCGGCGCCATTCTGTGATAGTGCTTGGTAAGTTGTAGCTGTTATAGGACGATGCTTTTTCTGTTGTTGAAGTTGCAAGTGTACAGGGGGACGCTTCCTCATATATATAGTGATTGTAAAGAATTGGATCGGTCTTAGTGTTGCTTGTCATATATTCAGTTTGTGCGAGTATGGGAAAATCTATGACTCGGGTTCACTACGTAGAAAGGAAAGAAGCAGAAACTATCAGAATGTTTTGTTGTGACGCTTATAGTAGGGCCGCTGTTCTTCATGATGCCCGCACATTTCTCGGTTCCTGACGTCAATGATTGTCTCACTAATGGCTCTCCAGCAGTTGCCAGGACGTTGTGGCACATGTCTCGAGGGAGGAAAATGAACGTCTGCTGGAAAGTGTAGTGTGCGGACCAATACAAAGAGAAAGCTTAGGGAAATGGATCTAAACAGTACTACACACCCAGAGCATGCTGATCTATCGATTTGCTGCGGCTTTGCCTTGGCTATCCCCGTTCCCATTCATTTTATGCCTCCAAAGCTATAAGCGGTCCTAGATTGGACGGGCTCCGACTTGTGCATATCTCAAATAAGTCACTGCTCAATCAAGGTCTCCAGGAGCACTGGTTCAGCGGCTATCGTTCCTGCAGTTACAGGATTATGTTCCAATGTACGCCCACTATCTGTAGTAAACTGAGATTCCGCTCTCCACTGTCTATCCCGCAGCACAATACAACGACCTATGATTTAACGGGACGCTATTGTCACACTACTGTCAAGCCTTATTTGTTTGGCTTGCCTTTTGTGCATGCTTTTATTGACGGAATTGATGTAGGCCATGGACAGTCAGGCAGGAATTTCTATTACAAAACAAAACATGTTGTCGGTCCTCTTCAAGAACTTGCCATGCAGGCGGGAGTCCCTTGCAACGTTGAGTTATTCTACCCCGATGGTCCTTGGCCCGCTCCTGGTGGTGAGGAACTGGATGTCCGCGCATGGGGTTTCGGTGATTTTGAGCGTGGATTGATTAAAGGTTTGGATATATCTGTGCTGAAGATCGTGGGCATACTAGATCAGCATGGACCTTTCAGCGGGATAATGGGATTCTCAACGGGTGCTGCTGTTGCTGCAATCATTGCTTCTATATTGGAACGACCCGAACGGATCCAGACGTTCATCCGGGACACACCCATGAAGGCAAGCTGGTGCAGCTCCTCAGGAAATTCTCGGCGAACTGACTAGCGGGATATAGATTTCTCATCCTCCACTCCAGTTTGTTGTCTGCTTCAGTGGCTTCAGACTTGGAAATCTCCGATACGGTTCACTTTATTTCCCCAAGCTACAAACACCCTCACTACACTTCATTGGTCTGCTGGATACAATGATAGCGGGGCATCTGACGGAAGACCTCAGCACACAATTTGTCAATTCAAAGACACGGCGCTTTTTCGGTACTCATTATGTCCCGAAGGCGAACAGGACAGAAGAGATCGTTAGCATGTTCATTCTTTATTGGTCTGGGAGGTTGCGAAGCGGATCTCACCTTCGTTTGCCGTGGGAGTCGTAATAACGGGACCTGTGAATCCCCGTGTCTGGTTAGCAAAATATTACAAATAAGAAGTTAAAAAGAGGCGCGTACGGGAATCGGAGTAGAAAGGCGAAAATCGCCCGTACGCGCCCCTTTTATCTTCTTATATGTAGTATTTTGCCACGTTAGCAACAGCATTCAAGAAACTGAGGAACGCGCGAAGGTCAGATACAGCCCAAATGTCCGGATCCCAAACGATGTTTGACACTATTTTGAATAGCTCTACTCTACTTTATCCTCTCCTTTCTATTCCTCGTTTATACCCACGCAGCAAAAACAAGCAAGGTGGTCATCAAGATTGTGAAGCATAGTGATTCGAGATTCTCGACGTCATAATGATATATACATGTCTACTAAATCTGGGCGACCGGATCAGTTAGTGAACAATACCCTCAGTTAAACTGAGAGTGATATCGAGTGGAAAGCCCTAGTACTGCCGGGCCGAAGCCCGTACCGTACAACCGTCCCGTTCGCGTTTTACATGGACCCAAACGAAATGTACGAACGGTTTGGATCATTCCAATACTGGTTGCTGATCCAGATTCTATGGCGCTTTCTCTTTCGCTGGCGCACTACGATGGCAAATATGCCAAGGAAGCCACAAGCCCCGCCAGCAACTGCCCCTACCACCGCGCCGATGGCTTTCCCAGACATTCTTCGGTCACGCTGGTCCGATGCGGATGGATTTCTGCTTTCTGAATATGACCTGTGTGTCGGAGTAGTAGCAGAGAAATCGGCTTGCTGGATGACAGCCTTTGTCAGCCTCTGTAAGCCCTGAACTTGTGGTGTTGTAGCGAAAGCTTGGCCTTGCTGCACGACGGAATCCGTCTGCACCGCACTGTCCGCATCTGTTGTTATGCTGATAGAAATTTCCGCTGCCAAAGTAGCAACCGCAATCGCCGTCGACTTCGAAGCTATCACCCGGTCTTGGAGAAAAAGATAGCCGTTGGCCGCCGGGGAAGTAATTTGGAACGAATCTAACCCACTCTCTATAGAAGAGGTTTTGACGAATGGCTTCACTCCAGATTGTCCTTCAATTGAGGGTTTTGGCGTGAAAGTCATTGGAAGAACGCCATGACCCACTAGTGTTCCCGCGGTGACGTCCACGTATTCTGTTGAAGAGGGTTGTTTCCAATCGCTGGGGCCTTGTAATAGAAATGGCTGGTTTAACTCCGCGGGCGAGAGTGAATGGGCTCCTAACTCAATGCTCAGATGTTCCGTTCTGTACATGGTACTTGTTGTCGGCATATGAAGTACGGCTCTGTGATCACTCGGTAAACTGCTGTCCGAATTTTCTTTTGAGTGAGTGATAGGCATGATGATTCCTTGGGCCCTAGTTGGACCTGTCGCTGTCACTCCACCTTTGGAGCCGTAAGGAATCTCTTGTGTCGTCACTACTTGATTAGACTCGGGCATGCTTGTTCGTTGATAATCCTCGTACGGGATGAATTCGGTATGCTGCCATGAAAAAGACGCTGAACCATGGGGATAGTGTAGCTGGATAGTGCCCTGAGGATCCAATGCTAACTGGGGGATAGAGGATGTATTGATATCTTGTGCAGCATCTCCAGGAATTAGTGACGATGGGGTAGTGCACAGGCTAGGTGACTGAGATAGTTGTGTGGGCTGAATCAAGCGTTCGAAGGCAGTAGAACCTGTCTGAAGTGTATAATACGTATTCACTGGACCTATCATAATAGCACTGGTGCCATCAGCGCTGTGATGAACTCTGGAAGCCCCCATCGCTATCAAAGATGGATGAGATAATCGGGTGCCACTGGTCTCGCTTTTGGCTCCCTGAGGAGGGCCCGTATAGGGCCGAGACCCGGATGCAACTAGTGGGGTAGCTGCCTGTTCATTAGCCGGACCTGTGGCTATTGGGTTTGTAACTATTAAGTTTGCAACTCCATACCGTGGGTATCTGAAGTGAAAGAAAATACTCTGTTGGTGAAATCCTTTGACGATGGCAACGAAGACGAGATGCGAGGTGTCGGTACCTTATGGGTTTTAGCAACTATCAACTGCAGACTTCCGTGAGCAACTGGATAGTGCTTGCACTCACACTCTGTGATAAGTAAACGGATGACGGTGCTGTACCACATATCGCGTGAGTTTTAGCTTGGTTGGATGCGGGATGAGCCTCGACGGGGGTGCCTTACACACATCCGGAGTTGTAGACGATGGTGCCTCTGCAGCCATCGGCCGCATGGAATGGATGCTGAGTCCAGCCACAACGACGTCGAAACAAACTAAACACCAACATATGAAGTACTGCAACATTTCAACTTATACATGCAGTCCCCCCTTTCAGCAAATACGCGCAGGAGGGGCACAGTATAGATTTAAGTACTATTCATGATTTCATAGCTGAGTACTGTAGGTCCTGCAGATACACAGGGTACACAATATAGATGGCCTCTCAGCTGTGCTGTTCTTAGTCCAGGAACCAAAAGATTAGGGCTCAATTACCTACCCTAAGCTCCCGGATACTCGACCCGATGGCCATATCCATCGCAGACGGTATCTATGACTTGAAGTATGGACCCTTCTGCCCATATATCTGGGAGTCTGCATAACAGCGGTAGGTACGTGAGATATTGATAAAATGGGTACAGCTCCGCAGATGCACACGGCAAAGCAGATTCATCACGCTAAACGTAGATAGTTAAGATGAAGAATTATTCAGGCTCTCTAGCTAAGGATCAAATTGACACATTTTTGTCAAGATTCATGAGACTTCTGCAATGATGGCTTTAACGGATCATTAGCACTGCTGTTATAATCCTTACTCAAGAGAAAAGAACCATTGCGTCGGTCAATTTAGGCCCGTACCCCTCGTATAGAAAGTTCCCACGTTTTAGCGAAGATATACTAAAGTACACTGACAAGAGGCCCATCTGAACCGAACAGACCTGCCGAGGCCGGGTTGAACATGAGCATCAGCACATGATTTCCGGCTGATGTGTCAAAGTGGTAAAGATCATGACGGTTTTTTGATTTTGATGAAGGCATAAATGATCAGGTTGATGCTACCTTGACCACAAAAAAGTTGAACGCTTCAGCCTTGAGGATACAGATCAAGCGGAGTTGGTTTGTGATCTGCATTCATAGTTAAATTGACAGTACATGGACATCTTCCAAAAAAGTACTATGAAAGATCAGCATCAGATTTCTTCTGTTATCGGCGGTGGGCAGTTCAACAACGTATTTTGGGTCATTGATGAGCATGGCATCGCAAATTCGAACTAGCCCACATGCCAATATTCAAGCCGAAATTAGTCAACCGGGGTAAACATTGTCTACCAGCTCGGCCCAGAACAGTATACACCCTAAGCCAACTCAGGAATCTTATGCATTGTTGGCAGGTGTTGCACGGAGATTGAGTTGGGCGGGGAGAGGATTAAGCCTGGACTTCCTCCAATTCTCAGACCTAAGGTCGACTACATTTAAAGGCTCAGAAGTCAATAGTCTCGGGAAACTGCCACTTCGCGCGCCATCAGCCATATTATCCCGTCAGCTGGACACATTGGAAAGCGATACTGAAGAAGAAATCGACGTCCAATACACCGATGGGGAATCTGAAACGGATCCCACGGCTTCTGAATCCGATGAGGCCTTCATTGTTTATGAAGACGAACCCATCGAGACGGATTACGACTCGAGCTACGTCCCTACAGAGAGCGAGGAAGTCGCCTCATCCACTTCCTGCTCAGACTACGGAGAATCTTTCAACGAGGTAAGGTGACCGCCCCTCGCTGGCTTGCCACCTACTTATTATGTTCGATCCAGAGGGACTTGGGTGAATACATCACTGTACTCGATGAGCGTGAAGTGGAGGGGAACGCTGGTAGGATGACGGAGCTCCTGTTGAATTTCTGGGCGGAGGAGAGTGTCGCTGAGGAGATCCGAGATCTGCTTCACGTTTCCCGCAATGGACCAGTTGGATGATTCGATGGCTGGGGTGTAGATAGTTTGAGCCCCTTATTAGAAGCGCCTCCGGCGCACAGTGGCGAATACAGTCGATGATGATGATGATGTTTTCATACGCTGACCCCTCGCCCTCGGCAATATGCACGATCTCCCTCTCCTATCTATGTGTATTCCGTTATGTACAGTGAGCCATTGCTTTCCTAACGATTTTATAGCCTCGTCAACGCCTGAGTTAGCCTAGTTGCCTGGTGTTCTGCTCTGCGGCCCCCGTGGCGCGTGACTCCGAAACCTCTGGGACGTTTCTGGAAAGTCCAGTTCAGACTCAAGAGTGTTACTGTCTTGTTCAGCGTCTTGTACTTTACCTTCCTTACGTCGTTGCCCTTCCCCTAGCATATTCGAAAAGTTGCTGAGTGCGCCCCCGATTTTCCTCCGCAGTCCTTGTCGCAGATCTCTGAGTCGTGGGCAGTCACTAGTGCATGGCCTATCGTCTCTTGGACACCACAGATACATCTATCATCGTCTCGGAAGCGATGTACTTTGCCATACGTCGCCAGCCAAGAGTGGCCCCTCCGAAGTTGTGTGAGCAGATATTCTCGGTTCCGTGGGAGCGATCCGTATAGTCTTTGTATATAAATCGAGGGCAGAGTTTTGTTGATTTGGCGAAAGTGCCTCCCTTCGTAGATTTTGTCCGCTCTTCCTTCCACCTGCTTAGGATCGTTTTACGGATGAAACCCTTTCACGCGAAAGAAGGTGTTGAAAGGGATGCATCTTCCTCAGACTCGGACCTACTGCTTCTCTCGCAAGGCGGTCGGCTTCATCATTTCCGGGGTCATCGCAATGCCCTGGGACCCGTTGGAGGTGAATTGGGATCCCTTATGCCTTCATCTCAGAGGCTGCCCACAGCGTGGCTTGGACGATCCTTTGATACCGACCAGTCTTCCATTGACCAAATGCTGACTTGTTGTGATTCCGACGCCTGCAGGCCTTCGTTAACGGCTATGGCTGCAGCCTCCAGTTGGTTCTGCTGGCCTGACGCATTGGAAAAGATCGTAATTCCTGGCATGGCTCTTCTGGTCGCGGCGCTCTCCTTAGCCTTCTCTTTGTAAGGTTCTATCTCAATCGGTTGCTCTCGCCATGGTGCCAGTGGCTTTAGGTTAATAATCTGTAGAGCTTGCAGGCGGCAGACGTCCATTATGCGTAGCGTCTCCGCCAGAGGGAATTGAGAATGGGCTTTGATTTGTGTGCTGCGGGTCCTTGCTTGAATAATCACATCATGGATTGGGTGATGTTCCGGCACTGTGCTGAGACAGGCTGCCACGATCTAGGCGCGTTGTTTCAGTCACAGTCATGTTAGTAGAGAGTAAGACTCCACCTCGAGCGCCTCGTTGAAACTGTCCTAAAGACGGACAGTGTCCGAGTAAGGGCAGTTCACTGGACGGTTGCAAGCTGTCTCAGGAGGGTCCTGTCCTTTAGGGGTTTGTGCCATACTGCAGAGGCTTAGTCCACTACTAGCACCATGCATGCGTGATAAAGTTGTCTCATCTGTTCCGGTCAAATGTGTCGGGGTCGATATAAACTTTGGTCTCTCATTTGATCACTTGCTGCACATGCTCTTTCCATCGCTTTTCCAGTCAAAGATAATGCCCAGGTTTTTTACCATCGCAGTAGGTTTGATGATATTATTATTCGTAGTGATCTCTCCCTGGCTCTGTTCCATTGGTTCTTATCAAGTAAATCAGCTCGGTCTTCTCCGCCGCGGAGCATAATCCGGTTTGTCAAGCCTATGTTTCGATGCGTGCGATATCTTCTTCTTACAGCATCCTGACGTTTTCTTCTGCCAAAGGTCCCACTCTCCACCTGGAGTAATCATCAGTAAAGGCCGATGCTCCTCCTTGGAGATCTACTAGCTAGTCCACCAGCTCCAAGTGGAAAAGGTGAAGATGATCGGTGTAGGGGCGAGCCTTGGGCCAGTGTATTCTCCAATCTACACATATCTTTTGCACTTCATGGCTACTCTGCTCAGGAATATCCCATCTGCGCTCATTCCTTAATCAGTGGGCATTACCAACCCTATGCTGGCAGATTCCTGGACGTCAAATCCTCACTCCTGCTCACCACCAACGCACCGAACTCGTTCAGCGACGCGCTCTGGAGGATGTCAAAGACAGTGACTTTAGCCTTTGCGCCGCTGCTCAGCCAGTTGCGTAGTTCCACAGCGACGAGAGAATCGACGCCATAGCGCGACATCGGCAACTCGGCGTCAATATCCGAGAGGGGAATATTAAAGATTTCTGCAATCTTGGCCATGATCGCTTGGACCAGCAGTGCCACGGCCTCGGTGAGAGTCGAGGCCTTCGAGAGTGCTTGCGTGAGCGCGGCCGTAGAGGTCTTACTGGTGGATGTGGTGGCTGTCTCGATTCCACGCTGGCTGGCAATGCGGAGCGTACCGAAGCGTCTGTCATGGCTCATGACTGACTCGCTGGCGAGGGTGTGGAAGTTGGGCCCAACAACGACCTGACTCTGCGATGGCGACTGGCGCAGAGACTCACTGATTCCATGCCCAACCATCCGCAATACATGATCCAGATCGACGGAGCCAAAACCGACATTCTCGACTCGTGCCCGCAGCCGGTCGTCACCACTGGCTTCTCTATCTGCCACGTACCCAACCGACTTGACAGCACCAAGGTCGATGGTCACGGCCGGTAGACCGCGTGCCGTTCGGTATCGAGCAAGGGCATCCTCAAAGGAATTTCCAGCGGAATAGTTGGCCTGGGACATGTGGCCGGCCACACCAGCCACTGATGACAACATGACAAAGAATGCCAGGTTGGGAAGTTGCGTATGAAGATTCCAGCTGCTGTTGATCTTCGGCCGGACAGCATTGCGCCATTGTTCGAATGTCATGCGCTCCAGGACAGTATCGTCGAGTACCATGGCTCCGTTGATCACTCCGCGGAACGGCAGCAATGTCTCCGAGCAGTCACGGATCAGTTGGAGCAGACTCGTCTCATTTGAAATGTCGCAATCATGAATCTGGAGCCGGCATCCTGCTGTCTCGGCCATCTTGACAAGCTGAGGGGCTTCAGGATGGGATGTGGCGTGGCGTGAGACGAGCACCAAGTTCTTCGCACCATTTTCAATCATCCACGTCGCAATGGCACGACCAATACCACCTAGTCCGCCGACAATCAAATAGGTCTCACCAGGGTTATCCAGTGAGACGGGCGATGGGCGGCGGATGAACTGTTGAACACTGATCAGCTGGAATCCAGAAAGGAGAGAAAAAGAAATCATTACGTACCTTGATTCTATCCTCATCATGCGGTACGAGGACCAGCTTGCCCACGTGCATTCCTCCTTGCATTTGACGCATGGCCGTGGCCATCTCGGAGATTGGATACGGCGTAATAGGGTGCACAGGAGAGATTCCACGCTTGCGGACGATGTTGAGACTCTCCGACAGCGCCGCGTGTGTCAGTCTACCACGATACTCAGTAAGTTGCAACAGGTCGAAACTCGAAAACATGGAACAGCGGCTGAATGGGGCTGTCTGTAACCAGCGGTTGGCCTCCATGTCCACCTTCGTGATATCAACAAAGCGGCCGAAGCGGGCCATGCAATCCCAAGATGCCTTCAACAGCGGCCCAGATAGAGAGTTGAGAATTACATCAACTCCCTTGCCATTTGTTTCAGTCATGATACCCGCAGCAAAGCTTCCAGAACGGCTGGCGAAGATATGATCAGGTTTGATGCCGTAGTGTTCGACGAGAAGGTCTCGCTTCCCTTCAGTGCTGCAGGTAGCGAAGACCTCTGCTCCAACATGCTGCGCAATGACAATCGCGGCTTGGCCAGTCGCACCGGATGCAGCATGGATGAGCACTGATTCGCCCTTCTGAAGTCCTGCGACTTGAATTAGACTGCCATAAGCCGTGGTGTAAGCCGCTGGGAATGAGGCTGCCATTTTCCAAGGCATCTCGTCCGGCACCTTGACAACCGAAGTCCAGTAAGTGCGTCCCTTGCTCGCGATACGGCCCTTGCACAATGCTGCAACGCGGTCGCCAACCTTCAAACCGCTTTGCTCCGTATTGGGACCTAGACGGGTGATGATGCCGGAGCACTCGTAGCCCGTCAGGGGCTCTTCCAGCTGGCCCAGGGCAACCATCACCTCACGGAAGTTCAGGCCAAAAGCTCTTGCCTCCACTTCCACCATCTCACTTGGCACATCAGTAGATAGGATCACTGGATTCTCCACGAAGTATGGGTCCAGGCCGGTGCTCGGCGACGTCTCCCATACCAGAGGCTTGTCAGGCTGATGGAATGCTTCAAGCGCAGGTTCAAGAGGAAGTTTAAGGTTCCTGGCAATGGCATCCTGAGTTTCCTCAGGGAAGATCCTGGGCACATGAAGCTGAGAATCTGCCACTGAGTACTCCCATTCAATGGTGCCTGCCTCGGCGTCCTTGTCGAATGACCGCTCCAACACATGAACGATATGTCCAATCTTGCCGCTTGTCCACGGATTTTCGTCGTTTTCAAAGTCCAATCGGATCCATCGTGTGTGAAAATCCTCTTGTCTCATGGTTCGCAGAAGACCCTCCGAAGCCGAGAAGGCTGGGTTCTGGGAGTGAACAAGGCCACCACAGCTGAGCCAGAGGATACCACTGGAGAGAAGGAGAAGGTTCTTGAGCTTTTGGAAGGCGTCTGCATCCATGCTGTACACAAACGGATTTCCCATTTCAAGCGCAACAATGCAGACTGTGTCTTTGAATGAATCAACGTCACTCAAGTCCACGAGCTTGGGCAAAATGCCTGTCTTCTCTCGAATTGCGTCGGATAGCTCTGCCAACCACTCCCGGGCATCCTCCGCCGTCTTGTCCTCAACCACAATGGAGATGGGCGCTTGCACCGTTGCGGAAGTCCTTGAAAGCATGACACGCGCTGACTGGAACTCAGGTTCCTCATAGTCGCTGATTTCAAAGTCAACACCGGTGAATCCTGTATCCCGCAGGACGCGATCC